TCCACCTTTGGAGCCTTGGAAACTGAGTAGACCGTCCACGGGCGGCTGACCGAACCTCATTTGGGATCTGCGCATCTCAGGGCAGGTGGGCATCCGAATTTCACCCCGAAATGAGTTTCCAACATCAAACATCTTTCCAATGTTCAAGTGAACATTTCTGAAACCTCCTGTGCCTCTCTGTTCTTCAAAATCTCTCTATTCTTCAAACCCTCACGCCGTTGAGATGGCATCTATGCTGAGCTAGATCCACTCTCCTGAAGCAGATTCACTCTCCTGAAGCAGATTCACTCTCCTGAAGCAGATTCACTCTCCTGAAGCAGATTCGTTATCATGAGCTAGATTCACTCTCCTGTCTCCCCAAAGTCACCTTCCTCAAGCTCCTCGTTTTTCAGCAGATCGGGCATCCCTCTGCCAGTCCTCAAACCCCAAATCGAAAGAGCAGTGGCCACACGTTCATCGACCTACAACCCGGTAACTGCTCCAATGGCATCTAGGGAAGACGGCGACACCCCTGCAGACGAGGATGTCGACTGGTTTGCAACCATTCCCAAGAATCTTCTTGTTGAGGCTACTCGCTAGCGAGCAGAAAAGACAAGACAGCCAGAGAGTCAAATCGGCTGAGGGGAGGAACTGAGAGGAACGAGAAAGGCGAAGAGGGCTACTTCACACTATGGAAGACACATGCACTACATGTCCTTCCCTTGGATGACTTCTAGGCGTTGATACCATGTCCATGGATATCATACAATGTCCAAGTCCAGCGGAGGTTCCTGCAGGTTTTGAGGTCAACCGCTCTTGCTTGGGCATTTGATTTCAAGACATTCTCTCCCCTGGACAAGAGGCATACACATTTACCTACTCCGGAAATATCTTATCTGAACGAAACGCCCCAACTACACCGGAGTGTCAAATTGGCTGAGGGGCGGAAATGAAAGGGAAGAGGATCAGAGCTATCTCATACTACGGAGGGCACATGGACGACCTGTCCCTGGCTGCGAGGCTGGGTGACTTCTCGGCGTTGACCCGACATCCATGGATGATATGCAATGTCGAAGTCCAGCGGGATTCGCTGCCAATTCGATGCGACAAATGTTCCTGCGTGGACATTTGATTTCGAGACATTCTCTCCCATGGAGAAGAGGCATACACATTTGCCCACTCCAGGTACATCTTCTCTGGACGAAATGTCCCAACGCCACCGGACATTGCTGGACAACAGTAATCCTGTGATTATCTTTGTGACCTTGTTCAGCGGATGCAAGCCCTCACAACACGTCATAGCCAAACCAATGGCGTTCGGATCCTTTTCGTGTTCGCACGTCTTGGTCACGACTCACTTGGCAGTCAAGTGAACATTGAGGAGGCTACTCGCTGCGAACCCCCATGTCAAGAAAAGAGGGTCGGATTGGCAGAAGGGAGAAACTGAGAGGAGAGAGGGGGTTACACAACACTACGGAAAGTCTGGGGAGATACTACGGGCTTGGAGAGAATGTGACACTTCGGAGTCGTTCGGCTGACAATGAGCTTTGGCTCTCGCTGATGAATAAGGCTACTGAAGGGAGCTTCCACCAGAAGGGGAGGTCGATGCTCCTACCGACAGAGAGAGAGAGAGGGAGCTATCGTATACTACGGAAGGCACACGGCCTGATCTTCTGTTCCTTGGGAGGTTCCTTGGTTGTCACTTTGAGCTCGTCTGCCAAACAAGAATGAACGCTGCGTTTTAACTCAATTCAATTCAAGTCAAGTCGTATCAATTTGGTTGAAATCATGCAGAATGAGGATGTATTGAAGGTTCTCTTATAATTGTGAGCTAAAAACGTATTACACTATAGCCTTATAAGAGGATTAAGTGTGTAGCTAGATCAACAGTATATCACAATCCAGTTCGTGGATGACCGTTATCCAGTCCACAACGATAAGGTCCTTCTCTACGCCAGTAGCTGCTGCAATATCGCTTCTCCTACGCCAAACCTGCTCCACGACGGTCTTAGCCTTCGCTCTGATACCGATGCCGAAGGAGAGTGTCCAGTCTAGCCACCGCCTCGCAGCTTCGATATCCTCGTCCCGCGTCGCCTCCACAGCCGCCACAAATGCCGGCCACAATGAGAGATTGCCGTGGCTATAAATATCGATAAACGAAGACACCGCAGAAAATACTTCCGCGACATAGTCACGGACAGCTCGGGGTGGGGCATCCATCACTGAACGATACAGATATATGTACGCAGCTCCCACCCACGCATCGATCTGCAGACGGACTTCGTCAGTCATTGGAGTGAAGTTCCAATCGCGGTGTGGAGAAATCTGACTATCTCCATCCTCGTCTCCGAAGTGCAGGTGCTCTTTTCCCGAATCAAGCGCCGTGTAGAGGACGCAGTTCCAGTGGGTTGCCGCGCCGTCTTTTCGATAGCGCCGCAGGCACGTAAGCACATTGTTCAAGAGGTCATCGGCCTCGCTTGGGGGCCTCATTCGAGGGCTCTTGTTCCGGAATGTGGTGATGTGCGAGATACATTCGAACACGTCTCGGGGCACGCCCATCGTGAAATAGAATTCCGTCGTGGCTGGTGCCGCCGGATCTCCAAGCTCAGACCCGCGAGTCGACACGGCGTCGGTACTTGTTGGTGCCCTATATGAACCCAGTACTTCGGCGGGGACAGCTTGGCTGAATGAAGTGTCGCTGATGGTCTTGAGGATCCTCGTGCTTGTAAGCGCCCGACTGGCAAGTATCGAGGGCCGAGAGCGCGAAGAGTCCTGCCGGACTAACATGTCCAACGCCCCGCGAAGATGGTGTCGCCACTGTTGAGATCGGCCGCTGTAGACCTGCGGGTAAATGGAAGTCAGTCTCTACTTCCTGAATGGTGAGGGCTCCAAGAAAAGGACGGGTACTATATTCCTACCTCGGCCATCATAAGCGTCATGACAGTAGCGATGTCAACATCTGACCTCCCAATCATGGAGACGAGCGTCCGCATTGCATCCCCATAATGGCTCAAGGCACTCTCGATCATTTTTGGATAACTCTTGTCCCTCCAGAGGCCAAGTTGGCCCAAGTTGAAGGCAGCCTGTGAAAGCATAGCGCTGTACAGGGCGTCGTATTGACCCGAGTTCCGGAGCTGCAAAGCCGCTGCTGGGAAGTACGTTACCCATGGATTATTCGGGTGATCATACGGCATCATAATAACAGCCACCTGCGTGACATAGTGGTGAAACAGATATCGCTCGAGTCGGGTGCGGTCTGGGAAGGGCTCCAGGGCCGTGAGGTGTCCTCGGGGTATGTAAGGCCATTCGATTCACATTCAGAAGTAAATTCCTGATCCACAGCAAGATGGAAACTGGAAAAAGGATTGTGTGATACTGGCAGGGATGAGAAGCTGCGGTTGAAGCCCGAATCGCCTGCTGTCTGCTCGTCACATTGTTGTATCAATAAGTCCACGATCTCTGAGGGTATGACTTCGAAGCCTTGCCATGTCGATTCTGCGAACAAACATCAAATCAGCAGGGCACAATGGTGCACTAGCCACACGAAAGACAACTGACCGCAACAGATTGCCCGGCGGGCGGCTGGGTGGACTGGCACTTCCTCATCGCCGCGGACCCAAATAAGCCTGGCGCTATAACCAGTGCAATCAACGCCCACTCGCTTGCAATTCAGACACACCGGTTTAGTCTCATCGCACTAGCGAGGTGTGAGAGAACGAAATGATGGCGCGTGCTCGACGCTTCAGTGGCAGTGACATACCTTGACTTTCCTCGCTCGGCATTTCCAACATCCCTGCAATACGTCATGTTACTCGCGGCGCGTGGAAATACAGCAAAGGCCACTTACAGTGAAAGTCCTGTCTCTTCTGCCCATGTGATGGTGCGCAAGGTTAAGGATTCTAACAAAATCACCTCAGCGCAATTGATTCCCCACAGTCGGGCCCGTTGACCGAAGATCTTTGAGTGCCGTTTTTCCGCTTCGGGCGCAGGGTGCAACTGACAGCGAGCCTATCAGGTTACTCTTAGCTAACTTATTCTAACAGTCCACATTTATTACTATCAAGCTCGACCGGAGATCGTTTAGTCGCGCTTTTTCTCCTTCGGGCGCGGGGTGCAAGTCATAGCGAGCCTATCAGGTTTTTTCTCGATTGGATATGCTAGTGGCTATACCAGTGGCTCCACAGTCCCTCACACCAATTGGCCATCGAGAAACTGGAGATATAACCCTTTCGACCATCAGACTATGACAGAGGGGCTCATATGTCGAGCTTTGCGCTTGTTGGCTTAACAACGTGTGGCGATAGACGCCACCGCAACACATACGATTGGTCGGTGTCTCTACCGCTTTTATATCCGCTTCCAAGGTTGTTCCCTCGTCTTCTTCAACCAATACAGGCTGGTTGAGGAAAATTGCCTCCTGCTTTAGTGACCGGCAAGTCAAGATGTTGCTTTCTCCCGGGGATTGAAATCGAAAGCAGATGGTCTTCAGCCATTCTCGATCCGCCGGGTACTGGGATATGTACAATGGCTACGCAACTCTTAACCACTCTGGTGCTGCCTTCCTGAAGAAGCTACCTAACTAGGGGAAGTAGATCGGTCTACGAGTTGACTCTCGGTGGCCCACCAAGCTGCGCTTTCCACAATTGATTGGTGAACAGCATGCCCTTAACAGAATTTTATAGTCTACACGGAGTCACCATCGGCCCCGCTGACCGGATATCTTCTAGTAGCGTTTTTCCACTTCGGGCACAGGGTACAACCTATAGCGAGCCTGTCAGATTTTTCTCAGTGATCGGATATACTAGTGGCTAACTCAGTCGCTCCATTGTCCAACTAAGCCTGAGGTTGTGGAAAAATTAGGTATTTAGCAGGAGGTGAAACCCAGCTCAATCTATTTTATATCTTCATAGTCCTCCAATTCTTTCCTCTCAACTCCTTTAGATCAAAAGCTCCGGTCGATCTTTGATACGAGGTTTCCTCTCCCAAGACCCTACAATACTTCTCGATAAACCTTTTCTACCATGTGCTCAACCGCACCCAAAGTCGCCCTTGCTCCTCGAAGATGGACGCAGCCCGACAGCGAGTTCTTCATTTCCAATGACCCTGCCCTACTATCAGTGAAGGCAGTCAATCAAGCCTTCGGGCGCGAATTTCTATACTGGGAAAACCAGCTACCTGATGAAGTCATGCATCAGAAACTGTACGGGGCGATGAGTTTCGGCGTATACAAGCAGAGCCAGCCCCAGCCCGACTGTGTCCCGAACACTTCGACTACGAAAAGTGTCGAACAAATTGGACTTGCTCGGATGATAACAGATGGCATCACGTTTGGATATCTCTCAGATGTCTATGTGCTCCCTGAATACCAAGGCTATGGCCTTGGCGGATGGCTTATGAGTTGTGTTGCGGAAGTATTCTCTCTTGAGAACATGCCATATCTTCGCCGCATTATGCTTTTGACGAATGACGAGCGAATGCAAAAGTTTTATCGGCGGGTATTTGGCATGGAAGTCATTGGACATGAGCGGCGACCTGATATTGGGCAGGATTTGGTCTTTATGTGTGTTCGGCCAACTGTGAAGTCTTGAGTGATCGATACCTAGGAATAACCAAAGAAAATAAATAATCATGGGTAGTGCTCCTTCCAAGGTTTCCAACGTTTGATGAGAGAGCTTCTGCCTGTGGGTGTGACATGGATGGTGTTGTCCAAGTCTGGAGAGCTAGATCAATGAGTACGCCAGTTAGAAACAGCCAACAGTAATCTGTCCACTTTCTAACATTCATGTGCGGACTCTATAATCTAGGGGCCATTGGGGCTAGAAGGTTGCCTTGATTGTCTAATCCATAATCCTTCAGACAGACTAGTCTTGATTCCTAAGCCGGGGTAGCAGAGGGAGCCATCGTTCTAGGGCGTTCGCCCTCCGGAATCGAGGTGTTGGACTCCCTTGGGCGCACTGGCAGAACTGGCCGCCACTCATCAGAGTCCCTGGGCCCTTCGAGCTGCTTCACGTGCTCGTCATCGCCCTCGTCTTCGTCATCGCTCGAGGATTCCTCGCCGCGACGACCGTGACGCTGAGTCTCGTCGCGAGACTTCCGTCTCTCGCGCAGCTGCTCTTTGTGTCTGGTGTCTGTTTGAAATATAAGTAAAGGTTTTGTGAGAGTTGACTGAAAGCAATTAAACTTACCTCTGATTTCTTGGGTCTTCACAGCATAGAGCTGGATTTCCTCTTTGCTCAGCACCCTCAGCACGATCACATAGTCTGATCGCTCCTCGAATCGCTCATTGCCGGCCTCCAGTGCCTCTGGGTTGACCAGTCGACGGTCGATCTTGGTCCAGCGAGCGCCTGGTGGGATGCCCTCTTTGGTGGCATCCTTGAGGGGAGCCACTCCCTCTCTCACCGGGTTGGGCTCTTCGGGGAAAGCCTCACGAGGGGCTTTCAGAATTCCTTTAGGAGGCGCCTCGGGCTCCTTTGGACCAGCAGGCGGTTCGACTGCAACGAGTTTCTTAGGGTCGTCCCTTGCCAGGTCACTAGGTGGCGAGCGACGTGGCTCGCTAGAAGTGCCATCTTCTAAAAAGCGGTGACGGGAGCGAGACGAGCGATGTCCACGCGAGTGATCACGATGTCTACGGTGCCGTGAACGATCACGGCTGCGATCGCGCTCACTCTCAAAGGTATCAGTGCTGCTGTTCGTCACCTGACGGGGGTGTGCTGGGGCGGCGGCCTCCTCTCTGTACCTTTGCAGGTCATCATCAGAGGTGTCGGCATCATTGTGATGTGTCCGTCGTCGGGAACGTCGCCGCCGACCGTGACGATGGGCGTCTTCCGGGTCCAAAAAGCCTTGGCTGCTTCTTTCAGTGCCTGGTGTTGATGTGACCAGCTCCCGGGACGTGGGCTGTCCAGGTTCGTGGCTGCGGCCTTCACGATCGTCATGAGACCGTCTGTGTACACGTCTTGATGGACGGTGGTGATCGAAGTCCTCAACGTCAGAATACCCACCACCCAAGGCTGCTGTCCCAAGTCCCATGGTGGTCAGTGAGCCGCTGTCTTGCGGCTTGGTGTGATGGTCACCATATTGTTGGTCTCGGTCGCTCTCGTGGTGTCTTCGGTGACGGCGGTGGGAGCGCTCATGTCGAGGCAGATACTCCTCATCGGAATCATGGGGCACGGCGACTAGGGCCTGCTCATGTCCCCCTTCTTTGGGTCTGTGGCTATCACGATAATCGTCCCGCCTGCGGGTCGAGCTTCGTTGTCGCTCTCGGGGGATCTTATCAAATCCCCAGGAGGTTGGGGGCGGACCGTGAGGACGCTCCTTTCGTGTTACCCACTGGGGACTGTCTTCCATTCCGGAGATACTCATTGGCCGATCCAGCGAGTATCTGTGCTTGCGGGGCCGAGGCTTCACAGGGTAGTCACGATCAAATTGCTCTCGGGGAGTTGTGTAGGAGTAGGCATCGAACTCATCAATGTCATCACCCTTTCTCAGTCCATCGTAGGCCGGATGGCGTCCTGGTTGAGATGGTAGGTAATTTCTTGGTGAGCCGTGGCCCGGTCGATGTCTCCCGTCGTCTCTCGGATCACGGCGTCCATTATCACTGGTGTAATCGGTGCTATACATGCGCAAGTGTGGGGGGTGTGCGGGGTGTCGAGGTGAAGCAGGAACCACATGCGGCTCCGATGCTGATGGAGGGTTCGGACTAGATCGGTGTGCTGGGTGTTGCACAGGTGAAATATGATGACGGGACGTCTGAGGTGCTGCTAGGCGGATCTGGGGGTAGAAATCCGCTGCAGCTGTGTTGCTTCTGTGCCTGGTGGGCTGGATGCTGTACTCGGTCCGCTTCTTGGCGGATGCCGTTGAATCATGGATTCGTTGGGACGAAACGGGGTGGGCCTCGAGTGTCGCTGCCCGTGCCGGCCGATACCCGTAGGCGCTGGCGTACCCAGTATCGGACGGGTAGTCTTCATAATTTTGGCGCCGCGGCGCGTCATACGGGTCGTAGGAGGAACCCATTTGAACCGTGCCGGTCGAAGCCCGCATGGGATCGATCATAGAGTGCCGTCCACGGTTGGGAGACAGATGGCGATGGGTTGACATGTTGGGTTGGAATTCAGTGAATTGAAGGCACGGGTGGTTCGTTTCACCTTTGGAGTCGGCTTCAGAATCGGCGTGAGAGTCTCAGCTTCTCCGATCGGCTTCAGTGAAGGTTGAGGATCAGGGGTCCCGAGTTGGGCTTCGATTGCTCAATTCTTGTAGCAATGCCCAACACGGGTGACTCGGGAAAAAGGAGAGTGAAGACCGAAGAAATTGGAGGATCCTTATTTGCGACGCGAGTCCCATCCAGTGGAGCCCAATCTTTGCCCAACACAACAAAAAAAAAATGAAGAAGCTTGGACGATGTGAAATAGGAGAAGAAAAGTTGCAAACAATGACGCAGTGGCCAAAGTGGACAAAGTGGGTTGATTACAAAACCCCGCCGTTAGCTTTGTCTTAGTTTCTTAGTGCCCAGGTGAGTCTCTTTGGTTGCTCGACGTTTACTTAGGGATTAACAGATCTGTCTACTACTAGGGCAGATCATCAAGATCGAAGAATGTTCGTTAATCCATAACCGCGGATCACTCCTGGCCGGAAACTGGGGCCGCTTAACCATGAAACGTCCAACATGACACTTGCTGAGGCTCTCAGGAATCCACTCTGCCGTTTCGCCCGAAACCCGGGCAAAACTCTCGGCCTTTGAGATGAGGTCATTGTTTCGGGTCCGAAGTGGCTTTTCGGTATTAGTCTCGGATCGAGTCTAGAGTATCAGATCCAAGATGGCAGAGGCTTGTACGTGGACTTGGAATGCTTCTAGTTGGAATGGATAGTATATTTGAAACGGCCAAAGCAGCAATGCTGCTATGACCAGCCCTGGAAGGTTTCGACCTGCCGCTGACACGCAGCAATGACCGAGGTCGGGGGCATCCCAAGGTGTCCGCGCGGTGAACCCTTCCACCCTTGGAAGGTTAGAATGGAAGCTGGAGGTTCTATCGTAAGCCCTTCCATGGGTTTGACCTACGGCTGCTGATGCTGAACCATGGAACAGTGGTGGGCCATCAGCTGTCAACCTTGGAATGGATCCCCCGGCTTTCCCAAACATATCAACCCCGCCTAGTCTCCAGGGCTACCCTCTGAATGTTTTCAATGATTCTCATCAGTGAGCAATGTCGAAACAGAAAAGGCCAAACATGGCAGGTCAAAATGCTGGGCCAGCAATGTCAGGGGTGAAGGGCTACCCATTTATTGACATCCCGCATTACCCTACGTGGACACTCGAAGAGAGCCCGACAAAAGGCGAGTGAAACGAGCCATTCGTCAAATCCGACTGCATCGTCACCTTCAATTGCCAACGCATCGAGTACAGAACGATCGCTGGCATCGGCGTTCTCCGAAATGGGGCTCAGTTTACCCTTTTGCATCACCCTCGCACCCGCTTCAGTCTTGGATCCAGACGCCCGAGCAGAGGTCAACACACAAACACGAGAGAAGCGACAATTGTATTGAGGTCACACAATATAGACGCCAAAGGTCGCCTATTCCATACCTCCCCTTTCTGACATGAGCAGCCTTGAAGCCTGAATTGGCCCGCCTCGGAGCAGGCGGGCAAGACTTACGTTTCGAAGCTTGAACTCGAAAAACGAAGACGGTTCTCCCTGATCTCGGTTTCCCGACTTTCACCGGGGTTTTGCCCAGTGCCCAGGTATAATTTCCCTCATCGCAATGGCGGAGCCGGGCCCGGGTCACGGGTGAAGATGTACCTGGGGAGAGACAGGCAGGTGTCGCTATGAGCACTGGCTCTGGCTAGTTGATTCGCAGAAGAACTCGATGCCTGGGTACCACTTGCTCTTTATTTTTGCCTTGTTGCCCTTCCCACTGGATGTCCTACTTCCCGAACCTCAAGGGCTCAACGTAGGTCTGTCGCTCGGGTTGTGGCTGTTCGCAACACATTCAGGGTTCAGGTTGGGTTCTGCACTCGGTGCCATTGCCAATGGGTGCCCTGATTCTGGAGGCCTGTGATCTGGATAAGATATAAATGATCTCCGTCGTCTGCTGAATTGTTCTAGGCCATCGCATCTCGAATTCGCTGATACACGCTGAAGAACACTCTCCACTCAATAAACCCGCTTGTCCAAGCTTCATATCCTGCGCGCAAGTCCTCATCCACCCGGCCTACCAACGAATTTACCGAATCACTATGTCTGCATCTTCTTTGTTCACCGGTCTCGCGCTTGCCGAGTTTAACAACCTTTCGCCTGGTCGGTCTATCAAAGAGCCCAATGGCTCCATCTACAGCTACGATGCGAACGTATCCATGACTTCAAACACTCGTTTGGAGCTTGCGACTCTCCCAAGCGCCGATTTTGGCTTCACGCTTCCCAACGCCCTATCGACGGGCGCACCTAAGGGGGCAGTAGTCTGGTGGGTATGCTGCGGATGCGACCAAATGGTGAACCCCAGCCTGGCTCCACAACGGTGTCCTCTCTGCTCGCACACTCGCTGTGACACCTGCAAAAAGGAAAATGTTCCATAAATTGGGACATCCATGCAACATGGCATCACAACATCTGGCTTCTTGATATGTGCTTTGGGATTATTTGGTTCTCAATTTCTGGCTGCGTCGATTCTTCCTTTCTGCTTTTATATTTCTTCCCTTCGTTCTTTTGTGATCACAGCTTGGTATTGCGTTTGGAGATTATTTGGGCTATACTTTCTTGCGGATGACCATGTTCGAAAAAACCAAGCTTGTCAAGGCGTCTTAGCGACCAATCAATGGTGAGCATATTTGGCGAGGAGCATCGGAAAAGCCTTCATTGGACATTCTATAGAGATCGTTTGAAATTTCAATCATTTTGCTGCCTTCGTGTCTGATTTACACCTGAGCATAGCTGGGCGGAGAGAATTCGCGTCATTCTTTCCAAGGTTTCAAATCTGATCTAAATCTAGTCTGAGTCCCGGCATGGGGTTCAACGTGTGATGCCCAGGTGCTAATACCCCGGGGCCTTACTAGGTACTGAGTCACCTAGGCGGGATAAGGCTGCAGGTGAATCGACCATAGCATTCCACGGTCAATGATCTGCCGAAGCCTAGAGCAAATACGTAATGGCGAATTCAGCCCTACACAGGAACGGCCCGTCGGAATGTGACCAATCCTATTACATATGTCGAGCGTATTTCGACACTAGTGTACAGAGTGGATACAATTGGCGTTAATTATAGTGATCTCCAATGTATGCACATCAACGTGCCCTGGGATATTCCTCGAATCATGTCTGCGTGTTTCCCTCGGGCTGGCTACGCCCCGAATGTGGGGTTGGCGGGACAGCCCCATCCCCGGGCGGCATCAGTCCTGCCTCCTGTTTCAGGCGCGTTACCACGGGGCCAAAAGGGTAATGGCTCTCCATACTACTATGATCGGCACACGGGCTTTGCTTGATCGGCAAAAGCCACTCGGCAATACTGTGCCCCATGACTTGCTGGAGGTTCTTGAATGGAGTGCCCAGGTCGAATGGATTTTCGCCCGGTTGGGTGTGGAGAATAGCAAAAACGTGGCGTTCGCCGGCAGGCGGGTTCGTGGCTTGCGGCTGATTTGAGGTATGAGCCTCGGGCGGGTAGGAGACCATGGGGAATGTCGGGGCCCAAGGAGACTCGGTGTCCCAAAGTCGATCGAGCATGTACTCAGGTACCCGTATGGCAAGGGTCCAGACGGCGGTGCGTCGATTGAGATTTTCAATCGTTGTTATGTTGAAAATGCCCATTTGTAGCGAGCTGAGAGTCATGCCAGCTGTAAAGAAAGCAAAAAGGGCGCTCCTGGGAATGTGTCAGTTTCCAAAAAAAATCGGTGCTTTTCCAAAAATCACTCACAGTCCAATACAAACACACCAATACGGGTTTGCTGCTCCAGTCTACCGATATATTAGCAACACAGAACAAGACCGAATTGGGGTTGCTGTAAGACTCACATTACGCCGGATCTCTGCGGTGAAATAAGCAGACACGATGAGAGCGAATGTGCAGTAAATGCAGGTATAAACCACAAACTGAATGAAGAATTTAAATGATGTTTCCGACACCACACCTCCAACCCTGTTGCTTGTTAGCAAGTACTCGGCGATCTGAGATAGGATTTCGAGAACATACCAGGGGCAGAAATGATCCATTTTGCGCACACAGCGGCCCAGCTCCCGACAATGGTGTGCCCGATCTGTCTTGTATTGGTCGCAAGTCGAGCACCAAAGGGGCCGTCCATCCTGCTGGCACACAAAAACATCTTGGGTGTAAAAGCTCTCCAACTGCAGGTCTGACTGAGACACCACTCCTCCCGCTCCCCTTTCCACATCAGTGTCCGACTGTACCGTTTTCTCGGGGTCGGCTTTCCGTGCTTTCTTCCGATGGCGCCTCCGCCGCGATTTCTCCGGTCTCTTTTCATCATCATCATTCTGCTCATCGCGCAGTTTTTGATCGCCAACAGGTAAATAGCCAGGGCGCCAAAGCACGTGGTAATAAAGGTGTAGATAAGTGACAACCATTGGGATTAAAAGGACGTAATAGATGGTAAGGATCGCAGCGCCAGCGCCGACTCGGGGGACTCGATTATAAGAAGGTAAAGGATGAAGCAAATAGTCGACTGCGATAGACAGTTAGATCCGGGGAGTATCGGAGAGTCAAGGTAAGCCGCGATACTCACTGCACAGCGGTTTTGTGACCGCGTAAGAAGCGTACACCACGGCGCCGAGTAACACGGGCGGAATGAGCCTGGATACTGCGACATTCACGCGCTTTTGCGCCGCGGGGGACGCCATATGGAGTCAAGGATACAGCAATATGAGATGCATGGGACGGTATAGTCGGAAACATCGAGGGATCGCTTGAGGCAGCCGAGTCAAACGGTGCAAACACCTGACGTAATCTCCCCGAATCCGAACCCATGGGTTTGCGCCGGAGTATCCATGGATCGGGACATCAGAGGAACACCTGCCCTAACCGCGTGAAATGCCATCTACACCCCATTTCCAACGGGCCTTGCTGGCCTTTTGCTCACTCACCCGCTTGGCCTCAGCTGCGACCGCCCGAAGTTCCTAAAAATGCCTTAGCGGATCACCTCATCCTCCTCTTATAGATATTACAGTTGCAATCGGTAGATTAAGTATTTGCGACTGCACATGGCGTGAAGGGACTCCGGATTAGAAATCAGCCTTGGGGTTTCACAACCTCCCGTAATGCTGTATTTGTCAGTACCTCTGCGTACGAGTACCTCGAACCGCCAACAGCGATGAGTAAATTCCACATCGTCATGTTCACAGAGTTAGAGCCTGGGTGACTTAGGCAACAGAAGAGCCGCGGGCTGGGCGGGACAGCTGACTTTGCAATGACTCTTCATTTCTGTTTTGGCGCAGCAGCTGCCTGGAAAACCAGGAAGAGTGGAGTATATGGGACGCCTGGAAAACCAATTGATGGAGTTCATTTGCGCAAGGCATCAACCGCGACAGTGGAATGCGAGTTTGTGACGATGGGTTGACCGTTAGTTCGGGCAAACCGAACCCACCAAACTGCACCGAAATCCAAAGTTTTCCCGGGTAAGCCAGCAGATTACTGACGGTGAGAATTTGCTTAGCCCTGAGAGTGGGGGCGCTGTTGAGTCAAAACGCCCATCGGAATGTGTCATTCCTGACATTCTAGGCACAGGCCGATATGCCTGGGGCAATGAAGCCCGGGGCCACATTTCGGGCGACCCATCTCTCCCCCAGGATGATGTGCAAGTGCAGCTTGCACCCCAGTGGGCCCAATACTGACTACCCGGGCAAAGAATTTGGCCTTACCAAATACGGTTTCCGTCCCAGCTCCGCAAGGCAGACGGGGCTGTTGGCTATGTCCTAGCAGAGCGCTGCCTTGTCTTTCTGGTCTGGTACTTCTTTTGATACTGGTAATCTTCAAGATTATATAGCTTCGTTGATCCCCCATGATCCAAATCTAATTCATCCTTCAACTCAATTCCATATAATCACAAGTATAGCTCACGCAACCCGATTTCAAATCCACTCTACCTGCGTCTATATAGAGCCTGACTCGCCTTTCCAATCTTCAATCGCTACGCTGCCTGTTCCTTCGATATCAAAGCAGTTCATCTCTCACAACGCAACTATGGGTTCTCTCTGGTATTGCTGCCGCTGCACCTTCGGGCCTCACAATGCCTCCCTCCACGAAGCCTGCATTCAGTGCGGCACACCTCGCTGCTCTCGCTGCACCGAGCAGAAGGTCTCTGACAGCCTGACCTTGCACTCTCACAACTACGAAGCTACATCTGCATACCCAGCTGTCGTGCCCATGAGCTCTCCTCCAACGCCAACCTTCAAGCCTATGGCCATGGGCATTGATGTGCCAGAGCTTCCCCGTCTAAAAGCTCTTCCACGGGCAGACTGCACAGACATCTCCTCGACCTCACTATACGGTACACGGACTCATGGCGAGACCTACTTGTACATCTGCTGCGCATGCAACGACGGTCCCAAGATCTACAATCACCAGCCTCGATGTGTCGAATGCGGCCACGTTTCCTGCGACCGTTGCGTCCACGTCAAGTGAGACTTGAAACATTCGGCCTCGCTGGCCGAGACTGAAGATTATGAACGAAAGGGTAAGCTCCGCCTCCTTCTCACTCAGCACTGTCCTTGAAGCTTACGCTCCGGCATAGTGAATTCGAACCGTCGTTCTACTGTGTTTTTATTGTCTTGATGTGAATTACGCAAAGCGGGTCATGGGTCATGAGCATATATCCTGGTGTATTATCTGATATTTTTGTTTGCATTTTGTCGCATTTTTGTTGCATTTCTGAAAGACTAGAGAAGGTTGTATACTTGCTGTTCCTGTTTTAGTTTAGCGCGGGTATGAGGTCAGTGGGGGCCGGTCCCTTCACAGCTGTCTGCCTTGCCCAATTTCAATCCAACGTCTTAACTATTCATTTTCTTTGATTACCATCAGTATTCCAGTCTTGATACGGTCATGATTCTACCAGTGGGCTCTTCGAGTCTGTTTCCGGTGCCCGACTGCGCCTCGCAAAGAGTCATCGAACTCCTGATCTTCACCATATGCAAGAAACCCTGTCCGAGCCTCAGTCCGGGCAATCGTACTGTCCGATTTTCCATTATGGACTGCTGTGACTGGCCGAAACGATTTGCGGCTCGGCCTTAAACGGTGCCCGCCGTGGGTTCTGAGTGGATGCAGCGCATAATAATTTACCAGCCAAGATGCCCAGGTGGTGCTAGCGTCAACACCTGCGCCCGGGGGCTCACAAGCCTGTTGCTCCCTTGCCCGTTTACCGCTCCTTGAGCCAGGTGTCTGCAGCAAACAGCCCTACGGCCATAGTAGAAAAAGCGGTCTTGGTATGCTGATTATGGCGGAGACTCCGTGCGCTTATACTTGCTTTCCGCTCTTTCGTTCCCAAACACCGGCATTTGTTGTCACCCTCGTAATCAGCATTGTCTGCGGCATGAACTCAGCCATGAAAGCGGCGAGATCGTCTACGACAATATCTCAACTTGCGGTATACTCTCACAATCAACCCGGAAAGGGGTTTTCTGTGTTCCTGTCATCAAGATACACCCCCACTCCGTCTGAGGCTGTGCTTGGACTGTGCGCCCTGGAAGGGTTTGGCTTGGCTCTTTTGACCCTCTTCGCGCGCTTGTTTGGCCCGTCGAAGCCCCGCGGAGCATACATGCTCGTATGCCAGAACTATGACCATTCTCCACAACGGTAAAACCCACAGTGCACTCGATATTCTCCGGTCTTCACATTCGGGCGCACGGAATGTGACCCATCCTGAATAGGAGATACTATGTACTAGTAGTACGACGTGACTCCCAAGCACTGAATAAAGATCCTTCACAAACACATGGTATATTTATGATCCAATGATTGAGAACTTCTCGGATTCTTCTCCTTCTGATTCGCAGTTTGACCCGGTCGTGACTCACCTGGGCACTCGTATCTCTCTGTATAGATCTATGATATCACCTTTGGCTGTGATAGAAATGTCACCTGCATGACTAGTAGTATCTTGCCAAAAAATAATTTCCAAAAAAAAAAAACAGCAGAAGTTTCGTCAAAATTGCATTTGTTAATTTTCATCATTTACATATTCAAGATACTTTGGAACGTCGGGGGCAGCTGTACAATTTTGCATTTGGCCCCCATTCTGACCATATTCCGCGCTATACTTAGCAGCCAGCCGCAGAACCCACTTCCAACAGTTTTGGCTTTCTCATGCTACCATTTACAGTTCTGCTTTGTGAAGTTTGAGATTCTAATTTGGGTCTGGGCTATCATCCTTGGTTTCGGCCCCCAATGCTCAGCTAGTATGTACATCAGACCACGGGCACATACTAGCTGAGTCCCGAGCTCTATCAGCTACCTAGTAGCTTGCCTTGACAGAATATTCATTTCTAATTTTCGGCTTTCAATTTATTTCACTCCGAGGTTGGTACTATCTAGGTAGGTATAGTCCTCCTGGTTGCTCTGTGCTGAGTTGTGCTATCGAGCCTTGAACCGCGAGCTAATCATACCCGTAGACACGGGTAGCTACCGCGGCATAAAATATATACAAGCAACATTCCCAGGAAATTTGAATCACTTGCGCCTGGGTATTTTCCAAGGCTGGACATCTACTACCTACCTAGGTAGGCAGGCCACTCCTGAGCCCTGGAGGTTACCTGGGTATGCGCTCGTGCCCACCTGGGCACCTGGAAAGGTGGTTCCGACCTTGAACGTGGCCCGGGGAAAGTTCAACATGCGGCGTCATACCTAGTACAAAACGGTGCCCAGGTGAAAGGTACTCGGTAGATCTCCCGGGGTCATGTCCAGGTGCCCACTGAGCAGGCAAAATTGACATTTGTTTGAAGGTTCTAAGGTTATCTAGGTATATTTCGAGCTCCGGGAAGAAGCCACGGGATCCATGATCCGGGGATATACAAGGGCCGAAAAAGAGATAGAATAGAAAGAATACATAGTGAAGGCGCGCTAAGAATATGTGCTGAAGAACCTTGGAATGAACCAGGATTGTAATCGTACAACCGCACCCGGCAAACCAACCAGATGGAATTGAGAACCTTGAAGTTCCGGTGATAACGCCAATGCGGCTAATAGTGCATGGATTCGGGTCATGGAAGCCCGGAAACAAGTGACGGAAAGAAAATCGCATGACGAAAAATGGCATAAAGCCATGGCGAGGACTCCCTGAGTCCGATGCGATGCGATGCGATGGTTGTGATGATGTTTTTCCCCCAGCCAACGAGGAAAGGTCGATGGCGGTGATCACAAAATGAATGGAAGACAGCTCACCTTTCAGGACCAAAAAGACCTTGAGGATTGAGAACGGGAGAGAGTTACAGGGACAAGACACGCGACGGGTCTTGTAGGAAGCGCCTACGGTATGCGGCTATCTCTGTGGCCACAGTGTTGAAATCTTTCACCTTGTCACGCCGAAGGTCGTTGATGATCTCTTTCAGACCAGCGAGATACGTTTCCTTTTCTTCTTCAGTTTGTCCTTCTCGGGTGGAACCCATTTGGATGAGGATCTTGTCATCTGTTAATGTTAACGTTTCTGTGGTCAGCATGCGGACAGGGTAAAAAAGGGACGTGTTTGAGATCGAGGAATGAGAGGATGGAAGCGAGAAGCGAAAGGGTTCAGGGAACGTAGAGAAATGATAGGCAGGCAAACTCAAAGGACGAGTGTAAAGGAAGAGGTATGATGGGAGGAAGAGCGTATAGACGAAGTATAGACAATGCGAGACGCCGTGGGAGAACGTGGAATCGAGATGGAATGTTGCATGTTCATGTCGACGCACCGCTTAATGAGATGTCCCGAAGATGCTGGAACGGACAAGACCGATCGTTGCAAGTACCCCCAGCAACTTCATACGGACAGAAGGATTTCATCGAGTCGATATTATGACTGTAAGTTAATGAGCGGTAGCCGCTCGGGATATCTTCAGCATAATGGGGGTGATATCGGTAGGCCTTGAAAGATCGCAGTGGACTAGTGTAGGGCGTAAATTTGTGTGTCGAGTTTGTGTCTAATGGGTTTGAAGGAGGTTGTTCGGTCTGAGAAGCATTAGTGCGCGGACAAAGTCAGAAACCCGAGGAATGAGGTATCCATACGCCAATAGTGCCGCTCTGCAGATCTGTGTGTGATGAGGCACCTGGCACCTGAGGGGCGTTTGTTAGTTCTGCATTGGGCTGGGCGGCGTCGAAGGAAGGCGCCAAAGCCGTGGTGATGTCTACGGGATCTGGAGCTGGGCTGAAGGGAGGAGGGCTGTAGCTGGAGCCTTCGGACTGGGCCTCAGTATCAGGCTCCGGTGGCTCATAAGCCTCAGACTCAACGGAAGATTCGCGATGGGATGTATCGTTTTGATCAGAACCATCCATCTTCTCAGAGTCCTCAGCCGACGATTGCTTGGAAGGGTCAACGTCCATAGGCTCCGCTGACCCTTGAGCATTGACCTGCGCGGGAGAAGCGGAAGTTTCATCTTCGTCTTCGCTAGAATCAGAGCTTTCACTGCTGCTGTCATCAGACTCCTGCATAGCCGAGCCATCGGAATCGGAATCGGAATCTGGTGAAGATGAAACAGGTGGAGTCACCCGAGCAGGTTCTCCATTCGTACTAGCGGGCACAGTCTCTGGCACAGGGATGCGAGCCTCGAGCAGAGGATCATCGCGTGAAGCCGCCGAGACACCGGTGTCGGAAGGACCCACATCAGCTGAACTGGATTGTGCACTTGATGGGGCACTGGAGTCGTCGAGTGTGCGGGGTGATTGGGTGCGGCTAGCGGCCAGTTTGGATTTGCGACGAAGCTCCAGCTCCGCAATCTTGCGACGCATTTCCTGAATTTGCAAATCCTTCGATTGGATTTGCCCTTGGTCGTTGGAACCAGGATGAGCCTGCGGGGTTGAGGTCGAAGCCCGGTTACTTGTGATGTTTGTCTGGGATGGAATATCGGAAACCGCTGAACTGATAATCGGGGCTGGTTCTTGTTCTGAGCTTGAGTCCAGTTCCATCTTATCGTCCTCGTCGTCACCATAGAGGGACTCGTCATCACTGATTGCAATTATGAGCTTCTCGGTAGGTCGGAAGCGATTTGCCGTCGGATCAAAATGCTTTTTCGGGTGTGTAGATGGCTCATCGAAATCAGAGGCCAGCGGACGCTTGCGATGAGTCGTTCGCGAGGCGGATGTGTGGTCAGATGCGACATCTTGCGGGCCACCTGAACCGGTCATAAGAAGTCCCGGAAGGCCAGCAGAGGCGCCAGATTCAGGAACAGGAGGTCGAACAGGAAGCGGGTGATGAATAGCCTGCACAGAGGAGTCATGAGCCAAGGGCGTTTGACTTTCCTGCAGCTTTTGTTGGGCCTTAAGCAATGCTTTCTGCTTGAGTTCTTCGATTCGCTGCCTGGCAAGGTCTGTCTGAGCCTTGCTTTTCTCTTTTGGAGGGGGGCGGGGTTCTTCCGAGACAACTGGTGCAGCGAGCGGACTTCCAGTCGGCGAAGGCTCCTTCGAAGCCGTCTTGGCAGCCTTCTCGGCCAACATCTGAGCAATGAGCTCTTTCCGCTCCAGAGGCTTCCCAGACTTCAGCCTAGGCGCAGTAGGTATAGCAGTGCGAGGAGGTGGTATTGTTGGCTTGACAGAGTCACGCGTCTCCTTGCCCGATTGTGTCGCGCTCGCCGGCTGTGTGGCGAAAGAAGGATTCTGATGGATCCCGAGGGTGGGATCAGGATCGAGTGAGACTTTGATCCCAACTTCTTCATACAGTCTTTTCAAGATAGAAGGACTAATGCCCTCTGCCACCAATTCCTTGTACCGAATGTTATGAGGCGCCAGACTGAGCAAAGCACCCTGAGCTTGAATACGTAGCTGTGCAGCCGATTTCGTTGGCTTGAGATCGGAGTTGACCGCGTCTGGGAAAGATTGGATCGACTCCATCGCGTGTTCAATGATGCCGGGATCTGCCGAGACAGACAAAGGAGGATTGTAGGCTGTGTCGAATTAGTTTCGCAATGCGATGGATAATGTTTTGAGACATACGTGAACCGCTGCTTCTTCTGGAAGATCGTTCACTAGAAGACATCGTTTCACCCTCTTCTAGATCAGAGTACCGCCGTGAAGGCTGACGCTTGGACTTGAGTGACCTTTCGTCCACCGACTCGCTGACCTCACCTTCCTCCCGACTGGACGGTGCTCGAATGGTAATCTTTTTGGATTTTGCTGGCTTGATGAAGGTTGCTTGAGAGGGCTGATAGGATGATGGTTGGTGCGGTAGGAGGACGTTGGAGGACCCTGTTGGCATCGGAATCGGGGGGTACCCCATCTGCGCAAATTGCAAGGGAGACAGATTATGCGGGAAGTGCGAAGGGTCGAACTGATTGAAGAAAGGAAACTGGTGTGGAAAGAAGCCCGCTGGATTGAGGCCATCTGCGGGACCGGGGATGCGCGAATTCGCGTTCACGCTGGCCATGTTGTAGTCAAATGGCGCAGCGGGATTCGGGTGAGAATTAATTGTGGAGAATTCAGGTGGCATGAGGAAGTTTGGCGGAGGCATGGCGGGATGTGCTGGAGGCCATTGCTGGGTATAGTTTGGATGATTCCCAAATGAGGTAGGTGGCTGCTCGGACATGGTGGAATAGGTAGGGGCCGAGTATGCGACACCGAAACGCCTTCCTGAAGAGATAAACACTGATTCGTTGAGGTTTGAGATTCAAAGACCGAGGTTCATGATATGATGATGTGGAGGTCACGTCGAGGACGAAACGAGGTCGCGAACGTCGCTGGTAACGAAGACTGGAAGTCGATCGTATGGGTCACTTCCGAAGATAGGCCGTAAATGAAGAAGACCTCGAATTAGATAGAGGTATGCGACCGTGCAGATTCTATTATGAGATCGAGGCCAGAGGGATGGGAGGAAGAGGATAACCGAACTGACGTGTGAGTGTTAAGCGCCTTTGTCAAAAATGATCGGGTCGTCCACGTGACATCAGCACGGACCACATGCTATCGGCGGGCGCCCGAGGAACGCAGGGTAAACAAACATCATTGCGGAGATTCATTGGCATCACCTTTCTCTTCCAACTTTTTGCCAACACGCATTAATCTTAATTCCTTGCCTCTCGTGCGGGAATTTTCTTGCTACTTATCGTTCCCAATTGCCCATAACATTTCAAGTTGTGGAGTTTTTGGTTATGATAGCGACTGTCGTGCTTGAATAATGTCCCATTGAACACACGTCATGCTGCCCTCTCAACTAAATGGTTCGCCCAAGCGTGCCAGTTTATTCCAACGCCCAAATTCATCACAAGGGAACCTATCACCACACAGCAGACCGAAATCAGCCATCATCACACCTTCAAATGGACTGGAGTCCGCAAGAGGCCACCTGCGCAATACGTCCGTTTCTCAGCTGTCGCCGACGTTTTCCCCCGGCGGAAACCGTGAGCGATCGAATTCAGCAAAGAATAGCCCCTCTTCAGGCACATTCGCCCCGAGCTTCATCAAGTCAGAAGAGCTTAGACGCGGGGCCGATCAGATTCGTGGAATAGAAGGCGAGAATGACTTCTCCGGCAACAAATACGTGTGGCTCCGAGACCCTGAACATGCATTTATTCGTGGGCTCGTACTGGAGGAACTGGAAGGCGACCGTTTGTTAGTACAAAGTGACAACGGTGATGTAAGAGAACCGTCTATTGATACGAGTGTGACATTGGATTTGCTAACCAAATCATAGCAACGAGAGATCGACGCCGACCAAGTGGATAAGGTCAATCCTGCGAAATTCGACAAGGCAGATGATATGGCAGAACTGACGCATCTGAACGAGGCATCGGTGGTGCACAACTTGCACACTAGATACCAGTCCGATTTGATCTATGTTGGTACCACCTGCGTTGGATATTCGGGCGATGTCAGCTAACTCTGTGGATTGATAGACATACTCTGGACTCTTCTTGGTCACAATCAACCCGTATTGTCCACTGCCCATCTACACAAACGAGTACATCAAGATGTACAAGGGCCGGGGCAGAGAGGAGACCAGACCTCACATCTATGCCATGGCGGACGAGGCTTTCCGAAATCTTGTCGAAGAAGGCCAGAACCAGAGCATTCTCGTCACTGGAGAGTCAGGTGCTGGCAAAACGGAGAATACGAAGAAGGTCATTCAATATCTCGCAGCGGTCGCCACCTCAGATACGCCTTATGCAAGATCCGGGGCAAAACAAATCACAGGCCTCTCACAGCAGATTCTCAGAGCCAACCCTATCCTCGAAGCCTTTGGAAACGCCCAGACAGTCCGAAACCACAACTCGTCTCGGTTTGGAAAGTTCATTCGCATCGAGTTCTCCAGATCAGGTCAGATTTCTGGCGCCTGGATTGACTGGTATCTGCTTGAAAAGTCCAGGGTCGTGAAGCCCAATTCCAATGAGAGAAATTACCACGTTTTCTACCAGCTTCTGCAAGGTGCGGATCAAAGCCTACGGGAGAAACTTCTGCTTTCAGACCTCCGGATTGAGGATTTTGCTTATACACGCGACGGGAATGATACAATCGTTGGTGTATCTGACCAAGAAGAGTGGAACTCACTAATCGAAGCTTTCCATGTCATGAACTTTAATGAAGAAGATCAGCTCTGCATCCTCGGAACTATCGCTGCTGTCCTACACCTTGGCAACGTCGGCGTGGCTAAAGCAAGTGTGAGGGCCGACCAAGCAGCGCTAGCGCCGGAGGGTTACGCCAGTATGGAGAAGGCTTGCCAGCTTCTCGGAATCGACGCAGAGGCCTTCGTGAAAGGACTTCTTCATCCTCGGGTGAAGGCAGGCCGCGAGTGGGTCGAGAAGGTGCAGACTCCCGAGCAGGTCCGAATGGCCTTAGATGCGCTTTCAAAGGGTATCTATGAACGTGGATTTGGAAACCTTGTCGCGAGAATTAATGCTCAGCTCGGCCGATCCATGGCCGCTGACGATAATTATTTCATCGGAGTCCTCGATATTGCTGGTTTCGAGATTTTCGACAACAACAGTTTCGAACAACTTTGCATCAACTACACCAACGAAAAGCTTCAGCAGTTCTTCAACCACCACATGTTTGTTCTCGAGCAAGAAGAGTATGCCAGGGAACAGATTGAGTGGCAATTCATCGATTTCGGCAAGGATTTACAGCCAACCATTGATCTCATTGAACTCACCAACCCAATTGGTATCTTCTCTTGCCTCGATGAGGACTGTGTGATGCCCAAGGCCACCGATAAATCATTTACCGAGAAGCTCCATGGTCTCTGGGATCGCAAGACGGCCAAGTACCGCGCATCTCGCCTGAGCCAGGGCTTTATCCTCACTCACTACGCCGCAGAAGTTGAGTATACAACAAATGACTGGCTGGAGAAGAACAAAGATCCGCTCAACGATAATATCACACGACTTCTCGCCGACTCCAGTGCGCCACATGTCGCCCACCTGTTCTCCGATTGCGCGAGCACAGAAGAGGACGCCGTTGGCCATCATCCCAGGAGTCGCGTCAAGAAGGGCCTGTTCCGCACAGTGGCTCAAAGACACAAGGAACAGCTGTCTAGCTTGATGGCGCAGCTCCACTCTACACATCCTCATTTCGTCCGCTGTATTTTACCTAACCATAAGAAGAGACCGAAGATGCTGCATGCACCACTTGTTCTTGACCAGTTGCGATGCAACGGTGTCTTGGAGGGTATTCGAATCGCCCGAACAGGTTTCCCCAACCGATTGCCATTCGCGGAATTCAGACAACGATACGAAGTGCTGTGTCAACACATGCCGAAGGGCTATTTGGAGGGCCAGAGCGTGGCTCGTATCATGCTCGAAAAGCTTGGTATGGACCGGGCGTGGTACCGCGTTGGTCGCACTAAGGTTTTCTTCAGAGCTGGTGTTCTCGCTGATCTCGAGGAGAAACGTGACCAACTTATTCGAACCATCATGTCTAAGTTTCAGTCGGTGGCACGAGGGTTCGTACAGCGGCGCATCTCAAACAAACGTCTGTATCGTGCCGAGGCGACCCGGATCATTCAGCAGAATTTCCACTCCTATCTCGAACTGAACCGCAGTCCCTGGTGGCGCATGTTCTCTAGAATGAAACCTCTGCTCGGTGATACCAGGAATGCGAAAGAAGTAAAGAAGCGGGACGACAAAATCCAACAGCTTGAAGCAAAGATGAAACAAGATCTTTCCGACCGACAGAAGTTGGACGAAGAGCGCCGTCGCACAGAACTTGAGATCCAAAAAATCCAACATACATTGGAGAGCGAACGTGCTCTTGCCTTGGATAAAGAGGAAATCTTCATGCGCTTGCAAGACCGCGAAAGCGAGCTTGCCGAGAAGCTTGCCGGCGCGATCGCTGATCAAGAAGGCCTCGAAGAACAACTAGACGACCTTATCGACGCCAAGAAGAAGGTTGATGACCAGTTGCAGCTCCGGATCACCCAGCTCGAACAAGCAGGACTCATCATCCAGAAGCTAGAAGCGGACAACAACGCCTTACAAGACCAGTTGAAAGAGCTTGATGCTAAACTCTCTGAGACCGCAACCCAGCTTGCGGGGAAGAACGAGGAGGTTGAAGAGGTCGGCCAAGAAATGAGGATACTTGAGAGTCATCTCAGCCTGAAAGATCGCAAGCTTCAAGACCTGGAGGCGAAATTGTTGAAGACCGACCAGGACCTCGAGGTTAAGCTAGCAGCCACCTCCAAAGAGCTCGACAAATCCAAGCAACAAGTTCGTGACATGTCCGAGGAGAATAGAGCGATTCGTGACCAAATATCCGAATTGTCCGCCACTTCAACTGGTTACGAGGATCTCCTTCGTCGAAAGGAAAGTGAGATGGCCGTCCTCCGTAACGACGTCACTAAGCATGAAGAGGAAAGACGAAACATCGAACAGGAAATGAGTGCTCTTTCGACCCGCCACGATAACATGCAATCCAGATTACGTGAGGTTCAAGCCGAGAGAGATGCCATGCGCTCTGAACAGACACAGCTCCAGCGCGAAGCGACAGATCTCAAAAGTTTGCTTGAGAACAAGAGGTCAGAGGATGCCGAGGCTGGGGAGAGCCGGAAATTGCTTGAAGAACAAGTGCACGAGCTGAAGGGTCAGATCTTCCAAGCGCAAGCCGATCTGAGTCGGGAACGCCAATCACGCGATGACGTCCAGATGCTCTCAGAGCACAATCTCGCACAGTTGACCCAGAAGTACGATACATTGAATGAGTCCAAGATCACCATCGAAAAGGAAATGTACATTCAACAGGACAGCCTGCGCAGAGCTACTGAGGCACGAATCGCGGCCGAAACCTCACGAAAAGAGCTTCAAGGCGAGCTTATCAAGCTCCGTGAGCGATTCACGGACGCCGAAACTGCGCGCATGAATACGGAAGCCGAGCTTGAACGCAAGATTATGCAACAGGCAGATGAGCGCATATCGAGTTCACGCAAAGATCTTGACGAAAAAGCACGTCAGCTTGAAGAAGTTGAAACTGAGCGATCTGGGCTCTCTGTCAGAATTCAAGAACTTTTGCACTCGATATCAGAATCCGAGAACTTCCGCCTTCGCCATGATCAGCACAAGGAGCGTCTCGAGCGAGAACTTGTCACCCTCCGGGGTAGATTGAACGCATCCGAAAATGACAACAAGTCCCTCCTTACCAAGATCCAACAAAAGAATCTTGACATTGCCCGGTCCAACTCCAAAGCCAGTGACAGCAACAGACTCCGGTTGACTACTCTTCAGAAGGAGAAGGCTAGACTGGACGAGGAAACCAAGAAGCTAAGCCGCCAATTGGAAGATTCACAGGTCATGATCACGTCTTTGGAGAAACAGAAGGAAAAGCTGTCCTTGAGCTTGGAGGATTTGAACCACGAGGTGAACCGTGAACACAAAACCAGTCGCAACGCCGAAAAGGCTGCTTCTACTGCCAACCTTCAACTCGCTGAAGCCAATCGAAAGCTTGAGACTGAAAGGCAGCTTCGCACACAAGCTCAGGCCAATACTAGACAAACACAAGGTGCACTCGATGGGGCGAACGAGGAGATTGAGGACCTGCATCGTCAATTGATTCTTTTGCATAAGGTCTTCGAGCCTGAAGCCTCGGACACGACACAATCTTGGGAAGCCGTTCAACCCCACCTCTCGAAACAGGTTGATTTGGCCCAGGTGCTTGAAACTGTCCAGAACAAGCTCGGGGTGACCGAAGAGAAATATGCACGAGCTGAAAGCCAGCTTGCTGAAATGCGTCGGCGTCATGCCGATGAGATGAAGGAGCTTGACACCAAGTACTCATCCTCCAAGCGAGCCTTGCTTGAAGAGATTGACCAGAACGAGGTGGCGAACCCCCGCACTCCTGCTCATCTCAGAAAGAACTCAGAAAATGCCGCTAAGAGATACTCCAACCCCACCACCCCCAATAGGCGCTACAACGTCTTCGAAGGGGCCAATGATTCCGCACGCTCGGACCGAACTGTGGACACGCAAGGATACTCCAGACGCATGGACACGGCAGCAGAGCTGGAAGAGTTGCAAAACAAATTGCAGATGACCGAGATGCAAAACAAACACCTCCAAAGCCAAATTGCTCAGTCCACCCCAGCTGGGGACATCTGGCAAGATGACAGTCCCTCAATTCGTCGGATGCAACTCCTTGAGCGCGAGAATGGCCGTCTTCATGACCAGCTAGATGATTCTTCCAAGAAGGTGTCTTCCCTTGAGCGCAGTATCCGTTCTGGGGAGCTGTCTCTCCGTGATGTTCAAGCCAAGTCGCACGAAGAATTGTACGATCTGATCAATTCACAGGAACAGTCTAGACGTTCACTGCTCAAGCTTCACAAGGAGACCATGGCTGAGTTTGGAGATGCCAAGAACCACTTCGAAAAACTCAAGCGGGCTAGAGCGACGCTCGAGGTCGAGCTTCGTGATGCTCGATCTGAAGCCCAAGAGCTGCAGCTTGGCAGAGATCAAGATACTGTCAGTCGCAACCAGCTGCTCCAGGAGTTCTCCGATCTGCAGATTCGCTTGGACGCGGAGTCATCACGATCTGCGGACCTGGAGTCAAGCCTCATGCTATACAAGAGCCGCTCTGATGAGTATTTCAACAAGCTTGAACAGGCTGAGATTGCTGTCATGAAGGCCGCTCGTGCGGAACAATTCGCCAAATCTCAGGGCCAAGAAGCCGAAGAGACCTGTGCTCAGATCATGTCTGAGCGAAAGGAGATGGATGCTCTTGTGGAGGATCTTCAGCGACAGTCGCAATCTCTGGAGGCTCGCATGGAGGACCAAGCAGCTGAGCTCCAGGGCGCCTTACAGGCCAAGCAACGTCTCCAGAATGAGCTCGAGGACTACCGCAACCAACGTGCAATTGACCTCGAAGATAAGGAGACCTCCATGGAACAGACCAGACAAAAGTACCAGCGTGAATTCTCAACTCTCACGAACGAGCTTGAACTTGAGCGTGAGCGGGTACTCAATGGTCGCGGAGAGACTGCCCGCTTGCGAGAGGAGCTCGAGGATCTTCGCAGCAAATGGGATGACGAGGTTCTCAACAGCTCAACATGGGCCAAGGAGAAATCTCGCATGGAGGTTGTACTGCAAGATGTCAACAACTCCCGCGATGAGGCTGTCAATGCACACAATGAGGCCCAGGGCAAGGTTGTCTCTCTCCTGTCACAGGTTCGCACCCTCCGCACCTCCATTGAGGATGTCCAAGCCGAGCGCGATCTGCTCCTCAAGGACAAGAAGATGTTGGAGGGCCGGTTAGCCGAAGCTGGTGAGCGACTTGAAGACCTCGCCAGGGGCGAGAGTCCATCCATGCGCAATGCCGCCAGTATGGACCGTGAGCTTCTTGAACTCAAGTCCCGAATCGCACAGCAGGAAGATGTCTCCGCTGCTGCCGTTGGGAAGATGCGCCGCGCCGATGCCCTTGCTACCGAGATGCAGAAGGAGATCACTGCCGAGCGGGAAGCCAATGCTCAACTTTTCAAAGACAAGGCTGCCGTCGAGAAGCAGCTCAAGGAAGCCCAACTCCGGTGTGTTGACCTGGAGACTAAGAGCTACTCTTCTGGTAGCCAGGATGTCCGTTTCTTGCACAAGCGGATCAAGGAGGTCAGTCCACGTGTTAAAATCTTGAATTTGAAGACACCACGCTAACATACTTGCCTTTCTAGCTCGAAACCCATTTGGAAGACCAAGAGAACAAACATAGCTCTGAACAACGCTCTCTCCGCAATGTCGATCGCACCGTGAAGGACCTCCAGTCCCAAATCGATCGCCGTGATAAGATGAACGCCCAGCTTACCGACGATGTCAACCGCGCTCGCGACAAGATCGAACGTCTGCTTCGTAACATCGAAGAGATCCAGCACAATGATTCCGACGCCCAACTCTTGGCGCGCCGCGCTGAGCGAGAACTCCGTGAAGAGCGTGAGAAGGCGTTACGGCTTGAGCGCGAGATTGAAGGCTGGAGGGGCCTACGTGGTGAGCGCGGAAGTACCATCGGGCGTCCGAACCACAATTTCAGTGAGGCCGGAAGCCGTCGTGGGAGTGATGTCTACGGATCTAATGACATTCCCCAACGGCATCCTAGCAACACCAAGGGCTTCCTGTGAACGGGAACCAACCTCGGAAGTGACTAGCAGCCCGGTTGAACTTTTCTGATTGACATCATATCTGTGATACAGGGCGGTTTCTTTTCTTTTCCCTTTCTATTTGGGTGGCGTGGCGTCCATGGGCACTTAGGATGGGAATGGTTTAATATCTTGTGCAAACCTACATGTTGATATTGCTTTCACAGGTCGTGTCTACTGTACCGACTGCTTACCGCTTGGCGTTGATTTCTGGAGAAACCCTCTCTTTGTTTGTGTTCTGCAATATGTATACTTTACGGGTGGGATAGGTCATCTACAATACCAGGAATGTAATATCCTCCAGTCGCGATCGATATCAAGTGTTTATTTGGATAATCACCTTAGAAGAGCATTGCGGGCTTACCGAACTCTCGTACCTAATTCTACTTCCAACCTTCAGATACACCTCTGCGTGCCTAATGCACATATCGAAACGAAACGATTCCACCTGGGCGGCTTCCTGCTTCAGGGCCAAGAGCTGGTCCCGCCATTGTGCCTTCCTCCAATTCTGCCTTCTCCAACTCTGCATTTTGCTGCTTCAGATGCCACTTGATCCCAAGAGCTGTGACTGCACAAACCAAACAGGCCCCGCTCATGACGCCGCCACCCGCGTAGTATCTTGGCTTTTGCGAATCTGGGAACATGTACGATGTATAGAAGTGGGCCACACCGGCGCCCATCAAGTTGACTAGTGCCAGCGATGTTGCCCGCTTGGCTTTTGGTCGAGGTAAGGTAGAGCTCAGCCATGATACACACAGGTTATAAGGTGAATACGAGCCAGCAGTCATGAGAAACATGCTAAAGTACCGACCGCCCGTCGTGGGTACAAACATTGCCTAAACACTTGCTATCAGTCGAAACCAAGAAGCCTTAGTTGAAGATACGTACCAGTAAATTTCCAAGGAGAGCAAAGGCCAGTGGAATAGCAATGTGATACCCTCGCTCTTGCTTATGTGCTGCGTGGAAAGATATGATGAGGGAGCAGATGAATGCAAATGCATAGGGTGGTGCTGTGAGTAGCAGTGTTATAGTGTCATCATATCCTAGTGTGCCGACAATCGAAGGGAAAAAGTTGTTGAAAGATTGTGCTGTAATAAGAGACATCTGTAGTACGACAAACATATACAGCTTCGGATCGATGAAGGCTTGCTTGAGTCCCCAGATCAGTGATTGGGGGTCATTGTCTGTGATACCAGCATTTTCGTTCTGCAGTCTCCAGTCCTAATACCCCAATCAGTGAGCAGGAAGGATGCAAAGAAGATGAAGCTTTGATTGACTCACTGCAAGTACTTGGTGCTCATCTCGAAGCCACCACCGTTTCGTCCCAGGGTAATCCGGAATAAACGGGATCACCAGAAGTGCAATCGCAATAGTCATTGACCCCTCGATAATGAAAAGCCATTCCTATCAATGTAAGCATACCACCCAGAGCCAGGAGGAACCAGGCGCAATTTACCCAAGCCGGCCTACCCAGCTTTCCTTCCATTCGTGCCACAATTCCCGCAGCTATCAGACCCCCAAATGCACTTGCCAGCATATTGGCACCGTAGAGGAGGGCAATTCGAGGCGGGAGTTCTGATCGCTTATACCAGCAAGACATCAAGAAGAACACACCAGGTAAAAAGGGCCCTTCTACCAGTCCAAGTACAAGTCGACAGACCAGAAGACCCGTGAAGTTGCGCGTGAAGGCTTGGCACATAGAAACAATTCCCCAGGCTGCTGTAACAAATCCGATGTATAGTGACGGTCTGACCTTGGTTATGATGAGATTAGACGGAATCTGCGTTATGATGTCTGAAAGAGGATCAAGGTTAGAAACGAGGACTGAGTGAAAAAGCATAGGTGGTGAAAGTATCAAGTTATTTGGTACGAAGATGAATTGCAAGGATGTATGCTATTTCTCCACGACTCCACTCACATCCGACATAGAAGATCATCAAGCAGGTGTTGTACTGTGTATTCGATATGCCAAGCGTATCGGGTAATCCTGCAATCTTAGCATTGGCAATGTTGTTCCTATAAGATAAAGTCAATACCTAGGTATGAGTTTCATCCTGGTTCTTTGAAAGAATCACAAACCGGTCCAAGATGTTCATGAGAAAGAGGATCACAACCGCAGGGAGGAGACAGCTATCAAGCCTTCGGACAAGACTTGCTTCAAGTTTTTCGATACCCTCACCCTCAAGGTGAACTAGTTCTCGTGGAAGTGGAAGCTGTTGCAATGGCCCAGGCTTCACAAATTCCAATGTCTCGACATCTCGTTTAGTCTGCGTGATGCCGTCCATCTTTCTCAGGGCTGGCCGGCTCTGAGCTGGTACTAGGTAGGGGGTGTGGATATGAGAGTCTGACAACAGAGCGGATGCATTCCTTACATAGTTGAGGCTATGCTAGCGTCATATGATTGATGCACTTTGGTGTCGAGACACCTTACTCTCTACTGCATGTCGGGGAGGTATCCGAAATCCGGGGTTGAATGCGGGGGAGTCTATCAAGCAGCGAATGAGAATGGTTGCTGAAAGCATAAGCTCATGTTTAATGTTTATATAGACCACAAAACCGGACGGAAAGCCGGGATTACAGGACAGTAATTGAGAGGAAACATAAGTTTGGGAACAGTCCAAACCTCCGAAGCTGATTTCAATCAACCTTGGAACTCAGCTGGAAAAAGTCATATTTCCTGTGTTTCCGAGGTTTAGATGAACACCTGTTGTCAGCTCGAGGGCTGCTTCATCATCAGAAATGCTGGTTCCACATGTCATGGTTCAACATGTCATGCAATACCTACCTAGGTACTTTATATATAACTCACAAGGGAGATTCTATCGAAGCGGCAAAGTGTGTGGTGTGTGTTTAGCTTGTGACTGGGGCCCATAAAGTGTGGCGCCTAGTTTCTCCGTATCAAAACCTATGCCCAGAGATACAGCTAGCGTTCATCCGGTGAGGTGTCCGATGATATGTTGGTAGTGTATGATACTATAGAACATATAGTCACCCAAGATATTCCCCAAGGGCTACGCTCTTTGAGGATGAATAGTTCCTTGAAAGGAAGCTGATCCAGATAATGGGCATTGTGAAGTTCCCCGCTGTACGGAGCGGGCTTTGACCAAAATGAACGAAGAGACTTGATTTGCCTAGGTAGCCTAGCATCATGACAAATTCATTGGAGAAATGGTGGCATAGAATGCAGGTTGACTTGCTTGATAGAAAATTATACACCGAGTCACAGAAAGGCTTAACCTTGCATGCTGCACTGAGATACATGCAAAAGCAAGACAACGGATGCCGTCGACTTCGGCAAGGGGGCACGTGATAGCCGCGCGCCAAGCGCCAATTAGCGCGCAACTTCACTTCAAGCTGTCAAGCTCATGATTTCATCTCCGGATTTCTTCCCTGCCAACGCCCCCCGGAAACCCGACACACTCGGGTCGCTGACTTGGTCAATCATTCACCATGGTAAGAAAATATTGCCCTTGTCAAATTGCCCCAAGAAACCCCATTGTCCAAGTACAATCACAGTTTGCTAACCCAAGCCCCCGCTACGTATTAGGCACGCAACAGCGAGAAAGCGCAGTCCATGCTGTTCCGCTTCCGGGCGCAACAGGCAGCGGACCTTGGAATTATCGATATCTCACGCACACGCCGACCCAAGGCCATCTCTACCGTTGATACAATCCCGATGTGTGAGCGCTGGCGCGGCCAAGTCGTCAAAGAGATTTCCCGCAAAGTATCCCGCATCCACGAGCCAAGTCTGAGCGACTACCAGATTCGCGACCTCAATGATGAGATCAACAAGTTGATGCGCGAGAAGTGGGGATGGGAAATGCAAATTCGCAATCTGGGCGGACCGAATTACATGCGTGGCTCCAACCGGGTTTACGATGATGAGGGACGTGAGATTCCGGGTGGAGGCAAGGGCTACAAATATTACGGTCGTGCTCGGGAGTTACCTGGTGTGAAGGAAATGATTGATGCCGCTGTTCGTCGTGCCAAAGGACCCGCTGAAGAAGAAGAGTCTTCAACCGGCCGAGGCGGAGATATTGCGACCAGAAAGGTCGATGCGAACTACTTCGGCTACGGTCTTGATGAAGAAGACGGTACCTTGGTCGCATACGAGAAGCAGAAAGAGAAGGAAGCGATTGAACATTTCCGACGTCAAGGCGATGACGACACTGAAGATAGCTGGCAATCTCTGCCAGGCGATGCGGGTGACGGTGTGGAATGGAGACTTCCGACACTAGACGAGGTTCAAGAAGAGCTCGTGGATCGCCGACGCCGACGCCTCCTTGACAAGATCTCCTGAGCGACTCACTCCGTTCCAGACTTCTGGTTTTTCGTTTTTCTGTGCTTGGGTTGGGCGTTACCGGTGCTTTTGCAAAATATCACACGAGCATTGCATTTCTTCTGTTCGTAATGACATCACCTGATTATTATTTTTCATTATATATGAACAGTCCGAAGAAACATGTTATATGTACAGTATGTATGTTACAGTTTGCTAGCCACATTGGGCTTATTCTTCCGAGCCCCCCTTGTTGCCCTCAAAGCTTGGGTCATGCTCATGCGCTCCTTTTGGTCGGGGTCGTCCCGTTTTTGTTGCTCGGCTTCAAGGTCGTCCACCAAAAATCGACCTAGCTCGCCTTGTCGCCATCGCGATATGAAATTGAGCGCAGCCCCCTCAGTGTTGGGAACTCCGCCTTTCCCAAGCAGGCCAGTTTGACGCGCAAAGCTCTCGAGCAACGGAACAACTTCGTTCGTCGGCTCGGACCAGCGTTTGTAAACTGACGGGTCATGCAAGTTGATATGATATAAAAGATAGTCCACAAGCGTGACTGGTGATATGACGTTGTCCTTGACACAGCCACAAAGTGCAAGCTTGAGCATGTTCTCAGCATCTGGAACATAGGGCATGAAGACACCCGGTGTGTCCAGCACGTATACGTGTGATCCCTCCTCGCGTTCGATAATCTTGACTTGGGTCGCGATTTTCCGTGTGATACCAGGCTGCTGGCCAGTCTTCAATGCCTTTGCCTTGCCGACGCCCGAGTTGCGTAGGTTGTTGATCAAGGTCGACTTTCCAACGTTTGGCATCCCGACGACCAGTACACGACATCCGACAAGTTTATCGAGGGCTTCGGCGTCATTGCGCAGGTGTTTGATAATATGACTGACGTCCTGGCGGGAAGATGAGCTCGTGAAGAACACAGCACTCTGCGGGTCAAAGCTTTGTAGCTTGCGTTCTGTCTGAAATTGCAGGTTAGCGTATCTCCAACGAAAGATTCAAGCCGTATCAACGTACTGTCTTTTGGGCAGCGGATTTGGGAAGACTCCCAAGATCTCGCTTTGTGTAAACGATCAGTCGTCGCATCTTGCCTAAAGCCTCCTCGAACATGGGATTGATGGAGGTCACAGGGGCTCGGTAGTCACGACATTCCACCACGTAGTCAATAGAGGAGAGCATGCTCTTCATTTTAGTTAGACCAGCCCGGTGGTGTCCCAGGAAATAGGACCGTGGAATAGCCCCGTAGTTGGGAAAGACATTGCGCGGAATGAACTGAGTCATTGCAATCTGACGATATGAAATTATGTTTCGTCGGGTGAGATCCTATTCATTTTAATAGCGAAGGTAGGTGTCTGGCCTCAAGGGACAGATTGGGGAAGTAGTATAGTCCGCGGAAGATAACAGAAAACTCCGTCAAAATGTTAAGGGCGGAAGGATGGGCGGTGAGATGACATGATTTGTGTTGCCTGATATTTCAGGATCACAATGCCAGGGCGGTACAGACAATACCGTAATGATGCCCCCAACATCTTTGGACATCATCTCAAGGGTCACCAACAGAGTGATTGGGGGGTAAAAATACCCATTTCATGAATCCCACTTTCATCAAGCAAAATACGACTCGAACCAGTGGCAGCAACAATCTGGTCGAAAAAATTGGAAACAGAATTACATCTCACCATTCTTTGAGAATCGAGAACTCTGCCTTAACCCTTACAAATCATGTTATGATTACCTCGAATGCGGTAAACATTAGAAGGCGGCACCCGAACCTTAATTAAAGATTCACAGACACTTGCGCCGTTGCTCGGCTAGACAAACATAAATCTTGATGATACCCTAAGATGAGAGCTACACTGCGCTGGCAAGCTCTCAGGTCCTTACAGCCCCGCATCGCTTCCCCACTCGCAATCAGAACCTTCCGTCATCATCACTCCAGCACATCCCGCCAAGCCAACATGAACCACATCCACCAGTACGGCGTGTTCAGCGCCTTGATGCACGGCTTTTCCTCCGACGGCGCCAAGGTATCAGAGATCCTCTCCGCCTGCGACCACGGTCTCGGCACTGTCTGCGGGCTCAATGGCGAAATCATCATCCTCGACGGCGAGGCCTACCACTTCACGCCAGACGACAAGCTGCACAGGCTCCAAGCCGACGACCGCATGCCCATGATTGTCGCAACAGAATTCAAGCCTACATTGTCCAAAGAGCTCTCCACGCTGAACATGGGCTCGTTACCCCAAGCCATGCATCCGTTCTTCCCGACGAAGCAGAACAACTTCATGGCCGTCCGCATCGACGGGTTCTTCCGCAATATCACGTACCGTATCGGTGGGCCACAGCTCCGTCCAAAAGAACCGCTGCTGGAGCTCGCTAAGCGGCAGGTGACCAAGTCGTATGAGAATACCACGGGTACGCTGTTTGGCTTTTACTCGCCGCCGTATATGAACGGCGTGGCGGTTGCGGGCTTCCACTTGCACTTCCTGTCGGATGATCGCACGGCGGGTGGGCACGTGTTGAGTTTCGAGGGCGAGAATGTTTCGCTAAAGGCTGCTGTCAATACGCAGCTTCATCTTGAGTTTCCAGACTCGGAGGAATTTAATGAAGAGCCTATCTTGCCGGAGAGCGCAGGTGATTTGCATCTGGCTGAGTGATAGTGGTTCACGGTGTTTCTGTAGGCGTTTACGGAGTATAATTAGCCAGTAACAATAGACTAGAAGCTTAGACTGGAAGCTTTGAGAAAACAAGGCACAGCATTGGTAGTACCTGTGCAAATGGAGTTAATGGCATTGTAATCTGCAACAAATCGCTCTGGTAGAATAGAGATTTCTTCTCCAATCCTACGCTTCTGCCCTTTTCGGATCTTCCGTTCGTCTCCGCCGATCTGCACCATGCTCACAATTGTTAGATCTGGGTAGATAAAAACCTTGGAACATCCATTAGGTTCTTCTGCCAAGCTCAAGACATACGTGGACCTCGGGGTTAGGGGCTCCAGGGCTTTTTGTATGGCTTCGTAAGCACGTGAACACACAAAATGAGGAAATTCGACTAAACCAAACCCTGCAAACTGGTGGGTCATCCTGCTATCCTGGTTGTGGACAGTTTTGAACCCCTGGCGGCTATGCCCCTTCGCAAACGATGCTTACGAGCGAATGGAGGATCCTTGGCCCTGGAAGTGGCCCCGTTTCTCACTTCCAATATCTGTTCGCAGAATCTGATTGATCACCATGCAGAACTTTCTTATATGAGTTTCGCGTTGATGGATCGTCTGCAAGCGGCTTGATGAGTTCGAAGCCCAAGGCCGTGCTGGGGGTGGGTTTCGAGATGTGAGCCACGTCACAACCGATGAGGGGTTTGCATGTACATACATAGTCGGGCAATATCCGCTTAGGAGGAACCGCTCGGCGCTAGAGAAAGATCTTTCTTTTGCCCTGCAACTAAATTTTGGTGTTATCTTGTTTAAAAATCATCTTTGAGCTCGAGGAGACGAAGAGGATTGAAGAAATGAAGAATTTCAAAGAGAAAGCAAAGGACTGTTTTAGGTATTTGTATCCGCATGCGCAGAAAGCCCGAAGTAAAACCGGAGGGGATACAGGGGAGGCAAAGAAAAGCAACCACGTCTCCTCGCTCGACCTCACCATCCTGGATGTTTCTCCCGAGAAACAACAAGAAAAAAGGCCAACTGCGCTATCCGCAACAGGAGACTCGTCAAAGAAGGCTCAAGGCCACCCCAAAGACCAAAAAGATACAAAGGACAATGAGCATACCACCAGCCCGGCAGTCTCGGCCGTCTCTACCAACCCGCAGCCTGTCGTCGACCAGGCAGCAGGTGAGAGATTACATTCCTCCATGACAAGCCAAGGCCCAAGCCTCCGAACCATTTTATGGGACCAAACGTTTCAAAACTTCCGAGAATCCGATGACCAAAAATTGCTGGCGGACTGGGCAGTCGTTCTGGCCTCGTTCCTCAAGGACGATGATTCGACAATAGATCTCTCAAGTCGCGAGTCGGTTGCAGCCGTGATGGAGAAGTTGCTGAAGAAGCGAGATGACCGTGAATGGAAAATCAAAGTCTTCGGTCAAGATGTCAAGCTCCGAGAGCAGGTCGACAATCTGGCAGCTCTACTATTTTGGGCAGATCCACTGGTGAAAAGTGCAGTCAGCTCCCAGCCATACGCGGCTCTGGCCTGGTCGGGCGTGTCATTGTTTACTTCGGTGCGTAAATCTTGTTCCACTTGGCTGATTCAGATTGAAAAAAAGGAAGCCTAACGTTGATTTTAGCTGTTGAGGAGCGGCCTGACGCAGCATACCGAAATGCTGGAGGGATTCACGGCCATCGGACAACTCCAGATGTATTGGCAGATTTGCGAGGATAAGTATTTAGAGCCGGAGATTGGCAGGCACTACGAGTCTCTCATAGAGCCCCTAGCTAGGCTCTACTCCATGATGATGGAGTACCAGGTCAAAATGTTGTGCCATCTATCCCGCATCTCGATGTCACGAGCAGTGCATGATGTCAAGAACGCCGGAGACTGGTCTACGCATCTGACAGAGATCAATCAGCAAGACGCCATTTGCCGTGAACATTTCCTGCCCATAGGGGAACTATCTAAGCTCTGGGAAGATGAAAAATCTCGGCTCGATATAATGCGCCAGACATTTGACGTTCAGAAAGCAACACTTCGGCACCTCGAGGACGAGAGAGAAAGCAAGTTGTTAGTGGACCTGTACAACGCCGCCGGTGACTATGAGCATTTCAAGAAGATGAACCCAAAGAGAACACCAGGAACTTGTGAGTGGTTCTTGACAGACAATCGATTTCTCGATTGGTATGATCGCACATCGGATTTGCTCTGGGTCTCAGCAGGACCCGGGTGTGGCAAGTCTGTTTTGGCTCGCTCCCTGGTCGAGGATGGATTTCTAGACCACTATAGCATCACCGTCACTCCGTCGTCTGTTTTGACTAATGCGAAGCCTACCGTGGCTTACTTCTTCTTCAAAGAAGGGGGGAATGAGAGTATGAATGGCGCTGGAGCACTTTGTGCAATACTGCACCAACTTTTCCGATCTCCACTCACAGCCAAATCGATCGACCTTGCGTTGAGTAAACACAGAGAAATGGGCCCGGGATTGACTCAAAGCCTTTCCCAGCTTTGGAAAATTCTTATCCAGTGTGCTGCAGCACCAGAGACTGGCGAAATAATTTGCGTACTGGATGCTCTGGATGAATGTGAGGTCAAAAGCAGGAGGGAGATTCTTGAGTGTCTCCAAGAATTCTACACTTCAGACCGGGAGCAGCGAATGTCAAAGCTCAAATTTATCATCAGCAGTCGTCCATACCAAGACTTGGAAGATAGATTCCAAAAGCTTCGCGGAACCGCTGCATACATGCGCTTGGATGGCGACGAGAAATCGGAAGAAATCAGCCACGAGATTGACCTCGTCATTGATGAGCAAATCGAAGAAATAACTGTTGGATTTGACCCAGAGCATCGAAACCAGCTGGTTGATCATCTGAAAGGAATGAAAAATCGCACATACCTTTGGCTCCGTTTGATTTTCGACGTGATTCAAAACAATAGCACCGAATACCAGAAAGCTAGCGATATCGAAAATCTCTTCAAGAACCTACCCATCGAGGTCTCTGACGCCTATGAGGAAATATTGAATCGGAGTCAAAATAAAGAGCGGACAAGAATCATCCTTCAGCTCGTTCTGGCGGCTCGGGAGCCCCTCACTCTCGACGAGGCAAATTACGCTTTGACCATTGCCTTGAGACAACCAAAATCTCATGCAGACTTGACAAAAGACTTGTGGCCCAAAGAGAAATTCAAGACGACCATCACCAGCGCCTGTGGTCTCTTTGTCAGCGTACACAAAGGCAAACTGTCATTCATTCACCAGACAGCAAGAGAATTTCTCACAGATACTTCACAGAGAAGGGGAAACGCAGAATGGAAAGGGTCCTTCACCTTACCTCTCTCCGATGGCATCATGTCAAAGACATGCATTCAGTATTTATTGCTTCCCGACATTGAAGTATTGCGAGCACATGAAAGCGAATTTCGACCCGATCCAAAAATGGTGTATCCTTTCATCACGTACTCAGCTACCCATTGGATTGAGCACTTCAGAGATCATGATGCTAGTGATATCACTGATGAGCTTTTGAAAAATGCACGCGATTTGTGTCGCATTCCGGGGCCTCTGGGGGAAGTTTGGCGTCCATTTGGGCCTCCTTCTGTGCTATTCTGTGAATCTGATATCGGAATAGCAGTCACGTTTGGGCTCGTGCAGCTTGTTCAGTTACTCATACGTGATGGTACGGATAGGGATTTGAATGACGGTGAATTTCTACTGCATCAAGCGGCAAAACTGGGCCACCTTGAGATTGTCAAGATGCTCATATATCACGGTGCAGATGCCCACAAGCTTAACTCAGCAGACAATACGGCACTTTGCTACGCGTGTGCTGGAGGACACCAGGAGGTTGTTCAGATCTTTCTTGATGAAGGTGTTAGTCCCAACACTGTGGGGAAGTATGGGTATTCGGCACTCTGGCATGCCACCCGGAGAGGTTCGGTGGAAATTTGCGCAATGCTCCTGGACCACGGTGCCGAAATTGATTGGCAAGATTGTTTCAGCAACACAGCTCTGCATTTGTTAATAGACAAACAACATCTGGAAGCAGCCAAGCTCCTTATCAAAAAGGGCGCAAGCGTCAATATCGTGAACAGTCGAAATCGTACCGCCCTCCACGTCGCCTGTGGAAAAGCTCCCCCACACATCGTGGAGATGCTGCTACTGAGAGGTGCTGACCCCTTTGTTGGCGAAGACGAATATTCTTCGCTTGAATGTGCCTGCCAGCGAGGCGATGAGAAAATTGTGAAGTTATTGATTGAGAACTTCACCGACTCCGATATCCAGAAAGACTTCTATGGGTGTGCACTACAACAATCGGCTGAAATGGGCCATCTCGGTGCCATTCAGGTGTTATTTCAAAAGTCTGCTGATGCAAATTTACTTGATCAATTCTTTACGGCGACGCTTCCCTGGGCATGTGTTGGAGGAAATGAACAGATTGTGGAATTCCTATTGAAGAATGGTGCTGATGTCGATGCCCGTGAGAAAGATTGCTACAACGCATTGGAGCTCGCATGCCGCTATGGCCACCCAAACATCGTGGCGATACTGCTCCGTGAGGGTGCTGATCTTGGTGGTCACGAAGGGGAGAGCGAATTATTACGCCTAGCACGTAAATATGGCCATCAAGAGATTGTAAAGATGCTACTCAGCAAGGAAGCCACTGTTGATACCCAGGATTCGAGACATTGAGACAGCATAACATCAAACATGCATTTAAGGTCACTGATGGCCGAGATTGAGTGATAACTTCCTCCCTCCCTATCCCACGGGAGGTGGTGCAGTCAGGGTTGACTGCACGGGGGTCAAAAATTCTGCCCATAGTAAAGAATTGGACCCATAGGGGAGACTATCACGAATAGTACGGTAGCCAATGGTAGTTCCGGAAAGGATATATGGAAGATACGTAGGTACTAGGTACTGCTAGACTAGACCCGAATAGGTGGGCCTTTTCTAAGGTCTGCTAGGCACATGACTAAGAAAAATCTGACTCAAACAAATATGCCAGACATAGGGGTGCAGAATAAAGGTGTTACTGGGGCAATAGGTGGCCAAGGGGAGGCTGGACGTCCAAAGTTATGGGTGGAAATGCAGCCGTTTCTGGCCTCAAAAGGGGTCATTTTCGGCGTCAATCCCACAAGCCTTCATATTCTATGTGTAAAGATTGAGGATAGCTCGGGCCCACTGGAAGAATGCATCAGATGAGACTTGCATGTACTCAGCTGCCTTCAAGTCTAGCCAGATATCTGACCAAGACGTTGTTGCTTGAGGAGAGGCATAGAGACCACCGAGGCGTTGGAGATCAGGTTCTTGTATCAACCTTCTTCGTTGATGTGTTTCAAATGACGCAGAGAGTTGTAGAGGAGGTAGAACCGGAGCCCGATGAAATGAGGGCGAGGGTGACAAAACGGAGGATAAGAGCGAGAAAGTGAGGTGAGATGAGGATGATATAAAGTAAGATGAAGAGAAACCAGACCGAGCAAGGTGGATGGTGAGTGAATAAACATTGCAAAAATCCATGCTGAGATTTCATTCCTGTTCGAAGGTTGTAAATTACTGCCTGTTATAAGCTTGTTTTCAACTCCTAATTCGAAAGTTCAGAATAATATTTTCTGGCGATTCCAGGATTGTCCAGATTGATACTTAGAGCCGTCGGCTTTGCCTCCCCAAGCCACCTCTCTTGGAAGTGACAGCTCGATATTTCGTTTCCTAAATCTTCGAGGGTCGCTTTGGCAAAGGCAAGCTTTTAATGACTTCTTGCCACTCCGAAGGGAATGCTGACTTTTCCCGGACAAGGCGGTCTTTCCAGCCACCATAGATCCTGATCTCATCCTGCTCCCAACGCTGAAGTTCTTGCTTGATCCACGGACTCAACACACCTGCAGTCTCTGCCACCTTTTCCTGTGGCAGAGTGTGACCAGCCTTTAATATCGTGACAAGTTTGACACGACCAGAATCCATGCCACCACTCCCTCCAAACCCAGTCCCCGTCTGTTTGGAGGCTTCTGCATGTTCGCCCCCCTTGCCCAACGGACTGTGCGATGCACTTATATAGAGCACCGGGGGCCTGATGTGCGGTAGCAGTTTGTAGGCCAATATAGGCTCTGGGCGGTATGATTTTTGATTCGGGAGCAGGGGGCCCAGCACATCTGGCGCCACCAATGGATCATGCGCTGCACTGTGCTTGATCAAGTCTGGATCTGTGTGTGCTTGGCTATGAGGCACCCCCAGCTGGACATGCCGGTTGACGTTTGGGCGAGTGTACATGATGGTTTCTTGGTGCTTCGTGGTTGCTAATGTCACAGGGCGACTTCCATCATTCGGAACTTCGGGGTGAAGAGCAGTGGGCAGGTCACGATATCCGAATCTTCCCCAAAGCTCGAGCACACGTGGATCCCATGCTTTGAGCATCTTGCGAGACTTTTCAATGGCAGTCTCCCGAGAGGGCCATACATCACGCTTGGCAGTCGACATGGCTACGAAGAGGGGTCCATCCCCGGACAGAGGGTCCTCGGTCATGTGTGGTTCAATCAGTGCTAGTGAGGTGAACAGCCGGGGATGGAAGAGAGACGCGAACAACCTTCAAGGTGTTAGTGATCGTGTGTTCAGCATCGTGGAATCAACAAGATTGCTTACAGTTGCACCGCACCCAAGCTATGGCCGACACCGACGATAGGTCGAGGCATTTGCTCGCGGAAGTGATTGATCATATGAACCACATCTCGACTATGGTCATACCATGAGGCTGGGAGCTGTTAGCTGAGCGAAACGGCTGAATTGATCATTTGGGTCACTGACGGTCATTTCCAAGATGCTGTTCATTCAGAATACCACTAGCTCCTTGGTTGGTGGCATCCGCCATCCAAATTGAGCGAATGCGAACACCATCTTCCTTGGAGCGGGCTAGTAGCTCTTCCCAGAGTGGCTCGTATAGCTCCTGGGTCACCAAGTTAACATGCATACAGTTCGTGATGTTTCAGTGCCGATACCTTTGGAATACCAGTACCGTGGGTAGCGACAATGGTAACGTCCCCCGGTTGAGGATTTGGGTTATCGATCGGGGTATACTGTTTAATGCAGAGCTTTAGGGGACTATCGGGAGAGGCTGTGGCCCTTGGGTACTCTCGGATGTACTGGCCATCAATGACATGTTCCTTAATTCGAAATGGAAAATTCATGGTGAAATCGGATGTGTGTTGTCCGAACTATTGCGCTGCTTGGATGTGAGAGTGAAAGATCAAATCCGCCCCTAGTGGGGGTCTCGAGGTCGAGCCCTTAGCTTATCTGACGAGCCATAATGATCGACATGCTAATATCCACTTAGCAGTGCAGCTGTCTCAGATCGATGAACCATGGCATCATACGAGTCCACTCATGCGGGTCTTGACTTTCTCAGCCCAAAGTGTCCACTTTTTTAAGATTTCAGGAAGATTCGCCAGAGTTCTTTACTTTGCTGGCATCTTGCAAATTTGAAACAATACTGATTTACTAGTACTGCTACGATTAAAGCAGATTAATGCGAAGGAAAGAACTTTTGAATTGTAGTACTGGAAACTCGCAAGATCTCGTACAAATGCCACGACAAACAAGAAAACGCCTCTAAGCCTGATCGACAAAGAATAAATGGGGTTCATGCACTTCGTCAAGATCGAGATTTAAACTGTACCCACGGCCCCTCTACCGCTGATGTCACCCAGCCTTTCAGCTTGAAATCGCAGTCAGTCCGCTTTCCAGCGCAGCAGCGAGCATCGGGCGCCAACCGCATATCGTAGCGGAACAGCGTTCTGGCAATAGTCACATTCAGCTCCGCCCACGCGAGTTTCCACCCAACGCAGGACCGAGCTCCAGAGCTGAATGGAACAAAGGCCTGCTTGGCAGTCTTGATACTTTGTTCGTCAACTCCAAGTTCTGGGTTGGCGATCCATCTGTCTGGGAAGAATTCATCGGGAGATTTGAAGTAGTTCGGGTTTCTGTGGACCGCATAGGTCGTTGTTCCGACCATGGTTCCTTCGGGGATGAATTGACCATCAACCATCAGACCTCCTTTGAGCACCGTACGTGGGATCGTGGTAGCAACGGAGGGAGCGAGTCGCATTGTCTCGTTGATGCAGGCTTGAAGGAGCTCACAGGAGTCCAGCTTTGGACCCATGTGGATATCTTCTTCTTCGGCAAAAGTATTGCGAAGCTCGGATACCAGGCGAGAGAGGAGATCGGGTTTATGGGCCAGATGGAAAAATGTTCCACTCATTGCTGTGGCTGTAGTGTCGGCGCCTAAATTGCCAAAAACTCGAGTTAACACCTTGCGTGAAGAAAAAGGTGTTTCAACCTTACCAGCAGTCATCAAAAGCATCGATTCCACCCACAGGTCTTTCGAAGTGAAGTGAAGCCCTGTCTTAGGGTCTGCGGTGTTCATCATATGCCAAAAGAGATCCTTCTGTTCAATATCATTTCCGAGACGTTGGCGAGCCTTTGAACGCTCGCCAATTCGATCTCCGGCATTGACAATATCCTTGAACTTCGAAGACATGAAGAATTGGTCAATCTTCAGGTTACAGAATTTCGACTGGACGAGGGTCTAATGCAGTTATTAGCTCTGACCAGAGCAGAAGGCGAATGCCAGAGGCTTTCATAGATCCATACCGTCATGCTGCGCTGTGTAATCTTGAGCACCACTGATGGGAACCACCGCATATCCGAATTGTGCAGCATGTCAAAGTCTTTTCCGTAACAGAGATCACTGATCACATCGAATGTTACCCAGTCGCACATCGGTGCCAGGTGTTTAGTTTGTGTCCAGCCTCCATCGTCGGTGTCGACACCAGGCTTGACAATCCCAAATTCATTTCCTTCCCTTCCGAGCAAGTCAACGAAGTCGCGCACATTGACCAAGAGACGCTCTTCAATTGACTTGATTCCCTCGGTGGAAAAGACCTGGGCCAAAATACGGCGTTTGAAACCGTGCGTGGTTTTGTCGGTCGCTGTGAGGGTGTTGGGGGTCTGTCGACTAGCGCTTAGTGAACTGTAGCCTTCTGACTTGACAACGTTTGCGCGGACGCCATAGATGGCATCCATTCCGGTGTCGGTGTTGAAGGTGAGTGCATTTGGAGCAAATCGTACGATGTCTCCTGTTGCGATTGTGAGTATAAATACTGTCTACCGGGATAGGTTCAAAGTAATTCTCACCATAGCGATCATGCCACTCGCGGCTGTTGATATGCAAGTCCCCCCTCCACGCGTGATAGGCTGCATACCAATGTGTGATCGCTGCGAGGCGGGGACCGGGGTATTTCGCCAAAGGATGAAAGAACAAGCGATACACAACAAGACAAATACTCTGGCAGGTAGTGTCAGTGATGGGATGTAATTGTAGCTCGGTCTGGTTATCTCACATATAAAAGCAAGGCGACAGCCGTTGCTACCAGTGCCTTAAGACTCATTGTGCTAGTCAGGGAGAAGATTGTCGATTTCACTGAGGTAGAGAGAGCTGCACATCTTAAAAGATGTCATTCCCAGGCGAAAGCATTTCAGGTGGAGTTTCGCTGTCGGTGAGAGTCCATACGAGTCCAAATTGGGCACTCCCTCGATCAGGCCCGCTCGCGGCACGGCCGAAACCAAATCGCTTTCAGATCAGTGGCTAACCCGAGGATCGCCGATGCCGATCTTTATCGGATCTTCATGCATTAGCGTGGATGAGCGTCAGATCCGGCCAACAGACCAATTACAGGCCCGATGGGGCTGGTTAAGTTTCAGAGCTCGAAGTCAGATTGCATCATGGCATGAACACATGGCGCATGCCCATGGAGCCTGAAGTTGCGAGATTGATAGTCTACCAACCGTGCTGGTAGGACTGGTTTCACTGCATGGGTGGGGCACCACGTCAGTATGCAATACGGCGATGGCCTGTCAAGCGTGTCAACTTGAAAGCCTAATTGACTCGAGAGCCAGACAGTACCTAACACAGTACTAGTATACTTCATCAGCACTGCAATGCAGTACACATCGATCTCGGAAACAGGCCAGTGTATTTCCGAAGCCTTTGAGTTCGAATAGGCGGAGCATGTCGGACTTGTGGACACCAAGGATCCTCTGCGGGCCGTGGGGCTTAAGTTTTCGGCCCCTGGTTGGCTCGACAGGTCCAGGTATCCTGATGCCCGTATGATTCACGATGAAAAAAGTCGATGTAATACCATGGAAGAGTACGGAGTATGTCGAGGCACGAAAATATTGGTGGGACGGCTAAGGATGCGTTTTGGTTCTGTACTGTAAAGGTTGCCTGATTAGGACTAGCTTGACGTTCTTCAGACCGGCAGAAGGGATGATTACCTGTATTGCCATTACTGCCCGGCGGGAAGCAAACAGTATAGTGCAAACGTGCAAACAGCTCACTCCGCAAGGTGGTTTTGGCGTCTTCTCTGTCTCTTCTTCTTTCCAAGTTCTGTACACTACATTACTCGCTTACTCTGGAAAAAGCTGTACGGTGGGTGCTCAACATGGTCCACGGGTATATATTCCACTTAGCCAAAATCCGAAAGCCAACCGATATCACAGTGGGTAGCGGAACCTTGGAAAGACTTGTTCTCCCCATCAGCCAAGTCCTCCAAACCATGCTCCTGTGTCGGTGGCCCATACCGGGCATCCCTTCTTTTATTCTGACCGTCCAACAGAAATCTGAATACCTGCGCTAGAATGAAGTAGATCACAAGCAGATGACAGTAGCTTGAAAGCCGGGGTCGTAGCGCGGGGCATCGTTACTGATACCGTATCAGTTATCGGATTCGATGAGTTCCAGTGAACATGGGCGGGTAAAGGGACTAGATAGCATCTGACAACTTACCCGTTGAAGGTGAAGGGCCCAAAGATCATGGACATTACCCAGTGAATGACCCACGAAAGTTCCAGCAGCCATGGTGGCTGTCTTTGTTGCCCGGCGACATTTGATGTTCCCGTGGCAATGCATTGGACCCAGGCGGAAGCAAAGAAGTTGACGAGGTAGAAACCTACTATTCGAGCGGCTCGCTGAGACCTCGGGGGGAAGGGAGTTGCCAGGAGTTGTCATCTGGAATGAGCATCAGTCCAGATAGTGAAATAGATAACGGGGTGTCCTTCGAGGTGGGCACGTACACCAGACATCTCCCAATGATAACCGGCACGCAAGCACCACTCACGACCAGGAGCCGTGAATTGGGGATCTTGCGCTCAATGCTCCGTCTGCACCGGTCAATGGGCCCAACGAGGTCAATCTGAATCGCGGACTTCACCACTTCCCTTCAAGGAACATGATAGCTTGAATCAGAGTTAAGTGCTTCGTCATAGGGGGAGCCCATCATTTCTCAACATCGTCAGCAATTATCGCTGATAGAAATACACATTGCTTACTGTGATAGCATGGTTTTAATTTTGCCTGATTGTTGAAATAAAATATCCAAATTTCTCTGGCGGACGCCTCGCATGTAACTTTGTTGCTCCATGGAGGGCCCTCGCAGTCCTTCAGGAGTTGGACTGAAGAAACCGAAGATACCGGCGGCGATTGATACCGATGCGAGTGCACATACAAGAACAATGACAATTATAGCAGAATTTGAAAGAGCCATAGGTATTGATAGGTGGTGAATATTCGGGTTCGGGTCGTAAACAAGGCGTACTTCGTGTAGGAAGGAGGAATGCGAACGTAGTCGGCAACAGACAATTGAACGGGCTGTAAAAACTTGTAGAATCTTACCATGGAATTAGGCAGTTCTTAGTTAGTTATATACACCCTGAGAGGCAAAATTCCCCTGTATTCACATAATGTCTATATAAAGCTCGTAAACAAGTTGAATCTGAGAAGTGGGTCTATCTCGGATTCGGATTCATCTATACGAAGAGTGGGACTTTCAACATCGCCGTACCGACGATTGTTGTATGCAAAGAAAATCTAAAACGACTAGCTTCCAAGGTTCTTACAGCCTAAGGACTACACACTTGGTACAGAGGTATCCTTCCAGGATGAGAGGGTCATTCATTGGCTCTGACTGTCCCTTCTTCAGCTAAAAAAAGCCATAAAAATTTCAACTCATCGGCCATGTCTAGCTCCTCAAATGTATTTAAGGAGCAAGTTTGCAGCTGAAGTGGGACATTCAGGATCATTGAACTCTGTATTTATACAACTGCCACCGTTTCTAGGGGTCTGTGATACTCAGAACATTGTTCATTCTTTTATTCCTCCTACTTTCCCTACTCCTCTTCTTTGCGGCTGAGATCATGGCGTACCTTCTCTACAACTACAAGCCTTCCCTGCCAGCTGCCGTTATTTTCGTGGTTCTATTCCTCATAGCCACTCTTCTTCACGTTTTCCTTGCCTACAAGCACAAGACCAAGTTCCTGGCCGCGTTTATCATCGGCGGTTTGATGGAGGCAATTGGCTATGCAACACGAGCCGTCAACGCCCACCAATCCCCGAATTATTCTACGATGCCATACGCACTGCAAAGCCTTTTCATATTGCTTGCTCCGTCCTTATTTGCAGCCTCTATCTACATGATCCTTGGCCGTATCATACGCCTGACGCATGGCGATAGTAGATCCATCATTGGGCCATCGCGATTGACCAAAATTTTCGTCCTTGGTGACGTTCTGTCTTTTCTGATTCAAAGTGGAGGTAAGAATATTTCTTTCAAACATCACCATATCTCGATGATCTGACAAATCCGTTTCCCATAGGAGGTGGGATCATGTCCAGTGCTAAATCGGAGAGCTCCCTCAAGCGTGGCGAGCAAGTCATTATTGTCGGTCTCATCGTTCAGATTGTATTTTTCGGATTCTTTTGCGTTGTCGCAGTGGTGTTTCAGCAACGCGTCACCCAGCGCCCAACCGAAGAGTCCTTGAAAACGCTAGGGATTTGGCGTCGGTATCTGTTCGTGTTATACGTTGCTAGTCTGCTGATCATGGTTCGGTGTGTCTATCGAGTGGTTGAGTATATCCAGGGCCAAACAGGAATGCTGCAAAGCCACGAGTACTTTGCATACATTTTCGATGCACTTCTCATGTTTGCCATCATGGTCATTCTTATGATTTTCCACCCCAGCCAGGTTGTCCCAAATGAGGAGGAGTCTGAGCAGTCTGGTTTGATGTATGAAAGACTGAGTTGCTAGGGGAGGACCATGTACGGAGAGGAGCTCAAAGAAGTAATTAATTGAACGATAGATATGAGCGATAGTGGGGATACTTCGGTGAAATAGCCTGCCGTGGGCAACATAGTCAATGTGCTTGAAATCCGTTGCTGCTTTCAAATACCTGAACCCTTATCGGGTAACAATTAAGATATCATAATGCAACAGAAGAGTCTTGGAATGGGTCCCCAGCTAGGAAAATGCGGGCTATTAGTAGTAGAACTAGTGGCCTTCAACGCGCTACTAGATGGGGGCCTAAATAGGGTTTTGCCGGTTCGGGTTTGGGGCCCACAGCGCCCGGGAAATCTATTGCCCTGCCTAACACCTATTTTTGACATCTTCCCTTTTCATCTACCTTCAATCGGAATTTTTTCCTTTGGCTTGGGGTTAGTCCTGGTCATGCTTTGACGGTCATGCCTCGAAGGACGCATAAGAAGTCTAGAAAAGGATGCCAGCAATGCAAGGATCGTAAAGTGAAGGTAAGCATTTAGCGATTCTGATCTGAAAGCGCCACACTTGACCACGATGCGCTAAGTACGGCATCAGTGCGATGAAACACAACCAAAATGCACCAATTGCACCAAGCGTTCAGTGGAATGTGTATTTCCACCCCCTGGCGCTACCACTCGATCCAGGTCTCGAGTTAATCAGGCGCCACAGAGGCCGCTCCAAGGTTCGAGTGAAGAGGACTCTACAACAACGCATATGGGCTCATTAGAAGACATCTCACCGACAATGGGAGTTGCAGAGATGGTGTTACTGCATCAATACTCAGTATCGACTTGCTTCACTATCTCACGAAACTTGGTCCTACGCACAGTGTGGCAAGTTCACGTTCCGCATTTCGGATTCTCGTCACCAATTGTTCTTCGGGGAATTATGGCTTTAGCTGCGCTTCACCTGGCTCATTTACAACCAGAACATCAAGATTCTTATTTGGGCCAAGCAGAGCGTCATCACGACACTGCACTGCAAATGGCCACGGCAGCCCTACAAAATATCGACAAGGAAAACGCGCCGAGCATATACTTATTCTCTCTCCTTGCTTGCATCTTTTCGTGTGCAAAGCCTCGGAAGCCTGACGATTTCTGGAAAGTAATCGATCAGATCATTGAATGGTTGAACCTTACACGAGGTACGGTTTCCATTTTACTTCTAGATGAACACGAGGGATTCATCAAAAATGGGCCACTTTCTCCATTGTTCATCTTGGGACACCGAAAGAGTCTTGCGTGGGAAGCAAGGTCATCCTCGAGTCCCCCGTTTTTGATCGACCTCAAACAACTCTTCGAAGATACGGTGCAGGATCCAGTCGACCTTCAGTGCTATCGGGAATCTCTTGAGAATCTCGGTAAATCATTCGCGACAATACACGAGATGGGCTCTCGTAACTGTGAAACCGCGGACATCTTCATGTGGTTAGTCAGGGCGCCCGATCACTATTTGCATCTCTTCCATCAGCGGAAACCGGAAGCGCTGGTCATTTTTGGATTCTTTTGCGTGATTATAAGAGAATTGGAATGGGCATGGTGGATGCAGGGGACGAGTTCACACCTACTCCAGGGGATATACTATCATCTGAGCGAGGAGTACCGGTGCTGGCTGCATTGGCCTATGCGGCAGCTAGGCCTGGTGTCTTCGTTTCCTTGATCTTGAAGTGCTTCATATCATTAACTCATATGGATGTGATGAGGCAGCTAGTTGCCAGTGATCACAACCTTCCAAGTTGGAAAGGCAATAGAAGAGATTGTTGTTCCATTCAGTACCTAGGTATACTTGACTCCCGACCTCTGGAGGTCTCACCTGAATGCACCCGCACTTAGAATTGCGGACTTTTCTTTGGGGGATTTTCAAGTGGAGAGTACTCCCTATGTAGATTAAAAGAATCCCGAAGTCATGCCACTCCTCGCTTGTGTATGTGCACTACACCCGGCCACCGATACCCACTTAAGTAGATCTTCGGGCAAATCTCAAATCCCGAATCCCGCAGAACCGTTAGTTTGATTCTCCCGAGATCTACTGGACAACACGGGTAAAAGGCAAGATTTCCCAGCTTTTTGGTTAACATGACCACCTGTTGACCCTGTGAGAATGAAGGGTGATATTCCGTTAAAACGTGATATTGTTTCTATTATATTGTATGTTTAATTTTTTTGCTCACATCTCCTTCGCCTTGAGCCGGTGAGCACGGGCCGCAGGAGACCAAGGGAAGTGACCGAGTGGGACCGTGAAGAACCCGTTGCTTGGATCGCAAACCCCGGCGAAGGCACTCCACCAAGCCGAAAATGCAGCTAGTATCCCGCAAACTCCACCGGCCTTTTGCACGGCGATGAGAACCGCGCCGTGGGAAGCGCATTCGATATGGGCGATGCCGAGGAGGAGATAGTTCATGTCCAGGAAGAAGAACAGGCAGAACATTGCCAGACTGGATTTCAGGGTGCACAGGAGCATGAGGGTGGTAAATATGAACCAGGACTATTTCCAAAGATATTAGCGGTTGTCTCAAACACACGGGATCTGAAATTGCAGGAATGCATACCAGGTTGAGAAGACCGGTCAAATACTCATTCGGGCAGGTTGCAGTTGCCGCGTCTTTGAGTGTCTCGGGACTGTCGAATGTTGAGGTCAGAGCAGAGCTGACCCAGGCGGCACCGAATGAAGTAAATGTTGTAGCACCGAATGTGTTTCCCACCGCCATTTCCCTGGTATTGTTAGCGGAGGTTTAGGAACATGCATTTCGACGGTATAGATGCAATGCAGATATGGATAACATACCACATGCCCACCAGAATCTGAACCAAGCCACCGTATATCAAGGCCAAAGAGAGATTAGCTCCTGCCGATTGAACATTTCCAACCTTGAGGTTGATGAGATTCGTGAGGAAGCATGTGAGTGCAAAAGCACATAGACCGAGGGGAGCCGGATTGGCGATTTTTCGAACATCAAGAGGAATAGGATGCATCTCTTGCTTCAATGGTGGGAGCCGGATGTCGGAGTTATTCGATGTGGGCGAGGAGTAGTCATAGCCGGCCTCCATGTCACCTGGGGAGTGAACATGGTGTTTTGTGAGAGAGTCGTCCTGTTGATCTGGAGCAGACTTCTGAGGCATAACTTGGGAAACCTCAACGACGTGCTCCATGAAAGATAGTTTTGGGCGAAACGTAATGGAAATGGAGGAAGAATCAAAGTTTGAAACGGCTGGAGCTTGTTTTGACACCCAATGGGTCAAGTCAGTAGGGAAAGAAGCTGTGTGTTAGGGCACTACTGGGGGGTCGGCGTAGTAATTATCCTTGACTGGGTCTGTCTTGGGAGTGGGCCTCACGCCACACCTAAAGGGCGTTAGATCCCTCAAATGCCGGAAATAATTCGTGGAGTCCGCGGATATCGTCATGTGCTCATGCTATGCAGATGCCGAGCCAGTCATTGAATGGATTTCCCGACGGTGATTCGTGTTTTTTTGCCTCAATGCGGAGGAAGCCGATCAGAATTGCATAAGGCCCAAGCTAATACACGGTTAGTGCCGCAGGGTCCCTTTCTTCTCTTGTTTCTATAGTTCGAAAGTTGTGGCTAGAATCTCGGCGCAAAATCTTTGCTCGATCATGCATAACTCCTATCACTGAACATAGGCCAATGTCATTCTTGATTGAAAAAAAGGGCATGTCGCTTAGCGATGCGGGATATTTACTTAGCCTGCCGATTTGCTCCACGCAAGTCGCCTGGTGGACTCACCGACCCAATTTATCTGGCTAAACGGGCAATCGGGATCCACGTTCGGCATATACGCGATGGGTGTGGAGCCGATGTCATGCTCATTATAAAACCACTGTACTCCGAATAGCTATCGTGAATGAAATGCAACTGTGAACATTGATATTCGAAAGTTTCGCGAATCGTGGAAACCGAAGGCTCGGAACGCGGCGGCTTCCGCAAAACGTAATATCCATGACTAACATACTTCGACGCCGAGGCAATTAAAGGAAAGCCTTGCCAGTTAGGGCATCTTCAGGCTATGCAGCTGCATGTCCCAACATGCTGGATATACTCTGCTGCGGCAGACCCGATGGATGTGGTCGCCGTGGTTGGCCCAACTTGCCGTTAGATCTGCGCGAAAATTTTCAACACGTTGCTAATCAGACCAAAAGAGAAATCTAGAATGGGTATCCTGGTAAATGAAACAAATGCGCCGAGTCCCACGAAAAAGACATGACAAAATTCCGTGTAGTCACATGGCTTCCGGTACGCCTTGATGCTGTCGGTTTGCCTTCAATTAGACCGAAATCAATGCGAGATAAAGTTTCAAAAAACGACGCGAATCATGCCCGCCAACCCTGCACAAAGTCATGCAAACGATCGATGACCACACCAAATATAGCGTTGACACTATCCGCAATGAGTTGCTCAAAGTGGCGGATGGCTTCTTCCTCCGTCATCTCCAGATGGAAGCGCTCCTTCACTTTCAGGACCGCCTTGTCGGGCTCCACGCGAATGTCTGGGATATTGGCATCCACCATCAGACTGAACAGATTCAGTATCAAATTCGCAGACTTGCGCAAAGTCGTGTAGGCGGTGTAGCAGTATTGTTTGAATTGGAGGTAATGAGGCGAGGTAGTGCCACCCATGCCCTCGACCATCTCCTTGCAAAGTTTCATCATGGGCGCGAAAGGCTTCGGGTCACGACCAAGAATGAAACCAAAGTCGGCATGGAAGAAGTGACCATCCGGAGCCAAAAGTAAATTCTCCAGATGACGGTCACCAACACCGAGCAGATAAGTAATCACGCAATATCCGGCACACGATTTGATATATGTGTCCATCGTCTCCTTGCGCACCCCAAGGGGCTCGTTCTCATCTGGATTGTTCACTTTGAGATAAGCGAGGATGGACTTGTATTTGGCAGACGCCGCAGAAAGGGAGATGGAAGGAATGAACTGCACAGCGCCGGCGGTTGCGCTGGTAGCAAGGATTCGATAGGGTGTCAACTTGAGATCAAGATTCTCTTTTTGTAAGAGGCGATCCATCAAGATGATGATTTGAATAACCAATTGATCCTGGCGAAGATCATCACCGACCTTGAACAGCATTGGATAGCGATCACCATCAGATGTTTTGAACGTAATTAGTAGAGGCGAAAGAGTGGATTTGAAGACATTGGATTCTTCGGGGAACAAGCCAGTGACAGCCACATCGGGGTTCAATGGCAGAGGCAATGGTGGATCAATGTTGACCAAGTCATTTTGGGGATCTCGGAGTGACTTTTTCAACATCTCAATCTTGCCTACTCGGTTCTCGCGAGCAAACCGAATGTCCTTGGCAATCTTCGAAAGCACGACAACCATTTCGCCTTGGCGCCGGAGCGTCTTCCGATGGTCGGGGTGAAGCTTCTCCAACTCAAGCATGAAGTAATATTCAACGCGCGTGATAAGGTGACGCTGCGCTGCATCGGCATCGTCATACTCAACCATGAGGTACCAATGCAAGTAGTTGCCAAGTTTGAAATTATTGGCAGCGCGAGAGATCAAGAAGTGCGCAAGCGAAGACTCCTGTGGAGCAGCATCAGGGAAATTCTCCGGAGTTGCATCATACTTCAGAGCCTGGACCAACTGCAGCAGATAGAGGAGTAGCTCCTCATCATCGGCCTTTCGCAGCGTTTCAACGGCATATGAGCGAACCGCAGGATTGTCGAATGTTGGTCCTAAAATTTCCAAAGCATCGTCGACATCAATCTCCGTCCATTTAGGGAACATTTCCACCGCTTGGCGCGATTCTCCGACGTCCCGCCAGTTGACAGACTTGACGAATTTAGTAAGTGCCTTCTTCTCTCGTGTGAGATGATAACGGAATCGCCACACAAGATCCTTCTCCTCGGCAGTCAGGTCTTGGGTTGGCTCGTAAGAAATGATCATGTTGAGATCATCTCGGATCTTGGGGTTGGGCTTCAAGTCTCGGTCCATGATACCAGTTCGATGGCTTCTGATCAGACGCCGGTGCTTATCCTCACAGGCGTTGCCAATCTGCCCAACCTCGGGATCATAGATTCTGATAACCTTGTGGGGGTCGGCGCGGGCGATCCCAGGTCCGAAATGCACCTCTGGTACTGGCTTGAGGGTTGAGTCTGTGTGGGCGGACTGGTTCTGAGACCATGCGGAGATAGGTGGTGGGGGATACTCGTGGTCTGCCCAAACGATAGGGTGGTCAAAGCGTGGCAATTCGACGTAAAGCTCGAAGTATTCGTCTTCCGGTTTCTCTTCTTCAAAATCATCGTCTGGGTCCTTCGCATGTTCTTTGGTAGCTGCTTCGAGTTCAAGGGCTCGCTTGTGGGCTGCTTGGTCTGCATTTAGCTTGAGCTTCTCGAGCTGACGGAAGAGTAACTGATCCATCCAGTCAACACGTGGTATTTCGCCCATCTCATGCTTTTTGATCAAGACTTCCACCCGTTCCAATTCCGCCTCTTCGGAAGACTGCTGTGAAGGGTCCCTGGTATTTGGCTTCCGGCGTTTTGGCCGTGGAGTAGAGGGGGTTGAGGTTGAAACAGAGCCGTCCGCACTCTTATGTAGATAGACTTTGCACTTCTGTCTCCCCATCTTCAGTTTCCCGTCCTCGTCAAACAAGCTAATCGTTGTCCCCCCAAATGGCACATGAGTAATTCGATCACGAGCCAATGGTGACAAGTCGACGATTGTGATAGCGAGTTGGGCATTGCGCTCTGCGTCCTTGATCGACACTGGCAATTGTAGCCACTCATTCCATACTCGGGCACTTTTAAATGCCTTGTATCGGGTCCTCATGGGAACGCCAAGGGGTTTTGATTCGGACCATAGCTGTACAGTGACATAAAGGTCAGATGCGGGGTCCTGGACAGACCCAGTATGTCTGAGCTCGGGGCTCGCATACAGAGCACTGCCTAGGATCGGTTTCTGCTTTCCTTCCAACGAGCCGCTGTGAATGCGTGAGAACCGCTGATGCAAATGGGGTGAGATGCTTACATCTTGACACGGATTGGAAGGTCCACCTGGGTGGTCACGGCAAAGGTAAAGGCCTCCATCTCGTGTGGAGAGATGAGAACGCTAGGAGGCTGCGTCATGGCCGATAAGCAACGCGGGGATATGAGGACGATCACGTGAACCCAAACGCGTCGCCGAGTCGCGACTTGTCCATCGTTTGTCGATCATCAAGCGCACTACGCTACTTTTTTTACCCTGTGCGATCGGATACCTTCTTAGACTCTTTGTTTGGTTTACGAGGTTCAGAACATAAGGTATCTATTACTGGAGTCTGTGTTTCTTTATCTCATTTTCTTTGTTTTCTGTTGCGCCAAAACTCGAGCTGAAGGTGTAGATCAAACATGGCCTCTCTCCTTCCACCTCACTTTGACGAACCTAGTTCCACGACACTCAATCCACACTTGTCGCCAGACAATTTATCCGATAAGGAAAATCGCCGAGAAACTCATAAGCGAAATCACAGTGCGATGGCTCCCCCACGATCACAGAACAAGCGACAAAGACTTGTCAATCGTTCCACAAATGTGCAATCTGTTCGATCGCAGGCATCATCACAAAGAAGCAACGAGAGCAGATGGTATGATCCTGACCAAGATCCCGCGGAACGTCAACGTATTCGAAGGGAGACTCGTGAGCTGAATCGCGAAGTAAATGGTATGCGCTGCCCTTTATCTAGGGTATAGCGAAACAAGATACTCACACCGAATGTAGATTCCCGCAGCGAGTACATGCAACCCGGAAACACGGGTCTGAGAGATGCTCTTGCTCACGCGAATGACCTGTACGCCCAAGTGAAGCAGACCTCAGACGCCACGATTGATTCTCGCCTCTTGGTCAACATTGCCGATTTATCACACAAAAAAACCTCCCATCTTGCGCTCGGTGCTACCTCAGCCAGTATCGATGTCGACGAATTTGTGTCAAAATGTATTTCTTTCATGCGCCGTGGGCCGAATAATACGACAGCCGCACCAAACGGGACTCAGGATCGCCGGGCTCGCCCAGGTCGAACCCAGCGTGACCCCGATGCAAGCGATGAGGATGATGTGGGAGACGCGATGAACTGGGATTATTTGGGCCAAGCGGCCTGCTTCCCTAACAACGCTCGGCCAGCCGTCCCAGGCTGGCTGCTGGGCCCACTCTCCGTCCAAAAACGCGTGCGCCAAGTGACTCAGCGCAGAGCAGTTGAGAGAATTGATCCCACTCAGGCTGTGCGGCCCCAGGAGCTGCAGCAAGAAGACCTGGGTGGACAAGAGAGCGCCAACCTCACCCAGATTTGCTCCGAGATTAACAAGCTGCTTGGTCAGAACCAGAGAGACCGCCTCCGCGCAGCTGCAACGGAACTGGATAGTACTCCCAATGTCACCCCGGATCAAGTGCAGGCCATCATGGACAAGCACTGGATCGCCGACGACGAAGGCATTCCCTTGTTCCGGTTCTGTATCAATCCGAAATCATTTGGGCAAAGTGTGGAGAACCTGTTTTACGTTAGCTTCCTAGTTCGTGATGGAACCGTCGGCGTCTCTACCGACAGTCGCGGATTGCCTACACTTCGTAAGTCCTTTCGTCTTAAAGTCTATGCACCACTGACAGTTTACCAGACGCGACAGCACCATATGCTCCACTCGAGGCACAAAAAAGGGGGATTCAAAAGCACCAGGCGGTGTTCAGTTTGGACTACGACACTTGGGATCAAGTTATTGAGCTGCTTAATCTCAAGGAGTGTGTAATTCCCCACCGGGAGCCAACCCAGGAAGAGACCAGCACGAGCTGGTACGGCTAGATGTTGGATATGCGTGGATGAATTACCTGTGATACCCCTTTGAATGAAGTTAATACTGCATAATTATACATAAAATATTAGTAATAATGTAGCTCTAGAGCTCTGCGCAGGTGGAGCTGTGGGCTGATCAATCCGGCTGGGCTCGACTGGATTCTGCGGATAAGCTGCCACCACGTCATCATTCGAGCCCTTGTCGTATTTCTCATAAAGCCGTTCGCTCTTCTCTCAGCTTTGGTTATTTCCTCTCATCGCCTCGATTCAGAACTCACCACTCTCCTCGAGACATTCACAACCCCCGCTGCAAATCACCGGGAGAGAATCGCGAAAGCAAGCTCCGAGGCTTGACAACACACGTACAAAAGACGAAGAGCCTAGCAAGCTTCTTCAAAATGCCACAACTTTTCCCAGCCAATCCCTCTGCGACCATGGTCATTCGCCATGTGACGCCAGATATTGTAACCATGAGTTTGCCATTCGCGCGATTTGGACACCTCCAATTCGGCGGGCGGGGCACACTGGGTAAGGAACCCTTACAGCTCCCCAAAGCAGCGCACTGCACCCCGAGAAGGAATCGGTCGATGTGCACTTATGCCAAACCCAGTGCACACAAGCTCTTTTCTCAGCGCTCGTGCTAACCCTTGCATGCGACAGTCAAACTCTCCACCGGCTCCCTCGCAGTATTCTCGCCCGTCAGTCTGACCCCCGAAGTACGCGAAACCGTTGAATCTCTCGGTGGAAACGTGAAGTACATCGCCGCCCCCGACCTCGAACACCACCTGCAAATCACCCCATGGAAGCAAGCATACCCACAAGCGGAGATCCTGGCCCCCGAAGGCCTCTTCGAGAAGCGGCAGTCAAATCCCCAATTCCAAGACAGTCCCTTCGAGCACATTTTCAAGAAGAGCGATCAGCTACCCCGGACGATCTCGAGGGAGTTTGACGCCGAGTTCGACACGGAGTATGTTCATGGTCATGGTTCACGCGAGCTTGTCTTCTTGCACAAGCCGTCCCGCACACTTATCGAGGCCGATATGCTCTTCAACTTACCTGCCACCGAGCAATATTCCAAAACACCGGAGGGGCCGAAGCTTAACTTTTTCACAAGGCTGTTGCTGCCTTTGATGTCGACTCAACCCCCTGCTACCTGGCACAGGCGATTCGCGTGGTATATCCTCTCGTCGAATGATCGCACGGCGTTCAACGAGTCAATCAATAACATTGATCGATGGGACTTCGATCGTTTGATCCCGTGCCATGGGGATACCATCGAGACCGGCGCCAAGGGAATCTTCCGCGATGTCATGGCATGGCACCTTGCAAAGAAAGATAACTAGCCATCCTCTGCCTTTGCAAGATAAGTCGCAGCGCGGCATGTGAATCAGCGATGTTTCCCCCATAGTAATATGTACTAGTATAATGTTTTATTTTTGAACTTTTTCTTGCCCGGAGTTCGGGGGACCTTGCAGGCAGCATTATTTTGGAGGTGATCTGCTCTCTTGGCTTCTGCATACCAGAAACCCACACACGCTTGCGCCTCTTACTATGTTTAGTAGCAAGGTCCGCTTAGCATGGGCATCGACCTGGAGTGGGTTTGGATTTGATCTACATGTTCCTGAGCTTCCCATGCATTGAGCTCATATCTACGAGCATAGCATGTCTGCCTAATTGTGTTCATTGACCGCCTCGAAAGAGCATACTTTTTTACTACGATATTGAGCCTGTCATAATGACCTTGTAGCTAGTCCGCGATCCTCCTTTCCAAGTATATCGAAGTAATCAATACACAAACCACGTCATAGGGCTGAACGGTCATATGATACGCATGTCAGTGACGTCTCGCTCCAGACCGGATCGTCGCTAAACAACCACCTGAGCAGGGGTTTAACAACACGCACTTGCTCAGGCAACAATATTGAGATCTAAGTGGACCGTGTCAGTATCCAGACAGTTACCCAGCCACAAAGGATACGTTCTCTTACAAGGTTTCCGCAGGGTTCGTATCCCTTGAGATCCAGTCCCATGGGAGAAAGGCAGTATCCAGGCAGAAATGGCCGAAGCAGCATCATAGGCCCCTTGTCCTTGAAGATCCAGCCACAGTCCACATCAGCGGTCAACCCGCCACGAAGTGTCGATCTCCTGCCCGAATATCCACGTTGGGCATGGCCCTGGGGGTGTCATTGGCCAATGGTCTGACTTTAATTCTCTGGATTGGGAAGAGATCTGACCACCTCAGTCTTGGACCTGTATGTTTTTACGAAGTAGACTTTAGTGGGCCGTGGTAGTTGTGTCTCAACGGCCCTTGCTTTAAATACCGTTACGCCCTCCAGAGTTCTCTTGTGTCACTTATTGAAAAAAGTTATATAGCTTCTCACTTCTCCACTCTCACACTCCGTACATTCCCACGAGTTTCACGCCACAGAGCCACACTCTCAACACCTTTTCACAACGAAGCCATGCCTGTCATCTCGCGCCTTGCGTCTATCATCCTCCGCGTTGCGGAAATCGGATTTGCAGCGGTAAAGTCCCATCCCAAAACACGTCACAAACTCAGTCTGATTCATCACTAGGTCGTTGCAGGTGTCATTGGGCACTACCTCGCAAAGATGAACAACTCCAACCAAGATGTCAACTGGTGGGGCGAGTCTAGGTTCATCTATACCGAAGTAATCGCTGGCATATCGATACTGCTAGGTCTGATCTGGCTGATTCCCTTCTCATCGGGATTCTTCTCTTGGCCTTGTATGTTCTCATGGCACTTTCTGGGATTCTGAGACTAACTCGGCTCTAGTGGACATCATCATATCTCTCGCTTGGTTTGCTGCCTTTGGTGTCCTTGTTGACACCATTAAAACTCACTACTGTGGTGGCATTTTCTCCTGGCATTTCGGCGGTTGGGGTGAGTCGATGTGCGGCAAGTGGAAAGCTGCTGAGGCCTTCAGCTTCCTTTCTGCTATTGTCTGGCTTGCTTCTGGTATCGTGGTATGTGGTCGTTCGGTTATTGAATACTGGTTCCTTTATTAACATCTGTCTCCAGGGTATTTGGTTCACTTTCCGTACTCGCCCAAGCACCACGGATGGACCGTAAGTCGATTCTACTCTGGTCTCGTGCATATTGAGAAATGCTAATGTCATGGACAGTCGTCGCCGCCGCTGGGGCCGTTCCGCCGTCTAAGAACCCACAATAGCTCTTAAGTTCACGGCAAAGAAGTTCAGTTGTCGTCTCCTGTCTTCGCGAACGCCGTCACAGATTGGGTTTGAGGCTGCCAGCGGGGACTCACGGATTATATTTTGGCTTCTGAACGTGTTCTTCTAATCCGGTGGAGGCCGGAGAACAACGAATAATGACTCGCGTTGATACCCTTGATGGAAGAAGTTCGGGTGCGGTTTGCTTTTCAATTCGCTTCAAGTTCAGGTTCGCAAGATACGCATAAATGCAGTAATTCATGACAATTATTTTCTTTCTCGGTAAATATCCCGCGTCCAGTCCATGAATGAGCTCGATGGTACGAAGATATGTGCCTGTTTATTTGACTGGTAACTGTCAACCTTCGAGTAATGCATGGCCTCTCCAGTAGCCCTACAGAGCGCTCATCCACTTCCGGAACAAATCGCTCTTGTCATTTTCTCATCTTATGTATGTCATCTATATCCCTGGCTTTCTCTATAGCAATTCATCTAGCTTCGTGAATCTACTAGGTAGAGACCTGGGCAGTTCTCCCCCGGAGTGATGTCCATCATCTTGCTTGCGGTTCCCCAAAATAGATTCCCTTTCATGTATGCAGTCAGGCAATGACAAAAGGCGACAAGAGAAAGAATCGTGAGCAGTTCTTTGTTCACGGAAGAAAATTCTATTGTGCTCGTAGAAAACATTTCAAGGCCAGGGCGTCTTTCAAGTTCGAGGCTCCGTTTTCTTGACACGTCCGGGTTAGGATCAAACGGAATCTTTGTGTGAAGGATTGCATTCACGCCTTCAAGGGTCTTTGTGTCATTGTCCTCTTTTGTTGTAATCTGAACGAAGCGTACAATGGAATTCTAATCATACCAACTCATCGTCAGGAAGATTATCGAGTCTGATGTGTATAAATACGTCGAGTCCCAGGTGGTCTCAATTCTCCATCACATCAATAACAATCCAAGAAACAATCAATCATACCAAATCCACTCCACTTATACCAGAAACAATCCAATCCAGTATACTACCAACCAATCAACATGTTTTCCACCCTCAACTCATCAGTCCTCGAACCAACCCACCCGGAGCTCTTTAGGGACCAATGTAACATTCTCCGCACCCGGCTAGAGGCTCTCGCCCAAGCTATGAACCCACAAACCCAGAATCCCCCAGCAGATGTTTCCCCCTTGGTAAGTCGTGCCCAGGAAACATTGGACAATGTCATCTCCCGCGGCCGTCGTCTGAATTCATTTGGGACAGACGAGGAGCTACACAGGGCAGTATCTGACGTATTCTTCCGTCGCGAAGTGTCACAAGAGGAGCTAAACAGGGCAATTTCTACCATATATTTCCGTCGTGAAGTGTCACACGAGGGCCGGGACTACCCGTCTTGGTTTGAGTGGTCCATTGTCCATACACGGAAGGTCTTGGACGATGTACGTGGTGATATCCAAGCTGGAAAGTCACTTGCTAACCGCTTCTCCACGCTCTCCGGTCTAGCTATGATTTGGAATCTGGGAGAGCAAGACCCGAACTGGACCCCTTACGGAGTCATCACAGGTTTCCACCGAGCCCCTAAGCTCGAGTTTAGGTAGATGGGGCTCTTTGAGACCCCCTCCCTGCACCTTTCCTTTGTTTTGACGGCGCGCTGACTTGTCGAGATAGGTGTAAAGCAAGAAAAGGTAGAGAAAAAAATACAAAAAAAACAAAGATCTGATTTGGACATATTCTTTTACATCGTAATCACTTAGCCTATTTTCAAAGGGTCCCATAGATAGTGCCGGCGACCGCCTGGGCATGTACTAAAAAGCGATTCATTCAAAACCAAATTTCTCATCCGCCGATCCAGTCAACCAGATTTGTAGATCTTTGAAAGCGTCAAGATCATTTTTCTCGAGCGAAATATCAACAGCAGGGTTGTGCCAGTGGCGGGTTCTTTTCGTTTCGGTATCGCGCAACGACTCTCCGATAGATTGACGGCTATCGAAATCAATGAGAATAAACGTACCATCATCGTCAAGCATAATGTTTGTGGGGTTGATATTATTTTGAATAAATCCGAAAGAATAGAGATGTTTGATGGCGACCAAAATTCCTTCTAGACTATTCTTCATATTCACTTTCACTACCGAGTAGTTTACGTATATTTAAAAGGAAAGTACCTAGTAGCTTTACTTAAACATTAGGTATTGACTGTTTCAAGTAGTGTTAACTTATATTATCTAACTTGGAAAGCGTAGTCTAGAGACTCGACTATATATATTATTGTAGCTATAGTAAGTCACGATGTTCGGATAGAGGTTCTTGCAGAGAATTTCGCATGTTTCGACTTCATCAGTGATTTCCAAGGTTGCTTTTAAGATTTCCATCGATATACACAAGAAGACTTAGCTTTTTTATATAGATCGCTAAATGGTTGTGGAGAAATTGGACGACTGCCCCACTTCTTTTGACCTCAGGTCGACAGTCGGCTTATCTCGACTTCCTCCGCAAGGTTCTGCAGCTGAACGACCCATGCATGGTCGTTCTTTGTGCTACCCATGGGTCGGGGGTTATCACAGCGCGATAGTCCACTAGCTGTTCAAATGATGTGAAGGGTGGCTGCATTGCTTGTCACAGTGTCCCTTGACCCTTTTTGCAGGGTCCCACTATGATGGGGCATACGCGCCAACAATTGAACGAACAGGAGGGCACTCAAAGTCCTGTATTTCCTAGACCACGCATAGAACTCGAGCTTTTGGTACATATTAGCAAAAGTGGTAGATATCAACAAGTCGAAACAAAACAGCCAACATACCCGCGGCGCCAGATGGATGACTAAAAGCCAAGAAATGAGGTCAAATCGAACTTCAATTCGCGCCTTCCCCAAGTGAACGTATAGACAAACAAGGCAAAAATGAATCAGGAAGCTGCATCCGAGCCCTTGCATGAGCACAAGGATGAAGACCGCGACAGCGATGAATTGAGTTTTGACCTGGAGTTAGGCGACGTACCGCTTTTGCCCGTCGAAGGCATGGCTAAGCCGGAGCTCACACGCGACCCATCATTTTCGTGTACTCCCTCCGGCTTTTGCAACTGGCTTCGCGGGCCCCAGCCTCCCCATGTGTATCACATTAACCCTTGGTTCCCTCGGCTGCAGGCAGCGCCGGCGCGTCTGATTGATCAGAAATTCCCGCGCAGGAGCTCCAAGATCGCCTTGCTTGCTGGCGGTTTGATCGTTTGGATTATCGTCTTTTTTGTATCTTTGAAGGCGTCAGTCGCGGGTCAAGAGGTACCGGGTTACGGGCAGCCCGTTAAGCTGTCGTGTCACCATCGCTTGTGGTGGGTTCCGCACGCTATGGAAATACTCCGGGTTGAAAACTTTACTGATCGTGGCTGCAGGAACAACGCAACAAACTGTGGTCTCAATGGTGATCTGTGTCGTCCGTTTGAAGACCAGTCTTTCGCCTTCCGCTGTCCTTCGGGTTGCGCGGCGGCCATCCTCCTGGAGCCATATGTTGTTGGCGACCAAGAGTGCAATTATCGCCCGCTCGTGATTGGAGGTAAGCCATTCAGGCAAGACGGTCGCCTCAGCGGTAATTATCGCGGGGACTCATCGATATGCACCTCGGCGCTGCACGCTGGTCTGGTAGACGATGCCACGGGCGGGTGTGGGATTTTGCACCGGACTGGTGAGCAGAAAGAATTCCTCCCGGCAACTCAGAATGGGATTGAAAGCATCGAATTCCGCTCGAGCTTTCCCATGTCCTTCAGACTGGCCAAGGAGCCATCTTCGCCAGGATCTGGCGAGGCGAAGCCTATCAAATGTTCTGATTCGCGTTGGACACTCTTTGCCTTTACGTTGGTTTGGACTACCGTTTTATCACTGGTCGTAACCTCAGCGCCGGCATTCTACAGCTCTATATACTTCATTGTCTGGTTCCAAGTTGCCATGGCGTCCGACCCGCCCTCCATGGGTAGCATCTATGACCTGGTGTCAATTGCGCTCGGTCGCTTCCTGCCTGGCGCATTTGTGGGATTCGTGCTCTACTATTTCTGTGTCCGTCACACGCTGAAAGATCTGGATGCGCATTGGGACAAAACGGTTCTGTGGTTAGGGGGCTGCTGGGTCGGCGCCCTGAACACAGATACCTTCGATCGCATTCCGATCTCGCGCCTGACGCCCCACGATATCAAGCAGCAGCCCGGTGCACTCACTGCCCTCATCATCGTCGTTGGATCACTTCTCGCCATCGCATTTGGTCAGGCACACTGCTATCGCCGAGAGGGAAGATTCTTCCCCACGATCCGCATCTACGGTGTCCTCGTCGCCGTTGTTCTCATCCTCGTCGCCGTGCCACACATGAACCTACGCATCCATCATTATATCTTGTCTCTCCTTTTCTTGCCCGGAACGACTCTGCAGACTCGTCCCAGTCTCCTATATTCTGGTATTCTTATTGGTCTTTTCATTAACGGCATTGCCCGATGGGGCTTCGACTCCATCCTACAAACCCCAGGGGCTCTTCTCGATGGCGCCAAACTTGGCACCATCCCACCGAAGATCTACCCTCCGTCCTTGACGGATCAAAACAATCTTGTGTTCTCATTCCCGGATATCGCGTCCCATGCCGATGGTCTCAGTGTTTTGGTGAATGACGTCGAGCGATACCAGGCGTTCCGACCAAAAGACGACAAGCCTTTGCCGGACTTCACTTGGACTCGTACTAACCCTAGTGAGTTGGAATACTTCCGGTTTGGATACGTTCATTCCAAGGCTTTGGGTGGTCTTTGGTACGAGGATTTTTCTCCTCCCGCGACTTGGAACGCGGATGGAAATTTTGTTTTTCCCGATCCTGAGATCTCCGACCCTGAACACACTGAAGCCGATTCTGCATAGAGTCCCGGTGGGCCAATTGTCTATATCCTGGTGTTTCGGCTACTTGCACATAGCTTCCCTTCCTGTATTAGCGACGCATGCCATCTGAGAATCTTGATCATTACCAACCTTTACCCTCTTGTCTTGACCTAAATCTCTTCGACTTTGTTTTGTACCTAGTAGAATCCTGTATGATGTACATCTATATGCTGTCCACACGTATCCTGTGGCAGAAATTGATCTAGAGTCCAAGCAATGCACCCTTGACATGAGTTCCCAGCTGCACCCTCCATAATCTGTGCTCATTCAGCGCGAATATTTCACCATTCTCCCCAAAACAGAAATTCGCAACACCTCCATCAATCCGAATCCGCCCCAAAAGTACACCACCAGGAGACCAAACATGGATACCGTCTCCACAACCACTGTAAACATTTCCATCAAGGTCACACTTGATGCCATCGGGGATCCCAGCATCCGTCGCAGCAAACATTCTGCGGTTCGTGAGGAATGGTTCTCCGTGATAGATAGACACGTCAAAGGCGTAACTAGAAGTTCACAAAATCGTTAGCCCGCAGGCGTTTCGCGTATAAGAAAAAGAAAAAAAAAAAGCATACATCGCAGAAGCTTTTCGATCATCAACAGTTCCATCTCCATTCTGTTTATCGGTGTCGGTTATGTAAACCGTCTTCTCGTCAGGCGAGAAACAAATGCCATTTGGATGCCCGAACCCATCAGCCATCACTCGAATGCTACCACTTTCAGGCATCAGGCGATAGACCTGACTCGGTAAAGCAGGTTTCGGTCGGTAGCCTTGCTCAAACCCGTAGGTCGGATCAGTGAACCAGACCGACCCATCTGAATGTACCACCACATCATTGACGGAGTTGAAAGGTCGGCCATAGAAATCCCCCTTTATCGGTGAGGCATGGTAAGGCGCCTCAAGCTTCATCGAATATAGCTGACTTGGCTGGTCCATGGTTCCTTGGCCGCACATCAATGCATGCTTGGAATCCCAGTTCACCCCACCATTCGCCATGAGGATTCTGGTCTCGATTTCCTCTATGGTGACCGGCGAGGTCTTCAGGCCAATGCGAGTAACCTGGATATGGGGACTTCCATCAGCATTCGTGAGCTTGTTGCTGGTGACGAAGAGATCCTTCGTCTCGGGGTTATAGATCCCCGCTTCGTGGGCGAAGGGGTAATCTTTCTCCGCCAGAAGGTCGATGACAGGCGCTACGCCCAGAATGGCATGGAATTGCTTCTCGTGAGCCCGAAATGTCTCGTCGGAATCCATGATGTTGATGAATTCCAGTCTCTCGGGCTGGAGTCGCGCGTCTCCAGATGCAAGTGGGGATGCGCGGGGGAATTCGAACTGCCTCGTCTCGAGGCAGTCAGTGGGCGTGGGGTTAAAGTAGACCCATCGACGTCCACTCCAAATATCAAATATCGATATTTGTTCCAAGAGAATTCACTACAATGGCATCCTGGCGCGAAAACAACAAACACATCCGTATCTTGCGCGACGCAGAAGCCGGCAAGTACGGCGTCATTGCAGCCATCGCGTACAACATCGAGCAAATCCTAGGCTTTGTACGTGCCGCAGAGACTTCAAGATCGCCACTTATCATCCAGTTCTTCCCCTGGGCTATAACAGCTACCGAGGGTCTCTTGGTTCGGACCGCGGCAGATGCAGCTGCTAGGGCCAGCGTGCCCATCAGCATTCACTTGGACCACGCGCAGTCTGAGGACATCATCAAAGTCGCAGCAGACGGTCTCCCTTTCGATAGCATCATGGTTGACATGTCGCATTATGCAAAAGAGGTGAATCTGCAGAAGACTCGTGAGTTGGTCGACTACTGCAATCAGCGACAGATTGCCACGGAAGCCGAACCAGGTCGTATCGAGGGTGGCGAAGACGGTGTGATGGATACCGCAGGATTGGAAGCTTGTATGACGACTCCGGAAGAGGTGGACGAGTTCGTGGATACGGGTGTTGATGCTCTGGCGCCGGCTTTTGGTAACGTTCATGGGGAATACGGTTCACGGGGCCCTCAGCTGGATTTCGAGCGGTATGTCGACTTTCAAAGTAGGATAGAGCAGCACTGACGTTTTCTCAGATTCAATCAAATTCGCACTCAGGTTAGAGGAAGAGTCAGACTGGCCCTTCATGGGACGAATGGTTTCTCACCTGGAATCTTGAAACGATGTGTGGAGGCAGGCGTGTCAAAGATCAATGTCAACAAGTTGGTTTTGGAGGACTATTATGAGCACCTCCACTCCAATGCTGGCAAGATGCCACATACCCAGCTTTTTGAGGAGGGAATCCAGAAAGTCGCCGATCAGACTATGTATTGGATGGAAGTCTGCGAATCTGCTGGGAAAGTATAAGTGCTCGAGTGTGAAAACAAGACGAAGGATGTCTTGGTGGGCCATTGCATGTACATAGAATATCCATCGAGGTTGAAAGCACATTGACCTTAATGAAGCAAGTTCTCCAGACATTGGAGCGAAGCAACCATAACATCACAAATCCAAAACTGGGATTCCTAGTCAGTCTATGAATGAGGTTCACTCTCGCGCTGACCCGAGTGAGCAGAACTTCACCTCCGCTTCAGCATGCGCCTGGTCACATTCCAGGATCCGATGTTCCACCTTTTTCTAACACAACGCCGCTACCTTCGTGGCATATCACCGTCAACGCATAACAAACCCTTGGGACCCAGGCGCGAGAATCGGTCTCCTTCCCACAGGTTACCTCTTGGCTTTTACAATACAAACATGGCACACAATCACGGCCTCCTGGGTCCTGGCGACTGTCTTTCCCGAGCTTTGTGTCACCCCATCCTTTCATACAAAAACAATAGGACCTGCTTCTGGTTCAAGAGAGTGCGAGGGCCAAAAGGCAAGTATCAATCTGAGGCAATTTGGAGAATCGGAATTAAGGAAGGATCGGCGTTTAGGTAAAGTCCGCATGTCCTTGCACATAAGCACGGAGGGAGCCTCCAGGGCTGAGTTGTATATTGCCTAAGTACTCAAACAGCCCCTCACCTGGACACATCGCATCCCCCATCATGACCGGTACACACCGCGCCGCCATCCTCCCACAGCAGGGTGGTCCCTTATCCATCGAAGATCGCGCCACTCCAGAGCCCGGCCCAAATGAAATCCTGATCGAAGTCAAGGCCGTCGCTCTAAACCCCGTCGACTATAGTCAGCGCGACTCCGGATTCCCTCCCGTGCCTAGCTACCCAGCTGTCCTAGGGTCTGATACCTCTGGTCTCATCGCAAAAGTAGGCAGCGATGTCTCCGCTGACCTAGAACCAGGAAGTCGAGTCGTTGCATTCGCCTCCTCTTTCTATCAGAACGGCTCGCCAGATCACGGTGCTTTTCAGAAGTATGCTCTGGCACAGTCCGAAGGTGTGACTTTGCTTCCGGATAATATCTCTTTCGAAGAAAGCGCAGTACTACCCTTGGCTGTCCTGACTAGCTTGACTGCCTGGACTACTATTGGCATCTCGCTCGATACCAGGTATACACCGCAAGACAAACAGGCGATTCTCATTTGGGGTGGTGCTAGCAGTGTGGGCATGTTGGCGATTCAGTCAGCCAAGTCGCTTGGCTTTACCGTCTATGCTACGGCTAGTCCTAAGCATCACGAATATCTCAAGAAGCTCGGAGCGCACGCAGTATTCGACTACAAATCCAGTGATGTTGTTTCACGGCTCGTGGAGACTGTGAAGAGTGATGGTGTCCGTCTGCATACTGCACACTGTGTCGTTGAAGGTGGTCTGCAGCCAACGCTGGACGTTTTCAGAGAGACGAAGGGTGATGTGGCAGCTAAGGTTGCCCATGCGCCTGTCTTGCCTGCGGAGCACCCTATACTCGACAACACGGAGATCAAGTTCGTGTTCCCATCTATGGATCCGGTTGAGAGGAGTAAACACATACACCGGTGCTTCCAGATTTGGCTGAGAGGCGGTCTAGAGTCTGGTTCAGTCGTTCCTAGCCCACCTCCCCAGACCGAGCAGGGTGGACTAGAAGGGTTGAATCAGGCACTAGACAAATTGAGGTCAGGTGTCAGTGGATCTAAGATTGTCTTGTCGATATGATGTCTTGTTTATAGTTGATACGGTCCCAAGTTGGCCTGAACAGCTAGCAGTGGAAGTCTCGGCCGGAAATTGAGCGCCGAATGAAAGAACATCCGTTAGTCTATCGTGTAAAACTAGAACCAGACAGATGTTCGTATTTTTGTGACGCAGCATTAGATACAAGTTTACATAGGTATTGTATACTAGTCCTTGGTATAGCCACGACAAGAAACTTGAACAATATTCTGTTTCCCGCCATCTTCAATGACCAGAGCCGTCAATTTCCCACCCTTCACGCAGCCAGAATCCAGGCCTTTGGTGAACGTCCGGATAGAGAGAGAGGAATGTGCGTCATGCCCATAGACGACTGTCATTGTTTTTGCACGTGGGTTATCGCTCGTCGATTCGAGCGCCGAGTACAGTACTGATTGGTGTTTGTCAAACATCTACAGTAGCGTTAGTGCTCCACCTCAGAAAATGACAGGAGAGAGTTGAAAAAAATTAAAAAGAGTCTTACCTTTGCCCAGTTTGTTCCCTTCTTTTTCGAGCTAGGCACATGCGTATCAAGGTCCATTGTTCTCATGGTCATGACGCTGACTGGATCCTGCTTTTCAAGTGCAATCTCAGGGACCAGGCCTGCATGAACGACAACCACTTGACCCATGTTTGGTATTTGGCCAACATCCAATATCACTGGGCAGTTCTCAAGCCATTGTACTTGTTCGTCACTCAAGGACCGCGCAAGCGCACGCTCACTCAGTTCTCGGGATGAATGGTGGGAAGCTTTCGTATCATCTGAATCGGTAAGACTCTTGGTTCTGACCATCTCACGTCGATGAAGGAGGATCCTGTCCTCATGGTTGCCGCGCACACTGGAGGCTGAATACTGCCGAGCGAGATCCACGACTCCTATGCTGTCTGGTCCCTTGTTGATCATATCGCCGACGAAGATTAAATGATCGCCACCCTTGTGGTTGAATTTCACCTTCTCAAGAAGTTGCTCTACTGTTGATTTTGAAAAACTGTTAGCGTTCCAAGGTCGGATCTGACAACTTTGCACCATAGAACATCATCCGAAACTTACACTCTTCTTTACAGCCATGAACATCACCCACAATGACCAGTCGTCTCTTATGATTTGACTCTGCATCAGCACCCTCCAGATCAGTAGGTACCAGGTCCGGGTTCAGTTTTTGAATCTGAATCAGATCGTTGAATTGAGGCATCGAATTCGCTCCAAAACGTCCAACCGAGCCCGTTCTTGAGTTCGGGTCAAGGGAGTTCAATAAAGAATTCCTCTCCTGCAGGCGAGGCGAGAGTACGATTCGCCATCCTAGCCATCCGAAGATGATGAATGCGAGGTATATCAACGCATAACGCCGGAATCGCGGCGCGGATACTATTGACTGTATCATCTGCGTCCATTTTGGAAGCTCTGTGTCGCCCGAAGGTGAACTAGAATGTCGATGACTAGTTCGAGCTTGTGACTGCCATCCATTCCGGGCAGATTCAATCAGCGGGCGAGAGGCCTGGTATTGTCGTGAGTAGGAGGAATGCAGGCTTGTGGCTGGGGGAAAGTCCTCATCAGCGTCGGATTGAAAGCCCGACTGGAAGTCGCCGGCGGCCATGATCCGTGATGCAGTCGGATCAGAGTTTGCAGTCTTCACGGGTGCATTGCATGGAGGTGAGGAAGTTGCCAGGCAGAAATTAAGGTGACGTTTACCCCGACGTCCGCCCCGATAAGGTTGATAAGGTGGGACCCGAGATCGACAACCTTCCAAGGTTGGAACCGCGTTGGGTTTGGCCTTTGGATGTGCCAAGACTACGGGGGTTTTGATGTATAGTAGAGTGTTCATATATTCATGTCTTGTCTTTTTACTTTTATGTTACAGTCATGGTCTATCCACGGTATTGGTCGTACTCCAAAGCCTCCTTTTTCCGCAGGTCAACGCGCTGGAGGACGGCTTCATCGTAGACTTCTTCCACCTTTTTGCCTCCCTTCAGCACCTCATTCTCATGACGGATGGCCTCCTCCTTGGTCATGCAAACCATTTCGTTGATATCCATGGGCGTGCTCTTTTGGCCCTCCTGTGCAAAGGTCAGGTCCAGTTCCCATCCCTTCGCGGGGACCTGCCAAGGCACGAGAGCCAGCCTGTTAGCAAGACCACTGATCACACTCTTTCCGCGGAAGACTTCTTCCACAGTGAAGGCAACATCATCCTTGCTTAGAGGGGGTCGAAGGCCAACAGTGTCTTGGCCAGTTGTTTGCTTGATCATCCGCTCTTGCAAGGCCAACAAGCTACCCAAGATGCTATCGTAGAGCTTCTCGCGGCCCTTCGCACCCATGTTATAGTCAAGAGGATATCCGGTAATAGTGCAAATGACATGGTTGGCGACGGTGTAACCAAACACTGCAGGCATAGTTCCCAGAACGGGGAGAATGCGAGAGCGGAAGTCCGGAAGAACACTCAGTTCGCCAACCTGGCCCTTGTTAAATTCATCCTCGGGCAGAGGAAGTAGGCTTGCCTTGCCCGGTCCGGGCTTCTCAGTCGAAAACACCGCTGCAATGCCGGAGCTGATTCCTTTCAGCTTCAGCTTTCGGCGGGTGCTTCGAGAGAGAGGGTCATCCGTAGTGAGTGAAATATCACCGACCACAACGCGAGTGGGGTCCGATTTGCACCCGGCACCCATGGATGCAATGACAGGCAAAGAGTTGGCGTGGCAGTATTCCAACAGTTCCACCTTGGAACCGATGTTATCGATGCAATCCAGCACAAAATCAGGTCGACGGCCTTCCCCGTCGTGTGTCAGTGACCATGGGCCGAGAAGATCCTCGGAAGCGCTTTTTCCATAAAGCTCATTCCGGCAATCAAACGTAACCCAGGGTGCAATTTGTTCCAGTCGCCTCCGAATGCAATGGACCTTCGAGGTTCCGACATCGGCCAGCGTTGCGAGAGCATGACGGTTTAGCGACGAAAGAGTGACTTGGTCGAAATCGATGAGTCGGATCTTGGAGACGCCAGAGCGGGCCAGGGAGGCCGCGGCGTGCGAGCCGACTCCACCGCAACCCACGACAACAATGAATGAGGATCGAAGCTTGGCGAGACCTTCGTCGCCGAGGAAAACACGGTTCCGAGCAAGTTGTTCAAGAATCAGGTCTGGAGTAGGAAGCAAGCAAGTAAGCAAACGGTTCACAAGGGCTTGTCACAGGGAAAGAGGTCGCATACCATCGTCATAGTCACCCCGCTGCGCTCTGCGAGCCAAAGCTGCACTGCGCTCATCCTCTTTGCTGAGCTGGACTGGGCTTTCAGCGGCACCGTACTCGGTGAGCTATGCTCCGATTAGCCTTTCCGATCTTTATTGAGCCGCGCATAAAAAAGAGCACGCAACCCCAATGGGAGAGCTTACCTTCCCAGCCGGATGGGATTCGTCGATGTTTGGGATCGAAGCTTTCAGATCAGACACTGCTTCTTTCCGCCTGTACGACTGGTAGCCGAAGATAGCACCCGCAACAGCTGCGCCGGACAAAACAGCCGTGGTCGCAAGCTGGCCATGGGACGATCCAGCCTGGCGCTGGAGCCAGGAAGACATGGTGCCGATTAACCCCCTCTTCTCTGGTTCTTTTGTGTCTTTTTTCTCGTTCGTATCGTGGGGGTGAGTGTTGCGATCAGGATCGGGTCTGGTGTCAAGCTCGTCAGAATCATACCCATAGTCGAGGTCGGCATCAGTGGGTGCTTGCCACCACTTCGAGGCCATTATTCATGCAAGGAGTACTCACCATCACAAACAACCGGTCAGGGTAGGCATTGACCTCTTAAGGTTGGAATGGCATCTGCAAATGCGTTCATCAGTGGAACCACGATTCCTGTCACGTGCAGCAGCCCTCCGTATTGGTCTCCCGCAATCCTCAGTCCTTCTTCTGCCATGACCCATTGGGCATCCCAAAAGCGCGGCTGTGAGCTTGCCAGATATCCGGATTTACGTGTCTGGGCATCACCTGAGTGATTGTCAGGTGGAATTACGAGTGCAAAGACACGTGTATGGAGAAAGCGGTCATCGAATCGGAGACGCGCTGACATGCAATCACAACAACCACCTGTCATCGCGAGTGAAGATTCACAGTGTACCTTGATCAAGGATATCTGGTATATCCAGGGTACACATACCTCATAACACTGACGTATGAAGCAGGTAAGGTATCACAATCACAACCCAAGGCCAATTACACAGCGTGCATCACACTGTTGGTTGCAGAAGGCAGCCGTCCAATGATCAGCCTCAATGACGATAAACCTCACCCGAGCTTCTCATGACATGTCGGTTCAAAGATCCGTCGGGCCGTGGACTTCATCCCCTTGGCAACATGGTGGAAGAAGACACTGGTCCAGGTGTGGGTGATTGAGAAATGAACAGAGATCTTAGAGGCTGCCATCAGTTCATCACCCCTTTCCACCAAATATTAGCCGAATTATTTCTATATGAATCTCACTGACATTTTGCAGCATTCTTGTACATATTTCAATACTGCAAACCAAATTAGACACCATTTATTGTCTATCACACCAGCGCCTTTCCATTCCGGCCACTCCTTCACCGCATTTCCAAAACATCATGCACAAGCCCAATGACGAAAAGTTCCCAAGCACTCTGAGGCCTGTATATTTGCTCTGCCTGTATGCCTACCAAAGGAAACGGCAAGCAACCAATGACGAGTGAACAATTTAGGTAGTTTTCAATCCGAGGGCAAGCACCACTGCATGATGATGGATTGAATTGATGGATGTGACTTGTCTGCCAGCTAACAAGCTCACCTGAAACTCTTCCCAGTCTGTTTCCACTGCATTGCTGTACCTACCAAGCATTCCTGGCTCCAGAGGTCTTTCATTTCACTATCAATTTCAAGAGCGCTAGCTATCAGTCCGCTCGCCATGTCTTCCTACGGAGTACAGGTCGATATCAGAATATTGTCTGCCTGGTTTTGCTTGCGTGCCTCTATCAAATCGCCATAGCTATACTAGTCGTCTTGGGCCATAGCGTTCTCTGGTTTCTATCGGGGCTTTGTGAAAAACCCTGTGTATTCTTGTGGCTCGGCGTTTGTACAATCGACAGCCTCACACCAACGGCGAGTAACGGGGTCTTTCCAGCATACCGAGGTGACATCTTACGCTAGGCTTCCTTGGACTGACGGTGGCTCTTGAGAGCACACCAAGTGCCTGAGCCCCTGATAGCGTGGTCGCAGAAGATTCCTCATGCTTGTATTGAAGACCAGATATGAATGAGTAGCTGGTCAACTTGAGCATCACCATTCTGTGAATAAGATATGAATGTCAACTGCGATCGTGCCTCAATTGGTTTCAATCCTCATTTCTGCTGTTCAGGGTCCATGCTTGTCTCAACCCGCCGAATAATCCTGGCCGGGTTTCCGGCAACAAAGTGGAAAGGAGGAACATCCTAGTACGGTCAGGTGAATTCTGCTATAGTTAGGAAATCAAAGTGATCTTCTTACCTTGGTGACAACTGAGCCAGCCCCGACTGTACTCCCCTTCCCGATTCTAACACCTCCAAGTACAATGACACTGCCACCGATCCAAACATCATCTTCAATGTGCACTTCCTTGCCGCCTTCCGGTCCCTTCAATCCTCGTCGAACAGCAGGATCCATCGGGTGTGTTGCACCGTATATGCAAACGTTCGGGCCAAACAACACGTTCTCGCCGATAGTGATCAGACAAGTATCGAGGACAAGCAGGTTGAAATTCAAGAAAGTGCCCTTGCCGACCTTGAAATTCAATCCATGATCCACAGAGATAGGGCCATCAACCACTGGATCCGTTTCGTCGAAGAGTTCCTCGTCCAGCTTTGGGTCTGGGTTCACTGGTGGCATGGGACGAGTGTCGGCAACAATACTGGAATAATGACAATCAGCACCAACTCCGGCGTCTCATGCTTTCACAGCAAACTGACTTTCTCCATAGTTTAACTTTCTCGCGCCTTGTTGCATACCCGGCGGCATTGAACTCATCGCAAGCCTGCTTACAGCGCGTGCGGTTTGCTTGTAGGTCCTCATCTCCGGCCCAGTATGGCTCTCCGCGGAGCATCTTCGCCCATTCTTTTGATTGGGCCATTATGTGCGAATATATGTGTCTTGGTGAAAAGTGATAAAGTATTGGAATCTGCCTCCATACCTATTTATACCCGGTTATACACCATGACGTCGCGCGGGGAACATCAGTGGGCAATCGAACTATAGTGGGGGAGTCCTAATCGGGAAGTTCGGCCAGCTGCCCAGGAACAATCTCGACATAAGATCAATACTGTTCCAGGTTTGGCTTGTCGGAGCAGGTTCTAGGGATGAATTGCTTATCACGATCAAATCTTCCTTGGAAAACCTCCCACTAGGCAGTCCCCAGAAGACGCACATACCGTCTACCTAGGTATAGAATCACCGCATCTGTGAAAAGATATAGAATCTCGGACTCGGAGACTCGGAGCTCGTATACTTGGAATCGGACATAATTACTGTTTTCGAAGAGCCAATGAAATTCATTCGGAAGAACAATGACCCACTCTGTCCATCGTGAGCTCGCGTTCCCATTCGACTCAACATTCGCGAATCCTCCCTGCCCAAGCGCGCAGCACTCTGGTCTCCGATTTGAGCCACGTCGCGCTCAAAAATGCAGGGCTTTTCACACTGAGTCAAATCCAGTTTGACCAATGGGCTGTTCCCAACCTTGAAGGGCTATGTACGAACACCCAACTTCCCCAGCCCATTGATCTCGACTTTCGACGCGTCTGATCCATTGTTCAATACCACAGTATATGGTTGGACTATCCTGGTCAGATCGTATTTCTCAATAAGATCCCCAAGCTGAATTTTGCTTGTGGTCCTTCTGGAAACATTCGATTCGTGGACGCGCCTACCGACATGCCAGGTGCCTCAACGGGGGGGACTGTCTAGGTAAAAGCATTATCTTGATTTAGTCTACTTCGGTCTCTTTCTCGCCCGGTGATGATCTCGTCTTGAAGACGAAATAAGCCAATGCTAAGGCATCTGCTGGACAACGGCTCCAATCCTTTTAATAGGCGTGGAACGGGAGATAGCTGGAAGCCGGTGATTAAAAACCTGAGAGCAACCTCTGAGGGCGAGTCTGGCTTGGTTGAATTCTCGTAGACATCGTAATTGCTTCTGCCTTTGATTTGGACGCATCTTGCATACCTAGTACTAGGTAGGTAGATTTTACAATGCGACCAGTCCTGGTCTCCAGGCGTGTCTAGTCGGCTCTCCCAAATTGCACATGAGGATATATAAGAGGTATTTCATTAAGAGTAAACGCCTGCTAAATGCATTCTGAAGAGCCACGCTCCACAACTGTACAATTCATCCGTCACCCAGTTTTGTTCTCAGGCTATACATAATGCGACTAGTCAAGGAACTTGCCCAGCGCACCTCCGATGTTCTTGAGATCCAGCAGGAACGTGTCATGGCCAAACAATGACACATCGTCGCCGAGCTCAACATGCTTCACATTGTTGTTGCCGCCGGCACGGAGTGTCTCAGCGATCTCACGCTGCTGCCACGCGGGGAAGAGGATATCACTGGCAACGCCCATGACAAGCACAGGGTGGTTCTTGAGCGGTGCAAGACCAGCAACAAGATCACGAGGAGGTCCCTCTGTACCCTCGGTTGCAACAGACTCGTCCAGCGGCGTCGCATTGGAGGTAGAACCGGGCTGTTCCTCGTATGGCTGATCAGGCAGGGTCAGACTGCAAGACTCAGAAGCGCCAGAAGCAACCTCGCCATGAGCAATGCGGTCCTCAGATTCCGCACGACGCTTCAAAGTCTCAGTCTGATGCGCATGACCAAGATCAAACAGGTCCATAGCCTTGGACACATAGAGCAGACTGTTAGGGTCATACTCGAGACAGAACTTCTCACCCGCATGGTCGAGATACGTCTCAATAAGGAAGTCAGGGCAAAGAGCAGGCTGCTTACTGGGATCTGCGCGCTGACGTCCAAAGCGCATTTCCCACTCCGGACCACTGCGGTACGTGACGGTGGCGATCTCACGCGCAAGCTTCATACCCGAGTGTGGTGGGATAGCATCGTAGTAGAACCCACGTGCCCAGTTGGGGTCCATCATCAGGACCTGGCGCTGGGTGTGACGCATCGCAATACTGTAGGGGTGACTGCGGGCGCAGCCACTGATGCTGACGATTTTGCCCACGCGCTCTGGGAACAGCACGCCAGCTGCCAGACTTTGCATACCGCCCATACTGGATCCGACAGAGGCAGCTAGTTTCTTGATACCCAGTCCGTCGAGGAGGCGGAACTGAGCGCGCACCATGTCGTCTAGAGTTAGGATTGGGAAACGGGTCGCATAGCGCTTTCCGTCGGAGGGGTCGACGGAGGATGGGCCTGTGCTGCCGTAACATCCGCCCAGTACATTTGTGCAGATAATGTGATATTTATTGGTGTCCAGAGGCAGGCCGGGACCGATGAACTTCTCCCACCAGCCGGGCTTGGGGTTGGATGCTGTGCTGTGGGCGTGGCTGGAGGCCGACAAGCCGGTATGTAGGAGAATAGCATTGCTCTTATCGGCATTCAATTCTCCCCATGATTCATATGCGACGTCGAATTCATTGAGCACGCCGCCCCAGTCGAGCAGGAGTGGCTGTTCGCAGTGGTATGATTCGTGTTGGCCGGTGGTGTATGAGGGTTCGGGGCCGGATCGTAGCGACCGGGCGGACAGCTGTGCTGATTTCGCTTCTTGGGCATCGAGACACGGGAATGACATCGCCGGGTTCGACGAGTCTCTCTGCGCTGACTCTGCAGCTGCAGACTTCCGTGTCCCGGTATGTAGCGATGCGGTTCTCCATTGCGCGGAGAGAGCCCGGTGCGGTGCGGTGGGCAAGAGGCTCCCTCGCGGGGCTCGCAATATACGCGAAGCAGCTCGTGCAGCTTGAGATCGCATATTGATGTACAGGTGAATTGGAAAGCACTGGAGCTGGGAACATTGGAAGCTTAGAGATTACAAATTGACACCTGAGGCGGCCATCTGTCGTCATCTGCGATATCGGTGATTGGTGGAGAAGCACAAGCATTCAGCGCAGTAACAGTGGACTTTCCCTCGGTCAACAATTCGGTGATACTCGGGCGAGAGGTAAAAGAGATTATGGTAGAGTACAAGGACTGGAAATAGATACCCTACAAGGCTGTAACTAAGAAGTACTCATGTACACAACGCAATCGAATTCCATTTCTCGCGATCCAGTGCCCATAGGTATATACTAACGCCGAAATTGTTCCCAAACTCCAAATCCAATTCATTGCTCAAACTGAGCATCACGTCGAATTCGTAGCTGTCTGATTAGCTATGAGCTCGGTCATCACGATCGTATGGTTGTTCGACCGGATATCAATGGCCCCAGCCCACATACAACGGTGCGGGCCACAATTTGCATGTAAGACAATCTTGGATCCATCAGCTGAGACTGTCGCACCGCCCGGCGACTCGAGACCCCAATCAGACGTCTGCAGGAGGGGTCGATCGGCCCTGGTATACCGGCCCTTGAGAGACTTCGAGTGCGCGTACTTCACATTATAGCCGAAAGAGGTATAACAATGCGAGGAGAAGAACAGGTAATAGGTTCCGTCCGAGGTGACGATGAGGTTGGGTGCCTCGACAAGTGGGCCGTCAGAGCCGTCGATATCGAGAATCTTTACTGCATCTCCGACCGTCGTGATGCCGTCACTCTTCAGTTCTTGTAGTAGTAGCGGCACGGATACCACTGGCTTCTTGCTATTGCCGCAGTTGCCACCATGGCCCATGCTGTTTCCGTCGCCTTTGTAGACAACGTAGAGTGTGCCGTCTGTGTCTCTGAAAGGGGATGGGTCAATTGCACCGCCGTGTTTGTGGGGGCAGGCCAGTGGCTCATCCTGGGGGATGAAGGGACCCAAGGGACTCGTGCCATTTGATACTGCAACACCGACGCAATGATGAGTGCCGAAGTTCTTCTTGACTTGTCCTGAATAATACATCACGAATTTTCCATCGTCCTGGGAGTACGTGTTAGCACCTGATGGCATATATAAGGGTAGACGACTCTTACCCGCTGAATCACATCAGGAGCCCAATGATTGACCTTTCCTTCCCATGTTCCCAGTGTGGGCAATGTATCATAATCCTCTTTCAGCGTCCAATTGACAAAGTCAGGCGATGTAGCCACAGGCACGTGGATGCTGTTGGGGTTCTTCTTCTTGGGGTTGGTTCCATATGCATACCAGATGCCATCGTGCCGCACAAGGCCCGGGTCCGGGAAATTGTGAAGAGCAAACTGGGGCGCATTTTTTTGAACGTGGTAACTAGCATCTTCGTTGGGCTGAGGCAGCTTCCAATAGTCGTCCGTGTCTTTTGCATAACCGTAGATCTTCGTGAAGTAGATCGGGAGAGCAATGACCAGTGCACTCAAGGTGAATGCGACAAATACAAGAGCGCAAATTGCACCAACTTGGCGTCGTCCCCATGGTTTGGCAAAAAATCGTTTCTTTTGTTGCTTTTCGGCATTTTCAACAATGGACGTGTCGGGCGCTGGTGTCGTGTCCAACGAGGGTGTGTTGCTATGTCTGTCTGAGATTTCGTTGACCGCAATAGAGGGATCGACCTTTCTGTCTACCTCGAACGGTATCTCGCTCGCCATTTCTGGTGCCGGTAAAGCGATAATGTCCAGGTGTGGTGCCGTGGTGTGTTACAGTGCTGTGTGCTGAAGATCCATACACCGCTGGACTGGATTTGAAACCCTGCCGATCTGTGGTCTGCTATTCCATAATCCCCGATGGATTCAAGATTGCTTCAAACAAACCATTAGCATTAGCAAAAATTGGCAGCAGGCTTCCTTATATGAAAACCGCAAAATGGGGACAAAGGACCGAGGCGTGACCGATTGGCTCTGGATGCAAAGTGAGACCCTGAAAAATAGTGGACGGACCCTTCAAGCGCTAAGAATTTCAAAACCACAGATTAATTCTAGCACACAATTTCTGAAACTAGGGTCATTTGCTTCCATAGAAGAGGGGAAACATTATCGAGAGTCAAGCTTTTGCGGGTGTTAACATCCCAGGATCGCTCCAATGGGGACCCCCCATATGGACACTGTTTGGGCTATCACCTTCTGTTTGGAGCCTAGTCTTCATTTGTTCCGTTTGTTCCTTTGGTTCTGCTCTCGGAACTCAATTTATACTCTGATTTCCCGTGTTCTCCGTGTTTTTCTTATCTGCAATACTAGTAGACTGCCATGTCTGGGCAAAAGGTAAAATTGAGAGTCATAGTGTAGTAACCCGTGCATCGTACTAGTAATCATACGAAGTTCTACTGTTCCAGGTGGACTCGAAAATTTTGAACCGGGTCTCACGGCAGTGTGTGGAGTGGCCCAGTATCATGCAGGCTAGGCACCATAATTAGTACGGTATCAAAGGACCCTTGGTCTGATCATACAAGCGAAGTCAGGGACTCCCCATGTATTAAGGGTACTTTGTACAGTTCTCCGTATTGTATACCGACGTGCGGATTTATCGGCAATGCGATATCGGCGCCCAAGGGCTGACAAGCTGGGCTTCCTGGTCGATTTGTGGCTAGCCACTAGCTCTTTGGTTGCCACCCACGGGATGCCTTGTTGGGGACGAATTTAAAATAGCAAAGGGAAACGTGCTCCTTCGAGATAAGCGTCCATGCACGCCAAGCCTTGTCGGTGGCGCAGTGTGTGAAAGAACTTTACTCCAAGCTTCGAGGGATTAGAAATGATTCTGCTCGTTATCAGTACAATACAGAGGCTTTGTGATATTGGAATATTATTGCGTGCTCCAGCTCTTTGGTAATTCGAGGGACGCAGAATAGCAGTACTTCCGCTAGTAGCTGACAATCAACATCGTCTACTGAGTACTGTTAGTAGAAAATTCGGGTCGTCCATTTAGAGTCAAAATCCTGCTTGGTGGTATGCATGGTGCCTTTAGTGCAGGTACGAGGTGGTGTTTGATCTGCAACCTTGAAGGCCTTGTCTGGCTGATCACCTTTCGCCGATGTGACCAACCTCGGAGCCTCGCAAACCACTTGTTTAATGGGGAATCTTTAATCAGTTTTTTCCATGGTTGTAGTCGAATATGACTTTGGAACCTTTCCCCCATTGAGCGAGGGCGCTTTTCCGGGGTTCTCGCATCTGTCGATGCCCAAGTATATATGGTCAGATTAACGACAGTCATGATGGATTTAAGTGTGTGCCCGGCAGACGAACCTTTTGTAGTATATCCATGAATGCTGCCCAGGTGGATATTAATGGCAATACTCAAATCCCGGCAAAGCATGCTGTCGATCTTGGTAACAAGTTTCAAGCTTTAAAGAGGTGATGCTACATATTAGATATGGACAGGCGACTGGAAATTGGAAATTAAGCATTCAACTTGGCGTGGGGAAAGCAAGTCCTCGGGTCCGGGGTCTGCAAACACACGGGAAATGCGGGGAAAGGTTGAGGCCCGGGCACTCCGAGCCAACGATGGAAAGACAAGCCGACATGACGAACTCTACAGAGTTTCGTTAGTGAGGAATTGTGCGTGGCAATGACCACGCGATGGGCCCTAGGGCAAATGGGACACCATCGCTCTCGGTTCCGCATTTGTTCAGGCTGATCTGGCGTCCTTGCTTCGGCTCGGCGAGTCCAGAGAGCAATGCATGTCACTCGAAGCGAAATTGAAATGCGAGTGGCGGTGATCCCGATTCTAAAGCTTGCTGCTTGTGCCGAATGAGACGGGGAAAGCTGAAAGACGCCACTAGAGCGGAGCGCTGGCGGCGTTGCCGAGACTGTGTCTAGCGGATGCTTTTACAAGAGGTCTTTTGAGAGCAGCAGCCGGTGAATATGCGTAGCGAGTCGAAACGAGGGAAGCAAACTTGGAAGAAAGTGAGATACAGGGAAGAGAAAGACGTATCGGTACTTGGAGAAGAACATCAGGCCCATTGATCTCCAAGCCTAGCTACCTGTTGGAATTCCAGCTCGACACCACCTGGGCAGGGGACCCATTGGCACAAATATTGCTACTAATGGATTGCTATCTCGGTATAGCCCCTTCGTTTACTCCTGAGGTCTTTCTTCTGCCCAGTTTACACCGATCGAGTTCCAAGGTTTCTCTTCTAAGCATCAAGACCTCCGAGCAATGACCCGACAACCAATAGCGATCCGGTATAAGCGGCTCACGCGAGCACCGACAGGTTTCGGGAAATTCAAGAGGGTTCTCGCAGCCGACGCCACTTCAGCTCCACGCGTCTGCAGGAACGCAGATTGACACTGGAGCCGATATGTGGGGCGGCCCGTGCCGAACCACTCACCTTGTGGGCTGTGAGAGGGCGAATACAGTAAGACAGAAAGAGTTGACAACATAGCCTGGGCTCATGATACGCAGATTGAGTGATTGCAAGCTTGCTGCCGTTTTAGGGTTGGAGGCACCTCGGCCCCTTCCAGGTGGGCACTGGGCAGTGATACGGGCGAGGAAAACTATATAAAGCAGGTCTTCTCCCAAGTCTTATATCTCCAGACAACGACACTGACTTCGACGAACATCACTCGAACGGAACTTGACGCACACAGTAGCCTTGGAACTACAATGGCACCCTCCATAATGTCAGCATCTATTCCCCTGGCTATGAAGCGAAAGAGCCGTGTTGACTCCCCCAACAGCTCGAATGACACTGCCAGTGTCCCTGCGGCACCAGTCAAGTCCCTCCACACCAACGGGTCGAATGGGACAAGCGGAAACGTTGTTTCTGCTTTGAGCAAAGCTGATCCCGTGAATGAAATTACCAATCAAACGGTCTTGAACACCCATTTCGATGTTTTCATGAAGACGGAGCTTGCAGTCGAGGCCCGCAAGTTCGACTGCGTCAAGCATGTCCGACCAGCTCAGTTCCCCGAGGCTCTTGGTGCCCTTCCTTTTCCCCAGGAATTGAGAGGGCTAGTCGCCTGGACTGACGCGTTTGTCGAACGACTTGGTTGGGCTGCTTTGCAGGCAGAACAGGTTAGAACAATGTAAACATACCACAGGACTGCAAGCTAACATTGTCATATCACAGAAAACAGCGAGCAAGGATATCTCTCTTGGCCGTGCTGATCGGGAAATTGAACGACTCAACCTTCGGATCCAGGAGCTGCAGACAAAGCTACACGATTCCGTCGGAGTGAATCATTAGTTGAAGGGCGAGATTTCACACTTGACTAGTCGCAACAGGGCTCTAGAAGAGCAACATAAATGGGACGTTGAACAGATGGAGGCTTTCAACAAGACTATTGCCGAGAAACAGACGACCATCTGGGGTTTGACAAAGGAGAACGAGAAACAACGAGCTAGCGTCAATCGTCTGGTGGAGCGGGTCAAGAAACTCATTTCTCAGCACAAGGGAGACAAGAGTCTGATCGAGGCCTTTGAAGAATGGAAGGCGGCAGACAAGATCCATGATGACGAAGTCGATAAGCTCGTTGATTCTCTGAAGAAGGATGTCGAAACCCAGATCGCTGCCACAAAGGCTGCCCAGACGAAGGCAGATGCCGCAGAGGCCAAATTCAAAAAGTTGGAGGCTGAGAATGCCCGACTCGTTACACTTGATGCACAGCTCGCGGAGCGGGTCAAGACTGTTGCTGAGCAACTCAAGAAGCTTGAGGCAGAGTTCGGAGTCTCGGAAGGACAGAAGGCAACATTGGAGGCATTGCTTTCAGAGCTCAAGAAGAAGGAAACTAATGCTCAGATTGAGATCCAAAATCTTCACCAGAAATTACACGATGCCAAGGAGAGTGTCGAGGCTGCTAAGGAACAAGTTCTCGCCGCCAATGAGCACGCCAAGACTCACTGGGAGACCCTGCAGACCATTCGTGTTGATGGTGGTTGGCTGCGGACTGATGCAACAGATCCTTGCGATGTCAGACTGGCGTCCTTTTGCAAACTTCCTGCTTCCGAGGCCCAGCCTACCGCCGATATCGACAACCCATTCAACTAATTTCTAATTTCTGGGGGAATGACTGCTGGATTGAGGTGTACTGTCCCTTGTTGTGCTGGAACCTGGAATGGTGTATCTAATCTTTTGCCTGTATACTCATATCATTCTGTTTGTAATGTCATTTTCTGTGTCTTCTCATGTTATTCATCCAATGAAGAAGTGTCATCACTTCTGATTCACATCCTGCAGCCACGCGAAAGAGCGGACCCCAGGCAACTTTTCAAAGTGGCCGTAAATAGCTGGAGAAGGGGGCCTCACAGTATAACATCTGCAGGTGGTGCATGTCATGGGACATATCGAGTAACGGGGTTGGTCAAAATCTGGCATGTCACAACCGAAGGATCATTTGTGGTCCACGGGTGACACTTGAGATGACACTTCGTATTGGGCCCCACGTTCAGGCATCGCAGCGATGTCAATACCGAGACATGGAGGTCTCACCTGGCGATCATCGCCCATTATGGATACCCGTCAGGAACGCTGTGGGGGAGGATCAAAATCTTGCTGATCTCGACATAGCTTATCGAACACAGATGATCTCGAGATCAAGATGTCAAACTCCCGTATACTGTAGTATGAATGTCTGCGATTCAATGACATACCGTGGACTATATCGCCCATCGCTGGAGGTGAAGTCGTAAGGAAGCTGACGAATGAGGTGCCCCATCACAATCAAGCCTCAGGCCACGTGAGCGCCACCCCCAAAGAGGCTACAAGCTGCTTTTGGCGTACGCAATCCTCTGGAGACACCCAACTTAGCCAGATTTTGTGCGGGCCTGCGTACGTTGCTTCTTCGTGCAAGCTTGGGGTCTTGTGCTTTTTCCCCTCGTGTCCGCCCCTATCTTGATTGCGGATCCATATCGCCGACATCGACACCCGTGGACTTCTGCGCAACCAATGCGGCCCTTGTAACAGATACCTGTGTACCGACATGTCACCCTCTCGCTTTCCCTGATCCAGGATTCGGCAGCTTCCCATTGTGTCCAACCCCGTGAAACGAAGACCGCGGACCTCCTACGCGCCCGATCTCGCGCATCCACGAACTCAAAATTACAACAGCCTCATTTCTTGGCTTTCCTCAATATTCCGCTATCGCGAGCCTTCAAGCCACCTCGCTCGGCAGGGCCGGCCAGATCGCACACGATGATTACCCCGCGCAAGGTTCTGCTTGCCCTCATATCCGTGGTCACCTTTATCGTCCTCCTCCGCTCGTTCCGAACCCCCGAAGTCCCAGGCGCGCCCGGGTATAGGCCCGTGAAAAAAATATCCGAAGAAGAGGCGGACACTTTAGCGAAATCCCAGCGGAAAACACCGCCCCAGGGACGAGCCCAACTACCCCTCGGCGCATCGCCGACTGCACCGCTTCGCGAGCGTCTCCGCTATCAGTTCCCGTATGAGCTGGAGGAAGGGTTCCCCGCATATATCTGGCAGACATGGAAGTATACTCCATCATCAATGTGGTTCGACGAAGACCTCCGGGGCCCGGAAGCTAGTTGGTCGGAGATGCACCCTGGGTTCACGCACGAAGTGGTTCCCGATAACACCCAAGCCCACTTGATCAAGTATCTGTATGGGTCAGTCCCGGAGGTATTTGAAGCATATAACTCTCTACCCCTGGGAGTCATGAAGGCGGATTTCTTCCGGTACTTGGTGCTGCTGGCTCGTGGCGGGGTGTACAGTGACATTGATACAACGGCACTTAAGCCCGCGCACACGTGGCTGCCGGAGGAATTGGACCGGTCAACAATTGGATTCATCATTGGCATCGAGGCTGATCCTGACCGCCCAGACTGGCATGAGTGGTACACGCGTCGCCTGCAGTTCTGTCAGTGGACCATTGTCTCGAAACCGGGGCACCCAATTCTCCGCGACATGGTGGCTTATGTCACAGAACAAGCATTACGCATGAAACAAGCCGGTATTCTCAGAGTTGGGAAGATGGACAGAACCATCATGGAATTCACTGGTCCTGGAGCCTGGACAGATGCTGTGTTCCGCTACTTTAACAACCCGACCTATTTCAATATTCAGCCCGGTGATAAGAACATCACATATGAGGACTTCAGCCATCAGACCACACATCGGAAGGTTGGTGATGTAGTGGTTTTACCGATTACCAGTTTCAGCCCTGGTGTGGGTCAGATGGGTGCCGGGGATACAGAGGATCCCATGGCTTTTGTGAAACACAGCTTTGGTGGTATGTGCCTTTTGGTGTAGATCCATTTCATTATGTTCATCTCTGACGATATATCTTGCAGGAACGTGGAAAACAGACCCAACGCTATGAAACAGCACTCGCAAATTACCGCGCTACCAAGTATCGTGACAACCATATTTCATCGCCACCCTCCTCTTCAACCTAATTCGTCTACCCCTTGGATTTATCAAGCTCAATTTCTCACTGAGTCTATGTTCACCGCGGTACTTCATACTCAACACGAGAGTTTTAATCCGCTGGTATTGAGCCGCACTGGTGCCTCGCGAAATTTCTCAAGCCAGGCACAGGCGCTGGAACCGTGCCATGTTTTATGATACCTGTTCATGTGATTCCCCTTTTTTGTTTACTGCTGTATACCTTTGCTCCATATTTAGAATTTTGCTTGGCAACAACTTGCTGCTGGCTAGTTGATAAATTTCAATTCAATGTTGCCATATTGCTAGTGAGGATTCCTGGGGTATTTTCTTTTGCTTTAGACTCGGTTCAAAGTGGATGTACTACATGCACCAAGAGGCTCTTCACGAAACAGAGGTAATTGGTACCAATGTCGATTCAATGGACATCCATAGGTAGCTCATAACCTCCAGGGCTTGGAAGAGAATTACATACGAAGTAAGAGGATGTACCACTAACCAATCCAAGGCTGGTCCGCCATCAGATCATTGCTATTTACATGCCCAGGTGGTCTCTCCGTACTCGGCAGAGCGAAACGGCAACTATAACCATTCTCTAGTCATATGTATCCAGCCGACGATGCAAGGATGATTGACCATTCTCGATGGCGCATGCTCAGGTATGTACAAAGCTTGATCGTTTGCCGTTCAGTGTAACCGGCTCTGGGCATTGGGTAACACAAGATCTCAACACAAGGCCCACTGCCCAGCTGAGATCTAAATTGCCGGTCAGAAAAATCAAAGTTGATCGATCATATCAAGTACATGCACAAGAAATTCGGATAGACCTTGTATGGCGTACTCCGTACTGCCAAGTATCTTGAGGGGAGAGGTCATCGGGCTTAGCGAATACCTATCTACTCCGTGCCTGTGCATGGATTTCACGGCCCCGGGGGTATTGATGGGTCAAAGATAGTCTCGGGTGTTACCATGGGATGGATAATAGCGACACAATTGTACATATACAGTACACCTGGGCAGCCAAGTGCCAACAACCAGCATATTCTTTACGGAGTAATTCAAATTTAAAAACGAATTGATCAGGTACATAGGGAGTACCTATGGCGTACGGAGTACTCCGTAGACTAGGTAGGTAAATCTCAGCGACGCTGTTTTTTCAGGAGATAAATCTGACACAGCGTCCGCCGGCGCTCCTCAAGTGCTATAGATTCAATTATGGGGGGGTAGATCTATACATACATCCACAAATTCCGTCAAACGTCAACGAATGCCGGCACAGGCTCCTTAATTTGGGTAACAAGCTAGGGGTACGTATTATTCTTTTCCAATCATACATACGGAGTAGTAGTGCGGTCTTCTTATGGCCGTTTAAACTCCAATGCGCGGCTAGGGGCTCCCGCTATGTATACTCCGCAGTACGACCCAGTTGATAGATCACGCTCTTTGGACTCCTATATGCAATAGAATGCAAGCCATGCATATTCTCGAATTTGCCTTGTTCAAGATCCATCCTGAGCTGAAGAATCCTGTTTTATCTCGTTTCTCTATGAGTGTATGGCGTACGGGGTACATGACAGAAGAAATAGGGGGGATGGTTTGTACGAAGTATGTTCACTTGATATAAAGTCAGAATGGCATCCGCGGAACGACAGCCAAAAACCCCCTCTAAATCATCACTCGCAGTACCACAATGAATACAGTCAGTGGCCAAAAATTCATTCAAGCTGGCCTCCCACCGCTGGGGTCTCTTTGGCCATCTCTTGGTCAGCCCCAGAAGGTAACAAGCTCTTTCTTCTCCGAATCTCCGGAGGCATCAATCTTCCTGCGGCCGGTTGCCATTAGTCCTGCCACCTTCAGAGCTTCTCTCGACTTCCAAGTCCCTTTCACATTTGCCATCGGATATGTCACGACCGTCATGTTCTTGAACAGGCTTAATGTCAGCCGGCAGTGTAAGCCCTGGGCATTCAGTAAGAATCCAGTATTCAGGGCACTAGTAATCCTGCACAATGCATCGCTTGCGGTTTTCTCTGCATGGGTGCTTTATGGAATGGCTTACTCTATGTACGCTGCATGGCCAGCGGGTGCAACCAAGGAAGGGCCTGGTTATTACGCGCATGTGGCGCAGATGTTCTGCGAGACAGATGCTAGTGCAATTCGAGGTAAGATAATTGTATTTCTGTATCATTGATGTCATCACTAGAATGTCAACATCTGACATCTTCTGGGATGGTAGCTCCGGCGAATGTCAAAAGTCTTTGGGATGAAGGGTCTGCCTATTTTGGCTGGTTCTTCTACATGTCGAAGTTCTACGAAGTGCTTGACACAATGATCATCCTTTCAAGCGGAAAGAAAAGCTCGACTTTGCAGACTTACCACCATGCTGGTGTGATTCTCTGCGCCTGGGCGTCGTTGAGATATTCCTCGCCATCATACGTTGTTCCTGTTGTGCTCAATTCAGCGGTCCACACGCTCATGGTATGTTGAGATCCCGGCTTCCGTTATGTCGTCTTCTGTGCAGGTCACTCATTCTTTTTCATTTCTCTAGTACTCTTATTTTGCCTTGCAATCGATGGGAGTCGCTATTCCCATGGCTATCAAGCGGTCTCTCACTGGTATCCAAATCGCCCAGTTCTTGTTAGGTCTTCTTTGGACCTATGTCCTCGTCTTTTTGAAGTACAATATTGGCTCGATCATAACATCTCAGGTCTCGTCCAATGTGTCCCTGTCAGAGCCAGCGCCACGACTTGTGCTTGCCGTCCCGAGTTCCGACTTCTGTGGCGAGAATGAAAGATTGGCCGCAGATACAGCTGTCTCCTGTCTGGCTGACAAGGCAGAGGCTTTGCCTGTCGCATATTCCACCATATATGTCCTTCCGCTGCTGGTCCTATTTGTGCAGTTCTTCATCAGGTCTTATATAAAGACAAAGAAGTGATGAGGACAAAGATTCTGTTTACATTATTACTGTTATGCATTCGACTAGAGAGATAGTACTTCAGTGCTAGATACAGCCCTGGAGCCCTGCAGAGCTGACAACATAATTGAACCTTTTTTAATTGTCACCTTCTCGCGACCTGACTATCTTCCCTGTCCTCCAGGACTATATTGAGTCTTTACCAGGATCCGGGATTCTGGTATGTCCTATCGGGAATCATGTGCCCGGCGCATGAGTCCCATGTTTCGTAGCTCGCTTTGTTTCTTCTCGGTTTTCTAGCTAGCTTTCTCTCTTACTCCCCATCTACCGAATCGATCAATCTGCTCTCTCTCTCTTTTGCCCTGGATAAGCCTGTAGCTTCTCCAACAGGTTATGAGAATCCTCTCTGCTTCTCTCTTCTAGCACGGCTGTTAGAAAGTGAGGCTGTTTCCTCATTTGGAAGTCCCACGCTGCGTTTGTTCCACAGGACATCCTGCAAACATTCCCCTCTGTGACCTCAGCTCCAACCCCGTTTTCAAGAACCCCGTTTTGCAATGCGATCTAGCCCACTATGACTGATCCTGCTGTCACCCCCGCGCCTGTCGACTGGGATAAGATCCTTGAATCTATGATGAAGAATTCCGCCCAAGGGCCTCAAGACACCGACCTACCCGCGCGGGATGCTATCGATCTCTACTCGATAGAGCCTTTGCTGGAGAAAGATGATGATAACTTCGAAGATTGGCATGCCGCTGTGATGAAAGCTTTGAAGGTGAATGGTCTTCAACGGATCGTTGAGTCTACTTGCCCCCGCCCAACAACTGGTGACCTTACTTCGGACTGGGCCTACATTACCCAGCTGGTGCAGGCATGGTTGGGACAGTCAATGGAACCAGCCCTTCTCAGCTTGCTCACCTATGGAGATGAGAGAATGAGGCTTGCGGATGATTTCATGAAGCATCTCAGGAAATATTTCCGCGGTGAAGGGATAAGTGCCCAAGTCACAGCAATGAAGAAGCTAGAGAGAGTTCAACGGGTCGACTTCGCCTCATCCAGGGACTACATCTACAAACTCAGCGACTATCATCGACAGGCTGAAAATGTCGGATTGAAAATCTACCCCTACAACCTCGTCATAAAGGTTATTATTCAATTACAACAAATTCCCCGTCTTAGGGACATATTGTTTCTGCTCGAAACCCGCTTGGAAAAAGACAGCCGGGACGACATCGCCACGACAATGACCCCGGTTGAGCACGATCGGCCCAATTGAGGCGGAGGAGGTCTACACAACATCTGACCCCGTGGGCGAATCTTCCCAGTCTTGTCTTCCAAAAGCCCCGCCCAGCGGCATCACTGCGAGACAGCATGCCGAAAACTGGATAAGGGGGGAGAACAAAACCAACGAAAAAGGGGACTGCGCTTTCTGCGGTGGTGCCCGCCATAGAGCTGCGGTTTGCTACCATCTGGTTCCCAGCAAGCGGCCTGACACCTGGAAACCCCGTCGGGGCCTCTGGTTCCTTAAGGGAAAAGCAAAGAAAGGGAGAAAGCGAGCTATCTGGTTTTCCGCTCTATGAAGATCTAGAGCTTAACTGTTACTGTAGGCTTAGGAAATAAGAGAACAGTCAAGTCCAGGGGAAATTCGAATTTAGCTGGGATCCCAAGTTTTCATTAGGACTATGTGTACAATTCCCACATTTGAATGCAACGCCTCGTCAAGTCATAAACATATCGCAGCCCTTACTCAGAGTCGCTTTCAATTACAAATCCTCCACGCATACGTCTCCGCGTCGAAGCCACCGGTGCATCCTCCTCAGGGTCCGAGGCTTGGTCCGAGACTTCAGGCTTACTCGGACGGTCCCGACTGAACGCCAGATCGTCGTCAAAGGCAAGGTCATCGTCATCCTCGCCCAGTCCAAGAAGTTCGTCAATCCCGCCCGGGGAGTGAGATGATCCCGCATCATCCGCCATGAGGATGTCACCGTCGGCATCACTCTGGACATCACTGGATGCAGAACCGCGGCGCTGGCGCTTGGAATCCGTGCCGGCGCCTGTATCGCTAACTCGCTTGCGCGCGGCGGCTTTCTTGCCCTTGCCTTTGGTCTTTTCGGAGTGTCCGGGACCAGTGAGCAAGGCTTTCTTGACTTCGGCAGCTTGTTTCTTGCGGCGTTCTTCCTCGAGACGGAAAAATTCCTTGTCGGCTTCGGCGTCGCTTTCCTCGTCACTTGCGTGAATGAATAAATCGCTTTTAATCTTCGCTTGCCGGGAAAGAGAGTTCGCTAGACGGGCTTCGCGTCGTGCTTCCAGGGTTCCTTCATCGAGGGGATCTCTCTCGGCGCTGGGCTTGGTCTTCTTCTTGCGCTTCTTCTTTAGCTCGTCTAGCGCGCTGGCTTTGGATCGTGGGTTGGCTGGGAAGAGGGGGCCTTCTGGGACGTCTTCGCCTTCGGATTCGGATCCGAAGTTCACGTCGAGCGTGCCTTGGAGGGCTTCACCTCGGCCGGATCCTCGGTCTTTCTTTTGCAGGTGCTTGCGAGGATCATCATCTCCATCACTTGGGAATGGAGTCTCGAGCGATTTCTTAATTTCAGTGAGCGTGTTCCGTAGGTCTTCGGACTTCAGAGACGATGGCACAATCCAGGCGGCACCAAGCACGTCTTCAACACCCAGTCGCTCGAATCCAGCAATTTTCATGAGTAGACGTAATGTCGCATTTGAGAACATGGCATTCTGGACGAAATCGTCCTTGCTTTTCACGGCTATTGCACGGTTAGTTTTGATCGCACAGCGCAGCACGGTAACTTACTGATCATTGGGTTGGGGATTGTCGTAATTTCAGGATCCTCGAGGAGACGAGTCTCCTCTTGAATCTCCCATACCTCTCGCTCATCGGCCGCGGAGTCGAGGACGTCCTTGATCCATTTCACCAGATCTGCCCTTCCGTCAAGAACAAGTGCTCCCACTACAATGCGGAGCTGCGATTCCCTTGTTGTAGCCTCGGTAGATGTGATGACAACCTCTGCGGGCGGTCTCTTGGAAGCTGAGATGGTTTGCTTTTCGTGTCCGTATTCAAGATAGTAGACAGTCGAATTGATCTTGCTGAACAAAAGCTCTGTGATCAGGGCAGGGCGCTGGTCAAGCTTTTTGATCAACCGCCGAATAATTTGCCGAACAAGTTCCTCCCACTCCTTATACACGGATTTGGTAGAGTCCATAGGCTCCGGGCCCTTGATCATCCGGTTGAACAGAGCAATGATGTCCATCCGGAATAGCAGGACAGTCATCTCCTGCTTGAACGCAATGCGATAAAAGTACCGATGGGCCCGTTTAAGTTGCTCAGAGTTCAGTTCCTTGTAATAGCCAGTGAATGCAATGAAAGTATCCACGCAAGCTTGGTTGCAGAACTTGGCTGCAAACCGCTTGAAGTCGAAATTTCGCTCTTTGGTAACTTGAGCTGCGTCCTCCATCTCTTCTGCTTCGGAATCTTGCTCGTCGTTAGCTGCGCCCTCCGCCTCGGCGTTATCAGCCTTCTTCTGCTTTCTCTTCGCCTTGCGTCGCGACCGAATTTGCATATCGGCATTATCTTTCGAGTATCGTTCCAACATCCGGAGGAAGACATGTGCCAATTCCGTACAGGAATCCAAATATCCGAAACTCTGATCTTTGTATCCGCGCACAATGGCCAAGATTCGGTCGTGGGTCGTTTCCTCGTAGAAAATGCGGTTCTGAATATTCTCGGCGATTTCTTGGTCATCCTCGAGCGGCGATACTGCCATCTCTTGCACGGTCAGCAGGATTTGCGTGAAGCAACGCATCTGAGCATTGAGATCCTCCCACTCCTTGTTGTCCAGGCTGCTCTGCATGGATCTATTCAGAGTGATGAATGTCTCTTGGTTCAGGACACCTGCAACCAGGCCATAGCTGTCAGGCTCGATATTTTTTGCTTTCCCACTGTTCTGCGCAGTGCGACGGCGGGTCTGTCGAGCTCGGCGAACGCGCTCCGCTTCAAGGAACCAGCCGACAGTGTAGAAGAATTGCCGGGTATTGATATCCAAGACTCGTTCGGCCTCGCGCTCGATCGCCTTGCGCACATGTGTGAAGAGGGGGTTGAAGCCGGAATCCAAAAACTCTTCCACGAACGTTCTCAGGTGCTCGGTTGCTTCGCGATTCAAGTGCACAGGCATGTTGAAATTGTTGTTTTGCGTGGAGTCTTGTTGCTTGCGGCGGGGTTTGGGCTTGTTCCATTTTTTGCTCTGGTCCATCTTTTCGAAGGTTTGCTGGTCATCGCGCAATGAGCGTTGTCCTGAAACGGTGGACATTTTGCCATTGTCTCGCTTGACCCATATCATCGTGCCGAATCTGCTGTGGCGGGTCGGTGCGGTTTTCTGGTATTCTCTTCGTGCCATTTTCTCCTTGTTCAATATGGAAGCCAGGTCGCTGGCGTAGTCGGTGCCTGCTTGCTCTTCGTCCTTGAAGAGCTTCTCCACGTCGACACCTTTCACAAGGTGGAAGAGGATCTCTAAGAGAACGATATCTTGGAGGTTGAAATCGTCCCCCACGTTGGAGCACATGGTCAAAATGAGTGCCAGGGCATCTTGCTGGTGGAAAGCATTGATTGTCGATGATCTCGATGTCTCCTCCTCATCTCCCTCGGCAGCCAGTCTGGAGTTTGGTGATATGATAGCAACATTGCGTAGGAAGTACAGCATCAACTTCAGGATTCCTTCGTCTCGAGATTCACGTTCAGATCGAGGGACTGCCATGCTTGGAAGCGCGATTCGTACAGCCGCGCGCAAGAGGTTCGAGCCGCCGGCCTTCAAGATGCCTCGCTTGTGTTGTACTTGCGCTTGGAGAAGGTAGGGAGTGTGGCGGTGATGGTTGACAGTCATCTGGCTGTGAATCTCCAGCGGCCATGTCAACGGAACGAGTAGTTCCAAGCAGGCCAACGCAATCCTAGTCATATGCTTGCTCTTCTGTCCAGTGCCCCACCAAAGGGTGAGGATTGGAAGCAAATCACCACTAACCACATTGGCCTCTCCCAGGCACCGCGCCACATCCATTCGGTTGTTCTTTTCGTCGTAGAGTTTCAGCCAGCGCTTGATATCGCGGAGACAAGCCAGGGCATCGTCTCCGAGCACGTATCGATCGGCATCTTCGCCATTGAAGCCTCCGAGCTAGATATTCAGTCAATCGACATGATTAACACAGGTGGGAAAGAGAGACTCACGGCAGTGACCAGACCATAGACGTAGTTTCGCACATCTGGGTCGACGACTTGTACGTCGTGACCAACCGCGACGACTTCCTCATCCATGATTGTCCTAATCGAGTGTAATGGCCAGAACGCGTCGACGCGTCGGGCCTCGGTGATTCGGAGAAACTGGATGCCGCCAAAGTGCCGAAGATAACCGGGGGCTGCTACAGCGGACAGTTGCGGCCAGTGGTGCTGGCAGAATTGCTATAGTTCATTTTCATTTCCCTTTCAGTACCTAGGTATCTTATAGACGGTCTAAATGTGCACTAGCAGCCTCTTGGTATTTCCCTTAAGCTTCTCTAATTGAGCAATAGTATTATATAAATGTCCCTCTAAATGTAGGTTACTTCTGGAGATTATACGAAGTATAAGTTGAGAGGAAATCAAAGCGGTGAACCCCACATAATGGCCGCTAAGCATGTGAAGTCATAGTACTTCAGTGGCCCAGCTCCTACACTTGTTTCCTCCCATCTCCGTCTTTGATCTCATAATTCTTGACGGACTTACAGCTATGTTCGCTTCTTCTCTTCGTCTTGCATTCCTGCCAAAGGGCCCTTCTATGGCCCGTAGCTTTAGCTACACCTCCCCAGCCCGTGTAGCCGAGGTCAAGTCCCTCGGTGTTATCGGCGCAGGGCAAATGGTGGGTGATTTTGGAATTGCAGCTGCGCCAGCAATCTAACAAACACAGGGTCTTGGAATTGCTCTTGTGGCTGCGCAGAGAGCACAGGTTCCTGTCACACTGGTCGACAGTTCACAGGCTTCATTGGACAAGGGTCTCAAGTTTGCCGGTACGCTTAGCTTCGGTCTCACTTACTACCTGCAGCCTGGATCTAATATGAGATTGAACACCCAGACAAACTCCTGGAGAAGGACGTTGCCAAGCAGCGCATTACTCGGGAGGCTGCTGATGCAGCCCGAGGTCTTCTTACCCCGACTATCAAGATTGATGATCTATCTTCAGTCGACTTTGTGATCGAGGCAGTGCCTGAGATCCCAGATCTCAAGACCAAGATCTTCTCCAGCTTAGCACAGATTGCTCCTAAGCATGCCATTCTCGCCACCAACACTTCCTCCATCTCTATCACTAAGATCGCTGCTGCTACTAGCACCGACCCTACAGACCTCCAGGCCTCATCCCGTGTCATCTCCACTCATTTCATGAACCCAGTCCCAATTCAGAAGGGTGTGGAGATCATTCGTGGTCTTCAAACCTCCCAGGAGACAATGGACACCGCCATTGCCTTCGTGGAGCGAATGGGTAAGGTCGCCTCAGTGTCTGCTGACTCGCCCGGATTCCTGGCCAATCGCATCCTCATGCCATACCTGAACGAGGCAGTCATTTGCCTGGAGACCGGCGTGGGTGGTCGCGAGGATATCGACAACATCATGAAGACCGGCACCAACGTCCCCATGGGTCCCCTTGTTCTCGCCGACTTCATCGGTCTGGATACTTGCCTCGCCATTATGAATGTTCTCCACCAAGAGACCGGTGACAGCAAATACAGACCTGCTGGTCTACTACGCCGCATGGTGGATGCCGGATGGCTGGGCCGGAAGAGCGGCAAGGGCTTCTACGATTATTAGATGCGAGTCCTCGGACAGCTTCAGAAACTGCGTCCTTGAAAATAGTTTCTCCATAGCGATACCCCGCTTGTATCCTGTATAGAGCGCTGAGAAATCCACGATATCAAACACATCTTTCCTCTAACGAGCACCTTCATTCGCCCTGATTCCCCCATCCTGGATATCCGCCTGCTGCATCGCAGTAACCAAGGTGCGGACGTCCAGATTTCCATCTGCGGCCAATTCTTCTCCAGTTCCTTCCGTCGGGCATTTGCATTTGTTCTGTCGGCCACCGCAGATATAGCTGTTAAGCATTTAGTTTCTGATACTCTGGTCAAACCGTGAAACATACCAGAAGTGATAACCACATCGACAAGAAATGTGGTTACATCCATCCACCTTCTCAACGATAAAATGACACTTGGTACATCGCTGCCACTTTTTATCTTTCGCCAATGCCAGCACAGTCTTCAAGCTTTCGTCATCTGCACACGGCCAAGGCCCATGTGCAAGGTCGCGGCATGCGCAACACACCTTCGCTCGGCAATGCGTGCACAGTCGAGTCCCTGGCCGCGGCCCCTTGGAATCAGGATGTATCCATTGTCCACACGTTGCTCGAGGGCAGTACATGCGCTCTTCGGGAGGGACGGCTTGTTCCTCTGCTTGGGAGATGTATCGCTTTCTGTTGCGGGTCCCCAGTACCGCTACCACTTCCTCCATGGGGATCTCTTCCTGGCAACATTTGGTTGGGAATAGCTCCGGGGTGTCCAGGGAGACTTGGCCCATTCGGCGGAGGCATGGGGGACAATATTGGTGGCCGCAGGGGGCGATCAGTGTTTTTCTTGCTGCGTTGGCTTCCAAGCAGCCCGTGCAGCATCTGTAGATGGTGAGGGTGCGATTCTTTGAGATGGAGAAAACACTTACAAGGATGAATCTCCTTGGAGCCTGATCCGCACTCTCTCTACGTAGCCTCGAATGGTTTGCATTGATGTGGTTCTGTCGGCGATCCTGGAGTATGGATGTCGGCGTCTCAAGTAGGTGGAGAGCAAACGAGCAGTCTCAGGAACATCTTTCTGTACGGTCATAGCTACATCAAATTTGTCGTTTGTCTATCCAAGGTTGCGTGAAGGTTAATTGTCGCGTTCCTGGGACTCGCTGTCGCTTCGGACGATGGCTGCATCTAGATCCCATACTCTATACTGCTCCAACGTATTCTTCTGTCTCGATTCTTGGTCTCTCTTCCCATCTTTGATCTGCAATACCTATATGGTTTCAGTATATTGATCGCCGTCCCTGGGTTTACTAGTTTAAACAAGACAGAGTTATCATTCAGCCGTAGAGTTGTGCGAGTCATGATCGCATCATCTACACACCGTTCAGACAAGAGTGCTAGAAAGGTCTGTCCTGGAATATCGTAATATTGGATTCATATGATATAAAGTCGCTTGGCTGCGCGACGTTGAAAAGGGTATCACTAATATAAATGCTATGGCCACCGGAAACTCCCATCCTCGAGCCCCTCCCCTGGGGCTGCGCTTCTTTTAGACTATGCCTGCAAATCGTCGACCGGCCCATCCAGACCCATATTCTTGATACTCCTGGCGAGTGATAGCCACTTTGCTGAGCTCTTCCCGGTTGCTTGCTAGGCGCGAACCGCCCAGCCAAGCCGAGTGAACAGGACTATGGAACGTCAGATCTGCCAAGGTTTCGCATAAACGGGGGTAACTTACTCTTCAGCACGACGGACTCTCACAACGCATTCGGCAGAAGCGATCTGCCGTAGTTCGGTTTCTCTGAGAAAGAAGGTTTGTCAATGAACCGCTCGACCAATCGATGAAGGGAGAAAAAAGAAACAAAACTTACAGTCGCTGCATGAACCCTGGAATCAGGGCATTTCCTCCAACCACCAATACATTGGCTAGGAAGGCGGAGTGCAGTCCAGGCGGGAGGGCCGAGAGACCCTGCAGGATCATATCGGGAATACCGGTTGAGTTCATGCCTATATCCCCGGGGGTGAATAGGAGCTCGGGGACCGTGAAGCGCTCGTTGCCGAGCACTAGCACGTCCTCTGATAGGACCTCGGCGCTGAGTCCGGAAACCGCCCCCTTCTTCTTTTTGGCATGCATGAGCGGATCGTGCGGTCGAATGAAGCCCTTTTTGTTGGCGTTTGGGTCGGGTAGGACATAATCCAACACGATCCCGTCCTCGGCGGCTTGACGCTTCCGATTTGCTTTCCATGTTTTCTCCAAGTCGCCTCCAAAGTCATTGCTCACATAGCAAACTGCCTCTTTGACTTCGTTCATGATATATGCTTCGTCGACCATATTGTATTGTCTCATTGACACAATCTCCTTCAGGTAGTTCGTGAGGTGCTTGCCTCCAAGATCAAGTCGTCGGATTCCGCGCTGTAACGCTTGGCCTTTATAGACTGGAGTCACTGTCGTATGAGAGTAGCCAGAATCAACCACCAGTAAGCAATCCGCCGGTAACGCATCTTGTGTCTTGGTGAGCGGATCCCCGAAAAGAGAATGGATTTCGTTCCACGCGTTGAGAGTCGGACCTTTCAGCGAAATTCAATCAGCACCGCGTCATTGCCTCCACACATCCAGTCTCCTTACCTAGACACCTCGTGTATCCTCCGAACCCCCACTCCTCCATCACCATCTCATCCGTGTGTCGTTGTAGAATGGGCATAGCATTCGGCGCTTCGGTAAGGATAAGCGTTGTGTCTTCGGGATTGGCGATTCTGGAGCTCTGGTTCCCCGCCGCATTCTCCTCGAAGAACGATTGGTCCCAGATTTCCCTCTCTGCTTCCCAATTCACGATGTAGCCCTTCTCCACCGGGCGGCGGAACATCGCCTCATTCCAGTCAGTCACGGTGGAGAGTTGAGCCCCGACCACGATCTTGTTGTCCCGGGTCTTGACGAGTGTGTTCGGGATCTGAGAACAGGCTGAAACAGCTTCGCTGGGTGGGAGAGTGGACGCATAGCCGGCTTTCATCATGTATGCGCCATTGTCGATGATGAAGGTGTTTTCGGGCAGATGGCGCGAGGTTTCCGCATGTTGGGTGGGCGTTGCGGGCGCCTTCGGAGGCGCGCGAGACCTTGATGTTCCCATGATCGCCTGGTGGTAGAGCTGTGAAGCTGTCAAGCTGGGCTGGTCGGATATCATAAAAGTGTTTGTCTTGTTTGCACGTGAATGGTGATTACGTGAGATGACATTTTGCCCGGCGTTGATCTGCGCAGGTGGGCAACTATATCTACCATCCAAGATGTCACTTCCAAGGTTGGGACTCTAACATGAAGCCCTTATGAACCTTGCTCTTAGTTGACTGTAGCTCGAAATTGGTTTCTTTGTGCCACAGCCAATTCAGCTTGGGTCCAGGTGCATTGCTGTTCTGTAGTGTATATTTCCAACGAACAAAACCTTTTTCAAGGTTACTGGTGAGCATTACATTGTTGAGGCTTGAATTGAATACTGCCCTGCTGGTGATGGACATGCAAGATATCTAGGTTTACTCTGGAAAATCGATAGATTTCGTCAACTTTTTCACTTGGAGTTGTTGGTAGCCAGCGTATTTTGAGATAACTGCAGCTCCAAGCATAGCAGATGCCTATATACTAGATTAATTTATAGTAGATTCAATTTCAAATAATACTCCAGAGCATGTAATCAAGTAATAAGTCCCCGAATGAAACATCTCAACAGCTAACAGCTAACATACCAGCAACACTGTATAGCCCCGCAGAGCCCTAATCAGCCCCGCGTTATCAGGCCCAACCGCCCAAATTTTTTTCTCTACAACAAACCTCCCAAGACCGCCAGCGGCCTGCCAACAACCCTCACAATGTCAACCCAACTATCTACAACCTTCACCACGACCCTGGCACTGGTCGAACAGTTCCAAACAGCCCTCACCACCCCACCAGCGACAGCAGCCGAGTCCGCCAAAGACGCCAAAGATGTCGAAGCACTACCCCTCCTCACAGCCTCGGCCACTGCACTCAGAGCCCACGTCACCAAACTCTCTCTGCTGGCAATCACATCACCTTTCACCCACTCCGCCATTGGAACCGTCCTCCGTGAGCTGAATGAGTCCGTGCTACCCTCGCTCGTCACCGCAGCCCTCCTCATCACTCCTGCGCAATACACCAAAGCCTTCCAGACCGAGGTCCTGGGCCTGGTAAAGAGTGTCCTAACAGAGCTATTGGGACTAGTCCGCGAAGTCCAGCGCGTCGACGACAAAAAGGAGCAGGAGAAAGGCGCGAAGGAGAGCGACTTGACGAAGGCGGAGAAGGAGGTCGTGACGCGCGCTACCGGACGTGTCTGGGATGCCTGTGATGTTGTGATTGACGTTTCGCAAAAGGGCGTTGTTGGATTCGTGATGCGCCGCGTCGAACAGTGGCGGGATCTGGTTCGGGATGCGGTGGAGGAAATCGAGGAGTGGGATCCTGAGGACGATGATGATGATTTCATGGATGAGCTTCTGGATGAGGATGAGAAGGGGCAGAAGGATGATGAGGAGGATGATGAGGAGGAAACTGCTGCTTTGAATGAGCACAAGAAGTTGACGCTGCGTTTCCTCAAGCCTGTTGCTCAGGTTTATCCTGCTATTATCAATAACCGGTTGAAGAATGCTGGAAATGCGCCTTTGGCTTCGTCGACTGGTATCAAGACTTTGGAGTCTTTGATGGTGAATTTGCAGGCTGTTCCTGATCATGTTGATGAGGCTGCGGGTGGCTTGTACGAGGCCGATTTCGAAAGGTCTGCTGAGTACCTGCAGAAGACGAGGAAGTGTGCTGCCAAAGCTGTCGATTTGGTCATGGTGCCCTGGGGTGCTGCGGATGATGCGCCAGCAGACAAGTTCACTACCTGGGCCAAGACGTGGCTCAAGGTCGTTGAGGAAGTGAGCAAGGCGATTGACGAAAACTGAATGGACACATCCGTCACAAGCGGTGCAGAAGTTGATGATATGATGACAAAAGCCCGAGAAGAAATAGACAGCGATATTATTTATATGTACATAGAACAAGCATGGCGATATTATACACGTCTCTCAAAATCATGACCTACGTCCAGTTCCCTGTTCCTAGAACTCCTCCTCGCTGACTTGGTCTTCCTTCTCCCATTCCGGGAGATCACCGGTCGGGATACGCACTCGCAAGAACTCCAGAATCGCATCAGTCCCCTTTGCGACAACCTGCCACCTAGGAACCCTGAATCGGTTCCCAGCGACCTCGAACCGCCGCAGGGCCGATCCATTGCCCCAGTTCCGAGCATCGCGGTCAGCAGCCAGTAAACCGATCTTGGCGGGCAGTGAGTCGATATCATTATTGCTGAGTTCGACAACCTGCAGTCCTTGCACCGATTCGAAGTCCAGGCTAGCAATCTGATTATCGGAGGCCACAATGGTCTTCAGTTCCGGGAAGGTCGATCGCAGATTGGGGAGAGGGCCTTTCAAACGATTATGCGAGACATCCAACAAGGTCAAAGACGGGGCTATCAAGTTCGCCAGAAGAGGCTCCCAGGAGACCATGCAAGTCGCATTGAGAGTCAACGACTGAAGTTTGGGAAGCTCAAGCGCCGAAGACAAGAAGTCGGATCCGTTCATGGGATTGTGGGAGAGATCAAGCTCCACTAGGCTATGCGCGAGGATAGCAAGTGCTGGCGCCGGGAAGCAGCTCAGCTCGTTCTGCTGCAGAAACAGAGACCTGATGTCTTGCGAGGCCACTGCTTCCATTTGCTCAACGGTGAGATCGGTCATGTCGGCGAATGATTTGTCAAGAATGCCGCCGGATTTGATCTGCCAGTTCCCATCAAGCGCCGGGTTTTCAGGTGCCAGAGTGAACTGAGTGGCCACTGAACCTTCGTCGTCCGTGTCCTGCGGATCAGGCTCACACCGGCTACGAAGATCTCGTTTAATGTCTTCTGTATCCATTGTCAAGAGCCGGCGTTCACGCAATGGGTTGTTGGCAACCCTCAAAGAGGTGAGACTCTCCATGAGTCCCATTTTGTCTTCCAAACGAGTGAGATCATTTCCTGTGAAGTCGGCCTTTTTAATGCTCTTGAGCTCCACGAATCCGGTCGGGAGCTCTGAAATTTTGTTTTCTTCGGCTGACAGAGTCAATAGTGACTGCCATGAAGACACGCATGGCAGGTGCGTGATTCGGTTGACGCCGATGAGGAGAGTATGTAAATTGGGCAGGTCAAGCGTGTCATTGGATGAAAACACGACCACTGCATTGTTTGCAACGTTCAAGAGCTGCAATGTATCCCAACGACCAACTGATTCGGGGATCAAAGTGCCCTCTAGCTTGTTCTTCTGCGCGTTCAGTGTCTTCAGGGGTAGCTTGCTGAATACCTCGAAGGGCAGAGACGTCAGCTTGTTTTCGCTGACGTCTAATGTTCTCAGAGATTTCATTCCAGTAATTTCCTCTGGTAGTGTGATGAGCTTGTTGCCACGCAAGTCCAAAGATTCTAACTTGTCCAGTCGGCCCATGAAAGGGGCCAAAACGCCTTCAAGTTGATTGTTCGCGAGTTTCAGATCCGTCAAAGATGTAATCTCCGATATGATCTCAATATGCTCCATATCCAAAGAGTTATTTGATAGATTGAGAGTGCGCAAGTTTTGCATCCGTCGGAGGCCCATTGGTAGTGACTTTAGCATGTTACCGTGGAGGTCCAAAGTCTCAAGGCCTCCGAACTGCAAACCCCGATCATCGCTGTCTGGGTCAAACTCCTCAGGATTGATATCTGGGAAGACCTCATCTGCAATATGCTCTAATTCATTGTCTGCAGCAATGAACCTGACAAGGTCCACATTTTCGAACCAGTTCTCGTTATCCGCATCATAGTCGTACATCGTCAGCACTTCCTTTGGGATTTCCTTCAAGGAGAATGCCGCAATATTCAACTGTCCAGTGGCGCGGGCTGTTTGAACGCGTTTCCGCATCACCAAGGAGCCGGGTTCTTTTGGCAGTTGGTTAAACGGATCTTCCTCTTCCACGACTCCCCAAGAATCAACAACCGGTACCTCGGATACTGGCGTCTGGGGGGTTTCCTTCTTCTCTCCTGCCGCGACTGCCTTGCGTGCAGCCTTCGCCTTGGCTATAGTCTCGCGCAAGGAGCTCGATGATTTGGAAACCTTTCTAGCATCACTTTCTGCCTGCTGCTCCGGGGTGAGTTCGTCTTGGGTTTTGGAAGCAGGTGCAATCTTTGACGCCGCCGACTCTCCCCCAGGTTTGCGTGTTTTCTTGATCTGAAGAGGTCTCTCCGGTGGACCCATGTTTGTCTTTATCGACTTGGTCAGGGGCTTAGCAGCTATCTTACTCGATGATGGACGAGCCAGGGAAGGCTTCCCGATATCCTTGCCTCCAAGAGATCTGTCAGGCAAAGTCTTTTTCGGAGGGGAGCTGGTATCCGAGCGAGGCCCGTCTGTCATTGACAAGCTCTGTCGGGGTTTCGGCTGCTTTAATCTTGATGGGCTCGTGCTGTCCTCGGATGTCCGGACTGGAGAAAGAGATGATGTGGCGGGAATGCGAGATGTCGCAGACGGGAGACGCAGCTTGGACACCGGCTGAGTGTACATCTCATTATTATTCGTGGCGCTGGACGAAGCCCTGGATGGGGACCTCGAAACACTCGATACATTGGACGGGGCGCGAGAAGGCGATCGGATTGGGCTGGAGCCGTTGAAAAAGCTGGAGCTCCTTTTCACCGACGCCGGCGATGGTGGGATTTGTGCCAGAGTCTCCAGAGTCCGCTCCGACAGCGACGGACGTATATCACGGCGCCCTCGGGCTTCTTGTGCTGACGCGACCGACGCAGTATCATCGTCGCCGGCCGCCGAGCTCAGTTCTTCTGAAATATGGGTATCGCCTTCATCGCCGACAGTCTCCTCCTGGGTTGGGGCGGGGACAGGCTCTTCTTCATGCTTCGGGGGTGCTAAGAAGCGCGAGGAGGGCTTCTTCACCAACGTGTCGTACGATGGTCGTCGCAACCTGCGTTCATCTAATCCCGGATCGGCCCGCAGTCTATCTCGGGACGGTGACGGCTTGATCGATTTCGGGGCCGTGCTGGTGGGTAAGGGTAGCCGCGAAGCTGGCCGTGGAATGCCACTTGCGGGCCGTGGGATCCCACTTAGACGGGTTGCTTTGGGTTGTCCGTCCATCGTGAGGTCGCGTCGATTAGGGGGATGTCGAGATTGGGGCGCTCATGTCCGAGGGGACTAAGAATAGAACATGCAGTACGGAGTATATGCTGAACTCGTGAAGGGCTAAAGCATGAAGAACGCAAGGTGTTCGTCCGACACAGCGGATTGTTTACATCCGATCTGATCCCGCGATAGACGCCTGAGGCATCCGATCGAGATGATTTGAGACACGTCGTACTCACTGGTCACTTTCTGTTTTGGTATCATAACATTTGTTTCAAGCTCATTTTGTAAACAATATGATCGATCTCCATATACGGAGTACTGCCGCAAAGTCAGGACAGACGGTCCAGATGTTTCGAACGTTCCAAGGTTGTATCAATGGATGCCATAGTATCTGTACAAAGCTGAAGCTTTTTCTATCCATGGTTATTCAACCCTAAATCTTATTAAGGATAAAAATAAAGAACGTACAGTATTCACACCTTGGAATAATGTCGAGTTCAATTCCCAGACAACGTTGGTGATATATATACTACATGGATGCGGGCAAGACCTCGCCCGGGATGAACGCTTGGAACCTTGAAGGTGTTTTGATATTTTGCAATTGAATCCAAACAATTCGATTTATTCTTAGCTCCTAACTTTAGACGGTTTCAAATTGAACAAGTATATCGATCCTCATGGTAGCCGACATTCCAGTTGTCAGAGTAGCCCTGGAGTTGATGAAATGCCCAGTGGAATCGCTCAAGGTACCCGGAGAGTGAGAACCCGTCGAGTTTCTCCGCAAGAGATGATTAATTTCCATTTTCTGCATGAGCATCGTTCGGATCTTCCAGATAATGCACACAGTGTGTCACAAGCGAAATGAACACGAGAGGACCCTTGCTGTCCATGCTAAACACCAAAGCAAACCCCGTTGCAGCACCCTTGCATAGAGCTATAGAAAGTTTCAGCAGGTCAGCTTCCAAGGTTTCCCATCTTTCTAACCTTGGAAGCTAGCTTAGGCTGAACTAATTCTAGGTTGAGGGCTGGTTTGACAAAATTGGCGTTCACCGTTGTGTAGTACCAAGTACCAGGTAGTATCTAAGCTTAGTCCGTCAAGACCTAAGCCAACATTTGAACGAGGCCCGCATTCCTCGGATCTCAGGAATGTTCTGTATACCATACTACAGTAGCATGGTAATACTCCATAATCTGTATGAATTGAATCGGGGATTTACTCCACAGACACCAAAAATACACCCGCTAATCGGTTGCCAGCCCAACCCCCCAGGGCTTGTCTGCGTCGCTGTTTACTTGACCTGAGCGTCCCGTGACGATCGGCCTAGCTGCATTGGGTTAGCCCGTGCTGAGTCATTGCAATCGGTGGCCGCTGATTGGGTGGGACGCAGAGATGATTGGCTGGGGCTGGGACAGGCGCTAAGCCTAACGCGGACCTGAGGAACAGGGTCGCCAGGGCCGTTCCCAGCCCCCCTCAATACGAGCGCGCTGGAATGACCTCCCTCTTAAGCTCTTCAACTCCATTGTTTCCTACCTGTTTCAAGAATTCTGTTTCTTTGTCTCCCTTGCTTGTCATACTCGTTGACCTGATATCTGACATACCTGCCTTGGCCCTGTGCGACTCACAACCCTCCAATATTCCCAGATTATCATTCTCCGGTATGCTGAAGCCCTGGAATCCATGCGATTGAACACGCGCTGATAAGCAGGATAGTGTGAGAATCTGCATCTCCGCGGCTAACCCCCGATATCGATATCGATATCACCACACGAAATAACCATGTCTCAAAACATCTCACAAAGCACTCTGGGTGCTCCCGTGGAAATCGTGCCATCGACGCCAATCCGCCGCGCGACTCTCTCCCCGTCACCGGATCTCAGTGCGAAGCGCACATCATCGCAATCCGAGAAGAGGATCTTCTCGCCCCCGCCATTGTCGTCATCAGAAATGACACCCCCACCCTCAACTCAGATTCCCGGCGCTCCACTCCGATCCCGCACACACTCACGCTCCACGAGTCCCACCGTCGTGACACAAGCGGAGTTGGACAAGTCGCTCTGCGATGCCTACGGGGCATCGGCGAATCTGCCCACCGTCGAGCAAATCGACACGGCTAACGAGACGGAGTTGCGCATTATCGCCAAAGACCTGCTCACTGTCGCCCGGGATTCGCGCATGTCTGCATTGCACTTCAAGCTCCAGAACAGCCTGGTCTCGTTCGCAAGCAATGAGGCCGTGAAACGTGCCGAGGTGGAACAACACCTCGCCAAGCGCGAAGTCGAGATCATTCAGAGCGAAGAGTACCGCACTCGCTCGCGCCCTGCGGAGCTCGTCACCCCGAAGCAGTTCACATCCCCCTCGACATCTGATTATCTCTCGGCTGTGCAGCGCTCGCAAGAGCTAGAAGAACAGAACAGACTCCTGGACCGACGACTCCGCAATGCCAAGCGTGCAATCGACGATGCGACAAGTCATTCCAATGATCTGCAGGAACAGAACGACATGCTCAAGCAGCGCATTGGAGATAATCGCAGACACTTCACTCAAATCTTCAGCTATGGCACCATGTCCCCAGGCACCCAGCACGAGATCCACAACATGTGCCACGGTGAACACGCCGATGGTCTCGCTGCTCTCCTCTACGCCGACAAACTCACCAACCAGACACATGCCTACGGCGCCGCCTCCGCAACCTCCGTCCCAGTAACTCCCAACCAGCCCAAGAACGAGTACTTGACACCGGCAGGGAACCAAGCAGACGACCACTATGACAGCGATAGCACCGTTTCCCTCTCTACCTCTGAGGCACCTGAGCAGCGAATGTCCTCCCCACAACAGATGCGCTCTACCGCTCCCAAGAGTAGCACGTTGCTTCAGACCAAGCTCTTCGGTCAGGTGCAAAAGCCCGGCGTGGAGCGATTGCGCCCTACCAAGCGCAAGGCAGAGACCGAAGACACCGGTTCTCATTCCAAGAAGACCCGGACCGGACACGGTATCGGTCTGGGCATCAATGCTTAGGTCCATGTCTGGCTTCACGAAGACCTCGTGTCAACTGATATGATTCATGACCAAGCGTTGATCTGTTTTTTTTTTACGACTATGGGACACTCACGAATGATGAAGACATGCCAAATGTGGTGTTTTCAAACTAGCGATTGCTTTTTGTTTTTGTTTTTCTTTTGTTTCCACGTTTTTGCTGTGATGGTTTTTGGTTTTGAGAGGCCATGAGACGGCGATCCATGGCCCTTGCTTGACGGGCGTTTCCAAATTGGGTTTCGGGTATGGCAATTACGAATTGTCTCTTTTGCGCTGAGGTTGGAATGAAGACTCAGGTCCATTCGAAGTATGGCTGGAGGATTGATATGGTATTGTACAATAGGAATAGAATCTTCTGTTACCAAAAGCAAACCAGTTTGATTACCATTGCAGAGTAGTTACCATTGCAGAGTAGTGAGGATTAAGAATCCTACGATGCTTAAGTCTTGTAGAACCTGGTATGAAATCCATGTTGTTGAGTATGAATCTCTGTTCAAGGTCAAAACTTCCAAGGTTGGAGCGGACGGCATCTATTGAGCACCCAGCCCGTGGATGTTTTATACTCAATGGAGCAACTTGCCCTGATCATAGCACCCACCCGTGGACTGTATATTGCAAGACTCCCAAGGTTTGTAGACTCCTGGATCATCACATTGTGATAATGCCTGGAGCTGCACTCAGTTGCAAGGAGACTCTTTCAGATCACGATGGACGGTTAACGTTCCGTAAATATCTTTTCAGATCAACATCATATCCATGGATGCTGCCTGTCGGCACGTTAAGTCGCACTCATCTACATGCACATGTTAGTAAGAAACTCTCCTTGAAAAGCGTATATGGCTGCTCTGACAAAACTAAATTTCCAGCCATCACATAGTTCTCGGTCGATATGTCTTCGGCGACATGCTTAGTATTAAATTCGTGAGTAGGAACATAAGTAGGCTATGTGGCTCTCTATCGGCTTTTAGATTGCCCTCTCTCCCTACAGGTCATAGTCATAGCCCTTCTCGACATTTTTGTCTTGCGTTTGAATCCTTAACTCATAGGCTCTGGGTGTAGAGCGGAGGTTTGTCCAGCCAGAAGTGAAGGACTACTCCAATCTAAAAAATACGTTGGTTGAAAAGATACCCCATTCATTGGCTGTTAGGGCTTGGAGTATCAGGCAAAACTCACTGGCGAAACATGGTTCTGTTGTAGCAATGGATTTGGGATATTGCTCGGTAAGTGGTGTTCTCTGGCCGGGATAATCGACGAGGTGACTGGATTCACTGAGAACTGTACCGATAGCAGGTTGAAGCCTGCCCGGTGGCGAACCTAGGCGAAAGTTGTAGCACGGTTGTTCGATTGAGGTACAGCCCCTGCAGACACTATACAGCCCACATCCCATTTGGCCCCCATGAAACATATGCATGAAGTCATCGCTGCAGAGGTATATGCACAGCCAGGCGGAGTGACATGCGAAGTATCGACAGAATGATTACCGGATTCGGTAATCGAGTTGCTACAGGACAGACTAAGCCACAATACGCATAAGTAGGCATCTAAGTGTTTACGAGCTGCACCATACCGCCAATAATGTAGCCTAAATTGCGGGTTGGGAACGATCTACGTGTACACGTTCGAGATCGACTATCACTCATCTTTGTCCCGAGACTGCGTTTTTACCTCATACTTCTATTTTGGATTGACTGCTGAGCCTCGATGGAGTGTATAGAGCGTCGATCATCGGTATCTCCGCAGTCTATGAATCCTTATTTATTGACCCTCCTTTCACGTCGGTCTTGTTCTTTAACACTCTAGTTTTCTATCTGTCTCGTCTTTCAAATATCTCCTTAGAATCTCACTTCATCACTTCACCCACTATGGCACAGTTCGTCGACCCGCCTAAGCAGTTTCCAAACGGGGACCCTTTGAACCAGAATCCACCACAAAGTCAAGGTTTCTATTGTCCACAGCAAGGCCCAGGTGGTCCTCCACCACAAAGCTTCTATCCGTCAAATGTAAGCACAAGAATCACCAAATTGCTTAGCCTATGGTATGCATAAGTGGTCTGGTATACAATACTAACTTCTACAAGCTACAACCGCCTGGTTACATGCAACCTACAGCCCAATATCCCCAGCAGATCGACCCTCTATACAGCGAGCAACAATATTCAAACCAATTTCCTCCCAGTCCATACTACGGCTCAACCCAGAATGGTAGTGGCACATCGCCCTACCCAGAACAGCAACACATGCCAGTAGGTGCGAATGCCTCATACTACGGCACTGCACCACATGACCAATACGGGAACCCTGCGCAGCCTATCAATCCAGAAGACGATAAAGGTCTCGGCTCAACGGTTGTCGGTGGTGCTGCTGGTGGGTTTGCAGGTCACAGATTGGGCGGTGGATTCTTGGGCAGCGCGGCGGGAGCGTTGTTGGGAGCTGTCGGTCTGAATGCGGCGACAAATCAACTGTGAGTTGAGCTTTTTATCTGTCTCCTTCGTGGTCATTATTAACGAGTGGTTTTCTTGGTACAGGAAGGATCGCAGAAAGAAGCACAGAAAGGGCAAGTGTGGCAAGAAGTTCCATGGATGTCATGCTCGCCGCAGACGTTTCTCCAGCTCGTCTTCCAGCTCAAGCAATTAGAGGCATGGGTGGTTTTGTTGTTTTCATGGTCTTGCTTTGTTTCTATCTTTGACAAGTTTGTTTAGTCTTTTTGTACATCATGTGGGACGCAATTGAAATATAGATGATTATTCGCTTCAAAAATTGAGAAGGCATGTCGAAAGGACTACGCCAGAAGTGAGCCGCAGTGCATGAATAGATCCTACAACTAAGGAACAGTCTGCTCTACGGCCTCGAAATCGGAATTATCGATGCATACGGAGTACAGTCGAGTCAATTCGACATAAACCCACTTGAGACCGGATCCGATAGGCTGATCCCGAGTTTGCTCCCGCTAAGCCTCATGACGCTAGTCTAAATCGGGAAATACCGTTGTTCGCGGGTCATAAATCATGAACTGCTTTTGTCATTGATGCCAGGTGCTTTTCGATGATTGACGGGAGAGTAAGTGAGAATCTAGATATTCTCTCGTCTACTGTGAAGATGAGGGGGCCATGACAATATAGTATGACTTACGGAGTACTGTGCATGAATACGTTCCTTCCAAGGTTGTCTTCAAGATGAACTCGAAGACAAGTTGATGATGAGCACTTTATCTTGAGACTTGAGCATAAAGTGCTGAATTATTCAATATTTTTGAAGAACACAAGGTTCAAGTCAGAAAAAGGGGCATCTATAGTCGATTTTATTGCCTGGGATGATGGTCAGAAGATATAGCATGCAAATCTCCATGTGCATTGAGCTACCCGGAATTGTCCCAGTAAACATCAAAAAGATGCAGCAGATCATCTCAGATCAATCGAAAGTAGCCCCAATAAGTGGAAGACTGAACGGTCTAGAGCGAACGGTGAGCTCTTGATATGGAAGTATGGGGAAGAGAAGAAACACGTGACGCAACTAGAGTGATGGATTTTATTGGCGTCGGACCAGTGAGGGAGTCCGGCGACCCTCCACTGGCGGAGGAAAAGTTCACGCAAAAAAGCAAAAGATGGAGTCGGACAAGGCTGGCAGATTACCCGATCGGGAATGGTTAGGGCTCGCTAAGCGAGGCGGTGGGCCAGTCAGCGGCCGCACGAGAACTTCATTTTCTGCCGTGAAGGAGGAATTGACCAGCAACCCTCGACGACCACCACCCGGCTTGTTCCCCATCCGTCAACATGGTGCGTTCCCTATCCCTATATGGAAGAAGACAATGAAGGATTCGACTTGTGCGACTGAGAAGGATCGACGACTCGAAATATGCTGGAAGAACGGAATGACTGATTGTGTGTGGAACATATAGGCGATCAAGCACAACAACCAGATTCAGAAGAACCGTGAGTGACCCGTCGCTTTGCACCCAGAACGCCCTCGACATCGACATTGGATTCAGGAAATGAAAAAGGAATGGTGGTTAACCAATTTGAATAGACTTCCACAAGGACTGGCAGCGTCGTGTGCGTGTGCACTTCGACCAGGTACGACTCTCCAACACCCCCCGAATCAAAAGAAGATTTCTATCCGAACGATATCGCAACCGACTGGAATCGAAAACGGAAAAAAATTTTCTTTGCAGGATGTGAATTTGGTCGACTAACATGAATCGCACAGCCCGGCCGGAAGCACCGTCGTCGTGAGGCCCGCATCGCTAAGGCGGCCGCTGTTGCCCCCCGCCCCGTGGACAAGCTGCGTCCCGTTGTCCGGTGCCCCACCGTCAAGTACAACCGCCGTGTCCGTGCCGGCCGTGGTTTCACCCTCGCCGAGCTGAAGGTAAATTTGCCAGAGAAATTTGTCGCAACAGCGAAGGACAGAGCAGAGTGCTGATTCGACTCGTTTAACAGGAAGCTGGTATCCCCAAGAAGCTTGCTCCCACCGTCGGTATCTCGGTTGACCACCGCCGTACCAACTACTCCAAGGAGTCCCTCGTCGCCAACGTTGCCCGTCTCCAGGACTACAAGGCCCGCCTCATCCTCTTCCCCCGCAAGAGCGGTCAGTTCAAGAAGCTCGACTCCTCCCCCGAGGACGTCAAGGCCGCCAAGGCTACCGTTGCCGAGGGCAAGCGTGACGGCATCGTCACCAGCGTTGACGCCAGCTTCCCCATCAAGAACATCACTGCCACCGAGGCCGTCACCGAGGTCAAGCGTGACGCTCTTCCCGAGGGTGAGAAGGCTGCCTACCGCCGTCTCCGTGAGGCTCGCGCCGAGGCCCGCTACCAGGGTGCTCGCGAGAAGCGCGCTCGCGTCAAGGCTGACGACGAGGCCGCTGCCAAGAAATAAATGTGTTAATTCCCTGCTCGTGCTGATGATGATGATCGGGTCGGTTTTCGAATCGGGGATTAGTGTACTTTGGCATGGCGTAGCGCCGCTTCCTTGATTCCCTCTCCCTCCCCCAAATTTACTCCTTTTTGTCTCCAAAAGAAAGAACTCGGAAGATCTCTCGAAATTCAAAACCGCTCAATTCTCTCAATTCATTTACGTAGAGCCTTTTCTTGGCTGTCTTGATCGTGGATATAGTCCATCAGTGCATTTCACCTAGATGTAAACGGCTGCACTGAAGTTACGCGCCTCTTGTAAGTCGACCATACAGCCATGGAGCATGGGTTAGGCTATGGCTGAGTGGGCTTGGGTAGATGCGTTACAAACAGCATCTATGGACTTATACAATTCCAATCAAATTGCATGTGTCCTACAATGCCTTCATTCGCTGTTCAAGTAATTTCCCGTGGGAATTTCGATTTATATTCGAGTCGTACTAGGGTATCTCCGGCTTCCAAGGCTCTACGCTAAAAAAAAAAAAAAAACATCTCAACACCAACGCTAATAACGCAGCACGATATCAAAATCAACCAAACAAAGCACCCAGCGCACCCTCCGTTGCCCTCAAAATCGCATCAACACGAACACCCTCCATTCCAGACATGTCATGGTCTTCATGCAGCAGCGCATGGAAGAGCTTCTTCGTCTCATGATCGACCTTTCTATCCGCCCCAGGAACCGAGACACTGATCTCAGGTCGTAGTTGAGGTTCCCCAGACCATTCATCCAACACCAAGGCGTTCGAAACTATAACCCGAGGACCAGAAGCAGAGCTCTTAGATTTAAGAACCATAGAACTTCGATCAAGATGAGGAGTCAATCGTCTTAGTTCGGATAGTGTGATGTTCCCCTCATTTGCCGGTGCATCATTTCCGCCCTGTGACGCTCGAGGACCGTACTTATGATCAATGTGTGCCCACAATCGGGCACGCGCAACTGCGCTTTCCCAGTAGCGGTTGATGCCCCAGCAAAGAGTTGCTACATCGAGTCTGAGAACTGGGTTCTCTAAGCGTGTGTCGATCCACCGGCGGAGAGGTTCGGGGACTTTTCTTTTTTTGCTGTCGCCACCAGTGGGCACTGATAGGGATGTCAAGCATTGAGTCTCGGGGTCTGCCTCGTAGACAACAGTCACGTTGTAGAGGCTGGATGGAAATGGGGCAGGGGGAGAGAAGATCAGGGTATGCGTTTCGGACAACTCGTCCATGTGTGACGATCGAGTTGTACGTGTTTTGAGTTTCAGCGGCGCGAATATCGTTAAGTACGGGAGTGTTTGGGACTTTTCTTGCAAGGCAAACGGGTTTGTCGGTAATGGTGATGTCTGCCGCTTTGGCTGGATTGTCCTGGCAGAGAATGGGAGTAGGGTTGCAAGGAGGGAGGACATAGGCCTAGGGGCTTTCTGCTGTATTGGTTGGTTCGTGCGGTTTGCCTCTCCGGATGTAAGTAAAGACCTGGCTTTTTGTCAGCTGTGCCCCCGTCCATTGCTTGTATAGAACATACAAAAATCGATCAAGCCCTCTGGTGTCGCCTTTCAAGTCAGGATTGGTTTCGACTTTGTGGGCCCATGATTCCAGCTCCCCGACTTCTTTCTTGAGTTGCCGCAATTCTGCGGCAAGCTTCTTGCGGGAAGCCTGCTTCTCTTGAACTGCCGCAGAGAACCCAGCAGGATATGAAGACTCCGAGTTTTGGTCCTCTGACGGAGGTGACTGAAAATTCACCGCTTTCAGAGGGCTTTCGTGCAATGGGTTGTGAAGCCGTCGTCTTGATCGTTTCTCTGGGCGCATACTCGGGCTGCTGCTCAGTCCTCTGGGTCGGTCCGGGGCCTTTTCTAGCCCCAGCTGGGTTGGAGTAGGAGGTAGCTCAGGCTCATCATCGTCATCTTCCATGAATCCAGGATCGGGTCCCATGTCCAGTCCCAGATCTGCTGTGGCACTGTCTAGCTCCGAAGCCAATTGGCCTTCAGGAGTATTGGACTCGGGGTTTGGTGGGGGTGCAAGTGGCGACCCGAACACCAGATCTCCTGGTAAGATCCTCTTTGAAATCCTGCGCGGGGGTTTTGAAAATGCTTGTATTCCCTTTGCGCGCCTGCTTGGTGAACTTTCCGGGCCTTCGGACTGTCTAGGCCGGGTGAGCGGACTGGCAGAGGCACTGAGCGAGGGTCTCAATGCTTTGCGATCGCGTAGTCCAAGTACCCTAGGGTCTTTTGGCTGGTCCTCTTTGCTTATCGGTTGTCGGCTGGGAGACCTGCTGAGCGCGCGCTCGAGTGCATCCGGGTTCGATCGTGCAAGACTAGCTCTCGTTGGGGATTGGTATGACGGTCGCCTTCGGCGCGATCCATCCTGCGAGAGGTCTGGGACCACAGGAGCCCCAGTGGTCTCGCTGGTCTTCCGTCGTTTGGCGGGGGAATCCATTGTCGCGGGTGTTCCGTCTTTCTCGGCGCGACGGCGAAGATAAACAACGGTGTTTGCACTGTTTGCATTATGACTTAATGGACCTTTGCATCTTCCCGAGGTCTCCCACTTTGTCAAATTCACACCATGGAGTGTCTTTCGATGCGCACTGGACGCTCGCTCCAGAGGTTGGGTCTTCGTGCTCGCTCGCTCGCACCTGTACCTTCTGCCTCCCTTATTTCATACAGACAATATGTGCTGGTCCCGACTCCCCGGCGCATGAAAGCCCACCAATCCGACCAATCAGACCAATCCAATCCCTTGAATACGCGAGCGTCCCTGGAGGAAATACCTGAGCCTCCAGCTGAATCCTCTGCTCAAGCTCAACCCTTGACAGGATACTATGCCTTGATTCTGCGCTCGCCTACCCCATATGGTGGCCAGGCGGTGACATCGCGACCAACACCTCGGCCCGAAGCCGCACCGAGTGCATCCGTCGAGCCCCAAACGCCGCAAGAAAGAATGGCAATTGTGTTTGGTACTCGTCTCGCAGGTCCTGGGCGATCCTCGCGCTACAATCCCGGGGAACAGCCGGAGTCGGCATGGAAAACCATCAACGGAGTACCCATTCCTCCCCAACCCGAAGAACCAGACAACTGCTGCATGAGCGGGTGTGTAAATTGTGTCTGGGACGACTTCCGAGATGAGATGGAAGAATGGGGAAACAGACTGGCCACCGCAAAAGCCAAAGCGGGCGATGAGCAAGGCGCAAAGGACATGCGCTCGGCGCCTCGAGCAGAGGTCAGCTCTGCCAGTGGCAGCATGGACGACGACGGGGGAGGCAGCGAGGCTCTTTGGACCAAACCCAGTCAAGACGACGATTTGTTTGCCAACATCCCAGTTGGCATTCGCGAGTTCATGAAGACCGAGAAAAAGTTGCGAGTGAAACATCAAAAGGAGGCCGCGCCGTGAAATGTGGGAAAGCCTGCTTCTTGTTGGGCTTGATACCCTGTGCTATATTACATTGGAAGATTCAACTTCGAAGGGAAACGCATGTGTTTAAAGCTTTTCTTATAGATGGTATATATATATAGATAGAAGGGTGGATTGTACATAGTCTTGCAAATGATACCACGATATTTTCAGATTATCCAAGTACTTCATTCACTAGACCGACTGTAATCACCGCAATTCAACACTTGATCTCAGAGGACCTCAGGACTGCCCAGGTGAGCACTGTGAATGGACGGAATACCTTACCTAGTAGTGGTACCAGAGTGAATGTGATGGATGTCCGTGTTGCGGCGAGCGGCGCCAAGCCCGAACTTGGGGCGCGGGTCTCTCTATTTTTTTTTTTTTTATAAATCAGACCATCTTCCCCAAGAGCAACACGAACCATCACCTCCCTACCTACATCGAACCCTGCCCAGTGCGAGTGGCAATCCAGCGTTTTCAAATGTACAAGACAAAGCATTGGGGGTTCCTTCGTGTCTAGCATTAGCATCCTCGGAGATCCAGTCCTGACCTTCCCGCGAAACGTCGGCTTTGCATGATGGCCACAGGAGCGAGCGCCCATGTCCACCGGGCCATCAATCGGCCTCATCTTCTTGCTCGAAATGAATCCCATCTCAGTGTTCGGAGCCAGGGACACGGCCAGCTGAGATTGCGACAGCTTTCCAGACAAAAGATTCATACAGCATGTCGAACCGTCCTTCCTCTTCGATCCTCTCTCGGACCTCTCTCAGCAAATACTACCCTTGCGGCTCGCAAAATAATACGTGGAAATGGCCCATACGCCCCGAACTGCCCGACTGCGCGCGGACTTGCGAACACAAGTCACTTGGGATCCCAGGAAGCAGCTGAGCAACGAACCGAAGAAGATCGTTCTCCAACAACAGACCAGAAGAGAGTCCTCCCCTCGCTAGTAGGTGAAGCTTCAGAGGCTTTGGCCTCACCCGGTTTTACTCATTCCGTGCATACCTAACATGATGAAATAGAGGACGGGGAAAACGCCTTCGGCATGGCAACGTCTGCTGAGGAGTATCCCCAACGGGCCTGGAACTAGCAGCGAGAAATCTTTCAAGGTATCGGAGAATCTCGACGAATCCAACCCGGACAACAACTCACACTCTCTCATGGAAAGCATTGAGAATGCTCTTCAAAACAGCCAAAGTGTTCAAAAGAGCCAAAGTGTTCAAAAGAGCCAAAAACAAGCTTTACGACTCAAAGTCTCAGACGACTTGGCTTTTGCACTTGGAAAAGATGCAACAGCGAATCTGATCCAGGCGAATTCGTTTATGAAAGCCCAGAAACCTTTCCGGAAACTGTTACCGGAAACCCCGGGATCGAAAATAAAGAACAAAAAGCCCAGTAAACCCAGGGTTTATGACTTCTCGCGGAGGGATGAGGAACTGAAAAACAGCAAATCTAAAGCCGAGAGTTCGTTAGATCCCAACCATCAGGCCATGCGCAGACAGGTTGAGGATCTACCCATCCGCCAACACAAAGATGAGCTGTTGAACCTCATCAATAACAACGTCTACAGTATATGCAATGCACAGACTGGGTCCGGAAAATCCACCCAAGTCCCTCAGCTTATTCTGGATGACGCAATTTCGAAATCGAAAGGCTCAAAATGCAGGATTCTGGTTGTTCAGCCTAGGCGCATTGCCACAACTCGGTTGGCGCGACGAGTGGCTGCAGAAAGACACGAGAGCATCGGTAATACCGTTGGCTACTCAGTACGATTCGACCACCGACCCGCGAAGCCTGCTGGGAGCATTACCTTTTGCACCACGGGGATGTTGCTGAACCGGCTAAGATCAGAAAGATCGCCCCTCGACGACTTCTCCCACATCATCCTCGATGAGGTTCATACCCGTGATGTTAGCCTTGATCTCGCAATGAAGGTGTTGAGGGACGGAATTGATCGACGCACTAAGGCCGGGAAGGATTGCCCAAGGCTGATTTTGATGAGTGCAACGGCTGATATTCCCCTTTTCTCGTCATATTTTCAAGTAACAACAGAGGGGCAAGGTCCGAGTCCTGCTCCTCATATCACCATTCCTGGACGCACTTACCCCGTTAAAAAGCACTATCTCGAAGAAGTGATTCAAAACTTGGCTCTCTCCTTGCCACCATATGTGTTGTCGGAGCTCATTAAGGCCCACCCACCAACCGAGGAATTCTTGAATGCGCACTTCAAAGTGTGGGGTGATCAGAGTGCAAATCCGGGGTCATTTGTCCCCCGGTCAACTCGCATAACGGATGAACTTAAGATCGCTTCTGGCTTGGTATCTGCAACAATCATGTCCCTTTTGGCAAAAAAGAAGCAGGGTGATTTCCTTGCCTTTGTCCCCGGAATGTTCCAAATGAACGAAATAATTTCTCAACTGCAGGAAACTGGTCCTCTGATGGGCCTTGATTTCGCGGATCCTAGTCGGTTCAAAATCATCCGGTTGCATTCAGAATTGCCATTGGAACAACTTGAGCTTTCAGTCGAAGTCCCCGAAGGCTGTCAAAGGATCATTCTTGCTACAGATATAGCTGAGACATCTCTCACCTTGACAGGTGTCAGGCATGTCATTGATACTGGCAAGCACAACCAGCGCGCAGTTGACACTGAACTAGAATATAGTGCCATGTATCCCCGCTGGGTCGATATGGCTTCTGCGGAACAGCGTGCAGGGCGGGCGGGCAGAGTCCAGGAGGGGGATTATTACTTCCTTGGGTCCTCCAAACGATTTGAGAACTTGCAAAGTTCAAAAACGGCGGAAATGCATCAATCGAGCCTCGAGGAAGCATCCCTCCACCTCCGGAAAATGATTACTTCTGAAGTGCCACTTTCGACTATTTTTAACGAGACCATTGAACCGCCCAGTGAAGACAGGGTCGCCTCCGCAGTGCAGAATCTGAAGAACCTAGGAGCATTTGACATCAATGAAAATCTCACTGAACTTGGCATCATCCTCGAAAAACTGGACATGGATCCTGCGTATGGAAAAATGATCCTTTTGGGGGCCATATTCAAATGCCTAGATCCCATGGTGATCATTGCAAGTCTTGGGCCAAGGGGAGGTGGAATAAACCGACGCCGCCCCACAGGAGCCGATCGCGAGCATGTGCAGCGCGTGCGCGAAAAGCTCAGTAATGGCACGTTGAGCGACCATATGGTTTATATCAACTCCTTCCGAGCCATCCGTGACCATCGGAATAAATCCGTTGCAGAGATCGTGCAGGATGGTACCCTGGCCGAGGGAGTTAACCCTCACTGGAATAGAAGTCTCAAGGCGATTCAGGAAGAATTTGCCGACTCGCTTTTGCTGGACTCTCGCGCGTTCACGACTGCTGCCGCCTCGGGCCATATTATATTGGGGAAAATGCGTCAAGCCAATATTAAGTTGGTGACACTACGAGCATATCTGATCCAGTGGCAAGCCAAAGGTCAATCCCTACCTTTTGGCACAGAAGACGCAAACCGCAACTCCGACAACACAAATCTTATCAAGGCATTATTGGTGCATTGCCTTGCGCCCAATTTGGCCATTCAGAAATCGTTCAGTCGAAAAGTTCTCGTCAAACCCGGGGTCCCCTTAGATGGTACCCCTTTTCCGAGAAGTGGCCAGCCTCTTGTCCATGCGTACGCCGAGAAGTTCTTCACCCAAACCTCGGGCATGAATATAGCTGAGTCGACTCGGGTCAGTCCATTGACTGCCTGCATCTTATCAAATAAGTTGGAGGTGGAGCAGGGGCAGGAGCAGGGGCAGGAGGGAATTGTTTTAGACTCGTGGCTACGCTTCAAAGTCTTGGGTGAAAGTTTACCAAACAAAGAGGTTGCAGAAGATCTGGTCCAGCACCACAAGGTTCTCAACGATGTGAGTGTCTTACCCTTTTTCACTCAGTTCGGGCACTAATCTTATTCAGGCTCTCCACACTGCTTTCGCCACATTCACCTTGGACGTAGAGAAGCTCTCCCGCAAAGACAAGAAAAGGTTTTATGCTGCGCAACAGCGCCTCTTCGCCAGTCTCCGGGAAGCAATTGATGTCATTGTCGGCATGGATTCCCCCATGCCGTCCGTCGAGGGGCCAAGCCGCTGGTTAGACGAATTTGACGATGAGGAGCTTGGCGGATAGCCCACCGACATACTGTGTTAATAGTGGCGAGGATCCTTCGCCAGTCTTATGTATATTATTGTGATTTTATCATATTATCTGTTGCACATCGAACCAGCGCTGCGGGGCATAGATTTTCAAGGTCATCTCAGTAAAGATAATACCACGTACTGGGGGGATCGGCAATCTTGGAAGCCACGTAGTCCCTGGTCTGTCTGTTATGCAGTATTGCATTCGGAGTACGGAGTGGCCAGCTCCAGGGCTATTCGCTGTGCCGGATTTCCCGCACAGTTTCATAACACTAGTGCAAGAAGAGGTATTTTCTGCATAAAAGAGCCTAGAGACGTGTTGCATGATTAGCTTGTAACACTAGCCCATGCATGCATGCACTGACGTTTTGGTCAGAATCTTGAATCACCAGATCCTTGATTGGATTACTCCCGCGCTTGGACTGCTCTCCATCGACATATCCATGTGAAAGTGCGTACTTGGAATACTTGAAATGCCTGAAAATCATTGAATCCCAAGTATCCCGAGCTCATGATTGGAGGCCCGTCCACGGCACGGGCTGTAGATCAGCCCCCCGGTCTTCTCATTTAGGCCGGCCCTACGGAGTATTCTGCAAGATCCTTGTCGACGTCAATCTAACGCCTTGTGTGCGGGGTTTATACTCCGTCGTTTTCGTTATGCAGAGTTCTCGAGGCACAACTATTATGTCTTCGTTGTACTACTCTTCGGAGAGAAAGGATATAAACGTCGAGCATCTTGCAGTAGAGAAAGACTTTACACACATCCCAATCATGGCGGTTATTCCTGGTTTGTCGGCACTACCGAGTGCAAAAATTTACCCAGAGGTCGTTGTGACTTTGTTGACAGCGAGTCTTGCTCTGGTAGGTGTAGCGTTCCTTTCATCTGGATGGCAGAACTGACCAAAATCGTGGAACACATTCTAGATCCCTCTTTATTTCATGTGCCTCTCGATCTACAATGTATACTTTCACCCTCTGTCTAAATATCCTGGTCCCAAGTCCATGGCAGCAACCCGAATCCCATATATGCGAATGGTATTAAGTGGTCGGTACCCACAGAAGACCAGAGAACTACACCAGCAATACGGGGATGTGATCCGTATTGCTCCAGATGAGCTCTCTTTCACTGATGGCGATGCCTGGAAGCCAATCTATGGCACTCGTGTCGGCCACGGGCAGAAGCCCAAAGACGACCGGTTCTATGTACCCCGAGCAGGAGCATCTGATATCATTCTCTCCGATGATGCCGACCATTCTCGTTTCCGTCGATTGTTGTCCCATGCTTTCTCCGATGCCTCATTGCGTGGACAGGAGCCTATCATCAGTGGATATGTCGATCTATTGATGAAACGTCTCCATGAAAATATTGCCGGTGGAAATAATGTCGTCGACATGGTGGCCTGGTATAACTTCACAACCTTTGATATCATCGGTGACTTGGCCTTTGGTGACTCCTTCGATTGTCTCAAAAGCTCCAGCTATCACCAGTGGATCTCGATCCTGTTCAAATCCCTCAGATACGGCCTTTACTCAAATGTTGCTCGTCGTCTTCCATTTTCCGATTACCTGCTGGCCCTCATTATTCCCAAGAGTGCCGTCGCCCAGAGAAAGACGCATATCGAACTGACCACACAAAAGGTCGAAAAGCGGATTGAGAAATCCAACGAAAGACCCGACTTCTTAGGAAACATCCTCAAGCATAACAATACCGAGAAGGGATTCAGCTTCCCCGAGTTGGTCACTAATAGCAGTACCTTAATCATCGCAGGCTCCGAAACTACAGCAACTCTGCTGTCGGGTGTGACCTATCTACTCTTGCGGAACCCTCAAGCCCTAGCCAAGCTTCAAGATGAGGTTCGGTCGACATTCACCAAGGAAGAGGAGATTACGTTGGAAAACTGCAACAAGTTAGACTACTGCCTCGCAGTACTCACCGAGACACTCAGAATGTACCCCCCTGTCGCAGTGGGATTGCCTCGAATTGTCGATTCCCAAGGCGACATGATTGCTGGGAACTGGGTCCCCGGAGGCGTGAGTACAAGCCTTGTTCTAGAAAGTATCACCTCACTAACTGTTATTCAAGACCATTGTTTCGGTCTCCCACCTCTCCGCCAGCTACTCACCCGCCAACTTCAAAGACGCCGACAAGTTCATCCCCGAGCGTCATATGAATGATCCGCGCTTCGCCAATGACAGCAAGAATGCCATGCAACCATTCAGCTTCGGTCCTAGAAATTGCATCGGACGCAAGTGAGTCTCACTCTGCCTTCTTTCTTCTCTTGCCTTGCGACACATCGAACACATTGCTTATGTTGTATTAGTCTGGCCTACGTCGAAATGCGTATCATTATGGCCCGCATGATTTTCAACTTCGACATGGAACTCGCTCAGCCTGAGCGCGATTGGTTGGATCAGAATTGTTACCTTCTATGGGAGAAGTCGGGTCTGATGGTCCGACTGCAGCCCCGCGATATGCAGAAGTGATGGATGTCTACGGAGAGACTTCGCTGTACACTCCATATAGCCCTGGAGGCGTTTATCGATTTAAGGTTAAGCTTAACGCCACCCGTGAACGGTCCCGGGGGTTTCGCCCCGGGACCCTGCAGTCTGGTTGGTAACCTTGGAATCACATAGCAAACTTGACATCTGTATGACTACATACTTATGAATATTGAAAATCGTAAAAAGAAAAAAGAAGCACAGAACAGGATTCGGAATGAGTAGACAAGACGCAACAAAAGCAAAAAAGAAATGCTCACACTCGGAGTCGAACCGAGGATCTCATCATTACTAGTGATGCGCTTTACCACTAAGCCATGCGAGCTTCTTGATGTATGAGCCTAGAATGATTGCATCTATAGCTCAAACATAATCCCCAAGTACTCAGCAGTATCAAACGCACACCTGCATGTGATCAATCTGCAAATCACACTGACCTGACCGCATTAACCTCCACCGCCCCGACACGACGGCAAAAAAAAGAAGCCCGATCACAGCCCTCCACCAACACCGACCAAAGCAAGATGTCGCTCAGCAAAAGCGAATCAGACGTAATCCTCAACCGGGCCAACGTCGCCCTCTCCCGCAGCCAAAGACTAGTCGCATCATGGCTCCCCAAAGCCGACGACGAAGCACCAACCAAAACAGACGAAGAGCTCCAAAGAGAAGAAGATGAGATATTCACCGCAGTCCCAGAGACGTACGTTCCCAATCATAGATCACAGGCAGGAAGGGAATCACTAACGCAATCAGTCTCGGAATCGGAGCCCCCCTCCCTCAAAAAGCGGCCGACGGAAGCTGGAACCGCAGCGATCTAGACTCGAATGATAAATTGCGCAAACAACTACTAGGCAAGAACTATGATCGCGTCATGAAGGCTGCCGCGGAAGAGAAGGCTGCGGCGAAAGCTGCTGCTGCCAAGCCTGTGCAGACACAGCCTGAGACTACAGTGGATGAGTCTGATGAGGAGGATGGGCGCGCGGCGATGCTTTCAAAGCAGAGGAAGAGGAAGGGTGCGCCGGCGGTGCATCCTGCTGTTGCGGCTGCGGAGGCCGAGGCCGAGGCTGAGAAGGAGAAGAGCGATGATGCGAAGGGGCCTGCGCGCAAGAGTCGGAAGAAGGCGACGAGTTACTTGGATGAGCTTTTGGCTGAGAGGTCGAAGAAGAGGAAGAAGAGATGAAGGGTGTGGTTTGGGTTTTAATATATACGAGCATGCATTGTGTACATGTAGATGTACAGGTGCAGGCTGTCGCGCAAAGAGCAATCGTGAGCGCTGGACGCTATTGGAGTCCTGGATGGCATGGACCGAGCGACTCATACTGTTATTACGATACACAAGACACGGCTGGTTCCTGTCTTATGCTGATGAGCACGTTAATGGAGATGATCGATTTGCGAAGCTTAAAGTACAATCCAATTCCAGTCTTGCTCTAGATGCCACAGAACCAATGTGTTTTTTTTTTTTGCTCCGTCCAGTCCCAGGGTATATGTGAGATGGGGAGTGAACGGGGAGCGGAGCCTGGTCAGATTGGGAATTGACAAGACGCTGCCAAGATTAGATATCCAAAGATGAAGAGTGAGACATCTACAAGCACAATTAGGAGAGAGCAGACTGAGGGTACTTCTGGTTCCAGAACGAGCCATCCGTCTGCGAGATGGTACACATGCAGGTTGAATGGGGGGTGGTCCGGGTTGTCGAAGATGCATAGATTTGATAGCGCAGAGCGCCTTGGTTGTGAGGTCTGGGGGTATGATCGGCAGCATCTATTCGAGCCGCTTCCGTTTGCGATCATCTGCCATGGCTTGTTGGTCTTCGTCGGGCCTTTCGGCTGTATCGGCTGGGTTGAGCAATGAGTGTACATTGCTTGCCATGCTGGAGCGACGGGTGGCAGGCAATGATGAGCCATGTGGGAATCTGGAGCCTCCAATCGCCCAGCCGTTGTCAACACCTAGCATAGATGGTGAGGGCTCGGCGGTTGGAGGTGTGGCATGGCGAGACTGTTCTTGCAGACGGCGGGGAGCACCCATCTCATATTGGGCGAGAACATCACGAACTTGTTGGTCACTAGAGACTGGGGTCTGCTGTCCCGGGGATGGTGGCCACGGGCCACTGGGTAAATTGCCAGGGGGATAGGGAGAACCCGCCGAGGGCGACCACCCGTGCTGCCGTATGTCGGCAGACGTGTGGCGCCGGGCGAGACTGGGCCCGGGGGATGTCGATACTGAGAGGGGATGGGGGGTAGGTTGTGGAGGGGGTGCTGCTGCGGGGGGTGGCGGCCGTGCGTATGGAGTGGAATTGGCGCCCCCGATGGATCCGTAGCGGCGGGGAGAGACTGACAGGTGTGGAGGAACGGGTGGTCGGATCATATTGTTGGGTCTCGGTGTAGGGTCCATCATGGACTGTCGGCGAGGGTCATCCTGGGGCATTTGGCGCGGTGACAAAGGTGGGCCGGTCTCTGCGATATTGGCGAAGAACGGTGGTCGGGAGGGCATGAGCGCTTCGTGGGGGGTTTCGAGGGCGCGGACCGTTTCAATGTGCTTTTCCACTTCCCTTTGCATGCTCGACACTGGATACTGTCAGTAACGCGGCCGTGGTCAATTCGGATGGCTCACATACCATCGCGGTAAAGAGGACTCTCCCTGTCGGGCACAACGGCCTGGAGGAATCGGGAGATGGAGTGCGTCCACTGGGGAGTCATATTAGCACCGATACGCCGCGCACACAATGGATTCCGGAGCATACTTGGTAGCATTTTGTGAGACTCTCCGTCATAGCCTGGCACCTCGAGCTGAGGGTCATATTGCCCTCTTCCGCTCGGGACAATCGTGCATGCATATCAAAGAGGGTGTGCTCGAGGTTTATGAATCGAGCTTCGGTCGCGTCGGGCACAGGCTCGGCCGGGGTGCCTGGATGCGAGACGGCGGGTTTGTGCCCGGGGAAGGAATCGCGATGAATCAGGGCATGTCGAGAGGCGCGGCGCTTGATCTCCCGCAAGCCTGCAAGATCACCCCTCTTGAAGTTGCCATTTCCGTGCTTGAACTCCCACAGTGCGGAATCCGGCGACCCGGTATGAAATACATCGCTCACTAGCCCGCAATCGTCAGGAGCTGGTCAATTAGGGATTCGCACGCGAAATCACCCACCTTTGTGAAACCCATACATGTTCAGCTGGCGGACGAAGGAGGAGATGTTGGTGTGCTTGAAGTACGAGCTGCGACGGTCAGCGAGACATCCGGGAGTCGGTACGAGAGGAACTCACGCGAGGACTTTGGAGAATTCGGAGGTCGGCGACATCACGAAACTGTCGTTGGTGCCGGACCAGGAGATGAGATGCTGGATGCTGGGGTCCTCTAACATACTGGGCCAACGGTAAGCTCATCGCCAGGACTCACGCGCAGGCCGAAAACGTACTTGTAGAGCTTGTGAATGAAGGCCGTCTGGACAACCTTGGGCTGCTGCGCCGCCGCCGCGGCTCCGATGGCCGGGTTGGGGACATTGAGGGAATTGGACTCGGCACCATTGATCGCACGGTCGCTGTCGGCGTGCGCGGGCGGAGGGGTGATGTCCATCCTCGAATGCTGACCGGAGGAAGACAGCACAGGGATATTGCGGGTTCGGCCGTCGCCTCCAAAGGGGATTCTCGAGTCCAGGCGACTCATGGTTGTAGGTGCGACGGGAGGTCGTGAGGGGTGCCAATTCGGCCGTTTACGCTCGTGCGGAAGAACGTGGGAGAATCGGGAGCTCAACCAAAAGGGGTCATGGCGAGCGACTCACAATATCGAATATCATCAATCCAGGTGAATGTCTCTGTCTCGCAGGGATTCTGAGGAAAAAGGGGCAGTTGATTAGTTGATTAGTGATTTCCATGCGGCTGCTCCTCCTCATTGGCTGCGCCTTATTGTATACGACTTTCCTTACTCTCTGCACTAATGCGGAGCTATTCGATATACAGATTAACAGTACTCCATATAGCTATAGAGGCAGTCAGTATGGCCTTTGATTGCGCATTTGCCATTTCCTAGAGCCGAATACACTTCTCTCCATGGTCTACCATGATACTCAATGTTGCACTAATGTGCCCTCCATGGATATTAAAAGGAAGAGCAGACAAGATCAGATTGGAGACAAAACTGTTTGGTCAGTTTGCATATGCATTGCCTGGTTCACGAGGCATTGCTCATATGCTTCTCCAAGGGGTTCATTCCCAATCTATACGATCAACTCACTTTCCTCTGCTTTGCAGCACACTCTGTGAGCTAGAGTCGTGCATTCTGACCCAGAATGCACAATCGAGCTGGATTTGTCCACATCGCCGCGTTGAGCTCGTGCAGCGCTTCAGAACTTCGCCTCGTCCTCGAACCGGCCTTGTTGATAGAACCACTTGTCAAGGGATAACATAGACACAAGGTTCAGTTCATCGTCGTGGTTAAGCTCTTCATTTTGTCCGGCTCAAGCTCGTCGGAACATCGCCTCGGCCTTGGAGTAATTCTGCTGCTGATAAAGAGGTTTGTCAATCGAGGCCAGAGAAACGAGTGTCTGGAAGTGCTGAAGGCTGGCTCTTCTCGCCTTGCGAGGCTCGTCAGAAGAAAGTCTCTGGCTTTTTGTATCCCTGCTGTTGGTGGAGAGTTTTGCCCGGCCAATGTACATAGCAGAGTGTGTCCTTATACACATGGCCCAGTACTTGTGCTTGCTCTTCTGGAGCTCGAGGATCTCGCTCGGCAGCCTTTCTGAGGCTGTCATAGCCCGTGCTAAGGTAGCATGTGCCGGATCCTGCGTTCCCTTTGATGTGTAGGACTGATACAATCGTGTTGAAAACTCAAACTGTGTTCCCTCCGGGTTGCCAGTTTCGGAGGCCTTGGGTTTCGATGAAGCCGCATGTCTGTAAGTGCTTCCTTCATCCTGGTCATTTCTCTGCTCCGCGCCAGGCTGTCGTGCTTTGCTGGTTCACTCACTTGTCTGTTGAGCTCTGAGCAACGACGATGCTTCAACCATTGATGCTTGGAGACATCAATTGCACAGAATCAATCACAGCTACTGGAGCTATCAGACCATTCAGGATGAAGTCTTGGCCATCATCGCTGGCTCGCTGGATATTGAGTCCGACGAGAGAAAATATCCATCTTGTGTGTATCTTGAGGTGCTCAAGGGCGAAAGGACGTTTGATAGTGAGCATGAAGTGAGCCAGCATTTCAAGGCTCCAAATTTCCATATCAAGCATCAGCTTTCAAGTCTCACTCGTTGCCAATCGTTTGTATTCTCCCTCGGATTTGCTGCCCAGGTATGCCATTTGACTCGAAGATGTCGGGTACAGTCGTCGACGAACTCAATATCTAGCCTTGAATCAAGTAAAAAGGGTGATATTGCTGTGGAGATGTTGCTTTCAAAGCATTCAACATTGCAGGTGGCTTTATATGCCCCGTCTGCCAGGTGCGTCGGCCGCATACCCTGTACAGATAAGCGCCGAGGCTGCACTCGTCGTCCATTACTCAACCGGTCACCATCTGTATGAACCCGCGCCGCGCGCCTACTAGGCTTGCTTGATGCGTGGAAGACTGATTGCTTTTTCTCGGTATGACTCCGAGTGCGGCTTGCAACGCACCTGGTTTTCCACCATTCACGAAGAGTCTTGCAAGGTATGCACGAGCTGTCTTCATGGCTTGGCAGGGGTTCATGTCCTGTGCAACTTTATTGGCTTAGATTTAGCTGCAGAAGGAGCCAAGTATATTGGAAAGGGGTCGAGTTTGTGAACGAGGTCATTGAAGAAATAGCAGTAAGGCTACCTAGGTAATCATTGCAGACACTTACAGGTGCTCAAGAGGATATCATTTAAGCACACCATATTTTCCTGAAAATGGGAGATTGTCATTGAAATATTGCCTTGCAGAAACTACTCGTACATCAAACCGCTCGAATACACATTTCACCAAGATACTCCATCAATGCCCGTCATCCGACTGAACTCCTCTTGCGCCGGCACTCAACCGCCCTGAAAGAGCACAAGACTATTTTGTGGTGTGGATCTTCGAAGCCTGAACCAACTTCATCGCCCCAACAGGTTCCCAGTCATCGGTCAAAGCCGCAACATGAAGCCCTCCAAGTGCACCGACCCCGTTCAGCACATAGAAATCATCATCGGCGTGCCAAGCCGAATATTCCAAAGATGGAATAACGCTTTTGAAATAATGGTCAGGAACAACCCGATACTCATCGAACTGATACATCGCCGCTCCAGGAGGCATAGGACGGAGAATCGATCGTCGCGACGCAACCACCAGCTTGTCATCATAGCTGAAGTGCATCAGGTTGTCATCCGTGATGAACTGGGTCATGCGCTGGGCCTCGTTGTACCAGCACTTGGATTCAGGACTCATTTGTCCGACGAGTACGTTGTCTTCAAGGGTAAAGTGGAGGAAGCATCGCTGTTTGGCCTGGACATTCTGGGATAGTGCAAGCCAGCAGCAGTGTTGGCCTGTTCGGATTGGCATCAGGTTTCCGATCGAGATATTTTCCAGCCATTCGGGGACGAAGGAGACGATGTCGTGGATATGGGTCTTTTGTTCTTCGCATTTCCACCTGGTCCCTTTGAGCGAGTATGACTTCACCACCAGTTTGAACTCTCTCAGTTCTTCGCGGTGCACGGGTTCTCCGAATTTGAGCCTTCCGAGCTCGTACCTCTTCAGCATCTCTTCCTTTTCCAGCTGCCTATCCTTTTCTGGTTTTTCTCCCGCTGGTTTCTTGCCTGCTGCTTTCTTTTTTTCTGCTTCTAGCTTTCTCTCCGCTTCGAGCTTTTTCTCTTTCGCGATTTGCTTTTCATCTTGCAGGTAGATGACCGAGAGATATCCCTCATCACGGAGAGAGATGCCAAAGAGCAGGCCATCTTCGAGGGGGAATTTGCGACTTTTTCCAGTGTCGTAGTTGATAACCATCAGCATACCGGGGAATTGAAGTACGACCCAGTTTTCATACATAAGCATCGCCTGGCAAGAAGCACAAGGCATACGGAAACGCTTTAGCTCCTCCGTCTCTGTATCCCAGACATAACAGAACCTGTAACACTGTCAGCTTCCACACACAATATTGAACACGAGTAGTGAGCTCCCACAATGGGAACATGTACATACCGAGGAGGAGTGGCAGCCACCAGTCTTCCCGAGGTGTCGACACGATCTAGCAGCTTCCGGTGCTCGGCCATGAAGGTTTTCTGCTCGCCGGTTCGCACGTTGTGCACACGGACAGTTTCGACGTTATTCTCTGCGATGATTCCCTTGCAATACTTCACTGCGACGGTGTCCACATCTTCTGGATCATCTTTGCACACGCGTGCCACGTTTCCAATGACACCGTTCTCGGTGCGCCATCGCGTTTTCAGAATCGATTCAAGCTTCTCGAGTGGTTCTTTGGGATCTGGCTTCCTCTCCATCCGTCTGTTGATCATGGCCGCCATCACATGCCTGTTGGAAAGGATATCTTTCCATTGCGGAGAGACCTAGACTTTGTCAGTGTGATTCTTGACCACAGCCGGTCACTTGGGTGTAAGGGAAGTATCTTACTTCCCGGAGACGGAAGATGTCGTTGGTGTTCAGGTACTGCACCAGAATGCACTTCAGTTCCATGGGTATCTCCGCGAGGATATCGCGTTGGAGTCTGAGGGCGACGTCCATGTACTTTTTCACCCCCCGGAGATCGTATGGGGTGAGAGACCTGTGTATAGCATTAAGGCTGGGTGGTGGGGTCAGTGAGCTCTCTTTGGTTCGCGGGTGTTACATACGCTGCTTGTCGGTCCGCCATGTCTGTAAGAGTGAGGAAGTGATCCGTCACAAGTTGCGCCTTTTGTGACATGCTCGCAATGCCTCGCTGCCTGCTGGCGGCCAAACAGGGAAAAGGGTATGTGACCTGACGGATCAGGCCGATGAAGTTTAGAAATGAGAGATAAAAGAAGTGCGGGATGTAGATGGGAGAAAAGAGAAGATGAAAGAGGTCAATAGGGCGATCAATGGGCTTTTCCCCCAGAGCTTTGAAAGGTGGTGTCCCTGAATACAATCGATCGTTGACTTTGTACTCAGGGCTTACTGTCAGGCCCCACATCTACTTTCACTTCTTCCTCACTTCCGACTCTTGGTTCTTGCCCAGCTTAACTTGTCTGGAATTTAAAATATAGACAATTAAATATAAAAGCCTGAAAATACCTTAGCGAAGCATCAGAGGGCAAGCAAGATGCATGTGGATAATCTCCGAGTGGTGACGTATCCTACATAGTACAATTTCTGCACGCATACTTGAGCTTTTAATCCCGAGATCTACAAGTATACAAGGATAACAGACTTCAGCTCTCACATCCCTTCCGATTAGGAATATAGGTCATAGAAACACTCAAGAATACAGTGACAAAAAGAAAATATGTGACACAGAGGGCGCAAACGCATCAGTCGATGGCACTGCGGCGGTTCGATTCGGTTCGCCTCAAACAAAGAAAATGCTCTATATTAGATGACTTAGATACCCAGGGTGAACTCAACACCAACGTCGATGTCGCGGGCCATCTTGACGACCTTGGAGAACTGGACGGACTTCTCGGCGGCGGTCTGGAGGTCCTCAATGGAGAAGATCTTCAGGCCAGACTCGTTGATGAGCTTGTGGGCCTGCTCCATGTTGGTACCCTGCAGACGGGCGATGATGGGGGTGCGGAGGTTCATCTCTTGGACAACGTTGATGAGACCCTGAGCGATGGCGTCGCAGCGGACGATACCACCGAAGATGTTGACGAAGACGGCGGAGACCTTGGGGTCGCTGGTGATCAGCTCGAAGGCGCTCTTGATGGCCTGGGGGGTGGCACCACCGCCGACGTCGAGGAAGTTGGCGGGGGAGCCGCCGTTCAGCTTGATGATGTCCATGGTGGCCATGGCGAGACCGGCACCGTTGACTGGGGAGGTTAGCATGATCCATTGCGTGACCAATCGCGGGGATTCTTACCGAGGCAGCCAATGTCACCATCGAGCTTGATGAAGTTGAGACCGTGCCTAATTCCAGTCAGTACGCATTGCGACAATATCGAATAGAGCAAACATACTCAGCGGCCTTGACCTCATCAGCATCCTCCTGGGAAACGTCGCGCCACGAGAAAGCCTCCTTCTGACGGAACTCGGCGTTGTCGTCGAAGCCAAGCTTGGCGTCCATAGCCAGAACCTGGTGGTCGGAGGTCTCGGAGAGAGGGTTGATCTCGAGCTGGGTGGCATCGCGCTCCATGAAGCACTGGTAGAGGTTCTGGATGGTGGACTTGGCCTCCTCGATGCACTGGGGGGAGAAGCCGAGGTCGGTAGCGATGGTGCGGGCGATCTCGTCAGTGACACCGGTGTGGATATCAATGGGGGTGGTGATGATGGCCTCGGGGTTCTCCTTGGCAACAGCCTCGATATCCATACCACCCTGGGAGGAGGCAACGATGACGGGGCCACGGGTAGTGCGGTCCAGGAGGACGGCGAGGTAGAATTCGCGGCGGGCGAACTTGCGCTCGCAAATGTAGACGGAGTTACAGATACGACCACCGGCGCCGGTCTGCTTGGTGACGAGCTTGTGACCGATCATCTGGCCAGCGAACATCTTGGCCTCGGTGGGACTGGGTTGTGTTAGCTTGGAGGCGCGTTGCCGGCGACTGTTACTCACGAGTAGATGACGCGGACACCACCCTTCAGACCGTTGTCGAAGGATCCCTTACCACGGCCACCGGCGAGAACCTGGGCCTTGATAACCAGATCATCACCACCTATCACTCCGGTTCAGCAATCGCGTCGGGACAGAGGATCGGAATTCTTACCAATGGACTTGGCAATGGCCTCGGCCTCTTCAGCAGTGTTGGCGACCTCACCCTTGGGGACACCGACGCCGTACTATATTGATCAGCGACCTTGTTCAAGTTTTTTTTTCTGGAGCGACCGAAGGGGCAACGCGGTCCACGTACCGACTTGAGGAGTCTGGCGGAAAGATATTCGTGAATGGACAGGTTACGCTTCTGCACAGCGAGGCGGCTCTGCACGGAAGGTTGCTATATCCCAGAATCAGTCAATATGCACATCCAGGCGAACCAGGTACACTCACCGTCGCAGCCTTGAAGGCCGCGGCAACGGGACGACCGCGAGCAAGCTTGAACATGATGTATTAAAGAGGAAGAAAGGGAAGAGGGGAGAGGAAGAACAGAAGCCCTTGATAGGAAGATAGTTAAGGGTTGAGAGAACAGCTTTCTTTTTCGCTGTTTCTCTCGGGATGACATTGCGTCGCGGTAAAACCGGGTGCTTTGACCAACCACAGCCCGGGATGCTCCTTACCTCAGCAGCTACTCGGGTGCGCGAATATCATCGGAACGGCAGTTGACTGCACTCTGTTGGAGCTATGATGCTGCTCGGCTTCTCTGTTCTGTTCTGCTACTCGACTCTACTTTCTCTCACTCGACTCTGCCGGACTGCGCTGCCGTCCGGTTGAAAATCCCTATTTGCCTGAGGCATTTTTGATCTTCCACAGTTGGAACATTTTAGTCATGACCCGACCAAACAGTCCCGTCCATGCCCAGCCCCCCGACAACAGCCAAATCATCCAACTGGCACGTCCCTCCCAGATCCACGACTTGTGCCCCCGAGCCCATGGCAACCAGCGCCATGGGGCTGACCCGTAGAGCACCTGCGACACCACACTGCGAGCATAGGACTCATTCGGCATCGCATTGTGCTGGCTGTGCTTCACCCGAGTGAGATACTCCCCTTCAATCGGGGTATACAAGGACCCCGGCGCCAGAGTGCGGTCTGTACGTGCGATGCGCGACTGAACTCCACCGGTCACGATCGTGGTGACATGGACGCTGGCTTCTGGTCAGTAATGGGAAATGGGATGAACGGGGGAAACATGCCCGAATGGAGCCAGCTCCACACGAAGAGTATCACTGTACGAGTGCAGTGCTGCTTTGGATGCATTGTAGACAGATCCGAAGACGTATGGAATGATCTAGTCGGTTAGTTCGGAGCAGGTGCGCGTTCATCGCATACTTACACCAGCGACTGAGCCGATCTGGACAATGGTGCCCTTCGCCTTGATCAGCAACGGCAGGAAAGTCTGACACATCGTAATCACGGCGAAAAGGTTAGTCTCGAAGGTCTGGCGAACCTCGGAGAGCTCGACCTCCATAGCAGGAACGGTGTAGTCTGTCGATTAGTATCTTAGATGATCAGCGGGAATGCGAACATACTTCGGCCACTGTTCTCGTTAGTCGAAGCTGCAGGACTCTTGGATGTCAAGATACTCACGCATTGTTGACCAGGTAATCGAGCCCTTTGTCTCCGAGCCTCTTCTCAACCTCTGCGAAGCACTCCTTGACATTTTCGGGATCGTCCACGGTCAGGCTCAGAGTTTCAATGCCGAGCTCGGCGAGATCAGAGATGGTCGCGGCATCGCGCGCAGTGGCTAGTACGCGGAGTCCATTGCGGTGGAACTCGCGCGCCAGAGAGTTTCCGATGCCCCCAGGGGAACATCTAGAGACGTTAGTTGTGTCGGACATTGGCCACGGGACACCTACCCCGTGATGAGCACCGATCTGCGAGCGTCTGTCACTCCAGGCATTGTAGTTACTAGATATGGCTCGGGGGTTGCAATGAGAGAAGTAGTTCGGACTTCAATTTGCGACTACGCGAGCAGAAGTGAGGATACCTCGGTTCTATTCGACGCTCATGCAAGACCGGTGGTACTGAATGTAATTTACGGTATATTGTGTGCTACCCGGGAAGTTTGGCGGTGATTCACAATACATGCTGTAATATCATGTTTCAGATTGCTCATTCTACCGTCATTTTGCCTATACAAAACCAGGAGCTTATAGATTGTACCTGGTTCATACTTTCAAGCATGTGCCATACGATATCCTATTGAGGAGCAATTGATATACCGAAGATAGCCATGCGTCGGAGTCGCTGTGTGGTACAAACGAATCGGCGAGAAATACTAGTCTTCGCTCACCACAGAGATTCCAGATGCAGTTCGGAGGGTCTAAGCCTGCTTTTTATTTGTTTCTTGGTAGCAAGCTTTTTCCGGGACGGTAGAAGCTTCGTTGATCAATCAATTGTATTTCTGGGATATTATCAAACAGCCCGAGCCAACAACAGGATCCGAGATCTCAACCTCCCTCCATGGTGGTCTTATCCTCCTCGGTCTGTCGGAGTTGTCGATTCCACATATTTGTGCTCAATGCTGAATCCAAGCTCCATGAGCGAGGTTGAGCGATGCGAGGAAAGCAACACCTTGAGCAAGATCGTTCATTCCTGAGATGTAAGAGGTCAGTTCCTGATGAACAGTTGGTAGGTGTTGATTACTAGCACAACTTCCGTAGTAACAGGGGAGATGCTTCCTCCTCAGACCCAGTGCACGCCAGGGAATTGGCGTTGAATTTATATAGAACTGTGATGAGATAGATACTATAGAGTGTGCTGCAGACTACCTAGGTAGGTAGGTAATGATGGGGGGCTCTTCCTAGAATGCGGCCAAACATGGAGATCTGGCAAAAACACCTGTCTTATCACTAGTACTATACTCTGCAGACTATACATATGCAGTCTGTACGGAGTACGGACTACAGCAGCACAGCGTGTCCTTCCACGTTGATCATACCTTATCTGGTATGCAAGGACTGTTCGCACAGATAAATAAACCCACGCATACCGAAGCATAATTCTGCTGATCGTTACAGATTTGCACTGCACTGTCACTCTCCAATATTATACCCACCAGTCTCTTCTTATTATTACCTAGTATGAATGTTTACTTTTACTTATATATAAAATCAAGTATGATATCACAACAGTGGGGTGTCGGACTTGGCAAATGACATAGCCGGGCACTATAGACACATCCTGTTACTTGGCATATCGCCCTACGAGGCCCTAACATATCTGCCGTCATCGAGGTACAAATCCCAATGTAATATCCAGTCATATCCATCCAATCTCACCCGTACTGTGTACCCGTGGACAGTATGTACACTACGTTTAGTCCCCACATTAACCGACGATCTTCCCGAAGCCGTCTGGACTTCAACCTGCACTTAAAACGCCGACTGCAATCCAACCCGGTTTACCCGTGGACTAATTTCCCTCCCCCAAAATCACCACTGCAGCCCTGTACTATAAAATCTCATCGCCCATGCACCTTCACCACCAGACATCCTAGAGCGTCGCACAAAGCGACAGCCAATTACAACAGGCCATCGCCACTAAAAGCGCACAGCCAAGCGCAATAACCACCTTGGAACCATGTCGGCAGAAGACCACCCGCGCCACATGCGAGCTCCAGGCGAAGATGGCTACCGAACACCCACCATTGAAGATGCGGAGCGGGCGCTCTCGATCCTCGGTGCCGACGGAATTTCTCCGACACAAGTGCGGGAGGCGCATTCCAGTGCGTTGGAGGCGGCGCTGCATAGGGCTTCGACGCGGGGTACTGTCGCTTCGGAGAAGCCGAAAAAGGGCAATGACAATTCCTGCCAGGAACATAATGGCCTTGGGTTGTTCGGGCTTAAGCGCACGGTTTCCGGGAAGATGAGCTGGAAGAAACGGATTCGCCATGTGACGTGGGCGTACTTTACACTTACGATGGCGACGGGTGGAATCGCCAATGTTTTATATCAAGGTTGGTGATATGGGGTTCGACTCAATATGGTGACTGACTTCTCCAGTCCCGTTCAAATTCAAAGGTCTGGAAACGATCGGAATCGTCGTTTTCTTGATTAATATTGCGGCATATCTGGTTATCTGGGCTCTGCTTCTTGTTCGATTCTACTATTACCCCTACACGTTCAAAGCGTCATTCATGCATCCCACGGAATCACTTTTCGTGCCGGCTTCCATCGTCTCATTCGGTACAATACTCATTAACATCTCGCAGTACGGGCCCGAAAATACAGGTCCCTGGCTGATGCGCGCCGTCTGCGTCCTCTTCTGGATCGACGCTGCTTTGGCCGTGCTCTTCTCCGCCGGCATCTACCTACTCCTCTGGTCTACGCAGACCTTCACCATTGCTCAGATGACTCCGATTTGGATCTTCCCCGCTTACCCGATGCTCATTATCGGGCCGCATGCGGGAGTTCTGAGTGGGAAGCTCGAGCCGGCTGATTCCCTTCCTGTGATTATCGGCGGAACGACCATTCAGGGCGTTGGGTTCTTGGTTTCTCTCATGGTTTACTCGGCCTTTATTTACCGGTTGATGACACAGAAGCTGCCGAGGGAGAATATCCGTCCGGGTATGTTTGTTTCTGTCGGACCGAGTGGGTTCACCGTTGCGGGAATGGTGAATATGGCCGCCGAGGCGAAGAGGTCCTTCCCGGCGGATTTCATGGGCAACGGGGCCCTGGCTGGCGATGTAGTAAAGATCGTGTCTGATTTCTCCTGTCTCTGGCTGTGGGGGTATGTCTACCGTTTCCCTACCATTCTCTCTACCTTACTAACCTGTGGCAGATTGGCGATATTCTTCTTCATCATTGCCAGTGCCGCGCACTGGTCGGCGATCGGCCATGGACGCATGGTCTTCTCCATGACTTGGTTTTCGTTCATCTTCCCTAACACGGCACTGATCACGGCAACTTTCGCTATTGGCAAGGCCTTTTCTTGCAAGCCTATCAACATCGTTGGGTGTGTGGCGATCCTTCCTCTGCTGTTGATGTATTTCTTCGTCTGCTACATGATGATTCGGGCGATCTTGATGCGGCAGATTCTCTGGCCTGACAAGGGCGAGGACCGAGATGAGGGTGGTTTCGAGATCTTGCGTGTCAAGCCGGCAAACGCGAGCGGGGGCGACTCTAGTCCATCATAAGGTGAATTTGCGAGACAGCCTTGGAGCGACTTCTTGTATATACCCATGCATGGTTACAGCCCAAAACCGGTGTAAAATATGTACATATTAACATCGCCGTCTCCGGTTCAAACCCGGGTGGCACCTTGAATTGTAAATTCCTTTTCACTCCATGCACTTTGTAACTGTGTTTCATCCAACAGAACCTCCTGAGTCCATTATTATCGCCAATATATCAAAAAGAGATCATAACAGGCAAAAACACAAAAAATGTGGACCCGCCGGGAATTGAACCCGGGACCCCCCGCATGCGAAGCGGGTATTATACCCCTAAACCACAGGCCCGTCTATGAAGATTTTCGATGCCAGTTGGCTTTACATCGCAGGCAAAATTTGGCCCTCACAAGAGGTACACGATAATGAGATAGGCCTACTAATGGATCACGGCATGTACTCTTGTCGTCGGATGCAAATTGACTGGATGAATCTCATCGCCGAGATCCCACTTCTCTACTAGATGTGGCAAGAGCTTATTTTGAGCCTGCGAAGATCTCACGAACAAGTCGTCGAATCAGGCGTCCTTTATCTCGGCGATGAGGTTCATGCAGTCAATTTGCATCCAACGACAAGAGTACATGCCGTGACCCATAAGTAGACCTATTGTGAATATCGTTTATGTTGCTGGTCGCCTTGTTTTCTGTGTTAGTATTGCAAGGGTTGGGTTATGTGGCGGTATTTTGGAACAAAGCCTTCGTTGAGACTACATGGTTTGCTGCTTGGTCGGTTGCTGTATCATGAGTGAGTTTGGCGAGTTTGCCGGGTTTGTCACGGGCATCATCTAAGGATCGGCGGGAACGCGACTTGGGGACCGTAGACCAGGCAAACTGTCTGTAGAAGACGCCGAATTGCGCTGACGATCGGAATGCCGTTGGTATGAATTCGGTGACGGGCAGGCCTCTCACTGTGTAGGTGGACGGATCGTCATGAGTGTCGCCGGTGGCGCGTGGTGAACATGTGGCGGATATACCAGGAATGGTACATTGCCTCAGAAGCTGGTGTACTTCAATCAAACCTCAACGCGATTCCTATCCCTGTATGCGTGGCGAACTGCGAAAGGAACGCTGGGACGGACATTACGTTCAAATTTGATTGACGTACATCAGTTTCCGAGGCATTGTAGTCTATCTTGGGAAACGACGTGTGCTCATTCATGGATGACATCTTGAAACTGGGATAGATTAGAGATATGTTCGTCAAGGAATGCCGATAACTTACCTACACCCTCTATCCAGAAGGACATAGTGGTATCATTCTTTCGCAACGCTTTCTCATGCAGTTCTTGAATGAATCTCTCACCTGGGTAGATAATAGTTAGCACACATCGAGACCAGTAAATAGGCAGGAAACCATACCCCTCATGATGTAAGGGTCGACTCCCCTACACGCTGCCTGAAGAAAGCGAACATCGTGCAGTCGGGTCCGGATACCACCGATGTTCTGTGCTCACGGTATTCCGAAAATGAAACATACCCCATGTTATCCTGTCGGTAATCTGTGACTTCACCATTCCCAATGAACTCCCGCGATAACTCGCGAACATTGAGACTCGTTCGGGGTCACAGGCCGAACATCTAGGGGCGCATCGTCCCATAGAGGTGGTAGAAGGTAGAAGCGTTGAGCGATCTCAGGATCAACCTTGGAAGTCCGGGCCGAGAGGTCCCGCTTCCCGCGACTCTCATGCTCTACGATCCACAGGAAACCGGCTCTCAGCCGATTCTGGGCTCACTCGTAGGGCGTTCCCAGACTGTGCCCGCGAGACCGTCGTACACGCATGGATCGGGATAACGAATGCCGATTTCGAGGGTCACCTGGAAGCCAGATGTTCTAGGTTGTCATGAACCTTTTATTTTGTCGTAGAAATGGTTGGCTCGCGTGTGGTTTTGCTAGTCGGGTGAAGGCTACTCGAGAATCAAAGAACCATGATCACCCGAGCACAGGCGTGGAATGTGCCTGATCTGAGGACAAGTAGATGGGCAAAAGGGAGTCTTGTGCAGCCTCGGGGAGTTGGCTAAGCTCGTTGTTCAGAGCAAGCAGAGGCTTGGTAGGTTGGAAATAGGGCACTCTATCGGCTTGAGGATGTAGTTGATGGCGAGAGGCCTGTGAGGTCCCGATGATGGAAGGATAGGGTAGGCATCGAATAAGATATCAAGGGTGATGAAGAGGGAGAGAAGGAGAATCTATCCGTGGGCACCTGGGGCAAGAGAGCAGGCTTATATACCCTCCGTCATCCCAACCTTGAAATTTGTCCTTCATGTTTGCTTATTCCATTCTCTCAAGTTGTGAGGTGGTATCAATTAGTTTCTAATTAGTTTCTGAAGTAGTCAGGTCCCAGGTGGTCTCATCATTGAGTACGTATCTACGGAATTCGGGCGCTGGGATGTCTGATATACAGTTGAACCTCAGAAGTGATGAGAAGCTTTCATTCAAATCAATTGAACAAGATGATATTCGAGTAGACCATGCTCAAATCAAGTGATTTAATCACTTTCACATCAATTTGTACAGCTTGAAGATGAAGCCATAAAACACAGAAGCGAGAGCCAAAGCCATTGCATTGTACATTGTACAGGGGTATCACAAACAAAATGAAAACAACACATGAAACAAACACATCCCCCATCCCCCTTCCCCGATGACTCCTCCCCTCCTCCTCCCCCCTCCCCCGCCACTGGATGCCCCATGGGGGACGGACGACTAATCGTCCCCCATGGGAACATCCTCCACCATCGCCTTCGAGGCGGGTGACCGCCCCGCGCGCTTCTTCATAGCGCGCGGGGACTTGGACACCCGCCCCGGGCGCACCCCATCATCCGGGCCAGATCCACCAGAGGACTTTCGTCCCCTGGTGGGATCTGGCATGGACAAACGCAGCCGCTGCACACCCGGTCCCACGGATGGGACCTTGGGCACGGGGGGCCGCTGAAGCGGGCTCCCCCGGCGCGGGGTGGCAGGGCGACCCTTGCGACGGGTCGCGCCCACCGAGGGTGACTCGGTGGCGGCTGCGTTTGGGATGGTGGTGGCCGCGATGGTGGTTTTGGGGGTCCTGCGCCCGCGGCCCGGCGTGGCAGGGCGCGGCGTAGCCGGCGCCGAAGCCTCTGGCCGGGGCCGACGGGTGCGCAGTTGGCGACCCCCCTCAGCGGCGACGCCACCGTCGCCGCTGAGTTGACGACGGCGGGCGCTAGCCGCACCTGTCAGATCGACAGGGCGGCAGCTGCCCGTCTGCCGGGACGGGATGAGCTGTTTGAACAGCTCAGAAGTGGCGGTTGCCCAGCTCACTTCCGGGACCGCGGGGATGGGGGCTTGGAGCTCCCCATCCCCGATTGATCGACGGTCCCGTCCCGTCCCGACAACCTTAGCCGCGAAAGATTCCGTCGGCGCAAGGTACGTCGTCTGCCCCTTGGGGCGGCCCTTCTTCGGGGCCAGCACGGCCTCCATCTCCACCAGGTTGCTGGCGCCCCACCATTCTGGATTGTAGGTGTAGGGGGCGCCGAGCGCGGGGACTGGCCCGTGTTGATCGGCCACGGGGCCAGTCCCCTCACCTAGGCCGGAGAGGTGACCGAGGACACCGGAAGAAAGGGCCCGGTCGCTGTAACCTCCTTCGAGGACACTGATGACGCGACCATCCACACCGAGGTCTTCCTCTTGAGCCATCCGTACCACGTCGGCGGTGAATCTGGCATAGAACTCGGTGGGAACGTTCACTGTGTGGCGCTGCATTCCTTGTCCTTCCCACTCGCTCGCGTCGAACCCAGCGGAGATGAAGATGGCCGCTTTGGGTGGACTGGCAGTTGCATCTTGAGCGAACTCATTGGCGAGTTGTCTTGTGTGGTGGCGCAGGAAGGAGCGGGCTTTGGATAGCAGGGCGATGTATTTGGTTTGATACAGATTCCAGAATTGGTCTTGGGAATCCCAGGTTTCAAAGTGAACATTCCAGATGGATTGATTGTGGGCGTTGTCGATGCACAGACTAGCACCGACGACCTTGTCACGATCGCCACCCTCGCACGGGAAAGAATTGATATCGTGCACGCTGTAGTAGCCGATGGGGGTCTTTTCGTAGGGCGATAGCTTCTCGTATTCAGCCAGCTCGGGGGACTTGTGCTTGGTTCTGAGTTCCGCGGCTTTGTAGTGGGCTTGTTGATCTTTGCTGAGAATTTTCGAATTGTGGTCGAATGTGATGTCTTGCGATCCGTCACCGTGGTGAAGATCGAAGTCCAGGATGGCAGCATGGGTCAGCCCGTGGGCTGCAACAGCATGGGAGATTCCGACGTGAACATTGTTGATCCAGCAAAAGCCGGAGGGGAAACTGGCCGAACAGTGGTGACCAGGAGGTCGAATACAAACGAAGACACGCTCAATAGGACCGGGGTTGAAAACAGCATCCACACCTTCGCAGACGCCTCCTAGAGCTCCTTCAAAGGCATTGAGTGATTGCGAACAGAGATAAAGATCACCTTCAGACAAGGCTGGACCACTCGTAGACTGACCATCATCGTCGATCATCCGCTGGCGGGCGACTTCGCTGGTCTCGAGGAGTATGCGGCTTTCCGCGATTTCAGACATCCATTTCAACTCAGTCATCCAGGCATTTCCATGAACATTCGTAACAACAGGATCAGTGACAGGAATCTTGCGTTCTGTCTTGAGGATTTGGAAGGGTGCGTTAAGTTCATTGAGAGGTCGATTGGGGTTTGGGGCGAATTGTTCAGCGGCATATCGAAGACCGAGGCGAACATATGCCATTGAGATACCGACAGTGCAGGCGCGGATGCGCTCGGGCCTTTCGACAATGTTGTCCAGGTAAGCTTGCTTAGCTTCCAGGCGCTCGAAACGATGTCCGTAGCAGGATTCATGTATAACCACTGCTGTTTTGGTTGGAAGATTGCCCGATTGGTGCAGGGCGAGCTCTTGGGCGAAGTGCTCCGCCGCCACTGCTGCGGGGGTCGAGGTGACAGGCTCTGGGGCCGGGTGGAGAGCTGGGCGCGCAGCAGGGATGGCTGGCGACACCACACCGGGTGGAGATGCTGAGGTAGGTGATGTGCGACGTGAAGGATCGGGGATTGGCGAAGTAGGTTTATGTGGTCCTGAGACCGAACGGAGAGAAGCTGCTGATTTGCGATTTTGTAATGCGGGTAGTGATTTGCGGCGCTCGTTGCGCGACGCAGAGCCCTTAGGCTGCGATGTTGGTGGAATTGCAGGTACAGGTGGGATTTGAGTTGGTGTAGAGACAGACTGAGCGGGCTGTAGAGGTACGGCTGGAGCAGGTCGAACAGGAAGTTGAGAAGGATTGAGACGTGGAGAGGGAGGCAACGGGGTAGTCATTGCTGTCGCCAGAGTCAGGCGACTCAGTGAATCTGTTAATTCGCATGGCGATTCAATTGTTTTGTTGACGCCGAATGGCGGGTCCTCCTGAGAGGGGAGCTTTGAATCCATCGCGACTCATTCAGCGCAGTCGAATGAATGGGTTGAATCGAGTAGCTGAATAGAGGAAGAGAGAGAGTGAAGAAGATGAAGAGGGAAGAAAGAGAAACAATAGGAAGGGTTGAATAGGAGAACGAAGGAACAAAAGGAAAGAAGCAGTGGGGGGTCAATTCAAGGGGCCCGCAGATCCCCAGACCGGCATTCTGATGAATAACATTGAACTATGCATATATTGTTGAATTGAATTGAACAATATTCACTATCAGAGAATAGTAGCACAATAGAATAATCGAATAATCGAAATAAATTCAAATACCCATACCTCAACTCCGTACTCCATACGGAGTACCCGTGGACTCTATAGAACATACTCCGCACTCCGCACCGAACAGGAAATCCAAAGAGAAACACAGTGGGAAAATAAAAGAGAACAGTAAACCCATAACCAAACCAATCTCGAACACCAAAACACCAAGCTAGAAAACAAAAAACCTCAAATCAACGAGATCGAAGACCCCTCCACTGATACCATTGATACCACCGTCTCCCGAGAGAAGCCTTCTCATCCAACGAATCCTGAGACCGACGGCGCGTCTTCTCTTCCTTGCGAGTCTGCTTCTCAGACTTGAAGCCACGGGTCGCATGCGAGTTACAGAAGCAGTGCATATGCACCGTCTCAACGCTCACACCGGGGCAGTTGTTGCGGCGCACGCCGGAACAGGCGCTGGTGCCAGCGTCTTCTTCGCATTGGCACCATTCGTAGAGTGTGAAGTATTGTCGACACATGGTGGAGAGAGGGATGTAGAAATGTAGTTTGTAGCTGGAGTAGCTGGAGTAGCTCCGAGAATGAGTATTGAGTTTGGTGTACTTCGTACTCTGTAGAGTACTCTGTAGGTACTTTGTAGGTACTCTGTATGATTGTAGATGTCAATGAGATGTACTGTATGGAATGGCGATATCGAAAATGGCAGCTTGACTCGGATGACCCGGTATGGAAAGGATGGTAGAGTAGATCAGCGATCAAAGATCCACGAGGGTGTCAGGGCCTAATAAGCCCTTGACAGGCCGGATCGGTGGAGTAATGATGAATTCTAGCTGGAGTGGCCCTTCGACTATTGGTCCTGACGTCAAAGAGACCATTCTTATTCTCTTTGCTCTATGGGCCCTTTCAGGGCTAGTGGACCACGCTGGATCTTACCTGGGATCCAACGGACAGGTTACATCTGACACGCCGAATCAGGTCGTATTTGCGCCGCCGAGGCCGCCTTTTGACTTGGTCCCACCATTGACACTGAGCCTGTGACTTTTAGTCCTCTCTCTGCATATGAACCGGTCTCTGCGTAGGAACCAGTCTCTGTATGGCGACGGACCCGACCTTGGCGCCCAGAGTAAGGCCCCGGTGGGACTTGAGACGTAGGCAGAGACATTTAAAAACAGATATTGGCGGCTATTGTTCAAAGAATTGCGCCTGCAGCCGTTATTAATAGAGACAAAGGCGGCTGCATGGTTTGAAACACAACGGGCGACAATCTGATCGACATGAGTTGCCGAGTGTTCAGCCCTGGCAGATGAACTGGGGCTCCGCCCACTGCCGGCGCTCCGCAGTGATCCTCGGAGTTGTATGCCGACGTGATTGGTGCAAGGGGTTTGGCTTGCCGCCCATGACCGGGATGACTTTCCGTGAGATGTTGCAGACCGAGATCGAGATCCATGATCTCACCGGATCGACTGCAAACGGACAGTCCACAGGTGACCATTGTCTGTCGAGTTCGGGAATTGTGGCTGCCCAGTGGCTAGTGGTCACGTGCGTCGGAACTCCCCGCGCGTTGATCAAAAGTGCATTGTATACTCACCCCATACACAAAACAGTCCGAGCCCATTGAAACCTCAGACTCACCTCTCAACCACTTCACACCAATGACAACACCCAACCCAATGACAGCAACACCAGCGCGGGCCTCTGCCCTCCTCGCAAACCTGACAGCCGTCACCGCGCGCATCACAACCGCCACCCGCCAATCCCAAACCTCCAAACCAGTCCGACTAGTCGCCGTGTCCAAGCTCAAGCCCGCCAGCGACGCCCTAGCCTTGCACCAACCACCCGCCTCGCAACTGCACTTCGGCGAAAACTACCTCCAAGAACTCCTCGAGAAATCCCGTCTCCTACCTCCAACCATCAAATGGCACTTCATCGGTGGTCTACAGAGTAACAAGTGCGTGACGCTTGCGCGGGACGTGCGCGGTCTCTGGGCCGTTGAGAGCGTGGATACGGAGAAAAAGGCCAAGCTCCTTGACAAAGGATGGGGGGAACGAAGCGAGGATGTGAAGGCGCATGCAGAGGACGGGGGACAACTGCGCATCTACGTGCAGGTGAATACATCCGGCGAGGCGAATAAGGCGGGGATTGAGCCTGAGGCTGCGGCGGGACTGTGTCGGTATATCCGGGATCAGTGTCCTGGGTTGAAGTTGCAGGGTGTGATGACGATTGGGGCGATTGCGCGGTCGAAGGAGACGACGGCGGAGAATGTGAATGAGGACTTTGTTTGTTTGCGGGAGACGAGGGATCGGGTCGTGAAGGAGTTGGGGTTGGAGGAGCTGGAGTTGAGTATGGGGATGAGTTCAGATTATGAGGGGGCCATTGCTCTAGGTAGTGATCAGGTGCGGGTTGGGACGACGATCTTTGGTGATAGACCTCCCAAGGCGGAGGCGGTGGTTTGAGGTGTTGGGATTATGATTCATGACTTGCATTGGGATCCTGGAAGAGTTACCTACATACATATTCACTCAAGAGTATACATGCATCCTGCTACCCAGCAGAGTTGATTGCGCTGAGTCGCGCACTTCCAAAACACTGAAGGCTACAGGCCTAATCCGGGACATGAGCCTGCCATTGATACACGATGCTCGCTGGTATTTGAATTGGGCATCCAATTAGAGATATACATAAAAGCTTCCTATAGCCTATTCGTCTGCTCGCATGCCCTGCGCCAGCTTCTGTTCCATCTGTCTCACCAGCGCCTGCGGGACGCTTTCTTGGGTCGCACGAACAGTGACACGATACATCTGGAGAGCGTGAGCAAAAGACAAACAAGAGGATCTGAAGGGACGAGTAGATACATACCGACTTCTCATAGTTGGGTTCCAGTCGCAGCAGACATCCGGTCTTGCCGCCTTCAAACTGGAACACAGCACAGCCAACGAGGTTGTGAGGGTTGGGATCCACGCCCTCCAAAATCTTGAACGCGAATCCTTCGACAACGCTCCGCGTGAAGCGGTCGTTCATGGTCTTATTCTTACCAGCCAGCCCGAAGGTCTTCTGTGCCTCCAATGGCTCGCCACCAATCTGGCGCCACCGCTTGAAGAACTCATCCGCTGAGAGCGACGAGGATTCCATGTAGCGGTGCATCAAGACAGGGAGCTGCAGAGTGTAGGCCTGAAGAGCTCCGGCAAGGTATGAGATACGGATGGTGGGAGCGTTCAGGAAGGGGCCATGGGCCGTGCAGAAGAGAGTCAGCTGCGTCTGCCCGGAAGCCGGGATCGTGGAATCGGGCAAGTTCTTGGTGTCGATCTTGAGCTGAGGAGAGGCTGGGTTGTCGACTGTGGTGGTGAGGGATCCAATTGGGTAGGTGGACTTATTCGAGATGTACAGCTTCACGACACCCATTGGGCCACGGTACTCCGAACGCAGTCCAACTTGGATCTGGGCATCTTCGAAGAGCACACCCTCGCGTGTAAAGAAGAGACGGTTGTATCCAATGTCCCATTCGGGGGTCAAATGAGCGGCACTGGCCATGTTGGGAGCTGGGCCAGAGGGCCCACTGAAATCCAGGCCGGCCAAGTCGCCGGATGCACTGGTTCCGTTAGAAGGAGAAGGACTGGAGGGGGTATTGGTGGACCCCGTGCGCGTTCCCTGCACAATGGTGGTGAATGTGCGCTTGAGACCTGTGTTTTGAGCCAAGAGCATTTCTTGCTTGTCTGCATTGGCATCTTTGCCACCAATGACCCATGTCTTCTTTTCGCTAGCGCCGGCTGTCTTCTGATGCAATCGGGACAGCAGAATGGAGGCTCGCTCGGAGAATGGTGGCATCTCGTCGCAGACCGTCCGAAGCAAGTCGTCCGTGGGAAGTGTTGCCAGTGACAGGTACTCGAACGCTCGCTGCTGTAGTTCGGAATCGGGGGAATGGCTATACAGGCGGAAGATCTGCAGCAGCTGGGGCTTGATTTCGGGGAACAAGTTTACGAATTTGACAAAGGAAGACAGGATCATAGCCCGTGCATTGTCAGAACTGGAGAACATCTTGGCCTGCAGAGCGAGGAATTGTTCAATTGGACTTGAGCCTTGGCTTTCGGCGATCAGGTGGCCGAATTCGCCCAGAACATAGCAACCAATTTTCACCAAGCTCTCGTGACAGTCTGTCTTCAGATAGCCCAGGAGAGTGTGCGCTGCATACGCCTGCAATTCTTCGTTGTTGGTCACAATCTGAATGACTCGCTGCCATACCTCTTCATTGACGTGTTCGCCAGCGAGTGACAGTAGTTTAAGAGTCATGTCAATGTACCACCCAGCGTCAGCGGCGTATTTTTCTGTGAGAATCGCGACCTTCAACACCATCTCCTCTCGGATGGCATAGTCGGCAGTCTGGAGATATCGCAAAAGCTCGTTGACAATCGGCCCAGCATTGGTCGTGTCACACATGCTGTACAGCAGATCTAATCCCTTTCGCCGGACACTGATATCGCGGTCTCGAAGGGAGCCCAAAATGATGTTCTGATGCTTCTTGATAGGATCAAGGGTTTCCGCCCGAGCGGCGAAATGGGTCAACGCGTCTAGACCAAGGTATCGAACGTTGGTCTCGCGCGACTGGATGTATTTGCCCAGGCGGGCAGAGATTTGAAGCATAAGAGTATGCTCAGAGTCAAGGTGGATGAGGAGGTTGATGGCTTCGAAGAGAATTGCGTTTTGAGCATTATTCTGCTGCACGTTCTTGGGTGTTTCCATTGCCGCTTGCATCATCTGAGAGAGCGATTCTCTGATAATCTCACGAACATGGCTGTCCTCTGCAACGTATGTGAGTAATCAACTGCCCGGGAAAGGGATTGTTAAACATACCTGATGGAGGATAGTATTGTAACAAACGTAGGAACTTGACCTGGATCCAGGGGCAGGGAACGCGGTAGTAGAGATAGTCTGGAGCGATATCATTCTCCACCACGATCTTCTTTAGCCGCTGTGCAGCCTTGACGTAGCAGCCCTTGTATTCCTCGGGCAGGTCCTGGGCGAGCGCCATAACCAACGAGGTTACGGACAGAGTGACACCCATGTCGGGGTCATCCATAATTGATATGATTCTCTCAGCCCACTCATTTCGCACGATACCGGGGTATTTGCGATACAGGCGCAGAAGTGTAAGAGCAGCCTTCTTCTTAACGAAAGCTTTGGAAGTGCTGGATTTTGTCAGTATGAGCGCCAGCCTTGGAACGACCGATAACCAAGTCCAACTCACGGGGAAATAAGAAGCCTGTGGACCTCCGATCCTAGCGCCTCGCCCAGCTCTTTACCACCGACGTTGGCCACGGCATGCAGCGCCAAGCAATTATTCAACTCATGATGATCGAGCAAGTCTTTCCGGATACTGTTCACAACCAGGTGAAGCAGCTCATGCTCCTCATGCAAGAACAGCGTGACCGCCAGATAACCAATCTGCTTCTCAGAGTACTTGGTAGAGGAGACGAGGTTCACAGCCTCGAGATGTCCAAAGTCGACATCATAGCCTTGGATGTACACGTAGAGCAACTTGCAGACATATTTCTTCTTCTGATAACCATTCAGATTGCCAGACTTGAACTTCTGCCGGATATTGGCCAGCTCCTTATTCACGCGCTTCTCTTCGAGTTCCCTGGCGCGCGCGTTGCGCAAATCAGCGATGAACTGGACCAAGCCTCGCATGGACGACATGGCGATTCTGTACGTGGTCAACGGCCACAACCGGAGAAACGATTATGGTATGGTGGGGTTTCGATCGAGGCTCGCCCTCGCATGCCACGCGGGATACTCAGGGGGGGTTCCGGATCGCGACACGTCACACAACCATGTCCTGGTTATGTTGGTGATTGGGCTATCGGGAATTGGCCATGCAGCGAATGGACCAAGATTGCGGGAGGACTCGATAGAGCTCCTTCGAAAACAGGGGTTGACTGTGGTATGGGTCCTAGGAAGCTTGTCAGCAATGAGTGGGCCGGGGGCATCCGATGGACCACGGTGCACCACCTACAGTGTCACGCCTACTCTAGCGATCCGAGGCGAAACAGTCCAAGCAACATGCGAAGTCGGGCTGAGTCCCCGTCGCTTGTCCGCTCCGTCTGTCCTTTCCACTTCCGCTGTCGATCCCGGTTCCGCTGTGGCGGTGTGTGGCTACGGAGGAACGCTGATCCGATGTGGCTGGTGCAATCTGATCAGCCACCCAACGTAGCCCAAAAAGGCTCCAGGCTCAAGACAGCTAAACCCATGACGAGTACGGAGTACGGAGTCTCCGTCGCTAGCTCATGCCGACTGAGCAAAAAGAGCAGAACAAAAAAAAAGCAAAAAACGTGGACCCGCCGGGAATTGAACCCGGGACCCCCCGCATGCGAAGCGGGTATTATACCCCTAAACCACAGGCCCAGTATGATGACTAAGGGCAAACTTTTACGATTGATCCCAACTTTGCAACGATATTGTAGGGAAGCTATTTTAAGAATCAAGCTTTGAAAAAAGCAAGCATCAAAGTAGATTGAACTAAGGAGCTCTAAGGGCACGAGACCCAATTGGCCAAGATCGTACCTTAATCCCAGCCCAAAATGTGGAGCTCTCCTCAATCTATCTGACATTCACACTGGCGAGACATATACATGAAGCTACTCCGTACTTGAACTTTATATCGACGAGCTCTGGAGTATGGTCCCACCCATTAAACTACACCCAACAATTTAACTGAAATCCGAGCTTAACTCAATAATATCAAAGAAATTCAATATTGAAATCCATTTCGTGTCTCGTAGTAAATTAATATCTCAAGCACATCCCCAAAAGACATCAGCCCAGATGCCCGCGGGCGAGTCCCAGAACGCCATAATGAATGCAAATGCGAGGGTTTGCCACAGCAAGAAATAAAAGACATCACTTAAGCAGAGGTAGTGAAGTCGACCTCAAGGGCCGAGTCGATGCCAGCGGCCTTCTCGCAGGTGCAAGAAGCCTCAGGACGGCTGCCGCAGGGGCAGGCGGCACCGGAGATGCTCTGGTTCTCGGTGACGGAGCGTTCACAGGTGCATTGACCGGCTGGGCGAGAGCCTGGAAAGATTGTTAGTTGGAATTTGGGATACAGGGTTGAAAATTGGGGCACGTACGGCATGAGCAGCGGGGACCGGTGGTCAGGTTCTCGGTGGAAGCCTTGTTGCAGCTGCAGTGGAGGGCGCTTTGTTCGCCGCAGGAGCACTTGGCCTGAGCGGCGCAGACGCAGGAGCCATCCTGGGTGGTCTTGCAGCAGGTGGTGGTGGGGTGGACCATTTTGACGGTGATAGTTTGATGGGTGGTTGAAAGGTGGGGATTGGAGTGTCCTTGAGATTGAGATTGAGATTGTGTTTGGAAAAAGAAAAGAACTGGGCTTCTATACGATTTTATTTATACTCTTCTGCAAGCGTCAGAAGGCGATGATGCTTAGGAATGACTCTGCTGTGATTGGTCGAGAGGACCAGGGCACGTGACAATGAGCTTGATTTCGAGGACCGCTGATTGGCTGGTTGCAGGGCAGTGTCAATCCTCGCCCGGTGATTGGCCAGTGATTGTCCAGTGATTGTGGCCTGACGACGATGGAAGAAAAGCAGGGAAAATGCTGACTTTCGACTGACTTCTGATTGGACAAGTCAGATATGACTGATCTCCCTAGGTATTCGGAGGTGAACCTGAATGGGATATCAATTGATGCATGCAAGTCTACGGGGTAGTTGCATCGGAGGCTAATGACTCGCCTATTTCTCCGGATTCGTGGCAGACTTGGCAAGGTACAAAGTACACATACACGATACAGATACAGAATACAGAAGAATCAGTGAAAAGTATTTGTTTTGAGACGTGTCAACGCCTGTTGTCACAGTAGCGACATCTAATCCGAAGATGCTGATGCTATATCGTTTCATCGTTCTCCAAGGCTATGCAGCGAAACAATGAACATTATACAAACTGTTTCCCCAACATGATTCCTAGATTCGACCCAAGGCAACGCAACAATTTGAAAAGGAGATGGAGAGAAAAGACAAACGAAAAAGCAATGGCGGCTCAAAACACACGGAATGTAGATGCAAAAATCAACCCAGTATAGAAACAGTGATAACACAAGAAGAGAAGATCCCCCAAATGAACCTGGACCCAGAATAAAAAAGAAACCAACAAGAAACCGGAAAGACGCTGTGAGATGATTAAAGATTAAAAGCACGCTGATAGAGATTTGCTGAATTCGTGGTTAACCCAGCTAACCAGTTAACCAGAAGGGAAGATCGAAGTTCGAAGTTCGAAGATGTTTTGTGTTGCAAGGAGGCATGGCATGTCGATGGCCGTTCTCTCTCTCTTTTTTTGATAGCCCATTATGCATTGCATCCATTACTGCTGGATATAGTTGGCGTAGTTGTACGGCGGGTTCCCGAATTTGGAGTCCGTGCCGAAGGAGGTCGGGAGGCTCAGATTCGAAGCGTTGGCTTGTGTATAGGGGATTGTGCCCATAGGGGCTGCGGTGGTATCGTAGGCATACTGGCGATAATCTGGCGCGGCAGAGATGGGCAGGTTCTGCATAGCCAAGGGACGGCCTTGGGCTGGTAGTTGCGAAGCCATGCCCAGGTTGTAGTTTGGTTGTTGGGAGCCTGGATAGCAGATCATGTTAGATGAATTTTGTTGGAGAATATTGCGTAGAACAAACCTAGTGTGTTCATGTCGTAGCCGATGTGAGAGTCCGTTGGTGATACGGAGCCCTCGAATGATTGATGCTGCTCATATCCCATGCCGGGGTGTCGGGGAACGGCGTACTCCATCGGTCGACCCATGTAGGGCATGCCGGGTTGGTTGGCAGCAAACCGATTGGGCATCCCGTACCCTGCATACGGCGAAGGATGGGCCGATGCATCGGATAAACTGCTGGACCTGGTGATGGAGTAGTCACTGCGCAGGTTTCGATGTAGATCGGATGCAGATGCAGACGCTGCCGGGCGGAACATCTGTCCTTGTCCTGCGGATGACATGTAGGGACCTGATGTGGCCGAGCTGAGGGGTGAGACGAGATACTCGTCTTCATTTGAACGGGGGAATCGTTCTGTACGCAGCGTCCTCAATGCTCCATAGTCTGGGTTCGGGGTTGTGTAGCCTTGTGGTGATGCCACGGGCGTGACGCCTGTGGACTTGCCTTCGAACGGTGTCCGAAGGACTTTGGTCGTATCGAAGTCGTCGGGAAGGGCCCGTGACTTCAGCATTCTCTCGCGATCATTTGTAGTCAGACGCTTGAGCTTGGCTCGCCTAGTATATCCGTGTTAGATGGGATCGGGAAGAACAGAACTAGACCTCCTACCTGTTTTGGAACCAGACTTGGACCTGACGAGGTGTCAACCCTGGGATTTCCTTGGACAGACGCTCTCGATGAGCAGCGTCAGGGTGTGCCTGGCGAGTGAACTCGCTCATCAAGAATCGGGTTTGGTTATGTGTTAGGCTGTGGTCCGGGTTAGCGGTGCCCGACAGATCTTGCGATAGATCACATACCGGAATCGTCTCATCTTCTTTTTTTCCATCGAGGGCGATCTATTGTTATCGTCGCTTCCCATCATGTCCTTGTCGTCATCAGGGCTCACTGTCGACTCGGGCCCATGATCGTCTCTCGGATCGTGGGAACCCGCAAAAGATGAAACACCCGTCTCTTCAGAGTGACCACCCTGCCCGACCAGGGGCTGAATCGTCGAGAAGACCCGCTGGTCTAAACTAGGAATCTGCAACTTGACGCGTGGCAACATGTCCTGTTTCGCCGCTTCCAACCTGCGGTTGATGGTATCCCGCGATGAGGTTTCACTCCTCGCAAACGATCCCGAAGCAGCCATACCGGACGGCTGTGCTCCCGCGTGAGGCAAAGCGTCTTCCGCCTTGTATTCCGTCGATTGCATCTCAGCAAACCGAGGAGCAGCAACGGGAACGCTCGGCTCCTCCTTCTTCTGCACCGACAACCGGGGCGAGATAGTCCGGGGCCCCAACGAGAACCGGTCACTATTTCGGGCTGAGGAGAGATGAGATGACACTGCTGACAGGGGCGAAGGCACTGGGGAAGATAAAGAGGGCAACCAGAGACAAGGCCCGCCGACTGACATGGTAAGAGTCTGGGATGTGTGTTGCCCTATACGGAATGCCTCAAACCGGACAGCTGGAGGATGCTGCCAGAAGAAGAACGAACTTGAAGAAAGGAAAGCCGTCGAACTAAGCACCGCAATAGGGGAGATCCAAGCCCAAATGGGAATTAATAACGGTGTACTTCCCCCGAGATGAGACGTGGGTCTGATCGAAGTACCGAGGCGCGTAAAGAGCAGGACTTTCTGCAATCAAAGAAAAGGGTGAAGCGTGTTCCAGAAGATGTACGATGTACTGAGAGGGGAAAATAGGGCGCCAACACGATGTGTCAGGTGAAGAACCGGTGTGTGCAAACCACAGGGCCTAAACAACCTGTCAAGCGGGACAGTCTTCCTAGCCCTTTTGGTCTTTTTTCTCTGGTTTTTTCGGAGATTGGTACTTTGATATCAAGATCGAAATCCCTCCCGTGTGAGAGAGACGTGCAAGATTCCAGGGCTATGGTACCTGGAAAATCCTTATAAGACCGTGATATCCCAAAGGAGGCAAATAATGATCCAAGGCGGATTAGCCCAAGCAAGGCAAACGGGCGAAGGAAGTGGAAATAGGTTGGGATATTAAACGGACGCCCGCAATACCCCCCAGGGTCCACAGGTATAGTCACAGGTATGGCGCGGGAAATGGTAAATGGTACTAGACGCTGGTCCTGGAAATTGAGATTGATCAAACGTGGTTGAAGGGGGTCAGTTCGCTGTCGATCTTAACGGTCGTAACGGCCAGACCAGATGAGTCCCAAGGAAGGTTGGTAGGGAAAAGGGAAAGAAACCGGGCAAGCTACACGGATATGGGCTGGGAGAAGTGGGCCGGAGGGATGCACGACTACATACAGATCATGGCCTCAGCACGAGTCCACCGATCCGCACCCGATCTCTTTACTGAAGATCCCTCACCAAACGGTCCATAGCGTCGACGGTGGTAAAACATCTTACGGATACACTAGTAGTATCAGAAACTAAAAGGATCGCCTTCGGAGAATAAAAATCGAAGCCACAGATCCAGTGCCTGAATCATTGGAATCATTCCTGAACCTCGTGGGACTACCTCGACTGAAGAGTCTCGGGGGGACCGAGAGCCGTGTCCAGAGGACTCGGACTGCACGCTACAATAGGGCCACGGCCGAAGATTCGCCATGGACGCATGGATCTGTGGCGAATCGAGAGCCTGGCTGGGCTGGCAGACCATGTGGGAACCTCCGTGTCAATTCAGCTCAAGCTTAGGACACTAAATTGCAAGTAAAAAAAGTATGGGTCCGGCGGGACCAGGCATATTATATACTCACAGCACACTGGACACGAAGGTGTGAGGGAGTGAGATCTCTCCGATCTGCGAGGGCCAGCCAGATGTTGATACTTGCAGGTTCAGCCAACGACCAAGCGAGAGACCCTTGCTCACCGGAATTCGCTGCCCATGTGGACAGGGCCAGTCGGCTGTGATGATGGCGCGCTGAAACTCCACTCTCGGCCGCCGGACCCTCGCTATCGATCAAGGACAATAGCCACTCAGCGGACTGCCCGCCACACTCCATCGTGAGTGGGTGCGGCAAGATGTGTTGATACCGGTAGAATTACCGATGCGGGAGAGAAAAGAAAAGGAAAAAGGGAAAAAGGGAATAAAAATAAAAATGGGAAAAAGGGAAAACCAGAAAGAGAAGAAAAATACACAAAAACAAACGAATTGCAAGAGAAATGCCGAACCGAGTCCCAATTGCATTAGATATCGAGAGCCTCATTGGCACAACCGGCGAGACCTGAAACCAACGGGGCCGTAATAACCGGTTCATATCATACTCTAGAGTACAGTATGTACTCCGTACTGCACATCGAAGTGAGAAGAGCAGACTAGCAAATCTCCCGTTATCGATCCCCCGATTCTGTCCGTGAGCTGCATGGAAAAAGAGACCGGACCATGTGCTGTTCCTGGCGTCCTAGAATTGGGCATCTGGTTGACCATGGCTCGGTAGATGTCTGCAAAGCCCTCACTCCACCGGAAACGCCTTGAAATCTCCACCGTGGATATGAAACACTTTGGGTCGCAGGCTGGTAAAATGAGTGGTAAAACGGCGACGTTGTGGGGCCAACTTGGACCTCGGCAAGGGCTTTTGTTCTTTTGATCAGTTTTAGTGTGGACTTGATAACTAGTGAGTCTTTGCTCCTCCGTAGATGCAGTATACTCCGTATAACTAGCTAGGTATGTACAGAAGTACATCCTGTACTCCGTACTATACTGCGAGACGGTGAACATCCCTCATGGCGTCACATTATCTCCGGACCAATAACAATTGGAATAAATTGCAGCGGTGGACCCCATCAGCCAATGTAGATTACCGATGGAGATATACCGTGGATAGGATCTGTTTTTCTCCAAACGTGGAGCAATGGGTCTCGGAGGAGAAAACTCGGAGCCGTTGACTGCGATCCCGAATCACAACACAGATCCTAGACCCTACGGCCGAAACGGTGTCGATCGCTACGTAGTGTGTGCAAACCTTGGACCTAGAGATATCTCCAATGCTACGCTACGCCACACGTAACGCTGTAGATCTTCCAAGGCCACCCTCCAGCTCGACTGGACAGGGTATGTATGTATGTACAGACGGCATCGGTGCGGGGAGAGATCGAGGATCGAAACAGTACGAGACGCAACTTTAATTGCCCCCAGCCCTTGTCATCTCGTTTAATCTATACATCCTAGACACATCATACGAGTGACTCCCACTCTATACTAGTGCCCCCGAGGCCGGTTAGACGGATAATACGTGATATACGATTCACGAGATGACGCAAGCCGATCTCTTGGCTGGAGTCCTCATCTGGTCCCCCATCTTTGCGAAACAGAAGAATGGGCCGAGCCCTGCAGGTAGTGCCTAAATGCTGGAGCCTATGGCAGTGTTCGTATGGACCTACAGTACATAGAGTACAGACTACAGTGTACGCAGACGATACCAGTATACTACTAGTACGGAGGACTCCGTCCATACTTAGCAGAACCTGACATTCCTAATCTAGAGCATCTTGCGAACCACGTTTACCCCTAAACGGCGCCGGATACGACTACTAAGCGTTGAGCTTCGTCTCCACAGACGGAAATACGACATCCTATCCGATCTGTGCACTGGCCAGTGTCTTGGAACTAGTTGATATACACTTCCGGGAATGTCCCACCGGGGCCACTAGACGATCCATGCGGATTCTAATGCTCTAATGCTGCGTATTTTTATTTTCTGACCCTATGCCTAACTCTCCTTCTTCCTTGGGCGTTCTGGAACAACCGGGCTATGGGGGTTAGTGTGTGAGGCCCATCGCCACGAACTGCTAAAAACAAATCATATCCACGCGAAGGATTCGTTTCAGTGACCGGGGGCCAAAAACGAGTCCACTTCTGCAACTAACACATTCCTCCTTTTTTTTCTCTTCGCTTCTGTGGGATTTGTCTAAGACTGTACAGTATATTGTACAGTATACTGTACAGTATTTTGTATGTATTGGCTTTGGCATCTCTGCGACGCCGAACGAATCTAAATCCACTAGCACGGCCCCTTAGCCGCAGGCTTGTGATCCGTTAGGTGAAACACGGTTGCGACGCTACCCCTTCAATGCCACTGGCGATAATTTAGTCGAAGAACATTCTGGATGAACGGAGTAATCTCTATGAGACAATTTTCCCTTTTACCCTCTGGACTACTGCAGGAACACTTTGTCCGTTATTGATTTTGTATTAGAGTTGCCGATCATTGGGTTGAGCAAAATGTGATATGAGGTTCTGCCCGACTCCGCTGGGATCCGCTCTTGATACTCCGGGCGTGAAGATTCATCGCCGTGACTAGTGGCCGCTAGATAACCCGCTCTCCCGTTCGTTCGGACAATCCGGGCTCGGATCGAAAGAAGTCGCCGTGCCGCGATGATCCAGACGGGTGTTTTGGCTAGCATTGATCGGCATATTGCCCGATCTGGTATGTCCTTGAACATTGAAGTATCCTCTCCAGCCGAAATGCCCCTGAAAAAAAAGAAAAAAAAAGATGGAGCGGGGAAAAAAAGGAGTCGAGAATAGGGGAATGAAGCAAGCTGGCTTCAACGAGGGTGCAAGACTGGGGACGTTGGAGGGAAAAAAAGCACAGTCAGATTCGGAATTATCTTGCTGATCCTTTCATGGCGGCAAGCGGACGTCAGACCATGCAAGAGCACGGATATGGTAATTGCGCTCCCAGCTTTTTTTTCTCCCCTTTGCACAGGCGCTGTGATATCGATGCATGAAATCCTGCAAGCTGTCTGAGCAAATTGGTGGCGGACCATGGCCTCATCGCGCGAGATAAAACCAGCCCATTGGGGAATTTACTCCGAACCAAAGGAGGTCAAAGCCATCGACTATCGAACGGATATCTTCCACAAACCACGGTCCGTCTCTAGCTTGCAGGGTCCTCTGTAGGGGCGCTAGAGGCGGTAAGGTTCTCGCTTTGCTCCACGCTCGGGGCTTGGGGTTCTTCGGTGGCGTCTTTGGTATCCTGCATCTCTTGGTCGTCCTCGGGAGCCTGAGGAACTCCTGGGGCAGTTGCACTGGAATTGACGTCGGGATCGGGAGCAGATTCTTTTTTCTCCGTCTGCTTGTTTTCACCCGGCAGATCCTGAACTCCATCCAGCGATTGAGGGAGGTCTTTGGGATCCTCCATGTTGGATTCGGATTCTTGGCTCGTCGTAGGGGCTGCGAATAAAATTTGTAGGTTGTTGTTGTTCAGTTTATCAAACGTCGCGAGTTTGGTCTTTGCAGATAATCGCAGGATTCGCCAGGACTTGCTCGCAATAGCACCTTCGGCAGCCGCCTTGTCATCATCCGTCGCCGCGAGGTCGAGATCCATTTCATCGTCCATTATGCCTTTCATGAATGTGTCGGCGGAAGGCACACTGTACCGATCGGATTCCTTGAGACGTTCGATATTGGCGAGGGATTCACTATCCGAGAGGAACTTCAGGTCGAGAGAGCCCATCGGAGAGGGTCGGAGACGTTTGTTGGCGTACACCTTGACGGCATTTTCGCGATAAGTTGTGTACTCGGAGGAAGAGATGGCTGGTCGTTCAATCAGTGGACAACCTTCGGCTTTCCACCGCGCCCAGTTCCTGTCCCGGGATAAGACCGTATCCACCATGCGATAGTAGAACTTGCCCTCGGGCCCTTGCTGCAGATACCCCTCGATGTTCTTTCGGATCTTAATTGCCCACTTCGTATCCTCCTCGTTCAAGGTGAAGTTATAGAGCACCGATTTGTTGGTGGTATTTCCTAGGCGTGTCTTGGCCTTCGGCGTGAGAGAAAGCACAAAGTCGAGGAGAATCAATGCCTGGACAAGCACGTGTCGTCGGAAGGCAGTGTCGCCGACTTCAAGATCAAACAGATCCCGGCTGGTCAGGTATTTAGGATTGAAGCTGGTGGCAACTTCTGTGTCATCTGAGACGCGCTTGCGCTTGCTTGACTTGCGAGCATCCTCTGAGGCTCGCGAAGCACTGTGATTTTCCAGTTCAGTGTTGATATTTTTGAATGCAGATAGAGTCGCCTCAAGACCGGCTTTAAAGGACTCGAACCCTTCTGATTCGAACATTTTGCTTGGTGATGAGAAAAAGGCCTGGAGACCCCAGAAGAGTGGGTAAAGCACATCCAAATCGACCTCTTCCGATTTCTTCTGATCGCCGGAGATCACAACTTTGGGCACTTTTGCCGTTCGCTCGGAAGGTGTCCCATTTTGATGCGCTTCTGTGTTTTCAGGCGCAGGTTCAGACTCAGTCATTGTGGTATCTTGTTGATCTTCGGTAGAGTTATTGACGATTTCGTCGAAAGTGGTTTCATTCTCGGAGTGGAACTCTCCACGAAGGTTGACAGAGCTCTTGTCACCGAGTGGGAAGCTCTGGAAAAGGTAGATGAAGACCCGGCCGCAGAAAACTGTATCTTCTGCACGCGAGAGGCGACGCAGCAGCTCGTTACAGGATCGTAGGATAATCAAGTTTTTCTGCTTGAAGTGTTTCTGAATAGACAGTCAGCTTTGCGCCAACTTACGGTTGTAATTGTCGAGACAAACCTTGGTATTCTTTTCCCTCCGAGACTCCAAATAATCAAAGACCTTGTGGCAGCCGTCAATGGTCTGACTATCCAGAAGCTCTTCGATGAGCCAGAAGATGAGACCAGGCTCACATTGTTCTGATGGGTGTCAGAGGTGTAGCATGTATTTAGGACTGAAGAGACTGACCATTGTCGGAGAAGATCGAGACGATGTCCAGAAGATTCCAGATCTGAATGAAGGCGGGGTCGTCAATCGAGGTTGAAGCCTGTAAGTGCCGTGTTAGAATTCCATCCTAGATCCAAGCTTTAGATCAGAGCAGCCATACCAAGACGCGATAGAACTTCTCGCGAAACGCGATTTCCACGGCCGCAAGCCTGGTTTGTTGACTCAAGTGCTCAGTGGCCTTTTGATCTTCTGGCGAAAGTTGCCATGTCGGCTCACCAAGCTGCGCTTCGGACAATGGGGGCTCGATCTGCTTGTCGGGCTTGACTTGCGCAGCGCGGTCCAGGAGGCTGTCGACTTGTCTTCGGTAGACCTGGATGTCAGCCGTCTCGTCATTCGCCATCTCGATCAGTTATTACTCCTATGCTCGAGTGGCAGGTCAAGACGAATTGACAGAGGTGTTGTCGGAGTGAAAGGGAGTGCAGAGAGCGGCTCGGCGGAGACGCAAACGCCAAGACTTTCGAAAAAGCTCCCCCAGCTCCAACTTCACTCCACCGACTGCGCCAATCCACCACGTTCCTCAACCAACACTCTCACCGGTTACGGGAATGACTACTGCGATGGCGCAGAGTCTTGAGTCCAGGCCTACTGTCGTGGACTTTCGCGATGACAGCCCGTGGGTGCAACTCGCCAAGTCCCACTGGTTGGATGCGAAAGTCCGCAAGGCTAAACCAGATGTGATCAAGAAGCAATTGTGGGATCCTTTGGAGGCGGAGGCCTTCAGCAGTCGATCTCTGTTGATTTTGGAGAATCTCAACATCCTCGAGAAGTAGGACTTCCCCCGCTGCTACCAGAATCCAGGCTAATCACTAATTCTAGGTTCTTATGGCCGACCTACACTGGAGATGCTTCCAACCACCACGTACTATTAATCGCTTTAATAGTGAGCGTAAAGCACCGCGAACATCTGCCCATATGGGATATCTTCTCCGATCGCGCCGATGACTTCTCCAATCTCTTCCACCGCATTCTCTCCATGAGCATCGACCCCTCCCTCCCTACACGCTCCCGACTCTCTATCATCTCCTTCATCATCAGCGCTTTCCAATCACTCGAGAACGTTCTGATCCGGAAAGAATGCGCGCCTCTGGTCTCGATATCTGTGTGGCACAACCTGGCTAGTGAAGAATCGAGAAATCGTATAATTGCCAAGGCCCCTACGCTGAAAAAGGCATGGAAGGCTTCCGGGAAAAGATACGACGCGGGTGATGATGCCGCCAAGGCGAAGATGCGATTCGAGCGCTCATGGCTGTATACAATGCTCTTGGACTTCATCCAAAGGCTCAATTCACCCGAACAGGCCGATAACCTGCTATACTGTGAACGATTTTTGGAATTATTGGTCGATCTTGAAAGTCAGCTTCCTACTCGGCGCTATGTGAATACATTGTTGAAGGATCTCAACCTCCTGGCTGTTATTCGCCTTTCACAGCTCTATCGCGAGCCTGGAAACGCCCTTTTGCGCGATTTCCACGGTCTTCTCAAGCACTTTGTTGAGTTCGCGATTGATGATTACACCGGCGAGGCTCTCACCCCACAGGGTGTCTATGATATTCATAGCCAGGAGTTGGCTCAGTTGCAGAGAACCTCGATGAAGCTCTTCAAAGACAAGCTCATGATCCTCGCACTGTCTAACCTAGGTTCTATCGAGCAACGTTCTGATCTCGAAGGGCAACTTTCTTCCCTAGATGATTCGGAACTCCAAACACTGAGCTCTGCTCTGGGATTCCGCACAGTCTATCCCAAGTCTGCTAACGTTAACCCGGGCCGCCAATTCTACCTCGAGGTTCTAGCATCATTCTATGAACGCAAGGTTCCATTCCAGGAAGCTGTTGGGAAACTAAACCCGCTTCCAACGGAAGAGAACCTGTACGACCCGGCCTTGCTCAGAAATGAGACATATGACGGATCAAGGCCTCTGGCGATCCCAAAACTGAACCTCCAATACCTCAGCCTTGGAGACTTCCTTTGGCGTTCATTCCTTCTGTACCGCTCGGAGGCTTTCTTCCAGATTCGCAAGGACATGGAGTCCGTCGTCAAGCGCATGCAGCCTAAATCAGTTCGTGATGGAAGCCTGAATTTCGAGGGCTTCTCCCGAATGGCAATCCCCATTTCCAAGCCCGCCATCATTGATGTCGCCCCGCCTAAGGTTGGCGCCACCAATCCGGCCTTCGTTCGAGCTGAAATTGCGATCGAGGTAGGAAGACTTGCAGACAATGTGAGAAAAGAATGGGATTCACTCCGTCCTGATGACGTCGTATATCTGCTGGCAGTGCAAGGACAGGGCGCGGATGCTCCCCGGATGACCCATCTGCGAACTGCTGAGATTGTTCAAGTTCTAGATGAGCAAGGTCGGGCCCTACGGCAGCACCCTGGCCAGGCCAATGGACACTTACCGAGAGCCCGATTGCGCCGCTTGATTGTCCACTTGGATGCGGCTGCCTTCAAAGCCGATCAGGATCAGCAGGCCCACGGCAAGCCTGACATCTATCCACTCATCAACATTGTTGCGCGACGAAAGGGCAGAGAGAACAACTTCAAATCGATTCTGCAGACCATGCAAAGGCTCATCGTCTCAGACATGACACTCCCATCTTGGCTTCAGGACATTTTCCTCGGCTACGGAGACCCCGCCGGTGCGCAATACACACAACTGCCCAATCGGCTTCGTAAAATTGACTTCCGTGATACCTTCTTGGATTGGTCTCATTTGATTGAGGCCGTGCCTGGCATTGAGCCCTCAGGGGCGGAGAATTCAAGCTTCGGTCCTCCATACGTTCTTGAGTATGATGACCAGAAGCCAGCTGCCGAGCCACCGGCCCCTAAAAAGCGACGCCGCGAGCAACCCCAAGAAGACTCGGCTCCTTCCACCGTTCGCGTTTCCACATACAAGCCTCCAAACCCTGGTCCATATCCCGTGGATGCTCCCAAGTTGAACCAAGTGCGCTTCACTCCCGCTCAAGTGGAAGCAATTGCATCAGGAACACAACCAGGACTGACTGTCATCGTTGGACCTCCTGGTACTGGAAAGACCGATGTCACAACACAAATCATCAACAATATCTACCACAACTTCCCTAATGAACGGACACTGCTCATTGCCCACAGCAATCAAGCACTCAACCAACTCTTCCAGAAGATCATTGCTCTCGACATTGACGAAAGACATCTCTTGCGTCTCGGCCACGGCGAAGAGGAACTGGACACCGATTCTAACTATAGCAAGCATGGGCGAGTCGAATCCTTCCTTGACAACCGTAATGCCTATCTATCGGAAGTGATGCGCTTGGCTGCATCCCTAGAGGTGGAGGGTGCGCATGGCAACTCATGCGAAACGGCCGGTTACTTCAACACAGTCTACGTCCAGCCGACCTGGGCCAAGTTCTGGGATCGAGTCAAGTCCGAGGAAGTTTCAACTGAAGACATTGTTGCTTTGTTCCCATTCCATTCATACTTCTCAAATGCCCCCCAGCCCCTCTTCTCCACAGAAGCCACCAAGGAGTCTATCCTTGACACTGCCTCTGGCTGTCAACGGCACATTTCCAAGATTTTCTCTGAATTGGAAGACATTCGGCCATTCGAGATTTTGAGACAACCACGGGACAAGGCGAACTACCTTCTTGTGAAAGAAGCCCGGATCATCGCGATGACCTCGACCCACGCTGCAATGCGCCGCCAGGAGATTGCTGATCTAGGCTTCCACTACGACAACGTGGTCATGGAAGAGGCCGCCCAGATCACTGAAGTCGAAAGCTTCATCCCCAACGCTCTGCAAAACATGCAGAATGGAGAGCTTCCTCTCAAGCGTGTCGTTCTCTGTGGTGACCACTACCAGAACTCGCCCGTCATTCAAAACATGGCTTTCCGCCAATATGCCCACTTCGAGCAGAGTCTCTTTTTGCGACTAGCACGACTAGGTGTCCCCGTGATCAACCTCGACAAGCAAGGGCGCGCAAGATCCAGCATCGCAGAGCTCTTCCGCTGGCGATACCAGGAACTTGGCGACCTGCCTGTCGTGCAAACTGCACCAGAGTACCAGAAAGCCAACGCTGGCTTCCAGTTCGATTACCAGTTCATCAACGTTCCCGACTACCAAGGGACTGGTGAGCGTGAGCCGACTCCTCACTTCATCCAAAACCTGGGCGAGGCCGAGTATGCAGTGGCCATGTACCAGTATATGCGTTTGCTCGGATACCCGGCTTCCAAAATCTCCATCTTAGCTACGTATGCTGGCCAAACGGCTCTGATTAGGGATGTGTTGAGTCACCGGTGCGGCAAGAACCCCATGTTCGGAATGCCAAAGATTGTTACCACTGTCGATCGTTACCAGGGAGAGCAGAATGATTGTAAGTCCACCCATGTCCCACGCAATAGCCCAACATGCTAATCTCCCATAGACGTGATCCTTTCTCTCACGCGTACCCGCAGCGTCGGCTATCTCCGCGACGTCCGACGTCTCACGGTGGCGCTCTCCCGAGCCCGCCTGGGTCTGTACATCCTCGGTCGTCGTGAAGTCTTCGAATCATGCTACGAGCTCAAGCCTGCCTTTGATCTCCTGCTTCAACGCCCGGACAAGCTCATGCTTTCCCCTGGTGAGATGTTCCCGTCAGCCCGGGATGCCAACGCTGCTGTTGGTGGCACCCCCATGGAAAGTGTCGAGCATCTTGGTCAGTATGTCTTTGAGATGACCCAGGCTAAGGTCAAGGCCATGGGTGATGGAGATATTGTAATCGAGGACGCTGCCCCGGTTGAGGAGGATGGCCTTTTGGAAGAAGACGAGGATGAGCTTATGGGTGCTGATGACGATGAGGATATTGTATGAAATACTAGCGTGAATGTTTATCACGCTCTCAGGTATAACAGAGTTGTTGATACGAATTGCATGTTTTCAATTATCCACAAACATAGCTTGAATGGTCTACGGCTGGAAAGCAGGTAATATTTTGACGAGATCGCTAGGTACTAGGTATTGAAACGAAAAAAGCCGCGAGTCTGCCGAGGTCTCTCTGGCTCGGTACCTAGCATTCAATTTGCGTGGAATAAAAAACATCTTGCAACCCCCAGATTAATCGCCGTGCATGCATCCATAGCCGGGGTTGTCGGAAACAGCTCTGATGTATTAACGCTACTGCGGTGTGATTAATCCTTGGTCTTGTTCATTTCCTCAACGATGTTCTGAGGATCTTTCCAGGCCAGGGTCACGTATCTGTAGGAAATGATCAGTCGGAAGAAACATTGACAGACCAAAGGACACTTACTTCGTGTGACTTCCGCGGGCGACAACGTGCCCATTCGGGTTGGTGAACTCGATTGAAGTGAACGCAAGCGTCTTGCCAACTGGTAATGTTTGGTCAGATATTCATGTGCCATGACAACCTTGAATAGGAGATAGGATCAAAACTCCTTCCTGGAACATACATTTGTCACATTTCACTTCCTATCTTCACGGTTAGTATATCCTCATATAAGGTTAGTGGAGGGAAGAAGACTTACGGCAAGAATCCGATCTCCAACTTTGCCACCGGAGTTCAAGTATGTCACTAGACGTTCAAGCATTAGGAGCGGATATCATATGTATTGAGGCGGACTCACCGTTCAAGTCGGTTGACACTCCGGTCGAGAAAAGGCCACGAGATGCAACGGCCAGGGAGCCACCCAGGTCAACTGAAAGAAAGAGAAATGAGTCTACCTTCCATGTAAGGTATGTATATCCGGGATCATACCCATGCTGGCGATGGTGCCTCCGTGGAGGATGTTAAGACGATTCTATGATAGTAGATGTGAGAATAGCTTCCAGGCGATGAGCCAGCCCAACATTTAACATCTCCAGATAGATGACTGAGCATGTGAAAAGCAGACAAGCATACCGTGTGCTGTTTCTGAATGTCTAGCTCAAAGTTGACAAGACCGGGCCTGGCGGCGGTAATACGGAGCTATAGAGGTCAGATGGATTCAAATTCGCCCCGCGCATATGGATACTCACATTGTCCAGAAGCCTTCAATGCCCCAACCAAGTTCTGCTGTTAGTATCCGACGCATTTTCCAAGGTGGGAAGTCATGATGCATTTCATACCGAGGCTCCAGACCCGAGGTAGCTCGGAATGACTCCCAAACCTGTATATTGCAAGCTATGTCAATGGCATGAGCTGGGCATGAGAGCGACAAGCACATACCGAGCGAACAAATCTGAGAGAAGCCATCTTTGCAAGTAATGTGTATGAGTTACGAGGTCATCGAAGCCATACTAACCGCCGTCTGCCCGCGAGAGCGGAGTTGCACATAATGGCCGCATCGGCCACCGTACCCGCGTCATCTTCATTCAACTCCAGGGCTCGAGACCTTCACGCAGGTCACTCGTGTCTCCAAGCTCACCATGGCGAGCGCGACATCCCGTCCTCTCGAATACCTCGAGGGTCTCCCCGGGACGACCTTCTATAAGCTCTACCAGCAACCGTCCACAGCCCTTGCCATCTTCCGGCGCATGCTTCCTGATCTTGGTACATTGAGCTGCTCCGCTTGAGAATTGTCCCACTAACGACGGTATAGCAAAATGCTTTGTCATGGCCTTGCTCTATCAGAAGGATCCTCTACCCACAGCAGATCTAGAGATCTGGGTCAGCTCAGATAGCAAAAAGTGAGCTCTCTTTGTCTTATCGCGAATGGGAGACATGACTGACCGCTTATACAAGGGAACGAGACAATGCGATCTCGATATTGGGCCGTCTCCATGTTCTATCGACGACTCTCACAGGGGAAAATGTTCGAGCTTATATGCTCACCAATCCGTTCGCGGCCTCACTTCGACAAGCCCTCATGGGCGCCGAGGATTCTCAGTCCTTCGGCATGTTCTCCCGAGCTCCCGAGCACCTTCAGACTTCCGTTGCCGACCTAGACGAGTATGCGAGGCAGCAGTGGGAAGGTGTGATGGGATACATGGTTGGAACGAGTGCATTCAGCGGACAACGCGAAACGGTCAATCTCAGCAAGGGTGTGAAACAGCTCCTCCAGGCAGGCCACCTGGTTGAGCTTCGGGGAAATCGAGTCGATATCACAAAGGACGGATTCGGATTCGTGCTCCAGGATGTGAACACCCAAGTCTGGCACATCTTGATTCTCTACGTCGAGAGCGCAGAAGCCATTGGCATGGATAGCGTGGAGGTATTATCGTTCCTGTTCCTTCTCAGCAGTCTGGAACTGGGCCAGTCATACGACAAGAGCCATTTGACACCTAATCAAACCCGCACTCTGGCCGACTTGACTGACTTCGGCATCGTTTATCAAAACGATGCAGACCCGACGCGCTTCTATCCCACCCGCCTCGCAACAACACTCACATCTGATTCCAGCGCCCTCAGTAACCCCGTGACAGGGTCTCTCACCGGCCCAGCTGGCCAGACCGGTGGCTCAGGATCAGGCTTCATCATCATCGAAACCAATTATCGACTATACGCATACACTTCATCACCCTTACAAATATCCCTGATCTCTCTCTTCACGAACCTGAAATATAGGTTCCCGAATCTGGTGACTGGAAAAATCACCAGACAGTCAGTACGCAGAGCCATTGAGATGGGAATCACGGCGGATCAAATTATTTCATATCTCCTTTCTCACGCCCATCCCCAATTACGAAAACACAGTGCCGCCCAACCCAGCAACAAGGGCGTTCCTGCATCCATTCTCCCTCCTACAGTCACGGATCAGATCCGGCTGTGGCAACTGGAGCGTGATCGTCTCCGTGCCACGGCGGGATTCCTATTCAAGGATTTCACTAGCCTGGCTGAATACCAAGCTCCTTGTCAGTATGCTGCAGAGATTGGTGTCTTGGTGTGGAAATCAGATCGGAAGCGCATGTTCTTTGTCACTCGGCACGAGCAAGTTGCTATGTATCTGCGGAACCAAAAGGCAGGTGGAAGATGAGATCGTGGGTGCAGGGTGGATGGCGATTTCAGATCAAAAAAATTGGACAGGCGAAACAGGGAACTTGGAGACTTTAACGAAGTGACGAATTCACAGATATAGAACTGTACATCAAAATAGTATGATCATGACCAGACAAAGGCTATACTACACACTTGTCTCCAGCCAGTTAATGGCCGTAATACTAGGTATGGTGCTATCACCTGGAACCAGCGAACCTATATCCGCATAGAAACAACCTTGGAATAATCCAGCATAGTTACTACACTTATTTGAAGCCACCAGATCCAATCTTGGGGCTATTCGATGCTCTTTGTGATCCTGCCTTCCGTACGGCAGCTCCCTTCTGCCTCCGATCCATCACATGTTTTCGAGTCACCACTGCCTCACGTTGACGAATATACTCGAAGGCTGATGATTCTCGAGCGGTTGATCGGTCAAATGCCTGCGATGCACGTGACGATCGAATGGACTCCCGAGGTCGGAGGCTCGAGGGCGGCCTTTCCGGTCACATGGGGGGTTTGGACCAACAGAGCTAGGGCTTCGTTGGTGGGCTGCTCTATCTCCTTCTCTCCATCTGGTAATGGGAGCTAGAATAGGGGGTGAAAGTCTGTTTTTCGGAGGGCTCGAGTACCTTCAGAAGCCTGCATCATAAGGTGGGAACAGGGGACAACTCGGTGTAAAACAGAGGTACTTGTACACTCCCCAGTTCCCATCTGATAACGCAGGCGTTTGATGGTTGCCGAGCACTCAGAAAAACAGACTTTCACCCCTTATTCTGGCTCCCTTTGCCCGATGGAGAGGCAGAAACCGAGCAGCCCACCAACGAAGCATTAGCTTTATTGGTTCAAAACCCCCATGTGACCGGAAGGGCCGCCTCCAGGGCTTCGGCCCTGGGGGCCTCCGAGACTATGCGATCATCACGTGCATCGCAGGCATTTGATCGATCAACCTCCGGGGCTAGGTAGGTACCAACCGAGAGCCCTCGAGCCTCGAGCACCTGCCCAGGTGGCCATGTTCGACGACGTGAGTCAGCGGCGACTCGAAAGCACGTGAACGACCGGAAGCGGATGGAAGCGCACAATCAGGATTGTATCACACAGGGTGAGGATACACCAGATGAATCAGACTGGGAGCCCTGGAGTAGTCGTCCATCAAACAAGCCTAGATACAGACAATCAATGCATTTGAGAGCATATTCAGAACCAGCATCTTTTTCCTAATCAAGGAGAGATCAAACATGCTGACACGGCATCATGGGCCTAGAATGGGGGTAGGAGTATTTTGAAAATCTAGTATGGAGCAGTGTCGACTACCTAAGTACCTAGGTAAGCGAGATCGTGGGCTCAGGGCCCTATGTGGGGTAATTGGGTTTAGGCTTGTTCCAATACTACGGAGTAGATTGGTAGGCGACAAGCAAATACGGGGGCATAAGTGTCTCGGCCAGCGGTGGGGTAAGGCTGATCACCCGAAGTAAAGCCGGAGGCGATCGGCTAAACCTCGGAACATGACGCTGGGATATCCGCCAGACCCCGAGCTTTGGGTGTCACGCCGCGATGGCTTGCATTGATGGGAATGTCGGGGACTTTCTCGGAGGCGGGGTATTTACTTCCGAGCAAGGTATACCTAGGTCAACTGATGGCCCCCCTCAGTCGCATCAGATCCAGCACCCCGTCTCCATACAATGTCATCCACAGCAGTGATATCTTCTCTGTCGTTTGAGCAAGAATCGACAGGGTTTGGAATCGGAATATCCAACCCTCGCATCTCATGGAGATTCAAGACGGACCCGAACCCAAAAGACTGGGAGCAAACGGCATACGACATTGAGATAACGCGCGAGCGCTGTTCGGATACAGAAAGACATCACGTTCAAAGTACAAACTCGGTCCTCGTACCATGGCCGAGTCAACCTTTGAAGTCCCGCGAAACAGCTCAAGTCCGTGTTCGTGCCTATGGCGGAACAGACTCAGTTCCAACCGAATGGTCGAACTGGAGTACGATTGAATGTGGCTTGTTGGATAGGAAAGACTGGAAGGCACGTGCCATTACTGTTAGTGTAAAGCAACCTGAGGGTCCCTTGCGGCCTATTCGCTTCCGGAAGACTTTCTCTTTTCCTTTTGGCTCAGTGCCACGGGCTCGTCTCTACATCACCAGCCTGGGAGTTTTCCAGGCCTACATCAATGGTGTACCAGTGGGAGATCATTTCATGGCCCCGGGTTGGACAAGCTATCACCACCGGCTCAACTATGAGATGTTCGATGTCTCATCGCTCTTGCGTTACGGGGAGTCAAATACGATCGCCGTCGAAGTTGCCGAGGGCTGGTATGCCACCCGTCTTGGGTTCCATGGAGGTCGCCGGTATGTCTACGGCGATGAGATGGCTTTGATTGCTCAGTTGGAGATGCAAACTGCGAACGGCGATGAGCATGTCGTGATATCGGATGCAACTTGGAAAAGTCATCAATCCGCAATCATCAGCAGTGAACTTTATGATGGAGAAGTCTACAACGCGCTGGAAGAACAAATCGGATGGAACAACCACACTTTCAACGCTCCTTTCAACTCTGAGTCTTGGAGCTTCGTGCAAGAAACTGATTTCCCCAAGGCAGAGCTCGTGCTATCCAACGCTCCTCCGGTCAGAGTGACGCAGACGATCAAGCCAACACAAATCATCACCACGCCTTCTAACAAGAAAATTGTCGATTTTGGCCAAAATCTAGTCGGGCGTGCTCGCATTCCCAAGCTGAACATACCAAGCGGGGACTCAGTTATCTTGACACACGCCGAAGTTCTGGAAAATCAAGAGCTGGGCACTCGCCCTCTTCGCGTGGCGAAATGCACTGACAAGGTGACATCCGCAGGCGATGAGCTCGACTGGGCTCCAAGATTCTCATTCCACGGATTCCGATATGTGCAAGTTGACAATTGGACTCCCACTTTGGGCAATATAGTAGCGGAAGTCATGCACACCGATCTCACTCGCACAGGCTGGTTTGATTGCTCCCATGCAATGATCAATCAGCTTCATGAAAATGCTACATGGTCCATGCGAGGCAACTTTTTGTCAATCCCGACTGACTGCCCCCAAAGAGATGAGCGTCTTGGCTGGACTGGAGATATTCAAGTTTTCGCACCTTCTGCCAGCTTCTTGTACAATACGTCTGGTATGCTGGGGGACTGGCTGAAGGACCTCTCCTCGGAGCAGCTCGAGAATGCTAATGCAGTTCCTCCTCTTGTCGTCCCCAATGTGATTTCTGAAGAATTTTGGCCCACTTTCCCTCAGGCTATATGGGACGATGTCACCATTCTCCTTCCCTGGACTCTATACCAAAACTACGGTGACATCGATATCCTTCGAAAGCAGTATCCTAGCATGACAGGGTGGCTGGACCGAGGTGTTCAGCGCGGGCCAGATCGTCTCTGGGATGACAATCTTTTCCAACTTGGAGATTGGCTCGATCCTACCGCACCGCCAGATCAGCCAGGAAATGCCCGGACAGACGGGACACTCGTGGCCGATGCATACCTCGTGCATGTCACTAGAGTACTAGGAGATATCAGCACCATCTTAGGGGAATTGGCAGACGAAACCCGGTATAAAACGGAATATCACAAGCTGAAACTCCGATTCCAGGAGAAGTACGTTTCTCAAGAAGGCTGGCTGGTTGGAGACACACAAACAGCACTTGCTCTTGTCTTGGTATTTGACCTTCTTGATGATGCAGACCAGATAGCAGCAGCTGGTGCACGCCTCGCACGATCGGTGCGAAAATCCAAGTTCCAGGTTTCAACTGGCTTCGCGGGGACGCCGCTTATAACGCATGCTTTGACGCGATCGGGTCACCCACAACTAGCATATCGCATGTTGCAGGAGAAAAACTGCCCTTCGTGGATGTATCCAATCACAATGGGTGCTACAACGATCTGGGAGCGTTGGGATAGCATGCTCCCCGATGGGTCGATTAACCCTGGGGAAATGACTAGCTTCAATCATTATGCCCTGGGATCAATCATCAATTGGCTTCATAAGACCGTTGCTGGTGTGAGCCCGTTGGAGCCTGGGTGGCGACATATCCTTGTACAGCCTGTCCCTGGGGGTACGGTGACTTCCGCCCAGGCTATTCATGAGACGCCCTACGGGCGACTTGAGTGTAGGTGGGAGGTTCGGGAGGGCAACGAGTTCCATCTGGAGCTGATCGTACCTCCGAACTCGAAGGCACGGATTGTTTTACCAGGTGATTCTGGAGATGATTCTCGGTGGAGGAGATCAGGGCGACATGAATTTAGTACGAGATTTGATAGTCAGGCTGGTTGGCCTCCCAAGGCACTTTTGCCTCCTATGTTTGAGGCCGAGGACACTTTTGTTTGAGATTTGCAGACAAATTTCGGTGCCTTGACGTTAGCTTACAACAAGAAAGCTTTTTTTAACAATAGCGAGGGTTTTTTCACATAGAACGTGAAGAATCTTGTATACGCGTATAGAAGTGGGCCGGTGGACCCTTAAGACTGCAATCTTAAAATAGGCTATACGCGTATCGGATATCGTTCATACTCAAGATAGTGTCTTATAAAAGTCATGAACCTGTTCTGCTGTTCTGTTCTAAGTGTTCACAACTCTGTTTCATTGCTACAGACGACAGTATCTCACGATGCAGACTCATGGCTATAAATTCTGGAACTATGTTCCCTCAATAGCTGCAGCAGTCATCTTCATGCTTTTGTTTCTGGTGATGACTGGTCTTCTTTCTTGGAAGCTTTTCAGAACACGTACCTGGTTCTGTATAGCCTTTACCCTCGGCGGACTTTGTATGTGGCACCCTCGGAGCAATTTCTCCCACGAAGAACATACGCTGATCGGAACCAAATTTTAGTTGAAATCATCGGATACATTGGTCGATGCGTTGCGCATAACAATACCACGACAATGGGACCATACATTGTCGCCAACATGTTCATCCTCCTCGGCCCTACCCTCTTCGCCGCGTCCATCTACATGACCCTTGGTCGAATCATTCGTCGGGTGCAGGGAGGACATCTTTCACCGATTCGGGTGTCACGTCTCACAAAGACTTTCGTCTGGGGAGATGTGCTGTCTTTCGTTGTCCAAGGCAATTCTTCCTCACTTTCTGTGCTTGGGTACGCCCAGTGGGCGAAAGTTTGCGTTGTTGGCGGACTGGCAATTCAACTGGTCTCCTTTTCCCTCTTTTGGGTGACGGCCATTGTGTTTGCGAAACGTCTCCGTCGTGCGCCAACCCCAGAGTGTCTCAAGCCCGGGATTCCCTGGCAAAGGTCGTTACGCATGCTCTATGCTGTGAGTGCCTTGATTTTGATCCGTTCCATCTTCCGAATCATCGAATATGTCATGGACAATGACGGATACCCGCTCAAACACGAGTGGACAATGTATATATTCGACAGTGTACCGATGATAGCCGTCATGGTTATTTTCTTCATCTGGTACCCTGATCAAATGAGCCTCGATGCGGATACCGAACAAGGTATACCATTGGCACACAGTTATTCCGGAGTATAGTCATTGTCGAATATGATTTTTTGCGCATCGACTGCTTTTTCATCTAGTTTCATACTCATCTCCAATGTCTTCGTTTTGTCTGTAAATCATGGATCGAGAGTTTCCTGGAACATTGTAGCGTCGGGTTGGGGCCCCGGGGGAAGGCTTGACTGATTGTCGGGAGTTCGACCTGCGACATTTCATGAGGTACCACCTAGGCAGCCACCTGGAGAGATCAATACCAGAGTATGTCAGAAAGACCATGATTATTCAACGAGAGATTCCGAGACACCGAGGGCGCGGAACCTTCGACGAGCTTATAAATCCAAGTGGGGAAGCTCCCCGTCAAGCACCCGATGACACCATGCAGTTGTCTACTTAAGTCCTCCTTCCATCCTCACTTGAGCAGTAATTCAATTGATCTTTTCTGTTTACTACACGACAATATGAGCCAGCCAAACATCACCCTTTACACTGCCCAGACCCCGAATGGGATCAAGATCTCCATGGCCTTGGAGGAGCTTGGGTACGGAACCTTCGAAGCTCTCTAGAATTACAGAGCACCAAAGCTGACAAGAAAACAGTCTTCCCTACAAGGTTGAGAAGATCGACATCTCGAAAAACACCCAAAAGGAAGAGTACGTGCTCCCATCCATACAACTGGCCATGTCAGTCCCTAATCTCTGCACAGATGGTTCCTCAAGATCAACCCCAATGGCCGTATCCCTGCCTTGACAGACACATTCAGTGATGGCCAGGACATCCGATTGTTCGAATCCGGCAGCATCCTGGAGTACTTGGCAGAACAATATGACACAGACCACAAGATCTCCTTCCCCAAAGGCACGCGGGAGTATTATGAGATGAAGTCCTGGTTATACTTCCAAAATGCGGGCCTGGGGCCTATGCAAGGCCAGGCCAATCACTTCTCGCGCTACGCACCCGAGCGCATTGAGTACGGCGTGAACCGATATGTCAATGAGTCTCGTCGTCTGTATGGTGTCCTCGACAAGCACCTCGCCGATTCCAAGTCCGGATATCTCGTGGGCGATCACGTCTCGATCGCTGACATCTCACACTGGGGTTGGGTGGCGGCTGCAGGATGGGCTGGAATTGATATCGAGGAATTCCCTCACGTCAAGGCGTGGGAGGAGCTGATGGCACAGCGAGCAGGCACTGAGAAGGGCCGCCATGTCCCCTCCCCTCATACTATCAAGGATCTGCTGAAGGATAAGGCGGCCATGGATAAGCAGGCCGCAGAGGCTCGAGCATGGATCCAGCAAGGCATGGCGACGGATTCGAAGAGCAAGGTCTAGAATAATTTGAAATTAGGAGGTATAGCTGTGGAGTTAAAGAATTAGCATCATAAAACAGTGTGTCATTTGACTTGAACCCGCATTGCTCGTGACTAGCTAGGTACTAGAGAAAGACCGCAGTTGAGACTCAACTTGTATTCATCCATGGATCGCTACCGCCTTGAGTAGATTTGCCAGATCGAGTCACATGACTATCCACTTTGGCCGCTCCGCCTTTGAAGGTTCTCGTGTCTCTTTCTAACCTTGCTCCATTGACCACTCACTTATTTTTTTCAAGAGCAGTCATGGCTTGGCGCAATCAAGGAATCACTGGCTCCAACAATATCCCGCTGGGGCGGCGACGCATGGGCGGCGAGGAAGAGGAGGACAGTCGTACCGCGACCCCTTCGTCTATGCCTTCGTCCATGGGTCCCGATGGCCCCAAGCGTGGCCGCAGCCCTGTCAGAGGTATGTTTCCCCCGAGCGCATATTCGGAAATACTACTGGATCTAACTTTTTTTGCTGTATAGCTGAACCCGCCCTTGCCGCCGATGGCACCAAGAGGCGCAAGAAGCGCAACCGTTGGGGCGACCAGCAAGAGAACAAGGCTGCCGGTCTTATGGGATTGCCAACCATGATCACGGCCAACTTCACTAGCGAGCAACTTGAAGCTTACACCCTTCACCTTCGTATCGAGGAGATCAGCCAAAAGCTTCGGATCAACGATGTGGTTCCAGGCGATGGCGATAGGTATGTGCTTTGCTCCACGCATCTTTCTGCATACTGACCCTCTATTCCACAGATCTCCCTCGCCTCCACCCCAGTACGACAACTTCGGTAGACGTGTTAACACCCGTGAATACCGCTACCGCAAGCGACTCGAGGATGAGCGCCACAAGCTGGTCGAAAAGGCCATCAAGACCATCCCTAACTACAACCCGCCCTCTGACTACAGACGCCCGACTAAGACCCAGGAGAAAGTCTACGTTCCCGTGAATGACTATCCAGAGATTAACTTCAGTATGATAACTAACCCTCTAACTCCTAACCATTGTCCCATTGTGTCTGTCATGAGTCCCTGCTCGACTCGAGTTGTCATGTCATACCATTTTGGATGTCCTCAGCTCGTTTCTTGCCAAACCTTGGTGCTTAATGCTGCACATGCTTTAAAAAAATACCGGATCACTAACACTTGACTCTTGCTACTTTTTACAGTTGGCTTACTCATAGGACCTCGTGGAAACACCCTGAAAAAGATGGAGACCGAGTCCGGTGCCAAAATCGCCATCCGAGGCAAAGGTTCCGTCAAGGAAGGAAAGGGCCGTTCTGATGCCGCTCACGGTAGCAACCAGGAGGAAGATCTCCACTGTCTGATCATGGCAGACACCGAGGAAAAGGTGAACAAAGCCAAGAAGCTTGTTCACAATGTCATCGAGACCGTGAGTCTTTCCCCTCGAGAATGCGCGACCCCCAAAGACCCCATACTGATATCATTGACTAGGCTGCTTCCATCCCCGAAGGTCAGAACGAGCTCAAGCGCAACCAACTGCGTGAGTTGGCAGCTCTCAACGGTACCCTCCGTGATGATGAGAACCAGGCTTGTCAGAACTGTAAGTGCTCATGTTTTTCGTCCTTTGTGGAGAACTCTTTCTGATTCTTTTTAGGTGGCCAAATCGGACATCGCAAGTATGACTGCCCTGAGCAGCGCAACTTCACTGCCAACATCATCTGTCGTGTCTGTGGCAACGCTGGCCATATGGCTCGTGATTGTCCCGACCGCCAGAGAGGAAGTGACTGGCGTAACGGCCCCAGTGCCGACAGACAAGGTCCTCGTGGCACTGGTACTGGTGATGCTGTGGATCGTGAGATGCAGGTATGTTTTTTCTCCCTCTTTCATTCGTAAAACTTGATATTGACATTTCATGCAGCAACTCATGAACGAGTTGTCCGGTGGTGCTTCTGGCGAATATGAGCCCCGTCGTATTGAAGCTGGCCCTGGCGCTCCTGGTGGTTACCCCGATGACCGTGATGCGAAGCCCTGGCAACAGCGCGGTCCTCCCCCACCACCAAGTGATGTGGCACCCTGGCAACAGCGTCGCGACCCCCGTCCCCGTGACGACTACGGACGTGGTGATTACGGAGGCCGGGACGACTATGGCTCTCGCCCTCAAGGTGGCCCCGCCCCTTGGGCCATGCAGAACCAGAGCCGCGACTATGGCTACGGTGCTCAGGGTGGATACGCCGCTCCTGGACTTGCTCCCGGTGCTCCCGGTGCTCCTGGCGCTCCTGGCGCTGCTGCTCCTTGGCAACAACCAGCTCCTCCCGGTGGTCCAGCTGCGTATGGAGGTTACGGTGGATACGCCTATCCCCCTGGAATGGGAGCTCCCGGTGCTGCGCCACCTGGCATGGGTGCGCCTCCTCCCCCTCCTGGTATGGCTCCGGCGTACTATGGAGCTGCTGGCAGTCCTCCTCCCCCTCCTCCCCCTGGTGATGCACCACCACCCCCTCCTCCCAGTGACCAACCTCCCCCTCCCCCTCCTCCCCAGTGATACAGTAATCTAGTTTTGTGAATTTTGGACTGCGTGTCAAATTGACTGTTGGCGTCCACACAGCAACCCGAACGATGCAGAAAAGGATGAGGTTGGGAATGTGCTAACAGTCGAAACCACAAAAAAAGCCTGATGTTTCTTTGTTTTACATCTTGAGTAAGACTCAAGTGCCCTTTAATCGAATAAGTTATCCGTATTCATTGGCCATTTGTATGCGTATAGTAGTACTTGGATTTGTGTCAGCGCAGACAATTGCAGCTCTTAGCCCCACATAGGGGGTCTTGGCTTTCTCCAATTCGTCTTCTCCGCAAAATCCAACACCTTGACGCCCTTGGGGCTTTCACACACCACGTAATCCGGCATTGACTCAGAGGCCCGGATGATTGGGGATAATCACCTCAGCTGTATTCAATAGCGCAAAGATATTCATACCAGCCTTGTCAAAGATCGACAATGCATTCCGATCAGCGCAAGCCTTCAGGCCAGTCGCAACGACGGTCATCACTACGTTCAACGCGATCAGGAACGGCTGCGCAAGCTTCAATGCATCAATCCGAGCTCTCAGCTGGACAGCAAAGTGCAGCACAGGTCCGTGATGATTCGCAACATCATGCACCGACGGGCACATCTATAACGTCGGACACATCGAAATGGTGGCATGTACACCTGTTCCGTGGAATGGTCAACGACGTGAAGCGCAGAGCGCCTTACTACTGGAGTGATTGGACCGATGCATGGGACTATCGCGTTGTCCCTGCGACGATTTACATGTACTTCGCTAAGTATGGCCCCTGTTCAATATCCAGACATCCATGGATCTTTGTATCCATGACTCATCGCAGCCGCTGACGATTTTGGATAGTATTCTACCTGCTCTGGCTTTCTCGTTGGATATGTTCGAGAAAACCAGCCAAAGCTATGGAGTCAATGAAGTTCTTCTTGCTTCGGTTCTTGGTGCTATCGTTTTTGCCCTTTTTGCGGCCCAGCCACTTGTTATTGTTGGTGTGACTGGTGAGTACTGGTTTCCCATTTCAGTAAATACAGAACTGATGAATATAGGTCCCATCACTGTATTCAACTATACTGTCTACGATATCATTGCTCCTCGGGGCACGCCTTATCTTGCTTTCATGTGCTGGATTGGAATGTAAGTCTGGGAATGATCTTTATTCATGACCTCACTGACACAGTCTATAGCTGGTCTCTGATCATGCACTGGGTCTTGGCAATTACCAATTCCTGCAACGGACTCACTTATGTCACGCGGTTCTCGTGCGACATTTTTGGCTTCTATGTTGCTTGCATCTACCTCCAAAAGGGTATTCAAGTTCTCACCAGACAATGGGACTCTGTGGGCGAGACATCTGCGTATTTGGCCATCATGGTTGCCCTGCTTGTCTTGATGTGTGCTTGGATATGTGGTGAGTTGGGCAACAGCAATTTCTTTAAGCGGTTCGTTCGCAAGTTCCTAGAGGACTATGGTACACCCTTGACCATCATCTTCTTTACTGGATTTGTCCACATTGGGCACATGAGAGACGTCGACGTTGCTGTACTTCCTACCAGCAAAGCTTTCTTCCCAACTCTTGATCGGTCTTGGCTGGTTCGTTTCTGGGATATCGATGTTGGAGATATCTTCCTTGCTATTCCATTTGCACTTCTTCTCACCATTCTCTTCTACTTCGATCACAATGGTAAGCTGATAAAAGAACGAGGACTGAAACGCTGAGATAGGCTAACACTATTTTCAGTTTCCTCTCTGATAGCTCAAGGAACTGAGTTCCCTCTTCGGAAGCCGGCTGGATTCCATTGGGATATCTGGCTCCTTGGACTGACTACGTTCGTGGCGGGTATCTTGGGAATTCCCTTCCCAAATGGTCTCATCCCCCAAGCTCCATTCCACACGGCTGCACTCTGTGTCACTCGCCAAGTCGCAGATGAAGACGACACGAACAAGGGCAAAGCCATCAGAGTGACAGACCACGTAGTGGAGCAGCGAGTCAGCAACTTCGCACAGGGTCTATTGACCCTAGGCACAATGAGTGGTCCACTTCTCATCGTCCTTCATCTCATTCCGCAGGGCGTCATGGCGGGTCTCTTCTTTGTGATGGGAGTGCAAGCCCTCCAAGGCAACGGCATAACCCAGAAGCTGATGTTCCTCGCCCAAGACAAGAAATTGACACCTGCCTCTGACCCTCTCAAGCGAATTGAGCGCCGGGCTGCAATCTGGGCATTCGTCATTCTTGAATTGGTTGGTTTCGGCGCGACTTTCGCCATCACCCAAACTATTGCGGCTATTGGATTCCCTGTCATTATTCTACTCTTGATCCCTGTGCGATCCTTCCTTCTGCCGAAATGGTTCACCCGAGAGGAACTGGCTGCACTGGATGGGCCGACCGCTAGTCCATTCACCATGGAGAGCGTCGGGGGTACACATGGAATGGATGATCACGAGGCGGTGGCCAGTGGAGCCCAGGAGAACTCACGCGGGGGTGATGGGGTATTGCGAAGTAGAAACTCCACCTCGTCTGAATCTGCAGCTGAGGATCTCGAGCGTGGTGAGTCGTATGAGCTTGCTTCTCGGGCGCAGCACAGAAGAAGTACAACTACCGGAACCGACTAGACGATAGGGCACCGCGATTTTGGATCCAAACTCCATGGACTCGGACATTCTGGGACTATCTAGATCATGTAATGCATTGGTATGATCTATACTCCACAAGCTGGTATGATCAATTGAATATCCATCAAAGTGTTTCCACCTGTAAGGTTGACCTCGTCCTGTACATTCGTCGCACGTGACATATATTGTTCCTTGAAAATGAGGCCACCATAAATTCACCGCTCGTTGGAGATAACTTTTTCTGCCGTGAAATTATTTTGAACTGATAGACAAAGTCGCAAACAAGATGGCGCCCCCGAAAACGAATAAAGCGGAGCCTGAAGACTCGGATGTGTCTGATGTATCCGACATCGAACAGTCCGACGCCGAAGACCGCGCTCCCAAGCGCCGTCGTCTCTCGGAGTCATCCAACGACTCCTACGTCGCACCTACGCCGCTCCCCACTCTCTCACGTATTAAAAAGAAGGGCGAGGTAGTCGACGAACCTGAAGAGGAGGAAGAGGAACCAGTCACAATCGCCGACGCTATTGAGCTTGGACGCACTAGCGATCACTCTACTTTCTCAACACTCGATGTGGCGCCATGGCTTGTCGCTTCATTATCGACACTGTCAATCAAGCGGCCGACTGCTATTCAGAAGGCTTGTATTCCTGAAATTCTGAAGGGAAAGGACTGTATCGGAGGAAGTCGAACCGGTTCCGGAAAGACCATGGCCTTTGCGGTCCCGATCATGCAGCAATGGTCGTTGAACCCTTTTGGCATTTACGCTCTGATTTTGACCCCGACTCGGTATGTCCTGCCCTCTATTTACGAGTGACGGAATACATTTTTGGAATCAGGTTGCTAACCGGGTTGTTTTGCTAGTGAACTTGCTCTCCAAATTTACGAACAATTTAGAGCCGTCTCCGCCCCGCAAAATATGAAGCCCATCCTCGTTGTTGGAGGTATGGATATGCGACAACAAGCTATTGCCCTGGCAAACCGGCCTCATGTCGTCATTGCAACCCCCGGTCGACTCGCTGATCACATCAAGACCTCCGGAGAAGATACCGTTGCCGGCCTCCGTCGTGTCAAGATGGTTGTTCTGGATGAAGCCGATCGTCTTCTGGCCAGTGGCCCAGGCAGCATGCTTCCAGATGTGGAAACATGTCTCGGGGCTTTGCCACCCTCTTCCGAGCGTCAAACCCTTCTGTTTACGGCCACCATGACCGCCGAGGTGCGAGCATTGAAAGACATGCCCGCGGCAGGCGACAAGCCCCCAATCTTCATGACCGAGATTGGCACCGAGAACCAAGGCAAGATCCCGCCAACCCTCAAACAGTCCTACCTGAAGGTCCCCATGACACACCGTGAGGCATTCCTGCACGCGCTGCTCTCCACCGAAGAAAACGTCACCAAACCCGTCATCGTCTTCTGCAACCACACAAAAACATGCGATCTACTCGAGCGCCTTCTCCGCCGTCTGGGCCACCGCATCACCTCTCTCCACAGTATCCTTCCTCAATCCGAGCGCACGGCCAATCTGGCCCGTTTCCGAGCCACCGCGGCCCGCATCCTGGTTGCCACGGACGTCGCCTCGCGTGGTCTCGATATTCCCTCCGTCAGCCTGGTCGTTAACTTCGACGTCCCGCGCAACCCGGACGACTACGTGCACCGTGTTGGTCGTACTGCGCGTGCGGGACGAAGTGGTGAGGCCGTCACGCTGGTTGGACAACGTGATGTCGAGCTCATTCTTGCGATTGAGGAGCGTGTTGGTCGGCAGATGGGAGAGTTCGAGCAAGAAGGTGTCAATATCGAGAGCCGTGTTGTTCGTACCGGTGTGCTCAAGGAGGTTGGCTCTGCTAAGCGCGAGGCCATGGGTGAGATTGAAGAGGGGAGAGATATCCTTGGAAGAAAACGCAACAAGCTCAAGAAGGTCCGGTGAAGGACCACTGTATAGATGTCATTTACAATCAATTGGTTTATTTAGCGAGTATTGTCCTTGCGTCTGTAGTGCATCGCCACGGGTGCACGTGGAGCTCGCATTATGCCGCAGCTTCTCGACAATCAACGGGGACCTTGTAGGAGACTAACCTATATTCCCCCATGTTGCTGGTCACTCATAGTTATGCCACACGTATCCTTGGAAGGACCTTGGGATTGTATAAACATTGGTATGTCTTAGCCCTAAAGTGAGCTTAGGAGCTCGCGTTGTTAGCCACTTACCTTCTGAGGAACTTAGAGATGAATTGTATCATCGAGGGCTCTTTTCTCAGATGTCAAGGTCAAAAGTACTCGGCACTGTGAATAAAATTCACCTTAGTCCCAGTCGATATCAAAATGTATCCACCTGTGGACAAGGGTCTGCGGATACAATGGCGTTGTGATAGACTAGTACACATGCATAATACGAATGTATGGAATACTACTCTGTACTCCGTACACTTACAGTAGACTACGCGACTTTGTCACGCCTGTCCAGCCCCTTTAAGAATAGTTGGGGAGTCGGTCTCTTAAGTGCAGGCCGTGTGGGGTCTAAACACTTACGCGAATTGAGACTGAATTACAGCAATTGGCCTCGAATAGAGGCAATTGATATAAGAAAGAGATCCCAGAATTAATACTTACTCCTTGCTTCATTCAGTCCAGCAGCAAGATCCCGAACAAGTCGTAGGAAGGCCGACAAGTCGATAGACGCGTGCTTCCAGTGTGGAGCCCAAGTCCGTGCTCTATACAAGCTAGTATCACGTACTACACGCGATCGACGCGACCGTTTTCTTACTTGAGGACGCAATTCTTCTTCTCTACTCTGCTCTGTACTCAATTGTGCTATACTCTTGCTTCGGCCCCTGAACTAGACCGGGTTCACTCCAAGGCTCTCTTTTCTTCCTCCCACACACCAACCTGCATCATGAACTCGACTGCAGTGCAATTCAGTCCTGTCAAGGATGGACGTCGAATCCTCGGCGAGAAGGACTCCAACGCGTGTCTGTCTCCAGCCCACACCAAATCCCCATTCCCTGCCATGGGGACACCCATGAAGCGGGCGGCCATGCCCACCTCGCCCCGAAAACTCCTCCCACCTCCGGTATTTGCGGGCCAAAAACGGACCAGGGACCAGGTCGACGAGCCAGAAGCGAATGAGGAGCCCATTCGCTTGCCAGAATTCTCCCCGCAGCCTCCCCAATCTCCAGTCCACGATGTACACAGCCAGGTAGGCTCATGGTGAATCGAAGAATCGCGAATATCAGACAGCTAATTCGACGCGCAATGATAGCAACACAAAACCTCCGACGCGACAGACTCTCATATCCCAACACCACAAAACTCACAGCCCGAACGCGACGAGACACAAGATACGGAAACCGAATCCTTCGGTCCCCGCACACCAGAGCAGACGCGCAGTGTGCCCGAGGACTCTGACGCGCGCAAAATGTTCATTCAAGAAGTATGCAGATCTCATGCAAGACGAAGGCAACGTGCTAACCATGACGCAGAAAGCTACGCTCCTCCGCTCAAGGCTACAAAGCGCAATGCGCAATGTGACCGACCACCAATTCGACCGCCGGGTCTCCGATCTCGAGGCCCATAGCCGCAAATGCCCCCGGCTTTCATTCTCCGCCCTCTCCACACCACCTCTCTCCTCGCGCAAACAATTCACCTCCTTCCCCTCATCCCAATTGAAGACCCCTCGGGTCGGCACCGCAGGCTTCACCTCCACACCCCTCCACAGCACCCCCGATCTCCCAGGCCGACCATCCCCATTGTCTTCCAGCGTGGTCCAACCCCGCACGAAGAAACACACCCGCACACCACCCCGTCATCTTGGATCCCCCATGCAGCTCAGCAGTCCCCCGGCGACGGTGTCCCGGCACGAACCAGAAAGGCCATCGAGCATGGGACCGAGAGCGGAGTTGATGGACGGTTATATCTCGCCGTCGCAGCGCGGGGACGCGGTGGACGGGTTACTCAAGCTCATGAGTACGGCCGGGAACCAGAGCTCAGATGCCTGGACGGGGTGAATTGGAAAGACTTTCTTTTTCTGTGTTGATATTTGTGCTCGGATTGATGCTCGAAGCAGACCCGAGTGGACATGCATTGCGCAATGCAATGTGCTGCATGCTTATGTATAGATCTGGACTTTGGTTTTACATATTGATAGTTGGCAACGGGGTAAAGGCTACCAGTTGACGGAGTTTTCGGGAAAGCAGCTTGATTAGAATAATCACACGCTGCAATGATACCATTTGTCCCTTCTACCTCCATCTGTGCCGAACACAGTATGTTCCTGACTATTGTTGGTATCTCATTACCTCTGTTCTCCCTCTCATAGTTCCCTCGCACTTCGCCTTGTGTGGTTCCGAGCTCCGCCAAGCCCGTATTCAGGTACCCGAAGTGATGAACTACGGAGTATATACTCCGTGCAGAGTACACATGTAATCTGACAGAACGGGCAGGGTACATTACATACCCTCCACTCTCGAGGGGAATGCATGGCGTGTCTGAAGATGATTAGCGTTATGCCAAGAGCTCCAGGAGCCACTCGGACTTCCATTGTCATTGTGAAACAAGACGACCAAGAGCTCGAGTAACGGGTTGTGCAACGAGATAGCCCCGGATCCCTCGACGTCTCTGAGTAACACTGGACTCGTTCTTCTTTCGTTCAAATTCTTCCAATGGACGAGTCAACTTTGCTGATTTGTGGACTGTTGTAGACGATCCCTGAAAGGGTTCACGGCTCAACTCGAGCAACACAGGTGACAGAGTGGTTCGTTGTACGGAATAGTGGCATTTGGATAGGTAGTCTCTTTGCTGTCGATCAGTGTCGATGTTCAGTGTCGATGTTCATGCTCAGTGCAAAGGAGTCGAACTCGAAACGATCCTCTCCGCATGACATCATCGACGATCCATATGAGATGGAATCTGACCCTTCTCTCTCTTTTGATCTCTCTGTTCCACTACTCTTTTCCTCTCAATGAGCCACTGATATCTTCTCCAGAGTCCTACAGAGTCCAGAGTACAGTGTTCCGTTCAATCGGCCCAGCATTGACGGTAACCCCTTCCCCGCATTTTCAGCTTCCCCGAACTTCACATTTCACACTTCACTCCTGACCTCGTCTTCTTACCCTCTCTGCCTTTTGTCGTTTCATTCCTCTGTGCTGAGCTCACGATACTGTTCTCTTTACAGAAGACACCCCTGACAGCCTGTCAGGACCACCCTCGCTACTCAGTATATATCCCTATCATCCGCGAGGCTTAAATACAGCCCTTCATTGCGGAGAGTGACAATGAAACTCTTACCACTGGCCCTGGCCGCTGTTCTGCAGGCAGTGGTCAGTACCGCGTCGACTCTTAATCCACCTGTGGTGCCTCTGGTCGTGCGAAACCCCTACCTAAGCACATGGCTTGCCGATGCCCGCGAGGTGCCATGGGCCAAATGGCCGATCTTCTGGAACGGAGACCATAAGGGCCTGGCTCTGATGGCCCAAGTTCCGAGTCAGAATGCCGTCTATCCCCTTTTGGGCAGGCCGCATGACTCGCTGCAGAAGCATGGCAAGTACGTACTCCAGCCTGTTGATTCGTACGCTGTCTAGAGAAATCATGACTGACAGTCTTTAGCTATCATGTTAAGTACCCAACGTACCTGGGTCTGACATACGATGCCTCGACCACCAACCTGACCTATCAGATTGATGCTGGTTCCGCGGCCCCTCTTGGTATTACTGTATCATTTCTCTCTCCAATAACCCCCACGTCGACCCTGAGACAGTCAATTCCTGCAGCGTATGTGACTATCGATGTTCAAGGCGATGTTGACGTGAATATCTACATGGATGTGACAGGTCAATGGGTTAGTGGAAATAATAGAAACAACATTAACTGGGAGTGGGATACCATCAAGACCGAAAGCCAGCAGCCACACCTGCAAAGGTGGAAAGTACAGAGAGAAACAGAACAGTTGTTGTCAGAAGACAACGATCATTCGGAATGGGGCACCCTCCATTTCTCCGGACCTACCGTTAGTTTCGTTCCCCTAGAATGACAACGCAATTTTGTTGCTGATCACGAAAGCAGGACGCGAGATTCCAGTCTGGCTCGGATACCGATGTGCGTCGTCAATTTGCCAACAACGGTGCGGTTGCCAATTCCAACGACAACAAGTTCCGCGCAATTCACGACCGGTGGCCAGTCTTTGCATTCTCTCAATCTTTCAATCTTGGGCACTCAAACAAGAGTACTTCCGACAGTGTAACCTTCACACTCGCTCTCATCCAAAATCCTGTCATCCAATTTGCTTCCTCTCGGGGTCTCACTTTGATGCGACCCTTGTGGGAGTCGTGGTATCCGACTGCCGAGGAACTTCTGAGCTTCCACTACCAGGATTTCGAGAATGCAAACTCGCTTGCTGCCAACTACTCCCAGCAGCTGTCAAATGATGCGTACCTTTCAGGTGCCGACGACTATGTTGACATAGTTTCCCTTTCGGCTCGCCAGGTTATGGGATCGACTGTCTTTGCTGGAACTCCCGATGATCCTATTCTGTTCCTCAAGGAAATCTCCTCTGATGGAAATCTCCAGACGATCGATGTCATCTATCCTGCATTCCCATTCTTCTTATATACCAACCCTCGCTGGTTGTCATACCTCTTGGAGCCCCTGATTGAGCACATGCTCAGCGGGCAATATCCCAACACCTATGCTATGCATGATTTGGGCACGCACTTCCCTAATGCTACCGGCCATCCAGACGGAAACGACGAGAAAATGCCGGTAGAAGAATGCGGAAACATTCTCATTATGGGACTGGCTGTCGTGAACTCCCTCCGATACGAAATCTCTACAGAGGCCTCTTCCATCTGGTCGAACTTCGGTTCATCCCCGCCAGATGTTCACAGCGAGACACACGAGGCCCATAAATTGTTCCATCTCAATGACCAGCAAACCGTCAATGGAATTGCTCTACAAGACAGTAGATGGGGCGGCGGCGATAACGGCGAGCGCCTGGCCGAGCAATGGATCCAGCGTAGCTACACGCTGTGGAAGCAATGGACAGGCTATCTAGTGAAATATGGTTTGAAGCCTGAAAACCAACGTGAGAAGAACTTTTTCTTTGTTCCAGATTCCAAGCTGACCCGATATAGTCTCTACTGATGACTTTGCTGGCCCCCTGGCTCTTCAGTCAAACCTGGCCCTCAAAGGAATTATCGGCATCAATGCCATGAGCAAGATTGCCGCACTCGCAGGGAACGTTACCGACGCACATTACTACAAGGTATGAGACATGATGTATAGTTCGTGTTCTGGCAAGTCTGACGCATCAACCAGCAAACGGCTAGTGACTACATCGCAAAGTGGGAGAAGTATGCGATGTCGTGGGATGATACCCATATCAAGCTATCGTACGACTGGTCTGGCTCGTGGACAACGCTCTATAACCTCTATGCAGACGCCCAGCTTTGCTTCCACCTTGAGAACACTGATACAGAGGAACCCGGCTTCGTCCCTCGCCACATCTACCAGAAGCAATCAGTCTGGTATGACCATGTGCGTCAGAAGTTTGGTCTTCCTCTGGACAGTCGCCATTTGTACACCAAGACAGACTGGGAGTTCTTCTCGATGGCAGTGGTCTCCAAGCCCGTGAGAGCAGAGATCCTTGAATCCGTCGCTCTCTGGGTCAACGAGACCGCGAGCGATGGTCCCTTCACGGACCTGCACAACACAGAGGGCAATGGAGGCTATGCCGAGAACACCAGATTCCGTGCTCGACCAGTCATTGGTGGCCACTTTGCCTTCCTGGCTTTGGAACGAGCTTGTGGTGGCCGAGCGGTTCCGGGTTTGAAGTTCCTTGATGAGGTAGATGAAGATACCTTGACGACTTGGACACAAAATGCCATGTCTGCGGCACAGGAGTTTACGGATCCTGTTGGACATCGCCAGCGCGAGGGAGAGCTTTAGGTTACTCACGTCTAGTTGGGATGGGGCAGAGTGCCTTCTGTGGATCCGGTAGTCACTCCCCTTCACCTATGTTCATAGCCTGGGCTAGGCTTTGACAAGTTTGGCCATCTTATCTTTACTAGATCGAGCTCTAGTCAATCCTTTGGAATACCTGAACCGAGGCTATCGGCCTATTGAAACCCCTAAGCTGTGTACGCCGTAAAAGAGCCCGGGCAAACTTGCCGCTGAAATCAATAATTTTACAAGTAGAACAAAAGACGTGTCCCGTAATTCAATTGAAGATTTCTTTGCGTTCCTATTTTTTTGTTTGACTTCTGAAACGAATCAAATTACATGGGCCGTCGAATTCAGTCATCCAATTCGCGTTTGCTCACCGAAGGCAAATGTAAACACACACACATAAATCCCACCCGATATACGTTAATTTCTCTCTTCGAGGGTGGAAACAAACAATATAATCGAATGGTCGTTGCTTCCACCAGAGTACGGAATTACTCTCGTCCCACTCCCCTCAAAAATCTCCAACAGAGGACAAAATCAAACCCATCGCAGATGAAGCGCAATCGATCAGATAGAGATAGGAACAGAGGAAACGAGACGAAAGATCAAATCCGGTCTGGGAGCAGGATTTCCACTGGAAATCAGGCAATTTAGTTGCCGCCGAGGCTGGGGAAGTTCTTCTCGTCGACAGTGGGGCCGGCAGGGCCACGGGCGTTGCCACGGGGAGCACCACCACGGGCAGCGGGGGCACCACCACGAGGAGCGCGGTCACCACGGGGGGCACGGTCGCCACGGGGAGCACGGTCACCGCCACGAGCGGGACGGTCACCACGGGGGGCGCGGCCACCGCGGGGAGCGGGGCCGGAGCGGGGAGGCTCAACGTAGCGCAGGTCAACGTCAAGGAAGTTCTTCTCCTTGCGCTGCTTCTCGCGCTTGGCCTTCTCGCCGGAGGACTGGATGTAAGAGACCTCTTCGGTCTTGGCGAGCTCCTTGGCGGCAGCCCACTTCTTGTCGAGCTTGCTGCCCTCGTTGGCGGTGCGCTCGGGCTTGGCGGCCAGAGTCTCCTTCTGGGCCTTCTCGGCAAGGTAGTCGGCGAAAGACTTGGAGTTATCGGGCTCCTCGACCTCCTCGGCGGGGGTTTGGGGCTCGGCCTCCTCGGTCTTGGCGATCTTCTCGCCCTGGCGCTCGTCGTCCCAGTTCTTCTCGCCGCTCTCGGCACCCCAGCCCTGCTGGACCTGCTTGCGGGTGTCGCTGTTTCCGGGAAAAAAAGGTTAGCTTCGTGCTTTTTTCTGAAGCTTTCCCAAAAAAGATATCCATGTACAGAAATCACTATTTCTTTCTCATGGTTTTTGTATCCGGATTTCTTTTCCGTATGAGGGGTCGCTTACGTCTGACCAGTGCGGGACTGGCGGTCGCCACGGGGGCCACGGCCACCACGGCGGGCGGGCTGAGCACCGTCCTCGGTGGGCTTCTCGCGGTTGTTGTTGCGGCCGGCGTTGCGGTCACGGTAGGCTATGCTGGGGATTAGTCCGGATTCTCAATTCTCAGACAAGGTCGTCATAGAACGTACCGGCCTCGTTGCCGTTGTTCACACGGGCACCACCGCGGCGAGCATTGGACTCAGTGTGACGAGCGGGCTGCTCCTTGGGGGTATCACGCTTTCCGGAGCGATCGGTGGGGCGGTCGACAGCCTTCGCGGGGGGAGGGGCGGGGCGGCTGGGGTCGAGCTCTGGGTCGTTGCCTGATTAAAAAAAAAAAAAGCATTAGTGACCTGGGCGTTGGCATAGTCGAATGTATAGTTCGGTTGATTTTTGGTGATTGAGGAAAGATGATGGTCGGAAAAGCTAGCCGAATAGCCAAGGGAGGGGAAATTTACCCAGAAGCTCGTAGAGGTTCTAATTGCAAACAAATCAAATTAGTTACTTGTTCCAATAAATTATAATCGCCTTTCCGATTCCCGTGATCGCATTGACATCGCGGTTTCAACTGGGGTCGTGTCGCCAGCTCTGCGGAGAGCTCCATTTCGTACCTTTGACCGGACGTCCGTCATGACGCCTGTGGTGATCTGGAGGCCTTCCGGGGGGGAGGCGCTCAACTTTAGACAATCGGTCTAGAGTGTTTAATGGGGGCACGAGGCAGAACCCAAGAGATCCGGCCTGTCAGAATTGATGATGATGATAGAGCAATGTGAAAGAGGTCCACGGTTTGTGGTTGCAGGGTGCAATGTGACTAATCGGGAATGGCGGCTTCTGCTCCTAAGCGAATCTGTCTGCCCACGCTGATTGGCTGCCCGCATACTAGGGCTTAGGGTACCTTACATAATGACTCCGTCATGGACATCGAGCTACTACTATTGAGCTCAACGACATTCCCAGTACGCTGTAGTACTGGCGATGTGAGGTCGTTCTCTGTGTGCTGCTTCGGTAGCTGTCAGCTTCACGCTACGCGGCTACTCATCCTTGCATAAGCTATGTAATCAAGATCCATGGCACTGGGGGCCATGGTTAAAAAATAGATGCATAAGCTTGAATTCAACGACACCGGGTTTTTGCATACTGACTGACTCCACTGATCATCCTTCGAGCTTGTCTCCATTCATGTCTTTGATTATCATGCTCCAGTGTCAGGGCATGAAAGAGATAGGGGTCAGCTATAAGACTTCACTTAAGCTCATAAGTATACATGGGTTGACATTAGAGACGAACATGACTTATGTTCTGGTCCATACACATTCAACAATGCTTCCCTGCTATGAAAGGTTCTTGCTCGGACGTGGAATTTCAGCATCCTTCTATCTACCAAGTACAGCTACAGCACAGCTCCGGCATGACGTATTGGGGTAGCTGTGCAATATTCGCCTCCCTTGACAGCGGGAGACGCCGGTGGCAAGATCGGTTTTCATTTTCAGGGTATTTACCTCTGCCGCTTCCTTTCCATTGCGCCTAAAGAGTCCACCGGGTGTCTTTTCGTGTTCTTCTGGGTATTTGATTGGTCCAAATCTTGGACGTGCTGAGAAATGAGTGTCTATTGCGGGGGATTTTGCATCCATTTGCCACTGGCCGTGACATGACAAAATAGAGATGGTGAGAGCTGGACATGATCCGACCGGCTGCACACAGGAAAACTCGATACCAAGGATATTCGCATGGTTTGCTCCCTCTCTCCAGTAGAAGGTGGCTCATTCCCCCAGGTGCCCTCTTTTCTTCTCCCAGCCAAGTTGCTGTCAAAGATCGTGCTCTTTCCAGTATTGCAACCAAAAGACACAAGTAGCAAACGAGTGTCCGCATCCTTCGAAATAGCAGATAGGGAGTATGTTCGGAATGCCATTCTTCAATCAACCTCGTCCAGGTCACAACGCAGCGGGAGAGGACAGGAAGTACCGACGAGGGATCTGAAAAGAGGGTGATTCCCGGGGAACATTTGTGCAGGACTTCTTGATTCCTTTTCCAGAATTGCAGCAAGGCGCTCTTTAATGAGGAGAGTATCAGGATGCTCTGGTCCGAAAAATTTCTCTCTACCCTCTAGTGCACGGCGTTGCAAAGCTTCGGCCTCTTTGTACCTGGCCTGCTGCTCCAGAACCAAGCCAAGATGGCTGGCCGTAGAAAGAGTGTAGGGGTGCTCCGCTCCTAGAGCTTTCTCATAGCCTTCCAATGCACCGCCGAGCATTGTTTCGGCCTCTTCATACTTACCCCGATGTTTCAAAACTGAGCCAAGGTAGGCGAGACTGGCAAGGGTAGAAGGATGCTCTGGCCCTAAGGTCTTTTGGTAGCCTTCTAGTGCTCGGCGGTGCATTGCTTCAGCCTCTTTGTGCTTTCCCAGGTCTTCAAGCACCGAGCCAACATACATGACACTGTCAAGAGTCTCAGGATGCTCTGGGCCGCGATTTTTTTCCTTGCATTCCAATGCCTGGCGGTGCATTTTTTCAGCTTCTTCGTATTTGCCCTGTTTTTGGAGCACTGAGCCCAGACTGGCAATACAATTAACAACAGCGGGATGCTCTGGTCCTAGGGCTTTCTCAAGCCCTTCAAGTGCTTGTCGGCTCAGGGTTTCAGCCTCTCTGTGATTGCCCTGTTCTTCAAGCACAGATCCAAGATTGAGTATACCAGTAAGAGTTTCGGGATGCTCTAGGCCTAGAGCTTGCTCTCTACCTTCTAGTGCTCGGCGATACATAGCCTCCGCCTCTTGGTACATACACTGATGTTGAAGCACTGAACCAAGAAGGCTAACACTGTTGAGAGTCTCGGGATGCCCTAGACCTAGAAGCCTCTCTCTTCCTTCTAGAGCTCGCCGATACATAGCCTCCGCCTCTTCATACTTGACTTGTTCTTCGAGCACAAGGCCAAGGTGATTAACGCATCGAAGAGTACTAGGATGCTCTGCTCCTAGACCATTCTCATTGCTTTGTAGCGCTCTGCGGAGCATATTTTCGGCCTCTTCATATTGTCCCTGCTCCCCAAGTACCGTACCAAGATTGTAGACACTCTCAATAGTGTTGGGGTGCTCTGGCCCTAGAAATCTTTCTTTGCTCTCCAAAGCTTGGCGATGTATAGTCTCAGCCTTTGTATACTTGCCCTGTTGTTGAATTGTTAAAGCGAGAATGCTTAGACTAGTCAAAGTTTTGGGATGTTCCAGTCCCCAAGCTTTCTCATTACCCAGCAGGTCTCGGCGTTGCATAGCCTCAGCTTCTTTGAACTTGCCCTGTCGTAATAGCACGCTAGCAAGATCCCCAACGCTGGTGATGGTTTCGGGATGGTCTGGTCCTAAATCCCTATCGCTGGCCTCTAGGCAACCAATGAACAGCATTTGAGCTTCATTGTATCTTCCATCGCTCTCTAGAGATCTCCCCACCCTTGAAGACAATCCAAGATATTCCGAGTGGATACCATGGAAGTCTTCACTCTCTATTAGATAGAGTGCGTGGGGTAGGTAGATTCTCCACAATGCTTGATTGGTATATTCATCACCAGGATAAATTTCATCCAACCGTTGACTTGTCTTGCGTAACCAGTATTCAAAGACCTCATTTCTTCTCATCCAATTTCGCATGGCGAGATGTACAAGTCGATGAAGACTAAACGAGCTTCCGCCAGAGTGTTCACCGATGAAAGAGTACGCACCCAAAAGACCCAATGCATCGGTCTTCCTTTTCGCCGATGCTGGAGGTGGAAGGATTGATTGCGGGATATCTCGTGGGCTGATGCAGGCTATAAATGACAAATATTCTGATGCCAATGGGTTTGATTCCTGGATCTGCTTGAAGGAGATCATCCAAGTAGTAAGCACTGGGTTTTGTGTCTCGACGTATCGTCCGTCGTCATGAAATTCTTCACTTAACAGCTCGGCTGCGTCGGTCTCTCGGTCTTTCATCAGTGACAGATAATCAGAAAGCAAGATCCCATTTTCATTTATGTAGGCAGTGGCTTGGGTAATTGCAAGTGGAAGATATCCAAGCTGCTCAAGAAGAGCGGTCGCTGCTTGATTGTCACACAGCAGACCCTGTTTGATGAGCGACTTTTCGAGGATCTTCATAGCAGTGACATGGTCGATATCAGGAACAGATAGAACGTTAGGCGATGCGACTCTGACGGCCAGCTTTCTATTCCGAGAGGTAAAAAGAATATGGCCATTCTCGCTGTAAGGAAGAATATCCTGAAGCGGTGGAGCAGTCGCGCTTCCTTTGGTCCACATTTCCATATCGTCGGCGTTGTCAAATACCAGAAGCCACTTTCCGGCGTTTTCTTGGCTGAGTCGAGATTTGACTTGTTCCTTCATCCTTGCTGGCTCCGTGCCCGAAATGCCCATGGCCGAGGCAATTTTCATATAGGCTTGTTCCAAACTCTCGTAACTGACGCATGGAATCCAGAAGATGGAACACTCAGGAACCTTTTCTCGTACAAGGTAGGCTATTTCCAGGGCGATTTGGGTTTTCCCGATTCCCCCTAGCCCATAAACAGAAACTTTAGTCGGGCTGGCGGCGGAAACAATCAACTTTTCAATATAGTTGATCTCCTGCTGACGGCCAACGAATCGGGAATTTCGAGCAAATGGTACTATCCAATGGCTTGTCTTGCTTGTGTTCTTGCTTTGACTCTGAGCGTGTGAAGGGACCCTTCCAAGAAGAGCTTTGGTGTAAGCAGCGGCAGTGAGAGCGGCATATCCTTGCCACTGTTTGTGCTTATGGGAGTCGCAATAGTCGCATATTCCTCGAACGACTAAACATGGCAACTGGTCCATCAGTCCGGCGGCTTCCATCTCAAAACAGAGGATATTCATTTCTTGGGCAATAGCATCTCGCGCAGTAGCATTTTTCATGACTTGGTTCCCAGACGCAATGAGACCGTAATGAATGACAGGATCTTCGGCTTCTCGTATCTTGCGCGTAACCAGGTGGCTTGCTTCGCACTTCATGCAGTCGGCATTGTTGCCTTCATGATCATAGCTCGCCTCGAAAAGCCAGTCTTGCTCAGGGCGCGAAAATTGTTCTTGAAGCTTCTGGTGCTTCTCAAGTACCTCTGATGTGATTTCTCCAATCGATGTAGTTCCATCGGTATGATCACTGCGCATTTGAGATATTGCGGTTAGTAAATATTGTGGCGGCTTGTTGAGTGATCCAGTGCGTTCGAAGCGTCCATTGCGAAGTGTCTTTCCATAGTCATACTGGACCACAGCCCCGAAGGTCGCAGTTGGCATGCTGATGACCACGTCACCCAGGCGAATGTCAGCATCTTTGCTCGGTACACCACCCCCAATGCCCACCATCAACCCAAATCGAAGAGATGGGAACGTTTGAAGCATTTGAGCGAGGACGATTGCCGCAGAGGTGGTTCCGTAAACGCCTGACGGGAGGCAGGCTACCACTATATTGTGGCCACCAACGCTACCAAGTGTGTAGGTGTTGTGGTCAGATGTGGGCTGAGACAGTCGATCGTGGAGCGTGTCTAACATCGTCTTAGCCGCTGTCATCTCCAGTGGCAAAGCGCATATCCACGCAACTTCATAGTCGTTATGTGAAAACATTGTTCTTTCTGTCATCAACAGTCAGAGAATGAAAAGGTGATTGTAGAGACAGGCTGAATCCGTGGGAGTTTGAGAATGAGGGGTCCGCTTCAGCTCCTCAACCTAGCTTTATAAATAGAAAATGCCAGCGGTTAGCATATGCACATGTTTAAAGCACAACGACGATAGAAAAACTGTTTGGAAAGATTGAGATACTGTGTATTTCACAAGATTGATGGATAATAAGAATGCAATGATGGTATTTTTTTTCGTGGCCATGTATAATTACACGTTCTCTATCGAGGGCAAAAATGTATATACAAACCTGAACATCACACGGTAACTCCAACGCTAATAACATGAACGCTAAAATGACAATTAAGGAGAGGTCGTGATGGTGATAGGAGGAACCACCATGGAAGGAGGCGTGCTAGGACGCTGAGGCTGAGCCTTGTGATCATTGAGCTCAAGTTGTTCCTTTGAGTTCTCAGGATCCGCAGACTGCGTCGGCTGAGAATCCGACTCATCATCCACAGACTTTTCCTTACCCATGACCCGGCGAGTGAAGCGCTTTACAGGGCGGAAGAAGGCCTTGATGCCATGACCGATGACCTTGCAGCCACGGGCCAATGGTCGCATAACCATCGAGATAGCACCGACAACGGCATTGAAGACAATACCGAAGTGGTAGTCGGGGATAATGCGAAGGACAACAGCCCACGGGAGACAGACAATTGCGCAGATGATGCAGACACCCCAGAGAATGCCGCTCAAGCGAGTCACGCCGAATGCCTGGCCGCCCACGTAGACGATCATGACTTGGCCGCCGACCATGATGGCGTTGATGCCGAGGAACCAGTAGTTGCGGAACATGCCTTCGAAGATATTGAATTTGTTGTCGAGGCGGCGGTTGTTGAATTCGTTGAAGATTTGCATCCACACGAAGGTGTTGAAGACAACGGTTGAGAGCTCTTTCTCGCGCAGTTTGGGTTCAGCGCTGAGATGGGCACCGAGAAGTTTGTCTCCTGCGAAGTATAACATGAATGTGATGGCGAGTTGGTAGATGGCTTGGCCGAGAATCATTTTCCACATGGTCAAGGTGAAGAGGGAGGCGTGCTTGGGAACAGGTTTGCGGTCGAGGATCTTCTCGGTAGGCGCGTCAGTTGCCCTGTGTTCAATATTAGTAAATGTTTCAAGGAGGTGGCAGGAAGATGGTTCAACTCACAAGGCTAAAGCAGCAAAAGTATCCATGATCAGGTTCACCCAAAGCAGCTGGACAGCACTCAAAACACTCTGGTTATCACTACTCACGACAGATGACACAAAAGTGAGCACCACCGCAGTAATGTTGACCGTGATCTGGAACTGCAAGAACTTTGCAACAGCATCGTTGACAGCCCGCCCCCAGGCAATAGCAGTAACGATAGATCGGAAGTTATCATCGAGAAGAATGATCGAACTAGCCTCCTTAGCGACTTCAGTTCCAGCAATTCCCATGGAAAAGCCAACGTCTGCAGTTCGCAAAGCCGGCCCATCATTGGTACCATCGCCCGTCACGGCGACAGTCTCGCCAAGAGCCTTGAGTCGAGCGACCAAGATGCGCTTGTCTTCAGGAGACGACCGTGCCAGGACCTGCAGACGCGGAAGTACTTCGTCCATCTCCGCGTCAGACAAGCGCCGGAAAGCCGGTCCTTCCATGACAATTCCGTCTTCTGTCTTGATTCCACAGGACGTGGCAATGGCTGTTGCGGTGGCAACGTTGTCGCCAGTAACCATCTTAACTTGAACACCTGCCGAGTGACACTTGCGGATGGCTTGTGGGACCTCGGGACGAAGAGGGTCTTGGATACCAACGACTCCGACCCAAGTCATACTGTGGAAGACATCGTCGAAGTTGGCCGAGGATGGGTCCTCTGAGCTCTTAGCTTCTGTGGGAGGCCAGCTAGTGAAGTCCTTGTAGACCATGCCGATTGTTCGAAGGGATTGATGAGCATAGGCGTTGATAGTCTCCAAGATTTGCAGCTTCTGTTTCTCAGAGAGCTGCTCGATATCAATGGCCTCCTTGGAGATATCGATATTCGTGATTTGAGACGTGCAAACATCAACCATCAACTCAGATGCTCCCTTAACAAGCAATCGGTAGCCTGTACCAGGAACTCGGTAAACAACACCCATACACTTCCTGGCAGAGTCGAATGGAATCAACTGGACAATTTCGGCAGATCCACGCTCAGCCACAAGATCCATGCCCATGTAATCCCGAGCAAGCTGAAGTAGCGCAACCTCAGTCTTGCTACCAATGAACTGATTATTGCCATCTTTAACCTGCTCAAAAGCAGTCGAGTTCAAGGCAACACCTTTGACGATCAAATCGCGAACTGGAGCCGAGAGCTGCTTGGAGACTGCTGCAATCGTCGAAGATTCAGTCTCCTCATTCTCGGAAGCTTGGCTGAAGGCGCGATCAGAACCCCAAGTCCCGGCAACGACAGTCATTTTATTCTGTGTGAGCGTGCCAGTCTTGTCAGAGCAGATAACTGTGGCATTTCCCATGGTCTCGCAAGCGCGAAGTACGCGGACAAGGTTGTTTTCTTTGACCATGCGTGTAGTGGCGAATGCCAATGCAAGTGTAACGGCCAGTGGAAGACCCTCTAGTAAATTAAGAATGTTAGTACGGCATTTATGCTTTGCTAGGTATAAACTCACCTGGAATGGCGACAACAATAACTGTCACAGCAACGATGAGAATATCTACAAACTCCTTGCCTTTCATGGCACCGTTCATCTCAGGATGCTTGGGAAGATCTGCGATGAATCGGAATAGCAAGACGAAGAACAAAATTCCAGCAGCCCTAGATGTTATTAGCCACTACCTCAAAGCCGAATCGAGACCTATAAACTCACGCTGTACCCAAGTATCCAATCCAGTCGGCCAGCTTACCCAATTTAACCTGAAGTGGCGTGGGGTCATTGGGTGTCTGCAACGAAAGCAAGATACGACCGTAAGTAGAATAAGGCCCAACACTGGTAACCAAGTAGGTTCCAACGCCCTCAAGGACGTTGCTACCGGAGATCAAGAATGGATCGAGCTTCTTTGTTGCCTTTCCGGCAACGATCTGCTGCCAAACCTCATGGCCAGGAGTCTTCTTCATTTGATCTGACTCACCAGTCGCAGAAGACTCGTCGCACTTCACACCGTGACCGGTGATGAGAACTCCATCTGCGGGGATGGAATCACCGGCCTCGAGGTGAAGGACGTCACCGACCATGAGGTCGTAGATCGAAAGCATGGTAGATTTGCCCGAGCGAATAACCTTGACCTCACGATCATCATTCTGTTTAGATGTTAGACCTGATCTTTCATATAATTAATTCAAAGTAACTCACTCGCTTGTTGAGCTTGGCAAATTGCCTCTCCTTTTGCCAATCATTTGCAGCCGTGACAACGGTGACGATGAGAATCGCCACGCAAATAGCCACGCCTTCCACCCAGTCGACGCCCGAGCCAGCATCGACAGTCTCATAAATTCCGAGAGACAGTGAGACGACCGCGGCAATAGTCAGTAATATAATAATCTTGTCGTTATATGCAATCCAAAACAACTTCAAAAACCCAGACGACTTCCGAGCAGGTAGTCTATTCTGACTGAAAACGCGAATGCGATCTTCATAAGGCGACCCATCACCCGAAGCCACCGGTGCCAGCACCGGGGCCTCAGTCTGCGGCAAAGTCTTACCCGCAGAAGTACTTGGAGACGAAGGAGCAACAGTGTGGAAATCCACAGTGCCCTCAAGCGAGGCTTCATCAACCGATAATCCAGCGTCCAGATCTGTACGCAGACCACGCTCCAAACCCTGCAAGCCACCCAGAGCATAGAATGCAGCCAGGGACTTTGGGTTCTGCATCTTATTAAGCTGACCAGGCGAGAAGGCGAAGCGATTATCCTCGACCTGGAAATCGGTCTCGTTGCGTGGATCTGGTCTCAGAGCATCTGACAATGAGACATCGTCATAACCTGCTTTGGCAATATGAGCCGGATCTACATCCGAGTTTGCTCGTGGATGCACCATAGTATCTGCAGAAGAGGAAGCAAATGAGTCCGCCCGCGGACGCAGTGTATCGCCATCGATTGACTGTGATGGGTTGTGCGAGGCAGGGCGAACCATTAGCAGAGCTGGATCTGGGTTCCATGCCATATCTGGTGAGGTGGGAGAAATTGGACTTTGATTCAAGTCTGTTGGACCAGACCAGGAAGAAGAAGCTGTGGATGTTGATCGCTGGAAGGGGGTGTTCATCAGCGCAACGGTTCAGATATAAAGGGCATAGGATGGTTTTGGGAGACCAACCTCTCTGCCCGAAAAATCGGTGATGATATCAGGTCTTAATAACGAGCCTCGACGAGGCGAGGTATTGTTTGGTGAAGACATGGGGGGAACGGAGCCGCGCTCAGTAAATTGCAATTTCAAAGATGGGAGCAGGCCATGCAGAATTTGATACAATGCTTTTTTCGACTTAGAAGTGTATCGTGTGCCGCGGGACCAGGAGATCTTTGTTAAATTCCCCTCCTATAGGATCGGGGCTGTGCAAAGTCGAATGCCCAGGCGCCGAGGATTGAATACTAAGTTTCCACGGCAATTTGCAGCGAAAGCTCTTTGCGGGTTATAAGGTGCCAAGTAAGAGGGAATAAATGTGTCCAGCCTTTTTGAGGAGACCGTAGCGAGGACAAGAAAGTCAGATATTATAATTTGCCTTGCTCGAACAGGTTCTAGGATGTGAACGTGCCACTCTGGTTTCGGGAAGCGACACAGCCCCCTTCAGCGGCAACAGTGGAACGTAAAGTACAGCGTACAAGAAGAGAGGGCGAAGCTCTAGGTGTACCAGGCTTCCATCCTCCATGTGAGCTGAGTGTAAGCGCCGGGTTGAACATTCGAAACCTAGCCTCCATCATTGCAAAGCTACGGGGTACCGGAGTAGATGACGGGGATCGGCGCCGGTATGATATGGATAGCGTTACGCTATGCCCAGCCAATGTGAATGTCAAACGGACCTTTTGGGTTTAATTCGGTGGAGCTGGGCTTGACTGCGCCTCGATGTGATCGATGGATAACCCAATAAGCTCGCATACGCTTCAATTGTTTTTCTCTTGTCGTCCAGAATGGTGACAGGTTGAGATTGGGAATTCATCCAGTCCCCGGCAAGGAGGCGATGGTTTCCTTGAAAATCCCTGCGTCATGAGCCGTGATTCGCCCATTCCCGACGAAAAGTTGGATGGGGAAATGATCATCTTGGCGACCTACATGTCATTCAACACTGCGAACACGAAATCATCTGATTTGTGAAAGCCAAGACCGTCTTGCACGGAGAGTTCAACACTTTTCCCCGGCGATCGTCTGTGGCGCATCTGTGGCGGTGCTTGACCATGTGGCACCGCCACAGCACAGAACCGTGGACGCCAGGGGTCTCTGGGGCCCTAATTTTGCCTCATATTAGGCCAGGTTACTTGCGGAGGTATGGAGAGCGAGTGGCTGTGGCAGGCAAAGTCTGGTTCCAGCATATATGAGCGACTAGGCAGAACTCCGTAGCATATGGGTTCAAGCTGGGTATGGAGACGCGTCATTAAACGTTGACGGAAAATCACGATGGCAGTGCCTATATATTGAAAATAATCACTTGGCTAGTTACCTAGCCCCGGTCATTATGTAGGTCCCACGCAGAAGAATGGCCCCCTTGCAGCAATTGGGGTGCATGTGGAGATCTGCTAGTGGACGGGCTTCACTTACCACCCAATAGCTGACTTGGGGCTGACAATCTTAGGCTACAGAGCACGGAACTCGCAGAGCCTCGACATAAGCTTGCTCAGCTATACGAGTAGATCGCCAGATGGCCAGCCCAACAGTTCCATGTTCGATGCGCCCATGAGGCGAGAGAGTGAAAGTCAGGTACAGCACTTTCAGGTACACCTGGGCACCTACTTCTGTGTTTTGTATTTCCGTATCGCAGGAGGCACAGTCATGGCGCGTCGTCACTCAACTATGGAATAGTTGCCAGAGACTGCCAGAAAGCTAAGGCTAGACACATTTATTGGTCTGTGCTGGGGGCAAGTCCCCAAAGGTGAATTCAAACAGCAGCATATGTCGATGTAAAGTGAAAGTCGTTCTTGACACACAAGCTTAAGCCGTACGCAGTACCGACTTCGGGAGTCTAGGAGATTTAAAGTCCGGGCAAGCCTTCGACAGACTGCCAGTCCACTCCATCTATGATCCCACCGAGGATCGTAGTCAACTAGTCAACATTTCCACCCGTGGAATCCAGGGCTGCCTCCGATGTTGACAAAGCTGGAAGGTTCAAATTTTGGCCCTGAAACATTGAGAGCAATATCCATTATATTACATTGATATTTTGATAAGTATAAGGGGTAAGTGACAGAGAGGAAAACATTATGTAAATCAAGATTGACAGGGAAGTGAGGGAGGTTAGAGAAGAGGGTATCAAGGGTGGAGGGCGACAAAGGACAATCAAAGACAGGAAAGCGCTTGGGAAGCGACGAGAAAGAAGAAGGGGGGGAAAAGAAACAAACAGTAGAAACAAACAGTATTGACAAACACAAGACACCCCGGAGCAAATGAAAGCAAGCCTTGAAACGGAGAAGGCATGCTCGCGCCCATCACTTCGTTTGATCATTTCGCATGGTCCACATCGCAGCATTGAATCACATATCAATGCCCTCGGTGAAGCGACTGCTTCGACTGCCGTCGTGGCTGTGCAAACTGCGACCGAGTCCGTCGGGCCGCGGAGGTATGAAGGGGATTGCGCTCTGCGGCTCTGCGATAGGATGCGCAGGCGTGATGGTGATGGGATAGGCAACATTAACAGAGTTCGAGACGGGAATATGTGCGGGCCCAGGTCTGGAGGGCGGAGCATGCTCCTGGATTTCCCGCGTATAGCTCGAGTCGAGAGGCATGCCGTTTCGGGATGATGGGGGCGGAGCAGGTGAGACAGGGGAACCCACCGGCCTGGGCGCTGGCGATGTAGGAGGGAAGCCTGGGACGGTGGGGGAATCGTCGATACCCCCGCCGAATCCGTCACCGCCGTGGGTGAGAACTGGAGGAAGTTTCCTGCCCGAAATCTTTTGGAAGCCTCGTTCGCTAGATGTGGAGTCGACCGTACTGTCGGTACGCATGGTCGCTGTGGATTGGCGCCAACGCTTCATGAATGCAGGAGCGAAATATGAGGCCGTGAAGCGGTTTTCGTTAGCGGGGCGCTCGGTGACCTCTCTACTAGTTGTTCCTGATGCCGCTAAGGCGCCAATCCCGGCAATCCCAGCGCCGGCAGCTGCGTCGTCCGAGATGGCGGTGTGTCCTTTTGCGCCCATCAAGAATCCTCGACGGCGGAGATAGTAGAAGAGAAGGAAAATAAGCAATGCGAGTCCAGCCACCGATCCTACCACACCGCCCACAATCTTTGGCGTGTCGGGGTTGCTTGTCGAAGCCTGTCCCGATCCTGATCCTGACGTTGCACTTGTGGATGGCGCCGAGCTGGTACCTGTTGCAGTCGCGGTTTGTGATTCAGAGCTCCAATAACTCGTCGAGGAGTAATAAGTTTCATCGGGAGTCCAGCTTGAGGAAGTGCTTGAGGTGGAGCTAGAGCTGGACTCAGAATTCGACACAAAGTTGTATGCGTTAGGTGTAACGTTGGAGGTATGGGTTGAGCTTGACGGCGCAACGAGAGGGGTCGACATTCGGACAGGGGAGCTGATAGGAGATGCCACTCTCAGGGTCGACGATGGAGCTTGACTCGTAGAAGTGGTGGATTGGGTGGTCGTTGGGCTGGCCGAGGATGATGTCTCAGACACTAGAGACGTTGTCGGCTGGGTCGCAGGAGCAATGGTTGGCGAGGTCAATAGCGGTACATCCACAGAGGCACTGATGCTGAAAGAACCGGTCGCAGCCAGACTCTCTACGTCTGAGATGGTGATGGCTCCATAGGCGGATTCGGAGATCGTCAGTGGGAAATCGGCTGCGGTCGACTGCAGAAGGATGTGAGAGCTAGCATCGACGACCTGCAGCACCGTCTCAACGGTCACGCTCTCGGAAACCGTTTCGTCCCGCCTGTTAATCGACTCCTCCGATTGGCGTATCTGATGCCCAAGGCATGCTAGATTTTCAGACGGATCGCAATCCTCTAATTGATCAGCTGCAGGAAGGGTGGGGACTTTCGATGAATCGCCGGGCAGTAGGCCGGGTGAGTCCTCAATTTGGGCGATCTGCCGGTGGCGTCTGGTGCTGTGTAGCTTTTCGATCCGTGAGTGACGGTAATTTCCATGGGCCATGTTGGCAGCAGTTGCGACAATTGTTCGCAGTGGTCCCACAATGATTGTGTATCACGATGGGAGAAGAGATGATAGAATGTGAATTCCTCACAGAGGTTGAGTGTCGGATAGAAAAAGAATGTTGACACCAGAGCACGATCTAGCGCGCAGGAAAAGAGAGCTGGCAATGTTGAGGTTGGAAAATTGGAACCGAAATCCCCGAAGCAATTGCCCGATTGAGAAGTGCAAATGAATGAGAGTGAGCGGAAAATTTCCAGTATCCAGGGCGCAAAGCAGAAGCCCGGCAGAGCGCGCTTTCGCACTGGCAATTGAAAAGACCGACTTGGTCACAATGACTAGACACTGTCAGTGAGCCCATTGTGGATGAAAACATCCCACTTACCCGTAAAAGAGTGACTGGAGAAAAAAAAAGAAAACGAAAACGAAAAAAAGCAGACGAGAGATGCCCGTCTCCCTAATCCATTGTTTCAAAAAGCGTGAACCTAGAGCGAAAAGGACCCGTAACACACCAAGCGGGGCGTGTTTGACAATGAGCACCGTGTGCGCGGCCTTGAGCTCGAAGATGAAGGAAGAGAAAACGGTGGACACGACCCAGACCGAAATCCCCCTATCGAAGCTAAGTCTAGGCGACCCGTGTTGACGAACTAGCCCCAATGCAATTTATTTTTGGAAAACGGGGGGTTCTCTCCTGTCGTTGTGTTTTGGTTCGTGTTTGAGAGTACCCCAGAATTGAGGAGATGGAAGTTGAAACTGTCAACAAAAGAGAGGTTGCAATAGCAAAGAGAACTCCCTGCAGGTACGGAGAGCAACGAGTCGGGATGGAGAATTGAGGTTCTGGGCCCAGGGGGCTAGTCCGGGATAGGTCTAGTGACTGCTGCAGGTTTAATTATCATTTTGGTCTGTTCGGACCATTGACAGTCCATGTAAGGGACACCTATTATGCCAGCTATTACTCCGTACTTCGTCCCTGCTATACAGTACGGAGTATCTAGTACATACTGTACACCGTACTCCGTACTGTGGTATACTCGATGTCACTGGGAACGCCCGGACTCGGAATGTGTCAGACTCCACATGATGACATCGAACATCTGCCGATCCATTCTCGAAGATCTGGAAAAGAAACTGCATGCCCTATCTACGAGTACTGTACGTGCTGAACACAAGGGTATTATTAACGATGCTCTCAACCGTGAAACCACGCTCAGAAAGTCTCGAGTTCGTCGGCCACAACCTCCTCTCCTTCGGCGGGGATCTCGAATCCATCCTGGGAGCGCGGGAGCGCGTTAGCATCGAATCATCTATGGGAGATGAAGTCCACGAACCTCGGTTGAGTACAGGATGCCCTGGATGTGCTTGACAAGAGTGTCCTCTTCCTTCTCAATCTCGGGGTCGGCCTCGATGGCGCTTTGCAGGAGGAGCTCAATGTCACGGAGCTTGGCGAAGTAGAAGTCGCGCTCCTTCTCCAGGCCGGCGATGGCTTCCTTCTGGGTCGCAACCTCCTGCTGCAGGGCGGCGGTGGCGGCTCCGCTGGCGGCTCCAACGCGGGGACGGGCGGCGCCGGTGGTGGGAGTCACGCCACGGCGCGCGCTGCCTGCAGAGGGGGCGCGAGAAGCGGGAGTTGCGCCGACGGAGGCGGGAGCACCGGAGGCCTTGCGACGGCTGACGGCGTCGTAGTCGCCGCCGGGGTAGTGTTGGTCCCAGAACTTCTTGACCCACTGCAGGAATTCAAGATTGTCCTGCATGCGACACTTTGTGAGGGATTGGACGGGGATGGGTTTGCTGATCTGATGGCGCTTGAAGACATCTGCACGGGCGAATGGGTTAAAGGGGCATTGGCGGGTGTCGTCGGTTGGACATACTTTGAAGAACGTTGAAGTTCTGGAGATAGGCATACTCGGTGTTCACATTGAACTTGACTCGAGCCATGGGAACATCCACTGGACAGAGAAACCCCGGTCAGTATATGTTTCGCGATGAACTGCACGGACGTTGCTCCGTCTCGGATCGTTGCGCAGGCCGAGGTTACATACTGAAGATCGAGTCGAAGATTTGGCAGAGGGCAGCACTATACAAGACAGAGATAGACCCGTTAGCCATACGATCTCGAATGGGACTGCCCCGCGGGTCGTGATTTAAGAGGGGAATGCTGATCGTCCATACCCAGTTCCGCACTGCTCAATCTTGGTAAGGTTCAGCTGAAGCAGGTTGTTAAGCCATGCCAGCAGTTCTTGTCTAACCCGAACCGACACTCCACGTTAGCAAGGGCCTTGCATCGCAGGAGCATGCAGAAAAGGAGAAAAGCCGAACCTGGATTCACCCATTGTGGTGGGGTAAATAAAATATCAATGGAAACGCTGAAGAAGGAAGAGAAGGTTAAGATGGGCGCTAATCGGGAGCAGAGTAAGATGAAGAAATTGCACCTCAAGATCAGGACTTTCCGTCAGTCTCTGCCTGTGTGTTGATGGGAAACGGCGGAGGGATTGTTTTGATGCTAAATCCCACGGATCACGCTGGCACTAGCCCACTTTGGGCGGCGAATCAAGACCCGATTAGATAATCGTGGTTTGCTGCCTCAGGTGTCCCATTCTGACCAAATATGACACATGGGAACTGACAGGCGCTATCAATTGGCCGCATGAGGAATCGATGAAGAAATGGTGTTCTTCTCGGCGGTCGATCATGTAGATTCATCAGATTCATCCCATCTCGACGCTGGGGATGGTCAGGGCGTGCCCATTCTGCAGACCGCTTTCATTGCCGCTCGCTGCACCGCCTTTGGGCATGTCGAGGGTGGAATATCGGAGAAAGGCTTATCCGAGAGTCGGGCCTTCATGATGTGCTGCCTGAGGCACCAATTTGGGAAGGACCTCTGGGCACCCAGGTGGGCACCCCTGCTCCGTGCTCTGTACACACTAGGTAGTTCCTCCACGGCTTGGTTTCACAATTACATCATTCAAGCTCCAGCAATAACTCCGTGTGGGGCTGTAATTTCACTGAACCAAACTTAAGGGCTCTATAAATAAAGGTAAACTACTGTATGTCCACTATGTGCCTTTGCGCGAGACGGCAAATAGTGTACTATACTGTACATGCTGAAAGTGTACCAATTGTGGGTCTAGTGCTCCCAGCTCAGGAACCTTGGAAGTTTCGAGGCTTTTGACTGGCATTGTGACCTTAACTTGGAATAAATTTGAATAAAAGGACTGGTGCGGAGACAAATCAATGTATGCGAACTGTATCAGATTGCGAAGTGTATATAAAGACTGATATTCCCGAAGATGTAAAGAAAGAATCCAGACAAGAGTCTATCCTGCCAATGTACCTGTCCCCTTTTGACCCCCAGTTCGAGCTCGAGAACCTCCAAATCTCAGCAACGCCGAGAATGTAAAGAATAGTAGAGGTCCAATGTAAAGATCCCATATGAAAAAGCCCCAAAATCGCTCAAAAAGCAAAACGCGTTTTAAACAGATGCGTATAAAATCACTCCTCTAGAAGCTCGATCCCATCTAGACCATATCCAAAGTCTATGATAACTGTTCGCGAGTCCTGGCTCGTCGCCACGATGCGCCTGTAATCAGACTGCACGCTCAACATCCAGCTCGTGGTCCAGCCAGGGAAGTTGAGGGACAGGTTGCCTGTGTCACGGTCGAAGACCTTGACGCTCATATCGTAGCTGCCACTGACGATGCGCTTGTTCGCGCTGTCCAGATGCAGAGACCGGATCAAGCCGGCGTGGCCTTGAAGTTCGTTGACAAGCTCGCCTGTATTAGCGTCGAATTGATAAATTATGCGATCGTTGCCACCAGTAAGGATGGTCCGGCCATCGTCGCTGAATTCGACACATGCAAGGCCCTTGTCTTTGCTGAGGAACTGCTTGACGCATTGGCCGGTGGTCACGTTCCACATCTTGGCGACTCCGTCGCCGCTCGCGGATACAATCAGATCACCACGTAGCTGGACGGCGTTGACGGGTCCCAAGTGGCCGGTGAGGGTTCTCAAAAGCTGGCCTGTGTGGCGGTCCCACACGCAGATGGTGGCGTCCTTGGAACAGGAGACAATGTATCGGTCATCGAAGCATACATCAAGCACACCGGCTTGGTGACCGTATAGACGGCGGATGGGCTGGTAGTCGTTTTTGATATCGTATACAATACAGGTATAGTCAGAAGATCCGGTGACCATGATCTCCTCGTCAAACTGCAGACACAAGATCGAAGCGCTGTGATACAAGGAGTCTTCGTCGAGGGGCGACGAGAGCTCCTCTTTCTCAGCGGACGTGGGCCATGGTGGAGTGATGGTCATGAAAGGCGGGCTTCCTGTAGCTTGGGAAGTCGGGCTGTTCACTGGACCGCCCCGACGGGGCAATCCGCGGCTGCTCGATGGGCCGATGATCTTCTGGCATGCCCACGGGTATTGGGAATCCCACACACGGATTGTGCGATCACGAGAGCCAGTGATGATTTTCTTCTCGTCAAACTGGGAGCAGTAAACACTGTCTTCGTGACCCTGGAGGTAGATGGCCGCCGCTTTGCCGTCCTTCCAACGCTGGTCGAGGGCGCGGCGGACAAGGAACATCTTCTTCCAGTCTTGGTTCGGGATCGTCTTTCCCAGACCGGATGACTGCTTCAGCTTGGTCTTCGTCTCGCTTGCAGGTCGCTGCTCGTATGCACCACGGAAGACCTGCTTCCAAACGTGAGGGGAAGAGGCCTCCCGCCAGGCGCGAGAGACCAGCTCTGAGTTCAAGAGCGAAGGGGGGTTTAAGTACGAGAGAATGTGTGCTGAGATCTCAGTAGGGAGTAAAGCCACGGGATCTGGTGGTGGTTAGTTAAGACATTACAACAGTTTACTCGAGGGATGCTTACCGAGTCGTGCGAGGCCATATAGCTCTGCCTCTGGTACCTCTGATCGATCACGCAGATCGATACCGATACCACTCTCTGAGTCCTGTGGGACCCTCATTTCGAGGATCTTGTTAGACTCACGCTCGACCTTAGCGGCCCGCGTGATCTCCATCTGTTCATTCTGGGCTGCCGCTGCAGCGCGCGCCGCTGCCCCCGAAAAGCCGTTGTTCGGCAAAACTGGAGGATCTTGGCCTCGACCGGGGATGGGTGCAGGGACAGGTGCAGTGGGTGCATAGAATCCATGCAATGCGGACACGCTGTTCAAGGAAGGGCGTCGGTTGACGCATCCCTGCCACGCAACTTTGGTTGAACGGGCATCCCAGCTGCCAGAGGCCATACGCCTGTGCTTGGAACTCGGGACATGGTGTTGATCTTCCACATCGGCCGAGATGTTCTCGGCGAAGTTTTGCTTGGAAGACTTGTGGCGAAGACTGACGGACCAACGGCGTCCGAGAGCCACCAGACCGTCCATAGGATGCTTCAAGGTTGAGAAGCTCTTTGCACCGCGGCGCCGGGGAACGGCGTTGGGGAAAGGATCCATTTCCTCTACCACTGGTGCATGATCTTCCTGGCACAGTTCTGTCTGAAACGGGTCTCGGAATGCCTCCAAGGCACAGGCTGAGTCTTTCGAAATCGGGGTAAGGGTAGTAGTTCGTGGGTGTGGTCGAAACGACAGTGAGGGACGTCGGCGTGCGGAGGTGGCGGTTCCGTTCTCGCGAGGCGACATGACCACAATCGCGGTATGTTATGAATTATAAAGTAGGTAGGGGTTGGCCGGTGGGAGACCAAAGAGAATGACAACGCTTTTTTCTCCTGAAACCAGTCCAAAAGTTGTTGCCCAATGTAAGGATCTTGACGGGAGCTCTGAGAGATGAGTCTAACAATGTAGCCTCCAACGACCGTTTCGTGAACTCCAAGAACCCAAGAAAATGACCCGAAAGAGAGAAAGTCTAATGAATGAAATGGACAGACCGATTATAAAAGAATAAAAAAAGCAAGACACGCGCAAGGAGGAATTTAAAAAAAGGAAGAATTCCAGGTCTGAGGGTCGGGCGGTGAATTGGCGACGAGTGATTGGCTTATCGTGGAAGTACCGCGCTGTATCGGGTACTGACATCACAGTGCGATCACCATAGTGAAGGGAAGTACCTGGTACTCTGCCCGGGTAAATCGCCCCTGCACGGGTCTCAAAAAGCGAACGGGGCGAATTGCGAACTGCGGAGTACCGCTACTTGGATCGCCACGTTAATCCACTGCGGATCACAAGTACCGAATACCCTCAGTGGCGAGAATCCGTTTTCTTTCTCTTTCTCTTCGGCGACCAACCCATGGGAGGTGAAAAGGTAATCGACTGCCGACCGTGGATCCTTCCAATGTTAAATGTCCTTAGTACTGCGATCTAAGAACCCGTTACACTTGTATAACATCAGATCTCATTAATATGCCACTCCCCACCCGTTTTGTCTCACTCTATCCTGGACTCCGATAAAACACTCTACCCAAAGATCTTCTCATATCCCGTCAACGTAAACCGATAGTGGACATCGCCCTTCTTCATCCGCTCCATGGCCTCCTTGAGGCCATCTTCGCTGATGGCAATCTCCTCCACCCATCCCTTCAGCCCCTTGTCCGCAGCCAGCTGCAACATCTGAAGCATCTCACGACGGCTACCCAAGTGACTAGCACCAATGAGCACACCGTTGGAGATCAAGTTCTGGGCCTTGATGACCTGACCCTCCTCCTCGGGCAGACCCACACTAATCCACCGACCATGAACATCCATCATAGACAGGTATCGCGCCAGATCAAAGCCCTCAGAAGAGTTCGCACAGTTGATAATCAAATCAAACGAGCACAGGTGAGCCTGCTCCCACCCTTCCTCAGCAGTAGCAATGTATCCGTCCGCGCCAAGCTTCAGCGCATCGGCCTCCTTCGCGCGCGAACGCGAAATAGCCCACGTCTCCGCACCCAGCGCCTTCGCAAACATGACTCCAAAGTGTCCAATGCCTCCCAGCCCGACAATGCCAACCTTCTTGCCGGGTCCGGCGCCATTGCGCACCAGTGGAGAGTACGCGGTCAGACCGGCGCACAGCATCGGGGCAACGGTGTTGCTCTCCAGAGCGTCGGGGATGGGGAAGACCCAGTGCTCGTGGGTGCGGACGTGGGAGGAGTATCCGCCTTGGCTGACGATGCCGGTCTCGGGCCACTCGGACCCGTAGGTGTCCATCATCTGCACGGGGCAGTAGGTTTCGTTGTCGTTGCGGCATTGCTTGCACTCGCCGCAGGAGTAGGATTGGGCGCCGACTCCGACTCGCTCGCCTTCTTTGATCAATGTGACCTTGGGGCCGACACGGATTGCCCGGCCAATGATTTCTGGAACGCTTGTCAGTATATGATTTCAGGTGTCGCTGTACTTGGCCGAGGTACGTACCGTGACCCACGCAAAGGGGGAACTTCTGGTCGCCCCATCCTCCTAAAGGGTGTTAGCTTGGAATTGATGCCCAAGAGGAAACAAGCGTACCGCTGATGGTGTGCACATCACTTCCACACACGCCGCAGGCTTCGATCTTGACATCGACATCTGTACACAGTTAGATCTGGGATCATGCTCGCGCCGATATGCAACTCACCATAGTCACCAAATGGCTTCAGCTTGAACTGCATGCATCATTCATATAAGTAACAATTCCCAAAATCCCAGACAGAAACACCCACGAAGCGCTTGTTGAACTGGGTAAAGCTCGCAGGTCCATCGACCTGGAAACCCTCAGCCTCTTCAGGGTAAGGCATTGTGAATGAAATGAGCAATTGGTCTTGAGTGTGTTCGACAAAGAACCCAATGTAATACCCAAAGGTAATCGAGATTCAAGAATTAAAGAGTAAAGTAGAAACCAAACGAAGCCAGGCGGGGTGGAGGGGGTATATATCAACAAATTCCAACCCTTCCACCAAGCACGGATCGCAAGAACCCCATCCTCGCCTCGGAACATCTCAGTCCATCGTCCCTTCAAGACACCCGTGGACTATTTCCCCACAATCGGACATTGTCCCGCGTATCCACCCCGCGAAGCCCAGGAATCAGAACGCGGCCTGAGACGGTAACTCTCGCGCGAGAGTCAGATTCGGTCAGATACGGGGCTTGGAGAGAGGGCGTGGGGGGATTGGCATGTCTGGGTTGATGTTTCTGGCGCAATTGACTACAATGTTTTGAAGCCAATGACCTCGTATCAAGTCCGATTGGGAATACTTCCACCAATGGGAGAAATTGATTCTTGGCTCTTATCGCTCTGATAGAAGATAAAATCCTTGATTAGGGCTTGGCTTGAGGGCTGTGCTACCAGGTGGACTCGTAATGTTCGTTGTGTGCAGAGGTGGGATGTTCTGTTTGATACTCTAGACATCAGATCAACTTTAGGGTAGCTACAGGCTCATACTTTGGTGCAACTGGTATGCCAAAAAACTTGGAATGAGTATTGGAATCGTTAAACATAATATTTACTGGATTATTTACAGCTGTTCATATAACTCCAACCCTCTAGGCCACATCAGGGAGAGTTGCCTCCACATCCATCGCGGGCTTGATTTTGTCGGCAATAGTCTGATACTGAGCGTCCGTAAGACGGCTGAGAGGACGACGAGGGAATCCACCATATCCGTAGTAAGACTGGATAGCACCCTTAGTACCGGGGATAGCAGCCTTGGTCAGGACCCAATCGGCAGCACTGAGCTGCTGCTGAGCCTCCATGGCCTCGGTGAGACGGCCCTCAGACCAGAGAGTGAAGATGCGCACGCAAAGACGGGGGAGGACGTTGGCGCCACCGGCGAGAATGGCAGAGCCACCGGAGACGAGGGTCTGGAGACTGAAATCGGCAATACCGCCAAAGGCAACGTAGGGGTGCTTGGCGTCTGGCTTCGAGATAGTGGCGGTGCGCTGAGCAGGAGCCAGAGGAGAAGGAGGAGTGATGGCACCGAGGGCGGTAGCGACACGAGTCAGCTTACCGGTGTTGGCACAGGTGAACTTGGTGCCGACAATGTTGGGGTGTTCGGAGATGCGGATGATGAGGTCGGAGTCCATGTCGATTCCGGCGACGGCGCCAGGGTAGTTGTACAGGATGATAGGGATAGGAGAGCCATCGGCGACGGCAGTGAAGTACTCGTACAGAGTCTCGTCGTTGCCGACAGCGGCGCGGTAGTAGCTGGGGGGCACGATCAGGACGTACTCGCCACCAGACTCGGCCACCTCCTTGCACAGATCGATGGTGCCGCGGATGCTGTTCTCACTGGCACCGGCGATGACGGGGACGTTGGAGAACCCGGCCTCGTCGAGAGCGGAACGAGTCTCGCGGGTGACGGTCTTGCGCTCCTCACGGGTGAGGTGCACTGCCTCGCCGTTTGAGCCCATGGTGACGAGACCAACCAGGCCAGCCTTGGCTAGACGGACAGCATGACGACGAATGGCGGCAATGTCCAATTCTTCGGTCTGGGCATCGAAGAAAGTCATTGTCGGCGCATAGACGCCGGGGCGGAGAGGAGTGAGAGGCATGGTGTAGATGGTTATTGATTGACACCCAGACTGGGGGCCTACAGTATTATAAGGCCATCTGTGTCCCAAAGTCCCTCGGACATCATTCTCCCACTCCCCCACGTCGGCGAATGTCCCGATGCGCGTTGTATGGCGGAGGATTCATTTCCACCAATCAGCGGATGCGCGCAAAGTGTGGGGGACATGAGGGGTAGACGCATAGCTGATGCGAATTGTCTGAGAATCAAGCAGCAATTGATGTATCATCGCTTGGGTTGAAGAGTTCAGTTATTCACTCAGAAATCACTAACTCGAGATGAGGCGGAAAAATAGTAAAAAAAGAGAAGAAAGTAGACAAAAACAAACGTAGTGTTGACATCCCCGGCTATTGATTTTGCAGTGTTGGGACTTCAAACGCCGGAAGAATTATCTCCAGCAACTAAAGCTGCTGCTTTCCTGTTTCTCGGCTTAAATTTCTCTTCGTCCCCGGATTCCTCACTGCAAATCAATCAGACATCATGGCTCCTCCTAACGTTTTAATGGTAAAGTGCAACAACCTCTCCCCCGCATGCGACAAGCTAATAGACGAACAGGTCGGCACCGGCGAGTACACCACTGGCTTTGTCGGTGGTGGTGCGTCCGGATCAGACAAGAAGGTCGGCGTGGTTGGCCTGACCCTCTTCGACCTGCGCCGACGAGGCAAGGTCAGCGACCTGAGCATGGTGGGCGTGTCGGGAAAGAAGTTCCCCGGAATCCGTACGTCGAGTGGAACCGCGAGGAAGCAATGCGCTGACCCAGAGACCAGGCGACCACTTGCACCGCAACATCTCGCAAGTCTACAACAACCTGGACACATCCTTCACATCCTTCCCGGCAGACGATCAAACCGACCCAGATGCCTACAAGACCGCCATCGATGCGCTCCCCCGCGGATCGGCCATCACCATCTTCACCCCCGACTCCACCCACTACCCCATTGCCCTCTACGCCATTGAGCGCGGTCACCATGTCCTGATCACCAAGCCCGCCACCCAGCGTCTGGGAGACCACCTCTCCCTGGTCGAGGCTGCTCGCAAGCACGGCGTCTTCGTCTTCATCGAGCACCACAAGCGCTTCGACCCTGCTTACTCGGATGCCCGAGCCAAGGCCAAGACCCTCGGCGACTTCAACTACTTCTACAGCTACATGAGCCAGCCCAAGAGCCAGCTCGAGACCTTCAAGGCCTGGGCCGGCCGGGACTCAGATATCTCTTACTACCTCAACTCCCACCACATTGATATCTGCGAGAGCATGGTCCCTGAGTACAAGCCTGTGCGCGTGACTGCCACGGCATCTCAGGGTACCGCTGCGGCTCTTGGGTGTGTGCCCGAAACCGAAGATACCATCACTCTTCTGGTGGAGTGGCGCCGCCGTGATGACCCCTCGAAGATTGCTACCGGTGTCTACACCGCAAGCTGGACAGCGCCTCAGAATGCAGGCGTGCACTCCAACCAGTACTTCCACTGTGAGTTTCTAAACTGTCATACTTTGCGTGATGACTTCTAACACATGCATAGACATGGCCGCCAACGGTGAGATCCGCGTCAACCAGGCCAAGCGCGGCTACGAAGTCACCGGTGACGACCAGGGACTGGTCCATTTCAACCCGTAAGAATGCAAAGGTCCCTTCAACCCTTCCAGATACTGACTGCAATAGATTCTACATGCGCTACGCTCCCGACGAGGAAGGGAACTTCAGCGGCCAGACCGGCTATGGCTACATCAGTTTCGAGAAGTTCATTGATGCCGTCACTGCTGTGAACGAAGGCCGAGTGACTCTCGACCAGCTCGATGCTCGTCCGCTCCCCACTCTGCGGAACACGATCGGCACCACGGCTATCTTGGATGCTGGTCGTAAGTCACTTGATGAGAGACGGCCAGTCGAGATTGTCTCCGAGGGAGATAACTGGGAGCTCAAGTAGGCTTGAGGTGTAAATGCTGGAGTGTATATAGTCTAAGTTATGACAATTATGAAGTTGGATCTCAAAACATGAACCTGTGTCCAAAATTCAGACCACGGTTGATTTTTTCCATGTTGTAGATATTTATCGATTCCACAGGATATCTAGATACGAGGGTGGACTTGGAGGCTTTCTATATCCAATAGATACCAGGTGTTGACGCGGGAGTAGCATCCGTAGATCTATCTGTCACTTCCAAGGTTACTCTGGAGGCTGTTGGGGCTGATATGCGCATGAATAAGGTACCTAGCATATGTATATTTTGTCAGCCAATTCTGTCATCGCATGTCTAAATAGACATGAATGCCGATCTCCGTGGCGGAATTTATAACCAAACGTTGAAGCTCTCCAGGGCCAGAGGCGATATGCGGGGCCGTCATTGCCACTCCGTCAAATACTATTATTTGGAATTGAGAGACTCAATGACGCGTCACTGCCTGATGCCCAATGGAAGATGTCAACCTGAGAAGTCGAGATATACAATAGAAAATATAAACCTATCTCACATGCTGGACCCTCACCGCTAAACGCCCTTTTTCGACTTAGCCATGACTGCCGTCAGCCTCATTCTAGAAAAGCTGTCTCTTGGCATGGAAGTCAGATTCTCGTAATTACTGCCACCAACCTCGGAAGCCTCTAGACTTACACATTTCGACCTGTAACCATTTCAGCCTCAGCCTCCCACTCGGAGGTCTTGATTTCTAAAGCCAGTGTTACAGCCGACTGTAACAGTAAGCAGAAAAATACGAGCCCGAGAATCCTGCCATAAACATCCACTTCACCCCAAAGCCAAAGGCACAACCATCATGATGCGCCGAAAGGAAACATATACCAACATCACCCCGATCCCGTCCTGTGTGCCCCGCCAACTAGCCCTCGACATCCTCCACAGCCACAGCGAAATCATCACCCTAAACCCACTGGTCCTCACCCACGAACCAATCAGAGCCCCCCGCAACGCCATTGCAGATGAATATTACTCCACGTGGTACGAGATCACCGAACGAGTCCAATACATCCCCGGCCTGGGCAAGATGGGCTCAGGCAAAATCAGCTTCAAAGGCTGCTTCAACAACCTCCCCTGGGGTCTGCAGACGCACATGTATGCCCCCATGGGAATCGACCTCCAAAGCAAGTGGCGGATAGGGGGCAACCAGCCCGACGAGCCGCCCGAGACATGGGCGCGGCGATCGGACGGTGCGCCGCAGAATGGGCTGTACCTGCGCGAAGATATTGAGATCGAATGTAATCGGACTTTGATTTCGTTTGTGAAGGGGCAGCTCAAGGCTGCGTCGAAGGTGTTGGTGGATCGGTTGATTAAGAAGGCGGAGTTGTTGGATGCGGGGATTTTGGAGGGCATGATGGAGGATGGGAAGTTGAAGACGTTTAATCCGGCGGATCGGAGTGCGCGTGGTTTGCGGCCGTCGTATTCGACTAGGTCTAGGTATTCGGATCAGATGTCGTCTGCTTCGTCGTGCTATGAGCCTAGATCGCCGTCGGTGTCCGGGTCGCAGCAGAGGTACTCGTTGCCGCCGAAGTATGGACAGGAGCCTACCGGTGCTTTTGAGTTGCCGGCTGATTATTATCATCCGGCTCCTCAGGCTGCAGGGGATGTGCCCCCGAGACAGATGCACTCGAAGCCGACGCCGTTGGATACGGGCTGCGCGGAGTTGCCTGCTACCCAGGAGGTTCCTGAAGAGCATGAGAGGGAGGATTTGCGGTATAGGCCGTACAGGCCTGTGGAATAGTTCTGCTTTCTTGTATTGATATGGCGCCTGTTTTCATCTTTTGTGCTGCACCTTGCACTGCTTGTTCTTGATACTGAGCCCCGGCGTCTTGGTACATCGTTCTCTCACGAATTTATGACAGATGTTAGATACCAAAAACTCATGTTTGTACAATTGCTCCTGTATCTCGCTTTGGTCAACGCAGATTCTACATCTGGAATGATACTGATAACTTGGAAGAGTTGAATTGATTGAATTATTGGAGGAAATCCCAGTACCGCCGAACTCCACAGTGGCATCAGCCATATGCTGTCACAAAAAAGAATAATAACACAGGCGCGGAAAACTCGCAAACGCATATCGTGGTATCATGCAAGCAATTCCCGAATTTCAATAACTAACGCCGCGACCCACCCTTGATAATTCCATCCTCCCCTTTATGCAACTTGATTCGGCACTGGGGACAATACCACTTGGCCGTGCGAGAGGGAGGCTCAGTCAAGCTCACACAATCAAGGTGGAACCATTCACGATCACACTGCGAGTCGTTAGTATTTTGCATCATGAACGGGGAGATCAACTTACATCTTGGTTTTCGCAACAGATCATCGTTCCGAAACTGACATCTCCACATAAACAATAGCGGGGCTCATTAGCGTCGATTTGCTCAAGTACACCATCTTCGTCCACGCGGACATCTTGGGAGTCACGGACGCTGAGGCGTTTCTTGCCAGGCTTGGCTTTGCGTCGTCCATAGCTGACTGCGGCGCCACCATCTTGGCCGGTGGAGATAGGGCCCGGTGCAGGGCGCTTGCGTCGGCGAGTGGGACCAGCGGTGGGCCCATGGGATGATTCGCGGACGGGAGTTTTCTGGGCTGGTGTAGCGCTCTTGATGCGACGATCGCGTCCGCTTGCTGCAACGGCTGTAGGAATGCTGCCGAGGGTGCTGCCCAGGGCTCCGCCTTCAATGGTGGCAGCTACAGATCGACGGGAGGATGGTCTGGTAACGGGTGGTGTAGGTGTAGTGATGGGTAAGACAAAGGATCGGTTAGAGCGTCGAGAGCCTGTAGGGCTAGGAGGAGGTGGTGATGCTTTTGTTTCCGCTGGAGGAGAAGCCTGGGTCTTGATTTGAGGGGCTGGTTCATCGATAGGCTCAGTAGCCGGGACAGCTCCTCGGCTGGACTTGCGTCGAGACGGTCCAGACCTCGAAGGGAGTGCTGGAGGAGTTGGAACAGGAGCGGAAATAGGAGGCACAGGAGGCGCAGGAGGTGCGGGAGGAGGAGCGGGGGCAGGGACAGGAGTGGCCGGTTCAGCGGAAATTTCTTCGGTTTCATCAACAGCAGCCTCTTCGAGCTTCCTCTTCCGCGATGATCGACTAGTGGCGGGTGTTGCTTGGGTGGGACTTGGCAAGGGCCGAGGCAATACAACTCCTTCACCTTCCATCAAGGCTTGCTCACGGGCCAGCTGTTCCCGCTTCAATTTTTTTGCTTCGTTCAGTTTCATCCCGCGGTTGCTCAATTTCGTCTCTTCAAGATCCTTGGCAGTCTGGCCAGGCCTCGTCTCTTCGATATTGTCGCAGTCGATCAACTCTTCCCCAGTCTCTTCCGCAATGATCTTGGCGGCGCGGTATGCTTCCCACCCACGATTAGAAAGAGCCAACTCGCGGTGAATCATGACTTCGCTGGGTTGCCACACAGCATTCTTCTTCATCTTCTTTCGTAGCCTAGTCATCTCCCACTCTGTTAGTCGAAGCCATGGTAAATCTTCACTGCCCAGCTTTGCATCAACTGGAGGAGGTTTCAATTGCGCAAGAGCCTGGGACGTTGATTGCGCCATGCCCGAGCTGGGGCGCCGCGCCTTCTCCTTCTTGGGAGGTCTAGGTTTGGGAGCCACCCTGGCATTATCTGCGTCAGCATCTGACTGCTCAGTACTGGCCAGCGGAGAATCCGGATCGAATACCCCCTCCACGGCTGAATTGCGCCTCCTCTTGCCATCTCTGCGGTTGCGACCGCCGTCCAAACGAAGGGTAAGACGCGTCGGGGGGTCGCGGGCATTTTTCTTGCCGCCGCGCGCGCGCTTCGGGGAGGGCTCTGGGGGTGGAGATGGCTCTGCCGAGGCAGGCATGGGTAGGGCTTCGAGCTTCTGGCGAATGCAACCCAGGCGCTCAAAATGGCGATCGACTGTATCGTAGAGGCGGGAGGCCTCCGCAAACGCGGACTCGCGCGCATTGATGGCGCGATCCAGCTGCTCGGAGATTTTTGCGCGCAGCTCGATGGGGTCTGGCCGCTGGTCTGGGGGGAGATTGGGGAGCTCGCCATAGATCTTGAGGAGCTCGTGCACGGATTGGGTTGACTCGAGGTATCGTTCATCGAGTTTGCGGATATGAGTTTGGGAGCGGATGACATCGGCGGGAAGGTATTCAGTGAAATCAATGAAGTCGGTGACGGTGGCTTGCGCATCTGGATCAAAGGGGCCATCCAGGATAACCCCCCCGCTGTCGTCCGTTTCATCGGTCATGGGCATAATAGGAAGGTTCACGGTGGGTGGAGGTGACTAGGTTAGCTTCTGTGGATCGGCAGCAAGCTTTAGAGAGATCAAGCTGCGATGCCGATAGAAGCAGAGGCAAACGCCGAGGGGTCGTCACGTTCGATAACAGCTGGGAGCTGAGCAAACAACGGAGTTTGGTTTATCCGAAGAAAGTGAGAACAGATAGTTTCTCCGGAGGGTGTCACGTGTGTGGGAGTGGGTCCAACCTTGAAGTGGGTCTCCAACCGAGTCCAACGTCTATACATCGCAAACTGACATCTTTACTTCACTTCCCGTGATGGTCTTATCGTTCGCTTATTTGTTAAATATTTTCTAGGATGTCATGGATCTAGCTTTACCTGGTTATTCCAGATAAATTAAAGCACATATATGTAAAAAACCAGAGTGAACGCCTACCATTAGCCTGTTATAAGTCTAGTATTTCCAAGCTGGGGAAATGGGCGAGATGCTAGATCGCTCCTTCCTACTTCCAGTAACTTCAGAAACTACACCATCTTCGTATTTGTTGAGACTTCTCTCCTCTCACTCTTCTCCCTCGTCTATTTTCAAACGTTCCAAGTCCCGATTGACATGGACCCCCGTGCGCGTCTTGCCATCCTATATGAAGACGATATGCAAGCGATGGAGCTAGACACACGGCTACGCCGCGATACCAAATGGGACTCCACTCTTGCGCAGGCACCTGGGGTAAGTTCATTTGGCCCTGACCTTGAACCTGGCTTTGATCTCTACACTCCTGTAATGGTCCCACCGAGTGATAGTTTCGATCTTTCATACATTCGCACTTTTGTGGTTGGGATGCCAGTCGAGGATGACCGGTATTTGACTGAACTTGATCAGGACACCGGTTCTACTTCCGGTTGCGATTCGAATCTCGAGATGGAGGAACTCAGTCAACCCCAACCCGATGACTCTGTGGACTTGTCAGACATGTCTGCCGCCAAGGACCCCCCAGATGTTTCTGACCCAGCCTCGTTTACCCCTGCTGTGGCCATGGCCCGTTATGCAGTCAAATATTGCAGCGGGGATCTATCCAAGATTGTCTCCGCCCGATTCTTCAACGGCGGTCAATTCTGGAATCGTACCTGGGATCTGTACGTGAAGCCGAGTGATCGCCTAGAATATCGGATATAAAGCTGACGTTGTCCACATATAGGTACCATCTGCCAGCTCCTAGTACACTCCTTGAGAAGCCACTGCTTCTGATCCCCACCACCCAGGCCAAGGCCTTCCTGGATGAAATCAACGAGGATACCCACTTCCGTTTGACCCTCACGGGTGTAGGCAAGCAAGGCCTCGTACTTCAGTTTACCGACAGGGAGCTGGAGCTTTTCCGCCCTGTTTATCTCGGCCGGTCAAGCAACCTTGCGGAAAAGGACCGTCTGTTGGCGGCTATTCCCCCACTCCCGGAGGCCTGGACTGATTGGTCTCCCGATGATGCGCCCTCGGAACTGAGTGGCTTTGAACTCAAGGTCAAAGATGCTGTCCACTCGATCAAAATCGACAGGGACGCCGAGAAACGGGCCCGCAAGGCAAAGCGTGACAACGCCAACAAGAAGCTCGAGCAATGCCTGGGCCGCGTTGCTGCTTACTTTGGGTTGCGTCCTGCTTTGCAGGAAAATGTGGTACAGCCCTCGTTTTCCAACGGCCAGCTGAAGCCAATCGACCCCCTGAAGCCCGCTCCGTTCCAGTTCCAGAACAACCCGATCTTCATCAGCCTTGACACCGAGTGGATGGAGGACTATGGCACCTTGACGGAGGTTGGAATATCTGTCCTGGATACAAAGGACTTGCAGGGTTTTGCCCCAGGCAATTTTGGCCAGTTCTGGCTGTCTCAAATCCGAACGCGGCACTTGCGTGTGGAAGAGTACAAGGACCATGTCAACATGAAGTATCAAATCGGTTGTCCTGACTACTTCCATCACGGCGAAAGTGAGTTCGTTCCAAGCGCCCTAATTGCCAATGTAGTCAACCAGGCGCTCTCGTCCCCTGCTATGGTGGAGTCTGGGTGCGAGGTGGAGCGAGCCGTGATTCTGGTCGGATTGAATCTCAAGAACGACATTGACATTCTTCGACGCAAGAAGTGTCAGGCCCTTCTCAACTTGGACCCATCACGTCCACCTCCTTGCTCGCCCGTCATTCATGAGGTCGTCGATGTTGCTCAGCTGTACCGGATCTATGCTGGTGAGGCACAGCCCCCCGGGCTTGCCAATCTGTTGATAAATCTACAGATCGTCGGACAAGACTTGCACAATGCCGGAAACGATGCCTTCCACACCTTGGAGGCTCTTGTGCGACTGATGCTTACTGCAGCCGGAGAGGTGCCAGAGGGACATTCACCGGCTGGATCTCAAGCTGGGGAGGCTGAAGCTACTGAACCTGAGCAGGATCAAGTCCAAGCCGAGGATGATTCGATGGAGGTGAACTTGTTGCTGTAGGCCATGGCTTTACGGCCTGACATCCAGGACCTTCCGGACTCCGACTAGCAATGTGTATTCGATCCGCCATGTGAGCGTACCTGGAATTGAATCATCGCGCAGGATGGGAAAATGGAAAACCATGAAAAAAAGGGGATGAGTATGATATCTCGAAATAATGTAACAGGAATGAATTTCTGCGCCAAAATGACATGCATATTGTATACTTCGTAGATCCCACCGCGGGCACCCGCATGGAGCACTGACGACATAACCACGTTCATCCCACTATCGCCCCCACATCCCACCCTAATCTCAACCTCGACAACAACCACCCGCAGGTCCCAAAATGACAAGCCAAGGTCCCCTGACAGCCTACCTGCTAGCCAGCACCCCCAATGCGCTCACCCGCGCAACAACACACCCATTCCTCGCCGCCGCCGGCCGAGGAACCCTCCCCAAACCCCTCCTAAGCCAATGGCTCTCCCAAGACCGACTCTACGCGCAGTCCTACATCCGCTTCATAGGACTCCTACTCTCCAAGATCCGCCTCCCAACCCAAAACCCCACAACAACACCCCACCCCTCCAGCGAACAAAACGCAATCAACGTCCTCATCGACGCCCTCGTCAACATCCGCACAGAGCTAGCCTTCTTCGAAAAAACTGCAAATGACTTCTCCCTCGACCTAACAGCCATCTCAGCAGAAGAAGGCGGCTGCACTCTCACCTCCTGCGGCTCAGGCTCCTACATCACCACCTCAGCAGGCATTTCCACCGCCGGCTCAGGCAGCACCCCCGGTCTCACAGGCGGACGCGACAACAAAGCCCTCGACGGCGCAGTCGCGGCCCAACACGCCCTATGCCTCTCGCAGGGTGAATGCCAAATGCCCGGAGGCGAAATATGCATGCCCAGTGACCCTCTTGGATCGGCGCATGCATCCAGAGCTACGCCCGATCCTGCTTCTGCGGCTAAGGCTAAGGCTGGAACTGATCCTGAGAGATGCGACACCATCTTCTTCTGTGCTTCGAAGACTACGAAGGCGTATATTGATATGTTTATGTCTGCGGGTAGTAGTGGGGTTTCGATCCTGGAGGGATTGGCGGTTCTGTGGGCTACGGAGGTGTGTTATCTTCGGTCTTGGAGGTTTGCTGCGCGGTGCATGCGTGAGGATGTAGGGTTTGGGGGGGATTATGGGTCTGATGCTGATGGAGGAGCTTTGAGGGGGAAGTTTATTGACAATTGGGCTAGTGTGGAGTTTGAGGGCTTTGTGGATTCGATTGGGGATGTTTTGGATGAGATGGCTGGTCAGATTAAGGGGGCTGAGGAGGCGGAGATTATGCGTGGGAGGTGTTTGGAGTGGTGGAGGCAGATTGTTTGGTTGGAGGAGAGATTTTGGCCGGATGTTTAGTTTCAAAGGTTTCTTACTTATCTTATGTGATGGATGTGGGGGTGATATAGACATAGACTACTTGGGAAGAAAATGTACGCGGTTTTGCAATTTAAACAATATTGTATGCTATACATCTGGCCTGACAGACCTTTCTATGATGAGACACAAGCAATGGTAACAAGATAAACGCCGAGTCCATAGCCCCAGATCAGAAAAGCAAAACACGAACTCCGTTTCCTTTTGCTCCCAGCAGCAATGGGGGATTCCGAAACAGCAAATAAATATGTTGAAAGCCACCAACACCAGTCGTAATGCGATGGCATACAGCCAACACTAAACACATGAGCCAACACATTCTACCCACTTAGGTAGACATGTTATAAACAGACAAGTAGAAAAACAAGACAAGTCCAACTAAGTCGCAGTTGCACGAGCAGCATTGCTTAGTTGACGATGGTATGAGCCAATAGCTGGGAAGCCCCTATAAGAAGGTTAGTGAACATATTCCCGGATGTGACTATCAAACATACCGAGCGATATCAAAACCAGAAGTATCCTCCTCATCATCCTCATCAAGAGGTCCCTCTTTGCGAGCATGGGAACCATTAGCACCCAAATCACCCGGCTCGGTCTTCATAGGCGGCAATGTCCGACCTGGGCCCAACCCATTCGAAGTCCCAGGCTTACTGGGACTCACCAAGTTCGGCGGGGGAGGACTACTACTCGGGAACCCGCCGATGATGCGGTCCTCGACCTCTCCCTTGAGGGGACTCATGTCCGGAGGAGGGCGTGCAGGGGTACTGCCGATATCGGCGAATTTCCAAAACTGGGCCGGCGAGCTCATGGGCATGAACTTGGACGGGATCTGCGCAGTGCTCGGGGGTGGAAGACGGGGTTGTTGGCGTTGAGGGGCGGGGGTGATCATTGAGGAGGGTTCTTCGTTGTAGTAGGATGATGAAAGGACGGGTGGGGATCCCGCGATATTGTCGGACATTCCATACGCGCGAGCAAGGTTGTGGCTGCTGTTTTGGACCTGCGTTGAGATGCTGGAGCTGGGGTTGTGCGTGCGCGCAGGAAGTGGGGATGGTTCGTCGTAATCGCGTGGGTTCATGTGTCGCAGTGGATGGTCGGAACCAACGCCTCGGCCGAGCTGAGACCCGCGCTCCGGGGTGTAGGCTTCCACGGGGGCGACGGGGAATGAACTGAATCCTGGAGATGACACGGGTGGCGACTTTCTCGCAGTTGCAGAGTTTGCAGAGAATGAGGTGTCCAGCTTGCTGACGCGGGATCCCCGGGTTGCTGAAGAGGGGGGCTCCTTGTTTGCGGGGGAAGATGGGGCAGAGGATAAGGTGTGACCTTTGCGGGTTTGCTTCTTCCGGTACTCGTCTCTGTACTCGGCTGCAATCTGCCATTTCATGCCCTTGCCCGGTTCGTCGGTGCGCCGAGGGACCTTTTGGAACGCCTTGTTCAACGAGAGATTGTGTCGGATGGAATTCTGCCAGCCGCTCTGTGAATGCCGATAGAAGGAATACTTGTCCCTGATCCAATTGTAAATGCTGTTCAAGGTGAGTTTCTCTTCTTCGCTGGAGAAGATTGCCTGGGCAATCAATGTCGCATAGCTGTACGGCGGCTTCAGATCCTTCGCGGCATCCTTGCTGTAGTCGATATCCTCCGTGCTTTCCATCATCATACCACGATTGTAAAGCGGAGACTGCTTCGCGGTTCGTTGTCCCACGGTATCAGGTGATCGCGGCGGGGGTGTAACCTGGCGTTTGAGGAATTGAGGAGCCGGAGCCAATGATGGCCCACCGGACGAAGATGGCGGCACTTCCTCGGTCTGGGAAGGCTGCGAAGGATGAGCATGTTGAGAAGCATCCCAAGGAATTGCCGCGGGGTCCTGCTCCTGGCCGCTGGCGATGCGCTGGGCGCGCTCGATAAAGCTCGGCTGGATATTCGCCTCGTCTCCGGGCGTGACGAACATCATCTGTGTATTGGCGATCTCAATGATGTCGCCACATGACAACACCGCATCTGTGCCGCGCTTGACAATGCCATTGTTCAAGCGCACGCCATTCCGGCCATTGACGCGAATGTGCCAGGCGGGCGTTTCCTCCCCATCGTAGAAGATTTCCGCATGCAGTCTGGATACGAATTTGCTAGGGCCCAAATCAACATGGACATCGGGTAGCGCACGGGCGGCTATCGTCACCGGGCTGGACTGTTCGGTGGTTTTCTGTTCGCGGTCCGGTTCCCGGCCAATGTTGACATGCAGTGTTTTGACGTAATAGGTCCAGTTGCGGCCGGCGATCTTGGCGTAGGCCTGAATGCGCTGGGTGTTTTCGGTCTTGGTGTTGGAGTGGTCGCGCGAGACGCGCAATTCTTCGCGGGGTGTGTTGAGGTAGGAAATTACCAGATCGACCAGATCCTGGTTGCTGGCTGGTTCGTGATCGCCCGTTGAATCTTCGGCCTCGTCGCCGGATTCTTGCTTGACGTTTCGTGAGGGAGATTTGCGCCGGTCAACCTGTTGATCCCACGTCCAGGATGTTAGTTCCTGCTTGCGCGCCCTGGGTCTTCCCCGATTCCCTCCACTATGGTCTGTGACTCACCTTGCGCTTCTTTGCGGAGGGTCGGCTGGGCGAGGAGTCCGGTGCCTCTGCATCGGACGTTTCCTGGAGTTGGATTTCCTTGCGCCGCGCGCGACGGCGGTTAGTGAGCGGCATGTCTTGCGTTCGTCGGATTCCAGAATGGATTTCGCAGATAAGAATTTGTGTGTGTTTTTCCCAACTTTGACGATTGTGGTTGACCAGTGTCCCAACGGCGGAGCAACGGAACGCAAAGAGGCGACTTTGGAGGCGAAACCACAGAAAAAAAACAAAGTCTCTGGATCCGGATTTCAGCGCCCCAGAGTCGGAGCAGAGAACCACAGAAACAGGCAGGCAACAGATTGGGTTTGCCACCGAAAATATCCCCCAAACAAAAAGTAAATCGAGAGAGAGACCCCAAGGCGCAAAAACGACCTGAAGTGTGTGTTATTATCGATCCCTCGGACGCGATTTTGGGTGACCGCCTTGTCGCGTGGGGAAGTATACCCACCACAGAACCAAGTGAAGTGAAGTAAAGAGAACGAAAGAGAGAGATGAAAGAGAAAACAAAGTGTCTAAGAGGAAAATAAATCACCAGGGTAGTGTGCAGCACCGTAAACAGTTGCTGGTCAGAACGGCGTATGATTACAGGGAACGGCCACCGATAGGCGGGGGAGCGGTGGAAATACCAATACACAGTATGGTGGCATTGACGATGTTTCCGGCGGTGGGGTGTCATTGACCTGAATTCATCAACTCCAGGTTGTTTCTGTCACTCGTTTCTTTCTTAGTATGTCTAGATAGTACTCGTATGCTTATATTTGGACCTTGATAGATTCTGCTATCTACAATATACAGAGTACTAGAACTGGTACAGAGCATGCTAGTTATACTGTCCTTCCTCTCATCTCAGACTTCCCCAGATTGAGACCGTTTGCGTCACTCCCCGGATGCAGAGTGGAATGCTGCGTTGCCCTTTTGGGCCTGACATGTCGATCCAAGGCAACGGCAGTGGAGCTCACGTCGCATTCTTTGCTACAGTCTACCGCAGGTACCCGAAACCATTTCAATCAACAAGACTGGATTGACCTAATCATACAAATGGAAAATAGCATCCCGGTCAGGGGCATATAGGAATCAATACAATGAAATTGGACATGGCTGTAAACAATAAAGAACCACAATGGGAAAAAGGAAAAGAAGAGAAGGTCGCAAGGAAACAGATTGTCGTCACGGCATTACAAGAAACCCAAAGTCTACTCATCACCAGGCATTTTAGAATCTCCATCTTCATCCAGCCCACGTAACGTAGGGTAGAAGACAGCACTCTCAGCCTTAGGTTCCTCCTTAGGCTGCTCGGAAGCAGCCCGCGACGCAGTCTCCACGCCCTCCATAGCATCAAGCCCAGGCGTAGGCGACGCAGATGAGCTCTGCGCCTGAGTCTGGCCATCAGCCTCCAGCAGCTCGGAGACCAAGCGACGAAGGTTCTCCAGGAGACGAACCTTCTCCACCCAGGCGACGTTGACGTCGCGTTCCGCGACTTCGGTGGCGGCCTGGGCGGTGCGCTGAGCGACCTCCTGGTCTGGGTTGGCCGAGCCCGATAGCGCAGGGTCAATCAGGCTTGCGGAGATGTGCATGGGGTGCTCCTTGGTAGGAGTGCGGTCACCATCCTTGGTGTCCTGGGAGACGTCCATGCGGTCCTCGGTGGCGGCTCGCTCGGCCGGCCGGGCGCGCTGCAGGGTGCCGCCGGTGTAGCGGCGACGGTCGTCGTGGTCGTAGGCGCCGCTGAGGGTGGAGGGGGGTGCGGCCCCGGACGCGGTGGGGTAGCCGGCGGTCATGCTGTCGGCGACGGTGGCGGAGGGCAGACGGGGGTACATGCCGGCGCCGCTCTCGTGGGGAGGAGACACGCGCTGGGCGTGGTGCATGGAGATGGGCGAGCGTTGCGAGGTGTAGGACTGCGCGCTGGAGGGCGGGGTCAGGGCGGGAGTGCCCACGGATGGTGAGTGGGCCTGGGCCGGCATCATAGGAGCAGAGGGAGTGGCGGTGACATGACTGGGAGGCAGTTGGGTAGGAGGAGAGTGAGTAGCGCGGTAGTTCATGCCGCCGTGGAGGTAGTGAGCACCGGGCTGGGCGACGCCGGCAGCGGCGACATTCTCGTCGCTCTCGTAGATGGTGTTCTGCATCTGTTCCAAGAACTGATCAATGTTGAGTAGGTCGTTCTTGGTGCGGACATTGGACATCGGGGGAAGATGGTAGCCAGGAGGCTGAGAGCCACCTGGGCTGTAACCACCACCGCCGCCGACGGCGACAGATGCAGGAATCTGCTGGTATTCGGGGACAGGGCCATTGAGGATGGGAAGCTGGAGAGCCTGCAAGCCGAGAAGGCGCTGGCCGACCGCAGCGTAGGAGTTGGGGTCGAATTGGCGACGCTTGAGGTCACCAAAGAACTCGTTCAAAGCATCGTAGCCACGCTTGCGGTCATAGGCGTGGTTTCCATCTTGGCCCTGGCTCAGCGCGTAGTACACATTACCGTAGGAATGTGGGTTGGCAGCCTGAGGAGGAGGGTGTGGCTGGTAGTACTGGGGCGCAGCGTGCGCATACTGGCCATTGACCCCGTTGATCGGGCTCTCAAAGTAATGAGTGGCAGCAGCATATCCCTTGGGGTTTTGAGGGAACATCATGTCCGGGTGCTTCATGCCCGGCTCGGGGGACCGAATCTCGGAGTCGTCGGCATGGGTCTTCACATGCTTCTTCAGATCCTGGGGGCGCTTGAACGCCTTCCCACAGAAGTCACACTTGTGAGGCTTGAGGGGCACATGCACCCGGATGTGAGAAGTGATGTGGTCCCGCTTGACGGTGGTGGTGTTACAGGTCCCCCATTGGCAAGTGAGATTGAGGTTGTTAGTACTCTTGCGACCAACGTGGCGTTCGCAGACATGCTCCTGTGGAGGGGTCGGTTAGTCGATGTTTCTTTCCCCCGCTGGACTCGAAGTGATCTTACATAGAGAGCCTCGGCAGTAGGAGACTTTTCAGTACATCCGACCCATTGACACGGCAGCTGCTCGCCAACCCCATTCATAGCGGGGCTGTTGACCGCCGCGGTCGCCGCGGCGGCGGTCGCGGTGACTGCCGCCGTCGAGGCGGCAGTGGCCTGAATGGGGGGCTCTGCAACAGGGGCCGGCAAGGTCGCAGGCTGCGTCGTCGCAGGGGCAATATTGTTTTCCGTCATGATGCCAAGAAATCACTCTGGTATTGGCGGACTGCCCAGACACGGCAAGCAACAAAAGAACAAGAGAAGTCAAGCAAGAAATCACACCCAGAAGTCAACTAGTCAACACTCGATCAGAATAATGGGCACGTCTATATGTATAGTTTCCCAAGAAGTGGAGGAATATAAGGAGAAGGGGAAAAGAGAAAATGGGGGGGGGTTCTCCGCAGAAGAGGAAAAGGAGCCGAGCCTTTGCCCAGAAAAACGCGCTTTGCTAAGCCGGGCGGAGTGTGACCAAGAAAAGGAAAGGCCAAGACGCGCGTGGAGTCCCAGACCCGAGAGGCGTTGGCGTCTTGGCTTATGACTGGTGGACCGAGGCCTGCGCATTCCAAACTTACGAAATTACTGTACACATCCTAGGCTAGCTGGTTGAGACGTGGAATAATTACATGCGCTTCGGATCCATGATATGTCTAGGCAAACACGATACCATCTGATACGTATTTATGAGGGCTCTCTCGACCTCGCCCAGGTGGACACATAACTGGAAACCTGAAAGGGAGTGAAAGAGACATTGGCGCCAACTCGCCAAGCCAAGCGAATTGTCCCATGGGGCAATGCCTCTTGGCAGCCAAGTAATTCCTCTTGCCAATAATTCCCGCTCCGAACACCAAGACTCGAAGTCTTGGTCTTGGTCTTGGTACCCATCCCTCTCCTGGCATTCTGGGCGCGTATGAGTCGTCGAATTAATGTCGCTGCCTGTTCTGGCCCTTGACGGGCTGCTGCATGAGTCGGGTTCGGACTGGACACACCGATCTAGCCATATTGAGGTACTATCTTGAGGGCTATAATTGAGTAATATTATACAAGTATACCCAGTATAATCTCTCATTCTACGGCCTTAATATACTACGAAGTACTAGTATACTAGTACTAGCTGGCCCAGGGTCTAAGCATACCTCCCCACTCACCGATACTTCCATTTAGGCTGGTACCAACTCCAGATATTCAACCCAACCTTCGTCCCCTTGGTGACTGGGAACGCAGCGTGCCATGTCTCCGGATACCCCGTTCCATCGGCCCGAAGATTCTCCCAAAAGACCGCATTCCCCTTAATCGGCTTGAAGGTAATGCCCTCCTCCTGGGACTCACACTCCAAAAACCGACACCACCCCTTCCCAGCCGGCATCTTCAGCCGCGGGAAATTCGTGCCCCCGCCCTCGCAGTCCGCATCCAGATAAACCATAAACGTACTCAGGCGATCCCCACCTCGCGCCAGCGATCCCGCCCAGTCATAGTGATGCCGGTAGTGGCCGGAGGCATTGTAGCGCTGGGCCCACATGCGCTCGACGTAGAGGTTCGGGCGCCAGCCCTGGAAAGCGCGGGCGCGATCCTCCAGACAGCGCACTGTGTCGTCGCGAGGGAGCAAAGCACGGTCGGAGAGGCGTTTGGAGGGGTCCACGCGTTCGGTCTGGCCGTCGTAGACGATCGAGGGAGTGTACCTGTTGATGCTGGGGCGCGTCAGCGTGTGGAACGTAGCGCGGTGCCTACGTAGACTTACCTCATGTCCAGGATGTGGTTTGCTTCGGTCTCGGATACGAAGTTCTCGATGTACATGATTAAGGGGGTGCGCGAGAGTAGGTGCACGCGGTAGCCTTCGGCGTCTGGGCAGTGGAATGGGACGCCATCTTCGGGGCTGATGAAGCTGTCGTCGGTGAGGTTGATGCCCGGTCCTGGGGCGCCGCTTTCGTCGAAGAGGTCGTTGTCGTCACTTGGGAGGAGGCTTGGGAAGAAGCCGCGTAGGAAGGGGTCGACGATGAAGAGGTATATGGGGATGAAGTACAGAGCCCAGGTGATGAGGGTGGAAAGCTTCGGGATGGATGCCATTGGGCTTTTTTGGTTAAGTGGCCATGCAGATGTAGTCACGGGAGTGCGCGGTCTCCGGAGGCTCGACGCTGTACTCGTATCTTGTGTTTCAGTGTGAGGGTTCAGTGCGATTGTATGTGAAGTTGCGGGCCATCTTGAGAAGTTGCGTGGGTGGGTCAACAGCCCTGGAGATCGGAGGCGCTTATCACTCTCGGCTACTTCAACGGTGCTACACGGTGTCTAGAGTACAGTCATTGCGCCAAATTTAGGCTCTCAGGTGCCCTGGATGGAAAAGATAATCATTCATGAATACATTTACGGGTGAAGCATTTCTCAGTTATTGGGAAATTCCCTAGACAGCATACAAAGACCTCAGGATCTAGATGCTCTATTTACCACTACTCAGGCATTGACCTAAGTTTTCTCTATGCTACCTAGGTACGTATTTGAAACCACCTCCCTCGCTGGTCCTGCCGGTATCCCTGTCTCAGTCAAGCCGCAGATCCAGCTACCAGGATGTTGAAAGTGCCACAAAAACGCCGGTAAACTCCGGTTCGTGGTGTATGCACTTTTTCGCACATACCGACCAAAGAACCCAATTGGAATCGTTGCATATGTCGGACGCTTCGCTTTCCGAGTCGGTCTAGCATCCAAGCTCTAAGACCTGGAGTGAGACCTCGGGATGTGTCGAGGTGAAAGAAGTATAGCCTTGGAGGCCATGGAGGTCAACGAATATATAAACACCAACATCCACAGCAAAACAACTTGGAAGACCAGATTTCGAAACAAGACCCAGCAACAGCAATCCTCTAAGACAACAAGATCTCAAATTCCACAGTCCTCAAAATGCATTTTATCCAAGCCATCTTGACCCTCCTAGCCGTGGAGACCAGTGTTGTAGCAGCTGCAACCCTGAACGCTCGACAGGAGAGTGCCTCCACGCCACCAACTGAAGTGGTCCAAACAGGCTTGCAGGGAGGTGTAAGTTAAATTCCAAGGTTCTTCCCAATTGAATGAATATGCATATTGACATAGATGAATAGACCTGCACCGTGGCGAACCAGATGTGCACCTTCCCGCAGTTTAACAATCGCATGGCTAGGTGCCATTCTGCTGTATGTTGACTGGATATTTCCGTATGCAATCGAAATGATGACTGACAGACGAAGGTCCCCTGCCGAGGTGATGGAAATGGCTGCACGGGATTCACTTGGTCTTCCGAGGCGGAGTGCTTCTAGTTGGACTGCAACCCTGAAGTTGCCTGCGGGCCCTTGAGACTCGGGAGGGAAATGAGTATGGTTAAGATCATGCAGGTAGTAAGATTCTCCATCTTGCGAATGGCCACCTAGATAGCAAGTCAATAGGCTACCCTAATGAATCAATTTTGGTCTCGGGAAATACCCTCCTTGGCACACTGAGAGCGCTGGAATAATCTTGGAAGGACCCAAGACGAAATAGCGAAGTATAACTTGGAATGTATTTATGTATAGAAAGAAAAAGCAACGCCAACCACCAGGTATCACCATTTTTACATCAGAATTTTGTTCATAATAGCGTTTCTCATCGAGAGCAAGTCACATATCAAGAGCAGAATCAAGTATTGTTGTTCATCCACTGAGTCCACTCATCATTCGACGCGTGGGCAGGTCGATAAGCGGCATTATTTCCGAAGAGATCATCGAACGAGATCCCCAGATCCATATTCATGCCCATATTCTCATCCATGCCGGCGGTCAAATCAGGCAATTCAGTCTGCATCTGGCCTGGATCCGACATCTCTTGTTTTGGGGCCATGGATTCAGCGGCCATTTGGTTGGGGTCGTTAGGCTGGAAGTTGTAGCTTTGCCAGACGAAGTTTTGGTTCGGGATGGAGACGAGGTCTGGACTGCCCAGTGCCTCGATTGAGGATTGGCTTTGTGAGATCGGGGACTGGATGCGAGATGAACTTCGGGAATGGGAGGGGCGGAGGTGACTTGGGACTGATGATCTGTAGCTCTGGGGCTGTCCGATTGAGAAGTTCGACAGGGTTGACAGGTCGAATGGTGGGGTGGAGACTCCAACGCTGTGGTCGCCTGGGGTGGTTGAGCCCATGCCTGCGGTTTGTGATGGATCGAAGGGGTATTGTGATGGCATCCCGTTGTCGTGGCGGAAATGGTCGTCTTCCAGGGTGGACATGGGCTGTGTGGGATACGCGAATGGATCGTCAGATGGGAACATCATGGGCATGAGATCTGGGAGATTGGCGGGGTTGGTGAATTGTTGTGCCCACGCTAGGCTCGATGGCTCCTGGCTGGAGATGGACGGATTCATCGATCCGGTCGAAGAGATATGTTCCGGTGTGGTCATGGTTTCAGTCAACAGCTCCGGCGTAGTGGAGACCCATGAAGATTGATTATTGGCATCGGCAGAACGATTGTTGATCTGGGTGTTATCCAGACTCTGTTGGCGGCGATTATGTATGTCTTTTGGAACTTGCTGTTGCATCATCTGCACTGGGAATGTACTTGATCGGTGTGGTAAAGCCTTCTCTGCCAAGGGCTTGGGTTCAACCCCCGTGTGCTCTGGCGCAGCCCGCTTGCGATTGACAGCGGGTTTAGAGCTCTGGCGATTTTTCAACATCTCAGGTAGGGTCTTGAACAGGCACTGTCAGACAGTCAGTAAATCAAAGCTATGGCTTTTTCTTTCTTTGTCTTTTTCCAAGAAAGACACTGCAAAACTCACGTTCAGGCTCTGAGAGCACCGGTCGGCGGCCAGACTTTTCTTAGCCAGCCCGGCGAGAGTGTGCTTGCCCTCCATAGCATCCTTCAACACACCGTCCTTGGCGGTAGGGGAGTCCGGGTTCTCTATGACGAAAAACAGCAAGGAAAGAATGGCAAAGTAGGTCGTGTACATGGTGAACCAGAACGATCCATTGAGCAGACCTCTCTTCTGCATGCCGGTCGTGATGTGAACGATGTTCCTGGAAACGCTAACACATGCAGCAGCGCAAGCATAAGACCTCTTGTCCACGCCCCGCGCCTGCGAGCCCCCCGATACGTAGTGGAGGAATGGCCGATACATCACCATCTGCACATGCGCATAGCTGATACGAAGCAGTTGTCGGACACTAGAAACATATTAGTCAAGGTTGATATGATGGCAATGCGTGAGAACTGACCGTTCTAACTGGGGCGACACTTCTGTGCCAGGTCGCAGGGCTGGAGGTAACTCCTCCATCCAGTTCTGTAGATCCCGCTCGATTTCACGAATCTTAGAATGACTGACCATGTACCGTTGGTCTGATTTCGAGCGGTAGCGAGCATTCTTGACTGGGTAGATGTACTTGACCACCTTCAAAATAATGGCGGAAAGACGAGTGTGTGCATTGCACCCTGCCATCAAGGGGGTGTAATTGGACGGCGGTTGGGTAATTCCCTCGGTGGTGATGAAATCCCCATCGATCTCTATTGGGTACTCCTGGTCGATATCGTCGTCGCTCAACATTTGAGGGAGACCCAGCAGTGTGCTGACGTATACATCCATCTTGCGGACGACCCAGAAGATGCGCTTTCGAAGCTCCCGTTCAATCGGATTGAAGTCTGCGGCAACGCTGCGATGGAGACCCAGTCGGAGCGCTGAGCGAAGCGCAATGCCTACATAGGAATAGCATGTGCTTAGTTTGGCGGAGGATTGAAGGAAAAGGACCATGAAGCAGATCGCCTGGAGGGAGGGCAAGTCGCGGCAATCGGTGATCTCCAAAAGTTGCCGCCCAGCCTTGAAGAATTGGAATCTGAAGAAATACGTTAGTTGAACTCTGACGCACGCAGTGAGTGGTATATCGACTTACCCCTGCCCAATGGCGCCCTCGTAGCCAGACAGATCGAGGGTACCTTGTCCCTGCCCGTCTTCTGAGAACAGACAGCCAACAGCGATGACGATATATAAGAGCGGCAAGAACGAGTTCTCCTCGTTTGTGAATTGCTCTGGAGGGGTATCGTAGATGCGTTCCAAACTTGCGAAGAACGAGGGCTCATGGACAAATCGCATCAGCGAGCAGGCATGGTCGATCGAATTGTGACACAAGCGACGAGCGACCTCTCGTGGGGGAAGATCGTGAGTAGGAGGCAATGTCGTATCCTGAGGTGATTCGGAAAATGACTTGGGACTTCCCATCATCTGCCCGGAAATCGAGGCGCGCGACCTTGCCATAGGGCTTGTAATGTCCACGGCGCCCAGCTGTTTGCGCAAGCGGCGCACAAATATAATTCCCGACGTGTGTCCATGATAATCCCAATGGCCTTGGTCGTCGCGATCCAGACAGCCCGAATTATCCACCATGGTTTCGAGGAGCCCCTCATCCCCCGCTTCTGGCGCCTCTGCTGGCGCGGCGAGTTTGGCCTCGGTCGCTTGTTTCTCCTTCTGGGCTGCCGCAAATCTCTGTTCCGTCGCATGTACGTCTAGTTGCGGGTCATCGAGGTTGACATTGGGCAGGACGGTCTTGAGCAGCGCCTCGGCCTTTTGGAGGCGAGCTTCGAGGGCCTCGACATATTGCGGGGCAGGGTTCCGACGGCGATTAGACGGCTGGTCGTACGAACATTCTACAGTGATGGTTAAGCCATGATTTTGGGATTGCCACGATCAAATGCGAAGAAAAGGGATCTGCGTACCATAGCTATAAACCGTGCAGTGGGTGCAGGGCTGCTTGCCGTCACATTTGATCTTTTTCCGTCGACACTCATCGCACGCACGGCCAACGCGACGCCTCTTCTGCATGGGCAGTGATTTAGGGTCTGCGGCGGCATCTGGGTGATCGTCCTCCATCGAATACTTAAAATCCGTTAGAGACGGATCGTCCTCATTCTCGCCGGACTGGGGGCTCCTAGTCGCCATGACTGGATCGATTGAGTCCGCACAGTGCAGATATTCATGTAAGGGGATTATAGTCTTGGCGGGCGATCCGATGCGATCATAAATAACACCGCCCGCTTGCGAGAAGTGAGGTGATCGAGCTTCACGCACTAACAGAAAGGATTCCGCTGTTTCCACACTCAAAGGAGAATAGGAGTACTTTTTCAGGGAGAGTATTAGAGTCTTGGAGATTTGTAAAAGAGAGAAGAGGGTCAGGGCTATGATGAAATGATTATCCCCGAAAGCGGTGAGTCACTTCTCCAGCACTTCAGGGCACCAGATCTGCCCAGTTGCTCACCAGTATACCTTTTTGGAGAAACCTGTACTTTTTTTCTCGTTCGCAGGGCGCAAGTCCGTGCGGGTGTTCCAGAATTTTTCACACTTCCACGGAGACTTGTCCGTCTTCATGCCCAATGAAATGAGAAACGAGGCTTTTTGCCGGTCTCCACAGGTGCTACGGCGTACTAGGTCGCCGATTACTATTCCGCGTATCTGGGACTCGGCCTGTCTGCAATATGCCGAGGCCTAAGTCCGGTTGAACTACCGTGGTCGAAGACGGCGTAAGTCCTACTTCGAACAATATATTGATTCCGTGACACATGTTCGGGGTTTGCAATTGGGCTGCAGGCCCTGACATGTCAAAGGATCAAACCTTGTACAAAGTACTGTACTGCTGTATGGAGTAGGGGAGAACGGTTCGTTCTCGTATACGGGGCACACACTGCATACCATGGATATTAAACCCTTGGACAATTTACTCCGATCTCCGTCCTCCGTGCCCGATAATCTCTCATGACATCGTAGATTTTGTGCACCCGTTATACCCGTTATATCCACCAGATGTCATGACTCCAAATTGGGGGCCAAGCACTAGGGACGATCTTCCTCAGCCATCGGCCATCATCACTAGTGCTGACTTTTTTCTGTTCTTTTTTTTTTTTTTCTTCTTTCCCTTCATCTCAAACCATCCGGGGTAGGAGTCGACAGTAGAATTTTCCCTTGGCAAGGCCCTTGTGACCTATACGAAGGGATCTTATGAAGTGATGAAACAAGGCAAAATGCATCCTATGTTGACAGCCCTGTGACGCCAAAGAAGAATGCAAACAACGCGCTCTCCTTAGGAGCCCTGGAAGGCATACGGAGGAGACAACTTCGTCTATGCCCAGACATTGTCCGTATTCGAATTCGCGGGACTCCGAATACGGCCTCGCCATTAGCCTATTATTCCCCCCCAACGTCTCCGTCCCGGGAAACTGATTATCGAAAGTCTAGCGTCGATAGTGAAAGGTGAAACGAATCCTCTGGCGATCCCTCGCATCCCCGGCATGGCATTCCATTCGCCCCTGTGGCACGTCCCACTTTCCCCAGGGTGGATCGGCATTCGACATCGCGACTGGTAAAGAAAAATCTCGGCTCTAATATCAATCGACTTCTCTTCTTCAGCTTTCTCCAGCTTCTTCAGGCTCATGTAGCTGCGAACACATCATGACCTTTTTCCTTGTGACGTTCTGCTGCGTCTTTGCAGCCCTAGGATCATTCCTGTTCGGCTATGATTCTGGCGTGATTTCCTCCAGCATTGAGCAAGAGGCCTTTCTGCGCCGATTCGGTTCCCCAGGCCTCTCTGACGCGGCGGCCGGTGGAATCATCTCCTCGTATACAGGTGAGCTGCGAGTTTCTTTCCCCCACCGGAACTTAGCGCGATCGGGAGCTGATCGTGTTCCCGCGTAGGCGGAGCTATCTTGGGCTCGGTCCTCGCCCCATATATCTCGGATCAGTATGGTCGTCGAATGGTCATTTTCACTGGGGGACTACTGGCGACACTGGGGGCGGCCCTCCAGGGAGGAGCGGTTACAGTTGCGATGCTGATCGCGGGTCGATTCATCGCGGGCTTGGCAATTGGTCAAATGTCTGCCACTATTCCCGTATACTGTGTACGCGCCCATTTCACATGCCTTTTTTTTTTTTTTTTTGTCTAACGTGAGCTTAGAGCGAGGTCGCTCCGCCGCAGATTCGAGGGATGCTGGCGAGTATCCAGCAATGGATGATCGGGTTGGGAATCATGGTCGCTGTACGTATTTGCCGGGATATCCTGGTGGCCTGACTGACAATGTTCCCAGCAATGGACGGGGTATGGATGCTCCCTGCGCGGGGGCACTTTTTCCTGGCGGTTTCCACTCTCATTTCAGGTCGTTCCGGCTATTATCCTCACTTGTGGCGTTTGGTTTCTTCCAGAGTCACCAAGGTGGCTGATTGAAAAGGGCAGACATGGCGAGGGCCGGTCTGTTCTCGCTAGACTTCACCTCAACCGCAGCGCAACCAATGAGAAATTCCTCGAGGACGAAATCGCCCAGATATGCGACTGTCTCGAGTCGGAAAAGCAGTCAGCGGTGCGCTCTTGGCGCCAACTCCTCCGATCCCCGCGCTGGCGACGCAGGATTCTGTTAGCTTGCGGTCTGCAGGTCTTCACGCAGTGCTCTGGCACAAATGTTGTTCAAAATTATGGCCCGCGGCTGTACAAATCGCTCGGTCTATCGACAACCAGATCACTGATGATCATCGGTATCTGGGGCGCGCTGGCGGTGTTCTGGAACACGGTGTTCATGTTATTCATCGATAAAGTCGGACGTCGAAAGCTCCTTATCCCATCGCTGTTCGGCATGGGAGCAGCCATGTGCGTCGAGGCAACCCTCGCACGATACTTCGACTTCGACGACAGCAACGCCAACCCAGATGCCCTGCGCGCCGCCATTGCCATGTTCTTCGTTTTCTCACTCTTCTTCACGGCTCTGGGAATGATCTCCTGGATCTACCAGTCCGAGATCTTCCCCACGCCGATCCGAGCGCGTGGTTCGTCTATGGCCACGGCCACAAATTGGAGCTTGAACTTGATCTTCGCGCAGTGCTCCCCGATCGCACTCACAAATATCGGGTATAAGTACTTCTACTGTTTTGTGGGATTCAACTGGGCGGCCATGATTGTTGTTTGGCTCTACTACCCGGAAACTGCAGGCCGTTCACTCGAGGAGGTTGAGGGTGTCTTCACGATTGAAATGACGGACCTGGCCGACGAATCTCCTGTTAGCCAGAACACCGTTGGCACTGCGGCGCGCTCTCAGGTTCGGCGCAAGGGCTTGCATCCACTGTCGATGAATCCCACTTTTGATACTATGAGTATTGAGAGTGGGAGGTGTGGGTCCGAGAAGGGAATTGAGGTCAAGGAGATTTGAAGCAATCTGCTTAATGATTCGATGATAATATGTGTAAGAACTGAATGATACACTTGGCGCGATGAATTCGACGTGCATTTGCCATGATTTGTCTGGTCCTAGTCATGTACTAGTACCATGGTGTCATCTTTCCACTGTGGACCTCGGGCCAGGCCGTAGAGCCTGTGCAGAATGGGGACAGCTTCGATATCCGGACCTATGTGCCACAACCCATTGGATATACAAGAGCATCGTACCTCGTCTCCCCGGCTGAATATTCCCACAATATGGCAAGCGAAAGCCCCTCAACTTTCTGTGGAATCTTTATGGGACTAAATATCGAAACTCGGTAAGCCGCCCATCGTCTTCGGCGTTGTGGGACTTGTAGTGGACCGAGTAGTTATACCCGTCGACGGTGGACCTGTGTCCCAATCGGGCAGTTGGAGCCACCCGCTTTAGGGCAGTCAGAGCCGCCTCTACAGAAAAAATAACAGCAAAAGGCAAGTATAAAAGGCCCTCTGGAACTCTTGAATATCTTGAAATCAAGTTCACACAATGGCCAAGTCAACAATCACTCTCGCCTCCGGCAAGGAAATGCCCCTCGTGGGCTTCGGTCTCTGGAAAGTCCCCAAAGAGACAGCCGCCGACACCGTATACAACGTCAGTATACCACAATTTAAAGACTGCTGATTGTGTATTTAAACTGACCTCCCCAGGCCATCAAAGCCGGATACAGACTCTTCGACGGAGCATACGACTACCAAAACGAAAAAGAAGCCGGCGAAGGCATCCAGCGCGCCATCGCCGACGGCCTCGTCACTCGCGCCGAGATCTTCATCACAACCAAGCTATGGAACAACTACCACCGCCGCGAACATGCCCTCGAGATGGCAAAGAAGCAAAACGACGCCTGGGGCCTAGGCTACATCGACCTCTTCCTAATGCACTTCCCCTGCGCATTGAAATACATCGACCCATCTATCCGCCAATACCCCGTAAGTCCGCCATTCCATCCATCCATCACAATCCCAATCTAACAATCCAGGCATGGTGGATGGACGAAGCCGGCACCGTCTCCCCAGACAACGTCCCCATCCGCGAAACCTGGGAAGCGATGGAGAGTCTCGTCGACAGTGGCGTGGCACACAGCATTGGCGTGAGTAATTTCCAAGCACAGAGTCTATACGATATCCAGACGTACGCGCGCCACCCATTATCGGCACTGCAGATCGAGCATCATCCGTATCTTGCGCAGAGTGAGCTTGTGCAGATGGCGCAGGAGAATGGGATTGCGATTACGGCATACTCGAGCTTTGGACCGCAGTCTTTTGTGGAGTTGCCGCCTGCGTTTTCGAAGAGGGCGCAGGGGATTCCGTTGTTGTTTGATGCTGAGGTTGTGAAGGGGGTTGCGCAGAGGTGTGGTGTTAGTCCTGCGCGGGTGTTGTTGCGTTGGGCTACGCAGAGGTTGGTTCCTTTTTCTTGTTTCTTCTGTTTGTTCGTAAGCTGACGCTTTTCAGGAATATTGCTGTTATTCCTAAGTCGAATAATCAGACTCGGCTTGCGGAGAACTTGGATGTTTTGGGCTTTGATCTTACGGCTGAGGAGATTGAGGCTATCACTGCCTTGGATCGGGGTTTGCGGTTCAATGATCCTGGCTTTTACTTGCCTAACTATCCTCTTCGTATCTTTGCTTAGAGAGTTATGAGGAATAAGCACACCTAGACTTGTTTTTTTTGGTCGTCTCTTACATTCTCTAGGTATCTTCTATAGCCTCTAAGATTGCAAGGTTGTTTCGTACCATCCATAGATCTAAGCTACAGATACCAGTACTCCGTACTAGGTATGGTACACCCAATGGAAGCAAAACCTATGCCTCCAAAGATCAATGTATCCTCTACGTTTACTGTGACCTTTCAGGTCATTATGGTGAAGCATATGGGTTTCAGGCTGCATGGGCAAATCGCGTGTGGAACAGAATTCTCTACTATACAGTCTATCTCTTCTACCTTAATCTCTATGTGGCCGTCTATTCTTTTCCAGGGGTAAAAATCAAAGCCCCATAATCACATCTATCAAACAGATAAATGACAGAAAAATAACAAGCGCAAAAGGCAAAAACAATATCAGGGAAACGCTTAAATCGGCTCGTCACGGGGCTCAACCAGAATCTCGTTAACGGAAACGTATTCCGGCTGAGTGAGGGCATAAACAATGGAGTTTGCAACATCCGATGGGTCAAGAATCTTTGCTCCGGAGGGTTCTCCGAACTTCTTGACGGCTTCAGCATCAGTCGACATACCCAGGAGGTCTGTGGAGGTGTTTCCAGGCTGAATACTCGTCACGCGGAGTCCGGCACCCGCAGTCTCGAGACGGAGCGCTTGGAGAGTGGCCTCAACGAAGAACTTGCTGGCAGAGTAAACGCCCAGACCTGGGAATACTTTGCGACCGGCGTCGGAGGAGATGGCGACGACGTGACCGCGGCCGCGGGAAAGCATACCGGGGACTGTGGAAGAGAGGGCGTGAAGGAGACCCTTGCAGTTAACATCGACTGTGCGTTCCCACTCGTCCATCTGGGTGTTGGCCATCATGGTGAAGTACATGACACCGGCGCAGGCAACCAAGATGTCCACTGGGCCCAGTTCCTCGCTGGCAGCCTTGACAAGATCCTCGACCTGAGTCCTGCTCGTGACGTCGGTGGATCGTAAGATGCATTTCACACCGTGGGCCTCGACCTTGCGCTTGGTGCCCTCTAGGGCATCTAGTCGACGAGCGGCAAGGGCAACGGCACAGCCCTGCTTAGCCAGGGCGGTTGCTACCGCTGCACCAATGCCAGAAGAGGCACCGGTGACAACGGCAACTTGGCCACTGAGCGGGCCCTTGACGGGTTCAGCAGGACGATTCAGAGCCTGTTGACGGGAAGGAGGTCGTGGAAGCCATCCTCGAGCAAACCAGTGCCGAGTGTAAGTTTCCAACAGCAGACTGTCCACCTTGGGTCGTTCGATCACGGCGCGGAAGGGTCGAGTCAGGGCATTATCGAGAACCACAATGTCGCGAAGGAACTCCACGGTAGGCATACCGCTGCGAAGGATGTCGACGGTGAATGAACCGTCTCCACCCTTTGCAGAACCGCGCTTCTCGAACCACAAGGCGACCCACTCGTCCCATGGAAGGGGCTTGGTTTCGTAGCCAAGACCCTTCAGGTCTTCGAAGACTGAGCGAGTATCAACGGGCTTAGGGTCACCGAGATGGAACACGGTTTGATCTGCCTGGGTTTGGGCAGCAAGGTGAACGACTGCTTTGCTGACGAAGTTGACAGGGGTCATCTCTGCGCGCCATCCATCCACATCGGGGGCGTACCCAATCTGAATAGATTCGACGATCAAAGCAGTGAGGAGATCCCATGCGTTGGCAGAACCTGTAACACTGTGACCACTGATAGTACCGCAGCGATGAATCTTGACCGGCAATCCACGCTCGCCAGCCTTCAGAACAAGCTGCTCTGCAACCCACTTTGTCTGGCCGTATCCATCGAGCAATTTTGTGGGAACATCTTGGACATCCAGAACGGTCGTCTCGGGCCAGCCGTTTTCGCCTGATGGTGGCAGAACACCGTTCGTAGAAACATATTGCACGGTCGCACCACCCTTAGCGGCCAAGCGGAGGATCTCTCTAGTTCCCCCGACGTTGGCGCCGCGCAGTGCAGCATAGGGGTACACCAGGTTGACGGTGGCGGCAGCGTGCACGATGACCTGAACGCGGGACGCGACATCATCGAACTCTTCGGGACCCAGGCCCAGTCGAGGGCGGGAAAGGTTGCCAGGAAGAACTTCGACACGCTCAAGGATTGAATCGCGCCAGAGTCCCATGTCGAGGAGGTTTCGGCGGATTCGGGCCACACCTCCGGCTTGGTCATCCTGCTCAGGGTCACTGAAACGAACCAAGCAGATGATCTTGGCCGAGGTATTCTCGATCAAGTCATTCAACAAGAAAGCACCCAAGAAACCGGTGACACCGGTCAAAAGCACGGTGTCAGCTGAGGTGATGGGTGTAATCGCAGTGTTGGTAGGCTTGATATCCTCGTCCAGGGTGGCATCGGAAAGCAAGACTGCAGGCAGGTTGGCCTGGACCTCTTCGGTGTGTCCATCTCTGACAGCACGGACGGTCTCTAGGTGACCGGTGAGAGTGGTGTTCTCCGCGAGGCGGGGGATAGGAACACGGAAACCAAAACGTCTAGAAAGCTTCGAGGACAAGTCGGCAAGAGACAGGGAGTGGCCACCCAGATCAAAGAAGTTGTCCTCGGGCTTCAGCAAGTTCTTTGAGACTTTCAAAACAGCCTCCCAGATAGCAGCGATATCACTGATACCAATCGGGTCCTTGCCTGCACTCTGCTCACTGCCATTGGGACTGGAGCTGCGAGGCGAAGGAAGGCTCTTCATGTCAACCTTTCCAGAGACTGAATTGGTAGGGATCTCTTCCAAAGCGACCCAGAGGGCCGGGATCATGTATTGGGCAAGTCTGTTCTCGAGAGCCCGGCGTGCAGAAGGGCTGTGACCAGACTCATTGATTGCGACAGCGGGGCGTTCAGAGGAAGCCTCCTTATCGGGAACAATGTACGCAACCAACTGACGGTCCAAACCGTCACCGTACGCAGTGACTGCACATTGGCTGACAGCCAGGTACTGGCAAATATCGCTCTCAACCTTAGCTGGCACGACGGAATAACCACGGAGCTTGATCATGGCGCCGACACGACCGGTGATCTCGAGCAGTCCCGATGGCAGTTTGCGAGCCAAATCACCAGTCCTGTACATGCGAGCCCCGGGGGTAGAATCGAATGGGTCGGGGGTGAAGGCCTTGGCGGTGGTTTCTGGAAGGTTGATGTATTCCCTGGCCAGCAGAGGACCACCAATGAAGAGTTCGCCCGAAGTCCCAGCCTCCACCTCCTGTCCACTCTCATTCAAGACATAAGTGTGGGCAGGATCGAGGGGTGGCCCAACGGGGCAGTATAGAGATTCGCTATCGGTCATATCGCGGATATCGCCACAGGCGATTTCATGTGTTTCGCACGCACTGTAGCAGTTGAGCAAGCGAGTGTTGGGGAGGATCTTACTGGCCTTGAGGGCCAGCTCGGTTGTGACGACTTCGCCGTTCAACCAAACGATTCGCAGGTCGGGGACACGGGTGCCAAAGCGGGGATAACGGGAGAGGACGGTGGCTAAGAGGGTGGGAGTCATGAGGGTCTCGGTGACCTTCTTCGCGGCGAGCAGGTCCACGAGGGCGGCGGGATCGTAACTCGTCTCATCGGGTACGATGACCACGGTAGCTCCGCGCAAGAGCGGCCGCAGCATCTCCCAGATGAAGAAGACATTACAAGCCACCCGATCCCCCGGTTGGACATCCTGCACGGCGAATCTGAGATCGTAAGACAAAACTGGGGCCCGGTGGGGGTTGGCGATGCCCTTGGGCTTTCCTGTGGTTCCTGACGAGTAAGAGACAAACGCTAACCGGTCCAGATCGTCATTTGCGGGCAATGGGGAGGGTTCCTTGGCATGGCCATTGATCTCGGCCACGGGGTCATCCAAATTGATCAATGGCACTGGTGCTTTGATCTTCTCGGCCTCGGACTTGTGGGTGATGATGACGGCGGGATTGGCATCGTCGATCACATCCGCCAAGAGGTCTGCTGGGTAGGCCAGCTCGAGGACAAGAAAGGCACCACCTGCACGGAGCGCTGCCAAACAGGCAATCACGTAGTGTGCACTCCGAGGCAGCAGGACGCCCACGAGGGTGTCCCGGCTCACCCCATAGGCCCGGAGCCGGCTGGCTAGGGCCTCCACCTCCTGATCCAACTCAGCATATGTATAGGAGGCGGAGTCATGTTCTAGGGCCACGGCATTAGGGGTGGCTTGGACCTGCTGCTTAAAGAGTGTGGGCAGGTCCTTGGTGATATCGAGAATTGCCATGTTTGGAGAATGTCGCTCACAATTCTCCAGGGTATATGTGAAAAGGCAAAAGAAAAGAAAAAAGTATGGTGATCACGACAGAGCAAGTCACTATGACACCAGGGAGCAGGGGACATTTAAAAGCAAGGCATCCCTATGGGTCCCGACATTTTGTTGAATCAGGACTAAAGTAAGTTAGTCGTCCAGTGGGAATGTACACCTGGGCAGTAGTCGCCCTTATCGCCTTTCCCCGCGCTGCCCTGAGCCCTGGAGGCCTATGCGGGATTTTTGTGCGCTTACGGGGCTTACAGAGTTTATCACTTGCAGGGATCTTTTTTCTTCTTCCTTTACACTTGGATAACTCTTGAACTATACAGAAAGATCACTCTCCAGCTGATTCGAGACAGAATAGAGCTGTCGCTCCCAACAAATGCTGTCCCTTTCACATGTCAATCTCCACAATTTGCATGTGAAAGGACCCAACGCTTTTCCCAAAACGGACATAATTTGGAGATTTCGAGGCTGTTTGTCTCGTTTGTGCTGTTTGCCCTGTTTGCACCCGGCCATTAATCACGGTGCCCCCTAACAGGAATCGGTGATTCGCCGATGCTCCGGTCTTACTCCGTTTGACTTCGCGCATTCCAGGGCAGCGCACAGTCCTGTCCCTGTTCTCCCCGGAGTTTCTTACTGACTGGGCTTCGCTCGGTGAGATTCCACGGGTATCTGGCCTGAGAGATCTGCGTGGCCCCATTTCCACCTGTTTCCATCGACGTCAATGACTTGGCCTTCGACAGCTGGATGCTGACCGGCACACGGGGTATTCGCCCGATCACCCTCACACTACATGCGCAGGTACGGGTACGGAGGACACTCATGTCAGATATCAGCCCACATGCCCACATGCCTGTTCGGGAATAGTAGCACGGGCCACGGATCGGCACACGGAACATCCCGAGATTCTACCTGAGTCAGTCACGCTTGGATCGCGTCGATGTTTTCATCTAATGGTATGGTTGGACCTGAATACTAGATCTATGGCTTCATTGCTGCTGAACTCTACCGTGAAAATATGGGGCCGCAGTTCACTAGTATAAAGTACGAGGATCAGTGATACCATCTTTTTGGTACATGCGTCTCGGGAACTTGGAGCATAAATCGAGCCCGTAAATACCAACTGAGTACTGTCCACTGAGACCCGGTGATTCAGATTGCAGCCTCAACATGTTCAATCTGTCGGCCCTTCAAATCGGCCTCAATCTCCTTGTTCTCTAACTGTCGGATCTGAGCCCCAAGACCAGTACACACGTAGTCCTTGAACTGCGTGGTCGGAACCTTCTGTTGAAACATCTCATCAAGCTCCTCCAAGGATCGATCCTTGGTCTCCGGGAGACAGAAATAAACAAACACCATAGCAGCGACAGAGAAACTACCATAAATGATGGCAGTTCGGCCCCCAATCTGGGCCTGCACGTAAGGATTGACGAAATTGATAGGAACAGAGGTCACGAAACTACCCAGCGACGACAAGAGCAAAGTTCTTTCGCGCAACTGGCCGGTTCCAATCTCACCACCGAGAATCCACACTCCAGGGCCCCAGGATAGCGCATAGATGGCGTACCAGAGAACAAGCATGGCAATGCAGCCATTCTGCGTCATGGGAGATAGACCCTCGTACCCGTTTGCCGTGGTGCCGCCCACGCCGATCATCATCGCGGCCATGAAGAAGGCACCCGTGAACATGCTGCTTCGTCGACCAACTTTATCAAAGGTGAAGAAGGAAAAGACATTAGCGACAAGGCCGCAAGCCAGCACGATGACATTGTACTTCAGTGGATCCGCAAAGCCGAGCTGCTTCATGAATGTCACGATGAAGTTGTTGATGAAGGAAATGCCTTGTGCCTGCTGCAGAACTTGCACGCCAATGGCAATGATGGTTCGTCGCATGTTGGTTCCGCGGAAGCAGTCCATCAGACTAGTGGCTCGATGCAGCTCTCGCTGCTCTTCCACCTGTAGTCGGAGTAGCTGGACCTCCTCGGCTGCATTATAATGGGCGCCGTATAGGTCCTTGATTGCGGTCTCAGCCTCCTCGTAACGTCCGCTGTAGACCAGGTATCGAGGTGTTTCAGGAAGGAGAGGATACGAGAGGATGATTCCAACAGGAACGGTAAGCTGGCACAGAATCACTGTTCTGGTATGGTATCAGTCACTCAGTAACGCTAGAAATACTGGACGTAGAAAGGGCAATCCTTACAGGTAAGCCCATTCGGTCTTCAGGCTCTGGCATAAGTAGACCACCAGCGTAGCAAGGAATCCTCCAAAGGTATTCCAAAACGAATAAGCAGTCAAAAAAGCTCCTATTCTATGTTAGATCTATTTCAAAGCGTCGATCAACCACGAACCTCTGATTTTAGCCGGCGCGCATTCAGACTGGTACATAGGCACCACATTCGAAGCAATACCGATGCCGGAGTAAACCACAATACGTCCAACGACCAATTGCCAGAACGAAGTCACAGCAGAGGCTTCGAGAACAATCCCAACCGACAACACAGCCGCCATGACCAACAGCGTCGGCTTCCGGCCAAGATGCGAACATAGCCAAGGCGAAGCTAAACAGCCGAAAATGATACCAGCCGAGCCAGTACCAGTGCCGGCAGACTGTTTTTCGGATGGAATGATCCAATCATTGGTGGCTGGATCCCAGGAGCCATATTTCTGGGCAAAGGGCGTTAATCCAAGAGCGCCTCCCCACCAAGAATTGTCAAAGCCAAAGCCCATGGCTCCAAGGGAGACAAAGCAGCCGATAAAAAGCAAGCGGGGGCTCAGCTCCTGGTAGAGCGCTGATTCTTTGAGGCCGAACATTGGAAATATAGAAGAATAAGATAATGTTTAAAGCCAATGCAGCCCCAGTATGAGCGGGTTCATGGATATCTCAACATAATCAACATAACTGCGCTTTATATACTCGAGCCGTGATGGGCATCAGCCATGGAGCAAGCCGACTGTTCCGGGAAAACAGGTGGGGTCCCCGCAATCCCCAGACACGGCTTCGTTTCAATCGTCAAGATTCCTCAGTCTGGGGGACATAGAGAAAGGCCGGGTGGTTAGGATTGCTCCTTTGGCCGTCTCGGCTAAACTCCGGCAGTTGACCCCCGCTCCCCAACTCGGGCAGTGTGGCTCGCATTGCTGTTCCGGGCATACATCTCTAGTTCTCAGTAGTATTCAAATATGCTGCCTCTTCATTGACTTGCTATTCTCAAAGTCGGTTCTACAATCAGTCTACATCCAAGATGGCATCTCCACAGTTCCAATCATTCCCCTCCAAGCCGCGAGTGTTCATCCTCAGCGATATCTCGAACGAGCCAGATGATGCAGAGTCACTCGTGCGGTACCTCTTATACGCCAACCAATTTCAAACAGAGGGACTGGTCGCATGCACATCAACATGGATGAAGAACAAAGTCTGTCCACAAGACATGCACAAGATCATCGACGGCTACGAAAAGGTCGTCGACAACCTCAATGCCCATGCCAGCCCACAAGACCCATACCCACCAGCCCAATACCTCAGATCCATAATCAAGAAGGGCGCAGAGGTAACTATCCCCCAAATTACCATCCCAACCAGCCCTAACCCCATCCCCAGACCTACGGCATGAAAGCAGTGGGCGAGAACATCCCCCTCAGCGAAGGCGGCCAGCTCCTCCTAGAGCGCATTGAAGCCCAAAGTCCCGACCCCCTCTGGATCCTCTGCTGGGGCGGCACGAACGTCCTAGCATCCGTGCTCCTGCGCATCCAGAAAACACACTCTGCATCCGAGGCTGCAGCCCTACGCTCCAAGCTCCGCATCTACACCATCTCCGACCAGGACGATACAGGCGTCTGGTTGCGCACCACGTACCCGGACCTCTTCTACATCTGTTCCGTGCACGGATGGTGCCAGTACGGGATGGCGGCGTGGACGGGGATCTCAGGGGACAAGTGGTATGGATTTGACAAGGGAGGGCCAGACGGAAGCAAGATTACCAAGGAGTGGATACGAGAGAATATCCAGATTGGGCCTTTGGGGTCCACGTATCCGGATTTCATGTTCATTCCTGAAGGGGATACGCCGACGTTCTTGTATCTGATTCAGAATGGGCTGGGGGTTGCTGAGAGGCCTGAGTTTGGGTCTTGGGGTGGCAGGTATATTCAGACTGATGTTAGTGGATTGTTTGGGAAGGGTCATTATAGTGATACGCCTGATGAGGTGGAGGGGGCGGATGGACGGATGCATAAGTCGAACCAGGCGACGATTTGGCGGTGGCGGGATGCTTTCCAGACTGATTTTGCGGCGAGGATGCAGTGGTCGCTTTCGTCGGATGTGGGGGCTGCGAATCATCATCCTGTTGCGATTGTGAATGGGACGACGGGGCCGGCTCCGCTGGTGCTTGAATTGGAGGCTGGTGTTTCGTTCCGTCTTGATGCTTCGGAGTCTTATGATCCTGATCCTAATGACTCGCTTACCTTCCGGTGGTATCAGTATAAGGATCCCAGTGCGACGCAGTGGTCTGTTCAGCATGAGGTGGGCGAATTGGGTATCAAGTCTCTCAATGAGGCCAATAGTCTCGTTGAGGTGACTTTGCCCACGCCGGATAAATGCTGCGTTGAGTTGATCAGCCGCGAAGCGATCCCCAAAGGACAGTTGCTGCATTTGATCTTGGAGGTCAAGGACAATGGTGCCCCCGCACTGACTACATACCGTCGGATTATTATCCAGACGACGAACGAGAAGCTGCTTGGTGGCGGTGGCGGTGCTGATTCGATCGGCGATACCATGAAAGACGTGATGTGAGAGATGCTGCACTCAAAGTTGCGTGTATTGACTTCGAGATTGCGACATTGAAATCCCAGAATGTGATTATATATAGAAGATGGTGCTCAGATACTAGTCAAATCGCTCCATAGATCCTTTTCGAAACGCCGATGCATGCACATCGCATAATGAACGTGATACCGTGCCAAGGAAACAAAAAGAAAAGAAAGTCACTCAATCAATGAGCGCATGTGATAACTCGTCAGTGGGGCATCCAAAATTTCCTGTCGAAGTTCCCCCTCCCAAAACACCATACTCGACTCTTGAACCTGCAGAGTCAAGCACGAAAACAAAAACTCACTAACGCGATACCACGACTCCGAGCGCAACCGTTTCGCGATCTTGAGCATCCGACCAGCGAACCATGGGCGGTCAGAAGGCGAACTCGCCGTCGGAGAGTACTGGGAGTAATCCGGGACATCAGGTTCTCCCAGCGAGGCAGTATCGAAGTAACCGGTCGACAGTTCCTCGACATTGCCATCATTACACTCGAGGAGAATTTGGAGAATAGCCTCGACGGAGCCACTCATGTCGACTTCGCTGTCGATCATGGCTTTCTCAAGCGTAGTGAGGAAAAGTCCCACGCGGGCCGGAGTGTACCGGTAGTCCCATAGGGCTGCGTTGAGGATCATGAGCGCAACGAGGCGCGCGACCATTTGTTTGCGGTCGCCTGAGGTGGAGAACCTGGCGCCGGGGGGTGCAGCGAGGACTCGGTGGAGAAGACATGTCGGTTGGAGAATTGCTTGTCGGGAGATGTGGAGAGCTTCAGGGTTGTCGCGCTGGTACAGGGCGAGCTGTTCGCAGCGGCGAAGGAAGTCGAGGAATTCTTCACATTGGAATTTGATCTCGTCTACTGGGGATGTTGGGATGGGGACTGCCTGCGGCTCCGGGCAGGGAGAGACCGAGTGTGCAGACGAGGTGGAGTATGGGGGTGATGGCATTGAATGGAAATTGGACTGGGGTGGCACATTCTCCTGGAATGTCGGCTGTTCATATTCGTAGTAGAAGCTTGGGCCGTGAGTCTCGTACCCGGACAAGATGTAATCCTGCCAGTTGATGAGCATCCCCAGACGTGTCTTTGCGAACGCGGCAGGGCCTCCACGTGCCCGGATCATCTCCCGTGCAGCCCGCATGTGAATCCAGCTGATTTCCTTACGGCCTGGACGCGGATCGAAGTCCTCGAGGGCTGCAGCGCTGAGACAGGAGATGATGGCCACATCGGAGATATCGTGCGGGTTCTGGGCAATGTGCTCGCGGAGCATCGTGACGGCCCGATCCCGGTGCAGCAGTGTATTTGGAGTCTGGCCTTCGTTGCGCACCCAGGACCAGGTATTTGCCGCGTGGACGATAATGGTGTTTTGGAACGCGACGGAGCCTTTCATGCCCTCGGGCACGAACACGGCCGTGTACCAGTTGTGGGCCTTGGCCGTTCGGAAATGCGACCCGTATGAGCAGGCTGGCATCGTATTCACGTAGAAGTCGAACAGTCGCTGTCCATCTTCATCCAGGTCGATGGGCAGGGTATTAAACGGATCCGTCCGCGCCGCACTCATGATGGTTTTGGGCGACTGCATGAGTTGGTCGGGGGTCGTCGGTGCGGACGACCATAGAAAGTCATTAAAATCGATAGCCTCGTTGGGTGTGTTATAACCAGACACATAGTCCTGGTAAAAGGCATCGGGATGGGATGGTCGAAAGGGGAGGAATAAGATGCTCTCGCTGGCCTCACTAGCTTGGGTGGACGTGAAGCCCGGGATGTCCCGTACGATCTCCTCGTCTGCAGGTTCTGCTAAAACGTCCTTTGATTTGGGTTGGGCCTTGCGCTCCTTGCTGTCACTATCTGATTTGGCCTTCTTTGCCGCCCGTTTTGCTCGAGGTTTCCTAGGTCGCCCGCGCTTGGGCTGCGGACGCTCCTCGTCGCTTTCACTCTGTCGTGGACTGCCTTTCTTCTGGCGCATGTACTCTTGCATGACATGGCGCTTGACTTGAGTCAGGTTACTGCGACTGTTGTTGGAAGAGTCGATAAATTGCCACCTAACGGGCGTCTCGGAGGGATCCATGAGGTTCAGCATAAAGTTATAGTTGAGTCCGTGCAAAAGGGATCCCGAGATATTTAACAGAAGTCAGCCGGAAGAGCTGGGACCCAGCACGCCGGGAGATTGCCAGCACTGTCACTAGTTTGGGGGCCACAGGATAAACGGCTCTTAGATTCGATCCATATTTTAGTCTCACTCCACTATCGTTCATGAGCACTTGTTTTCTCCCGTCTTTTGATCGTTTAATCCCTCGGACTGCCTCCGTTAGTGTTTTTTTCCTCTTGGCGAAGTCGAGTCTTTGTCTCCGTCTAACTGGTTGCGGGGCCGATCCCAGGCCGATCCGAGCCTGCAGTTGAACGATACTATTATTATCCAGGGCAACTTTGCTGATCCTGTGTATGCAGAGTCGTCTATTCTTCCTCCTTCTGGTCAGCTAACACTAGGGCTGACAATGTTTCAGGCTTTAGGCTTAAAGCAGCTACGGGTTACCGGTAGACAGGATGCAATTTATGCTACGGCCAATCAATCTCTATTCCATCTGATAAAGGCTGCTCGCTAAGAAAAAAAAAAAATCTCTCGGGTCTCCAAATAAACTAGACTAGACTGCACTAACCTTGGAGTATCTGATCCTGCGCCCCCAAACCCATCGCGACATGCCTAATTGGGCCTGGTCGGGGAAGATCAGCCCGTCCCGAATCTTCACGGACTCACACTTCCGGTCTGTTTCTCGTCGCCATGGGCAGATTCAAGAATCCGTGTCCAGCCTCATACGGCATCCCCAGACAGTGAATGTGATTGATGCGAGGGACAACGGACTCGAACAGGGTCTCTCGGTCCAATCGAACCTTTTTCTGCTTGATCTGGTTAATCCAAAATTCGCCAACCATGCACGCATACGCCCGGGCTAACTTGCGCTCCCGGCGGTGGACGCCTTTAACCGGCAGTGAGATACAGTTGGCTCCGAGACCGTGCTGGGCTCGATCGTCGATGGTCGCCTCGCCGCAGGAGATTTGATATACTGCCAGAGTCAGAAGATCATCATCACTAAAGTGCTGCGCAATGTCCTTGGGGAAAGTCGTTGTCACCCAGAGATAGCCTTCCGTGCCGTTCTCCGGATCCGAAATGCAGCCTTGGTCGTTCATGAAAACACTGGCCTGGAGTCCAATGCGGCGTGCCTCTGTCATTTTGTCGTGGCTACGTAGTTTATTGATAGCTGATGTTTGTTCGATTGATTGAATTAATGCGTTTGCTTTTGAATGTGGCTGGCTTGGATGTCTGTAGGGTAACGGGCAGTCGAGGTCCTTTATACTCGAGCTGTAGTTTCCTGATATACCAATAATAGATTTCGGCATTGTGCGATCATGCTAACAAGGCCGAAGACCATCTCTTTGTATGATCTCCCGACTGTGACAAAGGAGAGAAAGGACAGAAAGGACAGAAAGGCATGCTTGCTCTCACAGGACAATGAAATAAAGTCTCTTGCTTCGAGATCCGAATGGCCCTCGCAATCGAACGCCCTCGATTTCCGAGAATTAAGCTTTAAGCGTTTAAGAAACCCACGCCAGGGTCAAGGGTCTGATCGGGTTATAATCTCACTCCGGCGTGGCCGGGTCCACTCAGTAAGCCGGGGTGCCGATCGCCAACGGCTACTGAAATCTTAATGCAATGTAGCAGAGCCTTGGGGTAACTCGACCCCGAGTGGCAGGCACAAGCTTTCATTTCCCGGTGTGTCTATGTAAAACAAGACATGCATCCGCGCTAGGGTCGCAAATCCAGGGCTTCGGTTATATCGATGCATTATCTCAATGGCGAAATGATCACCCCTGCGAGTGGACTATGACATCGTAAGGTCGCCTGAGTCAGGGGCGCATGGCTGCAGGCTTTCTGCAAAGTGTCTGCCTATGGGGCCGGTTATCCGAAGCATGGGGGCCAAAGTGTAGATTCGTTGCGGAGAGAGTGGATTGGGCGGGCAAGATTGGTGTGCTCCGTAGTTTTGGTTGATCGTCAACTCCACAGGTCATGGAAATGATCCTGCAGGCATGATCTGCCTTTTCGTAGTCTGTACCCCTGGGACTCCGGATTCAGGTTGAAGACTCCACCGTGGTCTCGAAGTCGCCATCCCCACTCAATCCAACCGTTCAGCCATGTATGGTCGTTCCAACCTGTGTGCTTGTTCTGACGGTACTGACATGGTTCGTGCGACGGTGCATAGTTGGGGGTCTCTAAACAAACGGAAATCTGAACCATCGACCCTATATCCAGATATTAGTGAAATCTCAATGAAATTATGGCATTCAAATGGCATGGAATGACCAAAGCCAGATGCAATGTGAATGAACAACACATTGTTGTTCCCAGAGCGCTTTCAACACGACAATCAAACCGGGCGTCGCGTGTTTGGATCTGCAGGCATCTCACCGCCTTGGTCCTCCGCCCGCAACTCCGACGATGTCGGGTTGCAAGGCCCTGGGCACAGCTCGACCGAAGTCAGAATCAGGAGATTGACATATTCAAACCTGAATTCCAGATCCCTGAGCCCTTTTTTACAACAACTGAGAGGGCCCAGCACCGAAATTGGCCCCAAAGCCATCACCCTGATCCACGCCATCGCGCCGACGCTTGAAGTTTTTCAGACCGCGCATCCCACCAAGCCATAACCGGGAGATTGCGCCGGGGGAGTCCCAAGCGAAATCGCCAGCGCTGATTCCTGTCTATGCGATTCACATAATGTCTCCGGCAGCTTCGGCGGACCTTGTATCAGTTTAGCTTTGCCCGCCCTGTGCTCGCATACGATCCGAACCCCCAACTGCTCCCCGACTCCGTGGCTTCAGACCACGCGCGGGCAACCAGAGAGGCCCGTCGATTTGACTTGGCGACTCTGCTAGCTATAAATATTCCGCGAATTCAGTCATGGTGGGAATGGAGGATGCCGGCGCAAGCCATGTGAATGGCTCTACGGTCACGAGACCCAAAGTCGATCCTTACGAAACAGATCCGAACATGATTCCCGCCGACGACCCGTTTGTTTCTCGGAGCCTCCAGTATGGTCGTTACACACCGCGCGCCGACGACTTCACTCCTCGATACATGCACTGGTATCATGCTGATCCGACAGCCAATACCTACTGGGAGAAGGTCGCGGAACAGTATTGTACACCGGAGTACTCGCTCAACATTGACGGCCCGAGGGAAGCATTCGCGGCGGGCAGTGTCATCATTCGCGTTGATCGTGAATTGGCAGAGGGGGCGGCTTTTGCGAAGTTCTCCTTCGCAAATGCGAACGAGTTGCTAGCGGCGCAAAAAGCGGAAGATCCCCTGCGAGAGATCGGAGTCACAGTGCCAGTGGTATACTTTTGCGGGACAATTGAAGGGAGGAATGTGACAATTGAGTCCCGAATCGCGGGCGTCTCTCTGGAGGTTGCGTGGAGGTACCTCGACACAGAGCAGATCGACGCTCTGAAAAACCAGTGTCGCCAGATTATACGGCGCCTCGAAACGATCGAAAGCCCCGCGGATCAACCTTCCTACGTGTCCCGCGGACTCAATTCCGAGGGACCTCCTTCTGTCGAGACGCACGAACGAGATATTCTATTCACGGAGAAGGACAAACTGGAGGAGTTGCGCTTCACACACAATAATTTGGTTCCGAGCAACATTATAATTCAAAATGGACGGGTGGTCGGAATAGCTGGCTGGCGCCAGTGTGGTTATTTTGGCAACATCCGAGCTGGCAAGGTCCATCACCTCTCGAGGGATCTCGAGCCCGCATCACAAAATGGCGCAACTAGCTCTGGTGGCAGTGCACACTGGGCAGACCTATACGATGGTGAATACAATCCCAGCAGAGGCCAGCCACTAGTCGCGAACCAAGATACCCCGCTCCCGTCTGTGAAAACGGAACCGACAAGCTCTACCCTGGACAGGTTCCCTATCAGTGATGACCTGGAGACAAAGTCATGGAACACCGACGGCGTGGACGACTATCCCACGTCGAAAACAGTTGCCAATCTCAAGAACGGAGTGTCATCACGAGCATCTTCGACCGACAGATTGTCTCCGGCAACCTCAGTCAAAGGATCCAACAAAAGCACCGCGGCCAAGAAGGGCACCGCGAAAAAACCTGCAGCTAAAAAGCGCAAGGTCAATGATCCCGACGGAGATAGCGCTGATACGCGCCGCTCCAATACCCCTCTCTCGCGCACCAGCAAAACGCCAGGCAAAAAACAAGACTCCGTTTCAGTGGCCGGGTCGCCTGCACCGGAGCCGAAAAAGAAACCACAAAAGAAAAAGAAGGCACCCAAAACAGCCAGAACCCAGGACAACGACGACTCTGACAGCTTTGATGAAAATGCCGTCTTCTGTATCTGCCGCCGGCCGGATAATCATACGTGGATGATTGGCTGCGACGCGGACTGCGATGATTGGTATCACGGGAAATGCGTCAATATCGACCCCCGCGATGCGGACTTGATCGATCGCTACATATGTAAGTCTGCGTGAAGCACATCTCATCCGAGACCGATCCAACTAACCAAATAGGCCCGAATTGCGCGAGTGTAGGCAAAGGTTGCACAACATGGAAGCCAATGTGTCGCTTAGTGGAGTGCCGAAAACCTGCGCGTGCCAAAGCAAAACCCCCGAGCAAGTATTGCTGCGATGATCACGGTCGCGAATTCATGCGCCAGCAGACCAAACAGCTCAAACAACGAGCTGGCCAGAAGAATGGTCTTTTCGAGGATCTGGGCAGTATGGGCGGCATACTCACAGCGGGAGACTTGAAGGCCGCCATCGTTGGAGTGGCATCCACTCACGAATTCCGAACGCTCGGCAATCGTATCATTTCCCCGCCACCAGAGACAGACGAAAACAAAGCGCTTGTCACCGATAATAACGAATCAGAACAACCGACCACCAAGTGGTTGGATGCAGACATCTATGCCAGTGGGGCAGAATACTCTCCTGATGAGATTGCAAAATTCGAAAAGCTGCGCACCCAGCGAGACGAGCTAATTCACCGCAAAGAGATGCTTGCAGCTCGCGCGACCTTCGTGGCGCTCCTGAAACCGCGCGCCAAGGGCATAGTCGAGAAACTGAAGCAGCACGAGCCGAAAGGCGGATGGAAGGACATCTGCGGGTTCGATTCCCGGCTTTCATGGTCCGACGAAGAATTCGACGAGTGGCGGCTTTCAGAGGCCGGGAAGAAAGCTTTGGCGGAGGGAACCGTCGAGGCCTTGGTTGCTGCCGTTCCACCTGCCACCGACGCAGATGGGGATACGTCGATGAATGGCGATGCCGACGAGGGCATCACATTGTGGACGAGTGGTGTCTGTACCAAGAAACGGTGCGAGAGACACAAGCAGTGGGTCAAGGTGCAGCAGCAGGATATCCACTTCGAGGAAGAAACGGCTGATCAGGACCTCGCCCGGTGTGAGGAGGAGGCTCGGTCGGTTGTTGAACGAGGCGTGATGAGACAATGGGCCGAGAAAGACCACAACATGCAAGTCTAGTGGGATTGCTCTGCGTCCGACTCGCCCTACCATCTCAGCAAACCCACCAATCCTCCCAGCAACTTAATGAGAACGGCTTCCTGACCGGTGGTTCTCTGCAGTATTTAATTTTTTACCAAAAAAAAAGGTTGTCACTCGGTGGTGTTTCCAAGGTTATGTGCATACAAAGCGGCGCTTTGCAAGGATCGGAAAACTCATGTTTGGGGGCTCTTTGTAATAATATCAGCAATTGCATCAAGCTAGCTATCAGAAATCTGCTTGTGACAGTAATGTGAATGGCAAATCGACTAGTTCATTGCTGTTTCCATATCCCCCATCTCCCGAGACCGTCTCCCACTCGATCTTTGATCACCTCAATCACCTGTGATCCCCCCGAATGAGAAAGTAACAGGTGAGTATCGATGCCTTGGTCCAGTGTTTTCATGAGCAGAGTAGGGAAAAGGGAGGGTATGTCCGTATGGAAGACGGAGTGAATTCCCTCTTCCAGGGGATTTCTTGCACCCTCGTTTCCATGGGCTTGACCTGTCGACTGAGGATGTTTGTCCCATCCTGAATTCAAGTTTCCCAGTCCGCTTGTGTTGACGAGCATGACTGAAAGATGGGGGTAGACGCGAGACAATCGCGTCAATGTGCGTAGTGTAGCTGTTAAGTAGGCCGCGCCTTTGGCCGGGTTGGAGGACCGGATGACACCTTCAGTGAAATAATCAAGGCCTACCACAATCAAAAAGATTGGGGTCTTTTCTGGGGAATTGGACTCCGTCGAGTGCTCTTGGTTTTCTCCGGCTCCCTGTAATACATCGGAGACCTTCGCGATAGCCTGGGCGGCGTTGATGAAACTATGCACGGGGAAGAGCTGAACAGAGTCGAGTCTTCGTATGGCTTCTTCTTTTGGAAGTCCGGGCTGTTCTTCCAATGATGATTGCAGATCCCAGAGTAGTGTTCTGGGGGCAAAGCCTTCAAAGCTGCCCGGATGAATGATGAAGGCGCTTGTCTCATGTGATGGAGTAATACTCCGCAGCTGTTTGATCAAAAGATAGCGGGGGATCTTCCTCGGTCAGCTTTCATTAATGTTCGAATGCACGGGATCAATCTCACTTGTGCGATGTACTCGTTGCTCTCGTCGCTTCTCCCTTGGAGCCTGGAAAACGCTAACACGGTGCCTGGGCGAAAGATACCCTGGCCAGAAGATTGGAATCCCTTGATCCAGTCTTCTTGGAGATTCCAGTTGCTTTTGGGGGGTGCGTTATTCGAAATAGGATATGTGTCTGCTGTCTCGGTTTGCCTGAGCAGGGCATCAGCAAGGACGGGCAATGCAGGATCGGCAAGGTAGATGTTTGAAGCCGCAGACATAGCTTCTTGAAAGCAGACTGCCTAGATAGTTTTGGAGGAACCTGGGGAACTCGAATATCGACCCTGGACTAAGACAGATGAAGACCCCGGGTGCAGAAGAGAGGTGTGGAGTTAAGATTCCAATTGTCCCCACCGAAATACAACAAGCATCCAGAATATACATGTCGCCCTATAACGGATGTATTTTATTTTTATTTTATGGCTGAACTATTTGATAGAGTTAAATAAATAGACAAATAGATAACCATTTGACATTTCCCGAAAAATCGACATCATTTTGTTCTTACATGGTCAATTTGCAGATAGTACAAACACTTGGCCTAATGTCGTCTCCAAACACCTTTTCCGTCATGTACCCAAGTCCGCTCGTCAATGACATCGCCCAATGTGGCTAACAGTTCATCCCGCATGCCCTCTACGTGTAGGTCATTGCATCGGAACTCTTTCAAGTTTTCCATCTTATTGACAGTGTACCCCACCAAGGAGTAAGACGTGGAGAGCTCCATCCATGGATCGCTGAGGTCCATTGGCCCTCGCTGTTCTACCTCAGTGACATGATTCCCAGGACAAGGTGCCAGTCGTATGTCGAGGCGCTGCAGATTATGCATTTCCGTTACGGCATCGAGTACAAGCTGCGAGTGGTTGAAGAACGGGAACACGGCCGTGTAGGAAAAGTGTGTCAGGCCGTGTAGTACATCCAGCAATTCGACACGGGATTGAGGGAGAAGTCTCGCCACGCGAATTGAATTTGCGCCCCATTCTCCAAGGATGGAAGGGACTGTGGACAGGAAGTATTCGTAGTGGTGATATGATTTCAGTGAGGAGGATTCGTTGAATGACATTGATTTCCATGCGCGAGACGTCAGAAGACTCGAGCAAGATTCTAAATCCGGCAATTGAGATGAATCCATCTGAGTTTCTTGTCTCAAGGCCAGAATTTGCAGGTCGATTTCGAATGCCCAGCTGTGGGCATTCATGATCGGGGTGCCTAGAGTGCTACCCAGGAATGGGGGAGATGCGATGATTACCACATACTTCGGGTCTAGGTATTGGAGGACTCGGCGCCACCAAAATGGATCGTTAGGATGATCTGGTTTGTCCTCCCCCAACACCACCAGGGATGTTACGTTTCGATTGAGACCAGACGTTGTGATGAAAGCTTGGAAGGCCGGTTCATCATGCAGATCCAGATAAGCATGGCTAAAGAGCAGAGGTCGCACAAGTCTGAGGAAGCGAGATGAGCATAGAGCTAGCTGTTTCAGGTCTTTTGTTGGAGAGTGAGTCAATTCCAGACTGGGTGCATGATGCAATTGTCCCACGGAGGCGGGCTCTGTGGATAAGTAGGCGATGATCTGGTCTAAGAGCTCATTGGGAAGACTCTCCAACGGCGAAGTATGTATCTCACATGACATGTCCGGGGTCTGTACATCGTCAAGTTGGCACGTCGGCTTTGCGCGCGACGAAGAAGTGCCGGGCTTCTCCACTTCATTCGCTGGGAGAGACCCACCGAGCTTTGTCAGTGGTGACTCAGCTGCTGTGAAGACTGGGGTTTTCGATGTTTTCTGGCTATTTGACTTGTATCAAGACATCTGCTTGAGATGAAACTGACCTGGGGAAATTCCCCTCTTTTCCGACTCATCGAACAGACATCTGAAGCCAACGTAGCCGCTATGCCGCGATCGAATCCGGGAAATCCCCAGGTGGTCCGTGCATCGCCAACTCTTGAGGCCTCAGATCGCCAATCAGAACCTGGAGAATGGTACATGGTGTGATGGACTACTACAGTATGTAGAGTCTTGATTCTCTTGTATGGGTTGCCTTGTCCCTAATTGATTCTTTCGGGCCTCTCGGCGACATCGAATACAGAATTACTCTAGTCGACACAAGCAGTCTGGAGTATAAAAGACAAACCCAACGACTTTCATAGGCGATGTCGGAGATGTGGAGAGCCTCAGCCTTCTGTGGGGCAATGCCTATCACGGCAAGCAGCGTCTCGGAGGCATGGAGTTTCTATTTTATGTGCCCCTCTTTTGACTTTCCCTTCCCCAACTTCTTCTTTCTTGACATTGTGCTATTCTATGTGAGTTGAGTTGCTTTCTTCTGGAGACAGAAACAGTGCTAATCAGATCCGCGCAGTAATTCAATACACTTTGATCACAATGGCGCCTCAACTTCATCAACGCCCACCCTTCCGCGCAGAGCACCTTGGCTCATTGCTGCGTCCCCAGAACCTGCTGGACACCAAGATCGCCTATGAGGCGGGCAAGACCCCCGAGGCCGAACTGACCGCGGTCGAGGACAAGGAGGTCAACGACATCATCAAGACCCAGCAAAAGCTCGGCTACGCTGCCATCTCCGACGGCGAGTACCGTCGTCACAGTAGGAATTTTGCGACTTGAACAGGCGAGCATTACTGACAATGATAGTGTTCTGGGGTACTTTCTTCCCCGGTCTTGACGGCTTCGAGGAGGTCAACAATGTCGACGTGGACGACTTCCGTCCCTACGCTCCCGATATTGCCGCGTTCCTTGAGGCCGGTCACAAGCCCGGTGAGAGTGTCATCTGTACCGGTAAGATCAAGCACGTTGGCAGCACCTACATCGACCAGTTCAAGTACCTGGCCAGCCAGGTCCCGGCCGAGGAGGTCAAGAACTTGAAGATCACTCTGGCTGCTCCTAACTGGTACCACCTGCGCTACCGTGAGGGCAAGGCTTACCCCAAGTCCGTGTACACCAATGACGAGGACTACTTCGGCGACATCGCCAAGGCCTACCAGGCCGAGCTCAAGATCTTGTACGATGCCGGCTGCCGCAATGTCCAATTCGATGACCCCAACCTGGCCTGTAAGGGAAATTCCGTCCGATCATTGGAATAAAGACAACTAACATATTCCGCAGACTTCTGCTCCGAGAAGTTCCTCAACGGCTTCAAGGAAGACTCCCTGAACGTGTACAGCGCCGACGACATGTTCGAGAAGTACATCAAGCAGTACAACGACATCTTCGTCAACCTGCCCGCCGATCTGCACGTCGGTGTTCATCTGTGCCGCGGTAACTTCGTCGGCAGCCGTCACTTCTCCGAGGGCGGTTACGACCGCATTGCCATCAAGCTCTTCCAAGAGCTGAACGTGCACACCTACTACCTCGAATACGACACCCCTCGCTCCGGCGGCTTCGAGCCCCTCAAGTTCCTTCCCACGCACAAGAACGTCATCCTCGGTGTCGTCACTAGCAAGTTCGCCAAGCTCGAAGACAAGGAAGAGATGAAGCAACGCGTCATTGATGCTGCCAAGTTCATCGCTGAGGGTAACAACATCTCTCTCGATGCTGCTCTGAACCAGGTCGGTGTCAGCCCCCAGTGTGGCTTTGCTTCTCACCGTGAGGGTAATGCTATCGATTGGGATGGCATGATCAACAAGCTCCAGCTTGTTCGGGATATCGCCAACGATATCTGGCCCAACCAGGCTTAGACTTTGGGTCAAGCTTCATGAACTTAAAATTCCTCTGTACATTTTTCATCTTTTTTCGCATGGCTGAAAAAGCCATTTTCCCTGGTCGCTTTTCAACATATGCGACTAGGCCGGGGGTCGGGGTTGCAGCGCGTTTTTATGATGTCCACGGGTTGGATGATGCATATGATATCTTTTTGAATGCCCACTTAACGTTTGATTCTGGGATACGGTGATGAGCGTCTTTTTGGTCCAATTTCTTCTTTCCGGTTTTACATTCATGAATTCTGGCTTCGATATTTGCTTTCGGTATTCCAGGTTTTCATTCATGAGTACTCCGTATGGGCAAGTTTCTTCCAAAGCTCCAGGGCTCCGGCCATCCATGGATGATTAACCCAGATCGAGTACCTAGGTATTTGCTACCTCTTCTCGCAAGGTTTCTCGAATTCAGAGGAAATTTCGTTTTTCTCCCCAAGGTTGACTATACTTCGGGCCTTGGAAGATTACAATAGGAGTATTTGTATTAATTGAAATCAATGGTTTTACTACCTAGGTACTCCGCAGGTGGTGTAAATAGCCATGGGATGCTGCAGAACCGTGGAATATGTGAAGTCTTAACGCTCAGGAGGCCGGGGAAAATCTTCCAGGGTTGGAAGATGTCCACGGGTGTGGTGTTTGTTGATAAATCTCTTGTTGTTTCATTATACTCATGCCTTTTTCATCTATAATGGCAAGATGGCCGAGTTGGTCTAAGGCGTTAGACTCAAGGGAATTACCTAGGTATCTCTTCGCTGCGTAGCAGCGAGCATTCTAATCTCGCAAGAGGCACGGGTTCGAATCCCGTTCTTGTCATTTTTTTGCCCTAAAAAAAGCGGCATTGAACTGGGCAACCAATTTCTAAACCTGGTTCAAGGTTGGTTGCATCTTCCTCCACAGTTTTTTTTTGGGTATACTAAGTATCTCGGGGGACTAAGGCCTCCAGAAAGTCATGCGGAACGTAGCAAAGTATATCAAGTCACGTGGTCCATTTCAATGGAGGCATATTGGTCCAAACAAATCATTTATTTTTTTTTTCCGCCAGTCGAACTTCAGTATTCTGCCGTTTCTCGGCGATCAGAACTTACCGCATTACATTGGCAGAATTCTATGGATTTTGAGCCCACCACGAAAATGGTTTGTCACGTGATGGGGACAGGCAAAGAGGATCCTATGATATTTTATTGCGGAGCGAAGCGAAGCAATAAAATAAAGGATAAGATGTTGTGGAGCGATGTCCATAATGATATCAGCTACCTTCCAAGTTTGTACACTCCCTGATGTCCGAGATACCTCCAGGACGTGTGACTAAACTGTCCAGTGAGAAATATATATCTCAGGTTGCCCAGGTGTGCATAAAAATCACACGAACTTGGAAGCCAAGGCCGATAGCCAACCCTGGACTACTAAGCCTTGAAAAGGGGGGCTCGAGCTCGAGAGCTGCGAGGCAGGAAGTTCCCAAGGTCTCAAAACGTGCATAAGGGGTCTGAGATGATACATGACTGCGGCTGGTTGTATCAAAGCCCTGAGGTCATCTCTGGCATAGTGAGGGATGACAACTTTAAGTATTTCGCGCATCGACGGCTTATCGATGTCGACCTTGCAATAAATTCACTGAAGCACAATGTATTAACCTGATACTACAGCGACCCGAGAGTTGTCTCGAAAGCTACTGATAGACAGAAGCTACGGAGGCTACTGGCTGGAAGAAAAAAGGGAGAAGAAGAAGAAGAAGAAGAAGAAGAAGAAGAAGAAGAAGAAGAAGAAGAAGAAGAAGAAGAAGAAGAAGAAGAAGCTAACATGCAGGGGCGCTCTCATAGGCTAGACTGCACTGGAGAGAGAAGAGATAGAGAGAGCTCTGGAGCGAGGGGAGAAGAAGAACCTTCGGAAGACTGCCCATGGGGCACATGAGCATGTGTCACGTGTTCATAAGGTCACCTGACCTCAGGACAGGACCCAGTCTGACAGCTACCTACTAGTATGATCACTCGAATTGATGATACTAGGTACCGCAGGAAGTTTTTAAAGCCTTGGACTCACGACCAATTTTACAGCTGTATTGCTTTCTCACACACATGTCTGTCCTACTATCCAGCATGTGTTGACGCTGGAAGGATCATACCTAGTACCTAGGTAAGCACTGTAAATCCACCAAAAGATTTGCTGAGATTCTTGTACCCTACGCAGGCACAAATTAGCGAAGGCACCAACCACGATTTCATCATCCCCCCACAGCCAAACTCATCTGCCATCTGGACGCGGCTAACTAAACCCCTTTCCCTCATTTTCCTAAGCTCCAACACTAGCTCTTCTACCAGACCCACCATTTGCTTTTACCATTCATCTAAGTGACCCAGAGATCTATGGATCATTCCAAGGTTGCCAGGGTAAAGATAGTCGCGCCTGCAAATATGATCGCACTCCTCTTGAACACCAAGAAACCATACTGGTATATTGCCGACTAGAGGGTACATCATCTTTAGTTTCCCGTTGCGCTTCTTGATAACACCCGTGGACCCGCTCAACTCCACCTGGGCAGAACCCATACCTACCTAGGTACCTATGTAGGTACACGTTGTACTTGCAACCCATGCTGCTTGTATTAGAAGCAGTGCATCTTTTACTTTCTGGCCTTCGCGCCTCCGACTAAATTCTATTGAAGGATATTGTATACGGAGTGGCATAACCCATTACACCGATATTGGAAGTTTTAACGTGAAGGGGTCCTAACTACATAGTAGTACTGGTACATACGAACACATATTGAGGGAAAGCCCTGGCTGGAGCCCGTGGTTAATTAGGACATTTCAAGACAAAATCTGTGTATAATATCAGAGCAGGTATGTCGTCATAATTGCTGGCAAGATGGCCGAGTTGGTCTAAGGCGTTAGACTCAAGGGAATTACCTAGGTATCTCTTCGCTGCGTAGCAGTGAGCATTCTAATCTCGCAAGAGGCACGGGTTCGAATCCCGTTCTTGTCATAACATTTTTTGCCTTTTGCTTTTGCACGCTAGTGGCATCACATCCATGGCTGTATGCCCTGTACCCTGTATGAATTTTTTGCGCACCAGAAACACCATGTTAAATACTCCGTATCATTCTGTAACTATAAACGGCAACACTAATATGAGGACTGAAACTTTCTTCCCTTCATTGACCAACTAGACCCTAAACACCCTGTATTTTGATCTGAATAGCAGGATTACCAGTGTGAACATAGAGGATTTTATTTGTGTGATCTGGAAGAAAGTAGATAGCCACGCTCATTATTTTCAATATCTCGCCGTGTCTTCAACAAGTCTCCGTGGCGCAATTGGTTAGCGCGTCTGACTGTTAATCAGGAGGTTGGAAGTTCGAGCCTTCCCGGGGACGTTTCTTTTTGCTTTCAGATAAAATTCATCTGACTTCAATTTTTGCCTATGAATCCACTGCAAACCCACAGTGGGTCGAGGTGGAACTGTGTTGCGGCCCTTTAAATCTGCGATGCTGCACGGACTACTCTATGGAGAACGGTACACAGACGCCACTATAAGTACTATACTCATATAAATTGCGCGACCACATATTAGGCAATGTCTAACATTTGGGACTTGGCGATGCTACAACGAAAGAAAATTGAACACTTCCTCTCTTCCAGACACTTAGACTGGCTGCAACATAGACCTTGCCATCTCAAGCTTCTGAGACATGACGATACCTTCATCGACCAATTTGGCAACGACACGCATAGTCCAACCTTGACAGTTCTCCGTTACAGAGTTCCGGTCGTTAGCTCGAGGAGGAGGCTCCTGCTCCGCGATCTGCTTGACCAGTTTCGCTGCCCTGGCTTGATCCTCGGACACAACAGCCAACGTGTAGACATTCGAGGCAATGCCAGCGTCGAATACGTTCACCTTTTCAGCCGAAGGCTCATAGGTCATATGCTCTGCGTCCCCGGTAACCTGGTAGACATAGCCATAATCTGGCTCATTTTCGTCTGCGAGGAAGAGAGCCCAATGATTGGGTTCCCCGGGCCCTTGTTCTTCTTGAACGAGATACAGATAGAGATGTGGGAACTCGGCAGGTGGCACGATGCTCTCGGGGTCGGATGTGTCCTCGGTCCATTCTTGTGTGCCTTTTCTTCTGTAGAATCTGCGGCCTTCGAATTCACACACTTCTCGTAGACCCCGTGTCTTGGTGGGTATGTCTGGTGGTGGGTGTCCGGCCATATTCTGCGCAGATACTGATTTAGCAAAGGTACACTGTATCGGTCTGAATTTGGCCTTTTTAGACACATGCACTTACGACGGATAAATTCCGAGCTTGTAGGAATCTGTATTGGCCCTTCTTGCGTTGGTCTGCTCCAGCCTTTTTTTAGAGCGGTTCCAAGTTATAGCGAGCAGAAAGAGCCCTGCAACCTGCGATCTAAGAAGTCCACGGGTGTGGTGGCGGAGGCTCAGATGCAGGCAACAATGGGCCCTTGTCGCATTCTTACGTCATTCAGGCACTCGTTTGGCCTACTGGACTTCAAATGCGACTCTTAGGGCTGTTGTGTCTGTTGGGATGTATGTGGATTTCCGAGCTAGACACGTTCATACAGGACTGCCGTTGAAAATGTCGTTTTTTTGCAAAGGTCGTACGGTCCACTTAATCTTAAATGCTATGTATAGCTTTTTTATTACATATGCTGAAATGAATCAGACAGGCAACTGAGCTTGGGCGATTTTGAAGAGTAGAGAGTTGATTCAGGCTATCAATAAACCATGTTACTCCGCCGGTCCCTCAATGTTGCCCTCCTTGATGGATGAGCTCTTGTGGGTGTTCATGTTCTCGATTTTGTATCGCGGCTCATTATCAGAGGCAGAGCTTCGACCCGTCATTGTTTCAAGGATGACACCAACACTCTTGTTGGTCTTGGAGTTTGCACCTGAGGCGGTTAGTCTAAGCCGCCAACAGGGCCGCGGGGAATATCATACCACCAACCGGTCTGTAGTTGACTCTATCGCCTTCCTTGAATCGATGCATTCGAGGCGTTTGGCCCGGTGGGTTTATGGGGGATGGCAGCCGTGGAAAACGAAGTATGATGCCGGTCCAAAGGTCGGATGCGAAAATAGGCAGTCAATGGTCTGTTGTGGATGAAAAGGACTTCTAAGGTTGATCTAGTATGACTCTCTCACGGATAATAAATGGGAACCTAGCTCATTCCTTTCAGCCATTGTGATTGTGGAATCGTCTTTTCTATGACCGCTAGGAAACTACATCCGGCATCGTCACCTTGACAATGTGTTTCGAAGGTCGAGCCCATTTGAGATGTTCCCCATCAATCAAGTCTTTCGGGAACTACTACAGCACCGGCTGACTGGACAGGAAAAAATGCAGATTTCAGAAGGCAACTCGGAGGTTGATTCCAAGATGGGATTAGCAGGCTGAGATCGGATCCGAGACGAACACACTTGAGTCAGATGTATGTCATGACCCTTCAATTTTCATTCAATTTAATGGCAGAATATCGGGACAATGTCTTTGGCGTGTCATCCGTACACAGACCGGGCATTGAATCGCGCCTATACATATACTGGGGCAGTTCCACCCAAGCGCTGGTGGCAAGCATGGCGCGTGTAGTGCTCGAGTATGTACACGCGGTCAACATCCCAGGTGTCGACACCGAAATTATCGTCGGTCCCTATCCCACTGGGCAGTCTCTCCAGAGCTGCTGCAATCAATTTTGTACACAAGGAACCCTTGGAATCGCACCCGAGTCGTAAGGGTATAGTTGAAGAATGCTATATAGAGAGCACAATGTAATTAGAGTATTAAATTGGACCCAACAAGCCCATATATGAACAGAGGGGATATCATAGAAGTGAAGACAAAACAATGGAAAAACAAACAACGGCGTCACAATGGCCACAGGCAAAGAAAAGACTATAAGGATAAAAGCCCAAATGCTGCGTCATCTTGTCATCAAACACGGACATGAAGAGAGAAATTAGAGGAAAACACTTGTCAGACAATGCGAGATGTTGTACAACGAAGCTCCACCAGGGGTGCCTCTCGGGATGACAGCGGTGTATCTTATTTCTGTGGCTGGGTCTTGACATTGTTTGAGAGCCAGGCCTGGGAAGAAAGGGGTTAGCATACGGCAATTGCATAGCGCAAGGAGATCACTTACCAAACCCTCGAAGATACCCGTGCCGTCGGTTGCGACACTGGGTGCCACATACCACAGCTTGTCCTTGAGTTTAGTCAGCTGCAGTTGCTGGGTAACTTCTTCTGGGCTCAAGTCTGTAGAGAGGTGAGGTTAGCTAATGAATCATCATAAGGAGGATCGGAGGAAACGTACGCCCAGGAATATCTTGCTTGTTGGCAAAGACGAGTAGCAGGGCGTCCTTCATTTCACGGTCGTTGATGATCTTGTGCAGCTCCGAGCGAGCCTCTTCCACACGCGCGGTGTCGCTGGAGTCCACCACGAAGATTAGGCCTTGTGTACCGGAGTAGTAGTGTCTCCAGAGGGGTCGGATCTTGTCCTGACCACCAACATCCCAGACGTTGAACTTGACGTTCTTGTAGGTCACACTTTCGACGTTAAATCCGACGGTAGGGATGGTTGTCACATCCTGGTTGCTGAGTTTCAATTTGTAGAGAATAGCTGGGAGGGGAGGAGTCAGTACATGAGTGTCTCGTCTCAATGATTGGACCAATACATACTTGTCTTTCCAGCAGCGTCTAAACCCAACATCAGAATACGCATCTCCTTCGTTCCAAAGATCTTCCCCATCATTTTGGATACCTGTCCTCCCATGTTGGCGGTGGTTGACGCGGTGTCGGGAGATCAGGAGCTGTTTGGCGTCGTGATATCGATTGCGGTCCGTGTGTAATATAAGGGTGGCGGAGGACAATTGAGAGCCTCACGCGAAATCGATATTAGGGATGACTGGTCGACAGGCAAAGGAGCCGATTCAGAAAAAAAAAGGAAAAGAAGGAAGTGAAGATCGGCTCTCGCAGCCAATTTCCCTGAGGCGGGGGAAAAGGGGCTTGGCTGACTAACGGGCTAGTATCAGCCCTCCCCACGAGGGTGTTTCACCTCGTGTTCCTTATACTGTTGATCATGGCAGCTGGTGGGTGGTCGTGGAGGGGGTTGTTTCAGGATTGTGGCAGTTAAAAGCCGGAAAATTGGATGGTTGCGGTGCTTCACGTCATCGGCCAGTCATTCCAGTGCGACTCCAAAGCGACAATGTTATTCTTCATCCCTAATCTCTCACGGCTCCACCATCACGCCAGAGGAGGGCCAATAGTTCCTACGCCATGCATCGCTCCGTCGATAGCGCCAAACTGCACTTTAAGTCAATTGCGAGGATTGGCTGTGGCCTCGCATACGCCGAGAGCATCACGGCGACCTTCTACGCGACTTCGAATATCCCAGGTAATTGGGAAGCTCATGCCGTCTCAATAGAGGCCACCCCATGTTGTCCTATTTGGAGCTCCGTACTGCTCACTCGACAACCCTGATCGATCAGATAATACGGGAACGGCCCATTATCCAGGAATGGAGTCATCAACTTCCTATTAGGTACTATCCACACTTGATAACTACCGAGGACCCTCTATCCAATTGACGGTGAGTTTCACTACTCAGGCTAAGAGCTAGCTCCGGATCGGCCGGTCGTCTTCCTAAAGAAACCTTCAGATCCAGCAGGTCTTGGTTGCCTCGTCTGATTCTGCATAGTACTGGTAGAGTCTAGGTTGCCCGCCAAACCGCAGACTCACCGGGGAAACCGAAGCGACTACTGCCACACCCGGAGGGCCCTATACATCCCATTGAAAGAAGGGAAGGAAGCCAGGACAAGCGCCAATGCAACCCAATGGCGAACTTTGAGAATCTTCAAGCATGAATGTGCTAGAAGCAACACCGCAGTGATCTCGATATGGTTGCAGACGATCGTTTGCCCGATTCCCCAGAGGCCTATGAAGTCAACAATCAGTATCGATCTGGTCGCAGTCTACTATTTGCCATTTTCAGGTGTTATATGCTTCACTGACAGGAAGTATCACTACCTTATCTGACTTTGCTAGCGTAGCGGCGGGCCTGGGCTGTATGTGGTGCATATATGGTGCAATTAGCGGTGTATGATTCAGTATTTGTGAGATCTCAGGGTCCTCTGCGCGGGGGAATAACAGCCAAAGACACATTACAGCTTCTACGCCCCTATGTCCTCTCGTATCCTGGGCTCAGGGTCCCCCGTCCTGTCCTGAGGTCTGCCTCCAAGTTTCGTCAGACCGCCATAGCGCTCTTTTTATTTCAGAATAGATCGTCGCTACCCAGGGGCTCAGATCAAATGGCCCATGTACGTTCCTACTGGTAGCCTCTTCCGAATCCGATGGCAAAACATGCAGTTCACGCACAACACGGCAAGCCCAAGGATTTCTCATCGGAGAAGGCTGGATCACAAGTCGCCTCTACGCTTAGGTGACATGAGCAAGCGGTCGAATCACAGTCGCAAAAGTCACTGGAAAGCAGCAATCGGATCTCCATTCATATGCAACTTCTGTTCAATCGAGTACTTTGGCATGTTTGTCCAGGCTCGTTCGAGGGCCAAGCTTTGAGTGATGCAGAAGCAGCTCCGTCTTGTACTGCCCCCCTGTCGAGACTGAGTACAGAAAGGCTGTGGACCTGCCACCTGAGCTCCATCATATATACTCACGACAAAAAGAGAACCAGAGCCCAAAGGCTTATCCTCTCACGCGGGATCGAACCGCGGACCTCAAGATGTCAGGATATCTGACGTGAATCAATTACAGTCTTGCGCTCTTCCAGCTGAGCTATAAGAGGGGTATGAGAAGACCCATACCAAACGTGCGAATATGAGAAAACAATCTATGGGTGATGGATAAGGTATATCAAGAAGCAAAAAGATATCCTCTCACGCGGGATCGAACCGCGGACCTCAAGATGTCAGAATTTCTGACAGAAACAGTTACAGTCTTGCGCTCTTCCAGCTGAGCTATAAGAGGGATCGATGAAGGCAGCTTTACCAAACTGGATTGTTGAAAGAAAACCTTGGAGGTAGTATATTCGCCTCAGCAATACACCAAAAACCGAGAAGAGAAATCGGAATAAGCTATAGGCAACCTGGACCCGTGGAGTGGACCTCATACATGGTCACATGACCATTCATCATCAGGGCTTCCAACCCTTCACCTTTCAAGCCCTCATACCCTTCCCCCATTTCGTCGATACCTAGAAGACTGATACCGAGAGATTTTCAGGAAACCGCTTCAATCAAGCATGAGACAGGAGGGCAACACAAGCGGCCCCGTCCAAAAATTTCATCTGGTGTGCCTAGACGCGGTTGGGGTACTGAATCTACTGATGCACCGTGAGAAACAGGGCTGCCATGCCCGGTATATTCAAGGACACGAAGGCCCAGCAAAGCTTCATGAACTATATGCCACCTGTGGTCACTTTGCTACGCGGACCACCTTGGGCTGGGTTGTCAGTCGGCACCACTGGCCGTCACGCTACGAAGACATCGCCCACCACTGCAAAAGCTGTCATAGTTGCCAACTGATCGGACCAGGTGTACCAAGAGAACTTCCTTTGTCGATCGCTTTCCTAGAGCCCATAGGTCTACAGTGGACTAAGTCTGATATCCACCGAATACAACTTCGTGTTACGAGGCCCACGCCCATATGGCGGTGGTTAGATGGTATCAAGATACATAATAAATTCCATGCACTGCCTTTAAGCCAAACGATTGGTAGCATGTTGTCTTATGCCATGCCTTGGGGGTATAGTTGACCCGCCAGCCATCTCGCCGTGTCAATTCCTCCTGCAAGGATGTATGTTCCTTTGTAGGCCAGAACCTATCAGTCTTCAGGATCCCGCAATTGTGACGATCAAGGGCTTCTTGGGGCCCGGTCTTTCCGTATGTCGCCTCTGGGGTCAAGGTCAAACCTGCAGTGCCATGCTCTCTGACATTTATTTCTTGTTAGGATGGCACACCCAGCCTGCATCCAGTTGTCTGTCCGAGAGATCCCATAACTCGCTAGAGCGTGCCAGGCCTGGTGAGGGGTTTCTGGGATTGATATCACCCGCTGTCACCTGTCGAATAGCTGTCTTTGCATGCGGACTCGACATGACTTTGGTGGGCGCCATCACCAAACCGGCTCGGAGCCAGCGGGTTTTAATGGTGTCGTTGTACGATTGCTGAAGCAGCAACCCATTGGCTTTGTAGCCTCCGACCAGAACATATGTATCATGGTAAACAGGGAGCCAGTTGATGCTGTGGGCTCGAATGACACATAGGTGTACATGGTACCCGTGTGCGGTGGATACGGCCGCGTCTATCGAAATACTCCGCCACTGGTTCCGTGGCTAGCAACGTGAAAATGACGCCCAAATTCGTCAAGCGTCGTCTGGCTTGTTTGGGGGTGTGGACTCTAGCATTGGCCTGATTTTTCGGATTGCCCTAACGAGACAGGCAACCTCGAGCTCTGTGGGCCAGTAATTCTTTTCGGGCCCGGAGAGTGCTCGGCTGAGGTAGGCAATCGGCTGAAGGGTTGCCTCCGCTGGCGGTTTTGATAGATCCGCGTGATTTTGAGAGCAGTGGTAGACTATCACTCCGAATCCATGTTCTCAGAGGCATCGGTATCCATGAACAGCTGTCTCCCGAGTTGTTTTGTCGAAATGGCAGAGCCACTTAGGGTTCTCGAACTCGGCTTGTAGTGTATCAAAGGCACCCGCTCAGCCGCAGACGGATTGTCTAAGAGGATTTTCTAGCCGCTCCCGTAATCGGACTGCCTCGTAGAAGGAGAGTCTTTCTGTCCTGTAGAGATTGAGGTTTTGCGGCGTACCCTTCAAAGGAACATATTGCTCCGGTCATGCCTAGATATGTCTCCAGTTCATAGCAGTTCCGTGGAAATTTCAGGGCGCGGATTGCCTGGAGCCGTTCGTCCCTAGTGGAGAGATCGAAATTGTCCACATGCTTTCCCAGCATCACCAAGGACGGAAAACCGACAAAGGCTCTTGGCGCTTTAGATAAACATTGTAGTGGTCCAGGATCGTCAGGACTTCGTGGAGTCCGGTAATATGGTCCCCCAGGCCTCCATGGGCGGAGGACATGTCATCGATGTAGGCCCCGGTGCACAAACCAAACGCCAGCCCATCATGTTTTGTAAGACGAGTTTTCTAGCCTGAGTGAGTTGGTTTCGAGCTGGGTGGATCGCTGCCTGTTGCTCATGCAGGTTTCGCCGTTGGAGGCAGCCTCTTTGTCGCGCTGTCTATTGTCCAATCTTTTTTGAGTGTTGTAATGTTTCGCTGCCGATTGTTTGCACTGGTTGTCCCAGTGGGTTACCCTTTTGTTATCATTGGGGGTTGCTATAGCCCTCATGAACTTTGGCTTCAGCGTATCGGATGCATATATGGTGTAGCCCACGCATCTCTGTGCTATCCATGTTTGTAGGGCTGGTAACCTCTTAGGATCATACGATAGTATGAAGGAAGGATCTCTTCAACTTGGTTGGATTAGGGGTGAAGAGAGAAGAAAGAAGGAGGAGAAACTATGCTAGCTAGATAACTGGGAGGGGAAGACCCACTCTCCGAACAGAAGTAATATACTAGCGTTGACTGGGGATATTAAGAGAGGTAAAGGGAATCCAGGTCTGTGAGGAGATGAGATAAGTGGTACGTAGGTAGGTACTGTATATTGAGTGAAGTAAAGACGAGTGAAGTAGAGATCTATAAATAAGTAAAGTAAAGATAAGCGAAGTGGGGATCCATGGATAAGTGAGGTTCCAAGGTTATGAGACTTCCCTAGAAACCACTGAGCCCTAAAAGAGCCTTTATTCCGTTATTCGGTCCTGCCATATATACTACTAACATCTATCACAGAAACCTTGGAAGATCTATATACCCCGGTTGCCAAGTCTGACCCTTCCACCGAGTTAACGACTGCATCATTCCCAATCCCTTCTTCACCTGTGCAGGCAGCGGGTGACCTCTTACTCCAAATTAATATCATATTATCACTATGTTTAAGAATTGATTGATTATAAAAAAATCAAAAAGGTATTCCTCTCACGCGGGATCGAACCGCGGACCTCAAGATATCAGAATTCCTGATAGAAGCAATTACAGTCTTGCGCTCTTCCAGCTGAGCTATAAGAGGATTATTAAGCAGCCTGCTACCAAACACATTTATTACCCAAAGAGACATCTTAAGGTTTAAGGTTTTTCCATAAATACATCACAAAACAGACAGATCACTTTAAAAGAAGTAAAAAATACAAAACAAAAGATATACACACAAAAATCAAGTAGAACCCAATATTCTACTAGGGAAGAAGAAAATGAATTCTTCATCTGCGATGGCAGTGGGAAAAAGCAAAAAATCCTCTCACGCGGGATCGAACCGCGGACCTCAAGATGTCAGATTTCTGACAGAAACAATTACAGTCTTGCGCTCTTCCAGCTGAGCTATAAGAGGTGGTGATGAAAGTACTTGTGCTATTCGAAAATATAAGCAAAAAAGAAACCTTGGAATCATCTGACATACAGTATCTAGGACATGGGACGAGATGAGGGAGAGTTACCTACCTACATATGTAGGTAACGTCCAAAGTCCATTACCATATTGAAACCTGTAGGGCATACCTTTAAATCATATCCCAAGGTCCCCATTTTGAACTTCTTTTTCCAGACCCTCGACCAGAATTCCAGGAAAACTTGTCAGCCTCACCTTCCTAATCTGGACACAGTCCTGGCTACTGTAACTAAACCGATATCTACTCCACATTTCGTGGATTGCAGCATGAAAGCTTCCAAAATCTTCATACACAACTTCCATACGCAGATTCATCACGGCATTCCAAAAGAAAACAAAGGGGTATCACATTGATCAAGAGCCAAGCGCAAAAAAAAAAAGAAGACAAAAAACACACACCAACCCCTCAAGCTCTCCCAACAGCACGGTACCTCTCCCTAGCCAAACCACCATCCGCCCCCTCAACACCATACCCCTCACCAACCTCGCCAACAATCCTCGCCGGCTTCCCACCAACAACACACCAGCTCGGCACCACCATCCCAGGCGGCACAACCGCACCATCAAGCACATAGCCATAATCTTTAATGATAGCCATACTACCTACAACCGCACCCTTCCCAACATGCACATGGTTCCCCAGCTGCGCAGCCTCGATAACAGCACCCTCGCCGACGAAGACGTGGTCGCCGATCTTGAGCGGGTAGAACGAGTGCGTGCCCCGGTGTAGACGGCTGGGAGGTCGGAGAACTGCACTCTTGGATATATAGCTGTATCGGCCGACGTTTATGGCGACGCTGGGTGTTGAGGGTGGTGTGCTGGGGTTGTTGGGGTCTGTTGATGCGCCGCGGAAGAGATCGCCGCGGATCACGGCTTCGGCTTGGATGACTGTTTTGCCGCCTAGGATGATGTGCTGCGTGCCGTGGATTTGGGACCGGCGCGAGATTTTGTTGCCGGTGTCCTGGTGATTGGGTTAGGGTTTGTTTGGTGGGATCTTGGGATGGAGAAGGGTAGGGGGCCTGGGGGGTTGGTTTGCTTACTGTTTCGATGTATTCGCTCTTTGAGGGTTTGGGAGGAGGCATTTTGAGAGTTATTTGGAGGTATTATTGTGATTGGGAGCTGCAATTGGGGAGATGACGATAAAATAAACAGCTCGGGGATGGATAGATGCGGCAGAATGGCGGGTTACTAGGCGGTGTGGAAGTACGTCGACAGGATCTACGGATGTCCTTGAACGACCTTCGGAGCTACTTGTACATGTTCATGTCATTGGTCTTATCCCTACGGAATACTCCAAATATCAAAATATGTCAAATCCAATTTTATGGAATGTACACTACAGTACTATAAGCAAAACTTCAACAATTTCTGGATATCCTGATCAAAACCCGGAGAAAAACAAAAGGCAGAAATAACAGCACAAGTCAATCGGATCCAACCGTGGGGAATAACCTTCAAATCACATGGCACGTATGCAATCATTGCATTTTTACATCGGCATTACAACCTCTCACAGAGCAGCATCCCAGTGGAGCTTGAGAGACATGGGGAAGGGGCAGTAAGCAGTTCCATCACCACGGAGGTAGACGTAGTAGCCACCCTCCTGAGGAATCTTCTTAAGCTGGCCCTGAGGACCGGGGGCGCGACGAAGACCAGGGAGACGGGCAACGACACGCAGCATGGCGACGAGAGCAATCTTGGTGATCCCCTCACCGAAGCCAGTGGTGGGACCTTGGCCGTGGTTGAGGTAGGAGTCAAGAGGGCGGTCGAGACGGACCTGGGTGGGCTCGGGGAAGATGCTGGGGTCGTGGTTGGCCTGGTCGAAGGAGGCGTAGACCTGCTGACCGGGCTGGATGGTCTGGGTCTTGCCGTCCTCTTCGACAGTAACGACTTGCTTGGCCTCGCGGAAGGCACCGAAGTTGCCGTTAAGGCGGATGGCCTCGAGGCAGTACCGGTACAGCTTCTCGTCGGAGCTGGCATCGTCGGTCTGGGTCAGACGGCTGATGTCGGTGAGGTGGGCCTTGTTCTCGGGCTTGGTGTAGTACTCGATGATCTGAGTGAAGACCTGGCCCTGGTTGGGGACCAGACCGACGATGGTGGGCACGATGGCGGACCAGGTGATTTCGGAGGAGCTGGCGCCAGCTTCCTTCATGCGGCGGAGGGCTTCGGTACCGAATTCGCGGAGAGCACTGTCATGGGGACGGAAGTTGTCCATGATGCCGGCAAAGAGACCGCTGTTGGTGTCAGCCTTGACGGTGGCCTCAACGACCTCTCCGAGCTGGGTGGAAACGGCGGTGGCGGCGCGGTTCAGGGCATACGAGCGGGGGGCGTCGATGTCGAAGAAGAGCGCGTTGAAGATGGTGGACAGGACCATGTACATCTCGTGCTCGGTGAACAGACCCTGGGGGTTCTGCTCGGTCTTCAGGGGAAGGCCGAAGATGGTAGAGGCGAAGTGAACGTGAGCCAGGTTGCCGACATCGCGAGTAATGTCGACCTGGTTGATCTTAGCCAAACGACCCGACTTCTCGGTAAGCAGACGCTGGGTGATGTCGGTGTAGAAGCTCTTGACGAGCTTGGGGAACTCCTCGGTGTTGAGAGCCTTGCCGATGGCCTCACGCTGCTTAGTGTCGAAGTCACCCTGGCCGAAGAGCTCGGACATATTGCGACCCCAGCTGGGACGGAAGTCGGTCTTGTTCTCCAGGACAAGCTTGGCATTCTGGTGGGAGGCCAGGTTGACACGGGGCTCCATGTAGGCAGGTCGGTCGTAAGAGTAGTCCGCCTCGCGGCCCAGATCCTTCATGATGTTGCGGTTCTCGCTGGGGATGGTCATGGGGTAGTGAGCGTAGATGGAGTCGGGCTTGTAGTGATTGGGGAAGGCCCGGTTAGCCAGCTTGTAGAACACACAACCCTGGTTGATGTTCAGGTCGTAGCGGGCCTCATTGTAACCCCAGTTGGTCAGGTTACGGGGGTTGTAGTCGATGGTGTAGTGACGGTCACCACGGACAAGCGCAACGGCATCAGAGAGGACAGCACGCGAGATGGTGTAGGTAGGGGCAATACCGACACCGGGAACCATGGGCTCCTTGGCCTCTTCGGAGACAATACCGGGGTAAAGTTCAATGTAGTCAGGGTGCTCATAGAGATGGCGGAGGGTGTCAGCGATCTCGGGGTTGGAGTTGACCTCCTCGAAAGTCTCGTAAGTTTTCAAGCCGAAGTGCTTACGGAACTCGTTGAGGGAGCCGACGTTCCAGCGACGAGAAGCCTCGATACCGAGAATCTCGATGGAGCGCAGGGCCTTGGGTACGTTGCGGGGGCCGAAAGAGCTGGCAACATCTTCACTAGCATTGCTCAGGATGTTTACAAGCTCATTGTCATCGAAGAAGCCTTCCTCGTTTCGCTTCAGGTGGGCGAAGGTGCGCTTGGCGGGGTCTGAGTCGATCATAGTCTCGACCTTCTTCATACCCATTCTCAGCTCCATCATAGAGACCTCCTCGGCGGGCTTGCCCATGAGATCATAGTAGATCTGCTCGATCCACTTCTCGTCTCCCTGACTGATGGTCGAGTGCCAGCGGTAGGCCAAGTTGAACTCAACGGAGCACTGGTTACCAAGACCGGAGGGAGTGGCACCGGCCTTCTCAACCTGAGCTCGGGGGTCCAAGCACCAGGTCGAGTTGGTGCGGTTCAGGTTGACGATGGTACGCAGGTAATCGTACAAGGTGATGTTGATGTACAGGCCACAGGTGATGAGACGACCGGTCTGGAAGAGGTCCTCATCGCGCTTCGCCCAGGCAGCCTTGGTGTCCTCCTCGGACAGACCGGGGCGAGGGCCGCTAAAGCGGCCGTTCTCGTTGATCTCAGCCAATTGAGTGACAACGTGGTTGTGGAAACGGTTCAGCATAACCAGGAGAACACCGCAGGCAGCGGGGAGGGCCAGCAGACGACCCTCAGAGAAACAATCGGGCTTCAGCTTTCCGTCCTGGTGGGAACGAATTTGGTCCTGTTGCTCCTTGACATCACCGTACAGAATCGAGAGATCCAGGTAGGCGGATGTCTTGTTCAAGTGCTGCTGGCTATAATCGGTTTGGAAGATGTCTATGGACAACATATTAGCGTCTATATCCTCGACTCTCGTGTGGCTCACATACCGTGAATAATCAAAGAGGCCCAGTCGAAGAAAACACTGGAGACCTTGTTGGGGTGAGGAGTGAACTCCTGACGAGCATAGAGGGTATCAAAAATAAGACCAGCGTCGGGCAGTCCGCTGGGCTGGATGGTCAGGGGAGGAATGGTGCGGCAGTATGCGGTATTAGCGGCTCCCAGCCAGGGGAGCGTAGGGTTGTTGTTTGAGCCATCAGCTGAGCGGTATTGGAACTCAGTGCCCATGTAACTATGCGACACGATGTTAGCATATAACCAGCACGGCAAAGCACAATTGGGATGGGTTGCTCTTACGAAAGAGGAGGGTGAGGAATCGAGTTCCAAAGCTCGTCCAAGAACACACTGGTGAGCTCAGGGCGGTTCTTGGAGCTACCGGGGAGATCGGCGACCATCTGAATAATGCGTTCCATCAGGTAGGTCTTGTCATCGATCAGCTCGCCCGAGGCCTTGTTGGCAACGAGATCCTTGACCGTGTTCGCATCGCGGAATCCAAGCGACTTGATGTCTGTGATCAGGCCCGTAGACTTATCGTGCTTCAGGTAGGTGCCGTCACCGGTCTGGTTGGGCAGAGGCTCTCGGGAGGCGTGGATGGCCTGTGCAAACTTCTCAAATGTCGCGACAACCTCGGCGCGCTTCAGGACATGGCCATTATCCTGGTTAGAGGCAGATTTCTTGGCTGGAGAAATCTTGGAGAATCGCTTGCCCTTGTCGGTGGTCTTGTCGGTGGTCTTGTCGGCGCTCTTGTCAGACGACTTGTCGCCCTTGTCGGCGGTCTTGTGTTCGGAGTCGCCATTGGCGTCCTTAGAGCGCTTGAACTGAGTAGAGAATCTCCTCAACATTGTGAATATATGAAATTATAGTCTCACACGAACAAGTGAGGACGAAAGGGAAAATTAATTAGGGGAAAAGAAGCTATCACCAGGGGGATGGGGAAGCTCGCGCGGCAGTGCTCTTTAAAAACGAGCGACGCAAGTCAGCTGCAGGACTGTGGAGCGACCTCCAGGGTGGCGGATTTGTTATCGCCAATAGTTGATTGATTGCAGCTGTTCTAGCTTTGGATCTTTGCTCTCCCAGTACTGTACTTTACTAGCCCCGCAATAAGCTTGTGGGTTGGGACAGACCGAGTAAAAGATCTGCATATGATGGAATGTGGGTTAGCTGACAATACTCGTCTATCCTTTGGACTGGTAAGATACTACGGAGTATGCGCATTTATACCTGTCTGCATTCGTACGTCGATTCTACGTAGTATGGGCACTTAGTGTCAGTACAGTTCTCGAGTACTGGCAGCCGATTTGGTAGCAATGGGAGCATGCTTATTGTCAGTACCTGTACTAGTACGGAGTACAGTCCAAAACAATCCAATATAGCCTGCATGGATGACCCGGCGCTATTGAGCTGAAAAGGGTGCCACGCAGACTAAAAACACGAGGTCCATGGCGTACAGGATAATACCTGGCGGTGTACAGAAATGTAAAACATTGGAGAAGTCATAGTTCCACAGGGGATCTCAAGATCGCGCTAAATCGGCCCTAAGTGGGGAAATCTTTGCCGCTCTTAAGAAAGTCATTAGAAATACCAGCCTAGTACGGAGTACTACGGGTGGCTGGCTGGAGGTTAGGGAAGATCCAGGGTCTGGCGCCGGGGCTGACCGACATTAAGATGCCCAATTAAGAGCGTTAAGGGCCTTGAGCCCTGGACGCAAGGTCTCAATGTGATAGCCAATATGTACTCTACTTCTCACAGTACCATGTCCTATGGAGTGTGGTACGGGCCGAATACGAGTACCATACACACTAAAAGTGCTGATCGTCATGACCCACCCGTTCGTGCACTCACAAACCACTATGTGCCGTCTGTCATTGGCAGCTGAACCCTTGGGAGTCTGCCAGTCATCGTCACGAATTATTCAGATTTGGATCTATCGGCTAGGATTCCCCACCCAGGGTCGGTACCTCGAAACTGGCTTTGCTCGGTTCTGTCAATCCCCCCTTTTTGCGAATTTGCATCCTGATCCTCTTGATTCCGGTCTTTGGTTTGACTTGTCTGCTCATGTACTGTGACTTCACTAATACCGGTTATAGTCCCCGGGTACAGACCTCGGGAGTCAGCAAGATCTCAGATCGATGGGCGAACCACGGATCATTTCTGGGGCCGCTCCCGAGCTCAACCTTCAATGTTATTGCGATGTTCAACGGAGTATTACTCCGGGGTACACATCTTCATATTTCATCTCGAATTGTAATCATATGTACATACGGTATAGAAATATTTACCGATATTAATTGACTCCTGGGTTCGGCCCACTCATTTCCAGCGCCGCGGGTCCAGGAGTTTTCAGCTGTCCCACACACGGGAAAAAAAAAAGTAAACATCGGAGACCATGACTTCATTAAAAGCATGCTGGGTCCGTGTCATTGAAAAAATGTCATCAAAAGGTAAAAATGTAGCAATGCAACACGTGAAACCTTCCAAGTGTCCAATGGGGAATTTTGACAGCGGGTCAGGTTGATACATACTAATCGCAAGATCAGACCCGATCCTTTTTCCCGGGGCGGCGGAACCTGCACACGAACCTCGTCCCCCTTACAACTTAGCCTGCGGTGTCCAGTGCTCGGAGGCTGGGTGGGGACTGATCGTCGGTACAGTGCTGAACACCCGATCGTCTCCTTTTACACCTTTCTCATAGGGGGATTCCACTGTAGGCCCCATTGATGGGTCGTAATCAGAGCTTGGTCAAATCTGCAGGTCTCTCTTTTCGTCAGCCCCATACACATTCCAAATCCACTCGTAGGCCCGAGCCGAGTATCACTCGTGCAGAGTGTTTGCGTCAGGGTCAGTCCAGACTCTAAGAGAGCTGCATATCCAGCAATGATATCCGGTGCATAACTATTGGATGGAATGCACACCCGTTGAAAAACGCGTCCTGAGGCTTGCTTTTGGGGCCTGCAATACCAGATGGGATGCCCGACATACATACTGGTAGGCGCACCTCGAAGGATCATAGTGAATGGTTGCGGGCAACCCCAAAGGCAAAATAAAAAATCCAGTCCAATGTGATTGGAATGTGCCAGGGCCCGCCCGTCAGCCCACTCCCGGCTTGACGTATTCTCTTGGTCAAGCTGCAGCGATCGACTAGCGGGTGAAAACATTCTTATCCCCCTCCCCATCTGGGTCCGACGTAGGGCGCTGATTCGTGTAATGCACAAGCTGTAATCTGCATGCTCGCAGGGCTTGAATTTTCTCTCCCTCCCCCCGTATATAGTCCCCTGGATCTCTTACCACTTGCCAAGTCCTCATCTTCCAGACGATCGCATTTTTCGTCATGGCTCACGGGTATGGACACCAAGGCCCGTCGGGCATGCCAAAACAATTCGTGCTCTGTTTCGACGGCACAGGAAATAAGTTTGCCGGTGATGAATCCGATAGCAACGTTCTTAAGATCTTTCGCGTGAGTGGGACGAGCCAAGCCTGGAGGACGCGCTGACAACTCGTAGATGCTTGACCGCAGTAAAAGCCACCAGTACCACTACTACCAGCCAGGTATTGGTACGTATGTGACATCCAAATCGCTCTCCAGCCATGGCCGGCTCCAGCGCATCAAGTCGGCGTATCAAAAGGCCAAGGACTCGGCGGTCGGCTCATCCTTCGACGAGCATGTCATGGGTGGGTACAAGTTCCTGATGCGATACTATTCCCCCGGCGACGAGATCTATTTCATTGGTTTCAGTCGCGGCTCATATATTGCGCGATTCCTCGCGGAGATGTTAGACTACATCGGGCTCCTCGAAGCCGGAAATGAGGAACTCGTTCGGTTTGCCTGGAAGACATTTGCCAAATGGCAACAGCGGTCTGACGACACCGAAGACGAGCGTAAGGAGAAGAAGGAGCTCTTCACATACATGAAGGCTTTCCGCGAGACATTTAGTCGTCCCATCTCGCGCATTCGCTTCATGGGTCTGTTTGACACTGTCAACAGTGTTCCTCGCTTCGAGTCCGCTTGGATGCAGCGAACTAAGTTCCCCTATACGGCGCGTAGCTCTGCTAAAGTCATTCGCCACGCCGTCGGAATTGATGAACGTCGCGCGAAGTTCCGCCAGGACTTGATTTCTGGTCCTCGTCCCCGCGAGAAGAAGCACCACAAGCACCGTCACCATCTGCCCAAGAACCCGCTTGAGCATCACATGGACCGTCACCGCGACGAACACCATCATTTGCACCTCTTCCACCAGGACAAAGATCGCAAGGCCTCCAAGGCCCAAGAAGATCACCCAGAAGACCATGTCCCTGCCATTCGCTTCAATGACAACCCGGTCGAAGAGAAGCCAGAAGAGGAAGAGAAAGCTCCCGAGTTCCAAGTTCCTGGATGGGGACCCAGTGCCGGTGAATCGTACTATCACAGCGCACGCGCACACCGCGCACCCCACCAGGGCTCGCAGGCTGGATCCCGCGCGCCCTCTCGCGCAGGATCCCACACCGGATCATACGCTGGAAGCGAGCCCACCACGCTGCAGCCTCACCCATACCGCGCACCCTCACCCCGACGCAGCCTCGCCGTGCCCAAGTCCTCAATGGAGGATCTGCACTCCGTGGCCAGCAAGGAATCATGCCAAAGTACACACTCCAACGTGCTCTCTGTCCAGATTCCCGGCACCGAGGACGGTGAAAGCGAGGACGAGGATGACCAGGATATTCACGAAATCTGGTTCCCCGGCTGCCATGCCGACATCGGTGGTGGCTGGAAGCTCGCTGATGGTGAGCTGTGGGCACTCAGCCATGCGCCGCTGGTGTGGATGACGCAGGAAGCCCACAAGGCCGGACTGGAGCTCGACGAGCGCAAGATGAAGCAGTTCCAGTGTCTGGAGGAGTTCGATGGGGACTACACGCCCATCCAGCAGGAGATCAATGCTCGTCGACCCAGCCGCTGTCTGGATGCCCATACCGATAATCCGGAGGCATTCCGTTCTCTGCCGAATGAGAAAGAGCGCAGCGCAGCTAGTCGTGACTTCTGGCATGCGCTCCACACGTCTAGTACCAAGGGTCTGAGTCACGATTGTCTGCTGTTTGGCCAGGGCATTCCCGCCATGTCCGTCATCACTTGGCGCATCATGGAGTGGCTGCCGTTCCGTCGGATGGATCTGCAGGCCGATGGATCCTGGAAGCCTATCAGTTGGCCCCTTCCTCGGGGTGAAGTGCGTGATGTTCCGCTCAATGCCGAGATTCACGTGTCTGCCATTCGCCGCATGCAGGCTGATGCCAAATACCGACCCGGCAATGTCATTGTTGGCGGTGGTGGCCGAGGTTGCCGGGTGGCCCCTGAAGAGTATGGCATGGGTGAGTGGGTGGTGTTCCGGAATGAAGGCGATCCCGTGCGTGAGACGTACGTCCGCAAAGATCTTTCCAAGTGTAAAGAAGGCGAAGACGACGAGAACCCACAGAAGGTTCTTCGCCATTGAGATATCCCAGCATTTTTTTTTTTATTCTATTACTGTACGTGTGGCTTATTGCTCTACTGCCTAATACATAATTTTCTGAAACTTCCCCTTGACGGCAACTCCGTAGATCTGGAACTTCGCTGTGGAAACTGAAATAGGATCTGAAGCGCAGGAGACAAAGTGGGCACTTTTGGGTCTCCATTGGGCGTCGAATGCAACGGTGGAGCAGTGGACGATATCATCAATCTCGGGAAGTCAATGTCGATGTCACCACTCCAGAGCTACCTACTATACTAGTAGTCTACTAGCAGTACCTGGTATAGTCCACAACTGGAAATGCCTCTCTTCATTGCCGTCGGCATTTGCAATGTGGCAATCTAAATATACATATAAACACACGCAGAAAACTCTGAAACAAGTTGAAATAGGCTTCGCCAAGCAGGATTCTAGACCAGAACCGCGCATCCAGACCGCGTAGGGTTGGGTTTAGAATCAGGGATGCTTGGCGTTAACCGTTGAACTGTCTGCATATACTGTCTAAGATCTAAGGTGCAATTTGCAATCTTCAGTAAATAAAAAGACAGAATGAAACAAACAGAAAACAGATCATAAAGAAAGAAATAAGAAATAAGAGAAAGAATAAAAATAAAAAGAGGCTCTAAGGATCGACAAGCACGTTTCGTAAGGTTCTGGGTCTTAGGCTCCGTTGCCTCTTTTCCTCTCGACTCTCCCACTTGGCCGGCCCAGGAGAATCTCTTCACCATGCAAAGCTAAGATTCTAACTTCTACCATGGAGTCTCGACCTGATTACCCCGGGGAGGAAAAGGACGTCATGATTACTTTTTCACTCCCCCCTCCGACCCGATCCCCTTTGGCCCGGTCCCATCTGCGCTCGCGTTCACTGGCGGGAATCCCGGGCATGCCCTCGATGACGCGCGCCTACTCGTCTCCAGGGCTGGACTCCCGAGGTCGTTATATCTTTATCAATGGTCGGGCACCGGACGCAAAGCGAAATCTACCCCTGCAGATGCGCCCTGACGATCACGTCGAATCCCGCATGGGCTCCCTGAACATCTCAGAGACCATCTCCGAGAACGCTGAACTCGAGACCTACCCTCGCTCGCCCTCGCAGTCTGGCTCGCCCGTCCTGATGGCGCAGACTTTCCCCCGCATCGGTCGCCTGCGCTCGACCTCCCCCCTTCCCTACAACTCCGGCCCCTTACATTCCCCACCAGCTCTGGGGGGCAAGTACAACGAAGCGTACCCCGTGAATTCGGGCTCCTCAGTCTCGTCCATGTCAATCCCCTCGACCCCAACCAGTCTCCGCTCCCGCAGCCCCAGCATCTCCTCCCTGGAAACCATCCCTGACATCCCCGATGCGGAAAACGAGGCAATGGAAGACGACCGCATCGCCGAGCTGAAAGCTGCAGCAGATGCGGCCGACGCAGCCAGCAACGCCAACCGACGGCGTGGGGCATCCGATGCGCCCAACTCCTTCAGCACCACCCGCGGGGGAACCGGGAGCTATGGAGCACGGAGCGACAAGCGCAAGCGATGGAGTGTCTGCGGTGCCGAACGGCGACAGGACCTCGATCTCGAAACCATCTGGGAGGACTGAGTGCAATCCACATACGAGGCCGACCTTCGCATCCGCGACCGGGCCTACGTCTCGAGGCTCGCGTCGATCACACCCTACTCATCTGCATTTTCTTTACTACTCCCTGGCGCCCCATTGTTTGAGCTTCCTTGATACCCTTCCTTTACCCCCGACCCGTACATACCCGTTTCAATCCTTCATCATTCTAAAAGGCGCTTGAATTACTGGAGTTTTATGGCCTCTGTCCGCCGGTCTACGAGGATTACAGGCGCTGCGAATTGTTTTCTCGTTTTTCGTTCATTATGCTGGCCATAATCGCTGTTTTCTATCTGCGCCTTCTGCCTCTTAGTGACCAATGCAAGGGGTGTCAAATCGAACATTCGGAGTCGATCTTTTCTCCGCAGAAATACCCGATAAGAGCCGTGATAAGCCGATAACCGTTGGGCGTCTACGCTGTAGAAATCATCCCGAGATGCAAATATTTTCCAATTCTTTTGTACAGTTGCATCGACGTTAAATCCGTACAAGATTTCCAAGTATGGCTTCGACTATGGCAAAGCACATCGGTATCATCGGCGCCGGTCTGTCCGGCCTCCGCTGCGCCGATATCCTCATTCAAAATGGGGCCCGAGTAACAATCCTAGAAGCAAGAGATCGGATTGGCGGTAGAGTACTGTTCCCCTTGCATCACATGTGGCGTCAGCTAAGACCTTGTCCAGGTGCACCAATCAACCGTGGGAAACCGTGTAGTGGATATGTATGTATATCCCTGCACGAATCAGTGAAGTACAGAGTATTGAGACGAACAGGGGTCCCAACTGGATACATGGCGCCGGGGAAAACCCCATCATGAACATCGCCGAAGCAACGGGGGCAGCCATGTTCGACCCTGAGGAAGGGGGACACATTGCATTTGCCCCGGATGGCCAGCGCGTCCCCGAACATGTCAATGCCCAAGTTCAGGACTTTGTGTGGACGACTATCTCCGAGGCGTTCAAATACAGCAACGAGCATGGAGGAAAGATCCCCGCCGAAAAGAGTCTGCTTGACTTCTTCCGCGATCGAGTCCAGCAAACCGACTTTTCCGACGAAGTCAGACGCCTGTGTCTAGATGCCTGCAAGCTCTGGGGCACCTACGTAGGCGACCAAGTCGACAGACAAAGTCTGAGATTCTTCCGTCTGGAGGAATGCGTCGACGGCAGTAAGTCCCTCTTACATCGAACAGCCAATTCGAAAAAACCCTAACATCAACCAGGCAACTTCGTCGTAGCATCCACCTACAAACGCATCCTGGAACATGTCTCCAAGACAGCCCTAGCAAAAGCAGACATTCGACTCAACGAGCCAGTCAAAACCATCAACGCACCAAATCGCACCCCAACAACCAAACCAACCATAACAACCACCAAAGCAACCTACACCTTCGACGAAGTCGTAGTAACCTGCCCCCTAGGCTGGCTGAAACAAAACACATCCGCATTCAACCCACCACTTCCCCCCCGCCTCCAAAAAGCCATAACCAACATCTCCTACGGCCGTCTCGAAAAAGTCTACATAACATTCCCCCACGCATTCTGGCATCAAACAGAGCCTACCATCTCAGCCCAGTTCCTCGAACCGCAATACGCTCCCCACCCCAAGCACATAGAATGGAACCAAGAATGTCTCTCATTCGCAGCTCTACCATCCCCACACGCCCACCCAACTCTCCTCTTCTACACCTATGGTGAAAGCGGCGCCCACATCATCAATTCGATCCAGGGCCTCGATCCGCTGTCGGCAGAGTACAAGGACGTCCTGACGCAGGCGCTTCGCCCTTTCTATTCCCGGTTACCGGGGTATGACGGGAGTGAGCCGACGGCGTTCCTGGCGACGCAGTGGCAGAAGGATGAGTTTGCGGGGAATGGGTCGTATTGCAATTTCCAGGCTGGGGTTGAGGAGGCGGATGTGGATATTGAGGTTTTGAGGGGGGATGGGATGGGTCTTGAGAGGGGGTTGTGGTTTGCTGGGGAGCATACGGCGCCGTTTGTGGCGCTTGGGACGACGACGGGGGCGTATTGGAGTGGGGAGAGGGTTGCGAGGGGCATTTGTGGTGGGCTGGAGGGTGAGGCGCGGGATGATTCTTTGCCTTCGGCTGTGCTGAGGGACTGAGTATGGTCTTGGTCTTTGATGGTGCTTTCTTGGGGGGTTCGTGTTGATATTGAAGGGTTGTCGTTGAGGACAGCGCTGGTGTATATACTCCTTGCGTCTACATTGTTTCCTTTAAGTACTCCATAGACTTGATGGGCTCCAGGGCTTCTGTGTCCATACGGAGCTCATCCTACGATGGTCTGGGTTCTACATATCTTGTACACTAGCACATCGAAATAGATTGAACATTGCATTCATATAAATACTTCAATCAGTGGTATTTAGGTCGTTACTTGGACTCATTCCAGGATTAGTATGTCTTTCTCGAGGGTTTAGCCCTTCATCTCGTCCAGTCAGATCGTACAGCAAACTAGGGTGACCGGAAATCTGCATTTCAAGAACCTGGAGGCCATGTCACGAATAGATATAGGCCGAAGAGACGGAGGACGTAGAAAGTAACATGGATGGACACGTGACAGCACTTGCCGACATCCATGACGTGCACATGGCGAATCATGAAGACAAAGAAGATAAAAAAAATACAAGGCTCAGACGAGAATTCAATCACAAAGGAAAAAAGAAAAAAAAAAAGAAAAGGGGGAAATATCGAACAGATAGCAAAGGCGCTTTGGAATGAAAATGACAATCCTGCATCCCTTTATCGCCAGGCCCCTTGGCTCAACGACAACAGACCCTGGACACAGTCAAGATCATCTTCTTGAGTATCGCCCGAGCCCCCAGCCATGAAAGCCGAGACCTCCGCACTCATCTCCGGGGCTTTGCCCTGCGCGCGAGATTGAGGTGGCCGATTGCGTTTGCCATTTGAGATGCCGAGGCCGCGATTGCGGTTCGTATCGCCCAAGGCCGGCCGTGATACATGTGACGTGTTCCGGCGACGAATATTCGCTGACCGAGTGCCCGGCACCCAGTTCTCTTTATCGGAGTCACCAGGATCCATCTCCAAGTAGGGTTTTCCTGACTTGGAGAAGACGGGTTTGGAGATTTTAGGAGGGTTCATGTTGGCTCGGTTGCGACCACTCTCCAGCCGCCCAAGAGATGAAACGGTCCGAGCTAACTTGCGTCGTTTCTCACCCATGGATTGCGAAATCGGCGTATTGGTCAGATCCGGGTTGGCTGCAAGGCCATATCGCCCGGATGCACTGCGTGGTAGCGATCGCTGACTGCGTGAATGGAAGAGACTCGGTGACGCAACGGGTGCGCTGCTTGGCGTTGATAGGGCGCTTCGTGCGTCTGTGTCGCAGAACGATTCCCAGTTGCGGGGGTCGCGAGAGCGACCGAAGATCCGATCTTTGTCGGCCACACCTGCCCGCGGCGTAGCTGGGAACACGGCACTGCTGCTCCGTCGCAGGCTGGACATTTTTGTTCGGCGCACTGAGAACATCGCGACTCGGTTTTTGGATGGAGATGGTTCGTTTTCGCCTCGGATGACTGCCTTGCCATCTGATGACATCGCGATGCGCAGTGAGTTGCGGCCCTTGGGCGGTGATGGAGTCAGTTCCCCTTCTTTGCGTACGAGAGCTTCTCCATCGAAGGACATTGACAATCTCAAAGATGGTGGGGATTTGGTCGGTGTGGCTGGTGTGATTTGTGTGTTTGTCTGCTCATTTTCTCTCTCGCCTCTCATATCCGACAAAGATCGTTTCCTGCTGGGCACCGGCAGGAGGGAATCTGAAGATTGATTCACGTGGGAAAACTCTTCTTGTGTGGCCTGGGGAGTGTCGTCCATGACCTCCGTGGCCACGCTTGTTTGCGTGCTTGGAGGCAACTCAGGTTCCTGCTCATGCTCCTGTTCATTCTCATCTCTGTCGCCCGTTATCGGGTCCGAATCATCGGAGAAATTCAGCAGTCCTCCGTGCCACGATTTGGGCGCCATTTCCTCGCGATGTTCGTTGTCAAATTGCTCTGCCCCACTTGAAGACCCCGGCTCCGCCGACGCGTTATCATCACTCAAAGGCTGGCCAGAGGAATCCAGTAAGCCCGACCGCGGGGCCAGTAATTCGTGTGGTTGGAGGGGTTTGGATTTGCGGCGATCGTTTTGGCGGCGGTTTTGGAACCAAATCTGTGTGGTGACGATTAGAAGCGGCTTGGAGCGTCGGTTCTTGGCATCACATACCTGGACCTCTTTCTCGCCGAGCGAGACGCGATTCACGATCCCGGTGCGGGCTGCCTTGTCTGGTTTGGCATTCCTCTGATATTCCGATTCCAGCACGGCGTGGTCCTCCGGACTGCCACACAATCACCGATTAATTTGACGCGTTCATGGTAGTTCCGCACGTGATACTCACCTCGTTCGTCGTCGCTTTTGGCGGGCTAGTAATTTGTTGTCGACGCGCGGAGGCAGATTTTGAGTGAGTGTTTTTTGTGAATGCACGAGAAAGGCGTAATTGAGAGGATTGGAGTCAGTGGCCGGGAGAGAGGGCGAAGATGAGATTGCCACCGAGGGCTCCGGGTCAGACATTGTCAAGGTTAAGAGTGCATAAGGAGGTTGGAGAGAAGATCAAAAGAAATAACACCAGAACCCCGAAGGAGAAAAAAAAAAGCCAAGGAAGAGAACTGGGAAAGCCGTGAGGCTGGTACAGAATGCAGAAAACGGCAGCTAGATCGCGTCGCGGTGTAGACGCGGAGTAGCAAGAACGTGGCCCACGCTAGTAACTCAGTGCACCTCCGAGGTATCGGGTACTTGACCCACTGACATTGGATATTCTATTGTTCATACGAGTAGTTCGAGTTATTTGCTTAAAAGAGCTCTTGTTTTCTACCTAGGTACTTTATGCTTGCGATCTACTAGACTGCTATTACTCGAGTACGAGCTACCCAGACTGCAATGTGGCAATGTGTCGATATTTCCAAAGTTGCTGGATTCTCCGAAAAAGCAGGACTTCAGCTCTGGGTATTCAATGTTAGTCCTATTTGCAATCCGATCACCTTGTACGTGCAGAGTGTCCTGGTATTGACGACGGGACGCGTGGATACGCGCCCTCACGTGACCCCACGTGCCAGCGCCCTCGTGGACGAGGAATGCGACTTGTAAATTCTCCTATCTTGTATCAAGGAGATGAATTGCAGTACGAAGGACAGATTGTGAGAGTATGAGACTCTCTGCCTGAGTGCGGGGAAAACCAAACCGGAGCAACCTGGGAGAAACTCGAAAGTTACCCATTTGGAACCTCTTCAACCACTTCCCTGCAGCATGAAGCCAATTCATACCAACATATTCTAAACCTCCCCAGGCCACAATGGGTCGGCTGTTCACAGTCCTAGTGGCTGCATTAGCGGCAACAGGGTCTTTTCTGCATGGATATGACTCAGGCGTCATGACAGACGTGATTGATTCTCCAAATTTCTTGAACTTCTTCAACACAACCCAAACCTCGGCCATTGTGGGTGCCATTAACAGCACATTTTCTGGAGGAGGTGAGTTCCACACCGTGGCACGAGGAATGGAGATATTGACATGTCCCAGCGGTCTTCGGGTCGCTCCAAGGCGGACTGACAATGGATCGATTCGGCCGCAAGGCAACTATCCAACTAGGCGCATTCCTCTGCTTGATTGGTGCCATTCTCCAAGCAGCCGCTCAGAACCTGGCGATGATCCTAGTGGGTCGCGTCTTAGCAGGCTGGGCCATCGGATTAATGTCCATGTCTGTTCCCGTATACCAAGCAGAGTGTGCTCATCCTCGTTCTCGAGGCATGATCGTAGGACTAGCGCAGCAAATGATCGGCATGGGCTTTATAGTCAGCACGTATGGTCCTTCCCCAGTTCCGAAAGTAATCCCAGAACTGATTAACCCTAGATGGGTCGGTTATGGATCCCTCCATGCGCCACCCACCAGCCAATTCCAATGGCGATTTCCCCTCGCTTTCCAGGTCGTTCCGGCTCTGATCTTGGGATTTGGCATGCTCTTTCTTCCCGAGTCGCCGCGGTTCCTTATCGAGAAGGAACGCTATACGGAGGCCCGGACCATTCTTCACAAGCTGCACTTCGATGGCACGAATGGTGATTGGATCGAGACCGAGTATACTGGCATCCGCACTGCGATTGAAGCAGAAAAGGGTACTACAGCCCCCGGCTGGATAGCCATGTTCATCGTCCCACAGTGGCGGACTCGATTGCTGTGTGTGCCAGTCCTTTCTCCTCATGTCTGTTGCTCTAACGCTCTTCGCAGACATGGTGTTGCCGTACAGGTTTTCACTCAAATGACTGGAATCAACGTGATTGGATATTATCAAACAATCATGTACAAGTCACTTGGGATTGGAGGAAGCCGAAACACCCTCGTAGCGGGCATTTATAATTGCATCGGCCCTTTTGCCAATCTGATCTTTGTGGTATTTATTCTCGACCGGGTTGGGCGTCGTCGACCCATGCTATTCGCCACCATAGCCATCTCCCTCGCGCTCATTTGCGAAGCTGCTCTCAACTCACAGAGTCCAGGGACTCGAGGCTCTAGTGTCGGTGGTGTATTCTTCATCTTTCTGGTATCGGTTATCTTTTCGATGTCTTTCGGGCCCTGTAGCTGGTAAGTACCTGCGATTCCAGATCCGTTCCTGTCTCATTCTCTGGCAGGGTGTACATGGCAGAAGTCATGCCGATGCAGATCCGGGGCAAAGGAACCGCCTTTGCGGTTGGCATAGGAAACTGGGCAGTGGGGACTCTTTGGAATCAACTCTCGCCCGTTGCTTTGGGTCAGATTCAGTGGAAGTTCTATTTCGTTTTTGTGGCGTGGAGTAAGTTTGCTGTTTGCTCTCCACTTGTATCCGTGCGAGGTTGCTGATGTTTCAGATATCTGCATCTCCTTTCCCGTCATCTTCTTCCTTTTCCAAGAAACGAAACAGAAATCTCTCGAAGAGATCGACCTGCTCTTTGGACCCGCAGTGGGTACAGGGGTAATCATGGAAGAGTTTGAGATCGGCAGACCGCAGCAGACACACGACAAAGAACATATAGATGTATCTGCAAGAAATGTTGAAGACGTGCGCATTGACTGTTAGCACAAATTCAATCATTTGATCTTATGGGATAAATCTTGGAACGGACGACTGAGTTGATTTCCAAGGTTCCAATCAAGTTGACTCATTGTTGTATGTACAGGATAGTGCCTGCGTTTAGTCCTCTTAATATTGTAGGTCCTCTCGAGTCCAATCCTCAAGAGCGGTCCAACATAAACGTCTTGTGGTCATCCGAAGCCCTCAATTTGACCTGAATATGCTGAGCTGTCTTCTCCATCTGACCAACTCTTGACGGTCTATCCTCAGTCTTGTCTCCAAAGTCGTCGAGCCCATGGAACAGCACTGCCATGATCGACCCTTTCCAAAGATTAAGTTCTGGCCATGACAGAGCTGACACGGAGAAGAAGAAATTTAGATCTCAAAGTTGACCGTACTGATTAAAAAGGTATACGAACTTGAAACCGAGGGTACCAGTCCGAGTTTCACCTGCGAAGAGGTTGCTAAAGAAATGCATCATCGTCACCTAAGCAATGTTGTCGATCCAAAATTCTTTGGTGTCTTCCAACCCCATTTCGGATCCCTAGTCAGGCTTAAGGTGATACCAACCAGGCGTGGAGTTTCCTTTTGATATCGTTCCATTGTGCCAAACACCTAGGAGCTCTTCATGATTGACACCCCGTCTAATTTGGTTACATATTCTTTCATCTGATTGAATTCCACATGCAAATTGTGCTCTCACTCTGGCAGTCCTAGATTGATGTAATCCGTGGAGTGTTCTGCTTTTTCTGATTTAGATCTCTATAGGTAGAATCCAACTATATACACGTTTATAATAACTATTTTTATACTATAGCAGACTGCTGCAAAGAATAAGAATCTTATTTGGGAGTTGACACAACCTTTCCCGCCCTGGAGCCCTCCAGGGCTGCTGCAATCCATGGATGCCCAGGGCTCACATTTCAGTCACGTGCTCATATCGAGCAACTGCCCGGGCTCAAGCTCAGTGTCCAGGTAAGAAATTTACTTCGTGAGCCTGGCAGATGAAAGATGGTATAGATACCTACTCTGGGGGACATGATCGTGACTCAATATTGGCGAGATTCAGCACGCCACTCGATGTTTGTGGTAGAGACCTGTCCCGATTAGGAATTGACGTCAAATTTGCCGACACATACACAGCCCTGGACAGGGGAGTCGCAATTTGGGCCCACAAAATTGAGTCCTGGATGATGCTTCGGAGAATATTTGCAGTTGAAGTCATAAGCCCCTGGTCTCCTTCATCCGACTTCCGAAGGAGTTGATCTGTATTCTACTCCGTATACATAGTCTAGGTCTCAGGGGTAGGGAAACATGTGCATTGGATCATACCGTGATGTCAATACCAAAGCTGACTGATGGAATCTGTGCAGAATATTTAGTGCGACGTGCTAGAATCTTCGAGGAATGCGCGACCCCTTGAAGCAGGGGAGCGTGGTAGAGAACATTGTATAGAATCTTGGCGTCACCGATATACTCTACGGAGTACGGAGCATAATATCGCATATCGCCGTAGGTAGTATGTAGAAAGTAATAAGAGTGTACGGAGTATACCCCAGACCTGTAGCTCGACGCAAGGCAAAGGCATTCCACCCCTTGATGCCTTCACCTCCACTCTCCCAGGACTCCATGGCAGTCCAGGGATATTACTGATCGAATTTGAAAAGGCAAAATCTCCACAACTGTCTCTTCCCCGCTCTGACGGGTCGATCATCCCCAGAAAGCAAACTGGCTCTGGGAGCCGACAGAGCTGTACTGGTGATCTTTTCGCCTTACACATTTCGCCTTTGACCTTTTACCTTTCATCTCTCTCATCTCTCTCCACTTCCTTTCTGCACCTCTCACACCACTCCCCCCCACTGCAACAAGTCTCTTTTGGCAGGGTTGCGCGACCCACGTCGTACCACCCTAGCCTGTGATCGCATCTTCGGACTTTTGCACTCGCTTATGACCTGAGGAAAACCACAAAGGCTACAACCTACACCCTACAAGACACCGGGGAAAAGATGAACGCGGAAAGCAGGAGCTTGGACAACCCGAACCTGAAGAGACATCTGGCAATCACCCTGGGGATCTCACTCGGATTAGTCGGGATGGTTTTGTTCTGCGGAATGTGAGTAAGATTCTACTTTTGGGTTTCTGCAACCCGGGTCCCATTCCCGAAAACAATTCCCTACTAGAATACATCGAATTCGGGGATCCTAATGATCGCATCTAGCCTGTTTCTTCTGACCGGTCGCGGGGATCGCAAGCCCGCACAGAGATCGAACAGAGATAACAACGAGCGCTTGCGCAAGCTAGATAAGGTTTCGCCAACTTGCACCCTCGAGAAATGGTGGGCTAGCACCAAGGGCAAGCTGGGACTGTCCGAGGCTGTCGATGGACAGTTTGTTTGGTATGTTTTCATCGCGCGACAGGAAGGTGGCTACTAATGCTTTTTCTTCAAGTGCCGTTTGTCTGGAGCAAGTGGACCGCACGCACGAAATACGGGAGCTTAAGTGCTTCCATGTGTTTCATCGAGAGTGCCTGGAAAAGTGGTTCTTAGGTGACCACTACAATTGCCCGCTGTGCCATCGTGCCTATTTCGCGAGTCCCCCACCTCCCATTACTCCTTCTGTGTGGATGGTATGACGAGATACCCGACCATCGATCCGGGGGTAATCCATTAATGATGTCATGAATGAAACGTGTAGCTTGGGATAGGATGTCACATTTCCGTGCCCAGTCCTAAGCTGTAAAGCTCTCGCCCAGGGGGATGTATCCGGTCGTGAAATCCCAGGTTGTATTGAAGTTTGACCAGTTGAGGAAGTCGTCGAGGCCCGAGGTACAATCATCGACCACATGCTGCTGGACGGGTTGGGGATCGAGAATCTGATCCAAGATGCGAGCCAACTTTTTTTCAGCCTGTTTGCAGGTTTTGTAGTTACCGTGACCGGGGACAGCAACCCACGACAAGAACGAGACAAACACACTGAGGTTGCGGATCAGTTCAGCGCGTGGGAGAGGAACAGCATGTGGACCTGGCTCAGACGACTGACGCAGAAGCTCAAGAAGAAGAACACTGGCTGACGGAACCCCGAATGTGAGAACCTGTACGGAGTACTAATCAGCATATGCCCAATCAACCCAAAAATGATATGATACGCACAATCCATGAGAAGTGTCGATCTAGATCAACCATCGGAGTTCGAGAAGAATTGATCTGAATGACAATGGCCAAAATCCGGCGAGAAACGTCACAGAGGTCTCCTTGTCCCGTATTGGTACCCTTGACAACTGCTCGGTAGAGCAGGAAGCAAGTGTAGAGATAGTGTAAGTAGAAATATGTGATGGCCAGCGCTCCATGATGTGCACTATCATGCGAGAGACAATCGTATCGAGTATTTTCTGGAAAAGCAGCCCAAATAGCGCGTGATTTCGCTTGGATGTCACTTGAAAGAAAGATTTTTTGTAAGCACCTTAACACGTCTGAGGGCATCGGGGATAATATACTTGGACTTCTGGATCAGATCGTACTGCTCGTGGGTCCCCAGTACCACCTCGAGAGTTTCCTCCCGGATGATCGCTAGGTAATATCGGATACGTGTTGGAGTGACCGCGTGTAATATACCCTCTCTATTCCAACCAGCACCGTCAAGATTTGAAATAGCCCTTTCAAGGACGTGACCGCCCGCAACAAGGACTTCATCGCTCAAGTCCAAGGGCGCAGTAGGGGTGCAGAATCGTCCATTCATCAGTGGCGGTCGGCCAAAAAAGGTTGCGATCATTTTGTCCATAGCAAATGCCGCAACAAAGCATTGCCTGCGCCATTGCCGAAGGAAGAATGGTGCATTTTCGGCGCTATCGTTTTCCAAGTGCAGTCCGGCTGCATAGACCGTGGCTACCAGGTCACTCAGTCGGCGCCACGATTGATAACCTGGGATCAAAACTGTCATTGAGTGGATGTCACTGAATGTTCTTGGGGGAGTAAGTCTTACTTTGATCACCGTATTGCTGCGTCCGAAGCATTGTGTCGTTGAATTGTAACATTACCAGTAGCTCATTTGCCGATGATGCCTGGTCACAGAAACCAAGGCAGATTGTGCTTACCACCGTGATTTGATGCACTAAGCGTTCTTTCAACCCCGGGTCGTCAGAATTCTGGACAACTTCAGGGTCATTGTCGAGCGTAACCATCAACTGCATGCCACAAAGGGAGAATATAGACCCGATAGCCTCCCATCGCAGATTGCGACCGGTAAAGGAACCACAGTACTCCTCTATAGTCATCGTCTTATGCGTTCGCATTGGCCGCGAAGTATTTTGGAATATCCGATTCGATAATTCCTGCAGCTGCAATGTGGGATTCTCGGTGAAACCGCTGAAGATGGTGTGCAATGAGCGCAGAATCTCGTCCACGACTATTCTTGGGACAATGGTGTTCCACGATTTCAAATAATATTTCTCAATCAAAGTCTCGCGCATCGTAAGCTGATACAGAAACCTCAGCGCCTCGACCCCGGATTGGAGCCGATCGGGATCCACCATTAGACCGGCCGAATCGGTCTCCTCGGGTTCGGGTGGGATCTCATTGCGATGTTCGGATAAGACTGCTGAATAGCTTATCGGGCCCAGGTAGCCAGGAAGTGCTGACGGTGGCTCCAGGGGCACAAAAAGGCGTCCATTGCCCAATGCCCCGGGGCTCGAAGTACTGACACAGGTTCAGCTTCTCCTGGCCTTGAATTGACGTAAGGGTACATACTTTGAGGTTGGCTGGCTTGTCAGTGAATTCGGGATGACTTCATTAATCACTGTATCCGATGGCCTTCTTCTCGTCATAGGAGACGGGTGGTAGAAACATTTATTACTGATTCCCTTGGCAGCGCATCTGCGACAGATGGGCCGATCATGATCACATCGCTGCTTCGATCTCCGACAGGGTTCACACGACTGCAGGGTACCATTCCGACGTGTGGCTGGTGATCGTGAACGGTCATTGCGCCTCATCTTCAAGTGCGGTAGAATGTCGAAGTCACAAAGAGCCAAGTTGGAGCGGAAAGCACATCCGAATTAGGTATAGCGCGATGCCGATTGTATACAACCGGTTTTCTCAGAGTAATTTCGACACTTCACTCAATTGACATTAAAGGAACTTCAAATTCTCTAGTAAAATCGAAACTCTAGCTCTTAGCTCCATGAGTAAAACTGACACGTCCAATTTGGGAATTTGAAGACCTGAGAGTCACCCTTCATCACGGTGATGACGATCAGGCTTCGATGTCTTTCCTCATGAAGACAGTCCTTATATCCCAGACCCTCCCATTCTTGTCAGCATGTCTGTAGAAATTTTGAATAGTTTTGATCAACCGGTATCCTCGCCGAGCGTACCACTCCTGATTGGTAGACTACAGATAATCAGTGAGTGCAATCACCCGAAGTGCGAGGGTCCTTACCTTTGGAACGCTACCAAATGTTGCAATTGCAAAATCTTCTTGCATCTGGTCGTCCTTCTGGACAGTATCAAGCATCAGCGTCTTCGCTAAAAGTGGCTTACGGACTGCCATGCTCTCGACATAATCCATAGTAGCCCGTCCGATGCCCTGGCCTTGAATCGAGCGGCTGATATAGAAGGTTTTGATCCAGAACACGCCCTCAGCAGGTATTTCTAGATCAAGACAATCTATTTCAGGATTGTAGGAATCAAGTGAGACATGGCCGATTGGGATGAAGGTTTCTTGGGTTGGTTGGCGTGGGGCGGCGTTGAGTGTGAGGGCTGTATCCTCGAGCTTTTGCTGTTGAAAATATTTAGTCAAATTTCATTTAGAAGAAAATTGCTAGGCTCGCACTTCTCTCTCGTTTCCAGAGTCTGAACTTGTCGTTGACTCATCTGACGGTAGTACCTTTGATGGTCAAACATTAGCATCCCTGGACCCCGACGAACTTCTTGCTCAAGGAGTAATTGATTTCAATATCCCTGGAATAAACTCACAATCCAAAAAATACATTTCTGGCCCTTGAGTTGTTGACTCCTCCACGTTACTTCGACTTTCTCCTTGTGCCACCCGCATTCTATCCGCTGCTTCACGAGCCACTCGCGGTGCGCCTGCGACTCAGCATCCCATGGAATTAGACGAAGCTGTGAACTCATTATCAAAATATCAATGAACTTTCAACCGTGAATCTGGGGGGTCAGCTTCATTTATACGTCATTAATAATCCCTGTCTCACGCCTAGAAACCTCTAGAGCACGGAACTCCGTGAGTCATTCGGCCAAAATTCCTATCACCGAGTTCAGCGTATATTACTCCGTCGTCTCGATTCCATCTCCATGGTAACCTTGATATCGGAGTATTCCCGTTATCTGGGGTTTACTCCGCGCCGTTTTTCGAAGTTAATTTCATTGGTATTGCGTCAAGCTCTTTTTCCATTTCCCTTCACCAGGTCATTCCGAGGTTGTTCCCTCAACATTATTGCAAAAGATCCAGGGGATTCAAGTAAAATATAAAATTTGATCTATACACCAGTCATTAATACTAACGTCCCATCCTGCTGGGGCCAACAAAACTCATGAGCCTTTTGATCAAAAGGCCTACCGTGGCCATCAAACATCAGTCATTGCCCCTCCCCCAAGATAAACTAAATATCAAATCACATTAATATATCCAAGGCTCTACTCTGCCTTGCGAACATTCTCGTCATCAATAGGGGATACATCCGCATCATCTCCCTCGTTTCGAGTAGATTCAGAGCTCACGGCCGGTTTCGTGTTCGTACTCGGCTCAGCAAGCTGATGATCAAGTTGGGCCTTCTCCTCATCAGTGGCATCGGTGAGGTGGACGGCAACCTCGTCTCCGAAGTTCTGGGCGATTTCTTCCAGGGTGAGACGCGCGGTCTCAGGGAAGAAGAAGTAAATAACTGCGAGGGGTTAGTGGTGGGTCCATGTCAAGTTCAAATGTGGGGAATATGCGTCTCCATACCTGGAATAAAGAAGGCGGACCAGCAGATGATGACCAGGTAATATTTCCAGCCGACGTTTCCGAAGCCCATGGGCGCGGTCTGTAGGAGGATAAGGGTTGCTGCATGGTTTTAGTATATGCCTAAGATGAAGACTCGACAAAAATATCTTACCGGCAAATTGACCAAAGAGAGAAAAGCCCATGCCAATGGGTCGAATCTCAGTGGGGAAAATCTCAGACACGTAGAGGTACATGGTAGTGTCGCAGAATGTACTGGAGGATTATTAGCTCGCGATATTCAATGAGCAGGATCTTCTTGGTTCAACTCACCCCTGGAATGCCAGGTACAGGTACATGAAGAATATACCAAATCCATTTCCGACTTTGTTGGTGGTGCCGGAGTATTGGGCGGTCATGGCTGCCAGGCACGATGTAGTGATCACGATGCCCACAAAGCCGGTCATGTACATTTTGCGTCGGGAGTTGACCTTGTCGTGCAGCCAAGCGCCCAGAGGGTTGTAAATCACACCTGTGTCGTGTTAATAGACCCAAGAAAATCAAAAGTTTGCTCGGATACTCACCAGCAGTCGTAAGCCAGACGGCACTTAGGAGGAGAGGCATACTACCCTCCATACCCAGATTCGTATACAGAAGAACTGCATAGTTGTTCTGTTTGACCATTAGCAGAATTCAGATATGGAGACAGGCCACACGTACAATAATCAGAGGCCCACCAAACTCCGCACCCCACTGAGTCAAAAACCCAATGGCCATACGCTTTCGGTAAGTCTTCTTCTTGAAGATGGCCTTCCACACACTACCATAAGTAGCCAGCCTCTCCGCCTCCAGTCGAATCTGCTCCTTGGTCTGGAAGAACTCTTCCTTGGCGACCAAGTTGTCAGGATCATCGGGTGATTCCCGAAGTTTCTGAATGACGAATTGGGCTTCGTCAAGTTTCCCCTTCGAGATCAACCATCGAGGCGAGCGCGGTAGCCATGGTGATCCCAGAAGCAGCACCAAGGCGGGTAGGCACTGGAGGGCGAGAGGGAACCGCCAGCCAAATCCTGACAGCGGACCTGTCGCGTAGTAACACGCGAATCCAACCCATCCTGCGAGCATGTATCCAAATACCAAGAAGATCGCGTGATGGCCGACGAGCCAGCCGCGGCGCAAGGCACTTGACATCTCAGAGAGATACATAGGACACACGGTCACGAGGATACCGATCCCAAGGCCGCAAATGAAGCGTCCAGCTTGGAACATGCTGAATGCGGTTAGTTCCATCATCTTGCCATCGGGGAGAGCACATACGCCAAGGAGTTGGAGCCTGCTTGGAGAGCTCCACCAAACAAGGAAAAGAAAGCGCCAAATTGAATATTTGCCTTTCTGCCAAAGAAGTCGCACGACCACATTATGAAAAGGGTGCCGACGGCACCGCCGGCGCTGAAGACACCGTTGGCGGTTGAGATGGCAGGGGTGGTGATGGCGGCGTATCCTGGCTCGCCATCAGCCGGTAGATTGAAGTAGGTGTACCATCCTGGTTGACCGATGGTACTGGATATAATGGAAGAGCAGTATCCGTAAGTCTGGAGATATTTCTATGTGAGTGACTGGTATAGATGTCTTTCAAGGGATGAGGCAACGCACCAGAGACCCGATGGCCACGAAGACCACCACCAGCCTATTGTAGGTACTCGTCTGCGACCCGAACCTCCCCATGGCGTGTGATACTGCGCAACTAGAAGGATGTCAAGTGAAAAATCAAAAAAGATGCCAGCATCCGTGAAAATGTGAGAGGAAACCTTAAGTGCACGAGCACTTGAATAGACACGAGCAAGGGGGGGTCTACTTGACAGTGGAGGTGGTCCACAACGACGCATTGAGTTCACAAGTCGACCCGCCACGGCAAAAGACAAGGGTGTTTTAGTGTTCTCTTGTACCCTGTACCCACTGTCATACAGCAACTCGTACTTTAGAACAAGTCAAGAGCACCGGAAAACTTAGCCTACGCCGATCTGCAGCCCCCACGAATCAAATGTGAAGGTCGTTGCAGCTCCAACGTACAGTGCGGAGTCGGTCCGAGTTTACGAAGCGCATAAAGTGTTTCGCAGAATCTTGTGTTCATGCTCGGTGAACTCGCTACACTTCCGGAATACACCTTGAGGTCTCAGAACCATCGAGTTAAGCTGGTTTATCAAACACCAAGATGGCCTCCTTCGATACCCCGTTTGATGAGCTTCCAAACCCGAAGCAGGTATGGCTGGGAAAGCCTGGCAGCTACGAAGAGGGGCTAGGGAAACTAGCTATTCTCACTCCGGAGGTTGTCGCAGCCGCATCCGCCAGCGAGATCAAATGTGGCCGCCGAGTGACCATGGGATGGGACATGACGAAATTGGACTATCCCAATCTCAATCGTCAGCCATGTCCCCATAGCATTATCCCCCTCCTGGGGGGCATTGCATTCGACGATGTTTATACCATGAACCCGCGTAAGCCGAGAGCACTGTTCACCTCTTGACCCGTGGTCTTCATGATTAACACCAAGCCAGAGCAAAGTAGTCAATGGGATGGCCTGCGTCATTTCTCGCAAACCGTGCCAGGTCAATCGGAGCGTGTCTTTTACGGAGGGACCACGGCCGACGAGATTAATGATCGCCAGAATGACCGGATCGGGATGCAGCACTGGGCCAAAGAAGGAATCGCAGGTAAGCATAGGGAGTATGGTCCTGAGGGGACCTTCGTGATACTGATCATCGTGGATAGGCCGTGGAGTCTTGATTGACTACGCCAGTTGGGCCGAGAAGAAAGGAATCACGTATTCCACATTCTCAACCCATCAAGTGCGATTTGCCGATATCCTTGAGATCGCGCGAGAGAACAATATTACCTTCAAAAAGGGCGATATCTTGTTCGTTCGCGTCGGCGTGACCAAGGAGTGGGACACGACCATGACCGATGCGCAAAAACAAGCTTATTCGGATAATGCCAGCCCGGAGCATGCTGGCGTAGAGGCCACCACAGAAGTGCTCCGTTGGCTGTGGGACACTGGATTTTCGGCCATCGCCAGTGACGCAATTAGTTGGGAGGTGAGCGAGAGACGAATTCATTTCGAGGATCTGTTCGAAAGGGGACACCCCAAATTGACATCCCTGCAGGTGTACCCACCCCAATCCCCTGACATCTTCCTCCACGAGTATGTGCTTGCTGGTTGGGGGATGCCGATCGGTAAGTCGGGACAGTGCATCTTCCGCCGACCCATCAACTAACAGCTTCCAGGGGAACTATTCGATCTCGAGGCACTGGCCCAGACATGTCAGGAGCTTCAACGGTGGAGTTTCTTTGTGGCCTCGGTGCCTTTGAACATGCCGGGCGGAGTTTCTTCGCCCCCGAACGTCATGGCCATATTTTGAGATGGGGACCGGTCATATGCAGTCGCCCACGAGACAAACATGGACCCATGCTGGAATCCTTCCGCCGGCGCCGGATGCCCTATAGCGCAAATAGCGCTTTCTCCCTGCTCAATACTCCGTACAGTAGTTCGTGGCCCACAGGCAAACAGGGCAAGTCGAGAACGATCAGATACAAATAAATTAAAAAGTGGACCAAGGCCCGGGGCGAAAGCGGCAAAGGCATCGGACCGGTAGCAGATTCCGCTTTGAACAAAGCGTCGCCATCTGACATGCACTATGAGTAATGATATGCGGTGTCATTGCCTAGCAGGGCCCTCTGGAGCCAATTTGGGGTGGATTAAGCCTCGTATTTTCGCTCTGATCTTGCCACACCCACATCGTGAATCCTGCGATCCACCTCCTTTGACTTCCTGTCCCGTTGTGGACCGGCGAAATTATATTGCATCTCAGCAATCATATGGTCCTGGAGCCGTTAGGACCCACCTTTCTCGCCTTGTAGATATTTTGGCCCCAACTCTGTCTTAAAGCGTAATTCAATTCAGATCGACCCTGATCGCGTGTACCAGAATACGGTACTGTACAGTACTATCAATTGAATTCTTGAGTCTTCATTCAGACTGTGGGCTTAGTATAGAGTCCAGCCTAAGATATGAGGAGTATTAATATAGTAAATCAAACCACTGAAAGACTCGACGGTACTTTGCATAGCACTACTAACTATAGTAGTACATAGTAAGTACGGAGTACATACCTTTCCAACCATCGTGCATGCACAACCCCACCGTATCCCTGAATGCTGGGGGCCATGCATCGATTGTCTGGAAACCGACTGAAATCGTACAGAATTTCAAGAAAAATGAACGATCGGCGAACGGCCAAGGATCTAATGGGCGCATTCTGGTCGAAGATTCCATCAACGCACCTCGTGCTCGCCTCCAAATCTAATTTGTCCCGTGAATCCATCTTACCAGTACAGAGACCAATAAACTTCTCAGCCTGTAAGCTTTTGCATCGTTTCAGGATAGCCGATCTTCCAAGCTCAATAGCCCGAAGGGTACTATGTAGGCTGTGGAAGCATGTCAAGCATAACTAAACCTAATTTGCGTTTGTTAGACTCGCTAATATCTTGGCTGAAGAAGTCCCTTAGCAGTCCCGAGAGGCCTGTTTAAAGACGTCTATCCGGTGATTGTCGGCCCCTAGCTTCTCACTCGTCATGAATCCCATCATGTCGCTGCTGTCACCCAGAGGCTCTGGGGATGTGGATATTGATCGGAGTGTGCAACGATGGAACTTTGCTTGTCAGTCACTATGTATCATTGGAATGGTGACGTTCTTTGCACTCCGGCTATATACTCGAATGTTCATTCTGAGTGGGTTGGGAAGAGAGGACTGTAAGTGGCCTTCCCGATGCAGCTGATTTTATACTCACAACGGCTACAGGGGCATGTCTAGTAGCAACGGTACTACCATCGCATGAGACTGTGTAATGTCTAGCTAATTTGTTGATAGGTCCTCGGAATCACCTACTCTGTCATCGCGATAATCAGTAAGTTTGAGCACCACCCCTCACAAGCTCGATCTAACCCAAGACAGTGGGACACTATGGCGGAGGCCTACATTGGTCTGACGTCGCCGATGAGAATAAGATCCCATTCCAAAAGGTGAGCAAGACTCAATCCGTCAGTGAAGACATGCCTGACCTTCCAGACCATCTACGCCACCATGGTCATGTACGGACCAACAGCCTACCTCACGAAAATCTGTCTCCTTTGGATCATGACCCGAGTCTTCAGCCCTTTCCGAAAATGCGTCATCTTCATCAGAATCTTCATGGGACTGATGCTGGCATACTACATCCCTGCTGTGATCGTCAAAGTTCGAATCTGCAGCCCCATCGCCCGATTCTGGGACCAGAGTCTCGACGGCTCATGCCTCGACGAGAATTCAATCATCATGGCTGATGCTGTAGTCAGTGTGGTCAGTGATTTGATCATTCTGATCTTACCATTGCCATTGACATTGACCCTGCAAATGTCGACAAAAAGAAAGATGCGCGTGATGGGAATTCTGGGCGCCGGTGGCTTGGCCGTTGCAGCAAGTATCATTCGACTAGCCCTGATTGTCGTTACCGGACAGTCGAAGGATATCTCACTCGCTTTCATGCGCATCAACATGCTTGGGTTTGCTTCCTAGAACCTTTGTTTCGACATCGCTTACTGATCCTTGCCTACAGTAATGCCGAAGTCGCCATCGGCGTCATTTGTACCTGTCTCCCGGCCCTTTCAGCACTCATCATCCGCATGTACACCGAATACTCCAGCAACAAAGTCGAGTCCAATTACAAAATGAGTACAATGCGGGATCAGACCGGGATCGAACGAAGCAGGCAACAGATGAGCGTGATGCAGACGGAGTCGGACGAAGACGTCCTGATGTACAACGCACAAGGGAACCCTAAGATCGAAACGGTCATTCGGGGCGATAGTGCAGGGCGCGAGGAGTCTCCAAGTATGGTTTTTGGTGGCATTGGAGTTACCAAGACGGTCAATGTGTCAACCTCTGTGGAGCCTCGATGAAGACCAGCAGGACAAAAAAGACAAAACTTGGACAGACCTGAACTTTGGAATGTGGTATTCTATATTGTACATAATGAATCAATTGATTATATCTTTTCTTACCGGCCAATCCAGTGACGGGAGATTTTTGAATTTTCCCCAGTCACATACTTTCTGGCTTCCAGGGTTGGATATTCGTATCTGAAGACATACTTCCAAGGTTCAAGTCCACCTCAGCATAATCGGCGTTTTCATCGCCAGTGCCCTTCTAAAGCCTTGATTTTCCGATACCCGAATAAGACACCGAACTCATTATGGTTTTCGTCTTCAGGGTCCACGGGTATGTCGCGGCGATCTCACTCAGGCGGACCGTGCAGATTTGGGTTCGAGGCAAATGAAGACTACGAATGAATTCCGAGGGTCTAAGCCTCCAAAGCCTCATTAAGCCTCGACTTTTGGCGACGAGGCGCGGCAGACTGCGCTCCGTTTGGCTTTCCGCGCAATTTACCAGCCAAATTGGCTTGGCGAAAAGAACCCGCTATACACCATGGAGATGGGATCTCACTCGGCGGGGCACGCCGAGCCTTTGTTTCGTAAAGTGTAAAATCTTCTCCTTTTTGCCTTTCAACATTCCTCGAGCGGTGTCTGGAGAAGAGTGAGAATCCAAAGTTGCATGCTCGTGTATACATCATGATATACTTCGACTGAAGACGGGAAACAAGACACTTTCAATACCCTTTGAACCGGGAATGTCCGAGCCACCGCAACTGCTGCTGGCAATTACACGATGGTCGGCGTGCCTAAAAGCAAAGGATGCCAGACATGCATCCAACGGCGAGTGAGGGTGAGACTCCAAGCATTCTCGAAACCTCGGAACGAACGACTGATCCCGTCATCTCATAGTGCGATCTCTCGCGACCAACATGCTCCCAGTGCAAGCGATACGGCACCGACTGCCCCGGATACATCAAGTCGCACAAGTTCATGGACGAAGGACCGCAGCTTCGAACCCGGTTCGCCAACCCGGGAAAGCCATCAGAGTCAATCGATGAGTGTCGTGTCCCCTCGCTCGTCACCCGCTCAATGGGCAAGCAACAGCCCGTCATCTTCGGCGACTTTGTCATGGCCGCCTTCACTCGTTGGTTCGGACTGAACAAATACCGAGTCCACGTACCCTGGACCGGATACATCGCCCAACACGGTGGGACAAGTCCTGCCTTCGACGCAGCAGTGTACAGCATGAATCTGGTATTCATGGGCCACAGACACAACGATACTAAGCTTCAGCAGTCCAGTCGGGAAATGTACAGCAAAGCGCTGCGATTATTTGGTGATACGATTCGAGACGAGGCGGGCATGAAATCCCGCGACAGCGTCAGCATCACAATCGTGCTCAGTTTGTTCGAGGCGTATTCGCGCACGAACCCAGACTCTTGGGCTCGTCATGCTTCCGGCACGGCGGTGCTGATGGCTCATCGGGGTCCTGGTGCGCATTTGACAGGCTTTGATCGCTGTCTGTATCTTTCTTTCAGGAGCTTCGTGGTCGCGGAGGCTTTTGTCAATGATAAGAAGTGCATTTTCGAGCTACCCGAGTGGCAGGCTCACATTCATCAGGTCCGCAGTGAGGATATGGCGGATCCCAGAGTGGACGGTCCTATTGCGCTGTTTATTGATCTGCAGGATCGCATTTTTATAGAGGTCGTCAAAATCCCCGGAATGCTCTTTCGGTCTCGTCGGTTACAGCGAGAGTCCGAGCCTGAAGTGGCTGCAAAGCAGGTTTTGGACCAGGCGCTGCAATGTAGCCAGACGATCAGCACTCTTTCCGCACGTCTTCGTCTTGCCGCTGCGGTGCAAAAGTACAATTGGTGCAGATCGGACAAGCAAGTCGACTCCACCGACAAGGCGAGGTTCATCGGGCCAATTCCCTCAAAGTTTCCCCAGCAATTTGCGAACAGTGTGCTTCATGGATGTGATGTCTGTCTGTACCTTCTTGGTCTTCTGCAGGACTACCTCCAAGGGTTCCAGGTCGGCAGTAGCACTGCCGATGATACTCAGACGGCCCAAACAGATCCTCTCCCATTTCGAATTGCGTCTAAGCTTCGCAGCAGCTCAGGCAACGCGATGCCATCAGATGCAGGCACCTCGTGCACAGACTTGCCATCTCCAGATAAATGGCTCGATCTCGTTGCAGCAACTATGGGATTGGAGGCATTCGACATCATCACATATCCTAGCAGAAATCTATAGACAGCTTTGCTGACAAGGCCTTGACACTACCTACTTCCAAGGTTGCATCGGCCTGTAGAAGAACGACGGACGCCATTGCTAGATATATTGCACGGGTTATGTCTCGGCGCTCCTATGCAGACTATGAATACAAAATATTAACATACTCAAATTCAAATGTTCGAGATCACTCGCTAAGTGGTATAGGCGGAAAACTGCAAGCTGTATGCTAAATCACGGTCAAACGTATCACGACGGCAATCAAGAGATCTTCCCGATCCTCTTCTTCCCAACATCGAGCTTGCCTTTCAGTCTAGACATATCGTTAGCAAAGTAAATAAACACCAAGAAAGGGGCGTGGACTCACATATCAGTTTCCTCATCCGCCAACTTAAGCAGCTCATTCTGGACCTCAAGCTCCTCGTTAATCTGTGTCCCCAGTTCTTTCTGTCGAATGATAATCTTCATCAACTCGTCGACATTCTGATCCTGGCTCTGCATCATCTGCCGCTGCAACTGAAGCACACCGTCGTTATCGAGCTCGCGCGTCCGCTCCGTCTCTTTGCCAAGGACTCTGCCCGACCGCGCTGGCGCCCTGCGCCCACTGCTCGCGCCATCACCCGCATTCCCAACATTCATCAAAGCTTCTTTATCCTGTACCGATGCCACAGCATGGTCTAGTCGACTCTTAGTTGCCATAGCGTGCAAGAGATCCTCAAGGCCGTCCTTTTCCTTGCGCGCATTGATCAACAGATCTTTGCGGCGGCGGCTCTCGCCCCCGCCAATGCTAGAAGCCGAGTGTGATGCTCCGATGTTCTTGAGTCCGTCGTCTAGAGTCGTGATTATGGTTCCTGCGCGGACAAGGCTCTTTTTCGCCTGTGCGGAGCTTTCATGCTGCTTTTGCGGTGTTGTTTCTTGATCTCGGCGCGAGAGCTGGAGTCGCGCGTCGTGCAGATGTGACTTCATGTCCCGGTAACAGTCTAGCCATAGCGTTGGATCTGTAATTGGGGCATTGGTGGATGCTGGGTCTGTGATGGCTGCGTGAAGACGGCTAGATGTATTCGTGGATCCGCTTCCAGTTGTCGTTACTGCAGTTGGGAGGTTCAGGAAAGCCCGCCACGCTGGTGAACCTCGCCAGCGGCCATCGTCGGATTCGTTGATCGCTCGGAGGTATTGCTCTAGGCCGTCACGGCGGTCTTCTCGTAACCGTTCATTCGAAACTGTGTTTGCGAACCATGTCTTCGAGGGTAATGGAGCTGGTGGAGGTGCATTCGTTTGGGAGATGAGGGTGTTATGGAATGTTGAGAAGTCCGAGTAGCGTTTGGGGACCGTGAAAGAGCGGAGCGGGAGGCGGAGGGTGATGTGGTAGACCGTGTGTGGCGGAGAGGTATGAGAAAGGGTAGTATTGGGAATGGATATTTCAACAGAGGGTGCCATTATTGCTAACTAGACGAAGAGTACCATTGGAAAAGTTGAGGGTCAAAGAGAGTGCAAAGGAGCCTGAAGAGATAACTCCGCATGACGCAAAAAGCTTAGACCACATGCAAGTACCTAAGCAGGTTGACCAGTTGACCCCAGCACTTATGACCTTCAGGCCTTTTCAATGTCAGGACGATTAATCATTTGTTATGGGTATCTGGTATGTGACAATATTATCTAAACCCAAACCTCTCGGCTTTCCAGCAAATCGCGTTGGCCAAAGAACTCACCCACCACCGTGATGACCATGTCAAGCAGAGCACGAGTCTGCTGCACCAGGGCATCTTCATCGAAGCTAGCGGGCGTCGCAGCAGGCTCATCAATGCTCTGCAACTGAGCCCGCAGGCGTTCTTTAGCCGCCTCTAACTCGGACGGCTCTTCAGGTGCGTCGGATACGTTGGAGTCTTGGGCTTCGGTGGTTTCCTTTGCCTCGGCAGGTTCTGATGTTTCTGTGGGTAGTTCTTCGGTGGCTTGATATTCACCGTTTGCTGAATCATTCAAGCCATCATCTTCAGCCTCTTCGTTCGCGAAATACGACTCAGTCTCCTGTACTTTGCGCAAGATGGTCGCGGCTCGCTTCCCCAGGTTTCGGATGACGCCGACCTCCTCCGTCGCCAGTTGTCCGACCTCGCGGCATTTCCCTAGTAAAGCCCATGCCCATGTCCCTATGCGCCGTATGCGCTCGGTATCCTCACTCCGCACGACATCGGACATCATTCGCGCCAGTATCTCCAGGACCTCCAACACACTTTCCATGTCCATGCATGCCACTTGGACCATTTGCGGGTCGACTGCAAGCAGGAGGCGACGCCATTCTTTGTGCGCAGATCCAGCATTGTGGGGGAGACTGATGGGGTGAAGGTCATCGAGGGCGCGGATAGCTTCAGCGGGTGGACTACACCGAAGAGTCGACCTCAGGAGGATAAAGCGATGCCGAAGGAGATTGTAGTAGGATATTTGGGTACTCGGGTAGAGCGCTTCGATCCTGGACGGGGAATGCGCGTCCTGGTTCTTGTTTTTGCCCACGGGAGCTACGTAGGCAGACTCTCTCTCGAAGAAGCCAATCGGCTTAGAAGCTTTCGTTGTGGTAAACGGTTCCGAGTCATTCTGCTGGCTTGAGCTCGAGTCCTGTGCAACTGATGTTTGGGTACGTGCGACGAATAGGGTAGGTAGGGCGTTCGCTTCCGATCTATTGAGCCATGATCAGCTTAGGCCTCACCACGGCGTGAAAATCTTGATGAGTTGAGTGAAAGGGAAGCCTGGGTATTCTCCAGATAAAAACCTACCGGACCATGCGCAGATATTCTAGCCCATCATCCGCTGGGCCATAGAAAAGTTCATCACCGCCATCGTCCAACCCGGGGAATGCGCCCCTCTGACCGTAGACGATATTCTGACGGGGTTGCTCGCAAGGCTGCGAAGAATCCTCCCCGTCGTCGTAGGATATCCGAGGGCGCTTAGCAGAGGGAGACGACATGCTGCCCTTTCTCTTGTCGGCCATAGTGGATTGGAGGTGTTCAAATCATTAGGGAGCTTGGGCCGTCAAATCGCAAATCATTTTTTTGCTTTTCCCATGCGACACATGTCAAATTTCCATGCAGCGTAGAATCGGAGTTTTAAAATCAGATGCGACGGTTGAATGTCCGATCGCCGGTGATGCGACAACATTTACTCCTAGGCGGTATGTCACTTTGGCAGAAGATCGTGGGCTTGCGCAACTTGCCCAACCTGCGTTTCTTGTATTCGCATCTATGAATTCATTATCCTTTTAAATGGCTTCATTTCTCAACCTCCTTTCTTTCTTTCTGTTACAATGCCAAAATATATGAGCCGTGCCGAGGCGGGGCTCTCACGATGTGTACATCTTCCCACCGAAGTCTTGATTCAAATTGCCAGTGCGATTCTTGACGAGTGGCCCGAGGATGATACTCCAGTGTATCAATCCACACTTCACAGCTTCTGCCTGGTTTCCCGCCAGTGGTACTCTGCTGGTATCGGGTTTCTGTATTCTCGCCCGCAGCTGGCTAGAGGAAACAGTTTCACGCTGTTCGCGAACACTGTGTGCCCGCCAGTTCGCGCGAAGGAAAGAAAAGTGGACTTAGGATCTCTGGTCCAGGACCTCGATCTTTCAGGACTGGTTCACCACAGTTCCAACAGTATCACGGCAAGGCTGCTGGGCCGCGTGAAGAAAAATCTTCGGTCATTCATTGCACCGAGGATTTCATTTGCGTATGTCGGACTATATGTACGGAGTATAAGATGAATTACTAACTCATTTCCCACAGATTCAACAGCCTTGCGCCTATATCTAAATGCAAAGAATTGACCTATCTCTCTCTCGGCCTAGTAGCTGAGCCGCTTGCGCTGTCGGATCTAAGAAAGGCCGTCGTGCATCTCAACCGGCTAGAGTCATTACAGCTGCCACCCTCGATGGTAATCACTGATGACGGTTCGGATGTAAAATGGCCTCCGCACTTAAAGCAGCTTGCTATGGGTGGGTGCTTTGACTTGGAAGCGGTCCCAACCTTCACTTGGCCCCCGGCCCTGGAAAGCTTGACCTTGCTCGATTGTGAATACTTAGCAGCGGTTCTGGATGTAGCTTCCATGAACCAGCAACTCTGCGCCTCGCTAAAAGAATTGACTATCCCTTCTTACCACTGTGACGCTCTTGTGGAAGAGCCGCCCGTGGGGTTGAGTCAATTCGTGGCATTGCGATGTCTCCGAATACCTATTGATGGAATGTTCGGAACTGACATAGCCCCCGTCTTTGATGTTTACAATTTACCTCGGTCCATGCGTGAACTCATTCTTACCACGGCGATTGACGAGGCGTTTTCAAGGGTTGATACTGATGAAATCTGCAAGGCTTTGAGGGGTGCCCTCTCTCAGGTCTGTGGGTTTGGCATGAGCCCCAGCTGCTCCAAGCTGATCCCCCGTGCTACACGTGCCAGCATCGACAAGTTGGTTTGGGCGAATATCGATGATTGTCCCGAGGACGAATTGGATGATCTTTATGATCTGGGTCTCTATGTCACTGACTCATAATCACCTTGCTTCCTCCCGAGGTCGTTACTATGCTCTCCCGTCCTTTTTCTTTTTGGTCGTGAAATGCTCGTTCTACTCCAGTGCCATGGTCACTGAGACAACTCCAAGTATATACCAGCAGACGCAGAGAAACTGCTTCCAATATTCCAACATTTATACCCAAATAAGTATATGCCACATACATATGTCTTAGAATACAGAAAAGAAGGATATAAAGAACGAATTCTCCGTTGAGGACCTTGAACCTTGGAAAGGTCCACTCCTCTAATATAGCCCGTAGTTGCTACTAATAGTTGCTACTACCTAGGTAATTATGTACCTAGGTATTTCGTATTCCATACTACAGCCACCATGGTCATCCACCCGCCCGGGTGTGGACATCTTGGCGCGCAGATCCGATAAGGAGATAAGAGGTCTTGGCGACGGAACCCCCGAGGTCAGGAATGACGTACCTTCATACACGTCAACGGTCTCTACCTAGGTACACTTAACGCGCCCCCCTCTCTCGATCAGAATGAGACCTCAAACAGCTTGGCGGTCCATCGGCCTATTAAAACGCCACGCCACAGCCCAGCACTCCTTTCTTGGCCGCCGAGCGATCCAAACGGCCAGTTCTCGGCCGGTCCCGAACTTTGCATTTGCTTTCGAGTGAGTTAACCAGTGATTGTTATAAGACAGTCTCCTGCGATGTGATCTGACCATTCGATGCAGCATTGATGGCGTCCTTTTGCGATCCTCCAAGCCGATCCCGGGTGCCGCTGACTCCCTAGCATTGCTGAAGGAACAAGGCATTCCCTTCATTCTGCTTACCAACGGAGGCGGCAAACACGAGACAGATCGTGTCGCGGAAATCAGCGAGAAGCTCCAGGTTCCTCTGGATGCGAGCGATATCGTACAGAGCCATTCTCCTTTTGCGGAGCTGGTCAAGGGACCGGACGAGGCGAGCGCACTCGAACACAAATGTGTTCTGGTAGCCGGTGGTGACGGAGACAACTGTCGACGTGTGGCAGAGCAGTAAGCCGACTCAATTATTTTTCGTTAAGAAATCTGCTAATGGATTTCTCAAGATACGGATTCAAGAATGTCGTCACACCAGGAGACATCCTCATGGCGAATCCCGCAATTTGGCCTTTCTCCAAGAACTTCAGTGACTACTACAAGACTTTCGCTCGGCCACTCCCAAGCCCAATTGATCCAAACAACCCAGCCAAAAGCTTGAAGATTGACGCTGTGTTTGTCTTCAATGACCCTCGAGATTGGGCCTTGGACACCCAGGTCATAATGGATCTCCTTCTTTCCTCGCAGGGCCGTATGGGAACCCTTTCTGAAAAGAACGGCCGAACTGACCTCCCCAACCACGGTTACCAACAGGACGGCCAGCCCCATCTTTACTTTTCTAATCCCGATTTGTGGTGGGCTGCTGCCTACCCCTTGCCCCGGCTTGGCCAAGGCGGGTTCCGAGAGGCCCTCGAGGGTGTCTGGGCTGCGACCACAGGAGGCCCCAGCAAGGGCATTGAGCTGAAGAAGACTGTGATTGGAAAACCATACCAACCGACATATGAATTCGCGGAACATCAATTACTTCGGAACCGACTGAAGACATTCGGCAACTCTGCAGATCTTCCTCCTTTGGAAAGAGTTTACATGGTTGGTGACAACCCAGAGTCCGACATTCGGGGCGCCAACTCCTACCGCAGTGGATTTGGAAGTAGCTGGCAATCGATCCTTGTTCGGACTGGAGTATACAGTGGCGGAGACCCTGCATACACCCCTCATACCATTGCGGACAATGTACATAAGGGTGTCCAATGGGCTTTGAAAAGCTCCAAATGGCCCGCTGCTTGAGTGTACATACATGAAGTACCAAGTGCTCGATTGGCACTCATGACCTAGGTTATAGCCAGGGCTCAATGAGAGCAGGCTATAACTAATGATAATAACTATCAACGAGCACTTCTGAAATTCATAACTTATACATCCATTGGAATGTCTTTGTCATTCCCCGGACTTGGATGAAAGATCTATGGGGCGGATGTAGTGTTTGTATGTAGATCACATACAAAAGGTACATATGATTGGGTCAGGTGACATCCCCTCTTAGGGTTAGGGCTTGGCATTCGGCGGGGTGAGTCAGGCTCCATCTGCAGCTTTACTAGAGCCGATTAGCCTGCTACTCTTAGTCTTGCAAGTTTCTCGCAATAGAGTATCTTACAGGTAAGACATACTGATTCTCTGCCATTGCCTCCACGCTCTAATTGTCATCTTCAGCACCATGGCCGACTCCGAATTGCCCCACCGTCCCAAGCCCGAGGAGACTCAGGATGCCTCCGCTCCCGCCGCGGAAGGCGAGAACAAGAGCGCCAGCAAGAACGCTCTGAAGAAGGCCGCGAAGGATAAGGCTAAGGCTGAGAAGGCCGCCGCCCGTGCCGCGCAAGAGAAGGCGCAGGCCGCCGCCCAGGATGCCAACGACACAGCTAAGGATCTATACGGCGCCCTCCCCGAGGCTGAGGGACTCGTTACTGCCACAAAGTTCAACGAGCTTTCCGAGGAATACCACGAAAAGGAGGTCACCCTTGTTGCGCGTGTGGACAATGCGCGTGTTCAGAGTGCTAAGCTTGCATTCCTGATGCTGCGCCAGCAGGGACAGAAGGTGCAGGCTGTCATTGCGGCCGCGGAGCCCATCTCCCGACAGATGATCAAGTACACTGGTGGATTGAACGTCAACTCCATCGTCCAGGTCACCGGTATCGTGAAGAAGCCCGAGATTCCCATTTCCTCTGCGACTATCAGCCACCTCGAAATCCACATCCGCAAGGTCTACATGATCTCCGAGGCTGCCCAGATGCTGCCCATGCAGGTCAAGGATGCTGAGCGTCCTCCTCCCGAGAACACTGATGAGGGTGCCCAGGTTGACGCCGACGGTGCTCCCATCGTCACCCTCAAGACCCGTCTCGACAACCGTGTCCTCGATCTGCAGACCGAGACCAGTCAGGCTATCACCTGGATCTCCAGCGGTGTGTCCCAGCTCTTCGCCGAGTACATGATTAAGAGCGGTTCTCGCTGGATCTCCACCCCCAAGCTGGTTGGTGCCGCCACCGAGGGTGGTAGCGGTGTCTTCGAGGTCAAGTATTTCAAGCGCAACGCCTACCTGGCCCAGAGCCCTCAGCTTTACAAGCAGATGTGTATTGCTGGTGATATGGAGAACGTCTTCGAAATTGCCCCCGTCTTCCGTGCTGAGGACAGCAACACCCACCGACACTTGACAGAGGTAAGATTCTAGACCTGCATTTGCAGACCCACCAGCACCCCATACTAACGTGAAACCCAGTTCTCCGGTCTCGATTTCGAGAAGACTTTCCGTGGTCACTACCACGAGGTTCTTGACTTCGCCGAGGATCTCCTTGTCTTCATCCTGACCCAGCTCAAGGAGCGCTACGCCCCCCAGATCGCCACCGTCCAGAAGTCCTACCCCAAGGCCGGTGACTTCAAGCTCCCCAAGGACGGCAAGGCCCTGCGTCTGAACTACATGGACGGTGTTGCTCTGCTAAAGGAGGCCGGCGTCGATGTCTCCGAGCTCGAGAGCTTCGAGAACGACTTCTCCACCGCCATGGAGAAGCAGCTTGGCCAGATCATCCGCGAGAAGTACGATACCGACTTCTACGTCCTTGACAAATTCCCCATGGCCGTGCGTCCCTTCTACACCAAGGCCGATCCCCAGGACAAGCGCTTCTCCAACTCCTACGACTTCTTCATGCGTGGTGAGGAGATCATGTCCGGTGCCCAGCGTATCAACGATATCAAGGAGCTGGAGGAGTCTATGCGCGCTAAGGGTCTTGAGCCTAACCAGGAGGGCTTCGAGGACTACCTCAACGCTTTCCGCCAGGGTTGCCCGCCTCACGCTGGTGGTGGTCTCGGCTTGAACCGTATTGTCATGTTCTTCCTTGGCTTGCCTAACGTTCGTCTGGCTTCGCTGTTCCCCCGTGACCCCCAGCGTCTGCGCCCTTGATTTATACCTGAGGCATTGCATAGATCTACAAAATTATAGCCAAAATCGACTTTCCATGTTCATATTACCCTCGGTCATTCTTGGATTCTTGGATCCGTCGTCTGCCCTTTGTCATCTGGGCTTGATGTAGATCAGGTGAAACATGCGATATCAGTGCTAATTCCAGAGTCGGCTTTTATGAATCTGGCCATCCTGGAGCGTATTTCTGTATCAGAAGTAATGAAAATTGCAAACCTGGAAGCGGGTAAGAGTAAACCCCAAGTTCCAGCAATATGAGGACAGCGATATGGGGGCCCATAGCCGAGTTATGAGGTCGTAGAGTACTACTTTAATAGAACCAAAGATTGAGACATGACTCAGAACGTAAACATGATATGATATATGGAAAAAGTTGCATTGGCAGGTTTTGAGGGGTGGACGACGCAATCTAACGAACCAAGACACATGAAAAAAGCACACGCTCTTGTCCCCCCGACCAGGATTAAGCACATAACAAAAGAAGAGAGAGAGATTAAGACACAGAAGCAATCACAGCCGCGGCAACACCCTCCTCTTCCGCTCGGACGGTGATCTTGGTTGTAACGCCAGCCTTGCTTGAGTAGGCCATCTTGATCAAGGAAGCGACACGGCCACCGGAGACGGTCTTTCCGAACAGCTTGAGTGTGTGTGTGCTGCTGTTGAGAGCGACGTCGGAACCCTCGAGAGGTTGGAGAGACAGCGCGGAGATCAGCTGTTCCGTGGCATCTGGAAATAATGTCAGTTTTTGGACTAGAGATGAACACGATTGAAAAGAGATACATACCGTTGATACCCTTCATGTTGCTGAGCTGCAAAGTCTCGCTTTCTTCCTCGCCGTTGGCACCGGTTTGTTCCCAGACGTGGTCGAAGCTTCCGGCGAAGGTCGGGATAACGTAGTCGCTGCCAGTGAGCTCGAGGTCTTCCACTTGGTACTCATCCTCGTAGCCACTGTCCTCTGGTTCGCCCGTTGTGGGGTCAATTTCTTTGCTAGTGAACTTGAGGTTGTTTGTGAATGAGGTGATGGAAACACTGTTCTCGCCGGCGAGCTTCTTGAAAGCCACGTAGACAACACCGGGCTCATTGGTGGGGACGGTAGGGGCGGGGATGATGAAGTCGTCCTCCAATACATCCTCCTCCTCGGGGGTGGCTACCACAGTAACATTCTCGAGGATGGTATCTGGGAGTGTGTTCTTGATGTCATATTGCACAACAATGTGCTCCTTGAAGATGTGCTTGATGGCCGTGACAACATACTCGGTTTCGCTCTCGGACAGCTCGACAGGAGCGGAGGACTTGAGCAAAGTACCGTACGCCTTGATGTCGGGGTACTGCAGGAGTTGCTCTGCGTACTTCTGAGTGGCGGAGGCGGTAGCAGCCTCGGCCATACCGCCAGCGGCCTTGCCCTTCGGGGGACCGGTTGAAGGGGCCTTGAGCGTTGGTGTGGCGGAGGTGAGCTTCTGTGTCCGCTCTGCTGCCAGAGCCTGCTCTTGGGAAACAACGGGAATGGTTGCGACGTCGAAAGCAGTGGCGAAGGTCTGCTTGTCTCCAGAAGTCACGTACATGACTAGCTGGTGCTCGAAAGTGGAGAGAGAGTACATTGAGTCTGTTCCCATTAGTACAAGTTCAATGTGACCGCTGGGAGCAAAAACACTTACCATTCTTGATAAAGGCACTGGCGGCCTCATCCTCTTCAGCCATGAGGCGCAGATTGAGCGCAGCACGGTCTCGCACCTCGTCGTCGGTGTCGTCAAGACAACGAGTGAGCAGAACGTGAACACTTGATTTGACCTCGGGGTCCTTCTGTCCAACACCGAACTTGGCCAATGCCGTAACAGCGGCAGCGCGGACAATAGCGTTCTCAAGCACGACACGGTTGTAAATATAACGGATGTACTTGGTTGGGTGGGTAGTCTTGGGTCCCTCAGATCCGAGCAGGTGAAGAATTCGGACGGAGAGCTTGGTGAATTCGCAGTCCTCAATGAACTCACACAGGTGGGCAAGAGCTACAATGTTTGGTTAGCGTGAGATTTGTGAGAAGCCAAGCTTTTATCTTACCATCTTCTTTACTTTCGGGAACAAACTTGATCAGATCAAACATGCTCTCAACAACAGTGCGCTTGAACTCGTAGCCACCCTCGTCCCGCAGGATGCCGCTCAAGAAAACGAGCATACCAGCCTGCTTGCTGGGGAACTTCAAGCACAATGTACGAATGGCCTCGACAATGGTGACCTTAAACTCGTCGGTGATATCGGCCATGAAGCCCGAGATTTGCTTCATCAGGCGGTCGACGCTAGCCTCATTGCCGGTCTTCAGCAATGTGGTGATGGCGAACGTGGCGATAGAGCGGTTCGAGTTGGAGATAAGGGACTCGATATCGGGGTTGCATACGTTGACGACGTGGGGCTTGAATGAGGCAAAGTTGTGGAGAATGCGAATAGCAGCGAACTTGGTGATGGACCGGGGGGAGGAGAGGAAGAGCTGCAAGACGTGAACTGCCTGGGTGGCCTCTGCATCGGTGACATCGCGCATGTCGCAAATGGCCTTGGCGGCCTCGAAGTTGACCATCTCATGCTTGTGACGGAGCCAGCCATCCAGCATCTGCATCATTGGTTTCCGGAGACCCTGGTCCTCTTCGGCCAGCTTGGCCGCTAGACGCACGAGCAGAACCAAAGCAGCCGGGCTCTTCACCACACCCGCAGCACCGTATTGTTGCACCATCTTGACCAACGACATCCGATCGTGGGAGCGCATCTGGTACAGGAGACCAATCGCATGGTATTGGTTCATGAAGTTCGAGTTGGAGATGGCGTGGCTCTGGGCGCTGGAACCGAAACCAAGGAAACCGGTTGATGACTTCGATGACGAGGCGGCTTCTTGTGTTTCGCTCTGCCATCTCCTGACAACGTCGCGCGCAATGGGGAGAAGGTGGTAGGAGGACACCAGGGCGGCGGAGGACACAGAGGGTGTCTTGTCAACAATGGCGGTCTTGATCAGTCGCTCGATACCCTGCACTGTGGAACCCTGTTGTCATTGTCAGCAATTGTATAGACCAGCAATACTCTATTCGCCTGCCACCTACATCAATAATGCGGCAAAGCGCCCTGATGGCATTGGCCCGGTACAGAACATCGCTGCCCACTGCCGTATCCTTCATAATGATACTTGTCGACATGATCACATCTTCGGCGGTACCAGACAGCTCCTTCAAGATCAGATAAACCATTTGCCGCAATGACGGGTCCTTGTTCTGGAAGAGCTTAGAGATGCCGAAGAAGAGGGTCGTGGCTTCATTTGTCGGGAACTGCTCTCCAGTGAAGAGGAGAACGGCAATTTTGGTCAGGAGAGTGCGGCATGTTCGCGGTGAGATAGGAGAGGAGTTGAACAGGCGAGCTGGAAGAATAAGCAGGTCAGTGTCGAGTTCGTGTAGCGCATCGGGGAGCCCAGGGGGGATTTGTTGATTGCGCACCATCTTGGAACACGGAGGTCCGATCAAGCTTGATCATGACCTGGTCCGCGTCTTCATCTTTCTTCATATAGCTCATCTTGCCCAGCAGCTGGGATCGAACCCGCAATTATGTGTCTTCGTGAAGGTCGGAGTGGATGTTGGAACACGGGTCGAGGACGGAGTACACACAGGATCAGGGAGGGCGGTGTAGGCAACTACAACATTTGCATAGCCACCCAATTGGAGAGGAACGAGGGAACTGGAGAATCCAAGAAGGGGATGAATCGTGATCCTCTTGGAACGGTCTATTGGGGACAAGTTGAAGGTGGCCTCCCGTGTGTTTGACCCGAACCAAACACTGCAAACAGGTGGCATCATGATTGAAGGCAGCATATCACTCCTCACTTTCCCCATATTTACTGGAGATTCACAATCGGCCCGGTTTTGACACTCGAATTTCATCATGCAGGTTGAAGTCGACCCCAAGGAGGACACTGAGTGGTTAGTGGCATCACCGCAGATTACACCCCGCTACCTGCAAGGTATAAAGTGAACGCAGGTGGGCTAACGTTTCGTGACATAGGAACGATATTCTGCGCCAACATGGTATCATTCCTGAGAAGCCCAAGGATCCGGAGCCTCTGATCCAAGAGGCCCTGATCGCCGCACAGCACAGAGCGCACGAGAACCGACTCGAGGATAAAGACCTCGATGAGCTGGACGCACTGGAGGAAGAGGAAGACGAGGAATTCCTCGCAAGCTATCGGTGAGCTCATTCCAATTTTCCTTAAATCCGAAGAACCAGTGTTAACTATCCGCGCAATCAGTGACAAACGACTCGCCGAGCTCTCCAAGCTCCAAAAGACCAGCCTCTACGGCCAAGTGTACCCGCTGCAGAAGGTCGACTATGCTCGCGAAGTCACAGAAGCCTCGAACAGTGCTTACGTCCTCGTCAACCTCACATCAATGGGTGGCAATGTCGAATCGCGCGTGTTGACAGAGCTCTGGCGCCAGTTGGCCGTCAAGTTTGGCGACATCAAGTTCTGTGAGATTCGTGCCGACATGTGCATTGAGGGTTACCCGGAGAAGAACACACCCACTATCCTTGTCTACAAGGATACTGAGATTAAGCGACAGCTTATCACACTGCAACAGCTGAAGGGTCCCCGGACCAAGGTCGAAGGTATGATTGATACTGCAAGCATGAAACAGGACCGGGTATGCTAACAAATGATGCAGACGTTGAGCGTCTGCTGGTTGACCTTGGCGCTTTGAAGGAAGGCGATGTCCGTCTGAAGAAACGCGACGACGAAGACGACTACAAGAAAGATGATGACCTGAACATTGAAGATTATGACGACGACTGGGACTAAATACCCTGCGATTCAAAAGTAATGCAAATATCATGAACATGGCACATGTGTATATTATGAAAAGCACTCAAACCGCCAACAGGAGCCAATTGGAAGGGAACATGGAACATACTCTGGGACGTCGAGCTCATAGTTTGGAAAAATTGACCTTGATTGTTGAGTTCTTGGAGTTAACACTCAATATACAAGTTCAAAATCTCAGATTATCCAGCCCTGATATAAACCAGAGACAACTATATACGAGAGCAGACCTCGAGATGAATTAATTGCATCCCGATCAAGCTGACCGTCCAGCGCCTTAATACTCCATTCATAATCCCAAGGCATACATGCAAGCCCGAAAAGAAACGTCAGTTAAATCATCATTCAAATCAATTCATCCCGATCCATAGCCGCACTCGCTTCAATGGCCCGCCGCACCTGACCCTCTTTATAAGCCGGTCCCTGCCCATCACACTGTGCCATGCCCTTCAGAATCTCAGTCACATTAGCAATATCGACCTGACCCCGCTTGAACAATTCATGGCCCTGAATCAAGTCCCACGTAGCACTAGCATCCAGCAATTTCTCGCCAGTGATCGGACACACCGTAACCCGGTGCTGAGGGCTCCTCGGCACAGGACCATCCGGCGCAAGACTCGTATAGAAATCCGTCGGCGAGTACCGCATGGGTCCTGTGACAGTTGGCTCGGGGACCTCATTTAGATTTCCAGGCCCGCGATTCGGCTGGGAAGTTGCGCGCAGAATCTCATTCTCCGTCGTATATTTCGCTAGCTCGCGCTTGAGCCGCTCATTGTCGGCGTGTAGTGTATCGGATGCATTTTCGAGGTTGTTGACCTTATCCTCGAGGTCTTTCACGTGGCGCTCTTTTCTTTCGCGGAATGCGCGCTGTCTGCATCGATTGTGATATATTAGTGACTGGCTCGTGGTGAAGTGGTGGAACGTGGGGGAGTGAGATATGTCACATACGCCGCGCGATTCTGGGCTTTGCGCTTGCTTTGCGCCGGGACTGAATCTTTCTCTTCGCTGCTGCTTCGGCCCAGGGGATCTGCATGCTGGGAGTCATCACCATCGAATGAGATGGGGTCTGTGTGCTGGTTATTGGCGTCGTTGCTTGATACCGAGTGCTTTGTGAAAGACTCTGGCGGTGAATGCGGTGGCGGAACAAAGGATTGGGAGGGGTCGAGTCGAAATGCAGGGTCAAAGCCAGGGAAGTTCTGGTTGTAATTATTCTGGGTTCATTAGCATCAGGCCCCTGGCGGTAGGGACAAAGAACTCACTAGAGCGAAGGCATCATCTTGCGGGGGTTGCTGGTTTGGCGTGGGCAACCCATATAGCGAGTAGGGCTGCGATCTAGGTCCATTGTAATAGGAGTAGTCCATTCTGTCAGGATACTACGGACGCAATCAGATCGGTTTGGAGATATAGCGGGAGAAGATGAGATATTGGGGGACACGGGAAAGATCGTAGGAAGTAGTTGGGCTCACTGCCCCGGATACTTTTTTCTTGGCCACCAATTACAGTCGAGACTACCTACAACGCACGATGGCGTCTTGAACGAGAATCATCATCGATGATTGTCTAGCTTTCTTGAGACCAATATATTAACTCTCCAAAGGTCTTAACTGTGGAGAGTTGGCTCTGGTCCGTGCGAATGATCTCACCTTGGCGCGGTGGGATCGTGAATTACAGAAACGAGGCTGGGAGAAGAAAGAGCAGAGTAATGACTAGCTAATAAGAGAATTGACACAAATCGACGCATACCACCCCGGAAGCGACCCTAACCAATATCCGTCGCCAATCACCACGAGAACCAACTTCCTTCGAGCAGGATGTTACCAATGAACATCGGTAACATAGACCTGAAAGGCAGCTTGGGCATAAATTGACATGACCCAAAGCAAATACCCCCGAAGAAAGCGCGTCTCAAATCCCCATAATTTGACCAGACTTCCGGTCACACCTCGTCCCCATTTTAGCGTCGATGTACACAAACTATTAATTGCCAGAGAAAACGCAACGTCAAAGATAAAAAGAAAAGGGCATGGGGCAGGGGAAGAGTCGTAAAGAAAAGGAGAAGAGAAAGTGATGGGTAGCACATCCGAAGATGTATCCCAAGGATCACCATAACAGCAGTCAAAGAGTTGTAAGCTGATGCCGTCATCTGCATCTCCCCGGTCGTGCCCTTCAGTAAACTGGCCATGAGGCGCCAGGATGTTGAATAGAAACCAAAGGGCGAAGACGTAAAGATAAGCCGCAATATCAAAAGCGTTTCGAGGCCGCACAATCGGTGGTCCCGCAGAACGGGTACACATCCGAAAAGGGGAGTAGTCGCCAGTCACCACGAGCTCGATGGAAAGTTGAACACTCAGTTGGTGGTTGAGGTTGAGCAGGCGATGAACAAAGGCAAGTCGAAACGGTTGAAATCGAACGTAGGATCGAAAACGGGATAAGAGGGCTGTTGGGGAGTGCAAAATGAATAGATCCAAGGAAAGAAAAGAAATATCCGAGAAGGTCGAGTGCGAAGTGGTCCGTTCCAAGGCGCGATGGAGGGTCCCGGGTTTCTTAGTAGGTAAGAGTGTGAACAGACAGGAGACGTATGAGAATTCAATGCCTCACTGCCGTATTACACGATTAGTACCACTGGGCCCCCGATCCATCGTCCCGCTTCGAACGGCCACCAGAAGGTCCATAACCTAAAGCAGCACCTTTCGAGGCAGAACGAAGCCTAACGCCGAAGACTATGCGATTAGTCAGATTCAGAACTGAAGGGTTCCTCCACGCCAGCGTCACAAAAAAGCAAATCACTCAACGTAGGAGTCAAAGAAAGAAGGGGTTCCCTACTCGGAACCAGGTTTCATGTACTCACATCCTGTCGCTACCTCCCACGGCACGGTTGGTGTCCGGAGTGTTGTCGAGAGTGCCGCGGTCGATGACCTTGCGACGCTGGCTGGAGATGGCACCGGGCTTGGCAGCACCGGCGGCACCCATAGGAGCAGCGGGCACACCCTGGCGGCGCTGCTGCTCCTCAGCATCCTTGTCCTTCTTGTTGGCGTCCACGATCATGGCGGCGTTCTTCTGGTATTTGTAAACGGTCCAGTCGAAGACGTAGTCGTATTGGAAGGATTCGCGAACGAAGAGATCACGGAAGATCTTGCGGAGGTAAGAGTAGTCGGGCTTGTCGTCGAAGCGGAGGGAGCGAGTGTAGTTCAGGTAGATGGCGAATTCGTTGGGGAATCCACGGCAGAGGACCTCGGTAGGGGTGGTCATCTTCTTCTCCATGATACGGTCGTACTTCTGCTTCTTGGTAGCAGCCTTCAGACCCTGCCAGGGGAGAGAACCACGGCAGAAGTAGAGCATGACATAGCCCAGAGACTCCATGTCATCACGGCGAGATTGCTCAACACCCAAGTGAGTGTTGATACTGGCGTAACGGGCAGTTCCAGTCAGGTTCTTGTTCTCACGGTAAGGAATGTGGAAGTGAGTCTTGGGGTCGCGGTATTTCTTGGCGAGACCGAAATCAATGACGTTGACCTGGTTGCCGCGCTTGCCGATACCCATGAGGAAGTTGTCGGGCTTGATGTCACGGTGAATGAAGGACTTGGCGTGGATGTATTCGATGCGGGAAATGAGCTGGTCGGCGAGGAGGAGAACGGTCTTCAGGGAGAACTTGCGGTTGCAGAAGTTGAAGAGATCCTCCAGACTGGGACCGAGAAGATCGATGACCATAGCATTGTAGTCACATTCAGTACCGAACCAGCGGACGAAAGGAATACCGACACCACCAGCAAGGGACTTGTAGACACGGGCTTCGTATTCGAGTTGGGGGTGCTTGGCCTTGACGTTCTCGAGCTTGATGGCGATCTCCTCACCAGAGATGATGTTGGTGCCTATCGGAGGATGAGTTAGAGCCAGGGAGAGTCCGGGCATGGTACATACCGAGGTAGATATCACCGAAACTTCCACTACCGATCTTACGACCGATACGGTACTTGTTACCGACGCGCAAATCCTGGAGGAGAGTCAGCAAGATGGACACTTTGGCATGGTTGGAATTCAAGATAAGTGCCCAGAACAAAGGCGGGCCCCAGGTTGCCGAACGAGGTGATTTCGTATCAAGCAACAGACAGAGAAAGAGATAGGGGGAGGCTAACACTGACCATGGTAGTCATCTTGAATAGATGGTGCACAGAGCTAAGCCGTGGGAAATGACTTAAGACTAAGAAGACCGAGAATGTTAGATGTTGAGCTAGAGGCACGGAAGGAAGAGTTCGGGGCCGATTCAAAGAGAGGGGAAAGGTCCTGAATAAGAAAGAGAGATGGAGACCGGGGGAGGCGTGGGACAAGAACAGGACCTGTGGGAGCAGGCAAGAGCAGACCGCCTCCGTGGACGCAGCAGTGACAAACAGGAAGAAGGTGAACAAGGCGACAGATCGGCAAAGAAGAGATCCAAGTGACATAGGACATTCTCGGAAGGATTGGGGTGGACATACCTGGCGGGAAAGAGAGTTGACTCGGTAGGTCAGCCCAGAAGAAGAGCAAGAGCAGAAAGCTTTAAAGAATAAAATCAAGGGCAAAGCCTTGATAACGGCTGGAGGTGATGGTGGAAGGGAAAGGGGAGAAGAGTGAGAGGGGCGGGTAAGTAGGAGTCGGTGAGCTGGGTATTTTTTATTAGCGAAAGGTGGCTGACAGGATTACAGGGCGTAAAGGGTCGCCCGAGGCTCGTTTTTGGGGCCTTGGTCGGGTATTTTTGGTATTGGGCTGCAGTGTCATCTTATTCTTTTTTTTTCTTTTTATATCATTAGTTTGATTTCGACATATTCTACCTGAAAGTGAATGATTGGAGTGGCCTGGTGGCGATTCACTTGGGCAGCTGACAGGATCATCACTTTGGCAGTCTCACTTTAGGTATCGACAGTATACTCCGTACCAGTAAGTATAGTACTTATGGAGTACATGGACATTGGAGTACGGAGTACATCTAAATTGCATATTGATTTCTATATTAGCCCCTCGAGAGAGAATGTATTGCGGCCCTTACTTGTATCAACAATTCTACTCTATGCGCGATTTTCTCCAAGCAAATGGTATATGGCCGATTCTAGGCAAAGCGGGTTTCAATCATGCAATGTCATGTTGGTAACCGGCTGTCATGCTTGACACTCTACGCAGTAGCTCGATTCAACGCTAGCTGGACCAGGCATCGCTGCAGATCAAACTGGCAAGTTGGGATCGAATCGGGCTGGTGACAATCCACTCAGGGCTCGGAGCCGCATAATCCTGATATTCATAATAAAAGCCTTGATGGAGAAGAGCCAAAGGCAATTAAGAAGATTCCTGACTATAGAACAAGGAACCTGTGTGAAATATGCTAGTGGTACAGCCAGAGTCCCATGAACATCGGAAAACCGGGGTATAAGAAGTGCCGCAGATAAACAGAAGACAGATCAAGACAATGAAGACAGGGGGATACAGAATCAAAATAAATGAAATGGGGGAGAGAAATCAAAACCCCGTCCATCCACCATAAAAACCAAGCAATAAAGGGAAAGACACCCGTCATACATTAGAACAAGGCAAAAAAAAGATGAAACAAAGAATGAAACCGGTGAGAAGATGGTGCTAATACATGCGCAAAACGCTCAGACAGGACAAATCGACAAATCTCAAGGTACAGGCGATCGTGAGACAAACGAGCCTCTAGATCACGTTGGAGCCGTCGGGGTGACCTGAGCCAGCACTCAACGGTGTGCCCTTGGCAGGAATACCAGCCCGCTCATCCTCGTCGAGTCTCCGTCGCCACTCCGCCAAACTGTCGCTCATCATAGCAGGTCCGTCACTGTCATTCTTGGTGGGGGTTCGCTCCAGATCCAGCTGGCTGCTCAAGCGGTAGTTTCGGTTCGTGCTTTCCCAATGGGAACGCAGGGTTTCAAGCTCGTTGGCAAGGGAGTCCAATGCCATAGAGCCTCGGTTGTCGGGGAAAGTGGAATCCTGGGAGATGTTGCTGTCCGCTCGGGGCCGGCCTTGTCCTCCGCCGACTGTGGTGCTGGACGCATTGCTGTGGCTGCGAGTGATGCCATTGAAGCCAGGGCCGTGCTGCGATTGGCGACGGTAATGACCGACGGAGGTCTGTACTTGTTCCAGGAGCATGTTGACCTTGTGCTCGGCGTCCGAGGCACGGGTCTCGAGGTGATTGTTCTCTTGCTTGAGCTGCTCCAATTCGGCGCGACTCCGCTCGGCGGCTTCAGAAATTTCCTGCTTGAGACGTTCGTGCTCAGCCTGAGAGAGCTTTTTCTCAGTTGCAGCTTGATCGAGTTCCCCCTTCATCTGCGTGAGCTGGGCTTCGAGGTTGGCAATGGAAGACGAGGTCCGCTGCTGGAGCTCCGAAATTGTCTGCTCAAACTGGGCGCGTTCTGCCTCCCTATCGCTTGAGGATCCGGATGTCTGGCTGTCAGAGTTCTCCAGGGACTTATGGGCAGCCTCAAGGTCAGTTTGCATCTTGGCATTCTGAGCCTTGTAACGACTCAACTCGTCCTTCATGCGCTTGAGCATCTTCTCAGTGCCCTTCACGTAGTGGACGGCTGATTGGTAGTCATTCTCGAGTTGTTCAAGCTTCTCCTTGAAGGTCTTATCGGCTTCTTGCTCGCGAGACTCGAAGCTGTTCTTCAGGTCATCGTGGGCCTTGATGCTCGCCGACAGTTGCTGCTCAAGTTCTCGCAATCGGCCCTGTTCGGGGGTTCCGAAGCGGGAACCAGGCGAGTCAAGGCGCGGAGACCGTCTGTTATCGCTGTTCGCACCGCGCTCGCCCAACAGGTCCTTGAGAGCAGCGTGCTGAATAGCAAGAGCCCCCGCCTCTCTCTGGTGGGATTCGAGTTGACTCTTCAGATCACGACTCTCGGTGGCCGAGGACTGACTCTCCTTCATAGCGTTCTGGAGCTGTCTCCGCAGCTGCAAGCCCTCGCGGCTGGCCTGCTCTTGGTATGCCTCAAGACCGGCAATGCGCTCCTCCGCGCGTCGGAGCTTGTCGGCAGCCGAGTTAGCGGCGGCCTGGTTGGCTTTAGCAAGAGTCGCGGATCTCTCGATTTGAGCCTCCAATGCGGCAACCCTCTGATCCGCACGAGATCTGATAGAGTTGTCCAGATCTGTAGAAGCAGCACGGCCCAGCCCGGCCACGAAAGCCAATTTGTGGGTTTCGGCTTCCTTGGCGTGGCTTTCTGCCAGCTCCTCAGTATCGTGCAGACGACGGGTCAAGTTCTCGACCTCTGCGCTCCGTTCTTCATAAGTCGAACGAAGCTGCAGCAGCTTCTTCTCGAGTCCCTCGCGGCGTTCCCGTTCCTCAAAGAACTGCTTTTCAACAAGAGCTGTTTTCGCGGCCGAGGCAGCCACGGCTTCCCGTAAACCACCAAAGTTGGTACCATATTCCTTTAGACGAGCTGAAGAGTCTTCGATCTGGGCCAACAACTCCTCCTTGTCCAGGGTCAGTTGCTTAAGTGCGGCGTCAGCTTCAGCGCGCAGGAGGGCCTCCTCCCTAGCAGCTGCCTGCGCTTCATGGAGCTCAGCACGCAAATTCTCCGCCTCCATGGTGTTGTTCTGCATTTCCAGCTCTGCCAGATGTTTGCGGGTGGCCTCATTAGTATCTTCAGCGAGTTCTTTTGCCCGACGCTCTTGTAGAAGTTCTGTCATCTGGGTTTCTAGCTTGGCTTTCAATTCAGATTGTGAGGACAAAGCAAGAGCAAGGCGACGGCCCATGTCAGTAGGGCGTTCGGCGGAATCGTCGTCGAGGTTACGAGGGGCATCAGGCTGGGGAGTTCCACGTTGACTGCCGCCGTGAGCAGCAAGCTTGGCACGAGAGTATGCCGCCTCATTCAGAGCCATATCACGCTGGTGCTCCACCTCCGCGACCCGCTTAGATGCGATAGCCGCCTGTCGGTCCACAGTAGCCTGCATCTTATTGAGGTCTGCTCGCATAGCTAAAAATGCTTCCAACAAGGGACGGTCCTCATCGGTCAATGAGTCACTGGCTCTGTCATCCAGAGCAGGGCTGCTTGTTGAATTGGGAACGTAACCTCCCTTCTTTGCAAGAGCAAGTTCTGAGGCGTACCATGCATTTCGTGCCTTGGTAGCCTCTAGCTCCTTAATCAAGGCTTCTTGATGGGGCGTTAGGCGAGGAGAACGAGGTTCGTCCCCGAGAGTTCTGGAGTTGCGGTAGTTTCGTGAGTCAACTGAGCCCTCGACGCTGGTTTGTCGACCCAAAACGGACTCTTCGGTGCTATCCATGGACCCGCGCTGCCGCTGAGAACGAAGCGAACGTTGTCGTCCCGGAGTGCTGATCAATGGCGCAGCTTCACCGGCCTCCATTGCCTTGGCCGATGGTTTCTGGGGTTGGGTAGGTGTGCGTCGACCAGCAGACGAGGGACCCTGGGAGTCTTGCGGACCTTCCTTGGCAACTGGTGACTCGGGGCGATGTTCCCCATTGGCCACGCGAACATCAACGGTAGGGGTAGTTCCGCGCTCGTTTTTGGTTGGAGTTTTGCTGCGAGGGTTGCCTCCGGGGTGGGGACCGGGATGGGGACCGGGCTGGGGACCACTGGCCCGGGGGCCTGGAGAAGGTGCTTGTCCAGGAGGTGGCGGCCCAGCCGGGGCTTGAGCGATTGAGGCTCGGGGAAGCCTAGAACCTGGTCCCAGGTTAGGGTTAGAGCCAAACTCCCCGGGCCTTCCGCCACCCGCAGCTTGGGACAGGCTCTCACGCGATGGGCCTCGTCGCATTTGTTGGTCGTGGCCTACATTGTGCGCCTCACGGGATGTGCGTCCCGATGGAGGCCCTTGTTTGTCGACACTCGTTTTTCGGCCCCCCGCATCAGGAACGCGTGTCCCAGATTGAGAATCATTTGGGTAGCGAATTTTGCTCGTATCAAGAATGTAGGACATGCTGAGTTCTGTGGGATCCCGTGGGGCGGAGCTGGGTTCACCTGCCATGACGATGATCTGCTTTCCAAACGCAGTCATGCTGTGACCAGATCGGGGCGAAGGGGCTGGCCCCATGTTCTGGAATGAATACCATCGTCGGGTCGAGATTCGGAAGGCTGAAAGATCACCGAGATCGACACCTTCGTCGGTTCGACCTCCAAACACGTACATCACGTCGTTGACCAGAGCAGCCGCATGGCCCTCTCTGGGAGTGGGAATAAATCCAACGCAGTCAACTTCTGACCAGCTATTCGACACGTGGTCGTAGCACCAGACATCATTGAACCATTGAACTCCATTCGTACCACCGAACAAGAAGAGCTTGTCGTTGAAGCTCACAATGGTATGGTTTGTTCTCGGCGGGGGGCTTTGGCCCAGCGGGGGCCCTCCCTCATGGGTGTTTGCGATCAGAACTTCCCACTTGTTCGAAGCAAGTTGAAGTTGGTTCAGGTCAAATGCGATCAGATCGTTGAAAAAGAAACCTTCAACCTGTCCTCCAAAGACATATAATTTAGAACCGAGAATATTCAACGTGTGGCCGTATCGTCCTGAGGGTCGAGAACCGGGAGGAATGGCGCGAGACCATTGGCGCGAGGCTGGATAAATGTCAGGTCAGAAATTAGGTCCGCAGAGCCCATGGAAATCGCACGTACATGTATTCAGCAGATAAAGAGTGTCGTCCAGAGTGTCGTTCTCATCAATTTTGGTGTCACCGCCGAACACGATGAACGCGTTCCCGACAAGTAAACTGGCGTGGCCGACTCGTGGACCTGGGCCCTCAGACACCGTTGCGACCTGTACGCAATTCAGACCACCCCCGCTGCTCTCAATCATCCATAAATCGCCCTTCACAGTCGACCCGTCAATCAGACCACCCATCATGTAGATATCCCCCTCCTTCGAGGCCACTGAATTGATTGCCGCCCCATAGCGAGGGAATGGGTTGGTTTCCGGGGATGCGAAATTCAGACGGCGCTGGGACCACGGGTACAGGGATGAATTCGGGCTCGGTGGTGGGATGCCATTGGGAGGTCCCTGAGGTCGTTGCATCTGGGAACATTAGCCGGTTGCGCTGGACGAGCCCTCGCTCGGAGTCCACCAGCACTCACCTGGGACTCAGACTCAGCTCGCGGCCGAGGTCGCACGGCGTCCGGACTCGTGGGACTGGCTGTATTCAACGAGTGGCTGAAGCTGCCACTCGGAGTTGGTGTCTGTGATGTTGGCTCCTTTGCGGCTGGTGGTCCTGACGCCGGGGCGCCCTCCGAGGTGTGCACATTTCTCGCTGCCGGAGGGAGTCCATTGCCGGCCTTTTTCGACTTAAACAAAAAGGCCATCGTGAAAGGGTCGTAGACGGTCGTATCAGGGGATCTGGCGCAAAGTCAAGCGCCAGAAAGGAGTGTATTGGCACCAGAGCGAGAATCCAAAGGACACACGAGTTTAGGGGGTCTTTTTCAGTGGAGTGGGAACCAGGAACCACAAGGAACCATACAATGGTGCATGCAAGCCGCTCTGACAATTGGCCTGAGTGGGAGAAGGGGAAAAAAAAGAAAAAAAAAAAAAAAAACAAGGGAAAAATAAAAAGAAAAAATAACAGGCCCTCTGGTATTTTGCCTGGGGTAAAAAGCAAAGCCCTCTAGAAAGGGGGATGTCAAGAGAAAGATGTGTTTCAATTTCCCGATGTTCTAAGTCGGTTCCGTCTTAGTGTTCAGGGGCACTCGATCGTCATTTGCTTAAACCGTTGACCTCTCATCTTTCTGTTTGGCCATTGTCTTTTTTTTATGACTCCGTGTCCCAGCCTGACCAGCCTCCACTCACATTCCTGAGGTTCACGACCCGCATAAAATTGAGTCGCAACAGGTATAATAATCCATACCCTACCGCCAGTGGATAGAGAGCAATAGCCTTGTCCTGCCACAGTACTGCTCACTAGCCTTGGAGTACATTACGGAGTACTAGATATGCCACTAGCACTGTGATATGAGACTCTGCCTGAGGACTCGTGGGACTTTCTGCAGGTCTAATGCTCATTCGTCACACGGCATTCCACTCTGCTCCGCTACTTGCACGAGTCCAATGTCCAAGATCCAGGACAGACCCGTGGACAGAGACTAGTCTTTTAGTACTAGTATACGACTAGCCTGGCATCTAGGTCCCATACTGTGCTTCGTACATGGCACACACGACGCACATGCACGAAATTCAATGTGGTAGGGCTTGAGAAAAGGGGAAAAGAACCCGGGCGATCTCTCTTTCCCGTCTCCCAAGGGATGGAAGGGCAATGCACATCGCATTGGACTGCAATGTATCGTCATTGGGCAGCTGCCATGTGTTAGGGGCCGTTTTGATTGCATTGTCTCGATGCAAAATCGGACGTGTCTAATATCTGGTTTCCGTGCCCTGTTCTACACTGAGACCTTCTTTTCCCCAGGGCTGTCTTAGACAAATCCGAGCCGTGATAATTTCTAGCTAATTGCTTTTTTCTCTGGTGATACCAAACTGCCCAAATCTGCTAAAGTACTGTACTCAGGACTGGTACGGAACAGTAGTCACCAGATGCGAGTGCGGATTCCGGCAGTGGATATCTTGCCAACCGTGCTAGCTTCGATGATGTAATGTGTCTGGAGAGCCCACCTCGACCGCACAGATCTAGTACTGTAAATGAAAGTATGTATAGCAACTAGCCAGGGCATTGGATCAAGAACTGGTGACGGTCTGCAATCCCAAGATCTGCCAGTGTCTCCAGGGAGGTGAAGCCGTTGCCGTTCCGTGGGGAACATCGGACCCGGACTAACCTTGTCCCGACCTCGGAGTATCGGGCTCGCCTGAATCACCTCCAACTCGATCAGAAAGTTAGCTCTTTAGGCCCAAATCATTAGGCTGTGCGCTGAGCTCTCTGTGCGCTCCTGGGCTAACTCCAGGACAGTCGCGATTTGAGACTTCAGCTCAGTGATCCAGCCTACCGCCTGCCAGTCTCCATCATCCCGTGCCTGGTCCAGCTTCAATCGACGCATCTGGACCTGACTGGCACTTCAAGTCCGCTGACTCCCCCAAATCGAGCGGCTCAAGATACTTGCCCCTTGCGTGGACACTCGTCGCGGGGCTTCTCTTGTCTTCCACCCTCGCGTCACACAATGAGCCCAGATACAACATGAGAGATCCCACCACCGATATGGAACCAAGCTCCCAACAAACGACCAACGGGTCAACAAGCTCCCGTCGGAATCCGCACAAGTCGGTCCGTGTCGCTTTTGGCCCTGATTTAGAAACTACGATCCCCGCCCGCGAACGATCCCCAGCCCCATTGGCTGGGCACCATCGTTCCCTTACCACCGTGGAACAGAAACCGCCCGCACTCGCGCACCCAGCACCAAGGCCGACAAGCTCATCGGGTGATAATATTGCCATCGGAGAAGCTCCCCCTCGCCGTCCGTCCCCTCGGAGGTCGGAAAGTAGCCGGCCGGCCATGCTAAAAAGGGCCAAGAGTGACTATGGACCCAGTCGAATCACCTTTGATAAAGTAGCAGGAGATGATGATGAAGACTTCGCGATGCGACACGGGTGGCAAGAGGAATACACCTCTAGCGAATACCTCAAGATTCTTCACTCGGTGAGCTCGACTCATCCTATTGTGAGCTGATGGCAAGCTAATCTGAATACCCGTCCGATCTAGAACTTCTACATGTACTTCACCGAGAAACGCCATGAGACGAACGGTGTTCCCAGGGATCCGGCTGGAAGCTGGCCCAGCCAGGACTGGCGCATGAAAGATCGCCTGAAGACCGTCTCCGCGGCACTTGCCATTTGTCTCAATATTGGTGTCGACCCCCCGGATGTGGTCAAAACCAACCCTACGTCCAAGCTCGAGTGCTGGGTTGATCCCACATCCACCACGGGCGGCGGTCAAAACAAGATCATGGAGCAAATCGGCAAGAAGCTCCAGGAGCAGTATGAGACCTTGAGTCTTCGCACCAGATACAAGCAATACCTCGACCCGTCAGTGGATGAGACTAAAAAGTTCTGTATCTCTCTTCGCCGAAATGCGAAGGATGAGCGAGTTCTCTTACATTACAATGGACATGGTGTGCCACTGCCAACTCAGTCAGGTGAAATCTGGGTTTTCAACAAGAACTACACCCAGTACATACCTGTTCCTCTGTATGATCTTCAATCTTGGTTGGCTGGTCCCAGTCTTTTCGTCTTTGATGTGTCGCATGCTGGCAATATCGTTCAAAATTTCCACACGTTTGTCGACAAGCATGAAAAAGAGAACATTGAGACTAAAAAGCGAGACCCGAATGCCGTTGTCCAAAACTATGGTGACTGTATCATACTTGCCGCCTGTCAGAAGGCAGAGTCTCTGCCAACCAACCCGGATCTACCTGCAGACTTGTTCACTTGCTGTCTGACGACACCAATTGAGATAGCTTTGCGGTTCTTTATCTTGCAGAATCCTCTTCGAACAGATATCTCCATTGACGATTTCAGAGTTCCAGGTCGACTTCAGGATCGCCGAAGCCCACTCGGAGAATTGAACTGGATCTTCACCGCCATCACAGACACCATCGCCTGGAATACTTTGCCACGAGCCTTGTTCAAGAAACTTTTCCGGCAGGATCTAATGGTCGCGGCTTTGTTCCGCAACTTCTTACTCAGTGAACGTATCATGCGTACCTATAAGTGCCATCCTATTTCGTCTCCCGAATTACCAGAAACACACCACCACCCGCTATGGAAGAGCTGGGATCTTGCTGTCGAGATGGTGCTATCTCAGCTGCCCGCTCTCATTGACCAGGAAGAGGGACGCCGCCAATATGAGTACCAGCATTCGACGTTCTTTGCCGAGCAACTTACCGCATTTGAGGTCTATCTTTCGTCTGGTCCCACAGAGAAAAACCCTCCAGATCAGCTACCGATCGTGCTGCAGGTTCTTCTGAGCCAGGCGCATCGACTGCGAGCTTTGATCTTGTTGAGCAAGTTCCTGGACCTCGGTCCGTGGGCTGTTCACCTCGCCCTGAGTATCGGGATCTTCCCCTATGTTGTCAAGCTCCTGCAATCGGCGGCCCAAGAACTCAAACCTGTCATGGTATTTATCTGGGCAAGAATTATGGCGGTTGACTACACGGTACAAAACGATCTTCTCAAGGATAACGGCATTCACTACTTTATCTCAATTCTAAACCCTACTTCCCCCATTCCCGTCGGAAACGCCAGCGAGCATCGTGCCATGTGTGCCTTCATCGTCTCGATATTCTGCAAGAACTACCCACAAGGTCAAAATGTCTGCCTCTCGGCTGAGCTATTTGACTCGTGTCTTAGGCACCTCAGTGATGTGGAAAACCCGCTGCTCCGCCAATGGTCATGCCTGTGTCTCAGTATGCTCTGGTGTGATTTCCCTGAGGCGAAATGGATGGGTATTCGTTGTGCGGCTCCTGCCAGACTCTGCGAATTGAACTTTGACCCCGTCCCTGAAGTTCGTGCCGCCATGCTGCATGCTGTCACCACCTTCTTGGGCATTCCTGATCTGACAGACCAAGTGGCTCAGATTGAAGAGACTTTAGCTCTCGCTGTCTTGCCCATGTCTGCAGATGGTAGCGTTGTTGTGAGGAAAGAACTGCTTGTCTTCTTCTCAACCTTTGTCCGACGCCACCAAAACAAATTCTTGGTCGCGGCGTTCGAAGAGCTCCAAGAAGAAAAGCGGTCTCTGCGTCAGCGTCTTGGAAATGAGAACACCCAAATCGTTCCCAGTGCAAAGGAGCCCCAACTTTCTGCCAACACCACCTTTGGAACTATCTGGAAGCAGCTATTGGCTCTTTCGGTTGATCCTCATCCGGACATTGCCCAGGATGCTGCCGTCATCGTTGATTACATCCACTTGTCTCTATTAGAGTCCCCAATGGCGAATCTCGCCAACAAGCTTCAAAGTGAGATTTTGAATATCACCGGGTTGTACAAAGTGCAGCCCCATGAGCGGACCGAAACAAAGAAAATCGCACCCCCCTCAACACCACCAACGTCTGCGGCGGCAAATTCTAGACAGGAGGGCTACCTCTCACTGGGCTTCAAGCGAACCGCCAGCGTTGCCGCCTCCCTTAAAAACCTTGCCTTTGGCAACTCAACCAATGGAGAGACCTCCGGTGATTCAAACCCCCCCTCGCCTTCAACGAGTCGAATGCCAAGCACACCCCGGGGCAGAGCCCCTATTGAATGGACTCGACCCCCAGAGGTCAATGACCATGTTGCCCCTGCAACAGCCTATCATCAGGCGCCCACCCCAACCTCCCGTGGTTTCGAACCTAAAGGGATTGACGCTTTGCCCGTCATCCCGTTGAAGAGCAGATTCCTCGACTGGTCTACGGAAGTAAGTTGTGCCTCATCTTAACATTTTTTTTTTCAATCATAGCGAGTATGACCACATTTACTTACCATTCTCTAGTATTTCCGTGAGCCCCAGATGAAACCAAACGAGCCAGATGAGCCAGGTAGCTCAGACTACAACCAGCGTCTCTGGAGACGTGGTCGCAATGAAAAAATCATCGCCGAAACCCAACCTCTCAAATCCAAAGCTGGCGCAAGCCGATGGGACAACTCTGTCGCTCTCTTGTCCAATGGGAGCCAACCTCACAAGATGTGTTTCCATCAATTCGAGGACCATCTTGCAGTCGCAGATGACCGAGATACTATCGCGTAAGTTCTGACCTCGTTGCTCATGCCTCTCATCTAACCACCCCTCCTTTCTAGTATCTGGGATTGGCAAAGTCACAAGCGCCTCAATCAATTTTCAAATGGCAACCCGGCCGGCTCGAAGATCAATGAGATTCGATACATCAACGAAGATGACCAGGCGCTCCTCATGACCGGCTCCTCCGACGGTGTTATCAAGCTTTTCCGCCATTACGAAGCTAATCAAGACATCGAGGTGGTCACGGCTTTCAGGGCCCTTCCCGAGCTGATTCCCAGCAATCGCAATGCAGGCCTGGTGCTCGATTGGCAACAAGGCCAGGGTAAGGCTCTTGTCGCCGGTGACGTTAAGGTCATTCGTGTCTGGAATGCCGCTACTGAAGTGTGCACGAACGTAAGAACCTCCCACGCTGACTCTACCTTCTTTTTCCCTACTAACATATATTATCAGGATATCCCCGCACGTTCGGGCTCCTGCATCACATCCTTGACTTCCGACCAGGTCGCAGGCAACATCTTCGTTGCAGGTTTCGGTGATGGCGCGGTCCGAGTCTTCGACCAGCGTTTGAAACCAACCACCTCCATGGTCAAGGTCTGGCGTGAACATAAACAATGGATCACCAACGTCCACATGCAACGAGGTGGTCTGCGAGAATTGATCTCAGGTGGCCGCAACGGTGAAGTTCGCCTGTGGGATCTCCGCATGGACAACCCCATCTCCACCATATACTCCACCAAGGACACTCTTCGAACCCTGAGTGTTCACGAACATGCTCCTGTCTTCAGCATGTACGTTAAGCCCTCTACCCCCGTTGTTCATAACAAAGCTAACCTCGAACGCAGGGGAACGAACCGCCACGAAGTCAAGACCTTCAATGTGGATGGCACCTACCTGTCTACATTCGAACCGTACTCGAGTTTCCTCGGCCACAACCGGTCATCTCCAATCTCTTGCACGGCTTTCCATCCCCATCGGACCATGCTTGCCTGTTCCGCGCTGAATGATCATCATGTCAACCTTGTGTCCTGCTAATTCTAATTCAGCTATGAAATTCATGATACGTGCGGTGGTTCTTGTGTATTGCTCTTTTTTTCTTGTCATAATATCCTTCTTCTTGTAATGTGCACCTGCATACCCATCACATGAAGACGGTGTCCTATCGACTGTCTCGATTGGCCCGCTCTCCGTGGCCATGTGTTGGTTTTATTCTTACGATTCCGCTTGTTACACCTTGGTGTTCGTGATGGCTTTCCCTGCTGTGGAGTAGCTCAATGAGCCCTGGGGCTAAGAGGCAAATTTTCGGGGCTGGTGACTCTATCCTTGTGTGGGATTTTTGTTCCTGTTTCTAAACTTAATGTATCTTTGCTGATCAGCATTGGTATGAGTGTCATTTGTAAACTGCGGGCCTGAGAAGGACTCTATCGTGTGATTTCTGCGTTTGGCGCCCCAATTCGCTGTCACGTAACCTACAACGAGGTGTCGAGAACCACCTAGGTACGAGCGGATTGCTGTATAAAATTGTATGTCGCTTGAGTTCGTGGTATCCTTGACCCTTGGAAGCTACTCGTACCCAGACCTTTACTCCCTACTCCGTAGATATTTGCAAGCCATATATGAATGGTGAATAGATGCCTTTGTACGGAGTATTATCTTTCAAAAACGCGATATAAGTTATGCGTTTTCTTCATGATCATCGAAAGGAAAATGGGAAAGAACCGCAATTCTCTCCATCTCAGTGCTTGAATGTTCCATCAAACCGTCCTTGATGCTCTGGACAATAGCCCTGCACCGTTCAAGCTCATCATCTGAAACCCAGCCTAGGGCATCTGTCCCAATTAAATCCCTCATCTCGCCCAGTTCCTGTAGCTTCTCTTGTTTTTGGCGATAGTCCTCCGAACATTGCTGCATCTCCTGTTCAGAGAATTGAACTGGACACTCAACAGCTCTCGGTGCTTCTCCATCTAGCGACATGGGCCAATTCTTGAGGACCTGTGACATGGTATACTTTAGCGAGACGGAGTCTCCTTCCCAGGGAGCCTGAGCATGATGGAAAAGCTTCGCTCGAAGCATACAGTTTTCAGTCCTGATGGCATCAAAGTGATCCGGTAGGGATTTCATGGTCAACGCGGCATAATAGAAATGAACAGTTCGTCTCCGCATCGTCTCTTTAACAGATGCTTGTTCTTCATTGCTGAGCTCGTCAAAATTGTCTGGCAATTTGACCTCTGGCTTGGATAATGTCTCGGATAATGGATCGCCCCAGTTTTGAAAGTGATCGGGGATTCCAGCGCACAGACAGAGAGGTGGAATGACTGCATGCTGCCAGTCGATGATCCCTACCACGTCGTTAGACGCATTTACCAAGATATTATTAGGTGAGAAGTCCGGATGGCGAAGAGTCGGGCGAGACATGCGGTGGTCGGATGGGATGTCGAGGCAAGGCGCTAACTTCAAGTAATTGGTAAGAAGATGTCGGTATGGAAAAGGTGAGAGGTTTTGTAGACGGTGTATCTCTCGTAGGTATCTTTCGACGTGTAGGCGTGGTTTGCCAAATCTTTCACAGAATTCCATCTCGCGCTTGGCGGGTGCTTCAAAGCATGCAGAAAAGGTGTTCCCTGGCTCAAAGTCAATAATTAGGTATCTCTAAAGGAAGCAGGCATTCCTGAAACTTACATGGGCCGCGGTCAACCTTTAGAGATCCCCGTTCTCGATACCACCATTCATGCTGTGCAGTTGGGCCAACGACGATATCGCCCGAGACTGGGACAAGGTGTTGTGAGCCATCAAGATCACGTCGGTGATAGAGACTCCCACTTGCTGGGAATTCGATGCTCATAAATTGCCTCTCCAGATCAACAATCTGTCTCATTACTTTGACCCGAGTTTTGGTATCCATGGAAAACCACTGCTCACTCAGGGGCGTTCCTTCAAGCTTTTCAAGAATCATATATTCGGTTCCAACTGCATTCGTGTTGTTTGGAGAATACGCAAGAACTTTAGGGACTGGGACCCCATGAGCACGCAGAAGTGCGAGTGTAGCAGCTTCGCTGGCCACTGCATGATGTTTCGGGACAGTCGATTTGTACGGCAACCTTGCGAGAATTGCATACCCATCATCGAAAGTGACTTGCAAGACGCGGTTGAAGCCCCCCTCCGCGAGTTTTGTGATCGACGCCACGTCATTGACATGTCGACCGACAGAATGGCAGGCCGCCCTTGCAAGAGCATTCACGTCGAATTGAATACGGCGCTCCACGCGGCGGAGCTCTTCATTGAATCTATGACGCAGCGAGTTAGTCGGTTCATTGCATTTGAGGCGTTCAATAGCTTGCTGCCATCGCGACTCACAAAAAACGCCCGGACGTGTACTCGAACAGGTCAGGCTTAGTCCAAGCACAGGGGCTGATACCCCGGGAAGCACTCATAGACATCCCCCTAGGGAATGGCTTCGAACATAGATTTGAAAGTCTCGAAAAGCGTCGCATCTTCAAACATATGGTTCTATGTTTCAAGATTGCTGGTGTTGATATTTGCACTAGGTACCTAGGTACTAAGTAGCTGACGTCCACAGGTGCATGTCTCGGCAAACGTGACCCGTCAACTGGTGAGTAAATCTGAAGGTCCTTTGCATCTTAACCCCTTGGCCTGTAGTCAATTATGCCCTGATTAGAAGTAAGGCCATAGGAACGCAGTGTATTTTCCTACTACAATCAACTCAGATAAATCTTCTCGGCCCTCAGAGAAGATGTGAGCATACTAGATCTTACTAATATTGGAGCTACCCGTATTCGCGAAAGAAGTAGAACATAAAGATCAAATTGATATTGGGATCATTCTCATCGAATACACTAATTAAGAAGCCTAAAAATACCGCTCGCTCGTTAAAACATCACTCATAAATAACCTAGTATCCACTGCGCTGGTTGTGGACAGGGTTGCTCTTCTCATCAACTCGGGGATCAAGCTTGTTCAAGAGATCAGAGCCATGGGGACCAGTGGTCTTGCCGGTCTTCGAGGTGTTCTCGTTGTAGCTGCTGCCAGCGGTTGTGTGATCGCCGTAGCCGTGGGTGTTGTGCGAGCCGGTGCTGTGGCCGGTGGAACCGTAGGTGTCACCGCCCGAGATGGGGTTGGAGCCATAGCCGTGTTGACCGGTCGAGTGGCCAGTGGAGCCGTAGTTGTCGCTGCCGGAGATGGGGTTGGAGCTGTAGCCGTGCTGTCCGGTAGAGTGACCGGTGGTGTGGCCAGTGGAACCACCGTATGCGCCGCTACCAGAGATAGGGTTGGAGCCGGTGCTGCCGTAGTTGTCACTGCCGGAAATTGGGTTGGAGCCGTAGCCGTGCTGGCCGGTGGAGTGGCCGGTGCTGTGGCCAGTGCTGTGGCCAGTGGAGCCACCGTATGCGCCGCTGCCAGAGACGGGGTTGCTAGAGCCGTATCCCGAGTGGCCGGTGGACGAGGTGTTGCCTAGGCCGCCGCCAGAGAATTGGGAGCCCGTGGTTCCGTGGTTTCCACGGTGGTCTTCATTGAGTTAGCCAAGTCCGTGGAGAATATCAAAGGTATCGACTTACCACGATCGCTGTCTACGCGAGGGTCGGCCTTGTTAGCCAGCTTGGAGTCGTGGGGACCGGCATTGATGTTGCCGGAGCCATAGCTGCCGGTGTTGGAGCCGTAGGTATCGGAGCCGCCAAAGCCAGCGCCAGTGGAGGAACCGTGGGTGTTACCGCCGTAGCCGGAAGTTCCATGAGTTCCGTGGGAACCAGTCTCGTAGCCGGAACCCGAGTTCAAACCGGTGCCAGCGCCAGCGCCGTATCCAGTGGAGCCGTGAGTACCAGTCTCATAGCCTGGGCCAGAGTTGAGGCCACTGCTTCCTCCATAACCAGCTCCTGTGGAAGAGCCGGTGTTGTGGGTGTTGTGGGTAGAGTATTCGTTGCCACTCTGGGTGGAGCCGTAGGTGTCGTTGGTACCTGAATTATATTAGCGTCGAAGTAAACATTGAGGTTGGCAGATAACCTACCATGTGTCTTGGAGTCATGAGAGTCCTTGTGGCCAGTGACGGCATCCTTGACCTTGTGAATGATGTTGGACATGATGAAGTTTGGATATGAGGCTGTTGAGTGGAAGATAGAAAGTATTCAGTTGTTTGGTATAGTTTGATAGTTTGAATTGATGAAGAGAATGAGGTTCTTGTACGGGGTTTATATGTTTGACTGATACTCCATAGATCGCAGCATCTGCATAGTGACGACATAGCGCGGGGTCCGATACGAACAAGACTTCCTCCAACATGGTGATAGGTGTACAATGGTGCCTTCAGCGATGGTCATGACGTCCCAAACGGGTTTTCCCAACAAGCTCTTGGCATCGCAGGAGCTATGACTGTGCTTCATCGTCATGTCCCGGATCGGCATTGAAGTCAAGAACGCCACTGAGCCACACATCTTCAAGCACGCCACGCCCAACCGTGACACGTCATGAGTGATTGCCAGGTCAGACATCCAACTGCACATCACTCAAATCTGGCAACGATGGCCATGGGTTCCAAGACTCTCCAGAACCCTTCGATATTCTAGACTGGTACTCTGTAGATCGAAATATACGATGTACGTCACCCCCCACCTTCGTACGTACAGAAGTGGGGCCAGCCCTATGTGTCTAAAAATATCTGTTAGTCTCTATTGACCTAAATACATACGTAGTTACATATACTAAACTATAGTATGTTTACAGTATAGCTATGCTCATATGTTCAAGCTTTCATATCCAGATGTTTGTATACAGTACTGTAGATTATTCACTCTCCCGAGGTCGGTTTAAGTAGATTTCAATGGCTCAGCAGTATCATATGCCCAGGGGACCTAGCTCAGTGCCAGTCGAGAAACTGCTTGGAATTATCGGGGTACATTACCGAGTGGTCATCTCCAATCATTCCTGTTTTCCAATCAATTGGCCCTCCTTATTTAAGTTTATGCTGGGTGTTAATTAATCGAGCTGTTTCATGTTCGTTCCACTATATAAATTACGGCCCGTTTTATGATAGTCCACGATGACGTAGACTCGGGAGAAGGTTGGATGTACCTCGATGCTGCAGAGAATCGATCCCCATGCCCTTTTTATCTGATCTGATTGTTTCGATTCGCGTTCAAGGTTCATACTAGTGCCACCAATAAGCTTCATTCATCTCAATCATGTACTGTAGTACTGTAGAGCTCTCACGCATTGATAATCGATAGGTGGCAAAAATAGTTCAATGCCAGCCCTGGTGTGGCAGACATCATGATCCTACCTAGTAGTTGGTAACATCTCTGTTCGTCTGGGTCTCTACATAAATACTTCGATACTATATAACCACCTAGCAGGGCTCCAACAACCTTGGAATGGATGACCGAGTTGCTTAAACCGAATTTTTGATTGACCAATCTCAAAATGGCTTGCAGTCAGGGCTTAGGCAAAATATATAAGCGGAATACCCTCATTTTGATTGCTTTGAAATTGACGGTCCCGCAATTCTTGACTTCAAAAGGCGAGCTTTAGCTTCTTTTTTGCAAGAGATGTCGATGAATCTCCTCTGAAAGCACATTAAGATCTGGTCTGCCAAGTCAACATCCTCCCCTGTTTCAAAAGGCAGAAAAGATGGTCTTGCAAGATTGAAACCAGGAAGTTTGCTTAGATGGAAGACCTGAGATCTACGGGTGTCCACCTGGGCATGTTCTCCGGCTGGTCTGGGTGTTCATATCGAAATCTGTAGAATGCGCCCAGCCGCCCATTGCAGCCACCGGAGGAATATTTTGGTCTCGGGATGCTACTTACAGTACTGTCTTTCGTTCATCCATGATTGAAAATGTCAAGGTGAGCAAGTAATGCTAGTTTCGGGCCCAGACGATCTCGTGAAAGAGATCCCTGTCAAGGAGACAAAGCCACGAGTCTCTCTTTGCGCCTCCAAGCAACAGAAGGATCTCTCGATCCTGGTCCTTTTCATATACATTTAACGTGTATACAAAGGATGAAGAGAGCCCTTTTATTTTCGATCTCATAGCCGGATGGAAATTTCAATCTGTAATCTTGCGCATTTTTCGCAATGAGAGGAATGAAGCCGTGAGCTTGCGTAGGTCACGAGGTGTCACAGGAGCCACCTGGGCACGCGGATGGACTTTCGCACATTACAGACGGTGCACGTGTAGGGAAGATGAGTTCCAGCAGAGAATGTTAGCATCGAATTGATGGCTAATTATCTGCAACACGCCAGTGATTTGGAGGGGTTTCAAGTGGAAGTTGCTCTCAACCTTGGCAGACGGGTTACTACAGATTTTTCGCGAACATTATTCATCCATGAAGGTGATCTATACTGGGCAATCAAGGTCTACTGGTATACTGTATACTGATAGGGCGACAGCTTCGCAATTTCTGACATGAATTGCAATGCCTGTGGCTATGATGAAATGATCGGCAGCTGGGCCGAGAAAATGTATCTGTGAAACCCACTTCTGGACGTAATGCAGTTTCAGTAGAACTATGATCTTCGTGTTAGACCCTTTTTCTACTTGATCTGGGGACATTGGTCCTTTTACTCCAGATGTCTTTCAACACATGCCTGAGACCCCTTTCAGTGGACTCAATCAGGCATTCAGGCATGGTGAGTGCCTCAGGCCACGACGCTGACTCAAGTGGATGGCGGGCAGGCCCCGTAGACCCGGAAGTTAGCTCAATCCACATCATGAGTTCACTTCTCCACCTGACCATCCCTCTTTGCCTTCGCTTTCGCCTGTGCTTGTGATAGGCATCCGCGCTTCTGTAAGCCGTCGTGCTGCGCATACTCGATGAGTGGCCGCCTGATCGCTTGCCGCCAACCTTTGGATTGGTCATAAAGTACTGTGATACAACGGATCCCGCTGGCATCGTGAATCCCTCACCTCGATCGACATTCATATCTGCCAGAAACACATTCGATTATACCCGTGGTGAAAAGCGACACCCATCGATCAACATGCGACCGCCACGACTCCTCATCGTCCTCTTCTGCCTAATCTTCTTCCCGATTTTCCTCACCTTCTTCTCTGCGCTCACATCGCCGGCTGTAGCCGCCCCCAATACTCTCGCGGGTCGAGAAACTGGGCTACGCGCTCTCTTCTCGTTTAGCATACCCTCTTCTCTGTTCCCGCCGTCGGCCATCATCAGTCTCACCGATGACAACTCGACTTTCTTCCTCGCCCGCCCGGCAGCATTTGGGCCTCTCTTGCCGACAAAAGGCCTCAGCAGCCAGTTATGGGTAGGCAGTGGATTCGGCGAAGGCGGACTAGCTGCGGGCGCGGAAGGGGAGCTGGGGTGCTCAGATATCCCCGGCTGGGGGGAAGGCACCAACCAAAAGAAGCAAGAAAAAACCGCGAGGGGCGTGGAACAGAGTTCCGCTACCTCCGGAAGTAATACGCGCAATGATTTGTCGCAAAACCGCCCGCGGTCGGTGTCGCAGGTCGATGTCACACCGCCGAGCGATAGAGATGATACGACGCCCCCACTATTAACGAACGACGGCACCGACGATCACCTGCACCATCCACTTCCCGAATCGGGTGCGTCAAGCCCCGGGATAGGTCAAAAGTATGGAGATTATGTTCAGGTCAAACCATCTGCGCATGCCGATATCCAGTCGCTGCAGGAAACCGCGGAGATCCAGGGCAAAGTGGTGCTCCTGAGTCGCGGTGGCTGCGGGTTTTTGGAAAAGGTCAAGTGGGCCCAACGCCGAGGCGCAACTGCATTGATCGTTGGTGATGACACTCGGGGTGGAAACTTGGTCACCATGTACGCACGAGGCGATACATCAAACGTGACGATTCCCGCCTTGTTCACCTCTCACACTACCGCTCACCTGCTATCGTCCTTAATGCCAGGGCACACGGGAGGGACCGTGAAAATGGGAGATGTGCTGGGATCATCCCAGGTGAAAATGGCAGGCCAGGTCGTCGCCGAAAAGGAGCGAGTTGCAACCACCACGACAGCACCGACTGCCCAGACCCCAACGGCCAGCAGCCATTTTGCTACTAAAGAGAAATCTGCAACTGCCTCTCATTCCAGTGGTGGGTTTTGGCGTGCCATTGGATCAGCACTGGGGCTGTGCAACAAAAGCAGAGGCTCGAGTCATTTGGAGGACAGCCGACGCCCACCTAGCAGTGGAAATATTGACTGGATCAACCTTGGCTCGTGGGATGGTAAGGGATCTTCATCGAGCTCCTGGAAAAGATCCACAGAGCTTAATCGCCGCGGTCGCAGCAAGGCCGACGAGAGTTTTGACAGTCACCGGGCAGACATGTCCCCGGATAGTTTTGAAGAGGACGAGTTTGTCATCGGAGTTCAGGACTGGAGAGACCCTGATTTGATGCCTGCCAAAAGCAGCACGCCGCCGACACCCAGCACTGTGACGGGTAAAGATTCTTCTAAAACCGCCAGTGCGGATAAAGATTCCGCTTCATCGATCAATGCTCTGCAAGGCGGAAGTATCACGCCTGGGAGTGGAGAATATCAAAGCATCGAGAAATCTAGCACCGGCGCTCACGACAAGGACACCAAAGGGCTTGACAAGCTATCATACGGCGCTCAAGGAAAGGACAAGACCTCCAACTCGGGTTGGCTTTTGGGTCATTTCAGCTGGGGTGATGAAAAGCATAATGCCCAACCTTCTTCAGCGCCCTCGCCCCAGAAGCTTAGTGCTGCGGATCAGAAGGCGCAGAACAACAGCCCCTTTACGTCAAGCCGACCATCTGCAGAGACCGAACATGAAGGCCTGTGGGTTACTATGACACCTACCAGCATGTCTACTAGCCCATTCTTCGATACCCTTCTGGTCCTTGTAGTTAGTCCCTTGCTTACACTCACGGTCGTGTATGCTTTACTGCTACTCCGTTCTCGGATCAGGCGCCGCCGCTGGCGCGCCCCAAAGTCGGTCATCGAACGTCTTCCGGTTCGGACCTATCACACCATCGCGATCTCCTCATCCTCATCCTCCAACTCAACGCGACCTCCAAGCCCCGGTTCCCCGTCACCTACGTCTCCCCTCCTTGGCAATGAAATTCAGCCAACCGATGCTCGGCTGACCAGGTCGCGCTCGCAGACTGTCTCGGGCACTATGCTTACTTCTCCGAATCTACCTAAAGAAGAAAAGTACAGCCTGCAAGCTGGATCCACTCTATGGAGGCGGAAATATACCGGAAGACAGGTGGAATGTGTTGTCTGTCTTGAAGAGTACATCGATGGCGAAAGTCGGGTTATGAGTCTGCCATGTGGCCATGAGTTCCACGTGGAATGCATGTAAGTGATACACTGCCATATCTCATCTTTGAAGTACTTTTTTGCTAACCCATTTTTCAGTACACCATGGTTGACTACCCGCCGGCGAACCTGTCCTATCTGCAAAGGCGATGTTGTCCGGTCCATGACCCATGTCCAGCCGGGTGGCTCTGGAAGCCACCATGGACACACCAGCGACGATGCGCAGACCCCAGAGGCCATTTCGCGAGCCGGTGCTTCATCCGCGCCTGTTTCGATTGAAGGAGTCAACAACGATGACCCTGACACCGAACAAACTGCAGGCCTGCTTAACGACCATGCAAGCTCCGCGCCACAGTCAAGCTGGAGAAACTTGGCGACACTAAGTCTCTCGGCTCTGAGCGGTGATACCATCTGGCACCAAGCTCGCGCGGACCGCAACCGCTGATTCTTATAATCCCTCTCCTCCCTACCTATTTCCTCTCTATTCCCCCCTTTTCCATTTGTGGAAACCGCACTCCTTGTATTGAAGCATGCTGTATTAGCGAAAGTTTTGAATTCTTTTTTTTTTGTCACCTTGAATAAGTCGGTATTCACGTTCATTGGTGGTTCCGTTGGTCTGGATCACATCACCACAACGAGGGCGAAAACATTGGTGTAGTTATCGTTACTTCTACTATCAATGTCGATGTTGGATGTTATTCGGACTTACTCGAGCTGAACCACAGTAGTCATGCTCAGAAACGAGGCTCTGTTGCGGAGGCGAAGCCATTGCCATCGTTAGACAGATTCATTTCATTGTGCATTTCAAGCGCTCTTTCGCTATTCTCACTGCGTCAAGAATACATTGCCAGCAACGCCTCCGAAAACATCAAGCGAATGATCAAGCTGATCGCGGACCAACTGAACACGAGGAATCATATCTCGCCCCAAAGGCAAGAAACGTTCACTCTCATGCCCAATCCCAACACCCTCTCCCTGAACGACCTCATAGATCGCCCTCGCAGCCTTCTCCTTATCCCCATCTACAACAAGCTTGCCCTCGGTAATAGCCTCCAACGTTTGAGCAACCACAGACCCCTCATAGTCTCCCGGCAAAGGATCTTCAGGCGTAAGACAAGCACCGCCAAAAGTCGTATTAAACACCCCCAACCACACAGTCAAGAGCCGAACATTGAACGGAGCAACTTCCTTCGCAAGCACTCTGGACAAACCTGAACAAATCATCAGTCATCAGCTCACAACAAAGACCTCAGGAGAAGCCAAACTCACCATCCAACGCAGCCTTCCCAGCCGCATAAGCACCCATACTCTCCCTCCCCTCCAACCCAGCCCCAGAACTAATATTCACAACAACCCCGAACCTCCTCTCCCTCATCCCAGGCACGAAACTCCGAATCAAACGACTCGGCCCAAAGTACACCGTCTCCATCTGTGCCCGCAGCTCCGAATCCGAGAACTGCTCGACTGCCCCCAAGATGGCGTATCCTGCATTATTGACGAGGACATCGATATAGTGGCCTGAATGCTCAAGTGTCGATAGTAGCTCTGAGGCGGCGGTTTGGTTGTTCACGTCTAGTGTGTGCCATTCGCCGCCATTTTGGGTGATCTCGTTTACGAGGTCTGGGGTGCGGGATGGGGTGCGGGATGTGGCGATTACGGTTTGGTGGTTGGATTGAGCGAGGCGGGCGATGGAGAGGCCGAGGCCGGAGGAGCAGCCGGTTATGAGCCAGGTTAGGGGTCTGTTGGGTTTGGTGAAGGTTGGGAATGACATGTTTGAGGCTCGTGGTGGTTTGGTAGTGTTTGGTTGTCCAGGTGGGTTTTTGAGGGTTTATGTAGTTTGGGAGGGATTCTTCTTCTTCTTTAAATGTATTGGATTAAGCTTGGAGGTATTTTGATGTTCGTCGCATCGGAATTGATGGATTTAGGGCTACGGAGTTAAGATAGATGCAATGGTACAGGGTAGATCATCGAGTTGGGGTATTCTCGGCGAAAAGCCCTAACTCCGGTTGGAATGGGCGTCCAACTCGTAACGTCAGATCTTATGTCCTGGTATCTCCAGTTGTTTAGTGTTCTTTTTTCTAATAGAATACTGGGGCCAGAAAGTGATAAAAACGATAGATGCGGCTGTTATTTAGCGGCCGTCGCTAGAACTCAATAGATACATCAATTGATACCCTTGGGCATAGTGTACAAATCCATGAAATAGGTACAAATTGAAGTATGTACGAAAGGATGACGAAAGCCATTGCGCCATTTCAGAATGCATCAATCAGTATCTCACCGGACCGAAAATCTTCTCGCACGCGTCCGGAACACACGCCTGACGGCAACCATATCGTCTGAATGGAAGAGGTCGAAGCTTTTGGCCAGCGACGCGAGGGGTTTTCGTTCCATTTTCAGAAGGAGTAATGTCCCACCACTCCGTCCACTCGGTACGGGGGATCACATACTCGCGGTCGCAAACAGAGCACATCTGACCGCCTGCAATGCGTACTTGCCTGGCCTTTCGGAGAAGAGGCACGAGCGGCGGCGGGTACTCAGCTAGCTCCTCGTCGGTGGTTTCCTCAAGATATGGGAGTTTGGTGACTGCGCGAAGAGCAAGTTCTCGCAACGAGGGAGGTTCATTCAAAGGTGATTCGACTTGCAGGCTTGCTTCCCGGCGTGAGACCACTCGCACGGGTTTGCCCTCCTTGTCAAGGAATGTTATGGGTCCTGAGCCAACGTGGATAGGATAATAGCCGTAGTCCACGTCTTGACCCGGTTGAAATTCCATCGGACCTTCCCAGGCTTTCTTCCGCTTTTTGTCGGAGTTCCATTGTATATGCCGCTCGTCGATGGTCGGAAACGGATTAGGACGCACCGTGACGTGTTTCAGCTCTCCTCTGAAGATCATACAGATGAGTTCCCAAGGGAGGTAGGTCAGTTCGTTGACGGAAGCGTTCAAGACTTGCAATCCGGTCAATCGGCAGATTGCGAGTGGGATCTCCGTTAGCTTGTTATTGCGCAAGCTTAGGACCTTCAGGTTGCTGAGTTCATAGATGTCACTGGGAAGGGTTGAAAGAGAGTTATTAGGGAGGTAAAGGCTTAGAGATGGCTTGAGAGACGTGAAAACATCTTCGGAAACAGGTGCTTCTCCGACTGGTGGGAGCTTCGTGAAGTGTTTGAGAGGTTTCAATAGACCTGGTGGCAAGGTCTGCAGTTGGTAGTCACTAGAGGCCGGACATTTGTTAGACCGAGTGATGGGACGAATGATAGTTGGGACGAATGAAAGATAGGACGAAAGCACATACCCCAGATCAATGCTTTCATGCCCTTTCTCCAGGCATTCATTGACCGTTTTGCGCGCCAACTGGTGTGCTTGTGATTCCGCCATGCTCCTGAACGCTGCTCGCACTTGGATTGGGGTGTTGTCAGGGTCCCTTGTGTTGGCGCTTGAAGCCTTGGGAGTGGTGGGAGTCGGGGTGTGCATTGGGTCAAGCACCGTCTTGCGCAAGTCCTCTCCCCACGCTGGGTCCGACGACATAATCGACTCAGCTCCCGACTCATCGCTCCCCATCCACACTCCGCTGTCCACGTTCCGCTTCTCTTTGAATTCCCCCCTCTTGCGCTTTGGGTCTATGACCTGCTCTCCCCACCACGTCCCCCTATACCGCCGTTTCCGGCCTGAGCCTGGCGTGGTCGCATGATAGTTCTCTAGCCCAGACGCGGGAATGTCGTCGCTGGAGAACAGCGCAGGGTCACTTGACGGCTGGCTTGAACAGTCATCGAAACGCGACAATCGTCTCGTGCGGTGGAGGGACGAGACCGCGTTTGTCGCCGAGCGTGCGGGCAACGCGGGCGACCGATAACGAATGCGCCGCGGCGGAGGGAGGGGGATTTCGCCGTCCATTGCGAATATATCTTATATCTGACAGCCGCTTCTTCGACTCTGGCTCGTTGGTCTAGGTATTGTTCATCTCATGTTCAATGTTCGAGCGGAGTTGATGCGCGACGCGGTTGTGGGGTCCCGCGATAGATCAACAAACGCGCTTATGGCGCGATTGCACAAGTTACTGATTGCTATTCAACAGAGTCAATTAGGACAGTCAGTTAACGGCGAAGTCGAGAAAAAGGAGAAGAACAAAAATTACGAAAAAAGAGATCATGCACTGATAGATAAGATCAGATCCAACGCACGGGCATATCAGTTGACCTCGGAGCCCTGACTGCCGCTCCACTGGAATGGATCGTCGCGATCTTCTCTACAGTCTCATGTTAGAAGATATGCACTCGTGAAGTGGTTTAATGCAGATTACGATGGACTCAATTGTAGTAAAAGTAATAAAGTGTCTCTATTCCATGAATGGTCCAACTACTACCGCGGAAGATAGTAGTCAGTAGCATATGAACTATCCATCCACCAGCGAAAATATTGACAAACGAATCGAATAAACAGGGGTTCAAGAAGAGAAGCATCAACTCATATCGGTCCACAAAGTCGTGAAAGAAGCAGAAAAAAGGGGGTATTTGGAAAAGCGTAAAACCGTTTCCTCTCAAGTAGGTTCTCCAGATAACCGAGAGGAATAGAAAAAAGTGTAAAAAAATAAAGTGGTCAAAAAGGTAAAGAATATAGAGATCCCGGCTCTGCTGAAGATAAACGGCCGGCGAGATTGAGCAGGACACTTGCGCCGTATGAACGGGTGGTATTCAATAGACCCAATTCATGACTGCCGGCGCAAGTGCGCCTGGTTCAAAAGCCGCATCGCGCTGATTATAGGGCCTGGCCCACAATGACGGCGATGTAGCCGGCGGCAGCTAGGGCGGCAGGCATGCCTGCGCCAACGTGGGCGGCAGCGCCGGTGGAGGACGCGGCGGCGATGGCCGAGGTGGTGGAGGCTGCCTTGGACAGCGGGGTAGAGGTGGAAGAAGCAGGCATGGTAGCCATGCTGGTGGAGCTGGGAGTCGGAGTCACAGAGTTGACTCGGAGCAAGGTCTTCGTGATAGTGGTGGTAGAGGTCATAGTGGTGGTACTCTCTTCTGCGACGGCGAGCGGGGCCAGCGCCAGGCAGAGAGAGCCGATGATGGTGGTGAACTTCATTGTGATGAGGATTTGTTGAGATCGGGGTTGCAGTAGAGATATAAAGGCTGTAAGGGTGAATGGAAAATGTCGACTCGAACAAATACGAGACAAGGGCGTTTGAGATATGTTTCGAGTGTAAATGGGTAACGATCGTGGGGAGCACTGCTCAAAGTAGGGCAAAAGAGTGTATACGGACTAAAATCCTTAAGGTGCCTAGAAGAAAAGAAAGAAAATTAAGGGCGTGGCATGCCTTAAGAGCCGTTGAACCTCCCCAGGGCAGGGAGTTTGGTTCAGTTAATTTCTTCTTTTTATTATTATTGATTTTGAGGTGAAACTACTGTCTTTCATTGGCCCAGGGGGAGACGCGGACACAGGGACTATTCAGAATTGGGTTTCTAACTACGCGGAGCCCTAAATCTCACTAACACTAACCTCACTAACTCCGCCAAGGATCCAGGAACACGAAGGGTCTAGCACAGACGCCAGGGGCCATCCAACTAGAACGTCGGCCCTGACAGGGGTTCCTGGATGTTTCGCTTCCCCTCTGCTCTGTTCGGACTCGGGCCTCGGATTCCAATGTTCTCTTTGGACGGTCCAATACGAAAATTCTTCGCCCTAGTACTACTTCCTAGTCCTGCGGATACACACCCTCGTACTCCGCACTTTGCTGGAGTACAACTCCGTCATCTTCCGCACCGTCACAGCATATCCTTCCCTTTCCTAGTCAGGTGGGATTTCCCGACACCACTTCGATGTTTTCTGATGTGTCTTTGCTTTGCTGGCCTTCTACCTAACCCACTCTCACGAAGTCTGCCCTAGATGAGGATTCTCGCTGGGCATCACCGCGGTCTTACCTCCTCGCAGGCTCCGTCGGTTCCGAGCCCCTCGCGTCATACGCAGGGCCCTCGTTTATGACCTGCTGTGATTTGGCCGCATGATGTCGCCTTGGGGCCCTTTCATTATTAATGATTTCGAGTTAACTGTAGCCACACTAGTACACGGCGCATGCTTGGAATCCAGGTGGGGTCTATTGCCGCTTTTATGACACTCAGTACATTTCAGTCCGGGTGGTGTCACGTGATATCTACTGAGCCCTGGGTGATTTCCCAAAGTGGCCGTTTGCTAGTCCCTATGGGCACTCCCGATGTGATGGAGGCTCGGGATTAAGGGGCCAATGTGACACATTTACCAATGCCGTTATGATCGGCACCTGCATCAAGGCCTTCCTTCCAATTGTCCAACGAGAAGGTTTTGGTCTCCATCACATTGCCGAGCGGGAAGAGACCGCGCTCCAGCATCTTGACAAAGTGCAGAATAGCCTCCCGGTCATACATCATGTTACCTTTGGTGAGGAACATCAGCTAAGGGCGCACTAACGTTGGGTAGGGTATCACTGTACCTTTCAATGTGAGGCTATTGACCATGATCTCGGGGACTCCAATATTTTCGGTAGATCCCATCAAGCTGACTCTTCCGCCACGACGGAGAGCTTTAATAGCACTCTGGGTATGTATTGACTTGGAAGCACCTGCCGGCGTAATGTCCAATACGGCATCGACCGTACCAAAGGCTCGTAATGCGCCTGCATCCTTCTCTGCATCGCCTGTGATCGTGACTGTTTCAACACTCGAAACGGGCGACAATTTCTGGACATCTTGCACCAATTTTGCCAATTTTTCTTCACTTCGACCCATTGCAATTACTCTTGCGCCCATCGCAGCCGCAATTTGCACGCCTAAGCTGCCGTAGAATCCCGTGGCCGGGCATACGATGATGGTCTCCCCGGGCTGAAGCTGAATATCCCTTATGCCTCCAAACGGCACAAGCAGATACGCCATGTACACCAGGTTGTGAACGGAGTATCCCAGTTTACCACACAACCTCGCTTCATCAAGCGGAATACAGTTCTCCAGTGGAACCTTGGCGTACTCGGCGAATGTCCCATCGCGCCACACATCTCGCATCAATTTCTTGCTGCCGTCGCTGGGTCCCTCATATATGGCTGACAAGAAGAAAGAATCTGGATCATCGCGGGCCCTTACAACGCAGTCGACGTAAACCAGTTGTCCGGGTGCCAGGGTCGTCGCGTCCGGCCCAACAGCCGCCACATGGCCAATGGCACCAAATCCACCTACAAGTGGTGCGGGGAAGGAGTTTGGCCGTTTTCCATCATAGACATCGCGGTGGTAGGGTAGGATTCCTGCTGCAGCAACTCGGATGATTGCGCTGCCAAAGTCTGGCTGTGGTGTTGGGAGGGCCTTGATCTGAAACCCGGATTGGCCCTCGAGCACAAGGGCACGGTGCTTCAAAGGCAGTGCAGCTTGCATACTGAGAGGTGATGGGAGAATCTTGCACAGGAGATATCTTCTTGTCACAATGAGACTGAAGCACCATTTGATCCCGGGGTCAATTTATATGCTGATAAATTACCAGTGACCACCGGGGCACCGGGGCAACTACCCAAGTGGAGCGCAATCCGGATACGTATAGGAATATATATTCCGCATCTAGTAGTATTAGAAAGCCAACACGGAGCCCGTATACCCACATAGGTAGTAGTATGACTACCTATCTAGTGAGGGGACGGCGTTCGAGGTTGGTGATACTCGGCATGATGCCTCAGGCTTGACAAACCGTCCACCAGTTGGAAGTATGAAGCATCCGTGAAATGGAGACACCTTCAATTTCAGCGTATGTTTTATTATGGCATTCTAGACAACATACACTGGGCAGTACCTAGCCCTCGAAGTGCCTATAGTCTACTTTTACTACCTAGGTAGGTACCTAGGTAACCCGAATAAACCTTGAAATCTATCAAACTCATATATGGTACTCCTGAACCCCATGGACTATCACCGTATCAGGGGCTCACATCCGCCTGAGCACGACCCTGGCTGCCCCAGGTTCCAACAATCATGTGATCGTGCTCGGGTGAACGCAGTGAGCACCTGGGCAAATAAAGCGGCAAGAGGTGAGTACTAAAGGGGACAGGTGCTCCAAAGAGAAATAGAAATTTTCACAGATCAGGGCCAAAGACCCGTGGTTCCATTCAGGTACAAGAACCACACGATCGCCACTCCGCTTTACCCAATTGGGTATCTGTGTTGGCGAGGGCGTTCGAGGCTCTAGACTCTGGCCCTAATTTCGGCCTTATCTGAATGAAGAATGTGAAAGTTTGCAGATCGGACTGTCGATCGGAATCAAAATGCAGTCACCTGCCACGTTGTATACTCGGGAAGTCGAAAGGGGCATTAATCCATCTTTCTGGCTTAGTGCTGACCGCTGGTTTTTGTTGGGTTGGACCAGAGTCCCATGCATACAGTACTAGTAGGTGATATTCTCAACCAGAAGATACTTTTCTGTCACTGTGAATTGACCATACTACTGATGTATACTCCCTCCATGCATGATCGATACTTTACTTCCTTGGGTCGGTTGAATCTCGTGGCATATCTCAGGTATTCAAAATCACTCTGAACATATTACCACGGCGTCAAACGATCATATATGGCGTCCTGCGTAAAGTATTAATTTTCTATGTCTCAATACTCGCGCTCGGCTGTAATTATTCCCGTATGAGATCCAATGATGCACGCCATTTCATCCACGTGATCACATTGTGTGCATCTCCACGAGGGTAGTCCTGAGCAGAGTGATTAAAGCATTGACCTCACTCGGTCAAGAAAGGGATTTATATCTTCCAGATTCAATGTAACATGGCAAATGCAATCCTTCCTATGTACGGAGTACTTGGTCTTGAAATGTCTAATCTCGAAACACGGCATGACATTCCAAGGTTCCAAGTTTATATATCATAGATGGCGTACCAAATTTGGCTTATACCTACCTAGTACCTACCTACCTACCTAGGTAGGTAGGTATGTAGGTAGTATATCAGAAGCCTCTTCCAAGTTGGACATCCATGAATGGACGACATTAAGAAAGAAAAAAAAAAAAAAAAAAAACAACCTATATCAAGCCACCGCGGGATCTTTACCTAGACATACCGATGCAGGATATAACTACCTTGCTTTGTGTCCTTCACTTCCAATGTTGACAAATTACGAGATTCCATGGTTCCGCCTGGGCAATCTTGCTATCGTGACCTCGGGATGTTCGACCTCGGAAGTCTACAGGACCACTCCAGGGCTGGCAATGAACGAGACGTCATTATCTACCTAGGTACTAGTAGGTAGTTCCAGGTTCCATTTGGACGAGTTCTGGGCCCTCGGGCTGCCATTTTCATTAAACTATGACTCTGAACTAACTGCAGAGTACGGATCTTGTATTCTTCCAACGTCGAATCAGGCCAGGTGCCCAGCCATACCTACAAGGCGGGCTTCCTGATCTTGTCGCCTCCAAACTGATTTTGCCAAAGATTTTGATATCGACCACCATCCTTCTCCAGCAGCTCACTATGTGACCCACTCTCTACAACCCGACCATCGTGCAAAACAAGAATACGATCCGAGCCAACAATCGTAGACAGCCTGTGCGCAATGACAAATGTAGTGCGCTTGGCTCTCAGTCGATCCAACGCGATTTGAATTTCCGTCTCCGTATGCGAATCCACAGCACTTGTTGCTTCATCTAGCAAAAGAATCGGAGATTGCTTGAGGAATACCCGAGCGATGGCTATTCTTTGTAATTCGCCCCCAGACAGCTTCACACCCTGCTCTCCTACTTTTGTGTCATACCCAGATGGGAAAGTGAGGATCTTCTCATGGATGGCCGCAGCGCGACACGCATCATAGATTTCTTCGTCGGAGGCCGAGGGCCGGGCGTACCGGAGATTTTCGATAATAGATGCATTGAAAAGGACGGGATCTTGCGGGACAACACCGATGGTTTGACGCAGCGAGCTTAGTGTGACATCTCGGATGTCTTGACCGTCAATTTCGATTTGGCCAGCAGTAACATCGTAAAGGCGCAGGAGAAGTCGGAGAATCGTTGTCTTTCCTGAACCGGTCATTCCTACCAAAGCCACCGTGGTTCCTGGCTCAACGGAGATATTGACGTTTGTGAGAGTATTTAGTCTCGTATCATAGGCAAAATCAACGTTACGGAAAGCCACACGGCCATCTCCCCGCTTTAAATCAAGAGCATTTTCCTTGTCTGTGACACTGGGCTTAGATTGGAACAGAAAGAGTAGACGCTCAGCGTCAACCAGGTCCGAAACAAGCCAGCGGTACTGCGCAGAGAGATATGCCAGAGGCGAGATCAGTGAAGTCCAATATTGAATAAAAAAGACAAAGTCTCCCGTCGTGGCACGCCCCACGGAGATTTCGTGCACAATCAACGAGGCCAGGCATACAAATGAGAATGGCTTGATGAGGTCCAGGAGTGCCTTTCCGACTGCGCGGCGGCGACCAAAGCGTGCGCTCGCCCTGAGACAAAGGTCCACTGCTTCTCCGAATCGAGTCCGCTCGTAAAAGAATTGATTGAAGTAGGTGACGGTTTGCCAGCCCTGTACAGCTTGATGCATGATGCGAGTTTCGTCCCGCTGCGTCTGGGTGACTTCCCGTCGATGTTCCATGTTCCAGTTCGAAGTGAAGACTTCGGCTGAGACGTAAGTGATAGCAGCAACTACCACCAGCAACGATGCGTAGGCGTTGAATTTCAAGTAGAAGACGAAACACGCAATGAACAGATCGGCTACTGTCGGGGCAATATCTAGAATGGCCATTTCCAACAGGTTGTTCAAGGCTGCGCCCTGGTCGATGGACTTCATGACCTCCGCCGAATCATTGTCAATATGGAAGTCCATCGATAGATTCATGACATGGCTAAAGGCAGCATTGGTGATCTGGCGGTAAGAGAATTGTCGTATCGGAATCTTGACAATTGTTTCAATCAACCCCAGCCCAGCTCCACCACGAACGAGCTGCAGCAAGGCCCATTTCCCCAATGAGGCATACGGGGCTTCATTCGCAAAGATGCTGTCGGTCACGTCGGCTAGTTGTTGGGGAATCACAATATTCAACACTCGGTGACATGCTAGGCAGGCAACGCTGACGACAACACACAGCTGGACTGGTCGATTATTTCTAGGGACCAGGTAGGGCAGAAAGATTGAAAAGCCTTTCAGATAATCCCACCAGCCTCCATAGGTCTGCAGCTGTTCATCGCGGAGCTTTTTGACCCGCGCAGCTCTCCCGTTCTTTGGGTCTGCATCCGACTCGCTCTCGCTTTCGGAACTTACACTGTTATCTGAGTTGTGCCCATTGGTTGTCCCATAAGTCGTGTGGTTTCCGTTGAGAAAGGGACGAGATTCTTCGGAAGTCTTCTTTTTCTCCCGCAGTCGGATTTCCAATAGGATCGCGATCACCACGACCAGGAGCAGCGAAAGCCGAACCGACGAGATGGTAACCTGTGCGATTGGCTCCCACTGCCTTGGTTTGTGATACAGGGAGAGCGCAAGGAGTGGAATCTCGAAAGCAGCGGTGACCGAAGAGGTGCCAGCCACTTCATACTTGGAGGTATGTTGTTGCCGGAGCGACACCGCAGACCATACGACCGCCAGAGAGGTCATATGCACCAGCAACGGCTGGGATCGGTCCAGGTCATGAGTGGCGAGGTTCAATACGATTTGGCTGACATATGTGAGAACGATGAGTGTCGTCAGAACGACCTGAACTCGATGCTGACCGTTGGAGCGACCCTTTCTTCGACCTTTCTTCTTTTTCTTTGTCGGGCTTCGCTTCCACAGGCAAGAACTCACAATGAAGAGAGTTGCTGCCAGTGTACAGCTGTAATGAAGAGCCCGCACGGCCAGCTGAGTAGCCATGGCGAAAGGGGGAGTAAGAAGTGAACTAAGGAGGTTGTTTGTCTCGGAGAAGGCGGTTCTTATAGTTGAGCCGCACTTCTCAAGCCTTGTCTGCGTCGCAAACACCCTTATTGGACGCAGTGCATCGCAATCAATTGTCAGGTGTCCAATAAGACCATCATGGATGGAGCGCCGCAGGGGGGCTGGGATGTGAAGGACTTCCCGAAGCACCTACCAACGAGGCTGTGGTTTTGGCCTAGACCCTCATCCTCATTATTGGAGAGCTGCAGATCAGAATAAAATCCAACCGCCTCATCGTATGCTTGGGCTTTTCGTATTTGGATTGATCTGAGGGCTTTGACCACCACTTTCCAAGGTTGCTGAATAGTCGCTGACTGCGCCGTGACTCACTTGGCCAAGTGCCTCCAGGTGCCCGGGTTATTTGAATCACTTCTTGTCTTCCCCCAGGGACACTGCTGACATTCCAACCTTGGAAGGTTGTCGATGAATTCCAACGCGACCGCCAGGTGCAGCGATATCCTGTCCATCGTCCCCACTGCAGTATATATTTGACACATGGGATCCCACTTATCTCTGCAGAGATTCAAAACGACGGCTCTTACCCTGCATATATTTGGTATCACCAAGAGCCATGCCCCTATTGTCATACCGAGTTGACGCCTACAGTCCCGTGGCAGCTGGAATGACAACTGTACTCCGTACGGAGTACTGGACTCTACACTGGACCTCGGCATACTGAACTAGCGAAATCGGGCATGAATTATCTAGCGCTTGATGCTCGCTGGCACAATACAGACATCCGAGGCTCATATGGACTGCCAAAGCGTCTACAACTGTGGATTATTTGGAATGTGCTGGGACAGCATCACCGATTCAGGACCGCCAGAGCAGATAATAGAGGCGTGTGGGCGCCATGTCCTTTGCAATCTGGCGGAAGTTTGATAACTTCAGAATATGCATGCAGGTACTTTGGTGCGTTGCATGTTGCTGACCCCGGATTTACGTCGAAATCCCCCGCCGCTTCCAACAGCTTCCAACCGAGCCAGTCTGCCCCCAGGAGCCTATGGATCTGGCGACAGGGGAGTGTATAAGAATGCTGTTTTGGGAATAGATGTCTCAGCGCAGCCATGCAGGCAACGTAGAAATTGCCAATTTGGATCTATCTTGATATGCAGGCCCCCGGTCAATTAACCATCTTTCCACTCTGACATCGGGGGTGATCAGATGCCAACCAGTTTCTCGCGCCACTCCCAGGTTACATGGGCAATCGGCCAGGCAGCAGCATGTTCACCCGGGAACATCAGAGCATCATGAGGCTCAATGCGTCTTTTCGAAGCTACACGGCCACACTAGCACCCATATGGTCTCTTGGCACGGACACTAGGGAATGGAGTAGTGAGAGCAAGTGAATTAGAAACTGGAAGATATAGCCTAGGATGGATGGCGCCGCCGAGGCAACAATGGGGCCCATGATGTTCCGGGCACCACAAGGTTATGTACATCGCGCCTTGAAGGAGCCAGCGCCCATGAGCTTGCTCGCCACACCTATCCTGGGGCAGGTTTCCGGACACTGAAAACTACCAAAAGATATCTCTCGCCCATAGAGATAGTATCGTACAAGGGACGTCGCCGGGGAAGTGGTCATGTCGCATGTTTCCCGATAATAGTCCTGAGACTGCGAGAAAGGGTTGAGTTTATTGGCGCATCGGCCGGAGAGGGGTCTGTCGGGGGAGCATCATCGGGGGTCCTCGAGCACGGAGCCAAGCGTCGTTCTTGGGGCCATCGTTGCGGATAACACTTCCGATGGACATAAAGAGACTGTTATAAAATGAAATGGTCAACGATCCCTCATGAAACAGAGGCCCAAGCCGAGAAAGTCAAGCTTACCCGAAAGTCGCACCCGAACCCAGCATGTATTTACCGAGTGTCCGCATGACACCGTTGGGGCCAGCGCCGTACTGGAAGATCGTGACAGTGCCTGCCTGGGGTAAGCTTGTGATCGACACCTTAGTTGAAGGATATCGGGGAAACTAACCGACAATGAAGCCCATGATACCTCCAACAGCTGTGAGGGGAAGTATATTAGCAAGAGACTTCGCTGGACCACCGGGACCTTTGCTCGCAATCACGTACTGGAGCCCATCATGCAGCCCATTTTCACTATAATTACGTCAGTTCATTCATCTGTCAACATAGGGAGGCTCTTAGCCAGATCAATGCGCAAATGGTGATCCATGTTGCTCGGAGGTTAACATACTCTTGTCGAAGGTCGAGGGACCCCCTGGACCCGCTTGAGCGGGAGGACCAGCAACCACAGGCATTGTGAAATGTGAGATCGAAGTGATTAGCTGTAGAAAGGGCCGAAACGACAGCTGCGAGCTGGAGGTGAGAGTGATTGTCACAGCAGCTCGTTTTGCTGCCCCGTAGCTTCTCCGCCTTGGTCACGTGAGTACAACGGCCACATCGCACACGTGCCCCTGCAGCACGTGACTGGCCGTCGAGGGAGCAGCGAATACCCTCGCTCTTGCTCGGCTGTCCAGTGTGGCAACTATCCCGCTCTCTGATTTCTCCTCCGTTGCATCTTCCTTTTGGGCTGTTTAAAGCCTGTGCCGAGGCGGTAGTCCCGTCTTGTGCTTGTTCATTGCCTTGGCGTGAGACTTCCGATCGATTCGGACCTCACACGCCTCCTTGGCCTGACGCACCTATTGATTTCCCACATAATCTTTCCATTCACAGCGAGGTGAGTTTGCTAGGCTCCGGGTCCTATTGTGGGGTCAAGTCGAGACCTCGACGTAGGGGCCAATTTATTTGTTTCTCCCCCCAAATAGCACTAACGCGACCGGCCTCATTTTAGTCGGGCGACCCTTAAGTGCAATCACCCTTGCGCGCACTCAATTTCCCCAACCTTCGGACATAAACCGATTTTGCTAGACGTCCTCTTTCCAACATCCAGACTGCCCCAAGAGCTCGGCCCCTTATACAGTCCGCGACCGTCCACGCGATCCGTCTAGACAACTCACATCGTCAAAACATTCGCATCCTTCTCCATGACTGCTGTGGCATCTCCACCTAGTGTACAATCGGGGTCTCGCTTGGGATGGTACAGTTCTGGTAACGGAGGTCAAGGAGCCCTGTCTTCAGTGAACGCGGACGACGTCTCACGAATGTTTATGCCACGGAAGCACGTTCAGCGATCGAACTCCTCTTCCTCACTAGGGTCCAACTCGTCGGCCACCTCCACCACCACCATAACCGCTCCTCCACAGGAAACGCATAACACGCAAAATCCCGGCGCCGAATCAGGAACCTGGTCATCAAAAAAGAAGTCAGCAAAAAATCCCTGGCCGAGCTCCAAGTCCGAGCCGGTATCAGGGGTAACGAACGCGCGATCTCAGGCAGTGCCTGCCTTTTCATCGGGACCCAGCGCATCCTCGACAATGTCCGCGATGCATCAGCCTTCGAACATCGTTCCATCCCAACATATGCCTCTCTCGCAGCAAAATGGCGTCCGTGCGCCCAACGGACAATCCTCCGAGTCACCCGCCATCCTGATACTTGTCCCCATGAATGGAACCTTCGATAGGAAGCAAATCAACGTGCCCTATTTCCCCGAGGTTCTGCGGATCGGACGCCAAACCAACACCAAAACAGTACCCACGCCCCTAAATGGGTTCTTCGACTCCAAAGTGCTCTCTCGACAGCACGCCGAACTATGGGCTGATAAGACCGGTAAAATCTGGATCCGCGACGTCAAATCTTCGAACGGTACCTTTGTGAATGGCCAAAGACTTTCCCCCGAGAACCGAGAATCAGACCCACACGAGGTTCGCGAAAGTGATACCCTGGAACTTGGTATTGATATCGTCAGCGAGGACCAGAACACCATTGTCCACCACAAAGTCTCTGCCAAGGTTGAGCATGCCGGCTTCTATGGCTCCACGCCCAGCATACTTGACCTGAACTTCGGTGACTTAGACCCTGCCTCCGGAGGCGGTCTTCTACCTTCTCCCCTGAGCCAACCTCTCTCTCATATGCGAGGCCGAGCCGGCAGCAACGCCAGCACCCGAAGCGCCCAGAGCGCGGCCAGCACCCAAGCCAATGCTTTACACCAACAACGCCAAATGAACTACTGGAACTCGCCCATCTCCATTGAACAGGTCGTTAAGCGGCTTACGGTATGTATTCACGCAAGTACCTAGTATTTGAACATCAGCTGACAGATTTTAGGGCGAGTTGAAAGCTGCGAAGCAACAAACGACAGACCTCACCCAGACTGACGATTTCCTAACAACAATCATGAAACCTGGTTATGCAGAGAAGGAAAAGATGATCAAACCATCTCCGTTGGAAAGCAGTGCTGCCCATCGGCAATTAAATGGACGACCCAAAATGCCGCGCGTCGACTCTTTCTCGAGGTTCTCGGAACCCCCCGCTCCTCCTCCCCAGCAACCTTTACCAGAGAAGCCTGACGCGCTCTCTCGAAGTGGGTCCGATTCGTTCTCGTCTTTGAAACGCAGTGATACGGAGAAGCCCAAGGGCGGAACTGGTTCCCCTGTATCACGCGACTCCAGTCAGATCCTATCTCTCATCGAAGCACTCTCTTCCGCTAAACGGGAGATTGACACCCAAGGAACTCGGGTCAAGGAACTTGAGCATATGCTTTTGGAAGAGCAGGCAGCCCGGAAAGTGGCTGAAGAGAGGATCAATGAGTTGGAGACACGCCCCGCAGTCGAGAGCAGAGAAACCGCCACGGATGGCATTGCCTTACCAGAGAATGGCGTTGACGACGGAGAGAAACGGGAGGTGGAAGATGCCGTGCAGGTCAACGGCGTTCACCCCGAAGAAGCTCCCACTCCCGCAGAACCACAGCCAGAAGATCCTGTGGAGGACAAGACTGCTGAGCTTCAAGCTCGTTTGGAAGCCATGATGGAAGAAATGGCAGAGATGAGAAAACAAATGGCATCTTTCAAGGACCGTGCAGAGCAAGCCGAAGATAACAGCACCCAGGCTCGTAAATCTTTGGCAGAGATGGTTGAAACTTTACGCAAGGAACGAGCTGAGAAGGAGGCAGCGGCTGCATCTGCCAGCAAGAAGGCCGCCCATGAACATGCAACAACTCAGGCCACCCCGGCCCCGCAAAAGCCTTCGACTCCAAGCGAGAATGTGACGGGATCGAAGACAACATCCTCGTCTGACCAATCGTCGGACTCGGTCGACTCGCGAGACAAAGAGATCGATGCTGCTGTTGCCAACGCGCTCGCGATCCAACAGCAACGACTCAAGTACGCAGAAGAAGCAAGCCCCTATGCCTCCATCTTCGGCGTGGTGCTACTAGGCGTGGGCCTAATGGCCTACCTCAACGGTTGGCAAAAGCTGGACAAATAAACCTACTTGGGTTCATTCTTAATTCTGGGGTTTGGTGTTCTCGGACGGCTATTCCTTTTGCATACGTATTTTGCATTACTTGACCTTCTCTCCTGTTTTTCACATCAGATTTTCAGTTTCCGCCAGTCATGACTCTTTGGCGATGAATGTCCTGGTCGTTTCTCTTTTGAAGATGGTCTTTTTGCCCTTGTCTTCATACTCGGAGCCTCGTCCACCTAGCCCACACTGTCTCTTATCTCTTTACGAATTTCTTGACGAATCTCTCGAATTCCCTTCCCAGGGTTTCACCGTGGTCTTTTTTTTTGACTCCCACTCACCCCCTTTTTTCTCAATGTCTCTTTTCCTGCTTTACTTTCTACCTACAATGTTACTATTAGCCTCTTTTCCTCTGGGACTCGGCACCTCTATTATCCCTCTCGCTCTCGCTCTCTCTTTTGTTTGTACATGATGGGGAAAATCAGGATATGTTCATGACTTGTTGTCTCTTTGCGAGCGTCTCATTTGATGAAGGCCAATATCACTCTTCCTGTGTGAGCGTAATGTTTTTCTGTCGGAGTAATTTGGAGTTTCGTTTCTGCTATTTCGGTCTTTTACCCATGTGATTGTTTCCCTGTTGACAGATGTGCTCTTGGTCCTCTGGTGGGTCTGGTTTGTTAGAGTAGTAGTTCTGCCTGCAGTCCTATACTCGAATTTCTTTTCTTCGCCTTTCTACGTTGTTTCATGGTCCTAAGCGCAAACTTTGGAATGGGTGATTCTTGCACATGATGAGCGAAAGGGTATCAATGCACATGGATAGTTGATCCCGCCACTTATGTATCTAAGGGTGTACAAGGCTTTTCATGAATTCTGTACATTGATTCTTGTTTGCATGGTATTGCCAAGTGATTTGGACAATAAGTAGGTGTTATGCGTATTGCTCTCTGAAGTATGCTGCGCTGAATAATTGTAGTGAAAGCTGCGGTATCACAAGGGAGACTTTGTCTGTGCTTCGAAGAGCGATCATGGCCAGCAAATCCCTAGTTCGAACTGGGTGTGATTTCAACCCAGTTTCCCAGTAGTAGATAGATAGCCATCCATCGTAGTCCCGATGCTGCGGTCATGTCCATATATGAGTAACTTGATACACGAATGTAAAGTAGCATCATACAACCGACAATTCGAAGGGCCTCAGAGGTAGATTGCCGTGGGCATGTGGATCGCTCAGGTCGTTCGTTAACTGAGCGATTGTCATGGATTTTCGTCGAGTTCATCGTGGGCATGACCGATTCACTTCAGAGTTACAGCAACTTCGACCATCTTGATCCAACGTGTTCGGCTCTCGGGCAATTCATCGTCACTGCCCGCAGGGACATCTTGATGCTTTCTCTTTGTCGCAGTCGTCTGTGACTCTGTCTTGGAATCGGTGCCGGAACCACTTTGGCTCTGCCCCTCTGATTGCTGTTGTGATTGTGCTTGGTGTTTCTGTTTCTTCTCCTCATCTTCAACAACATCATCCACAACAAGCACGCTCCCTGTGTTGACGCGCACAATGTACTGCGTATTCTTCTCTTCGAACCATTTGCCAACATTCAATGCCTTCTCAATCGCGCGTCCAGTTGCCTTGACGAAAACCTCTTCCCGCTTCTCTGACACTTTAGACAGCTCATCGAGAATTTGCTGCTCGCTCTTGCGCGTGTCCTCGAGGCTGATATTGGCGGTAGCGCGCTTCTCGGCTTGGATGAGCAGCTTCTGTACGCGCTTGACGGCGCTCATGAACGGCGTGCTGCTGGATACATAGACAACTTTGGGGACTGAGGCTCCCGCAAAGGGAGAGGCAACTGGCGCATGTGGTATGGGACGTTTCTCGACCTTGGCATCTGTGTCCAGCGTTAGAATTTGTGGTCTCGGGGCTATTGTCGCAAGTATGCCTGGTAGATGGGTGGGATAAAGCTCACATTTGGGGAGTTTGACCAAGTCGGTATTGCGTTTCTCGAACTTGAGCTTCCGCTCCAGAGGACCTTTGCCCATGTCTGTGATGCTTTTCAGATGCAAAGTTGCGGAGGTGCAATCGGAATGCTTATCGTCTGCCTTTTTCTGCCGGGCGGTGTTAGTCCTATCTTTCTCTTTCCAACATCTTGCCCAGGTGGGTTGGCATTCGTATATTGAAACAAGAACCTGGGAGCGAGTGGTGGGTTTGAAGATACTTAATTATGCTAGCTACCTAGGTAGGTACCTAGGTAGTTGAAAGGCCTTGGCACTACTTTACTAGGTCAGTCTACGAACTACGAAAGATCATGAAATGATATAAAACTTTGATAATATGAGTAATTCATAGCGCCTCATATGCTATCCCAGTGCACCTGGGCATGGCTGTCCGAACAAAAAACGATCAAGAGAAAACCCAGGCTGTACTCAAACGAAATACGTGCTGGCACTGAAAGAACGGGAATCGGGCATCTTAGGTAGAGTACAAATCAAAATAGAAGTCAACATTGAGTCAAGGGGTCATGAAGAAGGGAGACATTTTGGCCAGGTCGATTACCGGCGTGCGAAGCAGCACATGATACCGGTGCGTCCCAGGAACCAACAGCAGCCGATGAAACGGAAGAGAGCCACGGCGGCATTGGACCACAGGAGGGCCTGGAAGAAACGGGTCGTACGACTGGTGGCGGTGTTCTTTGATGGGTTAGCAAGGACGAGGGTATGTATGGAAGGAAGAAAGATGAACTTACGCTGAAGCCAAACTTGTCGACAGACTCGCTGGTAATGCAGACAGCCAACAGGCCGTTGCTGAAAATCCACAAGGTGACGAGACGGGTACGGAAACTCTTGTAAGAATCGTCCAGACTCTTCTCTTCGTGCTCAACGGGGGCAACGTAAGGAGTGAGAGCACGCTTCACAGTAGCCTCAAACTGACTATCAATGTCGGATTGCGGCTTGTCAATTTCTTCAATGACGGCATCTTTACTGCCTGCGTCTTTAGTGACCGTGGCTGATGGGAGAGCATCGGCCTTGTCAGATCCCTTGGTACCCCATGAGACATCGTGCCAGTTAGAGAAGGCATAGACGTTGAGGATGTTGATGTAGGAAGACTGGACGACCATGTAGGCGGGGAAGGAGGTAAACATGTGCCACGGGTCGGCGTACATGAAGGAAGCAACGAAGTAGAGACCGAAGGTGGCAGCCAGGGCAATGATAATGATACCAGCTCCAGACGAGGAGAAGAAAGACTTGAGGAATTCGCCGGCACCCTTGTCGGTGACGAAGTCCATGGGTGCACCGCCACTGAAAGCGCGAACGACCAAGTAAAGCGAATCGACCACGATGTAGAGCTGAATGAGACCAAAGACAACGAAAGAGGCGAGGTAAGACTTCTTGGAACCCTTAGGTCTGTTACCAAGCGCGAGAATGAATTGGAGCAAGACGAAGGCCAAGTATCCGTACTTCACAATCGTGTTGATAATGGGCGTGGCGGTCTTTCCGAATGGGAATGCAGTGTAGCCGTTGGATTTGCTAGGTGTACCGACCAGGTCGATAATGACGGTGGTAGTAAGCCAGTAGGATGCGAGTGAGAACCAGGTGAGGAAAGTGTTGAAGACGTTGTACAACATCTGAATGTGGAGGAAGAACATGCGGACAATGTTGTGGCCACTCTTGTACATACGACCGAAGTGCATGAGCGAGTAAATACCAGCAGCGAACGAACCGTTGAGCCAACGACGACGCTGAGAGATGAACTCAGCGGCACCTTCGGGGACATCAGTCTCACCCTTGGAGGCTTTGACGTACGACAAGTGCCACTTGGAACCGGCCTTCGCGACCAATTCGAAACAGAGAATACGATCCTCGGCCAAGAACATGTTCTTCTTGAAAATATTCATACCCTCAATACCCTTCTTTCCAAGCTGCTTGGACAGAGTGTGGTCACCGTGGAAGTACTGTTCAAGCGGACGACCCATAATAGCACGGAAACGATAAGCCGAGAACGCACCGGGCAAGACACTAACGTAACCGAACGAACTCTCGAGAGGCTTGTCCAGAATGTTACTGATCTTGTACTCGAAGTTCTGCGCGGCCACAAGAGGGTTAATCAGGTTTCGCCAACCCTTACCCAACATGGCGTGGATTTCACCACAGGCACCTCCGAGGTCCTTGTCGTTGTAGAAGGCCTCCCAGAGGTACAACAGGGACTTGGGTCCAGGTTTCGTACCCGCATCCAGAAGGATACAGACTTCAGGGTTGAGAATACGACCGAAAGCGTTGAACAACCAACGGTGAGAGTTGATCTTCTTGCTGTTCTTCTGCTTCAAACAGAACATCATTTGCACGGGTGGTAGCGTGCTAGGACCATCGTCCGTTGGGCGAATAAGTTGCTGGCTGGGCGTGACTGAGAGCTGAGTCGTGTATTCGAACTAATATCTGTCAGTGCACCGTTTTCTGGATATCATTCCTCTCTTTCACTCACGATGTGGGCCAAGGTCTCCTTTCCGTCAACGTCACGCTTCATGACACCGTCCTGGTAGATACCGACTGTGGCCAGGACATCCAGAGTATCCTTGTCACAAGGGTCGATACCGTCGAAAACAAGTGCCACCACGATCTTTTGCCATGCCGGTCCACCTTTGTTCCAGAACTCGGATTTCTTGAGGTTGACAATATCGCGAATGTTCTGCATCACACCGTGCAAGGTACGTGCTGTAAGGTTCTTGTCTTCGTTATAGTAGGTAATCGCAATGAGCAGCTCGGTGTGACGGTTGTACATGGCGGGACGCAGGTTGTATCCATTGTGGAGAGTGAATTCGTTGGGATCACAGGTTGCTGCAGTGTCTGTAGATCGGCGATCTTCATTAGCATTGGGTTCCCAGTGAATCTTCCAGATCTGGCGTTCGGTCGATACGTACATCGCATGTGAGTGAATTCTTCAGTTCCGCCCTCCACATCGTTGCGGTATTTGGCTTGGATGGCATTTTGGATCGCACTGGGAACGGGGTAGTCCACACTCAGGACTGAACCCTGCACCAGCTTGACCTTTCTTGTGGCATATCGGCGCAGACCGCCGCCGCCGCCACCACCACCACCTCCAGCAGCTGGTCCTCCGGGAGCTTGTCGCTGACGCCAAGCCTCGGTCGAGGAAGTCTCACTGCGGGCATAGGGGGAGGGGACGCGACCGGGGACACCGAAAGCGGTTGCGGGGTTGTCGTCGTGGCCAGAGTACACTGAACCGTTGTTGTAGGGGTCATTGTAGCCAGGCGCGGTATCAGCGGCGTAAGTCTCGGTCAAGCTGTAGCCGGACGCAGGACGCTGGGGCGACACTCCACGCGAGTGTGGGTCATCAAAAGGAGTCGCAAAGGGACCCTGGTGCTGGGAGAGCAATCCACGTGCGGCATCTTCGTCCTCCCGGTACTAAGCTCACATCAGCTCCAACTCCGCTTTGTCGGGTGTTCCCGACACGTACCTGAGAAGCAGGCACATCCTGCAGACGATGGCCGTCGTGAGCGTCTTGCGCATCGTCATAGCTCGGCGAATGCGAGCGCCCGCCTTGGTAGGCCATGTCGCCGTCAAGGTATCAAAGGGATCAAAGCTGGATCGAGAGGGGTATCAAACAAGGCGCATACGGAGTTGAGGTCGATAGATAGAGCCACCTGGGCTGTAAGGCGAAATCCCTTGAACAATGGACCAAACCGAGAAAAAGGTGAATCAAGGGTGTGAATAAAGGAAAAACGAGAAGGGGGGAATGGGGGGAAAAGAAAAGGAGGATAGAGTGAAACTAGGAGAGAGGTCAAAAATAGACTGTCTCTAACCCCGTCCTGGTTTAGTTTCGCCTCTCAGCCTTTGTTATTTTCCTTTATTTTATTTTCTCCGGACACTAGCGTTTGTCTGTTGGATTATTTAGGGGCTTATATTCCCCATCCTTATTAGGGATTCGATGGCGTAGCTAATAAAAAAGTCATGAATGTTCGTGTACTGGTAGTGCTGATACTAGTACTCCCTACCCCGTATAGTACTATCGTGGAGTATTAAACACACCTCACAATCGGGCTGGGAGATTCTTCAATGTCTTCTTGATCCCCTTTTCCTTTTGACAACTCATTCTCGTTTTGATTTTTGAATTTTTAGGTGTAGGCTATTATCCACTTACCACTTTAGGAGAATGATTGGCGTGCTAAGAGCCCCCAACTCCAATTAAAGGGCTCCACTGGTGAAACATTCGGTGAATAGGGTCTATATCTTCACAATGTGAGACCGGACTTGACAACCCTCTATACTTATCATATCTGGGGTTCTCACATTCCAGGGAAGTGGGCAATCATAACAAACGCCCACAACAGCAGAAGCTTGTGCACTGGCTAGGGGATCTCCGGTATGTGCAGGCCTGTAGGTACGACCATAGGACCCCACTGCCCTGCTACGGGACATCACTTTAAGCTATCCACTGCACTCCTTATGTGAGGATAGGATTACGGAGTACGGAGAACCCGTATGCACTACTGGTACATTAAACCGGTGTTTCCTCAGCGAGGTGCCACGGAGTACTCCATCCGCGTCGAATCTTCCAGGATACATCGAGCACATCCCACCTAAGCACAAGAGTGTCGAGTCACCTGATCTGATGGTCTCAGACATTACTGTGAACCGATTAGCGTGAGTATTTTTAACTGTCAAGACAGTTCTGTTTCAATCGCGCCCAGAAACTCTGGTACCTGCACATGCACCAACGGGTCACATTTGCCAGATCATTCGCCAAATCTGACGCCAAAGTCACCCCTAAATCTCTCAGGAAGTTCGCACATCCAGGGCCAATCATCGACTCCCACATGGACGGCTGTACCCGATGAGGATGTGAGAGATTGATTGCTCTGCAGGGCTCGGAACGGTCTGCAAACAGGGTCAGCAGTGCAAACCCTATAAACAGTGCAAACCATGCAAATAATGCTACGCAGACAAAAGGTGCAAACATGCAAACAGAACAAAGAAAGTGCAATCTTGGAACAACCATAATCCGAAGTCCAGACCTCAGCTGGGCACCCGTCCGACTCCACTGCGACTGGCCTCGTAGTTCCATTCGATCCCAGCCCTCACATCATGTAAGGTAAGGCTTGGGATGAAACACTTGGGATATTAAAAAGGATCTCAGATCTCGCGGTTTGACTTATTCTTAATTTTGATCGAAATTGTCCTGCCTATTAGCTGAATTGCGAAGTTCTCGTACCTGAGACTACCCCGTATTACCCGTGGAACCATTAGAAAGGCTGTGTGCCTGGACTTCCCGTGGCTTTGGCCCCCCGTTCTCCTCTTTCTTCTCAACTTCCTCTTTACACCCAACTTCACACTGCTTTCATCGTTGGTTCGTGTTTGATTACGCGTTAGGTGACTGGTCTTTCGAGAAAGATGAGCCCTTGACCACTGACACATACCCCCCCGACACTCGTTTCCAATCCTTGGCTTGTTTATGATTACTTACGCTCACGACTTGACGCCGATCGAGCATTACTCTCTTTTTTTGTGAATCCTTTCTACCGCACATTCCTTCGCCGTTGACCGGCTTTGTTGATACCAATCGCCCATCATGCTTCTCGAACCTATCGATTCCGCCTTCTCCCCCGCCCGCTCCCTATTCAAGCGCTGCAAGCAGTGCGACACCTCCTCCCCGGCCTGTCCCTCATGTGACGATGGCTACACATGTACTATGAGTGCGCAGACTTGCGACTCTTGCGCCACAACAAAATGCGTCTCAATGGGCGGCTCTAAGCCACCCGACTCCGGGGGTAGTAACGCGGGGGCTATTGCAGGTGGCGTCATCGGTGGTGTAGCCGCCATTGCGATCATCGTGTTTTTGATCTGGTGGTTCGTCATCCGTAAGAAGCGCCTGGAGCGCCAGGAGGCGGAGAAGAATGGCTCCTTCACGGCCGCTCGCAGTGAACGCCAGTCCATCGCCTCCACCGTTCTCACCCGTGCTTCCAACGTCATCCAAATCGCCTACATTCCCGGTGTCACCAATCGCTCCCCACCAACGACACCGGCCTCTCTCGTCCCGCCTGTTCCCCCTCTTCCCGGTGCCTCGCCCGACCAACACTTCTTCATGCCCGGTGATCTGCGTGACTCTTCATGGACCACCACGACTGGCCACCAGAGTATCTCGCCCACCCTGCGCAGCAGTGTCGCAACCACCATCTACCGCAATGACGCCATTGTCAGCGCCGTTCCCGCTCAGCAAATCCAACGCTCTCGCGCCGCCGTGGTCAGCATCCACAATGGAGGCTCAGGGGGTAACACACCCGGTGATGACTCTCCTGTCGCTGTTACAGTCACACCTGCGGATGCACCTGCCGTTCCAGCCATTACGCCAGCGCAACTTGCCCGGGCAGAGGCCGTCAAGGGTAACAGCTCTTGTGTGGCTCGCAGCGTAACCGCTCGACCAGTCATGGTCCGCGGACCCTCCCTGAAGAAGAACCAGGACAAACCACCCAGTCGAATCGAAGAAGTCTCAGAGAACAGCAAAAGCAACGACACCAGTCGAGCCGTATCCACCACCAGCGATTTCAATCACGACATCTCCACCTTCGACGGCTCTTCCTCAGATGAGGAAGACCAACCATACCCCTCCTCAACCGCCAATCTTGAAACAGGATCCTCACAGCGTCATGTCGACCGAACATCCGGTCTCAGTGATGGACGAAGCTCAACTCGGACGCCACCGGCCCGAGTAGAAAGTCCATTCTCGGATGCTAACGAGGTTAAATGAGCTTGTGTCGATTTTCCTTTTTTTGCTTACTTCTTTGTATGTATGCGGCCAACGGCTTGTTACTACCTTTTGATATCATTGGATGCCTTGTACAGCGAGTGTTGGCATACCAAACTTCAGTTGAATCTATACTCTCTTTCATTGTGATTTGAACCCTGTCTGGATCTTATAAGTTATATAATGTAATAGTTCATCCAAGTTGTTGTCCATGGATTTATGCCACTGTAGTTGTACCTACTTATGTAGGTACCTAGGTACGTAGGTACAGAATCTGGGATCTCTGATGTCCAACTGGGCATATGTCTACCTAAGGTATATATCTCTCCTGGGCTACATGTGGACGGAGTACTAGTACTCCACCTGCATGCTGTAGATCATGTATATAATGGATGTGTCAACGGTGATCCTTCTCCACTTATTGAGTATGAGAACCGTGGAACATCCCTCGATATGTAGTCCACCACACCGACACCTGGATCTTGAACCAGATGTGATACCGTAGACTCATGTACACAAGACCCGGACCAAGACAAGTTTCCAAAATCCAACACAAACCTGCCATGGACAAGCTTTACATAAATATCTATCTCGGGTATCTATCAGGTAGCTACAAGCTCTCCTCCAAGCCCATCCCACGCCCAATCTTCCGAATCAAAGCCCTCTTCAACAACGCCTCTCTCGCCAGACTACGCGTATGCTTAGACCAAGAATCAACACCAATGACACCCTTCACCAACGCAGCCTGCAGCGCATAAAGAGCCTGCTGGATCCCCTGTTCCTCGGCAACAAGATCATACAGCTGCTTACCTACGATCGTAGGCGCGACCAGGACGTCATCAATGGGTGGTAGGTCTGGGGGTGCATCGGCGATGGTTGCGTCTGCACGCTGGATAGATTGCTGAAGAACGGCGGTGTTGGATTGGAGGGTTGCGTGTAGGGAGTTGAGGGTCGAGATCTCTCCTTGGAGGGTTGCTAGGGCTGAATGCAGGGATCGGGACTGCGAGGCCAGAGATTGGGCTGCTGTGTCTGATTGGGTTGCGTTGAGCTGGAGGGTTTCTGCTAGAGAGTGGGAGACGGCTCGGAGGAGGGTGTCTTTCTCCGGGTTTGGTGGGATTGGAGGGGCAGGACCGGAGATTGAGGGTAGCTCCACTTCGAATGGGGAGGTGAGAAGATCGGGTGCTTCGGCGTGGGGGGCTGGGATAGGGCGTGGGTGGTTGGTTGGGTGGGTGGGATGCTGGGGTTGTGGAGGTCCAGGAGGTTGCTGGGTCTGATAGTGAGCTGGCAGAGGAGCCGGCTGTGGTTGAGGGAAATGCGGCTGGGGAGGAATTGGGGCTCCATTTCTATAGTATGGCCCCGGATGTGATATTGCCTGCTGAGTCGGTGGCTGGGACAGTGGACTGCCTATCGGGCCTCCATGGCCTGGAGGTGCATGATACTGGGGTGATCGGACACCATGGGGTGGTATTGGTGAAGTGATCGGGGTCGATGCATGGCGAAGGCCTTGCTCCTTGGGTGGGAGTGGAGGCAAGGAAGATCGGCCAGCTGGCAATGGTTGGCGGTTCTCACTCGCGCCTGGTTTTGGTGGTGGTGGGGGCGGTACTTGACTTGCGGGTTGTGCAGGTACTTGAGTTTGTGTCTGTGAAGCTCCTACGCCAGGCGGAAGGGGAGGTAATGGCGGCGGTGTTGGAGCGTGCTCCGCTTGGGACTGAGCTTGAGGCACTTGCTGTCGGTATCGCACAGGCGGCTCCTTGGCAAATATATCTTGTAGAATTGATAAAAGATCTGTGATTGTAGATCGCTGGCGACATCGATGTTAGCAGTCGATCAGGCACTATCATGATACACTCACATCCCAGGCTTCAGCCCAGTGTGCCAAGTAATGATGGTACACCTGGCCCTCCAGCGTTACATGTTGTCCGACTCGGACAGTCATCTCCTGTGTTGGGGTCACGTAGGCAATTGGGGGCTCGCGCGGGTACGTATTGGGGATCCAAAGCGCAATCGGGAATCGGTATGTTGTCCCCCGGAAGTTGACAGGCAACGTGCCCACAAGGTGCAGAAGAAGGGCCGAGAAGCCGGTCTCATAGGCTAGAGCACGCGTTAGAGAGGAAAATAATCCAGAGAGATAGGACTCACTATACACATCTGTCCTCGGGGAGAGCGAGGGGTATTGAGCGAGCGCGTTGGCAACATCGTGGTAGGTCCGATTTGGGTCGTGATAAGTCTGTTTGGGATCATAGTGATCCTGTAATTATTAGTCGCAATATCCACAATGTGTATGTGAGTGTCTACCTTAGTGAGGACACTGTAGAGCCAGGTCAGTGTCCTTTGAGGCACGGCCATGGTTGATGGTTGAGTCGCGACGTTCTTCCCCGCAGCTTAGCAGCTTAGCTCCCACGTCTACTCTACTCCGCCGTCTGCGCATCAAGCACCACATTCTACTCCCCGAGACTTGATCTTTGCGTTGATGCATGAAATTGAAATTTCAATATCCTGATGATTAAACATTAACAATTGACCGATCTCCAGGCTTCCAGTGACTTTTTCTGATCGGCAAGGCTAATACCTGCTCATCTCAGGGGCCCAGACCCAGTCGCCTCGAGGTGAGATGATATGAATCAGAGACAGAGACAGAGACATCATAGCCACGGCAGATGGCACGTCCCATGAAATCTGGGCTCAACCATTCTGGTGATGGCCCCCTCGGTGTGATATTGGCTGCATTGGACCTCAATCCTTCCAGGTCAAGACAAAGAAAACCAACCTTGGTCCCTCGACGATCTCATCCGTGTATCCAATCGAGTGAATGCAACGCATTGACGTGAATGATCTCATGCGAGGGTGTTCATATAGCTGAACCCTTTGTCTCGCTTCATATTGTTCTCGCATTCCCTTAGTATTGTTCTTATTCTTGTCGCTCCACCGACCACCTCGAATGCGTTTGGACTTTCACAATGTTGAGCCCTCATCATGATCGAGATGCATTCATATACCCTTTCTCACATTGTCTGTTTCGGCTCCGCTGAATCTATACATTCACCCTGATTCTCTATATTCTTTATACTGAGCTCTGGAGCTATATCTTCGACCCCTGTCATGTATATCCCTGTCATCTTGACATGATCAGAGAACCAACTTCTTTTACGCTCCTTGGCAAATACCACAGCGAACATCATGGCGTCTTACACTCCAATCGACCCATACAACCAAAATGTCACGTTTCAGCACCGAACTGGCTATCCTATCGAAGTCTCCATGCCAATGGTGAATGTCTTCATCGCGTACAACGTTCGCGTCTGCATCAACTATGGGGTTCAACTTGGAGCGACACTGGTTTTGCTGGTGATTCTTCTACTTCTGACCCATGCCGACAAGCGACGTTCGGCTGTGTTCATCTTGAACGGCCTGGCGCTCTTCTTCAATGCCATTCGCTTGCTCTTCCAAGTGATGCATTTCGAGACAAAATTCGAAAGACTATACGAGTATTTCTCCGGTGACTACACGGCCGTGCCATTCAGTGCATATGCAATCTCCATCACCGCCACGGTCTTCTTGACATTGGTCATAGTCTGTATCGAAGCATCGCTGGTGCTTCAGCTCAATGTCGTTTGCTCTACGCTGCGCCGGCGATACAGACGTCCTTTGCTAGCACTATCTGGTCTCGTTGCCCTGGTTCCAATCGTCTTCCGTTTCTGGATGATGGTTCAAAACTGCAAGCTGATTATCACACTCGACTACATGGCTCCCCTTTGGTGGGTGGAAAGCGCAACCAACATCAGCATCACTGTCAGCATCTGCTTCTTCTGCGTCGTCTTCGTCGTCAAGCTCGGATTCGCCATCAACCAACGGCGCCGACTTGGAGTCCGAGAATTCGGTCCCATGAAAGTCATCTTCGTCATGGGCTGCCAAACCATGATCGCCCCTGCCATCTTCTCAATCACCCAGTACTACATCATCATTCCGGAGTTGAACTCCAACGTCGTGACCCTGGTCGTGATTTCACTCCCTCTCTCCTCGATCTGGGCCGGTGCTGCCCTCGAAAACTCACGGGGCCTTCGCAGTCGAGACAAGAATAGGCGCAACTTCTGGCGCTCACTTGCCGGTGGTGCGGATAACTCTGAGATCCGAACTAAGGATAGCCCAACTAGCCTCTCGTCAATGGGTGCCGCCCAGACCCTTTGCTACTCGGATCGTACTTCGACGACGACCAAGGGCTCACCGACCTCGCGTGACACAGACGCGTTCTACGGAATCTCAGTGGAGCATGACATTTCAGTTGATCGAGCTCAACGAAAGCATTCAATGGTGTAATGCAGTGGACGAAGCTTCAGGATGGAATCATGGTATCTGAGGCCATGTCTTCCGTTTGTTTGTATGGGTATGGCTGGAAACTACCTCAGGATAATCAATTCTCAAGATTGCATGTACAGTCTCTTTTCTCAAATGTTTCTACATTTTCTTCATTAATTATTCGGCTATTTTTTGCTATTCTGCGACAGCAAGAGGCTTTTTGTTTTCGGTGGCACCTAGGCACCATAAAATCGATTCTTAATCTCACATCGAATGGGTACCCCTGTATAGTTGTAGCCTCCAGTGACTTCCAACATTTCAGCTCGCGTAACAGTTACCTACTACCTAGGTAGGTAAGTGGCTGGTTTATACATACTGATCATCCAGATAGGAATACTTGCTGGGGGAATTGGATTCCAGAATCCGTGGATAGAAGATCAAGCTCATCAAGGGTATAACGATACAAGAATTGAGACATCGGGACATGAGTTGCAAAGTAGTGGCTGATCAAGTTGAGTAGACGAGAGCGGGATTAACCAGTTAGAAACAAAAATTATTTACAAAACGCTCTATGTATAGAACCACGATTGCGCCAAAGCCAAAATTAATCATACCCCATGCTAATTCAACTGCACGTAGTTGGCTATCGATATGTTAGCAATGTGCGTCAACTAGCAGAAACCGAAAAAGTACTTACCAGGGAACTGTCCCTCGCGACCAGCGACCCGTCCGGACCACCATTCATTAGTGTTATCAGTGCGCTGGACAATCTCAATGACATCTCCAGCGGAGAAGCCAAGATCACCATGCGCCTGAGCCTCGTAGTCGTAGAGAGCGGTGACGGTCTCCACCTGCTTGTTACTGAGATGGGAAGGCTTCGCCCTCGGAGGAGGAGGGGCAGGCTTGCTCTTAGCAGCGGAGGAGAAGTTGCTGCCTGTTGGGCTAGGGCTGACACCGGCAGAAGAGTAAGGCGGGGGAGGGTTGTCTTCCGTCGCTGTTGAGCTCGAACGGCCACGACCGATGGAGCCCTTGCTGTCGGAACCCTTGCCCGGGGGTCCAAGTTTCGACCCGGAACGACCGAGCCCCTTGGTCTTAAAGTGGACGATTGTGAGAGCCTCCGCCTGTTCCTGGATATTTCCGCGCTTCTGCTCGAAAGCCTCTTCGACATCGAGCTGTAGGTTGAAGTAGCTAATGTTCATGCCCTGCATGCGTTCGTGGAGGGTGTAGAACACGTTGAGTTGCATATAGTAGAAGGACTGGAAGAGGGGGCGAATGAACTCGGCTTCGAGAGCGAACAGCTTGGGCAGCTCATCCTTCAGCAGATCGTTGTAGTAGTTGAATTCCTGCGTCGCTTGCTCGACGTCATTCTCGGCCTTGTACATAGCCTTCTCGTCCTTCAGCGCCTTGTCCTTTTTCTCCTGGAGTTTCTTGAATGTCGCATTGCGACGATCGAAGTCAAGTTTTTTGTGGTCTCGCTTCACGGCAACCTTGCGGATGACCTTGATCACCTCGAGCAACTGATCCGCAGGGCTGATGATACGGCTGTCAATCATCTCTAGCTCGGGGGCCAGGGCCTCCTGTAATTCTCGCACAATGACTTCATATTCTTCACAGGCCTGAATGCCCTCTGCGTTTCCTTCGAATTGGTAGGAGGTGGGGTCGGAGGCGCGACCGGAGATAGGCTTGTAGATTTCGGCGACCGCTTTGGAGAATTCGATCTGGTGGCTTAGCATGCCTGCGACGCGTTAGTGGCGGAGACATTGTGGTGATATTTTTTCTGCCCTACCATTAATAGCGGCGAAGTATTTCTTGGACTCATCGTGGAGTTTCTTGGTTTCCTTCTCCAGCTCGTCGAAGCGACGTTCGGCATCGGTATAGACGGCGTCCTTGGTGTGTTCACCGAGATTGAACTTGACCTTGAACTGCTGTGGCGCACGCGCAATGCTCTTCTGGAAGCCTTTGAAACTCATGTCGGATCTTCCGGAATGGGGTCTTAGGGGGAAGAGGAACCAGGAGAAAGTGAAGAGAGAGAAGAGAGACTAGGAAGAGCGTAGTTGCCAAGGCGGGGGGGGGTTTTCACCACCCAACTTCCGATATCCAACTATGACATAAGACTTTGGCCAAATACGACGGTGTGGCTGTGCTGGCCTCTGCTGAACTAGTCTGACTAGTTCACCTGTGCAACTTGGTTCAATTGCGCCCTATGGAATCTACGGGATTTTGTGGCGCAGATGCTCAGGCACCAGCATTCCTGTGGAGAGATCCTTGCCCAGGTGATCGGATCCTAGCCTTACCCGGCGATCCTGTTAGCCCTAACTTCCCCTATTGTACGGAGTATACTCCACAAGTCCCTTTCATCCGTTCTTGAACATCTTTTTGGAGAGTCCTTTCTCGAAATCAAAGCCACAGAAATTTCATTCTTTAAACATTCTCACACACTAACACGAGAGACCGCTAGAGAACACTGGCGTCAACCTCAATACACATCTCAATCTGAACAAAAAAGCAGCAACTTCACAGACTATGACCAGCGGAAAAAAAGTCTAACCCTCAGGTCTCAGAAAGCTTCTCAAAATTGAATCACTCCTGCATCTCCTGTAAACGCGATGCAACTCCATCCTTCTCCGTCTCAACTGCAGCATATTCACTGGACAAAGCACCAGAGGCAGTTCCATTCTGGGCCAGCGCCACAAGGTCCAGAACCTGATCATCCGACAACTTGGTCAGATCATACATGTGTCCATCGTCAAGAATGAGCTGGGAAGGCTGCACAGTCTCAGTGCAGGTCTCATCCGCAGTCTGGTTTCCAGCAGAGGAAATGCCAGCAGTCCGAGCTAGCCGAGCCCAGCTAACACCTGCGTATTGAAGGTCGATTTTTGGACCCATACAGAGCTTGCCCGAGGCTCCGATGGTGGCTTGCTTGGTGAGACTTCCGCAGATGTTGTTGGGGCGGGTTTGCTGGTACGCAAAGACTTTGGCTCCCCTGGGCATGCTGGCATACTGCACTGAGCGGGCGCCTCGGACATCTGGCTCGGTGCGGAGGGCACTAGCGCATTGACGGGCGCTGATTCCAGGGTACGCCAGGTGACCGCCATTGCAGCCCTTGGTCCAGTACGTTCTGATGTCGGCAGCCGAGGCCAGGGAGGTGAGGCAGAGGACGGCGATAACGCTGAACTTCATGTTGGCGATAATGTTGGGGGATTTTGGAGTTTAGAAGAAGATATATTTTCAGGTGTGCTTGTTCCGCGCACTGTGATGTTCACTGTTGTTCTTTGGGATTACTCGAAGATATCAGGCCCAATTTATATCTTGAACGATGCCTCGCTCTGCCTCCCGAGCTGAGACATGTTGGGGTGATCATGTCAAAGAACGGCATACAGTCTTCCATCCCGGAGTGTGGTTGCAGTACAAGCAACTAATCACCATCAATCATCCTTTGATCTCTTGGTCACCAAGCCTGGAGAGAAAACCGCGTTTCGTGCCAAGCGTTGGGGCCATGCCAAAATGCCCCTAGCCTCAGGCCCACGTTGGACGCCTATCACTGACTGGCGAGGTAGCGATCTCAGCATTTACGCATGTGCGAATGAACGGTTAGGCTCTGCAAGTGACTAACCAAATTGGTCCAAGGCATATGTCTATCTCTAAATTCTCACTGCAGAAGCGTGGGGAATCCGTCAAAATAGGCTCCACATGATGTGCGTGGAATCCCAGGGGCTGGACGCCTGAGGTCTAACCATAACTATAGAAATGGGACGGGGCAAAAAATCGTTGGTCTTGAGCTGAGGATCTAAAATTATCATCGTTCGCCGAACTTCTTCGAACACCGCCGAAAGTCATTCTTGTAATACTGCAATTCGTAGAAAAGTTCGTGGATCTACATTCTGAGGCTGTAGGCCACCAGCTTATCCAGCCATCCAGGGATCTGCACCGATGTAACTGTCTGTATTCCCCAGCAAGCATTCCAAGATTGACTGATCATCCCTTACAGCCCACCTACTGGCGTATGTAAAAGTCTCAAAATAGATACTTCATATTGCAGACCTTGAGAGGCGAGGGTTTCCCAATGATGCTGTCGACGCATAACCATGCTCCGATATCCCGAGGTCTGCAATATAGCGGGTGCAATGACTAGCAGGAGGAGAGCACCTGACAGTTCTGGAACCTTGAGGCTCTGCAATTATATCGGTCTTATGATGCAAAATACTAGGTCTCCAAGATCTGTGAACAATCCAAGTCATTTGCGCCCCGAAATCGGTTGTCTAAGTCAACCGCAGGGAAGCATCTCTCAGAGTGGACTAACTGACTACAACCTTGAAGTCCAAAACATGACATTTGAAGGCCACTCAGAGAAAGTCCCTACCTATGTACAAGTTACCAGACACAAGGTGCTCAATACTCCGTAGAATCGATTTCCTGCCAACTCCCTGCTTCCGCCCTGAACTCATGGCAACTGCCAGGCGAAACCTGATGCGTACGAAAACTTGCATCTACTAGAAAGAGCAGTGCTGATGATTGATGGCAATCTAAACGTTTCATGTGAGTTTTATTTCTATTTGTGATGAGATTGACACACTGATGGTTTTCACAGCCTGGGATGTAGTTTTCACAAGTCAAACGAGAGCGGTTATGGCCGCGTGTATAGTTTTTATAAATATAAAGAAGCAGTATTGTGATATTTCAGCTTCTAAAACAACTATATTTGACCTGCTCAGGATCTTAGCCTTATAACTGAAGCTGGATAAGGGAAGATGTTGATAACCAGGCAGCAACTGAGGCCTGTAGTTCCCAGGATTCATCTCAAAAGATCAAAATAAAAAGAATGAAAGAGAACTAAGCGATTGTAGACAACCAGAGCTTTAAATATCCAGTAACATATTGAAATGATGTTCGGAGTACCTGACGGAAAAGTCATGAAGTTCGGAGAAGCTTAGTTCGGCCGCAGGAAGCTCCGAACCGGAAAATCCCGATTTGGAATAAGCCGAGATCTTTGTCATTTGAGGAGACGATAACAAAATGTCGGGGTCATTTCCAATCCTTCTTCATCCCACTTTTATGGTATCGCAGCACATTCCATCACCATGATGACAAGTGCTGCTCCTACTGCTTGGAGACAGGCCTCTGCCTTCTCCAGGCGCTTTGCCACCTACAGTTCCCGCGTTCCCCGGGTCGCCACCGGTCTGCGCGCCCGCTCATATGTCACCGAGACCAAGGCCGGCCAAGCTCAGGTCAATGTCGATGCCGCCATCAAGGAGGAACAAAAGTCTTTCATGAAGCAGGCTGGTATGGCGCCTGCGGGCGTCAACCTGCCTGGCTCCGCAACCTCCGGAGACACCGCGATGAGTCCCACCGCCGGCATTCTGAAGCAGGCCACCGTTATGGACCAGGGCACCCGGCCAATCTATCTCGACATGCAAGCCACCACCCCTCTGGACCCCCGAGTCCTCGATAAAATGCTTCCTTACCTCACCGGTATCTACGGCAACCCCCACTCGCGCACACACGCCTACGGATGGGAGTCGGAAAAGGGCGTCGAAGAGGCCCGTGACCACATCGCCAAGCTGATCGGAGCTGACCCTAAGGAAATTATCTTCACCAGCGGTGCCACAGAGAGCAACAACATGAGCCTGAAGGGTGTTGCGCGATTCTTTGGTCGCTCCGGAAAGAAGAACCACATCATCACCACCCAGACCGAGCACAAGTGTGTCCTGGACAGCTGCCGACACTTGCAGGATGAGGGTTTCGAGGTGACCTACTTGCCCGTTCAGAACAATGGTTTGATCCGCATGTCCGACCTCGAAGCCGCTATGCGCCCTGAGACTTGCATCGTCAGTGTCATGGCCGTCAACAACGAGATTGGTGTGATTCAGCCCCTGGAGGAAATTGGCCGTCTCTGTCGATCCAAGAAGGTCTTCTTCCACACCGACGCTGCGCAGGCCGTTGGAAAGATCCCACTGGACGTCAACAAGCTGAACATCGACCTGATGTCCATTTCCAGCCACAAGATCTACGGTCCCAAGGGTATTGGTGCTTGCTTTGTCCGTCGCCGCCCACGTGTTCGTCTTGACCCTCTCATCACCGGAGGTGGCCAGGAAAGAGGTCTGCGTAGTGGAACTCTTGCCCCACACTTGATCGTTGGCTTCGGTGAGGCTTGTCGTCTTGCTACTACCGACATGGAGGTAAGAATTCCCCCCTCGAACCTTTTCTACTTGTCTTTGCCGCGATGATTATATACTGCGAAAATTCTATGGAGTTGTCTGGGTGGTAGCTCCGTGTCCTTTGGACATGGTACTCGGCTTCCATGATGTCGACTGCAGGGGTGATGAGCGAGCCGATGATTATGTTTTTGAAAACATCAAGAGATAACATGCTAACCTGAACTCTTAGTACGATACTAAGCACATCGAACGTCTCTCCAAGCGCCTGAGCGAAGGTCTCCTCGCCATGGAGCACACCACACTGAATGGTGACCCCAAGGCCCACTACCCCGGTTGCGTGAACATCTCTTTCGCCTATATTGAGGGAGAATCTCTCCTCATGGCCCTCAAGGACATTGCTCTGTCCTCTGGCAGTGCTTGCACCTCCGCCTCTCTGGAGCCTTCCTACGTGCTGCGCGCACTCGGCAGCAGTGATGAGAGCGCCCACAGCAGTATTCGATTCGGTATTGGTCGCTTCACCTCCGATGAGGAGATTGATTACGTTCTTAAGGCTGTCCAGGCCCGTGTGTCTTTCCTGCGTGAGCTGAGCCCGCTTTGGGAGTTGGTGCAGGAGGGCATCGACCTGAACACGATTGAGTGGAGCCAGCACTGATTTTTATTAATTGAGAAAAGTGGGACGGCGTTGACGTGTAACAACATTACTAGTATGTACAGACTGAGAATAATCTACTCTCAAATGAACTCTCTTTCATCTCGACCTTTGCGAATATGCCTGTGATCCACCTCGAAACTCAACTCTGAAGCCATGCAATCAAGCATCTAGCCCCATTACAGTCGCGCATTGATACCACAGATGATACTTGATCACAACGTGTTTTTCAGACAGTATCTCCGAACCCCCTTATTCTACATAATCATGGAGGAAGGCCTCAGAGGTCGTTGTCTGGAAAATAGACATATTGGGTCTATAACAAACAAACGCAAGGCACATGAGTAGGTGAGTTAAATCCAGCCAGTGCATAGCTGGGCACAAGACAACAATGGAGGGGAGAGTTCGAACCTCGCAAGGCAAAGCTTACCAGGTACAAAAGTAATGATCTCCACAAGACCAGTCGCATGATGCCGGGTCTGCCTTCCATGATTGTTATTCAATTGCTCAAAGAGAAATGTTGCCAAATACTCAATTTGCTGTAACACCGTCGAGTCACCCAAAATAGCTCTAGACCTCACGCGTCTGCCTCTGAGTGCTCGGGAGGTGTCGGCTGGATGGGTGCAGTATGTTCATCGAGAAGGAAATGAGCTATAACCAGCCCTGGAGCGCTGACGATTCCGAACGGAAGCCCGCGGGCTGATAACCTTGGAAGAATCGAGAGCAAAACATCAAACAACGTAGGTAGTACTGAGCATGAGACCAACCTTGGAAACGAGGAATTCAAACCTTGGAACATAACACTCACAATTCTCGTACTTTTTAAAACGTTCCTCCAGGTGTTTACCTGCCGAGTGGCTGTTCACGGGGAGATGTCTATACAAGCAAAACTACTTTAAGGTGAAGGTCAACCCTGAAAACTCTGGAACGCCAAAGATGCATTTTCCGTTCCTGGAAAGTCTGCTCTGGGCAAATGCGACTGCTGGCATACGCTCACCTCCAGAACTCCAGGTGGTGACATCCAGCGGCATCATCAATGGCAAATACAACAACACCGCCGAGACTGTTCGCGGCTTCATTGGTATCCCATACGCAGAGCCGCCAGTTGGAAGCCTACGATGGGCACCGCCAATTCCCAAGGTATCCCAGGACTTGATTGATGCCTCTTCCTTTAGCAATCCCTGTGCTCAGGTCTACCTATACTCCAAGCAGTCGATCTACACTGTGCTACCGTACAAGATATGGAATTCGGCAAACATGTCTGAAGACTGTCTTTACATGAACATCTGGGCTCCCTCTATTAGACACAAGCAACGGAACAAAGGAAAGAAAGCAGCAGTTATGATGTTCATTTATGGCGGAAGCTTTTTTTCAGGATCTGGATCGGTCGGTTACTATGATGGGAGCTACTTGGTGCAAGACAATGAGGATATCATTGTTGTGACGTTCAAGTAAGCATTTGCTCGGTCTGAAATTCATTATTCTGATCAAGAATGCACAGTTACCGATTGACTGTCTTCGGCTATCCCAATTCACCGGGCTTGGATCCCAAAAAGCAGAACCTTGGATTGATGGACCAGGTCAGTATGTCACTTTGTCAAAGGGAGGCGAGCTGAACTTTCTAGCGACTGGCAATCGAATGGGTCTACAAGAACATTGCTCAATTCGGCGGTGACCCAGACAAGATCCTTCTTTTTGGTCAATCTGCCGGTGCTTCTTCGGCGGACCTCTACTCTTATGCGGCAAGCAGACACCGTAGTGACCATACCCTCATTTACTCCCACTGACTTTGGTATGACAGTATCACAGGGATCCCCTCGTGAGCGCAATCGCCCTTCACTCAGGAACTGCTCCGTTACTTGTCACTCCCGCGAACCGCGAAAACTGGAATAATCTATCCACCGATCTTGGGTGCGGCGCCGGGGCGGACTCTCTCGACTGTATGCGCCAAGTGTCTCAATCGAAGATCCTGGAAGCACGAGCCCGTGGAAACTACACCTTTTACCCGGTTCTGGACGATGTGCTTGTTTTTTCCGATTACGCTGCCAGGGCCAGGAGAGGCCAACTAGCACGTCTGGTAAGCATGGCAATCAGGAATCTCCTCGCGGGACTGACGAAACGTGCAATACCAGCCAACACTAGCTGGAATGAACGAGCGTGAATACACGGCTTTTTTCCCATTGAATCAAACCTCGGTCAACATGACGGAGATCTACGAGGCTGGGCAAAAAAGATACAATTGTCCTCTGCGAGAGGCAGTGAGGTTAGCTTCTGTTGCATACCGGATTGAGCGCGGAGTAGCCTGACATCGAAGTAGAATCCGAGTCGAGAATCACATCCCCACATGGAGGTATCTGTATCACGGCAACTTCAGCAGTCTCAGTCCAACCACCTGGATTGGAGCATATCACGGGGGTAATTCCTGAAAATGAGCAGCCTGTATCTCGACTAACGATCGAGTAGCCGAGATACCGATGATTTTCGGGACCTATAATGTGTCGACGGTATACCCTGCCTCGAGTATAGAAGCCAAGGCTAGCAAATACATCCAAGGTATGTGCTGCGGAGTGAGCAGTGTATCAATTTGACCGTGTACAGGGGCTTGGGTTGCCTTTGCGAAGGATCCCTATATGGGACTGACTCGATATGGATGGCCACAATTCCGGTTCAATGGTAGGTTTCCAGGGTTGGTTGTTTGCTCATGGAGTCATGAGACACTGATGGCTTCTAGGACGGACGTTGATCAATATCGCTTTGAACAATTCCATTCCAGCAGTGTTTACCCATCCAATTCGGGATCGGAGTTGTGAGGATGTGGTGCGATCTGAGTTATGAGAGATCTGTTGTCTACATACGGACTACTGGCAAGGTGGATGCCCAGGTGGAACTGAAGAAAGACACGTGATCGAGAGTATTGCCTGACACATCAGGCAACGATGTCCAAATTGGTATTTTTGTTCGAATTTCCGTTTCCAGAGGGTCCCCACAGCGGATTGCTTGCGCAAGCACAAGAAATGCTCTGATCGTGTTCTCACAAAGAGAGGAAGAAATTAGAAAAGTTGGGAATTACGGAGATCAGTATAGTAGATCATTTAGGTATATGGACCCCATCGATGGACGTTGCCCCGGATGGCGGCTGGAGCTGTATGCGGAGCAGAGTGAGTGAAGCGAATTTGAAGCCAAGTTAAGCGAGAGAGAGGGAAAATGGCTCACCCCCTCCTTCTTAGCCCGTGTGCCCGGTGTAAACCGGGAGGGAGGGTCATTTTGTGACACTCAATTTCTGCTCGCTTAACAGGGCCCCACCGAGGGGGTCGTCGCGGATGCACTCAGTGGTCTTGGCACGGAGCGCCAGTGACTGGGGGCCCGTATAAAACGAACCTTGGTCGACAGGCCGTTTCCTTAGTATTCGACTGCTCTGCACTCTATTTCTCGCCCGTTGCACCCTGATCCACTCCTCTAAACTGCCCCCGGTGCTCTCTAAATCTCACTCTCTTCCGTCCTATATCGGAGCCCGCGCTGCTTATCATTACTTTGTCTTCCAGGTTGTTCCGGCTTAGAAATGGCCATTGTCCTTCTAGGGATACCCGGTGAAATTACGTGCTTTACCCGAAAAATCTACGATGTCTCTATGCCAATTGAATTCTATTTATCCGAGTCTCTTCCGTCTCCATCCGTCTTGGGTAGTCCGGTGATTCCTGGACGTTCCTAGACGTTCCTGGTTCTTGTACCTTGTATTCTCCTAATTTTCATCAATTGCGCGGTCTTCCATCATTCCATAGTCGATCTGGATTATCTGGATCGTCTGAATCCTCATCTGAGACTCTGATATTCAAACCCGAGTCTCGGGACTGAAGTCCGGCAGTGCTCATACTTTCCTCATCCCGAGGGGCACGCGACTGGGCAACGGCAGCGGCGACTGCAAATGCGACTACGATAACCGGGAAACCCTCCAAACCACCATGCTGCCGCCAGTGCCATCTCCCGAGGACTACGGGATCACCCCCGGCTATGGCTTCCTCCCCGCAGAGTTGCCCCTGGAGGTCCTCCCAGACCCGTACTACGCCAAATGGGAGAATCTCGTGCAGAACCTCCAGGCGCTGGTCTTGAGCAAAGGCCTGCGGTCGATGGTGGAGCGTCTCCCCATACTCTCCACCTGTCACCTCCAGACCGATGCGGAGTGGCGTCGTGCCTATGTCGTACTTGTATTCATCTTGCATGGCTATGTATGGAGTGGCAACCACCCGGAAGAGGTACTACTTACCCCATCAGTAATCCTGTAGCCCAGTACTAACTCCGCGCAGAGAATCCCGCCTCAGATCACAGTTCCCCTGTTCGAGGTCTGCGAACGACTCGAAGTCCCTCCCGTCGCAACCTATGCAGGGGTGTGTCTTTGGAACTATCGGCCGATCTTCCCCGACGAGCCAGCCGACACCCTGGATAATCTGGCTTGCCTACAGACATTCACCGGGTCTCTAGACGAGCAATGGTTCTACCTGGTCTCCGTTGCCATCGAGGCCCGCGGAGCCGATGCCATCCCCCTCATGCTCCAGGCAATTACAGCAGCCCGCCAAGGCGACAGCCTGACCGTGACCGCGCTCCTACAGCGCCTAGCTCAGACCATCGACGAAACCACCTCCCTGCTGCAGCGTATGTACGACAACTGTGACCCCTACGTCTTCTATAACCGGATCCGCCCATATCTCGCCGGAAGCAAGAACATGTCCGATGCAGGCCTTCCAAACGGCCTCTTATACGACGACGGCCATAATCCAGAATACCGCCAGTACGGCGGCGGCAGCAACGCCCAGAGCTCGCTCATTCAATTCTACGATATTGTGCTTGGCGTTGAACACAGACCCACCGGCACTGGCCGCGAAGACAAAGATAAGCCCGACTCCAGATCACGCAATAACTTCATCCATGAGATGCGCACATACATGCCCGGTCCTCACAGGCGTTTCCTGGAAGACATCGAATCCGTCGCGAACATCAGGACCTTCGTCGAAGCACGTCGATCTAACTCCACCCTCTGCATCGCCTATGACGCATGTCTTGCCATGCTCCGCGTCTTGCGCGATAAGCACATCGCTATGGTATCTCGGTACATCATTATCCCGTCGCGCGCGAAACCGACCACCGGGCGCACGAACCTGGCGACTGCCACGAGCGAGAAGAAGAAAATGCGCGGCACTGGAGGCACCGCGTTGATTCCTTTCCTCAAGCAGGCGAGAGATGAGACTGGCGAGCCTGCTATCGATACATGGGCCCGGAAATTGCTTAGCAGTCCTGCGGATAAGGCTTTCGCATCGCTGAGTAAGGTTGGCGAGCAGCCGGATGGTCATCTTGAAGTTGTTGGGCTCTGTGGTACCTGGACAGCTGAGGAGAGCAAGGGAGGCATTTGCCATTGGTGATTTTGTGGGTTTACTCTTCAGCGATGCATTTTATGCTGGCGTTCGGGTTGCATGTATGATTTATAACTGTAAATAGTTCAAGTTCATGAAGTGCTATGAGTGTTGGGAAGTCAACAAATACGAGTCCGATTATGGTTATACTAGGTCATTGTCCAGCATTTAGGTTTGAAGAACTACATACACTTGCTGTCATGGCCCTTTACTTTAAAGCCTTTGCTTGCCGAATGTGCCCCACGAGTTAAATTGGTCCTAAATGGCATACAATGGAAAGAGTAGACTGGTATCGTTCGCATCTGAGGCATCTGAGGTGATCAGATCCCCGTTGGTCGACCCGGACAGTATGTACACTGTATGTACAGCAGCCACGAATCGTAAGTGCGCTTATCTGCAACGCGTAACATCTGTCAAACGTATGAGATCACTGCAACATGCCATATTCACGATCTGTGAAATTTAGGCGTTGCTGGAATCTTCGAAACTTCCAAGGTGGCTAATGACGCAGCCGTCAGCCCTGCTACATCATATGACGTCATTGATATAGACTTGTTTACACTGGACAACTTATAAGGACCGCGATCTCTTTGTTTACCTTCACTTTCTAACTTGACTACAAATTCACTCTCCTCTTCAACCTCCATACTCTCTCATCTATCACAAATAAACCATCTACCAACAATCTACACTATGTCTGACGGAAACGCTTCCACCGGCCAGTCCTACTTGGACCAAGCCTCTGGCCTCGCCCAGCGTGCCATGGGTACCGTGACTGGCGACTCCTCCACTCAAGTAAGCACCGCTCAAACCTCCCATCTCCAACCCATCTAACAACCCCAGGCCAAGGGCGACGTCAAGAAAGCCGAAGGCGAAGCCAAGAACGACGCATCCCACACAACCGCCAAGCTAGGCCCCATCTCCGCCGACCCCAACACCGGCGCCGTCGCCAAGGACAACGAGAACCGCCCAACAGGCCAGTGGGACCAAACTCTCGGTTCTACCAAGGAGGCCATCGGCAACGTCATTGGCAACGAGAACCTCCGCCGCACTGGTGCTGAGCAGAACGCCGCTGGCAAGGAGCAGGAGGCTAAGGGCCAGCTCAAGGACTGGGGTGAGGGTATCCAGAACCGCGCTCAGGGTGCTCTTGGCTCTGTGGGTGCTGCTGTTAAGGGTGATCGTGAGAAGGAGCAGGAGTACCGCGATCAGCATGATGAGGGCAAGGTGCGCCAGCGTGGTGCCGAGGCCGATATTGTGAAGAAGCAGGGCGAGTAAATTTGCTCTGGGACTTTTCTTTTCATGATTTACGATGGCTTTGCTATGATATCCAATTGAATGTGCTATTTTTACTTTATTTCTTCCTGGGACTTTCTGTTTTTGTAGAGGTAGCTGTAAGAGGATCTGCACTGAGTGCAGAGTTCAATTGATCATGTTTTCTCTGCTCTCACTATTTCGAAAAGAAATGGGTCATGATCTAAAAGCATGCAGAAGTATCTTGTTTACTGAGCTGAGTGCCCATATTTTGAGCTTAATCAAATAACCATGGTTGAAGTATAGTAGCCATGGGTCCATCGGGACAAGGCATCTTGAACGCAAGACCGAGGGGATACCGATAACTCTGGCCGTCATCGATGAGAAAACTGTCGAAGCGAGGTCAGATCAAGGAATAAACCCCGCAGATGATCTGACATGTCGTCTTATCAACCTCGGAACATTGACGGACATCTGATCTGCACCGGACGCAACTCAATCTCCGTCTAGGAACCCAAAAGGAATGTGAAAACCCCGACTTCCCCGCTGAGGATCCGAGGTCGAGACTGAGACATGATCTAGAACCCTGGAAGCGAGCGTCAGATCAAGGCGTCTCTACATGCAGTACCATGCTTGGTATGCAGGCGGGGGCTAAGCATTTGATATACATCTATCTCTGCTCTGCTGATTCCCGTGTCCAATTTCCCGTATACGAATCATGAAACTTACGGCCCTCTTCCTATTCCTCTCAACAGCGTGTGCCGAGCACCAGCACCGCCGCGACACAGCAGGCAATGGCATCGACATTGGCGCCGTCTCCAGCGCATTGTACATCTACACCCTCTCCACAATCACTTCATATTTGCCAATTCCCAATCTAACATGAACCAGAGCCCAAATGACCGCCAACCAAACCGCCAGCGCCAACTTTGGCAACATTTCCTCCCCGCCACGATCCCTCATCGGCGAAATCCTCTCCGTCGTCCCAGTCTCCGTAATCTGGGAACTGATTAACCCAGAGCAGCGCAAATCCCTCGCAAGCCAATTCAACGCCGGCACCACACCAGCCTGGTACGATGCGCTCCCCACCGATGTTAAGAGCTACATGTCTGTCGTGCGCTCGCAGATCTCCGACGGTGCCTTGACAGCCACGACGGGCGCGTATGCCAAAGCGGCATCACCGACGCAGACGCAGACGCAATTGCAGGCTCAAAGCACGTCTGAGACCGGGGCGGATTCCCAGTCTGCGACTTCGACTTCGTCTAGTGCGGCTGCGCCGACGGAATTGACGGTCTCGGTGATGGGGGCGTTGGGTGTGCTGGGGCTTGCGTTGGCTTTGTGATTCCCCATTTTTGTGGAGTCTGATTCGATACAACGGTCATTAGATCAAGTGGGGGCGACGTATACAATCTAGCTACGTCGTACCTAGTATTCTATGGTACCTAGGTAGAGGAGTTGATGAGATATGAGATCTAGAAATTCAGAGATTCCGAAATTTAGCTGTTTGTTGACCTCCACTGGAACCTGTGTCCACTGTGTCCTATATTTCTGTAGATGTAATTTTGCTGTCCCTCAATTTTCCACGGCTTCAATTTGTTGCTTGTCCGCTATTTGCGCAACCTTGGTATCTATCGTATTCTGTGGAGCCTAGGTTACATTAAGCATTTCGAACTTCTTGGAAGCACATGCTCTGCTCGGCCCTGAGCAAGTAAATTAATTAATATATATGCAGGTTCATGACGAGGTGGCAACTATACTAGTATGTATATGTCTCTGCTGCAGGACAGATCCTTCAAGCGAAGGGCCCCGAGAGCACAAACCCAGACTCTACAAGGGGCTAGGCCCAATGGGGCCAAGTGGTTCCCAAAAAAGGGGCCGATCCGCCCAAACCAGTGGATCACTTCCCAAAGGGGAAACGTCTGGGGTGAAACCTGGATGCGGGGAACACCCCGTCGTATGGAACTCGTGTTGGGATTGGATGGGCCATGCTCATTTCTCATGCTTCTCACCATTTCACATGATGAACACCACTTCCTCGGCCAACGGTGACCCGAGAAACCCCCATCTGGTGGTCCTGTGGAAAGCCCCAAAGCTAGCTGTCACGCCAAGGACAGAGACTATGGAAATCAGGGTCTAGATGGGGGGCGAGATAAGTCAATATGGCTTATAAGAGTTGGACGGGGAGAGATCTTCCGCTCTCTACAGTCGAACTTGACAATGCGTTTCTTCCACGTCCTCCCTTTGCTTCTGGCTCCCTTGGCCCTGGCTGCCCCCGAGCCTAGACCTAATCCTGTCGCTGCACCGGCACCGGCCGCGACGGGTGGGCTACTGGAGGAATTGCCCGATATCTTGGGCGGCGTCCAGGGTCTCTTGACCAAGGATAATATCAACAAGTTGGACACCATTCTCGATGGCGCGGCCAAGCTGCTGAAGTCCGATAATATCGATATCTTGCAGGATATCCTGAACAACGCCCATTCCTTGTTGACCAAGAGCTTTGTCGATAACACGACTACTCTCATCGGGGATGCGACGCCGGTATGTGATCAATTCCTTTCCTTGTCCTTGACAAATTCACTGACAAGCTATAGCTGGTGGAGGACGTCTCCAAGCTTCTGGGTGGAATTTTGGGATCATTGTGAGGACTAGAAGGGACGAATCATGACTATCATTCTTATTTTAAACGGCCCTTTTCGTTGGGAAATACACGATCAATGACAGTTTCACAATTAAAGAAAAAAAAAATAAAGATTAAGAGAATTCAATATCAAATTCCCAGAGCTCAAAAGCTAGCAAAAACATATCTCGTAACGGGTATATACAGAAAAGAATCAAATCACATTCAACTGCTTCTTCAGACGATCCTGATAGAATCGGTAGGGATATGCCCTCCATTTACGAGGCATTGCAGGATAAACAGCCACCGAGAGACCCATATAAGTGCGATACAGCGTCCGCGTCGACACCGTGGAACGCAATCCATACGCATCTCGCAGTTGCGGTGGGAGCATCTCAATCATCGCCACCCGCAAGAACGGCTTCATAGACTGCACCCAGCGCGGCATCTCCGTACTCTCTCTGAGATCCTTTGCGAACTCCGCCGCGTCCGACGAGACAGTCAGCTGCGACACCTGATCGTCCCAATACGACCAGAACTCCTCCCGGGAGGCGGGCCATGTCCCAGATGGCACGCCCAGGCAGTACATCAGCAGAGTGAACTCGCTGTATGCGCGCTGGGCAGTGGCGTAGTCAACGCGGCCGTAGACGCGCTGGTAGACATCTGTCGTGGTGACGTAGAGGGTTGCCGCCATCCAGAGCTGCTGGGAGGGATGAGCTGTGAACCGAGCGGAATGGCCATCGCCCAGGAGTGGTCGCTCGCCACTTTGCAATAGGTCCAGGAGGGTCTTGCGCTCGGCGCGAGTGCCAAATACCAGACAGGAGATGTAGCTGATGTGGCATTGCATTACCTCGATGAGCTCGGTCGCGAGCTCCTTCGGGCCACCTGTTGTTCCATCGCGGATTCCAGGTAGCGCGGCTTGGAGAAGAAGGGCGGCGCCTGCGCCGGCGAAGATAATGCCCTCCTGGAGCATTTTGGGGATGATCTCGAGTTGCTCCAGGGCGTGGAGACGACCCGAGTCGGAATGAGAAGGGGCTGCCTCTGCATTTGTGACTGGCAGAGCGCCAAATTGTTTTTCATCTACAGTTGAGACCGGTGAAATAGAAGACATGGTGAGTTTGGGGCATCAGGTGAAGCCAGGGAGGTGAGGATTAATATTGACCGCGCTCCCCAACTGGCCTCAGTGATTTGCGCCCCCGCAAAGTTGCAAAGCCAAGTTTTGGAGTCCGCAATGATAGGACGATCATCTCGGCCCATGTGAATAGTCTCGTTCTTCCGGTGGATTTCAGCCGCGGTTCGTAGCAGATCGCCATTTCCGGGCGACGATCCCTCCCTCTTCTGCCCCCTGCACTCACAAAAGAGAGTCGTGCTCCGAGGCGAGCCCGCCTGACTGAATCATTGGCCTTTTACGTTTTTCCAATTCTTGTGAACCCACTGGACGACCCGCTACGGAGCTCTGAAGCATCCGAAGTCTGGGGCTGCAAGAGGGTCCGAGAGAGGGGGTCCCATAACACTAAAGCCAACTTATAAGCACTATGTGCTTTCCCCTGAGGCTTAGCCCTTCTTCTCTGTCTGCCAATCGCGATCATGGGGGGAACAGATGACCGGCCAGCATATCTCACTGCCAACAATGCCAAATACTCCCTCGGTATTCATCGCGGCCCATTAATTTCCAAAAATGCTGAGGGCGCCGGTCTCGCCCAGGTCGAATCGGCCGGGGGCATGTCGTTGGAGACAAGGAAGTTGAAAGCTTCGGAGAAGTTTCAGCGCCATTGGAAGCGATTCTGGTGTCTGCATTTGTTCGTGACAATTATCTTCCTGGCCATTTTCTTACCAGTCTTGTAAGTCGCGTGCCCCTCCATTGCGACAGAGTTGGAGTCACTAACCCCAATTAGCTTCCTGGTCGCCATCCCCGCGATTTCGCAGATGGTCGTGAACAAGTCCGACCTGGTTCTGGTGAAGGCATCGGTTCTCAACCCGCGACCGGACATGATCTCATTGACTCTGGAGTCGGCGATCAACCTGAAGCTTGCGCTGCCTGTGCGCATTGATCCAATCAACGTGGATCTATTCGTGCGCGACGCAGGCGCAAGCAATGCGTGGGCCAACACAACTATCGACGGCAAGGTTATCAAGGGCAACTCCACCTTGGCTGTCAAGGACGTCGAAACCCCAATCTCCAACCAGACCACTTGGGTGGAATATGTGCACAATGTCGTGAATAAGAAAGATACTGCACTATCGATTAAGGGTACAACGATGTCATATCTGGGAGTTCTCAAATCCAAAGTGACCATGGACAAGGACGTCGTGTCACCAGGTAAGCCGGGATCAAGAACAACCTCAAAAGCATACAGGACTAACGCCTCTCAGTTTTGGACCAGTTCAAGGGCTTCACAGTCTCTGACATGGGTCTTGTCACCAAGCGCGATGACGGCTCAAATCTCATTGGAAACGCCACCCTCCCCAACCACTCCCTACTCACCCTAGACCTGGGCACGATTGTCCTAGACGTCAAAAGCGGCAACCTCACTATTGGCAACGCAACCTTGGAAGACGTCACGATTTACCCCGGAAACAATACTTTCCCTCTAACCGGTGTCCTTGATATATCCAAGGTCATCCACAACCTAGGCCCGGTCCTCGCATCCCAGGCCTCAGCCCTCAAGACCGGTCACCTAGCTTTGGACACCATCACCACGAGTATCACCTGGAACGGAACGCTGGTGCCCTACTACACGAAAGTGATGTCCGGCCTGACCCTAACAGCCAATCTGGCAGTTGCCGATCTCCTCAAAAACTCCATCCACAACCTTCTCAGCGGGAACAGCAGTATCACCGATGCGCTACACAGTGTAGGTGGTCTGAGTGGATTAGTGGGTAATTTGACAGATAGCGAAGGAGCAAGCAATACGGCCAGTGCAGCTCTGGCGGAAAGCTCGAGACTCGCTGATATCAAGTCGAAGTTGAAGAGCAATGTCGCTGTGCGAGATATGTTCAAGGATCATCCTGTTCAGAAGCGGGATTCGATTGTCGATTCTTTGGCTGGCATGTATGTGAAGTTGTGATTTTATGCTCTGGATATGCAGTCGACGATTTGATTCCCCCTCTGTCTTTGGTTTTGGCATTGTCTTTGGCGTTTGGATTCGATGGTCTCTTGTGAGATGAAGATATAGATCTCCTGTTGACTCACCTCGGGGCTGAGTCGCGGATGATATTAATAATTAAACTTTCAATCGTGCAGATGATTTGATGATTTGATGATTTTCTATGAGGCCGTGGTTCGTAGGCGGGTAAAACACGGTGGTATAACTGATGCTGTCGTGGTCGTTACCTTCACATTCTCTTCTCTCAATTTCATCTTGTTATACCAAGATCGTGAACCTTGTAATTGGATTGATCAAAAGCCCCTCTGAAAAAGTATGCAAGTTGCCCGCTTTCATCATCATTAGTGAGTACTAGTACTGGCTTGGGTCTATTCAGAACACGTCTTGGGAAGCCAAGCCACCAGAGTGCTCCAGCAATCCTGGCGACATTGACGATTTTCATCGTTTCATCATCCACTCCGGTTTCCTAAGTGTACGCAGTCCGGACTTTATGACTTTCTTTTTCATTCCGAGTCAAAATACCGATCATCTGTCACCTGGGCAGATTCTCTGGAGACATGTAAGAAAGGGGATGAAGATTTTCTACCGGAAGGTGCCCAGCCGCGACGCATCGCGAGTCTCCAACAGAAGAATAAAAATCCACAGATCCTCCAGTCGACCATTTCCAAGGTTCGGAGTTAGTACATTGGTTTCATCGAGTCCACTCTCGATCGACCGTCTATTTTGAGTCTTGTGTCTCGCTGAAAAACATGGCAAGTGTTGCGACATTGTGTCAAGTCGTGCTCTTCTGTTCCTTCTCTTTCCAGCTCCACAAAACGATGTTTGACTCAACAAGTGCCAAAAATATACGGAGTCAGCCGAGGGGCTGAAAGGTGGGCTGCGAACAAGCTGAGCTGGAAGGCGAAAGGGATGGGAGTGGAGGGGTTGAGTGTCAAGCGGCTAAAAGATGGACGGGGTTCGTTCATTTGGCGCAATCTGACTGACTTTTTCTATTGATTGACGCCCTTGATGTTGGCACATGAACGTCTTGACCGATTGAGATTGATTGGATAGGGCGAGAGGCGTGAAAGCCGTATTGAAAGGTGCCTCATTGTCACATATGACTATGGATCCATTCATCTTCCGCTAGTTCTCTGGCTGAGCATCGCTTGCTGGGCTCCCATTGTAGCATTTTGCGCATAAACTGTAGGAATAATTTCTTCTCCGCTCGTCCATCAAGAGTGCTCTCCCTCTGTTCAAGTGGTACTGAACCAGTCAAGTAATCCGGGTTCAGAAATTTGCCTTAGACTTAGTTAGCGGGTCTGGATTTCAAGACCTCTCACTTCCTGTTATAATCGAAATTGATATACTTACCGTCGCTCGAAAAGAACTTGTCTTTAAGCTCTCCTTTATCCACAAGGCTCTGAGGCGGAGGTCCGAGAAGGTTGATCATCTCGGCAAGATGAGCTCGACTTCGATACCTCTCATATTCGGGGTCGTGCCCTGTAAACAGGGAGCCTCCCTCGTATATGTCCCATATCTACATGCTTGTTAGCGTGATTGGATCACCGTGCGGCTTTGAATCTTACCATGCATCCCACATTCCATATTTCTGCGCTAAACGTCCACGGGACGCCTAGAATCACCTCAGGCGCTCTGTAGATCTGAGGCTGGATGAATATCGAGTGGTGTTTATCTCCATGTACCGCCGAACCAAGATCGCAAAGGATTGGGGAGCTGACTTGTTTGGGTATTTGAGTTCTTGAGACATGTAGATGGTCCTGACATCTGTGTCTGACTCTACCTCTTTTCTTGGAACAGGTTTATTCAGCTCGTTCTCTTCAAAATGAGTGAAGACTGAATCATCTTTGATGCCGAACATGATATTATCGGCTTTGATATCTAACGAGGGGGTCAGTCAGGGAAGTAAGTCGCCAAAGGCGATGCACATGGCGACGAATGTATGTGCGATATGACACTCTGTATGAAGATAATCCAAAGCCAGAAACAGGCGATGAAGGACAACTGCAATCACTGGCGAGGGTAGTCTCTCAACCGGGTTACGACGTAAGAAAGCCAAAACACTCTCCCATAACGGGGGATGCACAAGACATCGATGCTGATCTTGGGTTCCATCGATGTGGAACGTGTCGAGTAAATTTCTTATCACGTCGCGACCGGGATGACTCGTTGAAGATTGCTCCATGTGCTTATACATGTTGAGCTCGTTGTCCACCTGCTGGCCCATTGACGAAGCCTGAACGCAGATTTTGAGCATAACATAACGCCGAAAACTATAATATTGACATGTGAATCTTTGATAAACGGATTGGTCGAACTTGAAGGACCCTTACTCCATATCGCGTGCAAGCCACACGGTTGAGGTAGATCCAAATCCCAATTTCCCGATGATTTGATATCGCTCCTTGATGACTTCTCCAATCCGTGTTGGATAGTACTCCGCGGCGACATAGTCTCGGAGAGTCTCCTCTTCAATCTTGTGCCCCTCGGGTATTCGGACGAAGTTGGGGTTGGTGAAACTGAGAGGTTTCCATCTGCGACCAAGTGGGGGGAGAGACCGCCGAAGCGATGAGAACATAGCCGGACAAAAATAACCAATTTTTCTTTTTTACAAACAACACTTTCAATATAGATGGCAGAAGAGGGTGTCTTCTAACGCGGACTTGGACGCATTGGCATTGTTTTGGTCGTGGAAAAGGGCGCCAGGGGCGAAGCTGTCACATTTCACCAGATCAGGTGATTTGGCTGGACTTCCACTGCAAAAACCCGTGGACGCGTCGTTGTGCTATGAGCTGTCGAAAAAGAAGCTATTCGGCCATACCAACATCGGAAGTTCGCCATGTCGATGTTTACTGCCCCGTGCTATGTATGGTGAACCGACTAACCCATTCTGCTAGGACCTATACGATTAGCACCGACCTCCAATCCGTAATATTGATTCAGGGTGAGAAATTGAGAGTTGGAGTCCTCGAGAAGAAGATGTTCTCTAGAAATAGATCAAGTGGTCAACGTAATTGAGGTGCCTGCGTAGCTACAACAATCAGAAAACCTGGGCAGATGTTCTCAAGCCAGCACATCCATGAACGAGGCAGCATGAAGCAACATAAGCCGGTTTTTCTTTAGGGCCTAGGTGCTCACCGCATCAGCTTACACGAGAACCGCACCCGGGCAAATGCAAAGATTAATGGATCTATACGGAGTACTAGCAGATGCAGGATGTAAGGCCTGACCGGCCCAACATCGTCAAACACGTTGCAGGGAACCTTGGAATAAAGTTTTGACCATGAGTTATTTTGTATTGATATTGTGTATGCTAAAGGTATTTATTTATTACATTAACGTAGCTTATAGCCGCGTTTGATTTCCATGTAATACGGCAATGACTCTTCCACCATATTAGGCGATGAGCTTGGAGGTGGGCGAGGGACCTCGAGGAACTTATCACCAGCCCAGGTATCCACCGCATGTCCAGATGCGGGCAGAGGATCGAGGGTTGGAAGTCGGAGTGTGGGGTCGAAGCTAATGAGAATGAGAGCCTGGTGATTGGATGGTAGCCCAGGTGCGTCGATGGAGTAAATGATCGAGCGCTCGTCAGCAATGCTCTTTACGGCGCCAATGCGTCCATTGGGACAAAGAAACTGTTGGACTGGCGTGGCGTTTTCTGGTGGCCACATGTGGACGCCTCGACATTCGAAGCGCTCTTCGGAGCCTTCGATGGGACGCCCATCTGCGTCTACTTGAGTAGGTTGGAAGAGGGTGTTCGAAGGACCTTCGGTGCCGTCTGTGTCGATGGGGGACTTGCGCTTGCGGGAAACGGTTCGGAGGCGCAGTCTGTCTCGAGAGCGCAGGCCGTCACTGACGGGGTCGTTGACGAGGTCAACAAAGGTTGATGAGCCAAGGTGGTAGCTGCGGTGCTTTGTACGAGCAGGAATAAATTCCTGCCGCTTTGTGGAGCCGGACTCGTACTCGGCATGATAATGACGGCGCAGTCTTTTTGCGGGTCTTTCATCGTAGGGTTGGTCGTTATCTAGGTCATCGTCCATGGAAACCCAAGACGGTGTGTGGACAGCCCCTGCCGAGAGAGGCGCCAGAGCTTCCTCTGGCGTCGGGAGTCGCTGTGTGTAGTAAGTGCGGTGGTTTTCACTCTTGCCATCGCGCCATTCGCGACGACATTCGAGAATCACGGGTCGACCCGTTTGCTCGTCCTTGCGGATAGATAAATCCGTCCACATCTCATTGATAGGACCTTCCTGATGCTCGCGGCGCCAAAGGCGACCGTTCCATTTCCGATCTGATTCCCGAGGCGCGTGGCAAAACCAATGATAGAAGGAAGAATGGATTTCGTTGTCATCCGAGGCGACCTGCGTTGACACCGCATACAAATGCTCATCATGCATCTCAAAACATAGTGTTTGCCCAACGTCGCCATCCACCACTCGATCTAGTTGGAACGAAAGGCGCGCCCGCGTTCTCAAGTCTACGCCCGTAATTGTCCATACCCCATCCGAGCCGTCAGCGGCTGCAAATGTCCCGTACCAGAGATAGGAACGAGTATGGCGCACAAAGATCGGTGCTGACGTGAGAATGGGGGCAGTAAACAATGGCCCTGACGATTTGCGTCTCATGTCAATGACAAATAAGGCGTCCTCGGTGGCGCTCACATCCGCAACACGGAAGACCAGGATTTGATCGGCGTAACTTAACAAAGTCACATTGTCGGTTGATTCCGACTGTGCCGTGGAAAGTAGACGCGGGAGAAGGCGGGTGAGGTCGAGGACGCGTTCTGTGGTCGCGACGCCATGTACGTGCAACACCCGGATGTGGTTCTGGCAGCGGTAGACCAAATAGCCCTCGTTGTAGATGAAGTTTGCCGCGTAGCCGACACAGGCGACTGCATAGGGGTTGGCCGTGGCAACAGCCTCATGGATTGCAAAGCGGAGACCAACTGCCTTGCGGTAACCCGACTGGGCGGTCATTGCCGCCTGACCTTCCTTGCTGTGGAGCAACCCATTCTGGGGGTGTCAGCATGGAAGGGGGCCAAATGGATAGCGGTGAAGGAGCTCATACCTCTATCGTCTTTCGAGCGATTTGTTCGCTCTCGGTGATGGAGTGTAGAGCACGATTGACGCGACTGAGGTGGATAAGATCGCGGTCGTCCAGCGACGTAGCGATGTGAAAGAAGACATCGAAGGGAAGAGTATCCAGCCTCTGAAGGAGCATCGTGAATGGAGATCTCAGATACCCGGGTTCATGATTACGACGGTCTCTTTATGAACGGACGATGAGGCTCTCAACAGCTTGGACCCAAAAGATCCGGGAGTATTGAGCCTCATAGGCAAGTGCCAAGCGCGGACTAGTCAATGCCGATCTTAGACTACTTTCGCCACTGATTTTCGACGAATCACCGCCTCCGAGACATTGTTTGACCGTCCGCTTTCGCAACCCGTGCGGCTCCTAGGGGGCTGAGTCAAGACATGACCTTTGGTCGTGACGGAGATGACGGGGATGGCTGCGGAGTAAGGAGGTCGGAGGCCGAACCTCAAGAATAAGTGCCCATTACGAGTCTATTCTGGGCTTCTCCACCCGTGGACCTCTTTGAAGAGCCGCATCAAATCGCACTGCACATTGCACATTGCCAACGTCACACATCCTTATTCTTCAGTTCTTCGGCCCGTTAGTTCTTAGTGCATTCTTGGTGTTTTCTCACTTTACAGGTTCAATAGTATTTTGCCTGAGGCACCCAATCACGTGCCTCTAATGTCGCTGCCTAATGCTTGGCCATTTTGCCAACATTTCCATGGTTTGCATTAGTATACGCGTTCAATAGTATATAGCCCTGGAGTCCATCTTAACTCCGTTAGTTAGATTGCATGGCCCCTAATATGAGTACAGTACATCTGCTTATTTCAAACATCCTAACCTGGGATGGGTGGGGAACAAAGCATATACTCTAGTCCACTCTCCTAGTACAGACTCTACTAGCCCTGGAGAGTATGAATACTCCCAGAGTAAGTACACAATGACATAGGCATGCAGCCCTACCAGTGGGTCTCTGCAACTCTCCAGCTTTGTCGGCTAGAGTGCCGAGAATTTTCGCCTTCCGGGCGTTGACTCTGTACGATCTGCGACCCCACTAGTCAGCCGAGTTCTTTTTTAAGCTCGCCCTCTGCTACTTCTTCTTCTTCCACATCTGTACCTCAGGAAATCACAATATGTACTATCAAGGCCCTCCCTACGGCCCTCCTCAGGGACCTCCTGGACCGCCTCCCCAATGGGGCTATCCCGGCCAACAGTGGCGGCAACCCCCGCCTCAGCCCTACCCTCAGCCCTACGGTCATCACCCGCAGCCGTCATATCCAGGTCCCAACCATGCACCTTATCCCCCTTCGCCGTATCCTCCGTATCCCCAATATCCTCCTGCCCAGGCTCCATCTCCCTATGGCCACTCTCCCTCTCCTCGTCCCCCCTCTCACCACCACCATCTGAGTGCGCCCCAGAATGGTAAGTCCTAGAGACCGCAGTCGCAGATCACATGGCTCACCATCTGCAGGAATCCCGCGAGCAAATTCTCCGAGTCTGCCACCACCCCCGCCACAGAATTTCCAGCATTTCGGTGGTGGGGCACCGTCAAATTACCAGTTCCAGTACTCGGCCTGTACCGGTCGGCGCAAGGCGCTCTTGATCGGAATCAACTATGCCGGGCAGCCCAACGCCCTCAAGGGCTGTATTAACGACGTCACCAACATGTCTAACTTTTTGACTGAGCGATTCGGCTACAAGCGCGAAGACATGGTCATCCTCACCGACGACCAACGCAACCCGATGAGCATTCCCACGAAAGCCAACATTCTGCGAGCGATGCACTGGCTCGTCAAGGACGCCCAGCCTAATGATTCCTTGTTTGTGCACTTCTCCGGTCACGGCGGTCGCACGCCAGATCTGGACGGCGACGAGGACGACGGGTTCGACGACGTCATTTACCCGCTCGACTACAAAGTGGCTGGGCACATCGTCGACGACGACATGCATGCGATCATGGTTCGTCCCTTGCGACCCGGAGTGCGACTGACCGCCATCTTTGATTCGTGCCACTCGGGCACCGCGCTCGACCTGCCATACGTCTACTCCACGCAGGGCGTTCTCAAGGAACCTAATTTGGCCAAGGAAGCTGCCCAGGATTTATTTAGCGCCTTTACCTCTTACGGACAAGGTGATCTATCTAGCGTTGCGTCCACCGCGATCGGGTTCTTTAAAAAGGCGGCCAATGGCGGATCCGCTCGCGAGCGCACCATCATGACCAAGACATCCCCGGCGGATGTGGTGATGTTTTCAGGGTCCAAGGACACACAGACATCGTAAGTGGCGTCGCCAAGCCTTGACAAAGAAAAGCAATGGCAACGATCTAGGGAGAAAAAAAAGCAAAGAAAGGAACATCGGCTAACGGGAACAGGGCGGATACTTTCCAGGACGGACAAGCGCGTGGGGCGTTGAGTTGGGCGTTTGTGAAATCTCTGAAGCAATGGCCACATCAGAGCTACCTGCAGCTCCTGAACACGATCAGGAACGAACTCGAAGACAAATACTCGCAGAAGCCGCAGCTTAGCTGCAGCCATCCCCTTGGTAAGTCCCGCGGTGTGACCTAACCGAGCTCAGCTGACCCGTGCAGATACCAACCTTCGCTTTGTGATGTAAGGCGATGCATACTGGAAAGTGGAGGTTACGATTAAACGAGAGTGAACGCCGAATTCCCGAGTGCGGGGGAAAGATCAACATTATACCATATGGGTAATATTCGTACGGGCTCCCTAGGCAACACTAGTAACGCAAGAAGTACCAAATACGATGCCCCCTCCTCCTTTCACCTCCACCTGTGGGCACATTTGTGGCTATGGTTCTTCGCGGTGGATCCGACGGGAGAGTGAGAATGAGAGAGAAAAAAAAGTCAATGGTCGGGCACGGAAGTATGTTCAATCCTCCTGCATAGGAAACTTAGACACCAATGAGATAGGTAGATCTCACAATATGTCTCTCTCCGTATAAGTCGGCCCAAATGTCTCTGATCGCAGTATAAAAATAAAAAAAATAAAAAAAACCGAGCATGGCGCCATGCCCCCCTGAGCGGGAATCGGACCAATCACCAATCAGATCCTAAGACTTCCCGGTGGGAACCGTGGGTGCCTATGTCTTCGCCCCTGGGACTTGCGACAAACATCCTCGGATTGCGCAGGACAGCGTCGTCGCTACGTTTTTTGCGTACGTGGGAGGACGATTGGTAGTATACTACGAGCTGATGCGGCAAACCCAAAATAGATGCTGATCAGGATTGTCATTGGATCGTCCGCGTAGCTCACATCAAATCTGAGACACGATCTGATAACCACGAGTATCATGATTCATGAGCATCCCACGGTTCACAGTGTTAGAGGTAGGTATGGAATAGAGAATGAAACAACAGTACTCGACATTAAGGAGAACTTAAATTACAGTCATCTAAGTGTTACACGGGACGGCGTCTCGTAGCTTTGGGACTAAAATGTTCATGTCTCTGATCCACTTTTGGTCATTTTCGGAATCTCATAGAGATGCGCTTTTTTATTATTTTTTCCCTTCTGCGAGCCTATTTTTTTCTTTTTCAGTCCTTTTGTTTTCCTCTTCTCTCACATCCTTGCTCTATAATCATGTTGACTTCACCCAACAGCTCGACCTCCAGTGTCTCCTCTGAGCCTCGCTCACCTCCGCATCAACAACCCACCCGCCGATCCCCCATGCCCATCAAATACCCCCGGTTTTACTCCTCCCCGGTGGACGAGGACACCGACTCAACCCCTCTACAAATGTATGGCCTCGAGCAGAGAGAGCCCTCTATCTATGGCAAACCACCCAAGCTCCTCCGCCGAGTTTCCCATGCCCTCGGTGATATTCGGGAGGACCTCTCCCTGGACACGGAGAAGCTGAAACGTCGCTCAACCGTCCTCTTTGAGCCCGTCTCTCCAAGAGAAATTCCCGTCACATCCGACGGTCCTCGCTCACGGCCCATGTCCATCATCTCCTTCGACAATTGGTCCGGCCCAACACGGGGCATGAGCCAGCGCATCTCTCGCCGTCTGTCGGTGTTCTCGTCTCGCGGCAAGCCCATCACCTCCAAGGGTGCATGCATTTCCTCGCCCAATCTGATCGGGGCCTCCACTCAATATGGCAACCAAAGCCAAAACTCCTTCATTTAAAACGACACGACATCGGCCGGGTTTCGACGGCAAGAAGCATCACGCAACAAAAAAGAGCTATGGTGATATCATGATTTCAGTCATCCACCGCCGGGGTGTTCGGGTATAATCTTTTTTTGGGCTTTTGTTACCCCGGAGCGGTAATTTACATTCCTTTTAATCTGTATTTACGTTTGCGCATAGCTCGGTGTTTGGGGAAGGATACCTTTATTTTTACAATGTTCACCGTTTCCAACTAATACGACTATTCCTTTGACTATTGCATCGACAGCTCAGAATGATATGTCAGGTCCATGCATCCCTTGAAGCGTTCAATAAACAGCACGCCAAGTACGCCACCATGCGGCATTGCACCCCCCGGCCAAGCATTGCCGGTGGACCAACGTGCGTCCAACCGTCTAAAAATATGAGATCGCAAAAATTCGTAATGCGGCCGAACGTGAAACAGAGTCAGAACCCAGCACCGGATTTCCCATATCCGTTCGACGGAACCCTAGCTCTCTAGTCACTTAGCGCTCCTCAAGGTCCTTGTGCGCCCACTTTTCGTTCCCACTCGGTCTCTCCCGGTCGCTCGGTGGGCTGATTAACAGTGGGGTGTCTGAGATGCTAGTTCGGATACTCCGTCTCAGGCTCCTTCATTGCATCACTCGGTAATCCCCAGCCACGATGTTGTACGGTACTGTTCAGAGTACGGAGCATGGCCTCCGGAGTCCGAAGTACGATGATGTGCTTGTACCCTAGGTGTGCGAATTTGACACCTAGGAGCATGGCCCTGCCACCCCGTGCCTCGCTTCGCGCATATGGAACCCTTACTGCAAATCTCTCTAGCTCCTGATCTTAGCGCGGGGTCCATTTCAGTGGGAGCATTTGGCAGATCGCACCCTGGTTTACTCGGTACAGTCACCATCGATGCAGGAAGACAATAGTTTGCGTGAAAACTGGGTGCGACTTGCTGGAGTGGTGGTAACTACGTGGTCGTCCACTGATTCCAATTACAATGTGGGAGACTGTCGCAGCTACCGTACGGAGTACTGTACGGTGTAGATTTGTTCCTATTGAAAAAAAGCCGTGATAAGACGGCCCACACAGTTCCCGAAGAACCTGAAATTGAGTCGGCCCAATGTAACGGGACGTAGTATAGGTGCAACTGTCAGTCTCTGAAAATCACGAGCCGTCACCACTCTTCGAGCATACTATACATTCATAAAAATTATCACAAGCTTTTCATCCTAGGAGCCTTAGGCTTTCCTTCGCTTTTTCTCTTCTGTTGAAATAGTTCCATTCTTTATGTATACCTCTCTTCGTATGTCTAATTGGAAAGGATACCGCCACATTGTTCGCAAGTTGAACAAGCTATCCTATCGCATCATAGAAAAGGACCCTGACAGCCATGGGAAGATGCTTTCATTTTTCACCTATGTAGATAGAAATGACTCCCGAGGTCACGATATAGTCTTTCCAAAATGAATAAAATTCACGATCGCACCCGAAGACGCAATCAATAGCATGTATCACGGTAACAGATAGCTAGACTGAAGATCGACCTCGGCATGCGCGCAACCTAAAAGTCAACGTAGTTCGGGCCGCGGGCCAAACCCCTAAAGACTTTCCCGGTTCACCCAGAATCAAGAACATGGATTTTGACAGGAATCTGCGTTTTGCACTTACGAAGGTCACCATCTTCACAACTAGCCCGAATAGTGGCACAGGGATATTCATGCTACATTGCGTTGCACTCCGAGGTCCGGATCAAGCCTCGTCCGGGGTAACATGCGGGGCAAGGTATCCTAGCAAGTGAATGACTCGAGAAAGGCTAATATTGCTGGGATTCAGTGGGAAGGAGAGACTTTGGCGACTGGATCACCCGGTGGATTGCGTCACATCGTGGGGTAAATTGGAGTCGGGCAAATGGGAAATGTGATTCCAGAGGCTCAGGGATTTAAGATGCATCGAGTCGAATCTGTTAGACCTATGGCGGCCGAGCATTAGGCTTACATAGTATCTCACACCTGCAGGTGAGCAATGATGTGCCCGGGTGATATGCAGGCATGTCTTGAGGTTGCCCGGGCGAACTTGGGAAGAGGCCATTTTACCCGGTAAGAAGCCAAGCACGAAACCAGCGTGGCAGTAGACTATTTAACCGTACCACCGGCCACAATTTCGGCTCAATAATTTCGATCTTTGCTGTATAGAATTTGATAGGAATAGTAGAGTGATATTGGAGCTAATCAAAAAGTTTTGCATATCTCGTGAGTAGATGGTATAAGGGCTCAAAGCCACGAAAATTCGGAAACAGAAAACAAAACACCATACAGTGATAACGCCATGAAACCCAGCCAAACATCCCAAGAGGACGTTTGCACTGAATCGACACTCGTCCGAGTGTCTTGAGAGAAACAAATTATCCCCGTATACGCCAAAAAAAAGTCCTGTCGAGAACGTGGAGCCAGTCCAAGTTCGTATGGGCGCAGGACGCCATGTTCCTCCAGGGTCGAGACCATGCCCGACATCCAGATCACAGGGTTACGCTCTCCAGATCGCGCATGACGATGCCTATCTGAGCACGCTTCGCAGCCTCGGCGACAAGATTGAAATCTTGCAGGAATGGTGCCGTGGCGGTCGGCCCGCCCAGTTCTATATGGGGTAGAGGATTGTTCTGAGCCGGTGCCGCATTCAAGGGCATATTATGGGAGTTGGCGGCTGGGGCGCTTTGGTTTTGGCTTGTCACCTTGGACAAGGGTTGCGACGGGGAGCAGGCGTTTTGTAAAGGTGAGGTCAGAACTTGTCTGGTGGCGGTTGAGGCGAGGTCTATGGTATTTTGAGCCTGGGCGGCCATGGCGGACTCGAGTTTTGAAGGTTGCATGGTGGACGTTTGGGGCGCTTGGGATTTGTATGCGGGTTGCAGGGTCGAGTCCATGATGTCGTGATAGTTGGTGCCGAGGTTCTAGCGAGAAAAGTGCAAACGGGTCCGAGAGGAAAGGGGGTTGAAGGGGAGCTGTTGCTATGAGAAAGGAGATGTGATCGAGAGAGTAGACCAATGCACAGTGGCAAGTAAGGGCAAGGAATCCAAAGCCGCTGATCAGATCGAAGGTGCAATGCGGAGCGGAGAAGACTTGCGGGTTTCCACCACAGGGAGAACGAGGTTGTGACGGTAAAAAGATATCAAATAGAGAAGAAAGTCTAAACGCAATCACAGAAAAGTCACTGATCAGGGGTGCATATGGGTTTTGAAGGCGAATTGCAGATTCTCACCTGGACAGTCTCCGACATTTATCCGCTAGTGTAATATGACGGTATCTCCAGGTCTCTCTCCACATTGTATTACCGATTTGGAGTGTATTATACGATCACGTGCAGGCATGTGGCGCCACGTGATATTGAATGTAGTTGCGCTCTCCGCCGTTGAAGGCTATTTTCAGCCTATATAACCAGTGAATATCATGCTGGACGCCTAACAGAACCCCTAGAGTGTGTAATCCAATACCTGCAATTATTTGTAATTACCATTGGTTGAAGTTTCAGTCTGCGGGGTGACGATCAGCGAGTTGTATGATCGTCTGATGTGCACATCCCCTCCCGAGGTTCCTGCGTGAACCAACTGCAAACTGAAGAAAGCAATACCGCATTGCCATACCGAAGTCGAAGCCGAGTCATCCGGTATTCGGTATTCCAAGTCAAGGTATCTACAAGCCCAATTAGGCATTGGCCCGAAAATGTTCCCGATGCCCCGCCGATAAGATCCGACTGATATTTTTTTCTCCCAGCGAAAAAAAGAAAAAAGAAAAAAGATAAGCCAAACACATTGCCGCCATGGCCGACGACTTTGATTCAGGGAATCTCTTCCAGGATCCGGAAGGATATTATCCCGAGGATGCACCCCCTACTTTTGCCGAGCATGGCATGTTGTCCGGTCAAAAGGTCCGGGTTCGTCTCGTCGGAGACCATCCTCTCTATGTATGAGATCAGACCAGGCTTATCCACGTAGATATACTGACCTCGGCAGGGAAATCTGCTTTGGAATGCGGGCCGCACCAGCTCGCATTACATTGAAGAACATACCGAGGATCTCATCCGCAACAAGGATGTTCTCGAGATCGGGGCAGCGGCAGGCGTCCCCAGCATCGTGAGCGCGATTCAAGGGGCACGCACCGTCGTGTTGACCGACTACCCTGACCCAGATCTCGTTTCAAACATGCAATATAATGCCGATCTGTCTGCCGGTGTCATCCCACCCAGAGAAGATGGCCTGCGTCGCCTTCATGTGGACGGCTACAAATGGGGTAGCGATGTGGCCAAGTTGCGCGCGTATCTACCACCTGCTGCTGATGGCTCCCCTGGGCTATTCGATGTTCTCATCATGGCCGATGTGGTGTACAGCCACCGCGAGCATCCGAATCTGATCAAAACCATGCGGGAGACCATGAAGAAGAGCGCCGACTCTGTCGCTCTGGTCATCTTCACTCCCTATCAACCTTGGCTTTTGCCCAAGACCGAGCAGTTCTTCCCTCTGGCTGAGGCTAGTGGGTTCACAGTGACCAAGATCTTCCAGAAGGTGGTTGATGCAGTTCTTTTCGAAAAGGACCCCGGTGTAAGTCAAAACTCAGTCTTGACATGGGCTATTGAACTAAACGTCTGCAGGATGAACAACTACGAAGAACCGTGTTCGGATATAAAATTCGGTGGTCACCAGAGGAATTGGCCTCTGAGGCGTAGGTTTGTCCCTGGAACGATGACATGATAATATGACAAAAGTTCATTTAAATATTTAGACGGAATATAGTCCTTTTACTCAGTATTTTATATTGATTTTACCCATCGCTGTTGAATATGTAGACTGAAGATTTATAGATGCGGGGTCACATGCCCCGCAGCAAAAAAAAGTTCGCCGAAACAAACCGCAACAACCAACAATGCCGGTATGTCGCGAACCCTCTCAATTGCGCTCTAGCTTCTATTTCTAACAGATTCCAGCTCGTCATTTTAACCGGTTACCCATGTTCGGGTCTCACCCTTCGCGCCAACCAGCTCGCATCTTCGCTGGAAAAACACCAAGATGAAATATTCGCCGCCGCCGAAGCAGGCACGCCAGTGTCACTGAAGTCTCGATACAAGGTTCACGTTGTCGCATCGCATGACTCCTCCCATCCTCGAATCGTGTACGACCATGCCCGCACGGAGAAGGAGGCACGTGGAGTTGCGTACGCGCGAGCCAAGCGCGTGCTCAAGCGAGACAGCATCGTCATTCTCGACGGAATGAACTATATCAAAGGATGGAGATATCAGCTTTGGTGTGAGGCAAAGGCCGCGCAAACTACATGCTGTGTGGTAGGTGAATAGTATGTGATATATTGCGACGCGGCTAACCAGTCCAGGTACATGTCGGAACACCCGTCGACCAATGTGTCGCCAACAACGACGCCCGCTTGCGCCGAGATGCCAACAAAGACGATAGTACACCAGAAACCACTGAAAACACACAAACCTCTGATACCGAGGAGGCATACCCTTCCGAACTACTGAACAATCTTATCTTCCGCTACGAAGAGCCAAGTACACATAGTCGCTGGGATAAGCCCCTCTTCACAGTCCCCTATGACGACCCCGAGCCCCCAGTAGCAGACATCTTTGAAGCTCTCACGGGTGTGGCTCTTCCCACCGAAAAACCAACCCTCCCCGCCCTCACTACACTCGCCCCCGCCATCTCCGACGCAGCCAGCACAACAACAGGTGGCCCAAGAGGTGGTCGTCTGTCAACCCGTCCTCGGATCGTCCCTCACCAAGCGACTGTTCAGTCGAGCGTTACAGATCCAAATGCAATGTACGCAATGGAAAAGCGTACCTCAGCCGTCGTGACTGCAATTCGCAACTTCACAAGCACATATCCAACCGCAGATATTGCTCTTGCTCAAAGCGACGTCGCCGATGGAGTTTCTATCTCCGTGCCGGATGTTACTACTTCCATTTTCTTGCCGTCACATATTGTTCTATCGGGTACAACGGAGGAGCTGGCTGGAGCGGGTGGTGTTCTTGCACTGCCACGGTTGCAGAGGTTGAGGAGGCAGTGGATCAGTTTGAATAGGGCCTATATCGGCCGGGGAGCGGGTGCATTAGCCGCAGAGCAGATTGGGGATGCGTTTGTTCGATTCCTTAATGCGGAGTTCTCGGGCGCTGCTGGGGAGGCTGAAGAATAATTATTCAGAGTAGATATATCATTTGCATTTTGGCAGCTCGCATGGTAGCCGAATCAAGAACATGGCCTACGGTTAAATGTCATTTTCCATGGAAATCAAAGTCAATCCACGGATTCCCAACTACAACTTGGGAAACATAACAAAATACCCTGGAAGGGCCTCACGGTCAGCCATGGAAAGCTCTGTAGGATTGGAAATCTACAACTCTGGTACCTCAAACCCTAAACCTTGTAATCTATTTGGAGCGTCGGAGGTGCCCACCCCTTTTCAACTTCTTCAAATCACTGTTTCAAAATGAATACATTAAAGACCATTGGACGTGGTGCCTGTGGCACTGTATGGGCCTCTGAGACAGGGCCTGCCTACAAAAGAGAAGATGGCAATCCAGCACGATCCCTGACAAACGATTTCACAATGCACCAACGAGTACTCCAAAGCCAAACATTTCTCACAAACTCCATCCCATCAACACAGCTCGCGATCCAAATCCCGTTGTGCCACAATTTCATCAAACCGGAGGACGAAGAGTGGTGGTTTCAAAATCACGATATATTCCCCCAAGGCCACACACCTTGCAACATGATTGAAAGCCAACGAATCCCAGCATTTGAAGAATCGACTCGGACTCTGCTGATTCAAAAGTTCTGTCCAGAGGAGATCAAACAGGTTATCATGGACAGTGAGCCAGATCGAGATTGTTTAATCCGCCCGTATCTCGGCAGACGTCGAACCCATTCTCCAAGTTCTCAAACATCTTCACGATTCAGAGCATTCTCATTGCGAAACTATCCACTGCATGAGGATCAGATGGAAGAGCTGGGCATTTCGACCGACGATATTCAGCACTATGCCCGAATCATGGCAGACGCTCTCGCCATGATGCATTGGGTTGCTAGGATAGATGCCAGCGATGTCGAATTTGTCCTCGCACCTCCACATCACAACGGTCACCGTATCGAGAATTTGTTGGGAGATCATGCCATGTGGCTGCTGGACTTTGATGTGTGCCGGGATATGAGTATGGATATCAACGGCGTTGAACAGGCCGTGAAGGCATTCTGGAGGAATGACCCGTTCTATCCTCGGCCAGGGAAGGCTCTCTGGAAGATATTCCGCGAACAATATCTTTCTACCAGCAAAGACTGCGTGAATCTCTGCCGAAGTGAAGAGAAAGCCCGGCTAGATTCCTTGCCGATATTGTTTATTGAGCTGGTGGAAGCGCAGGGAACACAGTGAGACCATGTGTATAGGTAGCCAGCCTGAGCTAGACCAGGGGCGAAAAAAAAACATTTTATACTTTACCTCACAGCCCTCCAAGAATTCACCAATGATAAGTTCCATCTTAGTGATAGCCCCTTCAAATTTCTGGGGAGAAATGATAGACGCCATCGAAGATCTCAAGCTTGGGGACCGGGTCTGCTGCACCCGTGGATGGGAGGCTTGATCAAATCATCGGAGGCAGAAGAGTCATTTGTCCCACTACATATGCTGGTTCGATTTGATTGGAACTTCGTGGACGCTGACATAGAGACGTTTTCGGATCGGAGGACTCAAAAGACGTCCACTCCGATCCGAGCGCTAGTCTTAACCGGGTTGGTCCGAGTCAAAAGTAGAGTGTGGGGCTTGGGATCTGGCTCATATACTTCGGACCGAGCAGTACTACAGATGCCTCCGAACCGAACCCTCAACACTAGTCGGTGTTGGGCTCGGCGTGCCTGAAAAATGTATAACAAACGTGTTGAATTAAATATCCAGGGGCCGCACACTGTTTGTTCAAATGAAAGTTTATCCCTCCCCTTGGGTCTATTAAAAGAAGGCCAGAGATTCGAAGTTGCATCAATACGGCCATGTCTACGAAGACCTCGGACTCGGCTCCCTCCTCCCAGGCAGGTCAAAATCGAAGAAGACCCTGAGCCACCCAAGCTAACAGAAAATGACAGTTAGATCTTGAAGTCGGAAAAGATGAATCGGATCAATTGCCAATCTACCGCCATGACGGACGCCGCCTCGGAGTTGCTTTCGACGACATTACAGTGGAAGGACATGCAGGAAGTCAAAGGACGGTCATGGACTTGCCGGAAATCTTGATACAAATCCTCCGAGCTCCCCTTGATATGGTCGACCAAGCGATTCGAAAAAGAACAAAGCCTCGACGCAATCTTGTCCAAGGAGTTTCAGGGGTGGCCCTTCCTGGCGAGACTATGCTCGTCCTTGGGCGACCTGGTTCGGGGTGCACCACCGTGCTCAAGGTCATTGCAAACAACCGAGAATCATTCGAGGGAGTCACCGGGGATGTCAACTATGGCGGGATTGGTGCACAAGAGATGAAAGACGAACTTAAATCTGAAGTTGTCTACAGCTCTGAGGACGACGTGCATTTTCCAACCCTCCCTGTCCAAGACACACTCGACTTCGGTCTGAGCCTCCGAAAGCCTGCCAATAGCTCGAAGAAGGATTCTCAATTCTCACTGGAGTTGAGTGACAAGCTCCTGAATGCCTTGGGAATCGCTCACACCAAGGGCACCATTGTGGGTGATTCTTTCACCCGAGGTGTGTCGGGTGGCGAGCGTCGCCGAGTCTCTCTTGCTGAAGCGATGTCCGTGAATTCTACCCTCGTCAGCTGGGACAATCCAATCCGTGGTCTTGATAGCTCTTCCGCTCTAGACTTCCTACGATTGCTCAAGCGCATGTCTCGAGCATCGGGAATGACCAACGTGGTAACACTTTACCAAGCATCGGAGAGTATGTACCGGGAGTGCTTTGATCGCACTATTGTGATGTATGAAGGAAGGATGATCTTCAGCGGAAAGGTGGGAGATGCAAAGCGATACTTTGAAGACCTGGGCTTCTATTGCTCAGACCGACAGACCACTCCTGACTTCCTCACGTCCGTCACCTCCCCCGAAGAACGAACGATTCGCGAGGACTACCATGGACCCTTGTACCTGGATCCAGATTCACTTGCCACCGCTTATCTTCAGAGTCCTCATTATGCACTGCTTCAGAAGGAACTATCCGAGTATTCCTACGCCGCGAAGGAAAGCCCCAGTATCCAAGAGGAATTTCGCACCGAGGTGGCTCGAATCCGGTCCCCAATGGCTTTGAAGCATGCAGTTGAGCCTGCCCCAATGTTCAAGCAGATCTTCGTGGGGACAAAACGATACTACCGATTGTTTTGGGGTGATATCTCAACTTTCATCATAATCTTGGCGCTTTGCTGCACCAACGCCGTGATCGCAGGCTCCGGCTTCTATGCAGCTCCCAAAACAGCCTCCGGTTCATTCGAGAGGAGTGGTGCCTTGTTCTTTACTGTGGCATATTTTTGCCTGAATGCATTGACTGAAGTGGTGAAGACCGTCAACGCTCGCGCGGTCTTACTCAAACAGCATAACATGGGATTTATCAACCCTGCTGCATATTCCATCATCCAGACCATCGCAGACATGCCATCAGTCCTGATCCAAGCTTTGGTTTTTTCTTGTTGCTACTACTTCGTGATTGGACTTGGCCATAGTGCTTCGCAATTTTTCATTTACGTTTTGATTACCTTTGTTCACTTCTCCGCTATATCAACCATGTTCCGAATGCTGGGCGCATGGGCGCCGAGTCTAAACATTTCCTATCTGCTGGCTGGTTGCGCACTCCCATTTGCCTGTCTGTACTCTGGCTACGCGCCCCCGGTTCCGACAATGCATCGCTGGGGCTCTTGGATTCGTCGCATCTCGCCAACTCCATACGCAATGGAAGCACTGATTGGCAATGAGTTCTACAATATTCAACTACACTGCACTGAGTCACAGTTGATTCCCTCCGGGCCCGGTTACAGCGACATCAACCATCAAGCATGTCCCATGCAAGGCTCACATCCTGGTTCGGCGAATGTGAACGGCGCCGAATATGCCCTTGGCATGTATGGTTACACTCGTGATCACCTCTGGCGAAACTTTGGAATCATCCTTGCCATGTGGTTTATCTACACGGTCCTTGGTGCAGTTGGTCTCACGGTAATGACCAAGGATAGTGGCAGTGCGACTGGTCCCGTATACAAGCGCAATGCTGTCATTGCCCAGAAACAGACACCATCCGAGAAAAATGAACCGAAGGTAGCGAAGGAAACTCAGGCACTCGAAAGCAGCCCCAATAATCTGGCTTTAGACTCGATAGAGGCCACAAGCAAGGAGGCCCCGATGCCCCATCAGGACCGAGCCTCCTTCACCTTCGACAAACTCAGCTATTTTGTCAACACCAGCAACGGAGAGAGACAGCTCCTCAATGAGGTTTCGGGGTACGTCAAGCCAGGACAGTTGACTGCGTTGATGGGTGCTTCTGGTGCAGGTAAAACAACGTTGTTGGACAATCTATCCCGGCGAAAGGATGACGGACGCATGACTGGTGACATTTTGTTGGGAGGGGCTCATCTGAGTTCCTCTTTCTCTCGCTCATGCGGATTCTGCATGCAACAGGATATTCACGAACCGACTACGACAGTACGCGAGGCACTTCAATTCAGCGCTCTGATGCGCCAATCGGGTCGCGTGCCTCGGGAAGAGAAACTCGCATACGTTGAACACATCATTTCTCTCCTGGAGCTGGAGAAGATTGCCGACGCACTTGTTGGAAGTACTGGGGATGGTCAGCTCAATGTGGAGGAACGGAAAAGAGTGACAATTGGGGTCGAGTTGGCTGCAAAGCCCTCTGCGCTGCTCTTCCTTGATGAGGTGAGTCTATCTGCCCTTTATGATTATCTTTGAATTTTTGACATCTAACTTGAATTGTAATTATAGCCTACATCGGGACTTGACAGTCAAGCAGCATTCTCGATTGTCTCTTTCCTTCGCAAGATTGCCGCCGAAGGCGTGCCGATTGTTTGCACCATCCATCAGCCATCCGGAGTCCTATTTGAAATGTTTGATCACGTCTTGCTGCTTGCACCCGGAGGACACACTGTGTATTTTGGAGAAACCGGCACAAACGCATCGACGGTTGCGCAGTACTTTGGAAAGAATGGTGCGGTGATGGGGGTAGAGGAAAACCCGGCCGAATTCATCATCTCTGCAGTCAACGATAAGGGACCGAACAGCAGAAACTGGGCAGATGTCTGGAACCAGTCGTCAGAGAAACAGACCCTCCAAGCCAAAATCCAGGCACTGAACTCCGCCCCCTTCGCTCCGGCCACAGAATCCGACACCGAGGACCAAAATGGCGAGTATGCACTCTCTCTCCCTGCGCAGATTGCTATTGTCACCCACCGTCACTGGAGGGCTGTCTGGCGCAACGGACAGTACAACTTCAGCCGTCTCTTCAAGTGCATCTTCTTCGAGATGTTTGTGTCTTTCACATTCTTCCACATCACAAACAGCAGCGTTGGACTTCAGAACTACATGCTCGGTATTCTACTGTCGAGTTGGGCCATTCCAATTATTGCTGCCGACGTGCATGCTGTCTGGTATGAGAAATGGTCGATTTTCGAGGCTCGCGAGCGAAACGGAATCTACGACTACAAGGCACTGCTCTCTGCTTTGATTATTGTGGAGATCCCCTGCATGATCTTCCTCTTCTCTATGAACTTCATCGTCTCATACTGGACTTTCGGATTTTCCAGCACTGCGTCCATTGCTGGCTTCATATATTTCATGCACATTCTTATCGGTGTATTCGGTCTCGGTGTCATGTATCTCATGGCTTCTTTATTCCCCAACGGAATTATGGCCGGTTACGCCATGTCCCTGTTCTGGGTGACATTGCTCATGTTTTCTGGTGCCGCTAATCCGCGTAGCGCACTGAACTCTTTCTACCACACTTGGCTATATTGGGCAGATCCTTTGACTTACTACTTTGAGTCCTCCGTCGCCACTGTTCTCCATGGGGTTGAGGTCCAATGCACCCCCGACGAGCTGGCCGTCTTTGATCCGCCATCCGGACAGACCTGCCAGAAATATTTGGCACGGTACCTTGATACGAGCTCGGGCTACTTGGTAAACCCAAGTGCCACTCAAAATTGCCAAACATGTCCGTATACGGTAGGAGACGACTTTGCAGAGGGGTTAGGTTTCATTTATGCTAATCGCTGGCGGGACTGGGCTGTGTTCTTGGGCTTCTGCTTGACGAACTTCTTATTGTGCTTCGTTGTTACATGGCTCTTCAGAGTGAAACTCCGCCAGTGGAAGAAATAGCCACCTCTCGGGGCTATACGGAGCCATCTTGTCATAGATCGCAGCTTCATACTCAAAAGATAGATATAGATAGACCAGCTTATTTTGGTATTAGAATTTCACCCGCTCCGCTTCTCAATCTTGAAAAATTGCCCTAAAGATTCTACTTATTTGTCGAATTTGAATTGGAGAGTTTGCTCTTGTTCACGAGCCATCTTTTCCAACCTTGGAAGGTTGTTGTAATTCCGAGAGACAAAAGAAATTAGTGTCCGCCAATCCTAGAGCAATTACCAAATAGACGAGAGCAAAGAACTGTCCTCCAGGGCTTCCAGATCTCAAGTGCTGGTCTTCAGGGCTGCTGAGTCACCACCATTCGGCTCCAGGGCTCGGATCGGAAAGAAGTGCAACCCCGAGGCCGCAATGGAATCATCACCTTGTCAAGCGCTGAAGATTACCGTGCCCAGAATCCATTGGTGGGAAATGTCCACTTCCAATCAGCCTCAGGAGACATCCGCGCACAGGTCCTCTCCCCGCGTCCTCCGAGCCTGTGACCGATGCCGCTCGCGTAAGGTGCGCTGCGATGGAAATTCGCCTTGCGCAGGTTGTCGCCCAGGTGGGCATGCTTGTTTCTTTCGTCCCCCACGGCAGACTCGTCAGAAGAGACAGCATACTCAGAGACTACCCTCAACATCTGCGCAGATCTCTCTTCCAGAATCGTCCCCAGTAATATCATCGCGCTCCACAGCCCGCGCGCTCCACGACCCAGTGCAGTTCAAACGACAAATGGAGCTTCGAGCTGGCATTGGTGTCACCAATGTGGACACAGGCTCTTTTCAATTTTACGGTAAGTTATCCGTATTGGTTGTTCCTTTTGCATTCGACTTGGATTATAGGGAGCTAAGTGGCTATAGGACCTTCATCTCATTTTTGTTTCATCCAACGCATGTGTCAGAGGATGGCACAAAAAACAAATGAAAGCATGTTTACTCCTAGAGCATCGACTGCGGACAGCTTGGGCAAATGGAATCTCGAGCGCTTCATGTTCTCGGTAGACGTCAATCGACCACTCAGTACCGCATCCGACGCTTTTATCTCACGCGAGATGGGCATCAAACTAATCGAAACTTTCTTTAAAATAATCCACCCCCAGATGCCGGTGCTCAACTATACTGAGATTATCGAGCAATGGGATGAAATTGGCAAGCCACCGGGGCAGCAGACCTCCAGAAAAGGCAAAGAGATCTTATTTATGGTGCTAGCTATCGGAGCCAGGGCTGCCATTGCTGAAGACCAGCACGATACTTCTGTGCTACAAAATTGGGCGGAGTACTTCACATCAAAGGCAAATGGTTTACACGCCACTTTCGAAGATCTCAGTCTATCATCTACCATTTTTCTGCTCCTCAAGGTAAGTTGCTTCTACGACCCCAATGAGTGTTGGATTTCAATGGATTTGAGAAACTAACGAGCTATGCAGACCATGTATGCCTATCAGGTTATGCGACCCAATGATGCTTGGCTGTACATAGGTCATGCAGCCCGTAGTGCAATGGCGCTGGGTATCAATCGACAGCAGGTGGTGAATGGAAACAATTCAACGATGCACTCCCTGAAACGCACTTTCTGGTTAATATACGGCTTTGAAAGATCATGTTCGATATACACAGGTCGTCCTTCTACCTTCCGAGACGAGTTGATTGATGCTCCATACCCTGAAGACCTCCCAGTGCCAACCACAACGGAGAGCACAAAGGGAGATTACTCGGGCCCATTACTACTATGTGGTTATGTTCGTGGTATGGCTGATCTTGGACGTGCAGCTGATCGAGTTTTCTTGGAAATTTACTCTCCCAAAAACGTCTCTACCATATCGCATCCCGTCCGAGGGCACGATGCTACGACCGAGGTCGAGGCGTTGCTAGAGTCAGCTACTCGTGGGCTCCCGCTCTATCTTCACTTCTTTGACACCATGTTGCCGCTAGGACAGGGGTGGCAGGAAATGCAACGGCTCTTGCTAGGGTGCACATACCACCTCGTCCGCATGCTTATGCATCGACCCGCTCTCCTCTTCGCTGCTCTCTTTGATTCAAGGGAAGAAGCCCAGAGAAACGCAGGTGAATTCGATATTGAGTTCTCTATCCGAGAAACAATAAAAGCCGCTAGAAACATTATTGATCTGACCCATGATGTCTATTTCCGACGGTATCCGCAAGCACGATATGATGGCTCATCTGCAGCTATTTTAGTCTCGGCTTGTGTGACGCTCTTGTACGACGTTCTGGATCCAAGAACTGGCGCAGCCCATGCCAAAGACGTATTTAGCGTCGTTGAACGAGGGGTCGAGTGTCTCGACCAAATTCACCACCTTGGCCAGACTACAGGAAAGTCCTTGAGCCTTGATGTTATGAAGATTGCCAAGGATACTCTGCGCTCCTCCACTGTTGATCCAGAGTTGAGCCAAAATTTGTTCGGTGAATTCCCCTGGCTACAGTATATCAGTCCTCCGGGAAATGCCCCCCTTGCTAGTACTTCGCCGGGCACCCTCGCCGTCCCTTCTTCTATGGATGCTCAACATGACTTCTCTCAGGCTCATATCCCGGAGGCAAATTACATGTCCCATTGGCTGGAAGCAGGCTTCGCTCCGGAGGATATCCCGAGCTGCTTGTTTTGAATAACAATTCAACCCGCGATAATGAATTCGAAGGCAAGTTGGATTTTCTGCGGACATTCCCGAGAGATAAAGCCTCGTATCCAATCTCAGCAGACAGGAACGCTGTCCAAAGATTGCTCTGTATCATCTTCTTTATATACTTTGGGGAGGTCGGTACTTTTTTCAATATAATTACACCCGTGGGCACTATATTATTACGTCGAAGCACCAAATCTCACTTCCAAGATTCAACTATACCCACTCTCAACTGTACGGTCTCGGACGAGCTTGCTATTGTCTACCATTTAAGCCGGCGTGAGAGACAGCAATTCCAAAGTCTGATGTAGAGTTTTGGGCTTTTCTATACTGTGTTCACATACCAGCCATATACCTCGTCTGAGCGTGGCTGCAGAAATGATTGCCAGCCGTTTGAGAAAGATTTTGAGTTCGCCACTGCTGAAGCATAACATGAACACCGAAGCATGCATTCTCTGCCCCTATCTCGGAAGACGCCTTCGGCTCGGGGCCTCGGAGCCTCGGAGTCAAGGCTTCAATAGCCGGACCTGGGCGATCTTTGTGCTCAAACTTTCGGACCCGCCTGAATATTTGAATATTCATCAAGTCTCCAGTTATCTCCTTGTCTCCAAGGGATGATATTTACCCCGTCGGTGCATTAGTCGCACCGAGACAAGTCATGCTCAGGAGGGGATGGTTATGGCCGTCATGACGAGGTCTATATAACACCACTGATCACGCGCCTAATTCCACCAATCCTCATTAGCAACACTTCAACGCAGTGAATCTTGATTTGAGGATAATATGGAAGGCCTTGGTGCCCTGGAAGCCGTGCGCAACACACGCGCCTACGGATTGCAAGTCTACAACAGAATCACAGCCCACCCCGACGAGGTTCTGCAGATTCCTTCTCGCGAACCTGGACGAGCAATCCGCATCCATGCCTACAACACCCTCAATCGTGGGGGCAAACCTGTCCCAGTGCTCATCAACTTCCATGGGAGTGGCTTCATAGTCCCTCTGCACGGTACCGATGACGAATACGCCCGGGCAATCGTCGACAAAACCGATCATGCCGTCCTCGATTGCTCTTACCGACTGGCTCCTGAGAACCCTTGGCCCGCGGCAGTTCATGATGCCGAAGACGTGGTCAAATGGGTACTCTCACGACCCGATCAATTCTCCCCGTCACAGATCTCGATTTCGGGCTTCAGTGCTGGTGCGAGCCTTTCGCTCATCATGAGTGGGGCAGTGTTTCCCCCAAAGACATTCCGGAATGTTGTTGCCATTTATCCAGCTACGGACCTGGCCGAAGACGCGGCAACAAAGACAGCTCCTGACCCAAACCCTTCGGTCGATGCTCTACCAGCCGAGCTGATGAACCTCTTCGTCGCTTGTTATGTTCCTGATGCCCAAGACCGGAAGAATCCTCTTGTCTCGGCTGCTTTCATTCCCGTGGAGAACTTCTCTGGTCGATTGTTGCTTGTTACTGGTGCTTGCGATCCACTTTGCCTCGAGGCAGAGGCCCTTGGTCAGAAAATCAAGGAACGGGGAAATGCTCACGTCGAAATGATTCGCTATGATGGCTGTGAGCATACCTTTGATAAGATTTACACCGAAGGGTCTGTCCAAGAGGCAGCGAAAGACGACTTGAACGCAAAGGTGGCTGAATTCATTCAACAGTGAGGGTCCAGATGGATAGGCTGGTTTGACGTCGGATATAGAAGCCACAGATGTATTCTACCATCTTGTGTATAATCATGTTATATTCGATCTTTAGAAGTTCATGGCTACCAGTGTTTTTTTCGATATTTCCCTAAGATCTCTGTACGGTGTAGTTCGGCCCGGACCAACGAGTTGCGATGAGCCGAGCCGAACGGTCTTGGCGGAGAAAACAACCAAATGCGGAACTTGTACTGCGTACGGGAGGTGATTGTTTTAATTAGAGTGAAAGGAATAGAACTGTGTATCGGCTGCTCATTTGATCACACAGTTGACTATCCATGTGCTTCCGATCTGCAAGGGGCAGGATATTCAAGGGCAGATTCTTACATCGCATCCCCAACCTTATTCCGACGGCAAACACTTGCAGACAGGGAGAACGGCGGCAGTCAAGCCCGGCGGATTCTACTAAGCATTGAAGTACTCTGAAATACGGCGTACCGTAATAGTACATTAATTTAGTTCTGAAATTTTGATTTCAATTGTTTTGACTTTGAGATCGACTGGGCCGCCAGGGCTCGGGAGGCACACGTAGATATCTTTGCTACCGGCACTCACGCCCGGGCGCTACTGCTTCTGCGCGGTGGGGGCATACCAACATTCAAGATTGGAAGGCCGGGATCCTCTAGATCACCGTATTCTACATACTAGTACTCCGTAGTCAGAATGTAGTAACTGGTAAGTCATAAATATCAACTGAATTCAATAACATATTCGAAGCACTCGAAAGATTTGAACGCAACAATCTATCAACAGAATCAAGTCCAACTGGGACTGTACATATATCTACTGTCATTCTTCTGCCACCCTTTCATCTGACACTGTATCCCGCTGTGCTGATGCTCCCGCATAGTTTCGGGTCTTCCATGTGTCAAAGGGTGGGTTGATCGACCTGGCCCAAGATTCTCGGTGCCAGGAGATCTGAGGCCTGCGATCGGTGATCACAAGCCACGCGTGGAACAATACCACGTCCTGCCCTGGCCGAAGTCCCATGGGGAAGCGAGATGTCCTGGGGATCAAATTCGGCCGAAGTACATTGTGAAAGTGCCTGCTAGCAGGCAGCGCGGACTCTCCGCGAGAAATGGAAACAAGGAAATCCTCCGATGTGTTCATACCAACCGTTTAGAAACGGCGACTCAAAATCATTCACGCGGATGGCATTCCGTTGGGGATGTGGTTGACGGCCTGGCTGGCCTCGATCTGACGGATGTTCAGACTCAGAGTGAACAGCTCCTGGAAACTGGCGTTCAACTTCTCATGGGCGGCATTGTCCTGGGGAGAAATGCTACCCATCTGCTCCATCAAACGGGAACGGCACTTGAAGTAGTTGCTCTCGGCGTTCTGGAGACGTTGTCCAATGGAGGTTTGGGTGGCCTTGATAGAGCTAGCCTGGGAGTGAACAGAGCGGGTGCGCTTCATGGTCGGAGCCGGGGTGGCACCGGTGACTCTTCGCTTGCGACCGGCAGTCTCCTTCTTCTTGATTTGTCCAGCACCGGGAGAGGTCTCAGGGGAGCTGTGGCGCTCGGAGGTGGCGTAGTCGTGGACACGACGCATGTGGTCGTAGAGGTTCCATCTCCTGGGGAATCCATTTCCGGGGACGGCACGCTCACATCCTTCCCAGAGGCAAAGGTGGGGGTTATCTCCGTGGCCATGGAGTCCGTGGGCTTCGCGCTCGTGACGGAACAGACACGCGTTGGAAGAGAAGCGGAGCTGAGCATCAATGCAGGCGGGAACCTTGCAGCGGTAGGGCTTCAAGTGGGAATCCAAGTACTTGCTGCGAATGGTTAGTTGGGGTCATATACCAAATGAAAAGATAGAGGAGGACTTGCTGGTAAGCGCATTTTTGCGTGGTGGGTGGGTGGTTGCATGGCTTCTCTCCAGTGGCGAAAGGGCAGTAGTACTTTCCATCGCTGTGGGTGGACATGGAATAATATTGGTGCTCTCGCGGGTTGCGAGCCTCAACACCTTCCTTGGACTTCTGACGAGTGGGCTCTCTTACGGGGAGGGAGGGGAAGAACTCTGGGTCGGCCTTGTGGGAGGCAGCTGGCAATGCTGAGCGGCGGGATTGCTTGGAAGGTCTGATGGTCCTACACTCTTGCGGTTAGGTCTCTCAACTTTCCATTGTGGTCAGCATCGACACTCACCTGTTCAGATCTCTTTCATTGAGAGATGTGCTGGGGAACAAGGGCTCTGTGGGGTTGATTCCGTGGGTTCCAATGGGTGATGTGGTGAAGTCTCCTCCAAGGAGAGAGTCGTCAGGGGCCATGAATGAGGGGAATCCCGGGTGGGAGCAAGAAGTAACAGACATATCATTGCTAGCTTCCGTCAGTGGAGGAGAGACCGGGACGGTCTGGTAAAGACCGGATGAGAATTGTTCCATGGTGGTTCCTGGGTAGTGGGCTCCATGCATCATAGGGGTCCATGACTCGGTAATGTAGTGGCTGTCATCGGTGTGAGAGCTGTGTCCAATGGAAAGGGCATCGTCTGGAGTGCCGTTCCTGGCACAGGAATCATTTTCAACCGAGGAGAAATCCAGGAATGTGCTATAGATATCCCGGGACATCTCAGGGTCATTCATGTCAGGGACTGCTGGGAAGTCCACTGGGTACATCACATCATTAGGTCCGACCGTGGGGGTCATCAGCTGCTGAGACAGCGAGAAAGAAAGCATGTGCACCTCGGATGGGTCTGTCTTCTGATCAAAAGATTCTTGGTGGTTCAATGTCCAGTTCTTCATGTCCTGGGGATTTCCATGGGCTGTCCGGATACTTGAGCACAACGAGGAGTTGTCATGGCTCGACATTTCATCATCTTGAATTGACCTTGAGGCAAGATTTGACATTCCTGAGACCATTGTGTGCATGGGCTGGGAGATGACTCGCTCAGAGTCACTGCTTGTCCTGGGAGACATTGTGTAATTGTATGTGAATAGAACACTGTAAAAATCAAGCGTTAGTAACCCACTCAACGTTTAAGCTAGAACAGATATCGATCAAGGAAAAGACAGCAGGAAAAAGAAAGAACAAGAAAGAAAATGCAAAGAGGTTCCATGTTCAGTGTGATTGCCTAGCAAGAGTCAGCATTGGGGTTCGGCTGTATCAAGATGACGAGTTTGACACACCAGAACCGTATGTGGAATGTGATACTCCAGGCCGAGGTTGTTTGGTCCAGGTGAAGTGGGAATTCTATGTTCGAGTCCAGGTCTGTTGTCAATCCAGGTGGTAAGTGATGCCAAAAAGAACAAAGGTTCGGAGGTCTATGGCCACGGTCATTATCGTGGAGCATGATCCGGCGGAGTCCGGACAAGTGTCAATCCTGCGGCCAGAAAGTTTGAAATGGCAGGTAGTAGGAATCAGGTATAAGTTTATACGGCCAGTGTCCATGAGTCCTAGGCTAAGGCAAAATTGACAGCGGCTGCTGCAATGTCCAGTCGAAAGTGCAAGCACATTAGCTTGAAAGGTTCCTTGGGGAGAATTCAAAAGTGGTTCCATTGTTGTTGAATAAGCGGCCATAGTAGCAAAAGGTCCAGGGAAAGCCATAGCAAAAGTCCATAAGGGGTTCATAAGGGTTCATCCAAAGGCGTTGTCTCCAGGGCAGGTAAGGTCCATAGGTCAATCAGTCCGCTCTCTGAACTCCGGTCTTAGAGTAGAGGCAAGGTCACATAGGAGAAATGTCCAGGGCAATCCAGTGGCAGTTTGTCGTGATGAGTGTGCATACATTAAACACATCTCAAAGAGATTCACTCAGCAAGAGCTGAGGGGCAGGCATCCTAGGCAAGGTGCATCCATGGTCGCCAATGCTGGCAGAGTCCGAGGGAAAAGTCTAAGGTCCTTGGAAATCCGGGGCAAAAAGAGGTCGAGATCCTTGGCAATCACAGCTGATGGGTACAGGTCCAGAAAGCGAGCAAGTAGAAAAGCACAAGAAGCAACGCATAGGAAAAAGTAAAAACCAAGTAAAAGAAAAGGTGACGGCAGCTACCTATTAAGTGTTTGTCGGGTAAGAGTTGACAGACTAAAGGAAAGCCTGGGAAACAACAAAGCAAATCCTGTCCTGGAATGTGGCAGAGAGATCCTTGTGGCAGATATTGCATCAAAAACCAGGGGAATGAGTTAAAAGAGTTGTCCTCGGGGTCCAGGGACTGAGTCGATAGATATAAAGTCTGATAGAAGTCGAGATATCTGTTGTGAAAGGGGTATCCAAGTTAAGGAATAGAAAAGAAAGAAGAAGGATGGAGGGGGATCAGCGGCTTTTTAGCACGCAAGCGAGAAAAAGCTCGGACTGTGTGTGGAAACATGGCGTGTGCCAGTCTCGCAGGCTGCATTAGACGAGTGCGCTGCTGGCAGCATTGAGAACCAGTACTCTGGACTGGCGGTGATGGAATCTGCAGATTAGGGGGGGTGTTCGTTCGGCTGAGTGGAGGGAACCACTCTAGCGGTGAGACAAGGCCGGCGGTTTGAATCCTTGGCGGGGAGGATGATTGGTGATGAATCCTGGCTGACGCTGCATGATGACCGAATAAGATGATCGGCAGGTTCCGCGTCGCGTGTTGATGAGTTGTATTCGGATCGAGGGGAGGAGAAGACTCCACGTCGAGAGACGGCAAGGCACAGCGGTAACTGCGGAAAGGTAAGATTTATGAGTGCAGCCTGGAGCATATCACATATCACACACAGTGATGCAACAAGGCACGACTACAAAGAATACAATAAAATAAGAAAATATAAAATATAAAATATAAAAATGATATTAAATGATTTATCCAAGAATTGTAGAATGTAAGATTACTGGACGCCGGGACGGGGCGAGCCAGCCCCACGTTGGGCAGCAATGCCTCCTATTTTTTTCTGTCAGCCCAATTCTTCTCGAAGGTTGGAATAGAACAATAGTGTGTGGGTGTGTGATATCAGAAAAATGAAAGATGGAATATGTTTTCGTTCAATAGCCCGAAGACCTCAGGTGAACTATGCTTTAAATATTTTGGTTCATCATAAAGGGGGATGCCCTCGACAATGGGAAGTGGAAGGGGAGGATGGAAAGCTTACCGGAAGGGGCCGGAAATGAGTTGTCACAGACTCAACAAAGAGCCCATGTCACAAGTCGAATGTGATTGACGGAGAAAAGTGCGTAGGAGGAAACCTGCACAGCCGCGAAAATCAGAAAAATAGGATCGGGTCACGTGGTTGGCCTAAGCGGGTGTGGGTTTGCACTGTTTGTCTCTGGCCCCCACTATCACCGGCCTCCTCGTTCACCTGGAATCTTGGCATGGATCTATGCTTGCATCATGAACTGGACAGGCGGCCAGTTGCAGCGTCATCACACTCGCTCAGGGCTTTTGACCAAAGCCCAGAAGCAGAACTTCGCCAAATCTAGACTCAAGGGCACGGCCATCCTCCCGTCTTCCCCGTTTCGCAACTTCCCAGAGGGCTTGAGCACAGGGAAGGATGACGCAGGGAAGACAACAGCAGACCGAAATCAGTCAGTCATGAACTGTCGATTGCGCAAATTGGCTTTTCAATACGTCCGGCTGTGGTGCTAACTCTGTCCGGTCGAATCTAGAGCTGAAGAGCCGGTTTCACATTGGCCTGCACATCGCCCTGCACATCTGACTGGCCACGCCTCGGATGCCAGCGAACTGGGTGAAATCAAGCGGCAACTCCTCCAAAAATCCGATTGGGCGGCTGTTGCAGTGACACGCCCCCTTGAACTTGCGTTTACGTCCACTGAGGAGATAGAGCGCTTCGGCAAACGACGCAGACTGAGTGACATGGACAGAAAGCGGATCTCTGACACTTCATCGCCATTCCGTGAGATGCCAAGCTATCGACGAAGGAATTCGTCGTCTGTCATCGAGACTATTGAAAATATTCAGATTGAGATTAATGGTCGACCAGTGATGCGGTCTCATGACAGTTCGAGGGCCATTAACAGTTTGTCATCCCAATCCATGCTGCTCGACCATGAAAAATCCATCACTCCTGGCCAAGATGTGGAGAAAGGGCATATGACCGCTGCCTGGATTAACAATCTTTCTCGGTCGGTGTGACCCTGGTTTATTGTCTCATTCGGGCACCTCGTCAGCTGCAATGGAATACCTAGTACCATAATAGTACCATACTCTATTTCGTACTGTGCACTCACAGGTTAACTTCCAAAAGGTTTGGGGACTTACCTAGGTATGTGATCTTTCAAAGCCTCTGGGGCATTTAATCTCTCGAGATCCTCTTTTGTTCAAGTCCACGGGTGGTGTGTGAATATTGACCCAGCCAATCTTCCTTCCATGGTTACCTAGGTATGGCCTTGCAACTGGGAATTTTCCGGCACTTGAGATGGATATATTTGGACGGGAAGGACTCGGGAGAACTACGATGTACATGAGAGTGCACCTACCCACCTAGGTACGGACCACAGACCTACTATGTAGCCTGGAGGTACCTAGACCTCCCGAGTCGGATCTGCCCAGTGATACTACATAGGTAGGTAGGTAATCACGTAGGTAGTTATATATTTTGATCAAAGTTCTTCGAATCGGTGCTCCGGTCAGACCTCACATACCTAGTAAACCAACCCATAGGTAGAACCTTGAATATATCATTCAATAGTAAACTCGATCGTCTCCCGAGGTCGACGTCCACTTTGTAAGTGTAAATAGTTGTTCCTGGGAGGTTCCAAGGTTGCTGCATGCGGAAACACGTGATCCCCCGGACAACGCAAAGACGTCATCTCCCGAGATCCAGGGCTACCCGCTCATCGCCAATCACCAACCCCAGGGCTGACCTACCTGCCGACATCATACAAACATGCGCTCCACCGCTCTTCTGGCCACACTGGCCGTGGGTGCACTCTCAGTAGCACTCCCTCACACCTCAGAGGACGTCCAACTACCGCTGGTGATATGGCACGGCCTAGGCGATGACTTCGAACGCGAAGGCCTCGCCCAAGTCGCCGAACTAGCCGAAGAAACCAACCCAGGCACCTACGTGCATCTCATCCACCTAGCAGATACCGGAAGTGGCGACCGCTCAGCGACATTCTTCGGCAACGTGACCGAGCAAATCGAACTAGTCTGCGAGCAACTAGCCGCCGATCCAATCCTCAGCACCGCGCCAGCCATCAACGCCCTAGGTTTCTCGCAAGGCGGCCAATTCCTGCGCGGATACATTGAGCGCTGTAACGCGCCCCCGGTCCACAACCTCGTTACATTCGGCAGCCAACACAATGGAATCTCGGAATTCGAGTCCTGCAAGTACAATGACTGGATCTGCAATGGTGCTGAGGCCTTACTCCGTTCTGGGCGGTGGACGAGCTTCGCGCAATCGCGCGTCGTACCGGCGCAGTATTTCCGGGATCCGCGAGAGCTGGACCTGTATCTTGCTAACAGCAATTTCCTTGCTGATATCAATAATGAGCGCGAGGTGAAGAATGAGACGTACAAGAAGAACTTGGCGTCGTTGAATAAGTTTGCCATGTTCATGTTCGAGGATGATACAGTTGCTGTCCCGAAGGAGAGCGCGCTCTTCGCGGAAGTGAATGCTACAACTGGTGAAGTGACGGCTTTGCAGGACAGAGAGATTTACCAGGAAGATTGGTTGGGTCTCAAGCAGCTTGACAAGGCTGGGCGATTGGACTTCAAGACTACGCCCGGACAGCACATGCGCTTGTCAGAGGAAGTGCTGCGTGATGCTTTCAAGGAGTATTTTGGTCCACTGGAAGATAATTGGCGCACTCCTAGTCTGATCGTGCAGCGCGGTTCTTGAAACCTTTTGTGGGGACTGCCATTATTCGAACTCCCCTTTAATGATAACATTGGAAGCGTCAGGCGTATATATGACACTGACATATGGATATCCAACCCTACAGTCAGATAGCTGCATAGTCGTTTACGAAATCCAACCAATATCGTAATCTAGCGCCATCTATTCTGTATATAAAGTAGGTACAAAAGCCCGGTACATTGCATAATTGCCATAGCAAGGTTGAATAAAATGTTTTGAAAGATAAGAAACGAAGGCGCAAGCTTCAAACATATGCAAGCGAAAGGAGGGACCTCGGAGAGGGGAAAGAAAAGAAAATATTTTATGCAGTCAAGGCAGTGGGGGAAAAAGTCAAAAAAAAAGCAAGAGAATTATAGACATATGAAGACTCAAGAAGCGAAATCATGCTTGTGAGATGTACAAGAAACATAATCAGTAAGGTGGTCTTCCGATGCCTCCGCTAGCCTGTCGTCTGCTGGGGTTTCTACCCAACGGAAGCCTGGAAGCGGTTCTCGCAGTGGAAGGACGACCTTTGAAACTATCATCTGGCGAAAGGAATCCGTCTAGAAGTTTCTTCAGCTGATCTTGATGGGTCCCGTCGAGGGCGTCAGCCTCGTAGCCGTTCACGAGCTCGGGGATTCCAGCCCCAGCCAAGCTGTAGTTTGAGCGACTCTTATTGCGGTTCAAGGGTTGAATAGCGAGGTTGCCTGAGGTCTCCTTTTCTTTTTGCGAGTTTTGGCGCGAAGGACCAGGGGCTGTGGATGGACGGTCGGAAGCTAAGGAGCGCTGGGAGTCGTTGGGGAAGCCTCCTGGGATTGAGAGACTGACTGGGATGGGTGGTACCGGGGGAACCGCTTCGTTCGAATTCACCCGGCTGAGAGTTGTTACATTTTGATCATCGCTTAGGAGGGCAATTGCAGCAGCTGAGGGGCGGGGTGTTTCAGCACCATCGTCCTCAGGAGCTTGCGGACCCTCTGGCTGGACGGAGGCTGCATCGCCATCAATTTCAGAAACGGAGAAGTTGCCACTGTACATGCTTTCACTCCCAGAGGAGCCGATGCTTGCGTTAGATGGATCGACTTGGCCACGCAGTGGGCTCAGTCGCCGATTTTGCGAGTCGTGAGTGACCGACAAAACACGCCGAAGGTCGTTCATACGAACCGGCGACCCCTTGCTCGAATCTTGGGATGACGTGCCAGAGATCTCGGGGATGCTCAAGCGATTGTTAATTTGTGAATCGGCAGGAGAACCATTCGCGACTCCATTGGTTTGGTTGCGCGCATTCATAGTTCCAACTCGGGACCCGCTGATGGAGATTGTTCTGGCACTTTCTTTTTCGACTGCGGCCAGGCATGCTTCACGGGACCACTGAGAGAGCATCTGTTCTTTTGTCACAGAGGGCAGGCCACCGTCGGTTTGGGACAGTGTTGTCGATGAGTGTCCGATGACGGGGAACGTGAAGCCCCGTGCTGGCGATGTTGGGGGACTTTGTGGGGGAGAAGAGATAGATTGACGATAGGAATCGTCAATCAGGAATACAAGCCCATCAACATTGCGGAAGGGCGACAAGGGAGGTGGCGAAGTATCATTATCGGGTTTATGATCGCCCGCAAAGTCAATTTCCTCGAGGCCAGTCGCCGGCAGAGAGATTTTGGAGAACCAATATCCCTGGCTCTGGCGGTGTTGAATTTCGTTGGTGATCTCAAGGCCTATGGGGGAAGACTCCATGTTGAATTTTCTTGAAAGTGCGAGGAGATATCCGTGGATCAAGCTCCCAATGTTCACACGGCCTGCGAAAGAACTGAGCTCGATCGAGGTGAACAGATCTTCTTGCAGCTTGAGAACCATTGGAAGGCCAAACTGAGCAGCATTAACCCCGAGTTTCTCGACTAGACCTGTCAAAAGCAGGTGCAGCAGGAGGACCTCGGCTTCGTTGGTGGAGGAGTCAAGTGCAGAGTCATAGATAGAGAGGTGAAGAAGCCGAAGGAAGTTGGATTGGGCTGCCATAGCCACCGATTCTCTTTGGTTCCCAGGGGCTGAGGTATTTCGCCAACTGGACTTGTCTCCTTGGTCTGACTCTCTTTTTGAGGAAGTTTTGATGTATTTGGGAACGTCGACCTGGGCCTTTAAATTGTTCTTGGTAGTCTCAAGTTTCAGCCAAGACAAGAAGGCATCCGCGTAAGCGTAGCGAACCTCACGGTCTGCGTCACGAACAAGACCATGAGTACCCTCCCATACATGAATACCGACGGGATGTCTGGATTCTGCCCCAGACATGGTTGACGGGGTCTTTGAGTGGGCCACGACCAAGATAGCTTTGATAGCCCGAAGGGCAGTCAGCTTAGCCGTGGCATGCGAGAAGAGCTCCGAATTTGGCTTTTCTCCATTTGTCTCCGAGGAAGATCCAGATGCAATGTGCGCCACTCCAGCTTCGTGGACTGTGGCCAAGGTTGATGGCGCGGAGCTGTCATGGTGAAGAGTCGGCTTGAACCGTCTCAGAATTGCGCGCATCATATCCGCAACTTGCTCTCCATAATAGATGTGCGTTGCAAGATCTCCAATGCACTGCTCCAATAATGTGAGAAGATCCTGTCGCCGAGGTGAGATCGGGACTACATTTTCCAATGTATTGGGCTTCTTCTCTGACAGGCCTGACCCAGAATGATCTGGTGGAGACAGAATATCGGAAGCGTAGTGCATAAGTCCGAATAGAATATCCATGACACTGAGTCCAATCATGTTCACAGAGGATCTGAGAAGCCAATCAACCACGGACAGAATAGTGAATGATGACTCCAGCGCTTCCTCCTTGGGGCTTGTTTCGTGTAGAAATTCCATCGCCGTGATCAAGATGATGAAACGGACTTGCACGGGACACCAGTTCGCGATCATTTCAATCAGTGAGGTTCCCCAATTGCCAGTCTTTCCATCAATTGTCTGACTATGCTTCTCACTCTGCGGGAAGCCCTTGGTTGAAATGAATCGTAGGATGACAGTAACCGCAATACGGATTTGACCACGGTTACTACCTGACACAACAATTTGCTCGAGGCAACGCAAAGCCATGACTCGTGCGTCCATTTCGGCCTTCTTGTCCGCATTCTCTGCTGACTGGGCGGCTAGCTCTGGATCTCCCTCCGCCGTGTCCACCGTGTGTACTGTGTTGACACTCATGCGGCGCGGTTTGGGCCCATCACTGGGTTCCGATTCATGAAGCTTGGCCTTCAACGTTTCCAGAAGATCCTCGTCGCTGGAATACAAATTCTCAAGGATGACAGGTAGACAGAGCTTCAACGATGTCCCTCCATCGGCCGCCAAGCTCTCCGAGCTGACTACGCCTTTGATGGCCCGCAAACCCGCATTTCTCCACCGAATCGCGACCTGGGGGCTGAACTTTGTGTTGGCATCGGCCACAAAGGCTGGATCGGCGAAGCTGGCGTAAGTCCGTACGACTTCCCGGTATTGGTGCGCCAGGTCCTTGTCTGCCGCAATGGCCGCAATGTCTTGATGCCGACAGAACACCTCGAACGGCACGATCGATTCCTCCACCATTGTAATATCATTTGATCGGAGGACGGTGTCGACGACGGTCATAACGGATCGAGCGTAGATCGGCAGATCGCGAGGGACTTTTTCGATAAGCGCCGCAAGAATGTGAAGTGCCACTTGGACATTGCTGCAGAAGGCGTCAGTCAATTCTATCCCTCCTCGTCACATTCCGGGCTCAGTAGATTTACTCACCCTATCCTGCGTCTCCAGACATCTCGAGCGACTCTTTTTTCGAGGAAAGCGCCGACCTTGGTTAGCTTGCTGCGGCGCGTACTGGCGTAGTATAGCAAGTACGAGAGTTCACTCGGATTCGGCCTGACCTCCGCCACACCCTTCTGGTATTTTGGATAGCATTTCAGGGTCAAAACCTGATGCTTTGGCCGACAAGACTGGCGAACAGACTCCATTGGGGAGTGTTGCGCAGCTTCCCGGTGGCGGAGTTTGAAACGAGAGCGCGACCGTCAGATGAGGATTACACCGAGGACAACCCGAAGTCCGTAAGGCCTGTTGGGTTCGTAGAGGGTTTGAATGTTAGGTCTGGATGGCCATCGAAGGACGTTGACAGAAACGGTCGACGAGAACGGGGGGGTATGAGGTAGTGTTCAGGGCCGATCTCTAGGGGGAGTGGGGCTCCTGTCGTATCCCCGAAACAAGTGCCACAAGAGCACGGAGTAATAAAGTGATCGTTCAGAAAAGACCGGATCAAAAAGGCTAGAGATGAGGTTGTGGGTTTGAAGAAGAGATTGCTCTGATACTCAATGACGGAGCTCTGCAAGGGTAAAAAATCCAGGTTGGGCCGCGGGACGTCCGGGCATAATACTGTCTGACTCTCGCGTCTTACTTTTCTCTCTCTTTTTCTTTTCGCGTCCCAAAATTGGGCTTGTTATCAATCTGCAATTTGCGGTTTGCTATGTGGTATCTACATATTCCGCGGATACAATTGCTTTTCCTTCTCTGGGGGTCCGAGGAGATCAATCACAGCTGGAGTCGCAGTCCTACACATGTCCATTTCGGGAAATCATGCACTTCCAACAGCGCTTGGATCGATGAACCTCCCCCGCAGTACTAGTGCTATTCCACTGCAGGGGGGATTGAGGCGATGCTTGAAAATGGGTGGTGGGATCGGCAAACCTCGGTCGCACATGGAGCATGATTCAGTCCCCCGCCTGAAGCTCATGAACCGAGTTTGCACAAGGCAAATGTCGCGTGTGGATCCGTAAGTAGATTGTAGTGAGCCATGGGAATATTTCAGTCGGGCGCAAAATCCAAGCAAGATTCAAGCAAGATTCAAGGTTCAGAGCAGCCCGTCATGTCTTTCCATTCTGACCGTCCGGTTGGTTGTCTGCAACTGCAGTGTCGGCCTCGGCTGGAGCTTCAGGCACATTGACCCCGATCAGGCCTTCAATGACCTGGGGCAAGATGATGTCGCGACGGAAGTTATCTTCCTGCAGCAGTCTGAGCGCTCGAAGTGTAGGACCGGGGTGAGTGAGGAACTGGGAATATTCTGGCGTCTTCCAGTAGGCGTAGAGGTAGGCTAGGTAGGCTGCGAATGCCTGTGCATCTGGGGAAGAGGAATCGTTGTCATCATCACGGGAGATCCCCAGGAGATTGGGGTAGGTGACGGCCAAATGCGATAGATAGTATGGGTTGGCGAGGGATGAGACAAATTCGAGCTCGAGCGTAAAGCGTGGGTTCGTCAAGGTGGGAGGAGGCTGTTCTGACTCCATGTTTGCTGAAACGTGAAGCGTTGAAGCGTTGCAAAGCAAATGATTGGAGGCTCTTGGAGCTTCCGAACTACGGCAGACGGTAGCGTCCACCCGTCCGATCTCCATCTCCATCCCATCTGTACTCCTTCTATTGACCCCTTCTAGAGAGTGCCAGAATTCAAAATGGATTCTGATCAATTGAAGGATTAATTTGGCTAAACAAGGTCTCTCTCAAAACAACGATACTGAAATGAAGCGCAAATTGAAAGCACATTGGTCAAATGTCTCATGCTTGAAACGGCTTCCAACACCCAGCTCTTCCGAAGGTCTTCTCAAACGCACGGCCTCCAGGGCTAAAGAATGACTGAAGAAAATAGAAAGAACGAAAAAAAAAGAGTTAGTCTCGATACCAAGTTTCGTGTCCCCTCCCAGCGGAATCACACCCTGGATTTTGCCTTCCTTTCAATCACAGAGGCTACCTGCTCCGCCAGGCCCTCGCTGTATTTTCCATACAAAGTGATCAAGCCTTTTTGCACCAAGCCTGGGATGGCATAATTTGCAATCCAAATGGAATGCTTTGACTCTGCCACACAGAGAAGCAGCAATTCGTCCTGTATATCTTGCCAAGTGCCAGGGTAATTATCGACGGTGACATTGCCAAGCTTGAGCAGCACTTCTTGATCGCATACATGGCACTCGCCGTTCGTGGGGAATGTAGATTGATCTTTGACGGATCGATCAAAAAACAGGCTGCCGGTTTGCTTGTCTGGGTTGTCATAGACAAAGAGTGCGTAAGGATTCGAAGTGTGCTCGGCATCATTGACTTTCACAAGGGATAGCTCGTAGCTTTTGTGGGCTGGTAACTCAGATAGAGAATTTCCGTGGCTGTGTGATATTTGGATAGCCGGGGAAGACATCATATTGACCAACTTGAGAATTGGGACCCTGGAGATGGATTGTTGAAGAGGTGGTGAGTGCGACGTAGAATGGGACACTGATTTGATGACAGACATGGCATTTTATATGTCATTTGAGGGACAAGTTGACGCCAGGCTATACACAAGTCGCCAAATGAAACTCATAGTGGTTTGAGTTATTACCCAGCGTAGTTCCATCCCGAGGTCTACTGTGTAGACATGAATACCAACCATCAACAGAGTAAGACTTGAACGATCACCACAGTTCTGATGTTTCCGATGAAACATTTGTCATGACCAGGTGCGTGGATGCTTACAGTTTCGGAATAGGTATAGGCATCAGATAGCATCATACAATGTTTATTGGTTCGTCTAGGAAGACCCTGCGCGTAAAGGACCCAGCGGTTGCCCAGCAGTTCAGGGATAAAAGAATTTACGAAGACCAGGACCAAAAGATTAATGGCTGATATCTTTGGAACAAGTCTTGGAATATAGCCAAGTCTACACACCTCGCTGAACTCGAGTTTGGAATGAAACGGGCGCCTCATGGCCCCGTGAGATCTCCATGGCTCCCGAGGTCGCTTAAATGAAACACATATAAAATGCCTGTTATGACTTCGTCGCATTCTCTATGAACTAACAACCAATGATGTCGAACCCAACTAACCAACAAAAAAACAACATATTCAAAAGAAAAGGATCCCCCAAAACCGTCAAAAACAAACATGGTCTTTGCGGTGGGCAAATACAACAAGGGTGGGAATAAGAGAGTATGAACTTGTCCAATCTTCTGATCCCTGTTAGCGCTCTTGCGCCCAAGGCTCCAAGTAATTTTTCTTACTCACTTGGGCTGTATCACGCAGTCCAGTCTGCCAACATCTCCCACCGTGATAATGAGCTCTTGCACGGCTTGAGCAATGGGCATCTTGGGGGCATCTTGCCCTCCCGCCTTGTCCTCGATGAGTTCAGTAAGATCCATGACAAGTACTCTCTTAAGGCTTTGAGTCCAAATTGGTATGATGAGATCTAACAGCGGCTCAACTTCCTTCTCAATGTGTTTCGGAAACTTCAGCGCGAGAAGGGCGGTATTTTCATCGGGGGCCCCCAAGGCTCTGATGCACTCGAGGTGTGTTTTTGGAAGATTGATCATATCTCTCATCATTGCTTTCCAGATGCGATCATAATATTCAGCTACCGACTCCATACTTCTGTGTGTGGGGGTTTCAAGTTTGCTGGGCAAGGTGTTGGTGAGAAATGTGGTTGAATAAAGTCTGAATAGGATCGTAGTGAAGACATGATCTGTCGTGAGCATTGGGCTTTAAATATGATTTGGGCCTGATAAACTACAGAATTGTCGGCTGAATGGCTTTGAGCCTAACAATGAGCGAGTCATTACAAGGTTCCTGAAAGGGACGAATTTCATAAAAGGTCCGAGTATATTATACCAAAACCAAGCCAACATAACAAATTCATTAAGACGGCAGCCAGTAGACAAAGAGTTCGCACAAAGTGCTGAAACTACTTTCGTGCCATCTGCTCTATTTAGAATGTCGGCGGTTGCTTTCATAGCCTTGAGATTGCAACGATCTTGAAATGTGTCAACTCTGGTTCCGATTCATACAACCCTTAGACTACGGACTCGATAGATCAATGAGGATACTGTCTGTAGTCTCTTTTTTATCCAACCAGGTAAGTTTTATTAAATGCGGGTTCAAGGTTGGTTCAGATATTAATGTATTGAATCTACTCCGTAGCTCTTGCTTTCTCATGTGAAGTTCAACCACCTCCTTTTACTCCAATTCCAAGAAATTGATGGTGTTCCGAGGCTACCTCTGTGAACATACACTGTAGCCAGTGACATATCACCCGTCACATTCTCAAAGGTTCCAATACTGTCCAATATATTGATTAGTGGGTGGTATTTTGAGTTCAGTTGTAGGTAAACCTACATCCCTCGTCTTGGAGATCGTCCATAAGGATACGCATGGCTCCATGGGTGCCGTATTCATGACAAGGCATTTCCATCCCTTCCAACAGCTCGGTCCACATGTCAGGATAAGCCCCGAAATATGTTTTGAAGGTGGGTACAACCATATCAGTCTCCAATGCGATCAGGTCACTGAAAACATACAGTTTTCCTTTGAGACGGTTGATGCCGAAGAAGTAAATATCACCAGATGTCAGGCCGTCAGCAGGGTGCTGTAGTTGGACAAACAGCCCCAGGGTGCCTCTGTGAGGAACAATAGATACCTCATAGAATCGAGGATTATAGCTGTGTTTGAGAAGCATGATTGCTGGTTGTAGATGGAAGTGATATAGAATGAAAGAAGAAACTATGGACCTTTCAAGCGTCTTTAAATGTTCCCCAAGGCAGACTTTGCTACTAGTATCTATGGGCTTTTGTTTGAATCGGGGGAGTTCTAAGGTTGGTAACTTGGAATGGGAGACCAATAAATTGGCAACACGAAAGCATCGCATGAAATGCCCTGCGTCAACCGCCTCACTGCCTCAGCCACTCCCAGTCCCTCAGTGCTGTCTCAACCCCATCTCACTGGACAAAACCTTTTTTTCCACAACAGGTCCAAGAGCCTCTCAAAGCCCTCAGCAGCCTCAGCCAAGCAAAAATTTCATAGTTGAGCCGGACTTGGAAAGTTTCCCTCCCCTCTTTCCAGGTACCGAGATAGCCATTAGATAAAACTGATTGTATACCTGCGGTGCCGTAGATAACATGATAAATACCTAGGTTTATACTTGGCTGCCATCTCGCCAGGAGTACTTCCTTCATCTTGCTAATGATGCTGGCTTTCCTTGTCCCCTCAAGCTTTATCCCGCGTGAGATCCTCAGACAACCAGATAGTGCCCCAAGATTCCATATCCAGTTCAGACACGACGGCCCTGCATTAAAACATAGCCTCAAACTTACGGATCCATAGATCCCACAAACTCACACTTCATGCCTGCCCAAATTGCTGGATTTGTGAACCAAGTCCCGTTTTGGTCAAGTCTGCCTCTTCGAACATTCGCTCCAGTCCAATACACAGATCCCAGCAATTATAGCCCCAGCATATTATGTGCAAGGTTAGAGGGAGAGGAATAAGGCACCAAGCAGGCCCGCCAGGTGCTGTACTGACATCCGGAGTATAGATCCCGGGACCTGACTTCCAGGGCTGAGCAGTTCTCAGTTATAGAGACGTGCCAAGAACTTCAACCCATTGGATGGGAAAGGAACAGGGCTATCTACCATTGAGCCCGTTTGACGCCGAGTTGATCCCTATAGGCACCGTGTGACGTACAGGCACCAGCTGGGTTGCCAGTCCTAGAGCCAGTCTCGTTTCGAGCAGCCTGAGTTGACAGTGGCCCGGGCCTAGGTTGCGCGCTAGAGGATGTGATATACGGAGTATGGCACCAACATTTGAAGGTATAGCGAAACTAGTAGGGTGATAGTGAGCATCTCCCAGCGGTTACGAGTGGTCAATGTCCCAATCGGGATACTGTATGTAGTACCTCGGAGCATTTCTAGGGCAAGCCACAAGTGGATCTCGGAAGATGAGTGATATCATATCTCCTGCAACCTATATGCACGGCGCTTGGGGAACGGGGGCCAGTGCGCAATGCTGCGATGCAGACTGCCCAGGTGGACGAGGAAAACTTCCGGCGGTATCTCGTTTGCATTACTGTGCTACGGAAAAACCTATAGAAACCAACTATTCAATTATCCCGATGAGAAGAAAATAGCACGTGGTAAGGGATACAAGTCAGAAAGCAAGGCTGAAAAGAAGTACAAGAAGGGAAACCCCCGAACTCCAGATCATATAGCCATAGTCCTCGACTAGGGCATGGTCCATTAATGGATGGTGATCTGAGAAAGGCGTGAATTGATCTCAGATGAATGCCATGCCATGTTGGGCACCGCTCGATGCCTGCAGGGTATTACGCGTCGAATCATCATTCGAGGTAGGAGGTGGGTGAAGACTGGTTTGTTGATTAGGGACTTGCCCTGTGACCGCAGGTGATTCAATCACTGGTGCGGCGTTCAGGCTTGGGTTTGCGCAAACTCTTCATGCGGTTCAGGAACCCGCCGCCACCGGGGTTGAGTTTAGACTCTTCATAGCGGTCATTCGTGGGTTTGCGCTCCAGGCCAGTTGCTTGTTTGGGACTGCTGGAAGATCGAAGACGGCCACCGCTCTCCATGCGGGCTTCGATGCTGGAGCCCTTCTTATCCCATTCCTCGTCGTAATCTTGCTCCTGGAAGTATGGGTTTCGTTCGTTATTTCTGGAAGAGGCCGAATGGCTGGAGCCGATTGCCGGAGGGGGTGGGGTGGAGTATTCAGGGGAGGTAATACGACCAGGGCCGGTGGTTCGGCCGCGCAATCGCTGTGCCAGACTCTTCTTACGGGCAAGGCCTCCGTTGGGTGCGAGGGAGCTCTCGTTCTCGCTCTGACGACGGGCCATAGCGGAGCGACTTGCTGGCGCACCATCAAGGAAAGTGCTGGTTCCAAGGCCCATACTCTGGGTCCCGTGGACAGGGTCCACACGGGCAGTAGGATCGAAGCTGTTCCCAGAGTCGGCGTTGCGGCGGGCAGCAGTGGCGAAGTCGTTGTGTCCCTCCTCCGTTCGGCCATGGAAGAGGTTCAGATCGATGTTGGAGTTGTTGGGGCCGGTGCCACCAAGGGCCATGTTGGTAGAACCCTTGGGGAAAGCCTGCATTGGCGCAGTGCGGACACCGCGGCGATTGCGGTGGGGGTTGCATGCATCGAAAGGACCGTCGTGGTGGAACACTGTTGCGATTAGTAGGCGATTCAAAGCACCGCGGAGGAATCTAGCACTCACTTCCAGTACCGTAGATGCTCGTCACATCCAACTTATCAATGATATCTAGTCGGCGGTCCTTCCGACCGGATCGCGACTTGCCATCTTTGCCATCTTTACTGCGACCCTCGCGCTCGCGGTTACGTCGCTCTCTGCGGCGCTTCTCGCTGTCATCGACATCCAACAAATTCGATCCGCGATCCATCACCGAGGACTCTGAATTGCGACGGGGTCGGCGGGGCGGCGCTCGTGAGCTGCCGGACTTGGATGGGGGATCGGCGAATATGTCCAGCGGGTCATTAGCTTTGGATGGGGCCGGTCTCTGCGCGGGGCGCTCTCTTGGGGGTCGAGTGCGGGTGGAAGCATTCCGATCGTCAGACGGTCGGCGATTTGTTTGCGGGGCGGGTTTAAGGGCAAGGTTTTCCTGTCAATCATGAGCACAACTCGCCCACTGGTAGGTGTAAGGTTTCCGACGTACAAAGAGTTCACGGGTGTGACTGGAGATATCGGTCTTCTCGGTTGGGGAGACCATCGCGCCGGAGGCCATTCCAGGGGCTGACTGAGGAGACAACGCCTCGCTGTCGTCTAAGAAGGGATTTGTCGACCGTGGTCGTTCCGGGCGAGTGTTGGAAGAAGAGACAGATCCCGCGACTGAGGGAGACAGGGCGCGGTTGCGGAATGGGTTATTGGAGCCAAAACTGGCGGCTGTGGGAGAGGCTTGGGATTCTGTCGGAGATTAGCTACTGGAGACCAACAGGTGTTCCACAAATATTCCACCGATGTTCAGGGGAAGCAGTCGTCTTAAGACTCAGGAGGTGGTGATATTCCGGTGCGACCAGGGGCAGAGCGTTACGTACCTTGCGGGGCGAGCGAGACGCCGGGTGCATACCCAAGCGCTGGAGGGGCATTCATTATCAGGGATGAATGATTTTGAAACGGTGTGGGTGGAGAGAGGGTGTTCAATGAGAAGTCGCGTTAGGTGTCGCACGTATGCGGATTGGAGTGGCAGGAGGTACTGCTGAAACAGTGGATAATGACAGCTGACAATCGACGCAGCGATCACACACAGGCCAGAGCCAAAGCAGGTTATATTGAAGTCAAAAGGAGGAGATAGGGTAAAAAAGGAAAAAGATGTGAAAGAGAGACCGAGGGGGGGGCAAGGGGAACACGGGAGGCGAGGGTACGTAAATTAGTGATCGACTGGAAATACTTGTGCCTGGGCGATCCCCATTCCTCAATTATTGTGGCGACGAGATTTCGACTTTCTCAGATTTCTGTCTCTACAGTATACACTTTTTACTGCATAACCTACCGTCTGAAGGTTGGCAATCCAAGTCTAGAATCCATGTCCTGACGCCGTAACACCCCATATTAAGGGGGATAGTACCCGTGTCCCCATCATGTTTGACGTTTGATCAAACGGAGCACGGAGCACTGAGATATCAAACTCCAGATGGCCCAGCAAAATTCGAAATCCCCGAGGCTGGAATGACCGCATTCTTCGCCTTTGATGTCATCCCGACTCCCTTGATCTCGAACTACAAGGGAGAGGTTCCTGATGCTCCCTGCTGGTCCCGCTGATTCCTGTTGGTTCCTGGTAGGGCTGGCGCCGGAAAAGGCAAGATCCTGAGATGTAACCTGGAGAAGTTCGACTGCCGGAATATGGGAGCCAATGCAGTTGGAGAACATTCCTCGGCCTGGAATGTGAATGAGGTCATTTCGGAACTTCACGCCCCCCGCATGAGACAGCATGTTCAGGTCAGAGCTCACGGCTCTCGCGGCCCGTACTTGGCACTCCGCATCTCCGACACTAGTCTTCTGGCCCTAGACCAATTTCTACATGGGGAACTCTACTGTATTAGTATACCTTTCGGGTGAAAAGTCCCTTGATACAGACACATGGGCGCGGATGGTGCTCGTGATTGCGGAAGCACATTCGGCTACAAAGTACATTATATAGCCTTTCCAAATGTGTGATACACAGAAATCAGATCAGTGTACGGAGTATGTAAGAAGGCATTGAGCTTCAACTCCCTTGGGCCATTGACATTTCACGCGCAAACGCACAAACCCGACAAAAAGGTGGAGTCAACTGCCGACATGAATAACCCTCGTAATTCATACATTCCCCTAAGCCTTCTTATCATTGGTATCACCATTAGTACGGAGTACAGTGTCCAGAATGAACAAAGAATATCTAGCGACCGAGCAAAAGGGCTTACGACCGAGACCTCGGATAAGTGGCACGTGGGGCAGAATTTGAAGCTCGTTCATGATGCTCACAGATGCGTCGTGTTCAAAGCTCTTGCAACTTCTAAGCTTTCACACCTGGAGTGGCCATTGCAAATTTCAACTCATCTGCGAAGACCTCGACCTGGCAAATCTGGTTGTCCAAAGATCTCACTGTTGGACTAGTTGACCTTGAACAATCATACTAACACATCAGACCCTAATCAATTGCTTTCCACTGACGCAATTACGAGCATCCATAGAGACAACTGAATAGGTAAGACGTGGGATAGAATCTGACAAAGCAGGAGAGCTCGAAAAAGTTGCGACGCAGAAAGTGAGAACGATAAGTTTGTACGGAGAAGCCTTAGAGCAGAAGAAAACAATTTGTTCGCGGACAAAAGAGGCTCCCGGGGTCACACAGGCCCCGGGGCGGGGCCCTGGGAGTAAGCGATCTCAGGGCCCGTGGACCCGTGGACGCTTCCAGCGTTACTCACATCGGCAGTCCCAAAGCCTCAAGTGCTAACCTGGACAGTACTAGGTATATGAGTCCATGGGTGGCGACAATCTTTCCCAATTCAAAAAAGTGCAGGTATGGGAAGACCTTACCGCCACAGTGGGAGAATGGAAATCAGGCGCAAGTTACCGAATAAAGACATGAATACGCCCAAGTGGATACGCAGTCTGGACTCTCCACCATGCCCGCAACAGCTATGGTTTAGTCTTCATTTCAAAGGTTGATGTAGCTCTGATCTACAGAGGTAACTGGAGCAAAAATTCCGCACATGAAAATTGATATGATTTGTGATGCTTCGTGATCACATCCATGAGCAAACCCGTGGACCTAGACAAGGCTTACTGAAGCCTTGGAAGTCTATAAATTTGCTATTCCCCCGGCAAGGAGAAAGAAGCTCGCAAAAAAGTGCAGTGATCCCATTGGAACATTTAGCTCCGAATCACCCCATCGACCTATCAAGATGTCCTCTGGCAACCGAGTAACCCTCAGCTCTGGACAAGAGATCCCGTGAGTTGTGATTTTCCAACTTTAAACAACGCTGGGGTCGTCTCAACTCATCGCTCGACTTCTCAGGACCCTTGGATATGGCACTTGGCAGTCTTCCCCTGGAGAAGTATCTACCGGAGTATACGAAGCCCTGAAAGCTGGATATCGTCATCTTGTAAGGACCGACCACCAAAAACTTCCAAGGTCTTGATCGTTGCTGACAAAAATAGGACCTTGCAAAAATGTGAATTGAGGCCAAAAGCATGATCTCATTTGGATGAGCTGACTTTTCAAGTTACGAAAATCAGGTAGAAGTTGCCCAGGGCATCAAAAAGGCCCTGGCGGAAGTCGCAGGACTCAAGAGAGAGCATATTTTCATCGTGAGTGTGCTGTGTTCAATCTGTGAAAACCATTTACTGATTGGTATAGACCTCGAAGCTATGGAACAAGTATGTAGAAATGACCTCGAGGGCTTTATTTCCACCATGTTCTATGAGCTAACACCTAAGCAGCTCTCACCATCCAGCGGACGTTGAAAAGACCCTTGACAAGACTCTGGAAGAGCTTGAGCTTGATTATCTTGATGTACCCAAGCCGAACTCGCTTTTTGAGGACGAGTACTGACTGGTCTCAGCTTTATCTCATTCACTGGCCAGTTGCCTTCCAGAAGACGAGCGACAACCAGCTTTCGCCTATAGACAAAAACGGCAAGGAGGTCGCTATTGACAACAGCGTCCGTCTTGTTGGTACATGGAAAGGTCTGTGTAATCAAAAAGCAACATGTTTTACGCATCGCATCGGTTGAGTATAGCTGAGACTAACTCCACCGAGCAACAGCCATGATCAACCTGCCCAAAAGCAAGGTTCGCGCGATTGGGGTATCAAACTTCACACTCGAGCATATCGATGGCATTGTGGAGGCTACAGGCGTAACCCCCGTTGTGAATCAAGTTGAACGCCACCCCTTGCTTCAGCAGAATGAAACCCTGGTGAAGTACGCCAAGGAAAAGAACATTCACATCACTGCCTACTCAGTAAGTAAATGTGATCTCCCCGTAAGATGAGTCTTCTACATACTAAGCTCACTTATCCAGGCTTTCGGAAACAATAACGTTGGTGCACCGCTCCTTCTGGAGCACCCTTCTATCAAGCAAATTGCCAATGAGCTATCAGCGACCCCTGCCCAAGTCCTGTAAGATTTCATGTCTCGATGCTTTTGACTGACTCAGGCTAATTATGAGGCAGTCTCGCCTGGGCTCAAACGGGCGGACATAGCGTGATTCCCAAATCTGTTACGCCCTCTCGCATCCGGTCGAATTTCCAAGAAATTAAACTCCCAGACAGTCATGTCGCAACAATCAATGCCATCGGAAACCAGCCTCGCCGTTACAACATTCCCACTCAATGTAAGTCTGACACCCCGAGTGATGTGGAGAGACCGTTCCTAACCGCGTGGAAGTTGTTCCGCCATGGAATATCAACATTTGGGACGAAGAGTTGGAGAAGGCAGCTGCCAATTCAGTGCTTGTCTAACTGATTGAAGTGGAAGTTGAAGTGTGATTGCGCGACAAGGAAACGAGGGAACGAGGGAACGAGGGAACGAGGGAACGAGGGAACGAGGGAGAGAGAAAGACACAGAGAGAGGGAGAGACAGAGACGTAACCCGGCCCAGATGGCAAGCAGGGGAGATGGAGAGAGGCTATATTACATACCTCCTGCTTTGGACTTTTGTTGAAGTAGGACTTTTAGATAGCTCATCATGACTTTCCCAATAAATGTATGTTTCAGTGAAAACTTTGTCCACAGCGAGTATGCCTTCTTTGATGTGCCTCATATCAACAAAATCATAAGTGCAGAGTATGAAGAGTCCAATTCTTCTATACCTAGTAAAAGTAGACTTCCACAATTGGTTTGGGCCTGGACTACGGAAGCCTGAAAACAGCCCTGGAGGTAATTGCACTGCGGTGGAAGTGACTATTTTCACACCTGGTTTGTTTCTGCGGTAATACGATTAGGAATCCGATTGAATGGACTGCCCTTGTGGATCTTAGACCTCAAGCACCGATTGCAGAGATGCAAGCTCATTGGCTCTCATCTACTGGCGGTTAATTACCGCCCCTCTTCCCCGCGTCAAGATAAGTTCCAACGTCGCTGGCACTTTGCACATCTTTCTCCCTCAAATCTGCTCACATCATGCCCCGTCGGGTCCGCAAAGCTCCTTATTCCCGGGTGGGCTGTCTGACCTGCAAGTCACGTCACAAGAAATGTAAGATCCGCCGGTGACTGCTTTCAATACAATTAATCCCGGGGTAATTCTCTCTGGTCTTCCTCGTTGTTACTGACCGAAGCAATAGGCGATGGAAACAAACCAGAGTGAGTTTGTTTATTTGCAGGAAGGTCTTCAGCAGCTCACAATGCTCCCCACAGATGCAACACATGTCTCCGACTGGGTATGATCTGCCGCCAAAGCGATGAATTTCGAAACCACAAGGCACCCAGCAATGTTGCATTGGCCTCGATCTCTTCAGCAGGGCTAGAGGGCCAATGCTTCACCTTCTCAGCGGCAGCCAGCCCTTCCACGCACCCACAATCGACCACAGAGGGTCCCTCGGATTCCGAAACAACCACCAACGGGGGCGATATCTCATCTTTCGGTACCAATACTCCAGATAATTGGTACAATGAGCCATCATCACGATCTCCTTCCATATCGCAATTAATTTTCAGCCCTGATGATCAAATCACATCACTTTTTACTGTTGAGCGAGAACATTTGGACGTCTTAGAGGCACAGGCTTCCCCAGAGGAATATCTCATTCCGGGGAAAATCAATTCCTTCTCTGACCTGTCTCACTCAGATTGGCAGAACTATCAATACTATGTCGAAAAGATGTCCGATCTAATCCTCAACGGACATGCCCCTCAGAATCCCTTGCGGGTTGTTGCGATCCCCCGCATTATGTCGTCGCCTGTCTTGCTACAAGCAGTCTGCTCGATTTCCGCCCAACATCGTGCTAACAGCAGCTTGAAAGGCAGAGCACAATATCAAAGAGCAGCAGACTTATATTATTTGCGAGCTTTATCGAGCCTAAAAAATATGATCCCGTATGTGATGTATCTTCAAACGTCAGCGGGATATCACGACCCTGAGGCACTGGAACATATCCTCCTCATATCAATATTTCTTTGCAAGCACGAAATCATCAAATCTGGGGTGGCAAATTGGCGCGCTCATTTGGCCGGAGTTGAGTTATTTTCTCAGTTCCTAGAGGATCATGGTTCCTGTTCGACGGAGACAATCATGTATGCAAGAAGTTTGTATGTCTCTACGCCCTGATTGTCTCGTCATTTGATCTCCAGCTACCACAAAGTTTGATCAATTACGCTAATTTTGCACCAGCGTTCAATATCATCGGACTATTGCCAGCATTACTGAAGAAACAATCATGAAAGTGGGCAATGCCCATCACAAGCCTCACATGGAAGAATACCCCTGCGACAGCGCACGATATGTTATTGACCCATACATGGGGCTGTCACAAGATTTGATATCTGCTTTACATCGCGTGACTCGCCTGAGTGGATTCCCTGTTTGTGAAGAGAGTCAACAGGTGGCTCTTCAATGCGAGATCATGTCAATGTGTGCAAATTCCCCCGCAGGTCCAGGAGCTACGACTAACTCGCTCATAGAATCCAGGTAGTCAAAGAGAGAAGTTGGAACTTGAAGCTTGCTTTCAAACCTGTCGATATGTCACCAGCCTCCATCATCAACCTGATTCATATCGCTAGAGCCTATGAACATGCAATCTTTGCCTATCTTCATTCGGTCATTGACGATCTTGCTGCAGGAGATATCAATCATCTCGCATTATGGCAGGATCTCCATGCTCAAATTCCTGCTAGTCGCAGCGCAGCAATTGCGGATTGTCTGAAGGAGATGGATGAAGTGCCAGTCAACTCCCCGGAGGAGCCTGGACTGTTGCCGCTGCTTTTCATCATATCATGTATAGCCGAAAATGCTGAAGATACATGGGTTATCCTCAACAGGGTGAAACTTCTGGCTACAAATTTCTGCCTGGGCAACATGAACTCTATCAGTTCATTCCTGGGTGAAATTTGGTCTAGGCGTATGGATTCAACGCAATCCGATGCAGTTGGCTGGCGCAAATTACTGGCAAACTCCAAGTGGGATCTTATGCTTTGTTGATGCCTATATACACGACGACTGGCCTGGTGGCCGAGCGATATTGAAAAAATAGACTCCAAGCTTGTACAATTAATGAATGATTTTACCAACATATTTTTCATTAACGCAATCAAACCTTCCAAGGTCTCGAGGTCACGTCAAGCCCTGGAGCCCTAGAGGGAAGCATGGTTGGTAAATCTCTAGGTATGATGAAAAGAAGGGAGGGGAAGCAAGATACCCGTGGACCGAGAAACTATTGACTCAGACTCTGTCTCCGTCTCTCATCTTGGGATAGCAGCACTGCCATCATATTGTCTACTGTAAAGCAGGTTCAGCCGGGCGTATTCTGAACCCGTTACGGAAATGTGGAGCTGGTGGTGCAGGAGGATGTGGGACTAGTGGCGAAGGGCTTGGCAGCAGATAGTCCGATCACACTACGGAGTACAAGGGCGTTTTTGAATGTGCTAAGTTCGTGGGTAGATTGTGTTTAGGAAATTTTACTTCATCTGGCGAATCTTGCGCGAGGATGCTGAGAGCATGGTGGTCGTATCTTTTTCTACTTCCACATCAATCATGGAGTACTGCCCACTCCAAAGTGCCGACACGAGTATAAAAGTCATGCTACATTCCGAAATTACACCTCCATCAGTACCTTGACTTCTATGTTTTTGTCTTCGTTGACATTCTGATCCCACAATACTTCCGTCCTCTCATCTGTTCAACAAAATGGCACCCATCACTCCTATCAACGCCCCGCACCCATTCGACCCTTTGCAACCAGGTGAAATTCGACTGGCAGTTGCAATCCTTCGCGCTGCTTACCCTGGAGTGCCACTCCGTTTTAAGACCGTCGATGTGCAAGAGCCCATCAAAAGCGAGGTCATTCCGCTCATCGAAGCCGAACGCTTAGGCCAGCCTCTCGATGTCCCTCGCCCAGCCCGCCTCGTCTTTTCCTATTTCCACCGAGTCGATAATGGAGTTTTCTTTAAGGCGTTGGTGAACTTGAACGACCGCAAAGTTGTTCAAGTCACGGAGCTCCCAGCAGAAATCCAAGGGCCTGCCGACCCAGACGAGCTCGCCGAGATGGAGGAAGTTTGCCTCAAACACCCTGCGGTTATCAAGGAGATTGAAAAGATGAAGCTTCCTCCTGGGATGACAGTCTGCACCGATCCCTGGGTGTACGGCACAGACGAAGAGGATGAATCTCGCCGATTGTATCAGTGCTATATGTTCATCGTGCCGGTCAATCACCCCCAAAGCAACCATTACTCGCTTCCATGCGACTTCTCGCCTGTATTTGACGCAAAGACAAAAGAGCTTATTCGAATGGATAACCTTCCCACTAGGAATGACCACACAACCAAGGAGACACAGCCATGGAAGCCTGTCAAAGCTGTCGAGTACGCGCACGACCTCTTGGATCAACCTCACCGGGATGATCTAAAGCCATACCTTGTCCAACAACCCCAAGGTCCTTCTTTCAACGTTGATGGTCAACTTGTGGAATGGCAGAAGTGGCGCTTCCGAGTTGGGTTCAACGTCCGCGAAGGCATGGTCCTTTACAATGTGACCTATGACCGGCGCAACGTCTTCTACCGCCTCGCCCTTTCAGAGATGACAGTTCCGTACGGCGACCCTCGAAAGCCTTACCACCGAAAGCAGGCCTTTGATGTGGGTGATGTGGGTCTCGGAATTACCTGTAACCAGCTCACTCTGGGTTGCGACTGCCTGGGCCACATCAAATATTTCGACGGCTATCGGACAGACTCAAAGGGAAATGCGGTTCCGTTGAAGAATGTGATTTGTATGCATGAGCAAGATGGGGGCATTCTTCACAAGCACAGCAACTACCGCAACCAACTAGCCACAGTGGTACGCAATCGCCAGCTTGTTGTCCAAATGATTTGTACCGTCTCGAACTACGAGTACATCTTCGCTTGGATCTTCGATCAGGCCGGTGGCGTCGAATATGAAGTTCGCGCCACTGGCATTCTATCAACCATGCCCATCGACAATTCAGACGGACTTACAGTTCCTTGGTCAACCAATGTCGGCCCCGGTGTGTCGGCTCCGAATCATCAGCATGTGTTCTCCCTGAGAATCGATCCTGCCATAGACGGCTTCCAAAACACAGTCTTCTATGAAGAGAGCGTGAAGCTTCCCAAGGAGCTCGGCATTGCGGACCCCTATGGAGTGGGATACATCAGCGAAACCTCAGTCATCGACCAAGCCGGGCATACCGAAACCGACGTCTCCAAGTCACGCGTCTTCAAGATCCGCAACGACAGCATCATGAACAACGTCAGCCAGAAACCAGTTGCTTACAAGATCTCCACCGTTGCATCTCAGCCAATGTTGATGTCTCCTGATTCGTTCAATCGCAGACGTGCCCGGTTTGCGGAGCACCCCGTGTGGGTCACAAAATACCGCGATAGCGAGCTTTACGCTGCGGGCGAGTTCACCAGCCAGAGTACCTCATCCAGCTCTGGTCTTGAGACTTGGGCGGGACGCGGCGAAAATGTTGTTGATACCGACGTTGTTTTCTGGCACACCTTCACCCTTACTCATAACCCCCGCCCAGAGGATTTCCCTGTCATGCCCATTGAAAAGATCAGTGTGCATCTCAAGCCGTCTGGGTTCTTTGAGAAGAACCCCGCCCTGGATGTTCCTCCTTCCAACCAAGAGTTCAACAAGTCTTGCCTTCACAGTGGCGGTGGATCTGGCTCGTGTGTTGGAAAACTGTGATGGCTTCGAAGAGTACTCGGGAATATTAGTAGATTTTTTTTGGTTGAATTTGATCATACTCAAGGAGATAGCTATGTCATGACTCAAATTCCTAGTCTCTTCAAACCTTTTGGATGCCCGTTATTGTCTTTTGGAAAACCTGTGTCTTTACTATTGCTAAGTATCAGCGTATCTCTCCAACGCTCGGTCTAGTATACAATGAAATACATTTTTACATTTCCAATTCTATGAGACACGAGATTGATTGTAATAGAAGCCCAGCCCGGGGGTCTCCCGAGTCCCTAGATCTTAATAAGAAAATGTTGTTAACAAACAACCTGGGCATTAGACTACCTGCACTGCAGACCTTAACTTCACACACCACTGCCAGGTGAGTACACCTCCAGGGCTGCATGGCTGACATGTCTCAATCACCTTCTTAGGCTCTTCGTAAGTCAAACGGGTATCGCGTATTTCAATATGGTTGATTCAATTGAATCAGGAAGAGCCTTACAATGTGGTAGAGACTTCAGGTTATCAACGAAAACACAATTCAAAAGCAAGAGGCTGAAATACAGGTAATGCGTAGAGAATCGACAATCAAAAGTTTTATGTACTTTTCTAAATAAAAAGTAGTATCTATCTCTTTCATCATTTTCAGATGTCTTAAGCTTATACCTGACGCAACCTTGAAAAGCTCACAGCATACTATCATGCTTGGTGATGCGGAGTGCATTCTCGATGGTATACGCTGCATGAAGCAAAATATCCTCGTGCATTCGCTTTGCAATGACCTGCACGCCAACTGGCATACCTTGTGATACCTCGGGAAGATAGTCTTCCAACATCAGCTTTTCAAGCTCTGTCTTCGGTCGGTAGTTCATCCCAGACAAAGACCGTCGATCCCAGTCACCGATATAGCTGGCCCCGGGTACCGCAATAGCAGGGTACTGGAGTAGATTCCAAACTGCAGTATAGGCCCAGTATGGCGTTGCGCCGAGTGGTGGAGCGGTGCTTGGAGTGACAGGTGCCAAGAGAACATCAATGCCAGCCTCGTTCCAATGGGCATTGTACTTTTGGCGGAATTGGTCTCTTGCCATCTTTCGTCCTTGCATGGTTGGAGCAACGCGACTCGCGTTTTCTTGGCATTGGCGAATAATCCACTCCGTCATCGGCAAGAGTGGCTCGTTACCAGCTTGACAGATATTGCGAATATCTGCTCCGCCATCTTCGAAATAGTTGGCTGAGATGATACGCCACGCTTCCTCGTGATCCAAAGGCTTGAATGGAACCACATGAATTGAGTGATGTTTCCCAAGTCGTTCTTGGAGTTCTCTCATGACAGTTTGTACAGGCGGGAAAGGAGAAACGACGCCATCATCCACCAAAATCCCAACTCTGAGAGCGTTGGCAGGTTTGTGACGTGGAGAAAGGATATCACCTGGAATGAGGGACGCATCGTCCATCCATGGCTTCGTCAATGAGTAACTCTTGCAAAAGAGCTCAATGTCTCGCAGTGAACGTGCAAATGGCCCTAGTGTTCCGGGAATGGAATCACAACCCGGGGATGGAACGAGTGCCCCTTCCCCGCTGATCCGACCAATGCTGGGGTAAAATCCATAGGTCTGGCATCAATATTTCGTCAGCTCTGCATTTTATATGCGGGGTTCTCCCACAATCGCGACGACTTACGCCATTCAGGGCAGCCGGGACCCGTATGGAGCCTCCAATATCACCTCCAATCCCGAGCGGAGTCCCATGCATAGCCATCAAGGCTCCCTCTCCACCGGTACTACCTCCGGCCGTCAATCCTCGGTTCCGAGGATTGACCGTAGCCCCGTAGACGTTGTTAGACGTCTCCAATTGCATCAGAGACTGGGGTTGATTAGTCCTAGCGAAGACAACAGCGCCCAGACTTTTTAGCGATTTGACTATGCTGGCATCCTCGGTACTGTGATTGGATACCATTGACACAAATCCAACATTGGTGTAATGCCCTGCAATGGAAATTTGCTCTTTGACTGATATCGGCAGGCCGTGAAGTGGTCCGATTGGCTTTCCGGTTCGAGCTAAGAACCTGTCGCAGGCCTTCGCAGATTCAATGGCTTCAGGAATGAGCTCTGTAAGGCAGTTTGTCTGCACGTTGTTAGGTATCCGGCTCCATTCGAAAGCTTTGGGCCCCCTTTCGTGGGTCAGGGCCCCGAATGACTCACACATTCATGAGCGATAGTAGCTCGTTTCCTGAAGGCTGTGAGAAGAGCTTCCGCGCTGACTTTGCCATTCGCGAGCATCGTGACCAGAGCAGTGGCATCGTATTTTTCGGTCAATTCTAGCTCTGTCTCGGTCAAAAGCCCACACGATCGGGGTATTCCCATCACATTTGCTGGGAGCTCCGAGAGAGGGCGTTTGAGTCTTGCGGTGGCTTCAAGAGAGTTCTCCCGTATATTGAGAGCGGGCTGAATCCGCTCAGCGAGAGTTGGCATGATGACGGTCTCCGATGTCTGACTTGAATCTGGGTGGGATGGTGAGATAGAAAGTCGAAGAGATAGCCCTTCTTATGTTAGACTGCACGCCCAGAGGCCCCCACCGGGAAGCCACTGGGCACATTGTGAGAATGGCCACGGGGTAAAAGTCTGGAAGCAAAAGACCGATATGGAGAAGAGCCAAGTACACGGTGGGTCGGCCAAAATGCGGGGGTTCGGCGTATCTCAACCCTTTTTGGGCGACTTCGGTCTTATCAGAGCTCGTGTTGAAGTCTGAGATGTCGGTAGCGGCCTTTTAAGAGAGATTCGCTTCCCCGCAAATAGCTTGTATCGAGGCGACTATCATTGATTGGATGCAGCGAATCCTTGGACATTACAATGTCAGTATCTACGACCTAGTTTCGTCATATCACCGGGGCGTACATTATTTTAGAAGCACAAGGAAGTATATGAATCTTCCAAAGCTATGAGTACTAGATTCACGATACACAATCCAAGGGTATTATGTCCGACGAAAAAGAGCATTTACAACGGCAGTGGGCGGCACTGTCATTCGGCCTCGCAGTGCTCTTCGATGCTAGAAATAAATTGGAAGTAGATGTTCGATATATCAAAGCTCCTCCCCATGAGCAATTTGCATATCGAGTTCCAAGCTTCACCCCGAACGATCTCCACATATGTGCTCTTTGTAGACCCGATAACGAGGCATCAAGACTTGGCCTGAGCCCAGTCGCCCAGATACCCATCCTGTTTTTATACCATGGACATGTATGCCGCGCTATCCCAGTTTTTGTATAGAACTCGTACAAGCCATGAATTAGGCAAATTTATGAGATTCATCATAGATCTGGTCTTTCTAGGTATGTCTTGGGTGGCGACTGACGCGCGGAGTGCAGTGCCCCTTGAATCTCGTTCGTAAAGAATCCGAGCTTGGTGTTCTCCAAACAGCCGAGTGGTCTCTCGTTATCTTGGGTCCCCGCATCCGGGGGAAAGGAGATAATTGTAGTGAGGAGTGTAATTACCCATTGTGGCGAAAGATACGCTTGTCTTCCTCAGATCTCCTTGCGTGAAAGTCTCAGAGCAAGGTATATGTAGATATCCCAAAAGCACAACCAACTCCCACAAATCCTACAGCTTGGTATTCATTGACGGGGAAAATAATCGAAAGAATCATCAACTTGAAAGTTCACTTATGGAGGTTTTTCAAAGAGTGAGAGGCAAGCTTGGCCTTAATCGTGCCTACGCTCAAAACTTGGTGATGGGATGGTGAGTTGCCCTATACTTTCTTTCTTCTTGATTTGCTCTTACTCAATACATTCAGTATCCTTTTCTGCCTCCCTGGAATTTATATTGCGCTTACTGGTCTTGGAGCAGGGGGTGGAAGGCCAAAGGCCCAAGAAACAGCCGCTCTCACAAACAGGTTCGTGAGCACAAAGTCTGCTCAAGACTCAGTTGACTAATTGTCACATCCCTCAGTATACTTTATGGTGTCTATACTATCGCAGGGTGGTGTGCAGGTCCGGTTCTTAATCTGCTTAAGCCAAAATGGACCATGTGGGTTTTCTTTCCAGGGATAGACCGGACATGCAAAATCTGACTACCTTGCTTGCAGTATCATAGGTGGCATCTGCTATCCTCTTTACGTCGGCTCACTCTGGTACTATGATAGAATAGGTGGACAGGAATTTCCTCTCACAGGTTGGTCACACTCTCTTGTGAGTCCTGTCCCGTCCGTTGACTACTAACTTCATTCTCTAGCCGGTGCACTCCTGGGAATAGGTGCTGCTCTGCTATGGACGTCTTCTGGATTCATCCAATTTGCCTACCCTGAAGAAGACCAAAAGGGCAAGGTAAACCAATCCTGCCTATGGGTTACCCTCGTTTCACTAATCAAACCATTATGTCTAGTACATTACTTTGCAATGGATACTGTGCTCAGCAGGTAGCACGGTTGGTGCTTTGATTGCGTTTGGTACGACGGTCAAAAACACCGAGTCTGCTGGTGTTTCAAATGCTGTCTATATTGCTTGGATAATGATCATGACTGTGTAAGACTCCACCTGGGCAAGATGGGCAATGAACCACGTATCTGAGCTGACTCCAACAAACAGAGCACTTGTGGCAGCATTCTTCTTGATAGAAGACCCTATCAATGTTGTGAGAGAGGGCGGGCAGCATATTGCGATGTTCCAACCACCAACATTAAAGAACGAAGTCAAAGGGATTCTATCCGTGATGATTGATCCCAAGGTCGTGATTCTCCTTCCGGCTATGTTTGTTGCTGAGATGTGTTTGGCGTTGACCAGCAGTATAAATGGTGGGATTCTCTTCTCTTCAACCTCGGAAGCCTCGAGACTGTGCTAATAAGATGGCCTCTTAGTGTATTATTTTAATCTCCGAACCCGATCCTTGAACAACCTCCTCTTTCAGGCCGTCATGATCCCAAGCCCACTCTTACTGGGCTGGATCTTGGACAACAAGAGAATCCAATCGAGAAAGTTACGCGGAGCCATGGGAACTGCCTACGTTGCAGTGATCACTATAGGCGCAACATGTGGTCTACTCGCCTGGACCCTTGAAAACAACATTAGCCGCTCGAACGACTCCCGGGCAGTGGATTGGAAAGACAGTGCTTTTGCTCCGGGCGTCGTGCTTTATCTTCTGTTTGGAGTCATCTACGCTTGTTTCCAAATCATCGTCCAGTGGACGCTCGCCGCGCTCACAAACGACCCTGCTCTTTGCGCCAGGTATGCCGGGGCTTTCAAGGGTACCGTCAGTCTAGGAATGTGTGTTTCGTTTACCGTTGACTCCCAAGGAATGTCCTTCAGGAACCAGATCATCATGCAGCTGACTCTCTATGCCTCGGGCGTTTTTTGTTTGTTCTACGTGGTGCTCGTATACGTGAGACAGACCAACTATTTTGTTGAAGAAGGTGTCATTGTGCCCACTGGTGCTGAAAACGCACTTGAATGCGGAGAGGAGATGGATAAGAAACAGAAAGACTAATGATTCCGGGCGACTATTGCATGGATACTTTATGAGATGCACTGTTTCCTATACCAATCCCGGGGCCTTGGATGTAAATTAAAAATCGTTGATTTTCATTCATTAACATATCATGGTCTTTCAAAACGACCCTATCGTAAACGCCACACATACAAAATGCAAAGATGGTATAGGACACAAAATAAACCATGCAACTAAGCCCTTTAGTATGCAGTAGGAGGAGCGCGCGGCATGTGAGGATTTGAGATGGGGATGCCGGCGCGACGCTTCGACTGCGGCTTGGGTCTGGAAAGGGTGTACTTGGCGAAGGCACGCGAGAGGGCCTTCTTGCAGCTGACCTTCTGGCTGCCAATGAAGGAGTCCACAGTGACAGCAATGGCGCGGTCGATATCCTGAGCGGAACAGTACTCGGACAAACGCATCTTGCAGAACGATTCGGCAATACGCATGATGGCTTCGAGGTGACGGACCTGGTTGTCAAGTTAGCGTGTGATATAAGTAGAGAGGCGATGTGACTCACTGTAATGGGGTATGCGCCAGTGGCAAGAGACTCGCGACGCATGTCTGCAAAAAGACGGGCGACCTTGTCCTGGTCGATTTGGTAAAGCTTCGGGTGGCAACGCTCGCGGGCATACATGATGTACTTCCGCAAAAGCTCCTGGGGAATCTCTCCCTCCTTCTCCTCCTCGGCTCTTTGGGTCTCTGCCTCGCGTCGAGCCACCTCTTCCTGGGTAGGAGGGAGGCGCTGGCCACTGTTGTCGATACGGTATCCTTCGTTATCGACGCGGTGGCCATCGGCATCGACCATTTCTCCGTGCTCGTTCCGGAGAGGACGGGCAGGGTTAGCGCGGTGGTGTGATTCAATCACGAAGTTGGCGAGACGCTCGTCCTCGGCGGGGTCAACCAGGTCGCGAACCACACAGAGGATATCGAAACGAGACAAAATAGGGTCTGTCAGATCGACATTCTCTGAGAATGGGATGGAACTGTTGTAACGACCACCCTTGGGATTGGCGGCGGACACAACGGCACAACGAGCCTGAAGCGTTGTCACAATACCGGCCTTAGAGATGGAGATAGTCTGTTGCTCCATGGCTTCGTGAATGGATGTTCTGTCCTGGTCGTTCATCTTGTCGAACTCGTCAATCAGACAGGTGCCGCGATCAGCCAGCACGAGAGCACCTCCTTCCAGTGTCCATTCACTGGTGAGAGGGTCACGACGAACGCTGGCCGTCAAACCGACAGCACTAGCACCCTGACCAGTAGCGAAGACGGCTCGGTGCGCTGTCTTCTCCACATATTTGAGCACCTGCGATTTGGCAGTACCGGGGTCACCAAGTAGAAGAACGTTGATGTCACCACGAATGTTCATCTTTCCTTGAGCCTGTTTGCTAACACCACCAAAGAGTGAAAGTGCGACAGCAGTCTTGACATCCTGGTGGCCGTAGATACTAGGAGCCATGGAACGAACAATCTTGTCAACAATTTCCGGGTCACGGGAAAGCGCCCGAATTTCACGTTCGTCATCTTCGGTCAAGTTGAAACCAGCCATCTGATCATGGGCCTTGACGACGTGATTGGCCTCGATGACAGTAGCGAAAACAGGGAAGCCGTTCTTGTTGTTGAGCTGGGCATCGTAGCTGTTGCGGTAGATACCGGTGATCTCGATTTCATCACCAGGCTTGGCGTTATCAATCAGATCGGCAAGTAGAACAACCTCACGCTGGCGCGGCAAACGACCTGCGGGAACTGAGCCAGGTGATTCCTGCAGAGTCAACTTCTGGTAGTTGCGGTAGACTGTCTTTTCAGAGTTGACTGTGAAGGGGCCACGAGACTGGCAGTTCTGGCAGAAAGAGATCTTGACTTCCGCGCTGGCTTCTTGCTGGAACGGACCCAGTGACATGCCACACTTTGTGCAAAGGAACATGATGTACTTCAACTGCGGGAAGACACCGGTTCGGCGAGTGACGACACCACTGACACGAACTAAACAGTTGAGGTGCGACTGGCGCAGCTGACGGAGGGTGTAAATGATGGGCACATCGGTGATACGGACGTGGATTTCGTTGTGGATCTCATGGTACTGAGGGTAGTGGAAGAGTGTGACGTCGAGGGCGACCTGATCGAAGACCTTCAATACTTCGGTGGGTTCGTTGGCGAGGAAATATGAGAGAGCGGCCTTGGTCTCACTCAGATGGGCGTATGACACCTCAAGCGATGCTGAGTTAACCTCACCCAGGAGCTTGATGCGGTTACCGTAAACAGACTGACCACTGGCATCAATAAATTCTGTGAGGAATGCCTTGAATTCACGGTAGATGGAGCGCAGCACTTGGGGCTGGGTGACCCAGTCTGTAATGTTGGCTGCCTTCACGTCCGCTAACTCTTCAAGCGATAATTCTTCCATGCCCTCGTCGCCCATGTCGATATCCTGGGGATCCTCATCATAATGGTGTCTGCGTCGTCGAGGTTGGCGCGACAGGTCCATGTCCATATCTTCATCATCTTGTAAAAATGCTGCGGGCATGCGGCGTCGACGTGCCAATTCGCGGTCTCTCTGGTTCAATCGAGCATCTAATTGGCGGCGGGCGCCTGCATCAATCTCTTCGTGGTCGCCATCGTCATCAATGTATCCTTCATTTTCGTAGCGATCCTGCGCTGCGTCGCGGTAATCACGCTCGAAATTGTCGCCGAACAGATCAATGCCGTCTTCATCTTCGGCCAATTCGTCAATATCATCAATATCATGGACCATTCCTCTGTCTTCTTCTTCGTCTTCATCTCCCATGTCAAAGGGGATTGGTGGGGGAGATGAGCCCAAAGCGGTAGCTGCGCGACTGTTAGCTCTCACCTACTTGTCAGAGGAAAATACAACATACGACTGGAAGGAGGCAATGGTGCCGGAGATGAACCCATGTCATCATCTTCTCTGTCTCTCTTACGGTTGTTGGCTCTTGGGCCACGATTGGCGGCCGAATCGCTGGCGCGGAGCGGGCTGTGAAGCTGTTAGTTTTTTTTCTTTTTTTCCCTCCGTCTTCACGCAGAAAATTCCAAAACTGGATACTGACTCCATGATGGGCGATAATTTTTTTTCGAGGTTGACCGAAGGGTGGAAAATTCAAGATAGATTATGATAAGTATATCTTGATTTCCCCGGTGGTAACGTGGGTAGGTGGTTGTTGGGGGAATGAAGGGGAGAAGGGGGCAAAGTCGAGTTGTGCATTTCGAGTCGCGTCGCGTGTTCGGACGCGTTTCAATTAAACCCCATTCGGGACTAGCGCCAGATCTTACCTTCACTCGCATACCCTCCCCACGACTATGGTACGCATCTTTCTGGAACTTTTGGTGATTCTCTTCATGAAACGTCTCCGGATATGCTGGAAATTCTTTCTCAAGAAAGGCTACATTCGATTGTATGGCACCCAGTGGTGATGATCTCGCGTTGCCATAGTAGCCGGTTTTAGCGTGCAATCCGAACATGTACAACACCTCAAATTGATACTGCCAGTCCCGGCGTGGAGTGCTTAGCATAAGTGGTAAAGCTGGCTTTGGATCCTAACGGGGCGAAATTCGCCGCTCAACTGCAACGTTCTCCGCAAATCACGCATTGTACACTTCAAGTAAGCTGACGCGCTTCCCGAGGTCTGCCCAGGTGCTGGGTCTGGAACATCACTGCCAGGCGAGCTGAAGCCCTGTAGCCAAGATGGCTTAAATCATTTCTTGTCTGCGCATAGATAGAAATGGCAGCTCTCAAGTCAGTCAAATTTGTCAAAATCCCGGGGATCAAATCTCAGTATCCAATTATGTTGAGGTTTGATGTCTGTGAGCCTATAGTATTAATCTCTGCCAACCTTGGAAGTTCCCTTCCTTTCATCTCTCAGTGCTCACACCCACGAAAGTTTTTCCCTCTTTTTCACTTTGATGAAGCTGATTATGTCCAGATCTCTGCTCCATTCCGTTTCCGGGGCGTAACTATATCTGGGGATCTCCTGGGGTCAATCAGCTACGGCAGAAACAGCCTGCCCAGGTAGTCACCAATGCTGATCGTGCTTTGCCCAAGGTTGTGTTTCCTGATGAAAATGGGTTTGATCTTCCAAAGATACTAGGTAGCTCGACATTTCCAGTGATCAGTCGGTGATTCCGATATTTCTACATCCATACCTAGTAGGTTCATTAATCGGACACGGCAGGACTTAGCTGAGCAGCGGTAAATGAACCATTAGATTTCTTGATGCTTAGGTACCGCAGATGCCAAGTTTGGCTTTAATGTGGACAGCTAGAAAAGTCCATTGGTGAGGTGGCTGCCCTGGTGGCTCCGTAGGAATTCATATTCCGCCCCGATGACGAAACAACACTCACGCCTATAAATGAAGCATGAACCCAACAGAAAGCACGAAAAGCTGCAACCTTGCAAGTTTCAAAACACCCGTGGTTTTCGGAGAAAATTAAGGAACAAGTCTGCCAATCTTGCTGTATCACTCAACTGTTCACACCCAAAATGGCCCATCTCACATACTACAACTACCCCGGAGTTGGCGAAGACAACAAGAGAGACTTCCACTACAGCCAAGCTGTTCGAATTGGAGATAGGATTGAATGTTCAGGACAAGGTACCGTCTCGACCCTCAACCAACCAATAGGACAAAACTCGAGATGCGATAACTAACCAATCCAAGGCGGTTGGTTCCCTGAAGAGGGTGTCAAATCGATTCCTAGAGAAATCAACGCGCAGATTGACCAAGCTTTTGCAAATGTTGATCTAGCATTGAAGACTGCTGGCGGAAAGGGCTGGTCGCAAGTCTACAAAGTGCGATCCTATCACGTTCCCATCAACAACGAAGCCCTCGAAGCTATGTGCAGAAACTTCAAGAAGTGGATGCCCAATCATCAGCCCCTGTACACTTGTGTTGGTGTCCAGCGGCTGGGGGAAGATGATATGCGAGTGGAGATCGAGGTGGAGGCTCATGATCCTGAGGGAAGTGAGAAGAAGTAGATGGCATCCTTGGATGAAACTTGGGTTCGTCTCTGCCCGGTTTGACATGGTATTCAATGAATGATAGTCGGGAAATGTGACACTATGATGTTGGACTTCTGTCTTAGGCCTATTGACGAGAGCCAATTGCAGGTTATGCCCTGAGTTAATTGAACCATTCAATTCAAAAGAGCCATCTTCGGACTGTTTATCTCGACTTTGAGCGACAGGCTCCTGAGGTCTTTGGGTCCAATTGCTGCATTTGCAACCCAGGGACAAAAGTCACTTCAAAATTCAGAAAGGAGAATCGGTCATTGGCTGATAAGAAGACCTAGCAATCAGATCTGGACGACCAAACTACCCGCCAGAAAGTCAGCTTTTGTGGGACGCATGGATATTGAAACGTAGGATGAATGAATGATGATTGATGGTTGTAAAGTAATCAAAACTTTCAAAGAGTTGAAGAGAATGCCACATGCGTACTTTCTGATGCACAGTAAAAACTGCTGCCATCAATGAGAAAAGCCGACTATTAATAGCGAGAAACACGATCAAAAGTGGATGTTGTGTGGAGATCTCATTCTGCCGGCAATTAAAGTTGTTGACCGGCGCGTCCATCATCTTCCGTTGCCACCTTCGCCGAGTGACGGGAATCCGAAAAGATTCGACAAGATTGAGAATGGATTCATTGAAGTCAACCCAGCTCGAGGGGCGTCGCGAAAGCTTTGGCTCCTCCAATTCGCAGACCGCCAAAGAGTATGAAGCTGCCAATGCTCCCATCCAGGAACCAAGCTAACCGTGATAGGTTCATCGAGTCCCAACTCCAGCTAGAGGCAGATGCGCGTGAAGCGCTGCCATACGTGAGTGACTCCATCGCGTGTGATCGTTCTTGTGCACAGCTAATCAAACCAGTCTTTCGATTCCTGCACCTATGCCCTCGGACCACTGCGCCAGAACCTGTTCGCCTGCATCACCTGCAACCCACCTCCCACGAGCGCCGACGAGCCCTACATTGCAGCTGCTGTCTGCTATTCTTGTTCCATCTCATGCCATGGCGAACACACTCTTGTTGAACTGTTCAACAAGCGCAACTTTGTCTGTGATTGCGGAACCACGCGCATGCCCTCTTCATCTTGCTGCACTCTGCGCGATGATCCAACAACCGGCAAGAAAGGCGCCCGCTCTCAAGAAGCCGCGCCGGGCAACACATATAGCCAGAACTTCCGTAATAAGTTCTGTGGCTGCGGCGAGCAGTACGACGCATTCTCCGAGAAGGGCATCATGTTCCAGTGTCTTGGGCTGGGAACCGTTGAGACTGGTGGGTGTGGCGAGGACTGGTGGCATCCGGAATGTTTGATTGGGCTGCCTCGAGATTGGAATAAGCTTGCACCCAAAGAGCATGCAGCTGCAGGCGATGCCGCAGAAGATGATGCAGACGAGGAAACACCCCTTCCGCCTGGGTTTCCTGCAGAGGATGACTTTCAGCACTTGATCTGCTACAAGTGCGTTGACTCCAACCCTTGGATCAAACAATATGCAGGATCTTCCGGATTCCTGCCCCCGGTCTTGAAGAATGGGGGGTTGCAAAAGACAGCCAACAATACGGAAGAAGCCAGAACCACTGTTGAGCCTAAATCGGAAGAGTCAGCGGCTGTGGAAAGTAAGGCCGAGGTGAGCAAAGTCGAGGAGAGTAAGGTCGAGGAGCGAAAGGCTGAAAAGAACTCGACTGAGCCAAAGAATGATGACATGCCCCATGAACAAGCGCTGGAGCAATCAAAGAAGCGCAAAGCGGACGATGATGAGCCCAGTCGGGAAGAGCCTGCCGCAAAGCGAAGTAAAGAAGATTCTACCGAGGAAGCGCCACCCAAGCCAACAACACTTGAAGATGAACCTAAAGAAACAGCCCACACTGCCACACCTGCGGCACCAAAACATGCATCACTCCCAAAAGCGACACCAAACGAATCGTTTTCCCTTTTCGCCCTCCAAGATTTCCACGAGCAACTATGCCGATGTGCAGACTGCTTCCCTTATTTGGTTCCCCACCCACAGCTACGTGAACCCGAAGATACATACGAGCCTCCGGTTTCTGAGGATGGCGATGCCGATGGCGCTGCCAGTGCAGGAACTGGTAGTATTTACGACCGTGGCGAAGCCGCTCTGAACAGCGTGGATCGCGTACGAGCCATTGAAGGCGCCATGGCGTATAATCATCTCCGCGACAACCTGAAAACGTTCCTCAAGCCATTTGCCGAAAGTGGACAGGCGGTCAGTGCCGAGGATATCAAGGGTATCTTCGAGAAGCTCCGTGGAGATGACAAGGGGATTCAAGATGCTGCTGATCATGCCTCTGGTACTACCAATGATAAGGACGGCGATGGAAGCGGCCGGAATGAGCAAAGTGGTATGTGACTACTCCTTGCAAAATTCATGTGAATCGACGTTGACAGTCTCTATAGGATACTAATTACTTTTTTTTTTTGTATAACGGATGATTATCAATGGGTGTTGGGTGGGTGGACCCTTGGACATGTACTATATCTTGAACTAGGAGTGGGAAAATAGGCAGTATGGTGACTGAAATGGCGTATCGACTGAGCAAATTGAAAATGATTTCCTCAGCCCCTGGGAACAGTGACGAGACCGCCTTAATGCCCAGGTGTATCTTCCAGGTATACATTACATATATATTCACTCATCAGGTCCACGTACTTGATTCCAAGGTTCTTTTCTGGTATGTATAGCTTTTCTGTCCTCCGTAGCCACCACCTGAGCACCGCTTCAAGGTTTGACAATGGTATGGTGCCGGGATTGGTACGGTGTCAGAGCTGTTGTGCCGTTTTCTCATCACAGCAGTGAATGGTCCCTGGAGGACTGCATTTCATGATAAGGATGACTCACCCGACACCCAATCCCTGCTCATTGAATATCAATTCTAGGTATGACTATATCTGTACCCATGGGAGTATTACTTGGGACACAACCATGGAAGATTTCACGATCCACTTGTCTTTCTGTGATTGAGATGCAGCGTGAAATCCAGGGAGTCAATTACATACGGAATAACTAACAAGGTGCCTTGGTATAAAAGATGAACTGTCTGGGTATCGGCCAAGTGACAATATTGACCCAATTATGCAAAAAAAGAATCAAACAGGAGGAGAAGAAAAGGCCCCTGTAAGGCAAGAAGACATCACTCTTTTAGTCGTTTTGAAGCCCTCATTAACGAATCATCTGGCAACCCACTCCGCTTTGTACCGGGTAGGCTCCCAGAACGAATATCATTGTCGTCTTGCGTGACACGACGATGAGGGTATTTACCATCAATACCCTCAAAGCAATTTCCACTAATGGGTCCTCCATTCGTGAAGTAGGGATGTTCAAGAGCCTGCTCAGCTGTGATCCGTCTCGTGGGGTCATAGTCGAGCATTCGCGACAACAGGTTAAACCCATCTGCACCGGGTGTGCCAGCTACCGAGGAAGCAGAATAACCACCATTCTTGAGACAGCTTTGATACCAGCCTTCAAGATTCGAGCTGCGATGGAAATGTGCAGGTTGACGGTGCATCATAAAGGACTGAAGCTGGGAATATTCCGGCATGGACGTGAGACCTGGCCAATTCTCCTTTTGGGGCAGACCCAGAATTTCAACGATCTTCATCATCTGATTTCGCTGAAAGGGCACTGTTTTCTTGCTGTCCATTTTCGCTTCTTCGCCCTTGAAGATCGGTCGAAGTGATAGAAGCTCGGCAAAAATGCAGCCTACGGCCCACATATCGACAGCGGGGGTGTAGTGGCGACTTCCCATCAGTAATTCCGGCGCTCGATACCAGATCGTGACTACAACTTTGTCACCCGAGAAGAGGGAATTGAGCGGCTTGTAGAAAAGGCGTGCTAGACCCAAGTCACCGATGCGGATCGCCCCGCTTGAAGTGACAAGGATGTTAGCTGGCTTGAGATCACGATGGAGAACCCAGTTCGTGTGGAGGTATAGAAGTCCATTCAAGAGCTGGAAGAGAATCGACCGCACCATTGGGGCAGGAATGGCGTGGCGCTGGGGTTGAGTGTGATGATGGATGATTTGGAGGAGGTCGTGCTCAGTATATTCGAAGACCATGAAGATGCATTTATCTTCGAGGATGATTTCTTCTAGCTGCACGACATTGGCATGAGACAGCTCTGTGCATAGCGACATTTCCCGGATGGCGGACTGCGATAGACCGGTGTATTGGATTGTCTCGCCTTCTTTGTCGGGCTTGAATCTAACCGAGGTCAGAGGTGTGCCAAATGTCACTGTGGACGGTGAGTTTACTTTTTAATGGCGAATTCACCTTTCTTGCCATTTTTTCCGACGGCCTTATAGACTCGACCATATGTACCACTGCTAATAAAACCAACGATATGATACCGATCTCGAACTCGGACCTTGCTGGTGTACCCGCCAGGTCTTCTCGAGTCAATGGCTTCTGTCATCTCCGTCAGCAGATGAACTAAAGAACAAATGTTCAATCTCAACAGAACAAAACGACATCCTTTCGACCGAATTGTAAATGAACACCAGTCTCAACAACAGCAAAGGGAAAAAGTTACCACGAGAATAGAACCCAGCCGAATTCATGGGAGGAAAGCCTTTGCCAAACATGATAAAGATAGAACAGTCTGGATCTCAGACCGACATGCAGAGGAATATATAATTACCATCAACAGTAGCCTGGAGACTTCGTTTCAAGTTCCCGACTCGGGTTCGTGAAAGGGAACCGGAAGAGGGTGGATTGGTCAGACTCATTGAGCGACTATTTCATTGAAAAGACACCGGTTCTCTGAACAATGTCGCAGATTGTTTGAGCCACAATATAGGATCAAACTGCCCGAATGGTCGAATGTTTTGCTCCTCTTCAGCCCGGGTGAGGTCTCAACATCGCTTAGTCAGATCACGGGGCCTTGATAACTCCGATGCGACGAGACATCCAAGGATGCTTGAAGAGTGTCTGTGAGAGAGATAAGTGAGTTGTGAGTATGGAGTATGATTGTTTGCGATTTGAGTCCGAGAATTGAAGTTGGGCTCGGAGCTCCGAGGTACAGCCCTGGAGGTTGTATGTCGTGAACTGTCCCCAATTGATTGGCACCTCTTATCTTAACTCCGCTGCAACGTCATCTCTCCTGGACACTCCTCACCATGACTACGCCAAACCAGAGGGTAACGGCCTACCTGGTCTACCTGGTGTTTATTGTAACGCTAGGTCCACTGCAATTTGGTTATCATCTGGTAGGACAGCCATCCCTTCGGTACTTGACCACAGGACTAACGCGACGGGCAGGCAGAACTTAATGCCCCCCAAGCAGTGATTACATGCAAGCAAAAAGGCAGCCATTCCTCGGAAATCAGCTTCCATGGCCTCCCGAAATGCCTTCCGATGAACCCATCCCAATTTGGTCTTGTTTCCTCGATCTACACACTAGGTGGCTTGCTGGGAGCTCTACTGGCAGGACCCGTCGCAACCAAGCATGGGCGTCTTCTCGCCCTACGGGCGACAACTGGGTTTTTCATCCTCGGACCTGTGGCAGAGACCTTTTCTCCCAACATCTCACTTCTGATCCTCGGTAGATTCCTTTCCGGTGTCGGATCCGGCGCTGCTATTGTTGTGGGTCCCATCTATATATCGGAAGTCGCCCCTCCCAATGCCCGCGGCTTTTTCGGGGCTTTCACCCAAGTCATGACCAATGTCGGCATTCTCTTGACCCAGACACTTGGGTACTTCTGGAGCAATGAGAGCCTGTGGAGATTGATTCTCGCTGTGGCCGGAATGATTGGCGCCTTGGAACTTTCGGGGCTATTCTTGGTGCCGGAGAGTCCTCCATGGCTCGCAGAGCATGACAAGATGGGTCAGGCCCATCGGGTGTTACAGCGTATCCGTGGTCGAGATGTGGATGTTGAAGCAGAGATCGCTAACTGGAAGGTCTCGGCTGCTTCTGGCGAGGAAGAGGCGCTGCTTGCCCCAGCAGACGACAGCAGCCCCAAAAAGTCCGCAGTCACTTTTATGCAGGTCCTCCGAGATCCATATTACCGTCCGGCTCTCATCGCCGTGGTAGGAACGATGATGGCTCAACAGCTCACCGGAATGAACAGCATCGTCATGTACAGCGTTTCATTGCTACAGAGCATTCTCCCTACTACAGCCGCCCTCCTCACCGTGATGATATCGGTCTTGAATCTTGTGGTCACACTTCTGTGTTCCCCGCTCCCGGATCGCATCGGCCGGAAAAAATGCCTCCTGCTGAGCGCCGGCGGTATGGGCTGTAGCTCCATCCTCCTTGCGATCAGCATCTACATGAACGGAAAAATTCTGACCGCCTGTGCTGCTTTGCTCTTTGTGTCCAGTTTCGCCGTCGGACTGGGCCCAGTTCCTTTCATTCTTGCCTCGGAGCTTGTTGGACCGGAGGCCGTGGGCGCCGTGCAGAGCTGGGCCTTAGGGGCTAACTGGGCGGCGACTTTCGTGGTCGCGCAATTCTTCCCCATTCTCAACGACGCTCTTGGAGGACGTGGCAAGGTTTACTGGGTTTTTGCGGCTATGGCCGGGCTTTTCGGCATATTCATCTACCAATGCGTGCCGGAAACGAAAGGTAAGGCGAATGCCGACGAGGTTTGGGGAAGGACAAGCCGACGTCAGGACTGAAGCATTGCATTGTACGATAATCTACGATAGCAGCGTAGCCGCAGATGCGGGGTACTGCAGGTGGTTCGCATCCAGTTTTGTCAGAATTGGTGACGCAAGGCCAAAGGCAGTCTTTACAGGGTATAGGGGAGTTAACAGTGAAGCCGGTTAAGCAGGTTAAACAGAGAGATAGGCATCCATTTTCCCATTACTTGGCCCCGTACCGTTTGGACCCATAACTGGCGGTCTGTCCCCGCTCCCACCTCTGGACACCTGGGCATTTCCGTTGAGCATTTTCCTATTCCTCGCCCTTTGGCAAACCGTTCATATCCCTCACATTGATCTGCAGATCTGGATTTTCCGGGTATCTGGAACTCTGTCACTCTGTGGGTGATCGACCGGGACTGGATCGATCGAATCTGGGGGTTTCAAGCAACCCACACCGCGAGCTGGGGCTCTGACCTCCCCCCAACACTTATTTTTTTCTCGTATTCTCTAGTTCTGCTTCGTTCTCCCCTATCTTTCTTCGACAGACCACATCCGACATGGTCCGGCTGGCATTACCATCCCGATTGAGCTCGCACCTCTCCGCGCGCAGCGCGTCGTCCACCCCCGGCCAGAGCCGGAGCACGAGTCCTATGAGATCATCAGAATTGAAACCTTTGCTACTCAAGGTCTCGGTGATTCGGGTAAGAAATGCCATTGTCTGGTGGACGAGGTTTCAGGAGCCTTCGCTGATCAACGTCATTGTTTTGCTAGGGACGCAACCTCGCCGCCAAAGATCGCGGTGGCACAAGTGATCCAGTGAGCGCACGAACACCAGAACCTCCCGCCGTGATTGCTAATACAGGATAAAGTATTTGGTGATTACATTAGGAGACGCCAGACAGTCGACGCCGACGGTATTCAAGACCCTGAACCCCGAATGGAACGTTTCGTTCGAGATGCCCGTCCTGGGCGTGCCGTTGCTGGAAGGAATATGCTGGGATCATGATCGGTTCGGCAAGGACTATATGGGCGAGTTCGACATCGCATTGGAGGACTTGTTCACGGATGGTCAATTGAATCAAGAGGTGAAGCGACACGCTCGGATAAACACTGGAGTGGGATTATGCTGACGAGATCAGCCTAAATGGTACACCCTCAACTCGAAGCGCAAATCCTCCAGGAAGAAGGACAGCACCGTATCGGGCGAAATCCTGCTGCAGTTCTCCCTTGCCGATCCCGCCAATCCCGCTGCTACGCCGCTGGACATTCATCGCAAATTTAAGAAAATGGTCTACTCAGGAGACGAAGATGACCAAATACCGCCCGCCGCGTTTGAAGACCTCGATCAGGACGATGAGACTTCCGACGAGGCCGACGAAGTTATAGGATCGGAACCAGTGGAAAAGCGTCGCCGGCGGCTTCGGTTGGCCCGTCTTAGACGCAAGTCTCTGGCAGCTCGTGCATACCAGTTCTCTGGATCCGGGACCGGTGTACAAGGTATTGTGTTTATGGAAATCGTCCGCGTGACTGATCTGCCCCCTGAAAAGAATGGTATGGATGTGGCCATGTATGTGCGGAACTATGTTATTAATTGACTCGCAGTGACAAGGACATCATTTGACATGGATCCTTTTGTGGTCACCTCACTGGGAAGAAAGACGCTGAGAACGCCAGTCATTCGACACAACCTGAACCCGGTGTATAACGAAAAGATGGTCTTCCAGGTAATGCGACACGAGCAGACCTATACCATTAGCTTCACCGTGATGGATCGGGATAAGTTCTCGGGCAACGACTTTGTCGCCTCAGCAGGCTTTCCCCTCCCGAACCTCGTCCAGTCCGGTCCAGAGGCAGACTCTGAGACTGGTCTGTACCACTTCACGGAGGAGCCGGGTGAGGTCGATCCCACTACCAGTGCCAAATTTGGCACGCGGTCTGGTGTCAGTCCGTCGCGGAGTGCAATCAGTCCTTCGCATTCATCATCCAGTCTTTCAAGAATGGCTCGGCCGATCTTGCGAACCCGCAACTCTTCAACTTCTGTTTCTAGCCAGTCGATTCCTGAAGCATCAGCATCAACTCTGCTCGCACCGTCTTCTCTTCCATCATCTCTTCCGGAAGAGCTAGACAATTCTAGTACTCTGCAGGTGCCCCCCACATCTAACATGTATGATGGGGATACGACACCGCCACCTGACGCGGAGGGATTTAGACCTTTTGCGATCCCTCTTATGCTCAAGAATCGAGAACGGTGGGAGGACAAGCACTCGCCGGTCCTTCACGTCAAAGCGAAATATTTGCCTTACAGTGCTCTGAGACAACAATTTTGGAGACTGATGCTTAAGCAATACGACGCAGATGAGAGCGGTCGCATTGATAAGGTTGAGATGACAACAATGTTGGACACGCTAGGCTCAACGCTGAAAGAGTCAACAATCGACAGCTTCTTCGAGCGCTTCAGCGAAGAAAACGAAGCCAATGACACAGACGACCTGTCCTTCGACCAAGCAGTCATCTGCCTAGAGGACACGCTCCAGACTTTACAGAAGAGAAACTCGTTGGCCGTTCCCAGAGTTCCCCAACCTTCTTCGTCAAACTCTGGAAGCCAGGATAGTGACCCATCCAGCAGTGATGAGCAGACACTAGAAGGCAGCGCTACTGTTGCAGCCAATACCGACCCCCAACGAACACAAGATCCCGCTATTTCAAGTGAAGATCAGAGCTCAACCGACGAATACCTTCAGCCTGATGATCTTGTCGATGAAAGGGGCGAGGAACACGTGGTGGAAATCCGCGAGTGCCCTCTTTGCCATCAGCCACGTCTCGCAAAGCGCTCGGATGCAGACATCATCACACACATTGCCACATGCGCAAGCCGTGATTGGCGACAGGTTGATAATCTGGTTATGGGTGGCTTTGTGACATCCAGCCAGGCGCAGCGCAAGTGGTACTCTAAAGTCATCACGAAGATTTCATACGGCGGTTACAAGCTTGGAGCGAACTCCGCCAACATTCTTGTTCAGGATCGTATCACAGGTCAGATTAACGAGGAACGCATGAGCGTCTACGTGCGACTTGGAATCCGACTGCTATACAAGGGCATCAAGAGTAGGGATATGGAAAAGAAGCGAAGTACGCAAATTCACCTTTCCAGTGACTCTCAAAGCCCGTTGCTAACATGATTTTTACCAGTTCGACGTGTGTTACGGTCTTTAAGTGTCAAGCAAGGTCGCAAATATGACGATCCAGCCTCGGCATCTCAGATCCAGGACTTCATCAATTTCCATCAGCTGGATATGTCTGAGGTCCTGATGCCCATTGAAAAGTTCCGCAACTTCAACGAGTTCTTCTACCGTGCTCTCAAGCCCGAGGCCCGTCCATGCTCTGGTCCGAACGAGCCAAAGATCGTTGTGTCTCCCGCCGACTGTCGCTCAGTTGTCTTCGATCGCATGAGCGATGCAACTGGTATTTGGGTAAAGGGTCGTGAGTTCTCAATCGAAAGGCTGTTGGGTGACGCCTACCCGGAAGATGCTGCTCGGTACCGAAACGGCGCTATGGGAGTGTTCCGCCTGGCGCCTCAAGATTACCACCGCTTCCACATACCCGTTGACGGCATCATGGGTGAACCCAAAACGATCGAGGGTGAGTATTACACGGTGAATCCCATGGCAATCCGATCTTCTCTAGATGTATACGGTGAAAACGTTCGCATCCTCGTTCCCATTGATTCCGTCGAGCACGGCCGCGTCATGGTTGTCTGTGTCGGTGCCATGATGGTAGGCAGCACAGTCATTACCCGGAAAGCCGGCGAGAAAGTCTCACGAGCTGAGGAGCTGGGCTACTTCAAATTTGGTGGTAGCACCCTTCTGGTCCTCTTTGAAGAGGGCAAGGTCAACTTTGACACGGACCTGGCGGATAACTCCAAGGGTCCTTTGGAGACTTTGGTAAGACGAAGATTCACCGAGGCCCACACGCTGATTGTGTACTAACCCGTTTCTAGATCCGCGTTGGTATGTCTGTCGGACATAGCCCCGACATCCCTCAGCATGAGCCCGACATGCCCAAGAAGGCAGAGAACATCACTGCAGAGGAGATGCAAGAAGCTAAGCGGCGTATCGAGGGCAGTCTAGCACCCCCAGGCAACCCCTCAACCATGCTCAAAACGATCAAATGATCTGTCATTGTTGTGACTCTTTTCCATCCGACTGGACAGGGCTCAACTCCCATCCGAATCTTTCACTGAACATATTATCTTTCAACATTGGCGTCGGGGATCACTTGTACTGAAAACATCATAGCGTTTATTCAACAGCATCTGTGCATTGCGAGGATTGGAGAGTTGTAGAGATAAGAAAGAAGTGGTTTATAGAAGCATACACAAAGCATTTTGGTCGCCAATGAAAAGTATTGAGTAAAGCATTGAGGAATGAAGACCTCAGGAGTGCGATCGACGAAGAAGAAGCCGTTGAAGTATAGAAAGTCCCGAAGCGGACTAGCGCGGTCCCCACGCGCCCGACCAAAACAACCGCGTGCGAGAATCCAACCCACTCACCGCACCCCCCTCGAGCCCGGCGGTCCCTTGCGTGTCTATTTCGCGATTCATTCAAGTCGCCTAAGTCACGACTCTACGGCTGCAGTTACGGACTTTGACGCGACCCGCGCTTAACATTCCGCCCGCGAGCCGACCACGCCGACGGACACTTTCATTCCACAACCCAATACACGACTTACACCGATTAACACGCCATTTGATTCGATATTTCAGTCTCGGATTTCATTTATTATCTGGTTTTCGTCAAGGGATCATTCCGGATCAGGTACTCACGAGAACGCGGTTCACTCTTGTTTCGCAAGGCAGCCTTTTCGACCAGGTAATTCGGGCGGAATTTGGCACCAACGAGACGAGAAAGCAGCGCGGAATCCGAGAGGCTCCTTTTGCCATCCCTGGACAACTACCAACCACAATAACCCCGCGTGACGCCCCTCCTGACATGACAATCGCGGTCCTGGCCACCACCACGACCAAAACAAAGCGTCGCGAACCGCTGGGGACGATCACAATGGCCGCCCCAAAGACACAATCGCGCTCCGCGGCATCCAACGGAGCTTCCAAAAGTACTGGGCGACGGACGACGCGACTGAGCGCAAGCCAACAAGGGCTAGAAGAGATCACGCACAAACGCAAACCTGGTGAGTGATTAAATGCGCGCGAAACTGGTGGGTCTTGCGAGGAGATTTGCTAATTGAGTTCACGCATAGATTACGAGCAGGATGATGATGGGTTCGAGTTTTCTCGTGTACCTTCTAAGAAGCCTAGGCCGTCAATTGAAGCGATTCCTGAAAACCCCGGATCCGATGCGGAAAACGTGCAAAAGCCCACACCAAAGCGAGGACGCCCGAAGAAGAAGCCCACGAGCGGCACAACCTCGAGCTCAATACCAGCGAAAGCGAGCCCTGCAGAGCTTCCAACTAGGCAATCGACAAGGAGCGGCGAGAATCGTGCACAACCAGAACCTCCAGCGAAAACGTCTCGCCCACGAGCCCGCGAAAGCTCGGAGGGTATACCCGAAGCGAAGAAGTCGAGGAAAGGACGGCCACCGAAAGCAAAAGCTCCCGAGCCTAATGGATATAAGTCACCAGAGCAACCACCTGCGGGGACGAAGGTGGCGCTTCCCATGGCCGATACACCTGTGATTCAGCGCAATAAGGAGTTGAGAGGCGGAAAGGGTAACAAGGGCAAGCGAAGGAGCAGTTTAAGCATGCGAGGACGAAGAGCCAGTTCTTTAATAGACTCGGGGGCATCGAATGGTAGGTTTTGGTACTTCAATGAGGTGTTTGAGGTGAAGATGCTGATATTTGCTTTGTTATAGCATTACCCCACCGAGAGGTTGGCACTGCGGATTTCTTCAAACACATTGCCGATGACGGGCTTCCCGAGCCGCGGAGGATGCGACAACTCCTGATCTGGTGTGCTACGCGCGCTATAGGAGAGAAGCCCAAAGGAGGGTCAGATCCCGACGAGCAAAGTGCTCGATTGGCAGGTAAGCTGATATTGAGCTAAAATTGCCCAATGAGTCAATGATCTGACATCTACCAGCACGTCAAATTCAAGAAGAGATCCTCCGCGAGTTTTCGAATAATTCAGAACTTTCGAATTGGTTCAGCCGTGAGGATATCAACCCCCCAGCCGTGGTGGTGAAGAAGCCGAATCCGCGCAATGTGCAGAACACAGAAAAGATTAAAGAGCTGGAAGAGCATATACAAAAGTAAGCGAGATTCGGTCGAGAACGAGATGGTGCAGTGCTAACCAAATGACAGGCTACAAAGAGAACGGCAATCTCTTAATGCGCTTTCTCGACAGCCAGCAATCCCCAGTATCGCACCGGAGCCACAATCCGATCCACACACGACTACACAACCGCGCAGGTCACAACGCGAAGAAGTCGACTCCTCTCTCCTCGATCCCTCCCAACAAGCTATTCTCAAAACTCTCAGTCCACCGACACAGCCGTCAGAGGAAGACTCCTCAACAACAACCCGGCCGCCAATGTCACCATCTGCCGTCTCTGCCCAATTATCGCGTATTACATCCAGCCTAGCACCAACCCTAGATGCGTTCGCAGCGGGAGTTCATGACATCGAACTTTATCGAGCATCTGCAGACACAGTTTCGTCACGAATACTTCGCATTTGCGCACAACGTCTCGAAGAGCGCGATGCCCAAAATACTCAGCGCCGCCATGCAATCGAGGGCACAGAAGGTGAGAGCCCGCCTCGACTCAAGGAAGATTTGGGCCTTATCCTGGGCGCACTCAGTCGGGTGGAAAGAAGATAGGACGCGTCTTTTTCAGAATTATATACCCACGATAATGTATCGTTTTCTTTCTTGTTTTTTGAGCACTCGGGTATGGTCTAATTAGCGTTGAGGGCCCTGTCCTTGTGGGCAGGGAGTGCATATACGGGGTCCAGCATTTGAATCGTTCAAGCTTGGTGTTTGGGGTTTGTTTCCAAAGTTCAATACCTGACGGATTGGGATTGGTAAATACAGGTGTAGGTAGAGTAGTGCCTAATGCATCAATGCTTCCAAGTTCAAGGTTGAAAGGATCTTTCCAAGGTTGCGATGCGCCAACCTTAGAGGACCCATCACGGGCTATGAAGCCTGGAGACACTTCCAACTTAGAAGGTTGAGAACATTGGAACAACTCGAGGTCAATCTTGGGGCAGATTTACTATAAGACTGATCCGTGAACAGACCCGTGGAACTTCCTTGGAAATTTTACTAGGTATAGACAACCTTGGAAGTGAACTTTCACATTTTATATACCTACCTAGGTAGAGCCCTGAGCCTTGGAGACCAAATCCATATGCAGATATATATCCACCTGCCCAGTGGCACCTGGGCATGGATGTCACCCGCCCGTGGGCCTTGGAATGCTTGAAACCAAATCTCATATTTGCCCACTTTACCGCCGATTTATAGACCATTAAATCCCGACTCGGGAGAAATTGAAATAAGAAGTCTAAATACCTAGGTAGAAATTCTCTCGCTTTCAAGCTCGACATGCCCTGCCGCTGCAGAAATCTCTATGTACGTACCTCTCAGACGCTCGAGCTGCTTCAAATCCATTATGCTGCCAACCTTGAAGAATATGCTGGTGCGGTCTGATCATCCAAGCCCCTACGGTATCAGGGAAGACGGCCGACTCATCCCAGTGTGATTCCACAAAGTTGAAGTCTTCGCCGGCCCAGTATGCGCGGACCGGAATCTGACGGATCCCCAGCACGCATACTCACCTCGTCGATTTGTTCCCGGTAATAATCTTCCGGTTATCGCCTCGTTCGTATTCTGAAAAGCGATTCAGTCTGAGTACCATAGCGCAAGCCCCTGCAATATGTATGGCATTGCGCAGACTCTCACGGAGCCAATTGTGTTGCGCAAGGCAGTGTCGTCGGGATTCATCTGTCGCTTCGAAGCCGAGTTCCAAGGTTTGTATCTCTCGAGGAAAGTAACGACCAAGTGGACGTGAGGGCTCGTGGTCGGGTCTTCAATGCGGAGTACACTATACGCAGCAAATATGTCTTCGATGTAGACGGTGCTCGCAGCAAGATCGCAGCAGCGTTGAATCTGCCATTTGCTCATGGCGAGGGTAGGGAAATCACCGTGTGGTATCTACTCGTTGGGGTTGATTTGTCACATCTCGCCTCCCTTCGCAATGGCGGCAACATGCTATGGACATTCCAGGAAGACCACCCGAACAAGGACTTTGTCTGGGTGGCCCACCCTCAAATGGACCACCCTTATCATCAATGGGTGGTCCGGTTCTTTGGTGGCGACAGGCACATATCCTGCCCACGAGGTCGATATATCGGAAGCAGACTAGACTCAGAGAATCCACCAGTTCATCGGCGATGAGTCTGTCAAAGTTCGGATCCTGCAAAAGTCCCGGTGGCAGCTCAACCAAAGCTACGCGACTCAGTACTCCAAGGAACGTGATTTCTGCTTGGGTGATGCGGTCCATCGACACACCACAGAGGGTGGACTGGGGTCCAACACCTCGATTCAGGATTCGTACAACCTAGCTTGGAAAGTCGCCCAAGTTCCCAAACCTTGGTACATGGACTTTGCATTCGAAGCATCTGGGGTTCCGTTTATCTCCATGCAGGTCTTGCAAATCCAGCGCTGTGGGGCACATAGTTGCTGGAACAACAGCCTATCGGGGCTCATGTGACAAAGACGTTTGATTCCCACGCTCGGTGGCCGGGCGGGCTCGACGGAAATTGACTGGAAGATGTTCTCGCGCCTATTGTCATAGAAGCCACATTTAAGCACTTGGCGATCTGGGACACCTGGGCAACTTCAGGTTAAATGCCCCAAGCATCGAGTCTGTCAACAAACGGATAAACGAACCGAGTGAGAAGCCTGGATAGCTCCAGGGGAATGAATGGGATGAGTCCATGATGCATGTGGGGACATTGATCCATTCTGCTTTAGCCTTCTTGTCTTCCCAGTAGCTGTTCCAATGAGGATACTTGTTGATCGCCTTGTCAATGTCTTCAATTTTGTTCTGCGAGACGAGCATCTCTGTGTGTTGGTAATATTAGCCATTTATGGGCAAGCTTATGAACATCCTACCTAGGTAGTCTGAACAATCATACCAAAAATATATGCCGAAAAGCTGGAGTCCGAGATTCCTCCCTTGCATGCATCTTGGCGATAATGATCTGCGACGTCCTCCCCGATAGATGGATCAATATCTAGGTAATCTCAAAGGAAGTTATGACGAGAGGAAGTTCGCACCATGGAGCCAGAGCAGCAAGTCCTTCTGGGCATAGGGAGCCCAACTTCCACTGTATAATCGCCAACCAGCTGTTGCCAGTGGGCGCGACCTTGCCGTTACATTATGGTTGTTTTGAAAGCCAGGTCACAACCTCGGCAGCGTCATGGGCTTCTTGGTGGCCAAACGCCAGGAGATTACCATCAGAGGTGAATACTCCGCGCGAATCGATATTCACAACCGCATACTCATGGGAGCACCAGAAAGCTGGGTCTGGCCCTTCAAATTTTTCGAGGCCGGAGAGCCAGTTGCGTGGGATTCCCACGCGCAATGGATGATCGTCCACTATGAGAGATCCCACTTGTTTTCCGTAGGGACTCCTGTTCTGCCTTTAGAGACGGGGCTGCGGTTCAACTGCGAAGTGATAGCTTACCAGACCAGGAGCGCCGGCACCCTCTCGGAAGCCGGAAATAGACCCTTCAATTCTGTGAATCTGGGCGGCAAGAATATGTCGCTGTACAAGGTTGTTCCGTCGGAGAGAGTCGTCGGCACGCTTTCGTCCATGACCAAATCGCTGTTGAGCTTCAAGCCGCCCTTAGCGATTTGCTGACCCTTATGGAGTTTGTTGACGCCTTGCTTGAAACCAGGGAAGCGCGCAAACTTGTCAGTAACTGTCTTGCTTGTGCGAAAGGGTGTCATCTTTAAAGCCTCCTCCTGCGTCTGGAGGATTTGCTCGTATGCGGCGTGGTATGGGTCGGCCATGGTGTCAATGGATCTGCGAATTAGTGACGGCCAAATTGGATAAGGCACGAGCTGGAAGTACTGTAGGTCTAGAAGTATTTAAATAATGCATACCAAGTGGAGGCATTCAAGCTGAAGGTTCAGATCGACATTGAAACGTCTCCCCGGAAGTATCTAGACTTTCAAGGTCCACCCGACTAATGTATGTAAGACCCACGGAGCTCATGTATATGCTGGATATGTTAGAACACTTTGTAGGCTTGCAAGCACGAATGAGAGATAACAAGTAACTGGCCATAGTGCCCAGGTGATTTCTCCAATTTCCTGGTCAGGCCCAGTGAGCACCTGACCTCGGGACATCGGAACTCCGCCCCCGGTCATTCCGCTTATATCATGGTCACTGAGCCCGCCCGGGCGCCCCCTCCCCCCTTCAGGGCCCGTCCGGGGCAGCTCACGTCGCTCAGGGGCGTGCCCAGGTGCTCAATTCTACCTACTAAGTGAGCAAAAGCAAGGAGGGTGTGACCGTGTGAGCACTAACTAGGATGGAACGAGGGCATCAAGCGCGACCGGACATTATCTGGTATATAACTAGAATGCAAAGGTGGCATGGAAAGATGAGACGGTTGACATTAACCTCAAAATATCCCATCGATGCTTTTGATATTCCGCTGAGATGCACCTTAGACTAAAAATAGACACAACAGAAGAGCCCAAGTTGGTAAAAAAAACAGGACAGGAAGCCAAATAGACGACAAACGAACAAGTAGACACAAAGATAAGCCCCGTGGCAATAAACCACAGATAATTACATGCAAGGGGCCACAGTGACGTTCCAAGGTCGGTCATGACTCGTGAGAATCGTAACTTCGATACAATTTTTTTTTTTTTTTTTTTTTCCCCCTCTCCCTGAAATGTCACAGTTAGAGTGCAGGACGATGACGGCTTGCCATCATACAGGGAACCTTGGCTTAGAAGCTGAACAGTCCGCTCCTCTTCTTGCCTAGAGGGTAGACCACCAAAGCAGCCAGGAAGAGGCCCACGGTGGTACCAATAGCGACCTGAACCATCCCATATCCAATGTCAAAGACAACACCATAGCTCTGATCTCTCGCCTGATCAGCCGATCGGTTTTTGGCGGCGTCCATAAAGCCTTGTGTTCCATTGTTGACGACCGCATATGGAGACCGGGTGATTTCCTCCGCAGAGGTGATGCCAGAGATCAATGAGCCACTAGCTGCCAGACCAGAAGGGACAAGAACAAATATTGCCGGTAACATAGCTGCAGCAGCGAGTCCATGTCGGAGTCGGCTATAAAAGTTTCCCATGACACCAATGACAAAGGCACCTAAGGCATTGGAAACTTGCGTATTGGTGTAGAAGCGCTTGGCACTGAGGTAATTGACTGCGTAGCCTGCCAGTGAAATGAACAACATGATCGGCATTTGCCTCCATTTCGCGCGGTTGACGATTGCTAGGCACACGGTGAATAGAATGACGAAAGGGAATCTTTGAAGGTATTCGTTGCGAATGGGACTCGCGGGACAGGTGTATGCTGTTGAGGCTTGAGAGTCAAGAAGCCCGTACACCGCAGTGCCAATGGTGATGCCAAACCCAAGAAAAAGGGAGTAGATGATGGCATAGACCATACGAACGGAGCCCGCGATGATACTGCGTGACTGGAGCTCCAGACTAGCACATAGGACTGTATAGCCTGGCAATATCAGGGCGATAGAGGACTGGGCGAGAGCAGAGAAGCAAAACAGGGGCTCTCCCTGGAACCTGATACTTCCGAAGGCACGTGCAAGGAAAGAGGTCAGAACCGCGGCCGATATCTCGAAGACATTGGAGTACAAGCTCGATTTGGGTGACAGGATCAGCTGCAGGACCCCGAGAAGACATCCGAGAAGAAAGGCGATCGGCATATCCACTGGTCGGGCATTGAAGGCAAATGGGCCAACTGAGGCACTGGCGCACCCGTGCGCAAATATGAGGAAGAGAATGTGAAACTTGCTCGGCTTTCTCATGACCTCATCAAGTCGGGTCACTGCCTCCTCGACGCCAATAACGTCATGTATCACCTCCTTGTAGATCTCGTGAACGTCGGCCAATTTACCCAGGTCGATCCCTTGGGTTGAACGCACAACCTTGACCTCGGTGGTGTGGGTAGACGCATCATCGAAGGAGATGATCATACAGCCAGGTATGTACAGGAATTGGCCGTCAATCTGGATAACACGTGCGGTCATGCGCATGTATTCCTCTAACCGATGAGTCGGTGCTCCGAACTTCATCAGAGCCCGACAAAGCCGAATCAGATACCGTTGCCGACATAGAAGCTCTGCAATATGAACAGTAATATGAACTTCGTCTTCATATTGAGACTTGCCACGGGGAGTACCACCTAGGCCTGAGACAGCGGCACCGCTACTGCGGGACCGCGTAAGAGCAGCGAAAGGGGAGTTGGAGTTGTGTGAAGATCCGGCCAGGGAGATGCTGGAACGAGTAGATGACTTGTCGTACCATCTCCTGTTTGGCTTCCAGATAGAGTCGGGAGAAAGGCCACGACCACTCCACTCGGAGAAACTCCCGGCTCGCGAGCGTCCATAGCGCCCTCTATCCTGTGACTGACTTTGGTATGTATTCCGCGGGGCTTTGTGGTGGGGTTGATCATATAGCTTCAATAAAGATGAGAGAACGCCTCCGCGGTAATGCGAAGGCCTTTCGGCGGATTCGTAGGAGTCCCTATCTTCGCAGGGCTCGATGTGTCCAGATTCCAGACCAGATGGAGGGCGAAGACGACTCAAAAAGTTCAGGTCTCGAGGGGACATTTGTTGCTCTATATAATGGGCTTCGGAGGAGTGCGGTGTTGATCGCCCGTCTATGAAGTCCGCTTCATGTTCATCTAGTGTGTCTTCGAAGGGTTGTTGTGTTTTGGGAAAGCTGATCAATCGAAATTTATCCCCATCTCCTGTCGCGTGTACCTCTTGGGTGTGAGTGGTGACGATTGATGACGCTAGGGAGCTTGACTTCGGAGATTTTTGTGAGAAATTGAGAAGGGATGCAAATCTGTGGGCCCTTTCATGTGCAAAACAGATGGCTCGCCCCTTATCATTTGTATTTCGGATCCCATGCTTCCCAAAAGTGTCCGGTGGGCTGGGTCGGGGGGTGATCGCCAGGTTGGTGACATCCACTGATGCGCTAGCGTGGTCGCCATCCAGTAGGGGCACCACTGGGGAGCTTGGGGAAGCTTTTCCTTGGATACCTGGAATGTTGACGGTGGGAGGTGGTCTTTGCGGGAGCTCCCCCCTTCGATCCAACCGGGATTCGACCTTAGCTCCGCCGGGGGCCTCGCTCAAGTTGGACTGGGCGGTCCGAGCATGATTCGTGCTCTTCAGAATGCTTGCATTCCGACGCCTGCCCTGTGCGTATCTGCTATTCGATCTTCGCGTTTGAGACATTGAGTCTTCCTGAGAGGTATCAGGCAGTGGCGTAAAAGAACGCGGCCCTGATATCCTTGTCTCTGCACCAGATGCATGAGGACGGGAGGTCGGGAGGTCAAAGTAGCCCCCCGCCATCTCGGTGTAATTTGGTTTCCAAAAAAGGAACTTCTGATACTTGATAATCTAGAGCTCACAGACCTCTTTAGTGACCGAGCTCAACGGGAAATTCGGGTAGTGCGGTTCATGTGGTGAGCTGTAACCCAGCAACTGTCAGCTATGTGAACTAACAAGCACCTTTCGGGGATCACAAGATCGACAAGCAGACGATAAGCTAAAACACATTAGGCCGAAGCCAACCCAAAGGAATCAGAAAGTGGGGGAAACATTTCAGTCCAACCACAAGGAGCGGAAACGAACATATGCAGCTGCTTTTAGCCCGTTAAAGCGGAGTTCGGCTCGGAGGATGTACTGCTGGAATTCGAATAATGTCACGAGTACATATTCAGAGGCAGTAGTGTATTGCATCGGAAGCTAAGTACACCTGCAACGTCGGGGGAAGGGGTAGGAAGGCAACGGCCCAGGCAAGGCGATTTGAAGAACTACAGCTTGGATGCAGAGCTCCTTTCATGAGAAGGACATTGATGGATAGATGCAGGGATGAAATAAGATATCAATCCGCCGAGAAGCACACGGACCATATCAAAAAATCAATATCGGCAGCCCAATCGAACCGGATTTAGGAGACTTCCTTTGGGCCATGACCGTGTAGCCGTAGAGTGGCTGCGTCTGTGCCAGGCCTTCGCAAGCTTTTTGCCACGATTTTCAATCAGATGCAAAGGAGAGTGGATGATGAATCAGGGTATTTCAGGGAACTAGTGTTCGGAATGGTTCAGAATAGGTATGAGTAGCATATTGCGGCAGATTAGCACATTGGCTCCATAGGACCCAATCTTTTGGGGACCAGGAAAGGGGTTTGATTTACCACACAGTCAGTGTTCTGGATCGTTGGTTGTCATTGTCTATTGCCAGATTTCGACCTTGGACCGAGCAGAGACGCACCCAACGGGGGGAAACGGAGGGACCGAGCTCATTGTGGGAGAGACCAGGGGTTCCACAAGCTCAGAAGGTACCACAATACCGTAGAGTCAAATATCATCTCAGGGCAAAATCAAGTTGGCGGCATCTGGCTCATGGTCTTGGAAAGATTTTCGTGGGTTGAAGCAGATCAGTGGAGCAACATCTTCTTAGTGCGGTGTGGCTTGTATGTACTACTAGATGTACCCTTGACTCAGAAGTGGGGGGGCTCTTGTATTTTGATACTTCCTTTCTCCCCTTTCTACTCCGTCATCCTGTCAGATCGCACGATCGCGCACCCTGATCGGTTTGTGATATCGAAATAACCTATCTCATCCCTTGTGGGCCTTGATTATCATGGGAAATCATCCGACAGGTGAAACATGTCCGTCATGCATGCAAGATACCTGCAGGATACCTCCTTATCGCCAGTTCCTGGTTGCTTCGGCCAGTTGAAACAGCATACATATCCATCTTCTTATCCACCTGCATACTGTGCATGAGTACGACACGCAAACCAATTCCAGTGACGCGAGGTTCGAAGATACCTATCACGCGCTCGGGAATTATGTACCCTGTGTACTATGTATATGGTCGAACTTGACTTCCTCTCTCTCCCTTTCCGGGAACATCTTCGGAAGCTAGCCTAGCACCCAAATTTCGGCTCAAAGTCTCATGAAACTCCAAGATCGGACCCAGTGTCTACACTCGGAGAGGCTGTTGGAGGTTTCTGGTCCATCACGGCCCCGTACATATTACGAAGTAGTACCACGTCATCATGGACATTGAGGATGTTGCACCAGTATCCGGGGAAGTTGCCTGCTCCCACTGACTATCGCATATATTCTGAGGCCAATCTTTTGCAATGTACAAAGGAGAGTGTGACCACAACACATGCACTCCTGAGTTGACTGAAAGCATTCTTTCTGATGATGTCAGTCAGCATTTCAACTATGAGCTCCAATCTCGTCATCGTATCACCCACATCTGTGGGAGGCTTCTATAGGTAAGGAAGGCAACCTCTACTGTCTCGTTCACAAGATATCTTGGGAATGAATTAAGCTTTCAAGCTTACTCGTGTGGCTGCTGACTGGTCTTGGGCCCTGACCTGAGTCAGCCATCAGGGGAGCCCTGGAGCCTTGGAGGACACCCTGTATTGTGGGTTTGCTCCGCAGGCGTGGCGACCAAAGACAACCTTTAGTCTAACAAGCCTTGCAAATGGCGTTTTAGCCCCCTGAGACCTGGGCGGGTGGACCTCGAGCCAATTATCCCGATCTTCCTCGACATGACCTTTCATACATCTCATGCTTTTCATCTTTGAAGCTAAACTGGAAATTGAACTTCAATTCACACGTTTTGAATTGTATGAAGTTGGGAAACTTGCATCATATCAGCCTACGTCGACCTCTTCATGCAACAATGCGACCGCGCAGCCATTTGTCCCACCCTCTTCCTTTACCATCAGTCACACAGCCTCTCCCCCGAGCAGCCGTACCGGATATGATTGTGTTACCTGCACGGACGCAGGGGCTAACATTCAAGCTTGGACTTGGAAGTCGGCGTTTGTACGTAGTCGGGTGTATGTCTTGAATTTCCGGCTGTCCGATCCTCGGGAACATGCATATATACACAAAGCAGGGCTTTTCAGTTGGCATGTATGAGATTGTTTGTCGGATCCCGAGAGCACCTACCTCAGATTGTGGTCCCGGGTGAAACTCGTTGTCCCGAGGTGTTCGGTACTGTGCTTACAACCTTGGAATTATTTTGATACATAGATCTGACTGGGGTGTACCCGCTCCATTCTAGATGAGGATCCCAGCCAAACATCTAAATGAACATATACATGTACGGTCGTGGATACTACGTCGATCGAATTAGTGTTCTCATCAAAAATTTAAGGTTTAAGCTCGACGGTGGTACCATGGTTTGAAAGTTCGTGATATAATTTACAGCTTCAGCCAACTGAACAGGTACTCATTTGACGTTGGATTCTCATCCCAAGGCCATGCTACCGTACTAGTCAAATTAAACATTTCCCCCATTTACCAATAAAACTTCGGGGTATGCCTGCAAGCACTCTATTAATACCCTACAGACTTACAGGTTCACTTTTGAAAACCTAAGGCAGCGAGATGACTATGCCGTCTTGGTACATGAATGCCTCAGGTGTCTTCGCCCAACAAGCATCTCAACATTCATGTTGTAGTAGGGAAACTCAGCGAACTTCGTACACTCTGCGACTCATCATTCGCTCCCTATCAGAGCACTTTAGGCATGGGTGGAGCTCGATTTGCCTCTCACGATAATAGTCGAGGCACCGAACCACAGATGTCCTTGAGATAGCGGGGAGACGTGGATTCTGGGCAGTAGCAATGCGGAGCTAGAATAAATCCATGTTAGCTGCGTCATCGCATCGGGGACCAGGGCCTATTTTACGATCTCTCCCCAGTTGATAAATTCATCCTGACTCGACCTCGTGTCGGACAGCCGCGACGGCGCTGGCTGGTCGCTTCTCGTTGTGGTAATGGTGTTCCCCGTGTCGGGGTGCCCACCGCAGCGCCCACGGATGTTCGCACCGGGGCAGTTACACTGGCACGGGGACCTCATCAGAACCCCACAAGCCCCCGCTTCGAGCCATTCCGCCATGATGTGCATTGATGTGCAGTTTGAAATCCAAACCTTGCACCAAAACTTGGAGAAAGCTACCCCCACAGGAAATAAAAGCAGTGTGCAAAGTCGTGGAGCTTCACGATCTGACGCTATTCAACATTCCCATCATGGCCTTTTCACTTGCATCAAGAGCTAACCATTTTTTGGCCTTCGGCAATTACTTTCACTTGCATCAACCCTCTTCTCGCCATTTGGCCACACGCGCAACATCCTACACGCTCAACACCGGCGCGAAAATCCCGGCACTCGGATTCGGCACGTTCCAGGACTCCGATTCTCAGGAGAAAACTGTTAGCCAGGCCCTACAAAAGGGAATGCGTCTGATTGATACAGCTCGAGTCTACAATGTTGAGCGTGAAGTCGGAAGGGGAATCAAGAGTAGCGGCATTCCTCGCGATGACATTTTTCTCGGCACAAAGTTGTGGTGCAATGACTACCATCCTGGTGATGTCGAGCGTGCTTTGGATAATTCCCTGCAAGATCTAGATACGACATACGTCAATCTGCTGTTGATGCACTATCCCTGCACCTTCAAGCGAGGTTCCGATCGATTTCCTCGCGATGCCGATGGTAGAATGATTCACGGTGATACAACATATCTGGACACATGGAGGGCAATGGAGAAGTTGACTAAGAGTGGCAAGGTCAAAGCTATTGGAGTCTCCAACTTCAGCAAGGGTGAGATTGAAACCTTGATCAACAAGAGTTCCACTGTAAGTGCTACACTAAAATGGAGAAATCGCAAATGACTCATTGATTTACTAGGTCCCAGCTGTTCATCAAATGGAGGTCCACCCGTATCTACAACAGAAAATATTCAACGAGTGGCTAAAGTGCAAAGGAATCCGCGTTGTCCAATTCAGCCCCCTAGGTAATATGAATGACTTCTACCGACAAACAGGATGGTCCAAGGAGATTTCGCACATGATGCGCGTAGTCGATCAGCCTATTCTCAAGGAAATTGGCACCAAGTATAGGAAGAGTCCGGTACAAGTAGTACTCGCGTGGGGTATTAATAGCGGCCGTTCCGTTATCCCCAAAAGTGTTGTGGATTGGCAAGTTGAGGAGAATATGCAAGCGGATTTTGAACTTGAACCTGAGGATATGGCTCAGATTGCGACACTTGATTCACAGGCTCGTTTCAATGACCCCAGTTTAGATTATGAGTGGCGTCTGTATAGTGATTTGGAAGGTATTGATGGTACCATGAGAGGGAAAACCCACTAGTGACATTATAATGTTGTCGATAGACGCCTTCTGTGAAAAGCAGGGTGCAATGCATTCCTCGTACGTCTTTCGAGATCTTTTACTTTCCACCTGCTGGATCCTCGAGGTCTCATTTTCCATCAGTGCTCAGACCTAGTGCACGCAGTGACCGTACCTTGTTAGCTATGCAGTATCGTGTTCTGGGCACCAGCTTCAGCTCGTCCATCTAAAAGAATCGTACAACACCTTGCTGCGTGAAACCTATAGTTGCGCTACTTATATCAAGGCAAGACAACGTCCAGTCTTCGTAATGTACAGAGCTGAAGATGTCCATGGGTTGAGATAAAGCGCCATCAAACTTAAAATAAAATGAATTTACTTGGGCAACAGCATTTTCATAATGAGATTTCAAGTTGATTCATATCTAGACCAAGTAGCTTGACATGATCCGCACACGAAAGTATCCCTCTTGGACGGTTCAGCAGACTGTATGTGTTAGGAGGCCCATTTTTCTGAGGACAAATGCATGGGCACACTCACTTCCTATTACTCCATTTACTGGAATGTCAATAGAGGTGGTATAACTTGCGGCTTCACTGAGAAGATAGACGTAGGCACCGCCCAGCTCCTGCACTTCAGCCAGGCGCGGGAATCCTCCGTAGTACTTGAGTTGCTGCTCCCAGTCGGGCTGTTGTGGCACCCAATATGTCATGGCGGTTTTCACAAGACCGGGAGACACACTGTTTACCCGTATCCCGTACTGTGCCCATTCCATAGCCAAAGTGTGTGTCATGTTGCGAATACCGGCCTTCGAGGCACCGTAGGGAGTGGAGGGGACGCGCTAAGAGGGATTGTCAGCGTCAACTCTCTGGCTATAGTCATCTGAAGAGCTTCTACCTTATTTGGGCGGTACGAGGCCATTGAGGCGGTGAACACCACAGAGCCCTTGATCCCAAGCTTGATGAATGCACGAGCAGCGGCTCGTGCGGTATAGAAGGCCCCGAAAAGGTTCACGTTAAACAGGTTCTCGATTTCCTCTTTGGTAAAGTCAAGAGCAGCTTTGTGATGTGTGCGTCCGGCGTTCACTACCATCCCGTGCAGTGCTCCAGCTTCTTCAATGATCTTATCAATTGCGGCGGTGATTGTCGACTCCTCGGTCACATTAGCAGTTACAGCAAATAGCTGACCTGGAAAACGCTTGCTTATATCATCAAAGTCCTCTCCAGTTTCTCCGATGTCGATAGAGTAAACTCTGGCTGCGCCGTTAGAAAGACAGCACTCGGCGACACCCAGACCAATCCCGCGATTTGCACCGGTGACTAGGATGAGGGGTTAGTTGCCATTCATGGGAATTCGTGAAGAGTATCATCTTTCATACTCGCAATTACCTTCCCTCCCAGAGATACTTGAGTCTGGGGAGTGGTATTCGATGGGATGGCGGGCGTTTGGTCGGTATCGGAGAGAGTCATGGTGAAACAATTTGAGAGTGAAGGCAAAAAGGCTTGTGGGTAAGAGACTTGGGAAAATCGGTGTGACTTTATAAACCAGAAGCCAGTGAATTCCTTTCAATCAAGCTCTCACCCCTCAAAGTTTCCTCCGAACAACTAATTCTCCGGACAGGTCGCCGCGCTCCCGCATGTGGTCCCCCGAGCCGGGAGCGCCAAAGTGGGCCTTTGTCCCCGAGACGGTGACAGCTAGACCCGCCCATCGGGCTCTCATTGGGCGCCATGGCCCCAGCCGCGGGGAGATCACAGCGAGATCGACGACGAGGGGTGACAAGCTGTTGCGTGGGCAATCATGCAGCTACACTAGCTGCACTTTTAGAAATGCTCCGGGTCTCTCAAGTTGTTTTTACCTCCGACTGTGACTTCGTCTCGGCGCGAGAGAGCTGTTTCTGATTCTACTTCCACTTCCTCTTGCAACCTTTCATCTTTTGCTTGTTACTACTTGATCCACAATGACTGCATTACCCGCCTGGAATATGCTCAAGGGCAAAACCGCGGCTATCACCGGCGGCACCACAGGGATTGGTCGCGCAATAGTGCTCGCATATATCACACAAGGGTGCAATGTTGCCGTGAACCATCTGGGTCTCCCGCGAGACGAAGTGCATCGTCATAGTCTTCTTGAAGAAGTCAAGGTGCTTGAGCGAAAAGGTATCAAGACAGGCGAGATCCTCGAATTATCTGGCGACGTAACGGATCCTGAAACCAGCACTAGTTTGGTGCAACAAGCAGTGTCGCAATGGGGCAAGCTGGACATATTTGTCGCCAACGCTGGTGTTTTCAAGCAAGCGGAGCTCCTCAAGTCAGTCTCTGGTTCTATTTCGCTTTCAATTGGCAAGAGATACATGCTTATATCTAGGTCCTTCTAGGATTGAACCTGCTCTGCTTGATCACAGTGTCGATGTCAATATCAAGGGAAGTTTCTATTCCTGCCAAGCTGCGGCTCGCCAGATGGTGAAGCAAGGACATGGTGGCTCGATCATTGGCATTTCTTCTGTGAGCGCCCTGCTTGGCGGTGGCTTGCAGACTCATTATACCCCCACAAAAGCTGCCATTTTGTCTATGATGCAGTCTATGGCGATCGCCCTCGGAAAGGACAAAATCAGATGCAATGCATTGATGCCCGGCACCATCGCGACGCAGCTGGCCGACCACGACATGAAGAACCCTACTAAGATGGCTGCGTTGAAGGAACGAATTCCTCTCGGTCGCATTGGCGCCCCTGAAGATATGGCAGGGCCAGCCGTCTTTCTAGCTTGTGAGGATATGAGCCGCTATGTCAATGCCACGGGCCTGCTTGCAGACGGTGGGATGTATAGTAAATTACAGTGATGGAAGGGAATAGCATACATAGATGAACTCTTGAACTTTCGAGGACTCGTTTCACACGGGGGAAATACCTGATATCTCACAAAAAGCATGCCTAAATTTTGACCAATGGAAGAATATTGATTTCCCTTACACGAGAGGATAAGTATACACACACCTCTACCACTATGCGCATGCTCTACCTCGTCATGCTTTATCCACGGACCCGCAGATATCCATCCATCTGACAGTCTAATCAACAACTTCTGAATACCTTCCTCGGTAAACTGCGTGTGTGGCATTTTACCCGCATTCTCTCTGAGATGATTATAATAGCCGTCCAGCACTAGTCGATTCACGTTGATTTTGGTCACCCCAACAGCTATGCAGCGCTTTATCAGCTCTGGCTCGAACCCGTTGGTGCCATGAAGAGCCAGGTGGATTCTGTCATCTGCCTGGATGCGAACTTTCTCGAATCTTATCGACCAACTATTGGAGAAGGGCAATAGAATTATGGCAGAATGCCGATTCTCACCTGTCAAAACTCAGCTATAACTATTAACCACGCAGTCCGTATTCACCGTGGACATTGCCAAAAGCAGGGGCAATGACATCCACTCCCGTTTTAATGAACTCATCCACCTCTTCGGGGGAGGTCGTGCATGCTTCCAGACCAGCAGTATTTATCACATCGTCTTCTCATCCCTCGATTCGCCCAGGCTCGGCCTCTGTCACCTTTTCACGGTCGTTGCAATATTTCACCAACTCGCGCGTCAGGTTCAGATTCACCTCCTTCTCGTAGTGTGACATATCAACCGTGATACTATCCTATCAAAAGGAAGGTGTGCAGCCCGCTTGATAACACTCTCTGATTGGGCGTGGTCGAGATGGATACTGATCGGGACCCTCGCGCGTTTCGCTACATCCGCGGCGGTCCGCAGCAACAAGCCATATGTTGCCTCGATAGCCCAGGGAAATAATTGGATGATGAGTGGTAATCAGGCTTTCTCTGTAACTTGAACCAAAGACTTGTTCAATGTTATATGCAATGGCGGCTAGAACGCCATACCGGCCGGCTTCGGCGTCGCGCAAAATGCGCTTATGGCAGTTTGAGTCTTTCGAAGTCATTCCAAGGTTTGCGTGACTGAGCGAGCTAATAAACCATACTTAGGTATGACTTTTTCAAATCCATCTTCGACCCGTTTTGAGGACACTGGCCCTACCTAGGGAGATGGGCGTCCCGGGGGTGGATGTGCTGTATGGGGGCCAGGATGCCCCCGAGACCAGGGCTCTTCCCGCCCCACTGCTGCCCCAGGTTCCCGGAACTTTGGGGTCCACTCGTCCTCCGCCTGGGCATTTAGTCTACAAGATCTCCGTATCTACAAAGACCAAATTTCTTCGAGCTCTTCTGTGATCAATTATTGTTCCCAAAGGCGCCTATTTTGGTACAATTCAGATCGAAAATGACGTGCGCAACTTTTGCTTTGAAAGAAATCGTGAAAGCTATACATAATATGAATAAGCATCAATTGTGGGACGTAAAGCTTGGATTAACCGTCGAAGTAGCATCTCTTGAGCTACCTAGGTAGGTATGGCTCTGCCAAAAATATGTAAGTAATACACATGAAATCATTCACTCACACGGTTCTCATTCCAGAGGCCTCGATTCGCTCCATGCCGCCCTGGAGTCGAGGCAGATGTAAGTTTTGGAATCTCGGACTCCTTCCATAATTGTTCCAGCTCCTTGCCTAGAGAGCGAATAGGCCATCCACTTTGTTCCCGGCAGGATTCTAGGAGGTCAAGTATGGCCCCCTGGGTACTGCGCTCTTGTGTAAACAGTCCGGCTTCTCTTGGTCAGCCCACACTAGGATATATTGCAAGGTGTCTTCGAAAACTCACCGATAAATAATGCCTGTGAACACATCAAGCAGGAGGGATTGTCTTTTAAGGTCATGGCAATGCCACAAATTTCTCCGATAGACCGCTTGATTATATTTTGACGCTCAAGAAATCGTTCTAAACCGCCGATGCTTGGCTCGTTGGCGAGTAGCAGAATGCGGGAGACATTGTAGAACTGGACTGCAATAGCTTTTTGGTCCTGTTAGTTATGTATACAGTTTGCATTGGCACAAAAATGTTCCATTCTTACCAAATTCAGGCGGCCGAATCCAGACGGGTCGAAATCTCGACAAGGATTTGCGAGAGTTAAGCGGTAATGGCGAAAATTCGATAGTCAGATGCTCCTGCCAGTCATCCAGCATTGTGTGAAGGAGGTCCGCTCCATCGATTCGGCGTTGAATGTTCTCCCCAGTCGGACTCTCGGCGCAGTAGCTGATCACCTTTGCGGTAATGTATATTGAGCGCGTAGCGAGTTCATGCGGTGATAGCGTAGCAAGGGTCTTCTGTGGAACCCAGAAGGTTAAAGTCTTTCTTTTCTCACGAAACGCTGCCCATATATCTTGGCAAAGCCATGCCCACCAGACAGCTGAATGTAGCCCCCCAGACTCTCCGTGGATAGTTTGAGACCTCTGGATAAGGAAAACACCTTCAAGATGTCGCTCCCAGTCGTTGGTAGAGTTATCGAGCATCTCGTATGCGGAAACAATCAAAGCCGTAGAAAGAAGCTCTAGGCTTGTCTTGTATCCGGAGTACTGCATTGCCTTTTGTACATAATGAAGTGTTTGGTAGTAATATTGTAGAGCGGCTTCTCCTTTATTCGGGATGCCTTGACCATCCAGACGGGAATTCGAGGCCAGGTGCCTAAATGCAAGGGCTAGAATGGCGTTCATCAGCCCGGCATTGTGTATCTAGAAAGCTTTGGTCAATATGCATCCTGTGATAGATTTTCCCCAGATAGGATGTCAACTCACTGCCAAATGAGATACAAGCGTTGAGAATTGGCTTGTGGGGTCGAAAAGATCGATCTGCGTAAGGAAAATGAATTAACTTATGAGGGAAACCATCAAGCATATCACTGATGACCTACCCAAGGGCTTACTTGAGTAACAAAGTGCTCAAACAATGTGGACTCAGTCGGCAGAAGTTCTATGGGCTCTCGAGACTGCCAGATTTGAGCCTCTGCCAGAGGGCTGCTGTCCGGTCCGCCGGCATTTGCAGAGTCATGGTTTGCATGACTGGGAGGAGGACTATCCAGCACTTGCGTCGCGCATTGAAGTGAGCTTAGCTGAGTCGAACCGTGAGGGCCCGAGTTACCCAGCGAGAGACTTTCATTAGCCCAGGAGTGTGGAACAGTCGACAACTGTGAGATGTCTCTTGCAGCGTCGCTCGCCAGGAGACCAAACCACTGTACTGCTGCGAATGATGCATTGGCTGCTGACAGAGGGTACGTTTGCAAAGCCAGCGGGCTCTGGCTGCATGCCAGCTGGTTTTGTGCCAGATGATCAAGTTGGGGGGAGCTCAGGGCAGGTTCGTGATCAATCCACGTAGAGTCAGCAACTTCGTATGTGTCATATCCCAGGTTGCTTGTATCTGTATGCGTGCTTTCTGGTGCTTGTCTGTTCTCGGTCGCAGGGGATGTAGCTTGCTGTTGGTCCGTTGCCACCTCAGAAACATCCACGAGGACATCCCCAGGAATGTCCTGGATAATATTCTCCGTGGTATCGACATTTGAGGCCGGAAGTTCGACGCTGCGACGACTCGAGCCGGTATATTCGCAACGACTGTTTCTTTTATCACAAGCGCCGCATATTGGCTTAGCTTCATCGCACTTCAGGTGTCGTTTCCGGCAAGTGATGCTGCATTCACCTGGCTGAGCAAAGCACAAGTAATCTCGGCGTAGGGGAACTCACCATCCACTAGTAGTGCGTAGACCACGGCCACGCGCCTTGCGTATGCGTGGTCGCCTGTGTGACGCCCGTGAATGCGTGGTTGTGGATGTGTCGTGGTCAAGAGTCGACTCCATACTTTCTCCGTCAAGTTTCGCACCCGTTCCTCGTCTCGGGGGACACCATCAGATATGCCCCAGGAGCCCAGGTGATGATGCGGGGGATTGTGGAACACAGGATACCCACCTGCCCAGGGCATAAGGCGCCAGGGCCCCCGCGTTCTAGTCGGAACACTCAAGAGAAAGCCAACCCTTTAGAAAGTGCCAGACAAATCCAAGTCCATAGGTTGAATTTTCTGGCTTGGTTTGCCCGGGTGCCTGGAGTTCTTTGCGCTGTAATTAAACATGCCGTTCTTACTCCGCGCCGATTGAGGGTCATCCTGTTCTGTTCTATCGCCTCAAGCTTCCAATTGGCGCCATGGGACGCCTAAGCAGCCTGCAACTACAAGACACCAAGCATTAAAGAGTATGATATGACAGATTACCAAGCTGAGATTGTAGGCTAAGTAGCGACTTATGTGCTTCAATTGTCAGCGGCCATGATCAACACAGCCAAATACTAGGAGATACACCAAACATAGAATCAGACATTTGCAGCAAAAACACGGAATTGACAGAGTGATTCGGTCAAAAGTAGCCCAGGGTAGTGGGTTGTACATAGCCAGATGTACACTTAAAGCCGAAAAAAGGTAGCGAAATTGGCAAAGGCAGGAGGCTCAGAATGTCAAGCGCACCTGTTGCTTATCCGCGGCCCTGTGATTTAGATCCAGTTTTGCGTAACTGGGACAGTGAGGCCAATGAAAACGCAGATGGGACATATCGAGAGAGATAGAAGAAGGGGAAGAAAGGAAGAGTAAGAAATAAGTCATTTCAGACCAAGCAAGGCCTTTCATCGCAGAAACCGTAAGAGCTTGGCAAATGCCAGCGATAGAGTAATGATAAGTAAAAGAGTGGCGAATAGTTTGGGCTCATAAAACCCGTTGATCAAGAACGGAACACATAAGAATGGAAGCCAACCCCATGAAAAGGGGAGGGAACGGAAAATGAGAATGATGAAGAAAAAGAAAGAGGCACAAAAAAGGTCATACGTCGCTGTCACATGATGTTCGGTATTACATGAAAGGGGTCTTGCGCTTTTCAGCACTGGACAGCACCAGCATAGGCGTCTTGCGCCGCTCAGGTGCCTGGGCCGTCTGCCCCTGTCCAGCAACCACAGCGGCCACGGAGGGCGACGAGGTGCCGCTGGCACTAGGCGAGGAGACGTAGTCCCCTCTGACATCCACGAACTTGGATCCAAAGTAGCCATCCTCGCTGGTCGGGGTCGCGCTGTGGAAAGGACTATCGGGGGAACCGCGATCCCTGCCAGACTTTTCCTTTCTCTCGGAGCCAATAGCACCGTTAGCTACCGCCCGGAGGCTGCCAAGGCTGGGCTTGCTGGAGAGGCTTCCACCGCTACGTACAGTAGCGTCATCATCGGAAAAGGTGAATTCCTTTTCGCTTGCAGGGGTGTTGGTACCGCCGCTGCTGTGGTATCCAAAACTGCGCGTATCACCGCGGCGCTCAATGCCCGCACGAACCAAGTTATGAACTGCACGACGTCGCTGACGAGTCGCAAAGTTCTTGCTGCCCTCGTGTTTCGATGTTGGCTTGGCCACAAGATCCTCAAGCGAAGGAGGTCCGCGAGGTTGGCGCATCGGGTGCTCGCCAGCACGACCTTGACCGGGTCCAAATGTTCCAGTAGCTGGGGTTGGGGGAAGGGCAGCGGACCGAGGACCAGGGGCTATGTTCGCCTTAGTAGTATCTATGTTTGTCTTGATGCTTGGGTTAAATGAGGGGTTCTTGCGGTGACCCCGACGAAGTGCGTTGACAGATGACTCGTGAGGCGGAGATGGGCTGCTAGCAGGGTGGGGAATTGACTGCGGGAACTGCATAACAGACTGGGCAGAATCGGCGGGAGGAGAAATCTCAGCACGGAATTGGGGCACCTGCTGACCGTAATAGGATTGGGCATCATTGTGAGACTGAATGGGAGCATCATCCTGGGAGTTGTTGTCCATGACAAAACTCTGCTGGCCAGTGAGAGGATTGAATACACAATACATTCCAGGCTGTCCAGGGACGGGTTGAACAATGGGTTGAACACCCTGCTGAAGCTGCTGTTGATAGAAACCCAAGTTGGCGTTGGACATCGAAGATTGATGCTGCTGCTGGTGGTGGTGTTGTTGCTGTTGCTGCTGCTGCTGAAGGGACAATCCCAGGTTGAGGTTCTGGAATTGCTGGGCTGCTGCAGTAACACTGATCAGCTGCTGCTGCAGGCGTTGTTGCTGTGCAGCCAGGAACAAGTTGGTTGACATCAACTCCGCATACATGCCCTCGTCAAGGGGAATATCACCACCAGCCATCTCGAGTACTGGAGGCGCAAGGACCTGCTCCGGCATGGTATAACCCATGTGATTGTGTTGCGAATTTTGATGCGAGTGTTGATGAGAGTTGCGGTGCGTATTCATGTTCTGATTCGGCGCGTACGCCTGCTGCGGGAATCCAGCTCCAGTCGCAGTTTGTGGAACCCGATCTGATCCTCGGTTCGAAAAACTAGGAAATCGGGAACCCTCGACGCCGCTTCGTTGTTGATGGTGAGAAGGAATCGTCGCAGATTTTGGGGCAGTACGCAGTCCAGCCAAGAGATGAGAACGACTAGTTCGCGGTGTCGAAATCGAGGCCGAAGCCTGAGACTCGTCGATGGTGGCAACCTGGGGAGGCACACTAAGGCGTTTGATGTGAGACCCTTTGCCGCGTGAAGCGAAGCCAGACCCGGGCACGCCCAGGGAGCTGCCATTATTGAAGGAAGAGTTGTAAGTCATTTGAGCGAGACCACCAGTGTCCATGCTCGTAATCGTTTGAGTCGGGTTGTAGGTATGTGCAACAGAATGCAAGGTGTAAAAGGCGCGTTTTGTGACGTTTGGGTCCGATGTGAGCGTTTGGGGTCAACCACAAAACAGAACTCACTTCCCTGCGATTAATTGATTATGATGTTTATGCAAGAACAAGCGCCGAAAGAAGTCTGCAAAGTCGAGGTTCGAGGACCGGGAATGAAAACTTAAATAGAGCTGGGCGACCTGGTTGAGCGTCAAGTCAGTGGGATTCAAACTGAATGACGAAAACGCGTACCGATCGCAGTTGACGATATGCCAAAAGCAGTGAGCGAGTGACCAGCAAAGTAAAGAGCTGAGGCCGAGATGACCAAGCTGCGCAATGACTGCTTTGGGGTCGGGAGGTCGGGAACCACACGGCTCTCGAATTCAACCACGAAACGGTTGACTTGGGTGGGGACAATTAAGAAGATATGGTAGGTAATAGAGTCACGCGCAAAAGAGGACCGAAGGAAGATAGAGATGTCGGGGGAAATGCTCTGCAAATCCCAGTCACAACGAAAAGAGAGTCGTTGACGCGAAGTCGAAGATCGAGGACCGAACGGTTGAAGCCGAGCAACACAAGATGACGGCCCAAGAAATAAGAAAAATCCAAGCTCAATACACCAGAATGGAAGACCTCGTCAAGGTCATGCAGGTTCGAAGGGACTTCGGGTCTCGGCCCAAGGCGATATTTTTTTCCCTCAGGGGCGAAGGTATCAGAGGGGAGCTATTTGCTGATAAATGTCGTTTTTTTCACTTTTTTTTTCACCCGAATGAGAAGAAGAGCTGCAGAGAAAGAAGGAATGCAGAGGGGAAAGAAAGAACGAGAAGATTAGATGGGTTGAGAGAAGAGGAAGAGACGATTATTGAGGATGGTGATGTGGGGATCTGGCGCCTCAGGCAGACAGGTCCCAAACGGTACTAGCGTGGCCAGGCACAATGGCTTTCAACTCTCCGGCTCTTTGATCCTATTTTTCTCTTCGTTTGACCATTCACTTTGCACCGGGATTGTTCGAGTCAATATGTGTTGAATAATGGTACCCCTCTTCGCTGTGGCAGAAGTCTGCCTGATCTCCTCCGTACCTAATGGTTTAACGAGTGCCGCTGAGGGGATCTGACTGGCTCGCCCTATGGACCAATAAGCAGATCATTCAGACGTGAAGTGATTCCCCATCACATCTTCTCCCATTCCATTGGCTACTGGCCACTAGCGGCGCGACGTGGCCGCGTTCTGCGCCTGACAACGCCCCTGGAGCCGCTCGCTGCTGATGCCAAGCTGTCAAAGCCAGCCAATGATTGTGTCTGGACTTGCCCGAGTTCTTCTCGGACTTGGTAAATCGAGCTCCGTACTAATACAATTAGCTCATTCAGTTCAGCTGGCGAAAGCTGAATAATTATCTCTCCACCGAGGTCTGATGATCCACGTGTAAACGCAACAATACTACGGAGTAGCACGGAGTACTCGACGATCAGAACAAGATCGCACAGACCATGGAACCGGGCAGTGGAATTGAGGTCCGTGTCGAATTACGGCCGTTGGTCGGCACTAGTGTGATTAAGATCTACGATGAAGATCCAACTCCATATTATTCATTCCAACATGGATGATTCCCAAAAATGTATCATACACATATCGCACACATGCAAACTCGTTCGATCGGAGCATGATGTCCCTTTGTACAAGAACCAGTCATCTGTACAAGCTCAGTCTTTGACGTGAACTAAGCCATGGATGGGCATATCCCCCGTTCCGATTTCTCGATGAACAAGAACGCAGAGACACAAGAAAATGGGCGCCGATAAAACATGAGCGTGCAGAGAAACCTAGAACCAAGAGAAAAGGAAGATGATCAAAGCGGCAATGAAAAACAGTGCGGGGTATCTGCTGGCGTCGACAATGCCAGAGGAGAGAAGTCAATGAATCATTAAGAACTAATCAAACAAGGGCGGCCTTGGGATATTTATGTATCCACGGGAACCCCAGGTCCAGGGAGGGTATCCGTGTCATTTTGAGATGGTAGACGGCGATGGCCGAGCTCAGGAGAGCCACCCTTGCCATTCATCCGGTCAAATTCGAGGGTTTCGGCCAGCTCAGCGGCCAACGGGTCCAAGTCCTCTTCCTTGAGTCCGGTCGCTATCGCCACCAGCTTACGATGCACATCAAACTTGGTGCTGACACCCGCGTCTGCGGTTTGTTGGGCCAGATCTTTGACGCCGTTGCGCCGTGTTTTCTGTGCACAACTGAGCTCATGGGCAAGTTGATAGCGTGCAATTAACTGGTCTTGTTCGAGGGACGCTGGAGTTGGCTTGGGAACCTCCGTTGTTGCAAGCTGCTGGGCTAAGCGGCTGTATTGCAATTGCTCAAGGAGTGACTCGCAATTGACTCTCAGCTTTTCATACCGACCAACTTGGTCACCAGTACGCTCATACTCGGCTTCTTTGGCATTTAGCTTGGCAAGCTGTGCCTGTATCTTTTGACGATCAGACTCGAGTTGCTCATGCAAGGCCTCTGGATTGGCGATGTCGTTGTAGTCTTGTTGATTATCTTTCGAGTTACCGTAAGTCACGGCAAGCTTTTTATTTGCATCGGCCATGATCGTGCCAATCTTAGACAGAAGCTCGGTGGTGGCCGGGGCCTCGGGAATCGAGGGGAAAGAGTGGTGGCCAGCAGTCGCAAGACCGCCCACATCACCATCACCATGTTCATTGGCCATGGTGACTGAAGATGGGGCCGGTGGGATGTCATGATCAGGGTGGTTGGCACGCTGTACTATACTAGCCGCGGTCTCGCCCTTGTTGTTCATGAGATCTCCCGCGCGATGGCAGTGGAGGAGGAGAATATTCACCAAACGGAATGCGCCATTCCGAGCCGCAACGAGGGCAGCGGTATCTCCGTTTTGATCTTGACATGACAGCAAGATGGCTACCTCGTCCTGCGAGCAAGTATTGCATAATTTATCAAGGAGGATTTCACAGTAGTACCGTGAGCTCTTCCACTTTCCTTTGCTTCGAGTATTCTCTGCGATATGATGGAAGATAGTGGCCCCGAACCAATCCCGGAAAGAGACAGTGTCGAAAAGCATATCCAACAGTGTCGGAAACGTTCTCTTCTCATAGTTATTGGTAAAGAGAACGGCTCGAACAAGTGGGGTCTCTTCGTGCTCCGAAAGAGCTTTGACATTTGCCCCTTTGCTGATGAGGCTGTGCACAATACCCAGATCACCCATTGCACACGCCCAGTGAAGAGCAGTGTTTCCAGAATCATCGATTGCTCGATCGACTTGAAACTGGCTGGGAGGCACCGGAGGAGAAATCCGGGTTGCTTCTGGAGCATCACCCACCGTCATGAAGTAGTCAAGAAGCTGATCACCATAGATGATATGTTCTTGTTCGGCGATTGACATAGCAGTTGCCTCATCAACCCCACGCTTTCGTTTCCGACCACCCTGCGACATTTGAAGCATGTCTTCGTCGGCAATCATCGACGACGACTCGATTGTATTGTGCCCAATGGACTCATTGTCATCAAACCCTGCGTTCATTTCATATTGGTCTTGGGGGATGATCGGGGGCCCCATACTGCGTGGGGGTTGAACAACCTGTAGGCTCTCTGCTGCTGTTGCTGCGGCCGCTGCCGCGTTTGCGGCCGCACGGTTGGCGGCGGCCGATTTCCGTGGCGCTCTGGGTTTGGACGCAGCTGAACTGTGCTTTGGCGCTGGGGGTGGGCTGCGGTCTCCAGCAACATAATCAAAAATTGGGAGTAGTTTGGCGAGGACTTTGTTGCGCTCGGCGAGCAGTCGACCTTCTGGGAGGGGTATCCACGTCCCTAGAATTGATTGCGTCAGTTCGGTAGTTATCCAATTTCGCGCTCCAAGGCCTACCCTGGTATTTGCCATAGCCTCCTTGAACTTTCTCGTGCACACCCTTCTGGACCTCTCGCTCGAGGATACGGGTTCTCGCAGGCTTGTCAAAGCCTGCAGCTTTGAGGATATGTGTTGCATTCACCCAGTCGTCTGCCCGCCGTCTCATCACACTATCGCCGTCGAGTTTGAGTTCGTAGACTGGATTCTGTAGAGGTGTCAGTTGCCATTGCGGTCAAACGTCCCAAGTTGAGCCCCAAGCGAAGACGATATAAATATCCATGTATGCGACTGATGTGCGACTCACACTGCTGTAGGTAGCGGAATAGATATTCTCCATCCCCGCCATGATGATGTACGTCGCCGTGGGCGCCGCGGGTGAGCAGGTTGCCGAGGAACCTTGGAAATATGGTTGGACGGTTGCTGTTGCCCAAGACGTCACCCCTGAATGATCAACAGATTGATTGTGCTGGGAATGCTTCAAGATCGATACATTTCACGTAAATCAGAATGCTGCAAGCACAGGTTGCAAAGACACCGACGGAATTGGTGGAGCTTGAGTGGCATCTGGATACGCGCTGCAGACGCGTAAAGTGGAAAAGTCACACTAGTCCCATTTCGGTCGGTAGATCACGTGGCTTGGTGGTCATGTGACTGGCATCGGTCATCGCAGGAACCTCACGATCGGGAAGGGCCAACGTCGCGTCCGCCTCTCAATCCCCGCTCCTTGTCTTTCCACCCTCCAGTCCTCACCAAAATGACTGTCATTGAGTCGGTCAAGAGCGCCGTTGGCCTCTCGGAGAACTCCGGTAAGAATCCGAGGCCATTGATCAACAATCAAAATCTCGACCAGAATAGCTGACCAGACTTAGCCACTCGCCAAGAGATGTCCGAAGCTCGCCTTCCCATGCAGTACAGAGATTCATGCGCACACCTGCTGATTCCGTTGAACCGATGCCGGCAAGCAGAGTACTACCTTCCATGGAAGTGCGAGGTATGAATCCCCTCGTTTTGAAAGCCGCACCGGAACACTCTTTCTTCGGGGCGTCTTTCATGGCCAATTAGATCGGCTGTCGGCTAACTCGGTTGTTCACGTATAGGACGAGCGACACTCCTATGAGAAATGCCAGTACGAAGAGTTCAAGAAGCGTGTGGCCAAGATGGACGAGCTGCGTGCTGCCAAGGACGGTGCCCGGAGCAACTAAATTGTCGAAATTTTGTTGAAATATTGAAGATCGGTGCTGCTGGAGGAGTAGCAGGAAATGTAAATAAGAGATACACCGAAACTGCTTATGGACTGCCTTTTGGCGTTGGGATCCTTTCACGTTGAAACCGACCATTCGATCCACCCAGACACCAATGGAGCCACGGACATTGATAGATCGACGCTCAGTGTTCCGAGAATGTGCCGTGTGCTGGGGCAAAACCAGCGGGTATTGATTGATGTTGACGAGCGTGTAGCGTGTAGCATGGTGCGAGTTGTACGCACATATCATGGGCTATGCTCACCTCCCGGAAGTCCGCAGTTGATCTTTCCTCTCTCGGGCAAGCATGTCAGTTGCAACGGGCAGTCAGGATCTCAATCTCGAGATTCTTTGCATGGATTTTTAGCACATCGTCCTTTCCATAATCATGATACCTTCGGTCGATCGTTAAACCTCAAAAGAAGCAGAACATATATGCCTCCCTTGACCCACGGATGGGGTAGTCGAATCTTCAATCTTAGGTCAAACGCCCGGCGTCGCCAGGAGTAACTTTCCCACTCCGAGGTCCTGGATGGCTAACATATATTTATGTAAACCACCCGAAGAGATGTGCCATCAGAAGAATGTACTGCGATTCCAGTACGTCTTTGTCATGGCGGTAAATCACCAGAAACACTAGATGACGCACCCAGCTCGTAGGGCTCCGGTGTTTTCGGGTTGTTGGTGTTGGAAGCCTCATCATCTGCGCTACTAATCTGCTTTACACCTCTTTTTCTCGGGCCCCGGGGTACAAATTCCGATAGCAAGGCGCCTTGGTGATACATACCCGCTTAGAGCAGATAGCCAGCTATCAATTGATACAGTGGTATTAAAAAGGTAGTATAGTACTCTCTACAAGTTCCCTTCTAGTCTGGAGCTACATGTGAGATGCCGTTGCCCATTAAGCCAAAAGTCACGGCACTGTATTCCATATAGAAATAAGTCAAAGCAGGCTCTAGCATTTCAAAAGTCTCGTATCCCCAATTTACAGTTTCGTGTTAAAATAAAACCGACGTTCATTGGCGACGGAGACATTTCTAGGTGGTGGGGGCTACATGTCTCCGAGGCTCCCATACTATAAAAGTTCCGCAACTTGAAGGTCAGAAATGTTTTCTTGGGCTCTTCATTCACTCTTCAATCTTGTTTCAATTCTCTGGTTCTGACTCTAACACCCGCAAGCTTTCAGCAATCAAGAATCCTTGCAGCCATCACCATGTCGGACTTCACTGAAGCCAACCGGGAGTACTTCGAGTAAGTTGCCGTCGAGCCCGCGGACTACAACTGTCCTTTTGGTATACTGACAAGGTCATTCTACAGTAAGCTCGCTACTTCCTACACGGGTCGGTTTGCGGATGCCTCGAGAATGCTGGCATCTCAGACCGTGCAGCATCGAAACTGGATCAGTGAACGGTGGACTGATACAGAAGCTGGTAAATCCAAAGAGATCAGGATGCTCGAGTATGCCTGTGGACCTGGAGTTGTATCTATGGTAAGTATTCTTATGTCCATCACATTAATACTAGCTGGGGGTTCCTTTGATAGCCTCGCCAGACTAACCAAGCGTGAACTTAATAGAGTCTCGCCCCATTCGTCACACAAATCATTGGCGTCGATATTTCGGATAATATGGTTGCAGAGTTCAATCGCAATGCTAGCTCTCTTGGTCTTGCAGACAAGGCGATTGGTTACAAAGCAGATCTGCTTGCAGAGAACCCTGCAGCCCAGGAGATTGAGTCCGCATGTGCAAATCTGGATATGGTGACCATCAGCATGGCCCTGCACCATTTTGAAAACCCCAGCACTGCTCTGAAGCGTCTGGCTGAGCGCTTGAACAAGAGTGGAGTGTGCTATATTATCGATCTTGTAGCCCATACCGATGCTCATGGCCATGCACACGAGCAACACAAGGATGACTTTGCTGAAGCGGCCCACACCATCAAGACACATGGGTTCTCCTCTGAGGATATGCAGAGACTTTTCGAAGGAGCTGGACTCACTGGGTTTAAATACGAGGTTTTATCTGAGCCTCTTACTTTCAGCACCGAGGAGCGATCCTTTTCCAAGACTGTGTTTGTTGCTCGGGCCCAGCGTGCATAGACTAACTCCAAGTCCATGCAATTATTTTGAGTTGAATATGATGCGACTTTTACCATTTTACCATAGGATATTCGACGGCAGTATTCCAAGGTTATGCATAAAGTGAGCAACATTCCAACACTCAATAGTAGTCAACTTAGAGCTACCGGTAAGCACCACTTTCTCTATTGGCTCTTCACAGTGGATCCACGTCAATTCAGGTACGTGCATTGCGCCTTGGACCTCTCTCTTTGCCAGTCTGCTATTTGTGTACCTTTTGTTTGTACTTTGGTTCCTCTGTGCTCGGGCCTATCATAGTACATTTTGATATGAGGCCGAAGGCGCAAGGACCAGGCTGAATGTCACCATCCAAATTCTTTACTTCAATGTCCGGTCGAAGAACAAGACCCAGCTTATAACCACCTTCATATCGCCATCAAATATCATCTCAAATATATTTCTTATACCTCGTAAATCCCAGCCAACTGATTGGTAATCCATTGTCCCACTTTGATTAATAATTCGAGATCGCGGTCCGGTGCCGCTCTTATCGCCGGTCCCGCCGCAAAAGGGCCGGGGAAAAAACCCCTCCCCATGTGAGCCCAGAACTACAAAGAATCAGTCCGAAGCAGGGACTATGCGAATCTATCTCGATCAGCTTCGGGAAATTTAGCATTGAACATTTTGTGTCCTCACCCTGTCCATCCGCTCCACATCAGAGCTCCGCACAGACTGCGTGGTTGCGGCGTTTGATCTTACAACTCCAACATGGGACTTCTGTATGCCACCTCGGGACTGATGATTATCTGTTGCATGCGATCTAACCTCAACACACAGAGCCCTTGGAACAGCGCTGGAGTGGCCAGACGCCAAACAGAAGGCGGGCCAGGTGCGCGAGTGGGGTATCGAGGTACACAGCCATTTTCGATTCGGGACAACTCTGTGCAGTATCAGGAATGCTGACTCGTGACGCCTTCAGCAATTACTTGCCAATTGGCGTAGGGCAAGAGGCAAAGAGCGCGATGCGCTGCTTTGGGGCGACGAGGTATGCTGCTCTTCTCCGCACGCAATTGCCGATCTTTGACAGCTAACATGGTGGCATGGATAGGTCGAATACCTCGTGGTGGCACTCGACGATGCGGCCAAGAAGTCCCGTTTATCTCTCGCCCAGGCCGATATCTTGAAATCGTTAGCGCGGGACGAAGCGCTGTGGAAGTCTGGATCTGGAAAGGACAAGAAGCATGCGGATCAGTAAGTTGGGGTGGATGCCAACAACCAAGAATAGCACGTCTGACATCCTTCCAGCGACGGAGAGGAGCCTCCTCATTTCCATCCCGAATTCGGCAGGTTCATGCTGGAGGCGACTCCCGGACAGCCATGGGGAATTGGTTTCAAAGATCTGCTGAAGGTGGAGTCAAACATGAAGTGGAGGTGAGCCAATTTCGAAAGCCCCTCTTCACAGGAAATGGGCTGATGATCCTCCAGACGCGAAGTAGCAAAGGCGCACATGGCTCCGAATGAAGTTCCCATCACCTTGACAACATTCCCCCGCTTGGGAACCAAGGATGACTACATACAGCCTTACTACCCTCCATCTGGGCCAGCTCTGCGCTCTCAGTTTGTCCCTGATGAGATTGCCAACCCTCACATTCGATTCCCCACGTTGGCAGCCAACATCCGATCACGAAGAGGGCGCAAAGTCGAACTTAACGTCCCTGTCTTCCACGACACAAATACACCTCGGCCATTCAAGGACCCAACCGTGAACTACGATCTCCACAACTGGCCTGAGGACGACGACGTTCGTAATGGCGCTGCGAAGGACGATCACGTTTACATGGATGCCATGGCTTTTGGAATGGGCAGTTGTTGCTTGCAAATCACCTTCCAGGCAAAGAATATGACAGAGGGCAGGAAGCTCTACGACCAGTTGAGTCCCTTGGGTCCGATTCTTTTGGCTTTGACCGCCGCCACACCCATCTACAAGGGTTTCTTGGTGGACACAGACGTGCGATGGAACCAGATTGGAAATGCAGTGGATGATAGAACCCGCGAGGAACTGGGTGAAGCTGTAAGTGTTTGTCGATCTATGGTTTTTGGGCCATTCAACTAACATATGACAGCCCCTCAAAAACGATCGGTGGAGAATCCCCAAGTCTCGATACGCTTCCAACTCGACATACATTTCTCAAGATCCCCGCCTTCGAAAAGAGTACTTCGACCCTGATCTGGTTGTCGATGAGAATATCAAGAAACGCCTCATGGACGGAGGGATGGATGATCTACTAGCCACACACTTCGCACACCTGTTCATCCGTGACCCATTGGTGATCTTCTCCGAGGACCTCGAGGAGCTAGATCTCAATAAGGGTGACCACTTTGAGAACCTACAGTCTACAAATTGGCAACATATGCGCTTCAAGCCACCCCCACCTGACAAGGATGACATTGGTTGGAGGGTTGAGTTCCGCTCCATGGAGATCCAAATCACGGATTTCGAGAACGCGGCGTTCAGCATTTTCATCGTGCTGATCACTCGTGCAATCCTGAGCTTCGATCTCAACTTCTATATCCCAATCCAGCGCACCACAGAGAACATGGAGACAGCGCACGCGCGCGATGCCGTCAACGATCGCAAATTCTGGTTCCGCAAGGATCCATTCGCTAGCATTGTTCCCAGAAGCGCGCAGCAATCTACCAACGGCAGCACCTTGTCCTCGGGGACCTCTTCTGCCGTCAACACCCCACCCCCATCACCACCTCTGGGGCCGGTAGACACCGAGTTTGATCTCATGACTATCGACGACATCGTCAACGGATGTGCGGACGGTTCGTTCCCGGGTCTTATTCCGCTCGTGGAGTCATATCTTAACAGTGTCAACGTCGACGTGGAGACAAGATGCTTCTTGGCCAGCTACCTTGACTTGATCCGGAAGCGAGCCAACGGAACCCTTTGGACCGGGGCTCGCTGGATGCGTGAGTTTGTGGCAAAGCACCCCAGTTACAAACAGGACAGTGTCGTGTCGGAGGAGATCACGTACGACTTGGTCAAGGCCGTTGAGGAGATGACCACCAAGGAGGGCAAAAATGGATCGGTCGGGTGGGAGCTTCTTCGAGGCAGGAAAGTTTAGATTGTTGACTGATAGAGATCCAGTGTGATCATGTACAGCGAGATCATGAATTAATTTGCATATACTCATGCCAGTAACAATGCCACAGCATTTCAATATCAATGTTCCCATTCTGCTCCGCTCGTGACCTTGATGTTTCTTTCCCAAGGGACCAAAGAGCGCTCCAAGGCTCACTCTAAGAGCATTTCCTCTACAGACGGAAGTCGACACGAATCAGCCAGCCCAGTAACCTTCCATCGGCCGTCAATATTATGCAAGACAAATAGCTCGACACCAACATGATCGACCACACCATTGATCTTCGCTCGAAAAGGTGCCCATACCGCAGCCAAGTTCCCAGCCTCGTGGACCTTAACCTCAGGATCCCAGATTCGCTCATCAATAGAATCCTTGAGCGTAGCAACGTGTTCAACGAATGAGCCGATGGTGCAGAAACGCAGGGCAGTCGGGGGCGGAGGCGACAGTGACATCCCCCCGGCTCGGACGCAGTGTTTTTCAAACTCGACACGGGATTTTGTTTTCAATGCTGTGAGGAAGCCCTGTGTAGCTGCGATTATGGCGGTCGTTTCGTCGGACTCAAGAGTCGCAGTCTCCTGACGCGTTGTAGCCCAGCCCATTTTTTGCGAAAGAGCCCTTGAAAAGCTTCAATGCTCCGTGTAGGACGGTCTTCTGTCCATATCTTGAAGCTTGAGCATGTGCAGATGCCGCACTAGCTTTTGCAGTGTCATTTGTGTTACCGTTACAGTGTATCTGGTCTGGCATGTTCTAACCCTGTTTCATTTCAAGGACTCAGTGCTGACCGTTGTACAAGGCTATATTCACGGATGTCCGCCACAAGCCGGTCTAGTCAGGTCTAGTCTTCACATTTGATGCTGCCAAGCCTTGTGCAGTCCGGAGTAGACCTCGGGAGTTGAAGGCCTGTGTTCTTAGACCAACCTTCAGGTTTTTGTTGATTCAAACCTTCCAGGTACTTACTCTCCTATGTTACACCCTTTTCACCTTCGATAGACCGAGCTTGGAATCAACAGACGGAGTTGCGATTCAAAGACCAAGAATGTGCTCCCGGCTTCTCGGGGATAACGGCCGGCTTAATTTCGGGCTATGTCAGGCCGAAATAGGCAACTTTCCCTTCTAAGTTTCTTGAAGGTGAAACGAAAAGTCCCAAAAGAGAGCAGATCAACAGCCATCCCACCTCAAAATCGTCATCTCGGACAATTCAGGCTAAGTCTCGGTCACCCCCCGGTCACTTCTCCCCGCGGGGAGACCTCCACATCTCTGCCGAAATCCCCGCAACTCTTCACCCCGGCCGCGTGAAGCGGATACTGCCCGTGTATAAATGCCGCATCGATTCCGAGGGTTCAGGATGGACCGCTGTCGATTCTTCTCTGCTCCGTTCGTGGCACCATGCTCGGAATTGTGACCGGCCTCTTGCTGGCCACGGCTGTATATGCCGCCCCTACTACTAGATCGCCAACGGTGACGGTACGCAATGGAACCTATACGGGGACCCATGTTTCAACCTATGACCAAGACCTTTTCTTGGGGATTCCCTACGCCCAGCAACCCGTAGGAGATCTCCGATTCAGGGTGCCCCAGTCCCTCAATGCGAGCTGGGACGATGCCCGGGACGCGAAGGAATACTCCGATATCTGTGTGGGCTATGGGGTAAGTGATTTCTCAGCCTCGAGGTTACCAGTCTAATATGGATACAGACGGACTCGATCTGGTACCCCCGATCCGAAGCTTGCCTTACACTGAACGTTGTCCGAAGCTCGTCTGCCAACAGTGATTCCAAGCTTCCAGTTGGGGTTTGGATTCATGGAGGAGGTTTCTACCAGGGCTCTGGAGCCGACCAGCGTTACAACATGTCTGAGATCGTGGCCAATTCTCACAAGATTGGTATGTTTCAATGTAGTGATTTCGCGAATCGATCTAACTCGGACCAGACAAGCCGTTTATCGCCGTGACCATCAACTACAGGTTGTCAGCATGGGGCTTCCTAAGTTCAAGCCAGCTCTCCGGAAGTGGAAACACCAATCTCGGATTGAGAGACCAGAGATTGGCTCTTCAATGGGTACAGGAAAACATCGCTGCCTTCGGCGGAGATCCTGACAAAGTCACCATCTGGGGAGAATCGGCCGGTGCCATGTCCGTTGGCTATCACCTCACAGCGTACGGTGGACGGGATGACAAGCTCTTCCGAGCCGGTATCATGCAATCTGGAGGTTCTATCGCTGCCCAGCCAGGGAACTATTCGTCCTCCCAAGGAGACTACGATGACCTGGCTGCCAAAGTTGGCTGTTTGACCGCGGTCGACTCCCTGCAGTGTCTTCGCGAAGTACCTTATGAGAAGCTTAACGCCGCATTGAATGGAACAGATGCTCCATCTGGCTATAACTTCTGGCCGATCGTTGATGGTGACTTCATACAAAACTGGGGCAGCATCCAACTTGACGAGCATGCCTTTGTCAAGGTACCCATCATCGCTGGCACCAACGCAGATGAAGGCACGGCATTCGGTCCCACGGGAATCAACACTACGGAGCAGTGGTATGAATATCTGACAGGTGCGTGTTCTACTCTTGTACTACCTGAGACAACAGCTAATCTATCCAGATGGCGATTTCGGCTTCCAAACACCTACCTCCATAGCCAAGCGCATCCTCGACCTCTACCCCGATGACCCATCTCAAGGCATTCCAGAGTTCCTGGGAGATCAGCGTGTGCCATCGAAGGGCCAACAATGGCGTCGGACTTCGTCCTTCGCGGGTGATTTCAAAATGCATGCCCTTCGCCGTAGACAGTGCGAAGCATGGGCCGAGACATCGACCCCAGCATACTGCTACCGATTCAACGTACACTCGGCTGACGTACCCCTTCTATCTGGTGCGACGCACTTTGAGGAAGTGGCCTTTGTGTTCCACAACATTGCCGGGCAAGGGTATCACTATGGAAAGCCATTTGCCGGGGTTCCACAGTCATATATTGATCTCAGTGCCATGATGACGAACATGTGGGCATCTTTCATTCATGACCTGGATCCAAACCCGGGTGTTTTGAACAAGTCCGTTTCTTGGGATTCTTATTCCAACGGTGAGCCGACGGACTTGTTGTTTGATGCTAATACTACGAGTCATATGGAGGCCGATACCTGGCGCAAGGAGGGCATCGACTACATCAACTCGGTTGCACGGGCATTCTGGCGGTAACAGGAAATGTATCAGAAACATGCAACGAATCGGCTCTGTATTTGATTTCGTCCTTGTACCCGTGACGGAGTACAAGTGATACTCCGTACATTCTGCGGCCTTCCTTGCATGGGTTTGATGGCAATCTTAGCGATATGTACATACGTCTATAGCAAGCTATCATGTTGATTATTGATTGGGTTGCTTCAGGCACCAGCTGGTCATAGATCAAGCCTGAGACGTCTCAGATTCAGCGAGCAAACAAATTTGTGGACAAACAAATCACAGAAAACAAATAATGTATTGCATACGTCTGTGGATGTTTCCAAGGTTTCTTCGCTGCATGTCAGCGCTGTAGGTCCTCAGGTCCGCGCTGGGTAGTCCGTATTGTTCTACCTAGGTACTGTAGAGTTATTACGGCTCTAGGCTCAAAATTCGACTATTGGTGGGGATACCACATGGCCCAATACCTCCCGAGGTCGATAAAGTTGGTTAGATCTACCGCGTCGGAAACTACGAAATAATCGTACCCAGAAGCATGCAGAACCGAAAAATGGTCTATTGTCCCGGCGAAACGGTAGAGTTGCATCATAGATCCATTGAAGGTTGTTTGCCTCCCGTATGAGCTAAAGCTCCGAGATATCCGAGAGATGCGTCGGGCTGGACTCGAGTGATATAACTATACAACTATGAGTGGATTGAGTGCCAGACTAATAGATTAACCTCGGAGCCGTCGGATCCGATTTTGCACGGCCGAGTTTTCTCCCAAGGAACCAAATCGGAGCCGAACTAGAGTCAGATAGATGAAAAGCCAAGCCATCGGGATCAAAGGCCCAACAAATTGCTCAAATTAAGACATGCGAGAGAAACGGCATGACCCCCTAAATTTTCAGCTCGGGAGTGACGTAAATCACCTGGACAAACTAAACACCTGTTGCCATTGGCAATGCTCTACTCCACATCTCTGAAAGTACCGAGACGAGTCCCGATCTGAGATGTCCCTCGTATACTCCGTAGTCTATGGTACTAAAATCGGGATAGAAGCTTGTGGGTCGAAGATCGAGATCGGAGACCAGGTTTCGGGACAGAGGCGTATGGATCGGCGCCGATACTGCATTCCAGAACCACGGTTCCCTGTCACAAAGATTCAATAACGTCCAGCTCCGTACATACGGAGGAACTCCGCTGTGTGGAGCTATCAGCCTCATGGCCTCTCCGAACCGCAGTGAGACATGCAGGTATGGTGGAGTCCCGGTTGAGATGTCCGCCCATATGCACATATGTTTGCCAGTGGGCTCTCGATGGGGTTCCCACTCTAGCGCTTATCGCGCGGGCCAAAGCAAAGATGGGACGAACTCCCATGCATCGGGCCCCACATTCAAAGGAACTATGGACGGGCTCTGCAGCGTATTTGGTATATGTGTATAGGGGTCATACAGAAACCTTCCATACGGAGTACATACGTACGATACTCCAAAGGCTGAACTAGGGGAGTCTGTGACGTGTCCAATCCTTAACCAGGGCCCAAAATCCAGATACTGACAAATCGACAGGCATGCGACTGCTCATGTGCTGCAATGGTGTACGGTGAAGATACTAGGGGCTCACCGCCACACTTGAAGCAATGGCGCATGGCTGAGAGCCAATCTTACTTAGGTAGATCGCACATCGTAGGTGGGGGATGCGTGCATTGAGTAAGGATCTTCTGCTGTGCATCGTCGAGATCGGGATGGAATCGACATTTAGAATTCCACGGGTGCTTACATGCAGGAGGTAATATTCCCCCTCCCCAGTCCTGCTTCTGTTCAAATCCCGAGCCAGTAGGTACACCGCATGTACAGGCCTCGGGAGTACATCGGGCTTACGGCGCAGTAGTGTTACCATGCACCTTTGCTGCATGCCATCTCTGTCCGGAAGATCTCGGCTCAATCTGGGGTTCCGGGCAGATGCAGCTCAGATCTTAGCGGTGAGACCTTTCCATTCTACAATTCGAATCTTGTTCCTACGAAGTATCCATAATAGAGAGGTATATGAAATTGTCATGGCTTCTGAGTCAAAGGTCCACGGGTATCGCCGTTAAGTGAGCACAGAACGTGGGAGCCTACAAAAATGGAAAATCAAGAATCCAATAGTGTCCCAACAATACGGTCGTTACCCACCAACTCGATTGGCTCCACACCCGATCGACTTTAACCCAAAACCACCCAAAAGTCCCCGGTTTCGATTGGATACGGTGGAGCCACTACACAAAATCCTGTGAAATCAGAATCGAATATAAGCGAATTCAACCCCAGATATGTGACTAGATTAGCTTTTGACACAGTTTGGTTCTGGGTTTGGTCTTGTCCCATACGAAGTACCGTACTCTGCATACAGTCCTTGGGCGATACAGGTTCGCAGCGTGTTGGACTTGTTTCGGATAGATCCGCTGCAGTTGGATATGCAATGCCAGTACTCCGTATCTCAGGTATTACATGCAATATGTACATCAGCCAATGCACATACGTTTCACTAATCTCCGCTAAGCCCGCCATATACTACCCAAGAAACAGACTAGGCCTCTAGTCCACGGAGATGCTACCTTTCACCTTAATCGGTTACTTACGAGCCGAGGAAGAAAAAGAGTTTGCGCTCCACTCCTCGGGAAATTCCCCCTTTGCCAATTCGGTTTGGCGCCAGATGCCCTACAATATCGATCTACCAATTATTGCGTGGACCAGTAAGATCCAAATCCATCCATTGTATGTTGTGTGCAGGCCCAGGTGGCAGAAGCAGGTCCGCTAAGCCTCCACAACGGAAGAACCGCAGCTGATCACGCTATTGAATGCAATCGTCTGGATCGGAGACCTTACCCCCTGGCGATAGAGTTTGCGTCGGGCATCGATTCAAGGTTTGTGTGCCGCACGGCACAGATGGGCGATCGCAACAATGACATAGGGTTTATTGCTTGGTAGATGCCGCTGGAAGATCGCGGCACGCCCGCACAGACTGCTTGCCGTGGAGTATGGGGGTATGGAGCACGGAGCATGTACGGAGTACATTGTAGTTACTTTGTGATATGAGGGCCAGTATATCGAAGTTACACTAATGTTTGCTTTTGGGACGTTTGCCGAGACGATCTGGCTGTCGAAGTATGCAAGCCGGACTCGGTGTTTGACACTGCTGGACGTACTAAGTGGTCAAAGAACCAATTTTGGCCTTGGGTGTCTACGGAGTGCAAAAACTGCGATTCCGTTTTACCCAGTTCGGAATTCGGATCGGACCATTCGCGTGTTGGAAATCAGAATCAACCTCTAGGGCTTGGAACCGCAAGTACAGTATCTGATATAATACTAGCGGTCAGAACATTCACTGTAATTCGCCTTCTGTGGAATGCGGAGTATGTGTAGGTCTGACCGTTAACGAGAACGAAGGCTTTGAGCACTCATGTGCAGACAATTATTGATGCATTGGATGCAGGTATTCAAAAATGATCGGAACGATCGCCACAGGGATGAGGGAACGTGGGATCTGATGATTGAAATTCCACCATCCCTGCTAATCTCCCAGGCGTTCCTTGGTACTAAATCCTCTCGTCACAACCCCGTACTCCGTACTTCATACGATCTTACGGAGGAAGCGTGACAAATCTCCACATTCTGTCAGTGCTAAGGGCGCTATACAAACTTTCCAGCCTACCGGAACGGCGTCGGATCAAATGCCACTTGCAGATGAATCGATCCCTCCGAACAGGGGTTCCCTGAGGGGGAAATCAGTTGACGGCTTCAATGACAAATCTTGATGCGCGGACTTAATCGCGTGGAATGTGGCGGTCTGTCACGGTCGTTTGTTTCTGATACCGTGAGATTTCAGAATTTCCATTCGCTGGATTCGGGAGTTCTTCGTAAAGATCTGTAAGACTCGATCAATTTTTCTTTGTTCATTATTTCTTTTCTTTCGCGCGATCTCACTTCAGATCTCAGATCAGATCTCATGAACACAAATACTGGCAGCGAATGATCACACTACATTCCCACTAGCTAGGTTAGACCCGACGATCTCGACGATCTCGACGATCTCTCCTCTTTCTTCGCGTTTAGCGGTTAAGGAGGGGGGTGGGTGTTCATTGCCGATCTAATATTGAGGGGTACTGAATAAGATCGTCCAAGATTATTCGCAAAGGCAAGTTGACTTCGTACTGTGCTCCGTACTGACATTCGTACCTAGGTTCGGGCGAAATCCATAGTATAAAGATTAATCTGCACAAATACCGAATCGGGCGGCCCACCTTAGGGCGAGACAAGATCATGCCACCCTCCTATGTATGACCGCGGAGATTGTTCAATTGAAAATTCGACCTGATTTGTCAACGTTGAAATCTATGCGCTTTGTACAGAATCCCATAACGGGTGGGACCCGAGAGCGAGTCCCAAGCCGAGGCTTTCACCGCACCTGCAGCAATGCTCTGGGACTCCTATAGATATTACACACTGATGTTTGAAGATGAGATCTAGGGATTTTGAACACTACAAAACACAATGTGCATCATACGGATTTCTGCCAAGGAATAATGCATTTGACGTAGTATTCAATATTGCCACCCGGAGAAAGTATCCCCAGCAATCGCTTGCACGTGCATCGAGGCAGGTGGGTATGAAAAAAATGATGTCGTAGAGCCTTGGATTTTACCAAAGCCATAAATGTATAAGACGCTGTATAAGAGAGGATCGTACACACATCATATCAGGGACATACTCAAACAGACACGCATGATCGGCCTCGAATTTGCTCGACCAAAACAAAAATGCAGGGTATAAACCAGTAACAACAGTCTTGACAGATGAGTGAAACAAGCACTTGTGAAAACAGAACCAAAGAGACCAGATTTCAGAGCCAATGGCCAAACCAGAAGGGGGAATCTATGCCATTTGCTCCCCAGACTCGGAGAGGGTATTATGTAAGGGCCGAGTAGGGGAGAAAAGAAACAGGACAAGCCAGCAGAAGGAGGGTAAAAAAAAAGATGAAAAGGGAAAAAAAAAAAAAAAAAATAGAAAGGGGAAGCTCGTGAAATCCCAGGCAAACTCCGAATCTATGTCCCACCATTTTCAACGCCGAAAAGAAGCTTAATGACTGGTTGGCGAGGCGGAGTCCAGGACCGACTTTGGCTTCAGATTGGAACCCAAACCCGCCGCCTTGTTCGCGCCCATCTTGCGAGTCAGCTTGGCGTAGTGCAAGCCGCAGGCGTTACACAGCGTCCGGGCACCATCTGGACCCCGACGCCATTCAGGCGTTTCGGCTCGGTTACAACTGTGGCAACGACCAGGAGGGGCGGCCTTCTGGGAATGGTTAGCCACACAGAGTCCATGAGGTGGGGTGACAGGTACGTCAGGGGAAAAATAGATGAAGAACACAAGGCAGAAAGGAAAGATCCAGAACTTACTCCGCGCCTTTTCTTTGGGTCAGCACCCGCGAAACCACCGGTGCCCTTGTAATCATCCGGGTACATGGCCATGTGGTCGTCTTCGGTCTTAAACGCCTTGCGCTGGGCCATTTGTTCGGCGAGCGCCTGTTCTTGGTTCACAACGGCCGTGCGTATCCGGACCAAGGCATCTTGGTTCCGCCGTTGCATATGGAGCATGTCCTCCACTTCAGTTAGCGAAGGGAGGGACCCTAGTAGTGGGCCAGACCGCTGGGTTTGGTGTGCGCGAGCAGCATAGTGTCGCGAAAAGTCTAGAGTTCGTGTGCTCATTTCGGCGATCTAAGAACGAATAAAATTAGCTGCTGTTTAATTTCGGGCACCACAGATTCGAGCCGCGATCGGCAAAGCTAGAGCTTTCTGGACGCGGTCGATTTCAAGAATAGATCGCAAATAGCCACAAATGGGAGAGAAAAAAAAAGCGGGATGTTCCTACCTCATTCAAGGATTGCTCCACGTCGTAAACGTCAAGGTGCCGCTTGACGGTGTCGCTGTGAGGGGGCGCTGGTCGGCCCACAAATCCACCCTTAACTTCGTCCACGCGCGCACCCATGTAAGGGCGATTATCGTAAGGTGCGGGCTGATATGAGTGGCTAGGTGTCGATTGGAAGGAATAATTTGGCGGGAAATGGCTGTAGCCATTGGGGGACGCGACGCTGCCGGCGGAGGGAGGCGCGCTGTAGTCGTAGGTCGAGTGTTGGGAGCCCACGGAGGTGATGCCTGTTTTGGCGCTCTGCGTGGGGGACTTGCCGGTGCTGAGGGAGTGGAGGGAGGCGCGGGAATCTTGGGTGTTGACGGAGGTGAGGCTAGAGTGCGAGTCCTGGAGGTGGTGAGGGTACCCGGGCTCGCGCATCACCCCGGGATTAAAGGGATTTGGCGGACCCGACGGGCCTTCTGTGCTTGGTCGTCCGGTGATATGTGACGGCGCAGGGTGTGATTGTGGTGGAGGAGCGGAGGTGGGCGCAGGGTATGGGAGGGAGTCGTTGCCGAGAGCTTCGTGAATGGAGGGGAGGGATTGCCTCGGAGTTGGTTTGTCGGTTTCCTCGTCAATGCCGCGACGCGCCTCGGACGGGGAGATGTAACCCGGCTGTGCGTTGGGCGCATAGGCATAGGATAGTGGTTGACCGGCGTACATGACGTTGGGGCTCATGAGAGGGGTTGGTGAAGCGGTCGCGCTCGAGTGGCATTTAGAAATGAAGGGCGAGTCCTTTCCTAAAAACCCTATGGCGGGCAAAGGGTCTCTGCTTGGGTCAGTGGCGGGACGTGAAGAAGTAAATGCGGTACCAACCTGTGCCTAGGTGCGGCTTCCAAAGACCCCATCACGATGCTGGTAGTGCCGTGGGAAGAGGAATCATCCAAAAGCGATCAAGTCCGATAATAAATAGATCCGGCCGAGTTCAAGGCGAAGGTTCGAACCACAATTAAACCCAAAGATCAACTTCGTGTTCCACGACTCCAAGGGGTCCAGGGTGGCGTAGAAGAAATGCTCTCAAGTGGCGTTGAAAGTAATGCAAAGCATGTCCTGTTATAAAAAGGAACGAGAAGTAATCGTAAGTATAAACCGATTTCTTTTCTTCTTTTCTTTTCTTTTTTTAATTAAAAGACTTCAAAGTGACAAGAAAGAAGGTGAGATCGAGCGGGGACCGAGCGGTATCAACGCAAGGGATAACGGCGTGGAGGAATGTCAATCCAAAAATGAAGGGAAAGAGAAGAGAGGACTTAATATGGCTGGAGCTTGAGCAGTTGTATTTATTTAGAAAATTAATGTATTTAGTATTTAGGATTTAGTTCCTATTTACTTTAGGAATTTCGAAATTAAAAAAGATCGAGATCGTAGGCCAAAATTACCAGGAAATTGCCAGATCGTCATGACCTGGTTTTACGCAAATTTACACGAACTGCGGATCATCGTACCTATCACTAGTCACGGTGGAGTTCTGCTTTTTGTTTTTCTTTTTGGGAAAAACATTATTTCTAGACTGGGTAGGACGGTGCAACTTGACTCGCGGGGCATTTTCGAGGTCACTAGTTCCCCAGACCGTACGATCGCTCGATCCAGCGAAACGGCCGCTTGCCAATGTGTTAACGGACGTATGGTTTCGGTGCTTCCCGATATATATTCAGGACCTCATATAGTGGTACTAGTCTTCTGGAAACAATCTATTCGAGTACCCGCCCAATCCGACGGCCTACAATGGGGTCTACGAGGTAGGAATTGATTCGGCCATGACTCAATCGAGGATATTCCCCATAGGTGTAGGCGCCTGTGTCACATGAGAGAGATCTCCGATTCAGGGTGGATCAAACGTCAGCGATGAAGCAGAACCTAATCCGACATGATGTCAGGATACGATCCGAGATCTCAAGGACGTGCAACCCTCAGTGTACAGAGAGATCGAGAGGTGACACCCATCTGTGCCTCCAGGCTGGCGTGTCTGGATCCATGGTTCGGTTTCATATTTGAGATCCAGAGTCTATTGGAGTTGAGCCTATTAGTATATAGTGCCACTATAGAAGATATAGTATGTACTAATAGAAGAATATAGACTCGATGGCTTCTACGTCACTGCGTCTCAAACAGCCAAGATCGGGCCACAAAAATAAATATTCCAGACCCCGAAACGTACGGAAAATACACTAAAAAGCAAAAACAACGCTACGAATCCTACGAATCCTCAGCAATCATGACTGCACTTCTTTCATTTAAAACACGAAAAAGAAAAAAAAAAAGTAAAAGAAAAGAAAAGACAAAAGGAACAATTCTTCAGTCTCGGTCTTCCCTTAGTACCTGCCGAGGATCGCAAGGGTGTTGTCACACACGTTGCTTAAGCTTTGGATCGAGATCGGACGCGGGACGTTTATTGGCGAGATCGCGTGTGCGCTCTCAATCTCTGTTTATTCTGCAGACCCTCTTACAACAAGAATCTAGGACATTCCCACGTTAGACCGGTGAGAATACCAGCGTATAACGTCGTACATCAAAGGGAAACCTCCCAAGTCGCGTTGCCCGTTTAGGCAGCGTGCGTAGGTCGCCCCCTTCCCGGATTAAAGGATCCGATTAGGACTGGGACATGCTGCCACGGTCTTAGCCTTCAGCTCCCTCTGACGTTGAGGACTACGGAGCCCGGGAAGTCTGCAGCTCACTCCAACGCGTATCCGATGCTGATACTCGTACTAGAGACTCATAGCTGAGGGTGATCGACCAAAAGCGTCCCATATTGGAGAGCTGTTGAATCCATTTTCTGGGTCTTAAAGTTCGCTGGCCTCGGACCCACGCCTTTTGGATCTCACTTTTTATGCGCGCCAATTTTCATGTTTTTTTCTTTTTCTCTTACAGCCTCAGACACCGCAAAGACGCTCAGGCACCTGTGACTATTCGGGTTTCGACGGTCTTCCATCTGACCTCGCCTTATCTCGTGGCAGGGGGGATGGCCGCTCATACGCACAGACTCGGACCCATAATGAGATGTGGTTCAACGGCCTAAACGTCGGAGATCCTAAAACGGTCCATGCAATGCAATCCGCCTCACAGATCTATGGAATCTTCCGGTCCGATATTGACTTCTCCCTTCCACCGATTGCTGGAACAATTAACCTCTGGGCGTTTGTGACCGTATTCCGTACTGCAGTCGACATGCAAAGGGGCATCCAGGCACCAGTTTCACACTTAGATCACAGTGTGCGCATGCAATCAATTTCCCACGGTCCGGAGAAAACCCCCGGGGTCTGTCTCGCACAATGGATTTGTTGATGGGTCGGAAATACTACGGTATCGATCTACATGAAAGTCGCTGCATCACGCAGCCGAGCATGCACCAGACGGATCGTAGGATTTCAGCCACTCTGCGATGCGTTCCGTGCGCACTTGAGATTTAGTGCATGCATGGTAGGTCACCTACCTGCCGAGCATGAATGCAGTAAGGATCTCAGCTGAATCTTCCCCACCTGTGAAGGTCCGTCTGTACCGTACGATCCCAAGGTACGAGTCGGGTCATTGTAAGCCCCGAGGCCATTCGTGATATTCCCCGATCGAGGCTGAAAACCTTCCCAGGGTTTGACGAATCCAATTGTACCTGGGCCCGGTGCAGGAAGGTTGGCCTTTTTTTCCCCGCGGCGTTTCGATCTGAACTATCGGAATCGTAACTGGTCACACTGGCCCCGGTCGCAGTCCACTGTGATGGATCAGAGGAGATCGGAGTATGATTGGCTTACTGGCCCAGTCGTTTTTAATACGGAAAAGACCCCAAAAAAAGGGCCTTTGAAGTCTGCACCGGTTGCCTTGTTACGGCAACTAGATGTGTCTCGATTACAGCCGTCTTGGTGACTGAGTTCCGGATCTCTCAGAGACTTCCGCAGCATGAAGGGCCCAGCATGCAAACACCGTGTTGAGTCAGTGACCGGTGGGGTCGCAAACCCTGAAAAAGTGGCTAAGATGGCTTTCGGCAATGAAGGCATTCACGTGTCGCGACTGAGACTTGGCGTGGGAAAATCCGAGCATTATCACCAATGACCCCATTTGAGAATTTCACTAGGAGCTTTACGGAGTACTGTTTACTGTACCAAGCTCCTCCCCGAGTCCTAAGTCTCCCCAATTGTGGGCGCCGATCTCTCAGTTCTTGTTCCGGGAACCATTAGGAACGACAGCCGTACTCTGCGTATTATGCTCACGTTCTCAACAATTACAGTATTTCCTGAATAATGATGATCCTCAGCTCCAAAGCCAAGGCGAATATCATTACCCAAGGGAGGGAAAATGAATAGAAAATGGGTGCAGAATAATTGGAGACCGCTGGAGACATGATCTCAACATGAGCAATTTGATCGACAAACCGTTAGAACCGTTTTGTCCCCTGATGACATGATTCTGACAAACATCGAAAGACACCATTGATAATTTCACGTTCTGTCTTTTTTTTTTTCGACTAACAGGTGCCCCTGTGGAGAACATACGATCGCTAGACAGACGATCACAGCATCCTAACCACAAAGGAAAATGAGCGACAACGCTTTTCTCAAGTGGGTAAGAGATTGGAATCCGATCCTAATTTCATTGCGTACTGGCCATCGCTTGAGAAACTCGTACTCAAAGCATACAGATGGAAATCAAGAGGCGTTCCTCGAAACTCAATATACCCCGATCATGCACTCCATGCTGAAAGCGTCAAACCACACGTGTTACCCAGGGTTGAACACCTAATTAACCTGTATCGCCGACGAAATAAAGGATCACCGCAACCCGCTCATCAGGATCTCGAAATCCATTCGGCCGGCTATCTCAAAACAATAGCACCGGGCAAAAAAACAAAGCCCCCAGCCCCATATAATTCAGACAGCACGGTTCACACCTCTATAAAGTAAAATCTCCGGCAATCTATTCAGTCAAACCATAATAAACGAGCAGGCCATCGCGCCCCGAAACTTCGAAATGTGGCGCGGCTCAGGGGGTGTTAAAATTCATCCGAGAGTGTGGAGACTCCCGGAAATCTCTCCGATCTTTCAGTCTCAAAGCAGTAAGTTGACAGCTTGAAGAGAAAGAGGCGAGTGGGTATCTCCAAAATACAGGACCTGCAGGATCGAGTCCATGACAGGCTGGTTCTTGTGACTAGTAAGGCTACAGCAGGGCTAACCAGGGTCTCACTGTAAGGCGCTAAAATAGGAATGGGGAGCTCGTACTTATTGAGAATCGAATCATGCAAGAATCTGTTTGACCAACGCCCCGAACTCCTCATCGGGGTCCTAAGTATGTGTCAGATCTACGATGGATTTTATTTTGATACCGGGACAGATGGAACTATTGCTAACGGCTCCGCCCTATCTCATCAATGTGCCGTGATATTGATTAAACATGGATACCACACGAAAGGCCCTATTAGTATTCCCAAGCGTAGTGTCGTACCAAGACATGGGTGTTTCTATGGACGGAATGAAAGAAGTCAAAATAAATAAATAATCGCCCTCTCTTAATTAATTCCCTAGGTTTTTTGTTTGGTTGATTTTCTTTTTATTTTTATCCCTCCCTTTCCCAGTCGCCACTGTTGGCACGTTCCAACACTGTCCAAGCACACGGGAAAACTCGTGAGCATCGTCCAGTTCCCACCGAGGGAGATTTGCACGGCAAATGTAGGTCGAGTACCAACCTGAGTAGTGGTAGAATCGATTTTGTCTCAACTTATCGTATTGCCATCGAATAGAGTGGATATGAAATTCCCGTTAGACTAATCGGTGGGAATCCTGACACGACTACAGTACTAGCCAAACTGAACTCCACGACAGGCACGAAAGGGTGAACAAAAACGAACAGAAAAAAACGGGAAGCAGCCGGACCGTTCCCAGACCCACAAGCGTTGCTAGACCGCCTCAATCGGCGGGGGATTGTATCTTAGGTGTCTTCTCTTCATTTAGGAGAGAACGACTGCATGCCGAAAGAGGAGCTAGTTCAGCTGGCAGTTCCCCTGAGAAAATGAGATTAGCGATGCCGAGATTGCCCTGAAGTGGGTTTGGCCGTTTTTCCTTTTTTGCTCTTTTTTTTTTTTTTTCTCTATCTTTTTTCCCGTTTCCCGCTGAACTCCACGCCATCTTAGGCAATGGACCGAAAGGACTTACCTGTCGACCCACTGGCATTGCAGGATGTCCACAGGAAATCCATTTCCTACGCAAATCCCGAGTTTCCCGGAGAATCACCGTGTGGCTCCGTGATCGCCTTGGGGAAAAGTCTCCGATTATGGAGCGCCGGAGAATAAATCGAGTGTGAAGTATAGTGCGATATTGATATCGATAGTGAAGCCTCAAATGGTAATAACCTTGGTCCAGATCTCAGGCGGAACCTTCTGATCTGCTAACGCTAAGTTGACAGCGATGGCTCTTCATCTCTACCAAACTACACTAGCTCAGGGAGTTGACACTTGGACACTTTGCCACCTTTGGGAATTGTACCATTTCCCATCTCAGTGCCCTTCAAGTCGATCTGCGGAGATAACCACCGGAAACCGAGGGAATGTGGCGGCCGAGATTGCCTCCATAGCCACGCGACAGAAACCACAAAGCGAAAAGGGCGATCCGCCCGGTGGAGACGGTGGAGGCGACTATCGCTCCAGGTTTCCATGGATCCATTTCCAGAATATCAACGGTATTAACGTTGATTATAAACCTCACCGCCGACAAACTAGCTCCCTGCCGTTTGGCCTGTGCTGGTCCTCACAATATGCGTTGTACCGTAATGATCCGTTGCGGGTCGACACGGCTGAGCGTAGGTACCAGTGATAGCAGCGTTGAGCTCGTGTCGAGCTGGTCCTTTCGTCAGTGCTGAGCCCAAGGGTATGGTTGCATGATTCGTGTACGGAGTACCGATCAGGAATGGACATCTACGAGGATGTAGTATGCCCAAATCGAGCTGATCGCTGGATGAGATCCCCCATCGAGCAAGGCTTCCCAAGCCCCGGTACACCTAGGTACCCGGCCGAGTGTGCAAGTGATGAGAATACCTGCTTACCAGTACGACTGATGTATAAGCCACGGAAAGGTAAATGTCTTACGGCGATATTTCAGAAACGCACTTGTCGACTCCGTCGGGACGCATGCATTAATCCGACATCATGGATCGAGAAGGCATATGGGCGACCTGGGAAGGGGCACTGATATCATTTTGCTTTGTTGCTTCTATTTTAAACCACCTGGGCGGCTGATATCTGCTCAGCCTTAACAGTGATGGATGAGACAACTACCTATATGGATATACAGGGCACGCATATCCATGGATACTCGGAGATCAGCTCAGCCCGCTGGAATCCCTGGAACGTTGGAAAGCCAATGCAAGACATGGCTGTGACCTCGAAATCAAAGCAACCCGTTCAAAGTTGATTCACGAATTGATCGACACTCTCCAGGCCTTGTCGAGTCGACGCTACGTGGATCTCAACGTCTTTCCTCTTTCCGGCTTGTAAAATGCATGCAGCGAAAATCCCATGCAACGGAATTTGACCGATCTCGATTTTAGAACCGGCCGTTCGGGGGAAGCCCGGTCGAGACTGAGACGCTATTTCATGGCACTTGTTGGTGAACGATCATATTCAATGTCATACGTGACATTCGGTGTTTTGGATACAAGATATGGCTACGCAGTACGGACGACGTAGAGGACAGTCGAGTTCTCCGCACGAAGCAGACACCTCATCAATTTCCCCCACGCTCTTGGAAGACAGCCACTTGACTGACAGTTTACATGTATCCCCAAACTTTGGAAGCTAGGAGAAACAAGCCGTTGCCAAGGATTTGTGGTTGTCCAACTGGCGAGATGGTAAAGGGTAACTGGATTGGACCTGTCTGGCTTGTTGGAGCAGGGTTTATTCCAAATCGAAATAGTGATCTAGCAACAACATGAGCATACTGGTATGAACGCATGTCAGAGTTCATACCGTTATTACTACTGGATCAAAGGCTAAGTGGTTAAAGGACTATGATCAAGGGTCTTAGGAGGAGTGTGTACAAACCGCAGGTGCATGGTCCGTTTCAGTATTTGACATCCTTGAAGTACTTATGCATCCAAGACTTTTGACGTATGCATCAGCAAAAAGTCTAGCCTAGATTGATACTTGCAGCCCGCATCGATCGAATCATGATAGAGTTTCGATTCTTTTCTTTTTTATTCTCTCTTTTTGTGACATTTGATCTTCCCCTCCCAGGGAGGCTCACATGGATTGCCCGTCGATTTGGAATTACCAGCGACCAGTCTCCAGGACCTGGGCCCGAGGTCATAGACCTCGGGGTATGTTTTGATTGACAAGCCAACATTCGAAACTCGTGGGCATTCGTCAAATTTCGTAGATAGCCCTTTCGGGAAACAACATCGATTTATTTTGACTTTGCCCTCAACGGCTAAAAAATGACAGCTAGCCGACAAAAGTACGACCTCCGCTCTTCTTTTTTCTACTCATCCAATGACCGGACTTGGCCCACTCGAGACTCAACCCCTAAAATTACCAGTGTACGGAGCCCATCAGAATAACTCAACGAAAGAACAGGTTCGGCCTGGCTGCTCTAGTGTGCTCCCAGTATCCTGGGAATTGCCGGAGTGGAGCCACATTCAGAAAATTTCATTTAACTCTTGGGCCTTTTCCACCAGGGCCGGCCAATGGGGTTATTGATAGCTATTTTTGTCCCTTCAAGGGGAAGGTGACTGGGTGGACTAGCAGGAAATGTCCTGGGTTAAGACAGATCCGTGCGATTGACGAGAAGCACTACGTCTGAAGGATCGGCATTCTTCAATCAAAGTAACCACGACTATCGATTCATGGGCTAGGTCCCCGCAGATCCATTTCCTAACGGTCAGGAGACTGACGTGAAAACGGTTGTGGTTCTGACAGATTCTGACAGTGGAGTGTGGGCCAATGAATCCACAGTGACTCGCGAATTGTCGATGATCACCGTACGAGCGAGTAATTTGATCCCCGACGCCCTGTGTTTAGGGATGTTTTACTTTTTGGTTCCAAGTCCACCCGTCGGACTCCTGCCCAGGATAGAAGGTTGATGTCTGGCGCACGAAAGCCAGATGAGGGTCTCGACCCCTCAACCTCCACGGTAGCCAAGGTACCTCCCTAATCCCAACACAGTCAAGGCGCCGGAGATCTGGATGAGCGGGCAGTCTAGCCGCAAGTGAGTGCTAGTCTTTGGCCTGCCTGGGTAGGATCGGGATTCTGAATCGCATCGTACGATATGAATTTTGGGCTTGCATCGAACAGGTAAACGCGTATTTCAGCCGTTAAGCTGGCTCCCAGACCATACGTTCTGGCCACCAGAAACCCAAAAGCACAGAGACATGACTCTCTGATCCACAGAGGCAAGGGCAATACCAATCATATGCCACCGAGGTCATCTAATCCATGTTCACCCTGCGCTGATTCATGCATCCGCTGGTAACCCTATCCACAACCATCTCAAATCCCGGCCTTGGCTCCCATCCTGTATGTACAAGCACGCTAGTGAGCTATGCCTTAGCCTCGCCGGGTTCTCCGGGGGGCCAATGGCAGAGCTCCGATGATCTCAAACGTTAGTGTTGGGCGGCAGAGAAGCCCGTCTTTTCAGTCTGCGCGCAGGCGGCTATGCAATGCAGCGTGCCGTATGGAGTACACTGGAGCCGAATCGAGAACACCGGCCATCTGTTTCTGACCATGGTGGTTAAAGCCTAATTGAGGAGGCTGGAGAAGTTGATGAGTATCGTGCATCTGGACTCGTGTCGTGTCAATCCAGGCTTTCGGCATCCATTAAACTTGAGACTCGTCATAGTCAGCATAAGATGGGGTCGCTGCTTTATGCAATACATCCATGGATACTCCGTACTCCGTAAAGAGTAGTAACGTAGCTTTGGAAGTCCATCTAAACTGGTTTTACGAAGCAGGTCTGACATGCATGGCTAATGTGCGGGATACAGAGTGCTCATTGATGAGCCATCAAATTGACAGCCTACCTGTATTCCTTGGTGTGGTATTAGTGCTACCATCTTGTTCCTTTCCAGCCTGTATCAGTGTCCTTGTGGTTTCTTCCAACGCTGTCATCGAAGTCCGAGGATTGCCCAGGTGGTTGTACCCGGGTCACGTGGTTGGTGGATGGCCCGTGCACACCGTTTGTCCCCACTCGAGCTCCCCGGAGTCAAATTCATTGTTGTCACCTGTCACCGAGACCTCACTTAGCTTGGGCTTTGAGCTTCGCGACATCATGGCTTCTTTTCTTTCTCTGGCGGAAATTCCCACCGTGGGACGCTTGTTCCAGGCGAAACAATTAGCTCCTGTAACCACGCCGTTTGCGCCATCAAAGACCCTCAACAACACCATCTCCATCATCCGCAATGACATCACAAAACTGAAGATTGACTGCATCGTGAATGCAGCAAACGAGTCTCTTCTTGGTGGTGGCGGCGTGGATGGGGCGATCCATCGCGCTGCAGGACCCGGATTGGTCAGGGAATGCGATGGACTCGACGGATGTGACACAGGCGATGCCAAGATTACTTCTGCATATGAATTGCCTTGCAAGAGCGTCATCCACACCGTTGGACCGATCTATGAGTTTGAGTACAGGAAGGATTCCTGTCGCCCCGAACAGCTACTGCGCTCTTGCTACCGACGCAGCTTGGAAGTGGCTGTCGCGAACGACATGAGGAGTATTGCTTTTGCTGCCATCAGTACCGGCGTTTACGGCTATCCCAGTGGCCAGGCCGCGAAAGCTGTCCTTGATGAAACACGAAAGTTCCTTGAGATGCCTTCTAACATCGGGAAGCTGGAACGTGTGATATTCTGCAATTTTGAGGAAAGGGACATGGAAGCATACAAAGCGCTGACCCCGTACGTCTGTCCCTTGCGAACATTAGGTAACGAAGACTGATGGTCCTTTTTCTAGTGTTTACTTTCCTCCCACCCCAGAGGATCTGGCCGAGGCCAAGGACAGTGATATTTGAAAGCCCCGCAACATTTACGACCAGCAACGAAATCCCACGAAGCCAAGGCTCACACTAACATCCTCGCTTGCCATATGACCACAGCTTACTTTAAAAACCCCCCTCCCTGCCTTCTATCGTTTACATCATGGAAAGGGAAACTACTGGATCTGCCGGAGACGACTGAATGAGGGATAACGCAATATGCAGAAATAAATGCACCGGTGGGATATTATGGCGTCAAAGAGCGAAAACAAAATCAAATAATTTCCTTCAATGTGCAGCATCAATATTTTCTTTTTCAGCAAGGCTTAGACACTTTTGGACAAAAACACGAGTACGCTTCCTGGCAGCGGCAGTGGTAAATTGCCTCCGCAACATGATGTAGCGACACGCATGCAAACAGTGCAAACTCCATATCAGATCGCATTTGATCATGATTCCTGTCGAGCACAACTCCAACCTCAATTCCAAGAAACGCCCTCGAAGAACCAATTGCGGAAGATTCAAACTGTGTCTCTGCAGTGAGGACCTTTCTGTCAATTCAATTGGGTCATCTCTACCACCCCCGTACCACTCATCTCAAAATGTCGAAGCCACGAACACCACCGACACCCAATGCGCGATTCCGAGTGCAAGCCCCAGAGCCACCGACACCGAAACACCCAGGTCCCCCGGGTCAATCCGCACCATCCGCGCCGTCAGGTCCATCCCTGATCAAACAAAGACGTCCTCTATTCTCGCCTTTCCTGACGACCCTCCGTCAACGCTTCAGCGCACTCCCCTCACCCATCCGACGAGCAGGCCGCACCCTCCGCTGGCTGGGCCCATTGCTCCCAATCGCCCTCTACTTCCCCGAACATGTCATGCAAGTCATGTGGGTGCGCGGCCCATCAATGACGCCCTCCCTAAACGAAGACTACGAGCAATCCCAAACAAAAAGCGACATAGTACTGGTCAACATGTGGCCATGGGGGTCTTTGATCCCCTTCCTCAAAGAGCCGAAGCTTGAACGCGGAATGATCGTGACTTTCCGGTGAGCGAGATCCGATTTGAGAAGTCGTCAACACCTCATGCTAAGAACTTATAGCTCCCCTGCAAACCCGTCCCATATCGCCATTAAGCGCATTGTCGGATTACCTGGTGACCGTGTCACGACGCGAGAGCCATGTATGCGCCCGACGCAGATCGTGCCTTGGAACCATGTCTGGTTGGAAGGCGATGCGGAGAATCCGCGCAAGACAATGGATAGCAATACATATGGCCCGGTCAGTCTCAATCTGGTTACTGGGCGGGTCTGGGCAGTTTTGGGTCCGCGAATGCGTTGGCTGGATTGGAAGGATTGGGAAACCGATAGTGATGACGCTGCCAGTATACACCGGAAGAGTGTCAGAGAGCGTGTGGTAAAGGATGCTGTGACACTCGAGCAGCCATTTTTGAATTGAGCCTGGGTGGGTTGCATAGATGCATGTTGCGTTTGTTGATATATTTCAGTCTGGCGTCTGTTGCGGGCTATGATCTACATCATGTACATATACTGAGAATTTTGAGATATCATTGTATTACTACCTATTATGCGTAACAATGCCCTGGTGTGATATATGCATGTAAGTTGAACGGCCCCTCGAAAATAGGAGGGAATAACGAGTGGTATATACAATGTGCAGAGCACCCATGTTAAACGAAAAATTAAAACGTGAAACGGGTAATTAGGGAGAAACAAGCCGTATATCTTCATGTTTCTCTTCTTGGAGACGATCAATCTCCGAGGAAATGCTCATCACCCAGCGGTCCTTTTCGACACGACTACGTGCCTTGAAAACAACCGTGCGACCATGTTTACCCAGTGTTGAGACGTGGCGCAGTGAGCGCTTGGCTTTACCTTGCGCTCCGACTTCCTGGGCCCGGAAGTAGCTTTTGCTCAAGGGCTGCCAGACCACGAAGGTGATCGCGGTATCCTCGTCGCGGCTCGTGAAAGCATCCGAGTCAAGATACACTCGGGGAAGAGCATGGAGACCAGGATTGTTGCTGTCGAATGTTTGGTTTGCATACAGCAAGTCGTTCTCCGTAAGTAGTCCCGAGTAAATATAGCAATCCTCTAGCTCAATGGTTGCCTCAAGTTCTTGATGAATGTGTGGTATCTCGACACCATTGCGCTTACGCAGCGTGCTTCGGAAGACAAGAAGCTTGCCAGCTGTGAGTATCAGATGGCATTGTTTGAATGTAGCGTGCCGACGGGGCTTGCGGAATAGATCACCAGACATCTGTAGAGTTCCGTTAGCATGCTGCTTCCCACAATCTTGGCAAGGCGGATCTCAAAATTACCTTGATGGTTCGACAACCTGCCAACGAGCACATGTTGTGGAGGTGCGGCGAAGCCTCAGCCTTTGTCACCTCCCATTTCTTTGCGAATTGCCCGACAATAGATTCCATAGCCTCATCGATGTCTAACAGCTTGAGATTGCGCTGCCGCATCAATCTGTGCTCCTTGGCATCATCAGCGCAACGTGTGCGCCAGTATTTTACTAGCGCACTCATCCTTTTAACCCACTCGTCCCTTGTGGTAGAATCGTAGGCCTGGAGCCGAATGACGAGGCCATTGTCCAAAGCCATTTCGAATGTGCGATCATCGTCAAGGTCTTGTGTTGCACCGTCTTCTTGTCGTGAGTCTCTCGGTTCGCGATTGAAGTCCACCGAAGGACCTTCTTGGATGTTGGGATCAGCGGGGGAACTGCCACGATGGATGTTGCGGACTTCTTGCACCCGGCACAAATCGATGTACCCGTCTGAATTGCTTATGTTGTGCACGTTTCTTTGTACATGTGCATAAGCTTCTTCGTCGTGTCTCTTGACAAAGTCCTTGTTTCCGTTCGAGAGCCATGCTATCTCGCCATCTTGCAACGGGTATGGATTAACGTCCCAGGATAGCGGCATGGCATCCAAAATCTCACGAGCAGACGGCACACTTTCGTCTGCTCTCGGGGCACATTTTGGTGGTGCAGGCGGTAAAGCCTTGGCCGGTCGACAGAAGAATAGGTGATGATCTTGACTGAAGAAGTAAAGTCTCTTGAAGAACATGCGGTTCATCCGCTGGTGCGCGCCCCTTTGAGATGTCAAACGAACTAGGAACCCCTCAATCGGCTCGGGCTCCTCTTCTTTACCACTGCGGTGGCGAATCGCAGTAGAATAGTGATGTCTTGGCCGTAGCTCAAGCTCGTGGGATGACTGCATTGCAATAGTCCCGTACATCTTCTCTTCGTTGACTCCAAAAACCCATTCAAGCCGGTCATATCTTTTCCATGCAAGGCCCATTTTCTCGGTTTTTGACCATGCCTTTAGAACTTCGGCCCACTCGGGACGACCTTCCAACATTTCCATACACCCTCGAATGATGTTTGCAGCAGCAAACTTGACATCCAATTCTTGACGCTCCGCTGATGCTCCGTTTTGGTCGCTGTCGGAGTTATCTGCCTTCAGGGCTGCCTCACGCTGGCTGAAAGGATTTTTGAATACGAGCGAAACACCCAGGTCGGGTACGTGGATCGGGAGTGAGGTCGGACGCCGCCATCCTAGAACCTGCCGGACGAATGTATACCATTCCGCGGAGTGAGCAGCTGACTTGGGGCGGAGGATGAAGATCTTAGTTCCTCGTCTTCGAGGATACCAAATGACGATAGTCTTGTCCAAAGGAGAATAAAGATTGACGTGCGTGGTCTTATGATTGAGCCGCACTTCGTAATAAGGCGGTGTTTTGCTGTTTGGCCGTTGTACGTCAGGAATCACACGGGTGCGATACATTTGAATAGCGAACGGCGTATGCTCTGCCGAGCTTTTGCGACAGACGACGAGGAACTCTCTCCATTTATCGACACTTCGCGTTTCCATGCGAAGACTGTCATTTTCATTATAGTCGGCGGGGAGTGTACTCTGCATAGTCTCCTCGACACAAACCAGCATCTTTTCGGCTTTGACAATTTCTCCATCTTGCACCTTCCGCCGGCGCGGCCGGTTGGCAGAGATAGTGCCCTGAGTTTTGGCAATTCGGGTCCGCAGTCTTTGTTGCTTGTGCTTAAGATTGTCATCCAGGTTGAGCTTTGCCATTTTCCTGGTGAGCCTTCGCTGTATCTGCGGGTCTCCGGCATCATCTCCGTCTTCATCTTGCGGCTCGTGATGCTGAAGAGTCGCCCGAGAGACACCCGATGTCTTGCTCCTCTGTTTGCCTTTGTCCTTGAACTGTGTCCGTAACAGTTGTGTGGTGGAATCGGCCTCGCTTGGGCCCACAGAAGGATTGGGGGTCAATGGGCTATGAGAGCCCTCACCTGTCACATTTGTTTGATGTGAGCTCTGTGGTTTTGAACGCTCCTCAGGTAGTTCCAGTTTATTAGCCCGTATGGTGGCCATCGATTGTCCGGTGTCTGCTGAGCTAGCAATGTCTTCTCTTGCCGTTACAAAAGAAGACGAAGCGAGATCATTGTCATAGACATCGTCATGTCTTATTGGCCTCGCCTTAGGGGTGCTGTCCGTGTCCTCCCCACTGTCCTCTCCACTGTCCTCTTCATCTTCTCCATCTTCCCACTCATTTTCTCCGGCCTCGGTATGCTCTTCCGGTACTTGATCATCGCTGGTGACTTCAACCTCGGCTTCGGGATGAGTGAGTGTTCTCAATTCCCCCACAGGCTCAGGCGCAGCGTGGTCTTGCTGCAGCTCTTCTTCGATTTCAAAGTCCACGTCTTCGGCAGCGGCGTTTTCTGTGTTGGTAAGTGTCAAAGCTACCTCTTCATCCAAATCCGGCAACAAGGGCGCGGGCTGATTGTCTTGTTCGCTATAATGGGTAGCAACAGGGCCTGCTGAGAATGAAATGGCCTGAGATGTGTAGTTCCTCAGTCTCAGTCGAGACCTGTACCAAGACTTGCGATGGCCCTGTAACCAACCCTCCGGGATTGGTCCAACAAAGAAACGCCGGTTCGTCATGTGTAGGTGATTGGCAGAAGCATGACGCTAATAAATCAGGAACCCCCGTTAATTGCAATCCAGCCGGCTCTTGGGCTGTGAACTAGTACATACCAACTGATGGTCCGTATAGGAGCCAGTCTCCAAGCCGAGATGATGATCATGGTATAGTCGTGGGTCGAGGCCTGACGACGACCCGACAGCCTGGTCCGGTGGAGTGCTCATGGCAGATTGTTACCCGCGTGGGCCAAAATGGGCGCCAGGCATGTGCAAGAGCATATAAAGGGCATAGAGACAAGCAATAATGCGGGCGCAGGTAGATCATCCAGGCACCTAGGGGGCCCCTTCGAGCTAAGTTTCGTAGTGCGATCGCCAATCTCGATGCAACCTGGGCCGATGACGTCGCTGAATAAACAGTGCAAACAGTGCAAACACTGTTGATACTTCGCCGAATCGGCACTGTTTGCACTGTTTGCACCACATGTCCCTTGCCCCACCATTGGCTTGCGTGGCAGCGGTGAAGCTGTCATTTCCCTCAACGGTGTCCTGTGTCTCCTGATTAAGCTATTCTACTTCTCCAATTGTCTTTTCTACATCAATTACTTTCTTACTTTCGCAAATATGGCCGCAGTTTCCGCCGATCAGACCTGGTTCGACACCATCAAGAGGTCCTTCGCCGATGTCCCCATCGATGCTGAAGATGGCATCTCCACCACCGAGTTCCTCGAGGCCGCGGAGGCCCTGGTGACCTTGTTTGGTGCGTATCGTCATACTACATATCGAACAGAGAGCTAATGCACGGCCCTTACAGATGTCCTCGGTTCCGTCGCTTTCAACCCGGTCAAGAATGATCTGCTAGGCAACATCAAGGTCCGTACCGTCCGCTCTCCTATCTATGTCAACAGATCCTAAACCTCCCCACAGAAAGTCCGCGAGCGTCAGCTAGCTGCCCCCGCTGAGTCTGAGACTCTCCAGGCCCTTGTCCTGAACGAGTTGAAGACCAAGAAGCACACTGCCACTGAAGGCTTGGTCTGGCTGGTCCGGTACGTAAATCCCCCTCCACTACTGTCAGAGAAACCCGATTGCAATATCGCTCTCTGTGGTATCAAGTGAGTTGGACTATGGCTAACTTATGCCTTGTAGTGGCCTTGACTTCACCGTGCAGGCACTCCGCAACAACATCAACAATGCCTCCAAGGAGCTCTCTGACTCCTTCCGTGACGCCTATGGCAACACCCTCAAGCCTCACCACTCCTTTTTCGTCAAGCCCGTCTTCTCCGCTGCCATGTCTGCCACCCCATACCGCAAAGACTTCTACCTGAAGCTTGGTGCAGACCAGGCCAAGGTCGCCGCTCAGCTCGAGAAGGAGGTTGCCGCATTGGAGAAGGTCATGGCTATCCTGAAGGCCTTCCAGGACACCAAGCAGGCCAAGTGGTAGAGGAATCGCCCTGGAGGCTTTTCCATTTGATTAGGCACGTGCAGGGTGCGACTTGATCTGTATATATTCGATCTAGTTTCATTCGAGTCTGCGACTTGAATGTGGCACATTTATAATTGCATAAAGCGCTGAAACTCCCAGAGCCACAAAGGCTACGTCTCTGCTAGACATTGAATCGTAAGAATTGTGGAATTGATAAAAGATAACAAAAGAGAGATACAAAGGCAATTAAAAGGATAGTGAGGTCTACTGCATATAAGTAGGTAGTAAAAGGCCGCCATGAAGGGATGGCCCTTGCTACTTGTCTTGGGTATATCCATCGATGAAGGCTTCAGTGCTTGTGGCCATGGTCATGAGAGTGGCTACGCTTGTGCCGGCTCAAGTGTTCCACATAGGCCTCCTTCTCTGAATTAGCGGAAATATCTAGCTGCTCAAAGAAAGCTTGAACAAGTTTTTCCGGGTCGTCTTTGGAAACAGAGATCGCTGTCTCTTTATAGTCGTCGGGGAGCGTAATGCCTTAAAACAGTCAATGATTGCTCGACAAAAGTACCATCGATGGTCAGATAGATTCCCTGCGGTCTATACAGTTCTTGGCCTATAAAGTGGAGTAAGTTCAAGGGCGTCATTTACCAAGGCTGTTTGCTGACCATCACAGAATTGACATGGATGCATGCTCCCATATTGGAGATCTTGCAAAAGGGGAAAGACGCCCGACCTAACAACCCGATACACAAGTCAAAAGATCTTGCCCAAGATGTTGAAGCTTACGCCCCAGGGTATCTTGATATGAAAAGGGAGGGCCGTGGCGCCGAATACAATCTTGAGGAGTTACTAGAAATCTTTCAAGATGATATACATACTCCCGATGAAGCCGAATGGATGAGGCCGACCCGAGCTCAATGATCATCGCGCCATTGCAGAGACTAACTATCAAACAGATTAGTAACATCCCCATTTGATATGCGAACGCTCCTACTTGTAGATGCAAACAAGTAGTATCATTGTTAGAGAAAGAGAGATGCAGATATGTTTCTTGTATTGACTGAAGAGGAGAAAGGAAGACGCTAGGCCTGAGAGCTAAGTAAAACCATAGAAAGTCATCTGATAACTGAAGGTCCCAAATGAGGACCGACTCAGCGCGATGCTCTGTGGATGACGGCCCATCTGGACTTGTGCAATACGTACAAATAGTTCCTTCTGTGGAAGTGGCCCAAACGGTCTTTGGATAGCCGAGATTATATTGCAGCTAATCTTAGACTTGCACGGAAAGAGGAGGTTGCCGTGTCTCCCAGACCCATCGGAATGGAATTACGAGTACTAGTACCGAAATGGAGACAGACATTTGATTTTTTCAATATCCTACTAGTAGTACTGTACTAGTACAAGCCCAGGGTATGAGTGCATTGTATGTATAGTAGTACTTAGTCCGAGAAACAGCACTCCATAGTGTCTGAATTTTGGGGAATGCAGGAGTGCAAAAGCGGCAGATACGCAATTGACTATTGACAACGCTATATGCAACATGCAGCCCGGGCATGGCTGCCATGACAGAAAGACCAAAACCGACCCTAACCGCTAGTCCTGGGGCCCTGGAGTGGGTACGTACGCCAGGTAATTTCCGACTACATCCACCACATTGCAGATCTCGTGTCCCGCTGATCGCTTCTCAGAACTTCTGATGTCCAGATCTTGATATCGATCGGATGATTCCACTTGTGATCAGTGCATTCGTTCTATTCTTGTACCAGCCCTACTCAGATTGCCTGTCCTGGTTGTCTACCTCGGAGGACGGAGTCTACTTGGCTCCGCATGTTCCTCGCCACGCCCACCCGGGCAAACCTTGAAAAGGCAATCCTTTTATAGACGAGGTCGGAGATCGCCTGCCACAGCCCAGACTAAGGGAAGGCCGAGCGGCTTGAAACCCCTGAAGGCAAGTAGGCTTGAAGGCCGGTGGAACTGTTCAGCTGGGCGATTGACAGCAACGGCCTCCTAATCTGCCCTTAGTTCACAACGCTAGTACCAGGGAGTTTGGGCGTCGACTCCACCGCATCGGAGTTGATTCGCGGCAATCGCTTGGCAGGTGGAGTAGGATCATTTAGCACAACCGACTCACGTCAAATCTGCTCGTGCCTTTGCCTGGGTTCGGCTCGAACATGTTCTGAGAAGGACTGAGCGGCAATGGAACACATGGGACCTCGTATTCAGCACATGGGATTCCCATGGGTTCGGTTTCTGTTCTGATCTCCTGAGGTTCTGGTTGGTTCTCTCGGTACCCAGGGTTCGTGAGGAGACGCTCAGGAACGATGTACATGGGGAGCTTCCAGGTTTTTTTATGCTTTATTCCCCACAGTGGGTGATTTGAAGATGAAACCTCAGACACAACCTAACTTCCCACTCCACCTAGGTCTCGATGCGACTTGGGAGACTCCACAGGCCTCGAGAAAAAAAGGAACGAAAATGTCTGAGAGTATAGACAGTGCCATTGTTCCGGTAGCCACTAACCGTCTTCTTGCAAGGGTGTGTATCACTTGCGCGGATTAGTCGTAGAAAAGGTTTTCACCCGCGAAACAGACACGGAGATCAAGGCTGCAGTAGCCCGCAGTAGCCCGCTCTCTCTGGCCCTCTTGGCAGACACAGGCTTGCCACTGACAAGTGGGATTGTAATGCTTGGTCGTCGGCAGTGGACGTGTCTATTCATTAAACTTTTGTCTCCCCCTGCTTCTTGTTCCTCCCTTGTACTTCTTCGGTGTGGGGATATTGCTCGACTTGCATATACTATACTGGCCATGACTTGGTGACATTTACATTCAGTCTGTCAACATGCAACCCCTTGAAGGTCGATCCGAATCGATCTTCATCATTACTACCGTCTTCCTTGGGATTTCGTTCATAGCTGTCTGTTTACGATGCTTCGTGCGCCTACGCATTGTCAAGGCCTTTGGCTGGGATGATGCATTCATGGTCTGCGCAATGGTATGTTTGACATCTAGGAAACGAGCCTATTCTTGCTAATTTACTCAAAGTTGCTGAACACTTTATTCGCTTTATGCGGCATCACCGGAGCCTTGTATGGAATTGGACAGAAATCCAGGGTGCTCTTGATCAGGGGCACCATGGAGACAGCAATGTTTGTAAGGCTCCGACAGGCGAAATTGGAAATCACATGCTAATAATATAAACAGTGGTGGTGGCTTGGCCAAACGAGCTATGTATGGACGTGCGCGCTGGCCAAGATTTCTATCGCACTGGCCTTGCTCCGCTTGACGGTCGCCAAGGTCCATAGACTCATTTTGTACTCGGTTATCGGAGTGACATGTGTCATTGGCCTTGTGTTTTGGTTCATGCTCACTCTTCAATGCCAACCGGTATCGTTTTTCTGGCAACGAGTTCGCCTCGAATTGGATCCGAAAGCCGGCTTTTCCGGAACTTGCATGAACCTCGACAGTATCATTGCAATCGCCTATGTATACAGTGTGACGGCAACATGTTGTGATTTGACCCTGGGTCTTTTGCCTGTCTGGCTCGTGTGGAACCTGCAGATGAACACTAGAACCAAGGCTGCTTTGGCTGCGATTCTGGGAATGGGATGCGTGTATGTCTTCCTTTGACGTCTGGAATTGATCACTCTGCTAACCCTTTTCGTCACAGTGCAAGTGCAGCAGTCATTATCCGCATCCCCTTCCTTCACGATTATAAAGATACAGACTTCCTATGTGGGTTCCCGAGGTCCAATATGCCGAATCGCCTCGACGATCCAAACAGGAACCTCAATGCTAATTTTCATCTCAACAGATGCGACCTCCAACATCTCAATTTGGTCCAACGTCGAAGCCAGCCTAGGAATCGCAGCAGGCAGTCTAGTGACACTAAAACCGCTCTTTCGTTGGTTCCGTGACCCCAGCTCAGCTGGAGGGAGCCGGAGCCGGAGCCGGAGTAAAAGCAAGCGAACCGGCGGCAGTGTTCCTCTCTCCAGTGTCAACGCAGTGAGATCTGATACTTCCGGTACGCAATACTGGCGACCAGACCTGGAAGACGATTCGCATGCGGTTGTCACGACAGTTCATACCTCGAACCAGGCCAGTCGGACAAGTAGCCAGGAAGAGCTCCACCCCAAGCACAGTGGGACCTTTTTCCATGGCGTGAATGTGCAGAAGACATTCTATGTTTCCGCAGATCACGCATCTAGGTAGCTGATTGCATTACTAGATACCCTACCAGATACCCCAAATACTCTAATGTTTATGTATTTTCTCTTTGTCACAAAACTTATGGCCAAGTTGAATGCCCTTGGAATGTACTGAGCAATCGGCCAATACTCGGCACCACAAGTGTATCAGTGTTGTTCTCTGACGCAATCGCTAGCAGTGACCTCAGAGGTAGAAGCATCATTAAGGTCTAGAATTCTGATCTCAACTGTAAAGATATTCGTAAGTATAGTACCGGCGGAGGGCCGAAGAGCCCAACTCACGGAGCCCTAGTCCAGGGTATGAGCCGCAGAAACCTCGCAGTAATTGACCCCTGCGTCACACTACAGGAGTCTAGGCCCTACTCGGAGGGTTACCCGATTAGGATATCACCGTTGTGCATTAGGGCCCATTCGAGTATCGCCGATCGATTTGCCCCTCATTCCCGAAGTGGCTAGAAGTATACTTCGCATATGGTCGATATGACAAGGCAAACGTAGCTCAGAGAAGTACTGGGTCTATTCATATCGAACAAATCGAGTACGGCGAAGAAAAAGGAGCCCTGAGGGGCGGTCAATCAAAAACCAGCGCCAGAGACAGTCAAATGAGAAGAGTCATATGAGAGTCCAATAGAAAGCCATTGAGTATATTCATACCCTAAAAAACTAACGCCCGATGCTATGCACATATCATCGTAAAATGCCCCAAAGTTCCAAGGTCAGATGTCAAGACGCGTAAGCTACAGTAATCCTCTAAGTGAGAGCCAAGAAACCTTCCAAGGTTGCTCTGGATCTCAAATCAATTGATTTGCAAATTACCCGTATACACACCCTCGAAGTCAAGGCCCGCAAGCATGCCGTTGACACGATCGATCTCACGGCTCAGGTCTTCCACGTTCATCGCTAAGCTGCTGACTTCGTCGAATTTTCGCCGCCGATTGGCGTCGGCAATCATCTCAGAGACAAAGAACTTTTGCTCCTCTAGTACGATCAGCCGGTCTCGGAGAGATTTCTCTTCGGCCTCCAGGGCCGAGACAGCACTGCTGGTTTCACTGGCTAGACTGGTGTTGCTGCCGCTGGCAGCAACGCTGTTGTATTTAATAGATGAGAGAGCAGGCTCTGGCGATCGCAGAGTCGTCGTTGAGCCATTGATAGAGGTGCTAGGAGTACTTGCTCGGCTCGGAATCCTCTCTGATGCAGGGGTAGAATGTTTGAGAACTTTGGGGAGGGTTTTCAGCGGCAGCATGTGGAGATGAAGGAAATTGCTAGCTTGCTGATATATAGCCTTCTGCAGCCGTTGTTGAGTGGGAGATTCGGTGGGCATATCGCGTATTCTCCTAGCGGCAACATCATATTGTGCAAAAGAGTCAATCAGTCGTTTGCGGACCTTGGAAGCGTCTGCGATTTGGGCAGATGACGGAGGCCGTCTTGGATCTCTGTGGCAAGAATTAGTAATGGACTCAGCCTCGAAGCTGTTGGACATACTGGAGAGCCGTTAACAGCTTTTGGAACCGAGGTAGATGTAGACGGATGCCTCTTTCGAACTGTGTCAGGTTCTCATACGCTCTGATCTCGGGTGGTTTTCGAGTGGTGTCCACTTTGAAGTCGCGGTGGTCAAAAAGCGTCGATTTGCATTCCTTGCATAGCCTTATATCCACGTTGATGAGGTTTTCCGGGTTTGCCTTCTCGGTGTTGGCTGGCAAAACGGTTAATATTGAGTCCAAGTCAAGCGGGGGGCCCATCTTTAAACTTACAAGGAGCAATGCTTAGCCCAATTTCGCTGGAGCATGCTGTGCTGGGATCACCGCAGACGACCCGTCCACAAGTTCTGCAATGGTGCCGGCGGAATGTATAACCCGAAAAGTCCTGCTGGCAGAATGGACACCGTGAAACACTGGCATCATCTTGCCAACTCACAATGGTTTGCTCCAGCGCTTTGCGTTGATCGCTCTGCCATGCAAGGGACCATAATTTGGTTGCACTTGGGTGTATTTGGTCAGGGGGTAGGCTAGCCAAAAGCTGGGTAAGACGAGTAAGTCGTTTCTCAAGTCGAGAGATTTCCAAAAAGTCTTTGTCAACGGTTTGTTTTCGTATTGACTTGAATGCATCGGTTTGGTTGCGAGTGGTACCTATTGCATGTGAGCTTATTCAACCACAGAATAACCAAGAGCCTTACCATTATGGTCATTGTATCCTTCTCTTGACTTGTAGCAAGTCTCACACACTCGAGCCCATATCCCTCGCACGGGTTCATGATGCGCTGAGCGTGATAGTTTCATCTGGTACATGGTATGTTCTTCGCAGAATAACTTTCCGCAGCTCCGACAATTCACACAGCCGTTGGTGGCATTTAATCGTTTCCCGCACGATGGTTCCAAACATTCATCGTAGAGGTAACTTGTTTGCCAGTGGTCTTTTGTGATGAGATCTTCGGGATCGAGTGGTCTTGGGGATTCGGACGCCCCTGCGTGAGCCGCCGGCGGCCGGCTGAGAACAGGCGCGCCTTGGTTCTCGTTTGATTCGAAAACATCCAGGCCCTTGAGTTTCTGGTTCAGGACTGCAAGAGGTTGAAATTTCCGGGCCTTTTCCATTTGATATTTGAACCAATCCTTGACTTCATCTTGTCGGTCATCTTCGAGGTTCTGGTGGAGATCGTCGAGATGTCTGGATCATCGTTAATACGTCAAGGTCTTTCGAAGGGGATACGGGAATTCGGTACCGGTTCAACTGGAGCAGGGTCATCTATGAACAGTTAGCACAATCCATTTACTTCCTGGAACAGGTGGGGATACATACCATCTCCTCACTGCAGATCGGACAGGAGAGTTGGGCCCCCGGGGCAGTCGGCGCGGCAGATATTGAAGTATCGCCATTTTCTAGGGATATTCGGGAGGTGATGTCCTGGGCTTCCGAGGATACCTGTGATGCAGATGTTTGCGAATTCAGGGAAACACTGCTGGCAGCTGGCGAGAGCACCCTCTTAGGCTGCGGGGACGGAGCTGCTGCGAGAGCGCTCGGATTTCCCAGAACACGGCCTCCGCCCAGCGTCCTCCGCGACATGATCAGGGCATGGGAAGCTGAAAGAGAAGCTGTTTCAGCACAACATGCGTTGGCTGTACAGAATAAAGTTAGGGGGGAGATAAAGGGAAGTGCCAGTTATGATGCGGTGGAGTCAGCCTTGTTTAGCCTGAGGCACCAATGCCAAGATAACGGATTGGCCGATCACATGGGGTCCAACGTCCGTTTGTATAGATCTTGGACATCTCTACTTCATGAACATGGCTGCCAAGGGCCAAAGTTAGAGGCTTAGAATTACAGTGGCTTTAGTTGCACTCTTGATACCGCGCTAGATATCTCGATATTTGCTTTTATATAGTAATAATTTCTACTTCACTAGGGCAGTTGCAAAGATGTATGAGATCTCAAATATATAATCGTAATTCATTAGAAGTTACCTAGTAAGCCTGATCTGAGTGTTGCTATACCTTGCTGGCAACAAAATCAAGCGACTCACTACCTACCTAGGTAGTAACATTGGAACTAAACCAAAACAGAACTGTGATTGCTTGAAACCACCTGGTGCAACACATTTTTGTATGTTTGGATGACACTTGGAACTTTTGTTTCTTTCTCGGGACTGCTTTTATACAATGCAATCAACCTTGAAAGCCTTTCTCTTTTCATCTGTTTTTGCATTTCCTTGAGTCGTGGCGTCGTATCTCATATACAAGCTTGTGTCAAAGCCCAACGCACCTCGTCCCAGCGACCTCTATCGCTCATAGTCGCGATGGTAGCTAGTACCGGTGTTTGGATTGTCGTATTCTCTATGGACTCGCGTGGATCCATCGTCATACCGGTCAACATCGCGGTGGCGATAGGTGCCGCTTTGATCAACTCGCTCGCGGTGGTGTCGGCGGCCGGTTGGAGTGCGGTAGTCGAGATGCTGGTCATAGGCACCGCTGCGGGGGTCATATGTTGTGGTACCGTACCCGGTGTCATAAGTGGTGTCGTATGTTGTGCCAGTCGGGTCTGTGCCGTAGCCCACCGCGCCGTAGTCGGTTGCGCCGTAGGTGCCGTAGCCCGATGGGTCATAGGTTGAGCCCAGTGAATCATAGGTTGTGCCTGCAGGGTCATACACTGATCCCTGGGTGTCAATAGTGTCGTAGGTGGTAGACCACTCGTCCGCGGGATAGTCGGTCATGTTGACACAGTTAATGATTTGATGGAATGTACAGCACCGATTGTTCTCGAGTACTTCGTAATATCTGTGGGTTTCGTATGCTCAAGTTTCGAATTCTGTATATGTGGCAGAAGAGATAGATTTTGGCCGAAGTCTTCAACCCGGTAAGGGTTTTATGCTGCATTGTGGCGCCGATGATTGGGTACTGACATCACCCGGGCCCTTGAGCTGTCGTGAAATGGGGCGAAATGATAGATGGGGTTCAATTTGATTCCAAGTCTTTTCATTCGGTATTGATCGATCGATCCTTCTGGGTTATCGTTCCAGGCCCTTGTCTGATGGGGCGAATGATCCCCAACATCGCCCAAACTCACGCAAGATTTCAGTGTGGCCATGAAGTTCTAGAGTGAGTATTCCTCGGGACCTTCCCTTGTGTCAGTTTTAGTGGACGACTAGACATCACACAGTGGGCTCTGGGACACCTCGTGTCGAAGCTCTAGGCTGTGTGTGGTTGATATTGGTTTCTAGCTTGGAAAAGAGGCGAACTCCATTAATACCAGAGGGGTTGTTGTGATTCCCTCGAGAGAAGAACGATAGAGCAGGGGTGATCATTGTGACATATTGTAGTGTGTTGATTATACTATGTTTTCCAACCCCCAAAGGAGTTCTAGTCTCGTTTGTGTAAGCCCATGTTCAGCTTCGTTAGATTCGCACTCAGCTATCCCGACCAAGTGGCGCCAGTGAATCCGAAAGGAATTCAGTGGCGTTCATGAGATCAGTGCTGCCGTAAACAACTCGTCGACGGTGTCCAGGTGTTGCCCGTTGGGCCGACGCTCCTTCAGTGCCAGACTCGCCATTGGTTCGGCGAACCCAGTCTTGCAAGTTGCCGTACTCATCCATGCTTCCACCACCAACTGTAAAGACAATGGCTTCGCTGAAGGCTTGACGCCGCTGTCCAAAGCTGGCCCCAGTACCAGGGCCTGAGGCCCCGGGAGATTGTGCATTTCGCGATGCAGATGCAGGCGGCATAGCACCGCGCGCGTTGGCGCTCCTCGGGTCAAAGTAGAGGTAGTTCTCGGTCTTCGCAATGGCAGAGCCAGAGGCCGCTGCCGGATCCATGATTGATTCGGTAATCTTTGTCACAGTGAGATCCTTGTTAGCAGGGAGGAAGTTCTTGACGCCGGAGATCAATGAATCGAAGTTGGCACCAAGAGAGCCTGAGGTGATGCGGTCCGTCAAGCGGTTCGAAAGCGATGAAAACCCACGGAACAGGTCGGATGATTGTTGTTCGGGGGCGGCTGTTGTCATCATGGTCATTCGGGTGATCTCGCGCACTTGTCGGACATAGGCGAGAGAGGATATATCGGCAACTCCAGCTTGGGTCAGAGCTTCTTCGAATTGAGACATTTCGGAGCGACTCAGTTCAGTCTCAGTGCTGAGGAACCAGATCACGAACAAACGCAGCTTATCCAAAGGTTCACTGCCCTTCGAAGAATCACTAATGAGCTCTAGGATCTGCGTCTTGGATTGTTTGGTGATGGTCTCCTCCGTCTCGAAGAAATTGTCCAGCTGTCGATCCTTGATACCCTTGAGAAGTGCTGTGGCAATGTTCATGTGCATATCCAGAATGGCTTTGCGCTCCCGCAACTCAGGGAGAAGTGTGATAGCGGCCTTCAAGTGCTGTGCGGAGGCACTGGTGTCATTTTGAAGATCTTCAATTGAAGAGGCTCCGGTTTTCTTGGTGATGTCATTTGCATCATCCTTGTAGCGCGTCAGCTCGGTGTCGATGTCTTCGGCTACCTGAGGGAACGGGGCCCCGGCGTTGCGTTGCCAGAAGAAGTCGTTACTGTTTATGTCGTATGATTTTTTGGTTGAATCCTCATCCAAAGTAATGCGATTCAATCGCATTTCAAGGACATCTTGTACCAGTGATTGATACGTCCATGAATGGGAGAGCATGGGGACCAGGTCAACGTTTCGGTCCATGATGATCAGAACAGGCCGTGTTGATGGTACGCCGGGTAAAGCTTTTTGATTGCCCGAGAAGAGATTGTCTTTGGAATTGAGAATGTGGTCGCGCAATTTCCGGTCCAGCTTAGTTGCGATCAGTTCGGCCGCGCCGCCCTTGGGGCATCTGATGATTGGGATAGTGCCTGTCATGTCAATTATGTGTTCCGTCTGTGACTCGGAAGAGGAAAGACTAACCCATTGTTACACTGACACTGAAGAGACCCCCGACAACTTTGTCCACGATGGCATCCAAATCTTCATCGGTGGTCTTAGGGCTGTTGATCTTGTAGTATGCATCGTTCCCGAGTCCGAGACTGAACAGATCTGGCTCTGCGACAACGAAGTTAAGATACTGATCAAAAACTTGCGCAATGTGTTCAGATGCCCCTGATGTCACAATCTGCGAAGCGAAGTCCTCCAGTAGTGGTCGGGGAACGGATGATAAGAAGTTCACGTAGGCTGGGGAGTAAAGCCCGTGGGAAAGGTCGTGAGTGATTGCTTTGATATTGATGGGAGTCGGCTCCACAAAGTATACGACGGGAACATCTGGAATGGGGTATCTTTGGGAGTGAAGGTTTCTGACAGAAGCGCTTCGTTAGCAATGGGGCCGAACAGCAAGGTGTATGGGACCCGGGGGACTTTACAGATGAATTGTTATGCCCCATGCGCGGAGATCGTTGACCCTCAGGACACTACTGATCACATCACGGCCCATCTTGTCGAACACCAGCACCTTCCAGATTGGATCGCCATCTTCGTTCAAGATCGGAGTGGTATGCGAGATAAGACCGCCTCCTGCGGACTGATCGAGGGTTGCGTCATCAGTGGGTTGCGAATCATGATTCAGGTTCAGGAGCTTTTGAATCGAAGCTGTATGTTGAAAGTCAGTCAAATGTTGCCAATTTCCTGAAAGCAGTATAGGTCACTTACCGACCTGTCGGTCCCGGAGGGACATGGATTGCGACGCCATGGCAAAAGTTGGCAACGCTGCAGGCAACTGGGACGATGTCCAGGGTTCAGCAGGAGCTTGGCAGGTTGTAGAGTTGCGCGAAAAGATGATTGGAAAAAGCGCGCAACTCTCGGGGTAAGGAGCACAATATACTTGCTGTTGATGCCGCCTCCCTGCTAGCACTCCACCTGGCATCCCGCCCGGGGCGGACTTGAGCTGCGCTGACATAAGTAATGCAAACACGCCAAACCTCGTCACTGAATCACATGGATCTGGCGTTTGACATGAAACACAGGGGCTGTAAATTACACGGTTATGACCAATGACATGGCTCCTTTTCACTGACCACTGCCTGTTACAGTATGGTACAGTACTATCGGCTAACCGCTCAAAAGTTCCTCTCACCTCAACCCAACCCCAGTCATCAACTCTAACCCCCTTCCAACCCTTTCCCTATTCCCATCTTTTTTCTTCGTAAAGCGAATGGCTATAGAGTGGCCCTTCGTATGAGAGCTCATCTCTTTTTTGATCTCATCAGGTCGTCTTCTCAGACAAAACTTAAGAAAGGGACGGCGCAAGCTCTGCAGGGACAACTGGCGCCAAAGACAGGAGACAGTGAGAAGCAAGATTGCAAAGCCACAAACACCGCAAGCCCAGAGGGACAGAAAGAGAAAGACACGGAGAGAGGTCGGAGGTAAAATCCTGGGCCATCTTACTATACTTCTACGTTGTATTCGCAACTGCGGAGCCTTCGTCATTAAGCTGCAAGCCCAAGGACGACACCGTGACTTGCCGGTTACAGGAGAAGAAAGTGAATGCCTGAGGCATTATTAAACCCCAAAAGGAACTTCGCAAAGGAGTCCTCTGTTTTGTCTTAAGGTACGGTAGTACTCATATGCAACTCTCGGATTCTAAGCAGTATCAACGTGAATTGGTTGTCTGATCCTTATCAATTCTTCTAGTCCAGCAGCTCCTTTTTTGCCGCCGCTTGACGCAGTCGACCAATCACATCACGCATCACCCGCAGGAAAAGCTTTCATCCGTCTTCCACCCCACCCATCGCCTCCATAACAGGAAAGCGGTCGCCAGGATAAACATCGCATGCACGTGATTGTTAAAGGATTCATATAGTAGCTTAGAGGTCTTGGACGGTGAACATCATGGAGCAATCGGCTCAAACCCCCATGCAAGGCTTGTCCGGGAGCAACCACGGCTCAATCCCTCCTGAATTCTGGAATACCCTCGACCCCTCGTATCCCGATCCCGACCAGCAGCTTCAGCAACCTACACTGCAGCATGAGCTTGGTTCAAATCAACCACCGCTTGGTATTGATTGGGACCATCCCGTGTTCCAGCAACAACAGAGAGAGCTTGCCCCGCGACCGGACCCAAGTCATGGAATCTATTCCTCCCTTCACCAACCATGGCAGCAAAGCACCCTGCAGCAACCGTCGCAACGAGGCTATGGAGCATCTCAATATCAGATTCCCTCCTCGCAGTTTCAACAAGGACAGATCAACTTCGACTCTCGTCCGTTGAATGCATCCGAGTCCTCAGCATTTCCTCAGTACTCCTACCCGACGAACTACTTCCCACAGCAACAAAACCTCCCCGATTCCTTCCCCGAACAACACACACAACAGCGGTTGCAGCCAGGACCCCAACAACACTCACGACCATCGATGACTTCATATCCACTGCCCCAGGGTTACTCTTCAGGAATGCTGGTAAGCCAATATCATACTCAAACGAATATCCATCAACCTAACTCCAGCCAGCAGAATACCATTGACTTGACCAACGACTACCCTGATTCGGATCCAAACGTTACCATCAACCCCCAGTTTCTGGATTCCCCACAGTCCTTTGGTCAACAGCAACCGTTGCAGAGCAATTTCATTCAAGGAATCCCACAGGACTTCCAAAGGCCGGGAGGTCAACCGTGAGTCCACTTATGGTCTAGATCGCTTCGGAAATATCAACTGACCCTTCTATGACTAGCCTATTTGATTATTATCAAAATGGTATTCAAGTTCAGCCCCAGATTCCATCGGCTGGCAACCCAGCGCAGATGGCCGCAGGTCTGCAAGTACCACAGGTTGTGGTGAACACTAAGAAGCCTGCTCCCAAAAAGCAAGTGAAAAAGGCTATCGCCAAAATTGCCAAAGCAGCAAAGCAAACTTCTTCTAGGTCCGAAAGTGATAGTTCAGATGAATCGGAACTTGAGATCGAAGCCCCCGACGAGCCGTCACCCATCCCTCCGATTCGTCCAACCGAACCCGAAGAGGCCGCGCAGTATGATACTCTTCAAGCTGTGTGGTCACCACGGAACAAATGGCCAGGTCCCGAAAAGGTCAAAACGGCTCTGGTAGCATACAAAGACCTCATCAAAACACTAAGAGACGCCTGGAAGGAGCAAGTTCAGGCCATGAAAGTGGCTGAAAACCAAGGCGACAACACCAAAGCAGCCAAGATCAAAGACCAAGTTACCGTGCAACGTCGCACCATGGATAAGGTTGCCACCACTACGTTGGAGATGGGCCATCCCAATATTGTCGAGAAGTATGTTGTCCCTCCCCCCATCCCTATCTTTTCCTTGCTCTCCCACAATATGGCTATGATAGCTGTACAAGCTTGAAGCTATAAATTCTCCCCATAAATTCTTTTAGAATTGTATAAGACGGTCTTGTCATGGCCACAATCTGGGCCATTGCCCTTTTTGCGGACTGGCAAGGCTAGATTATGATGAGAGAGAGTGTGTGTGCCCCAGATACAGGGTAAACCTGTGGTCTTCAACAAAGTGAATGTGTACAGCCCATAAAGACTTTTGGATGTGCCTCTTATGCGTGAAAATGCGAACAAAGCCACAACTGTTTAGAGGAGTCACACTTCACCTTCTGCCGAATTCCTTGAGATCCAACGTTCAACATAATCATCGTGTTCAATTGACTAATGATCTTTATGATGTAGGCTGGGAGAGCACCCTATGATTGTGGCAGCTCTGTATTCATTCTTATTGGATCGTTTTCAAGCTACCGACTTTGGTGGTACTCTGACAATCAACCTTCTGAAGGCAAGTCCAATCTGATTTCTGGCCTAAGTTATTTCACTAACACGAGAATAGCTGTTCGCTCGGTTTACAAGCTTGTCCGAAGACTTGATGGCAAAAACAAATCTATCCAAGTTACTGCCTAAGCTTATCAAAAAGGGTGGTCAGCAGGTGAAAGATCTTACACAAAAGATTTTGGATAACGCTGCCGCTTCCACCAAGCGCAAGCTGGAGAACGATAAGAACTCAAAGGAAGACCTGCCAGCTAAGGGTGCCCCGGCAGATAGCACTGGCTTGAAACGAGCTCGTGACATGGATAGCGGTTTGCAATCTGGACCGAAGCGAATGGCGGTCACCAGCAACCTCAAGGATGCCGCCAAAGCTGCACCTGGGTCGACCAAGGGAGCTCAAATGAACAAGCTCCCTGGTGCTGCAGCCCTGCGGCCCAAACCCAACGTTGTTGCCCCCAAACCGTCAAGTCTTTTCGGTACCCTAAGCTCGGCATCTAAAAGACCCGGGACCACAAATGCAGAGCGGGCTGCTGCCGCCGCAGCCGCAAAACCAAGGTGGGTTTACTTTTGCTTCAATAACTTTGAGCCGCAGTTTGTTGACTCTTTTTACAGTGCCACCGGCGAAAAGGAAAAGGCCCCCGCGCCTAAGCCATCTTTCTCCTTTGGAGATATCATGGCTGACCTGAACAAGCCGAAGGAAGCTCCCTCTCCTAAACCCACTGAAGAACACCCCCCAGAGACCGAAGAGCAACGCGCAAAGCGATTACGCAAGGAAGAGCGCCGCAAGCTTCGCGTGACTTGGAAGCCCGATGACAATCTAACGGAAGTTCGACTCTTCACTCATGACCCCGACGAAGAATTGGGACCTGGCGATGGCTCAATGCGCAGCTTAGGAGACGTCAAGGGTGAAGGTAGCGTTCTCAAGCTGCACAAGGATATGGAAGAGCTTGAAGAAGAAGACATGGGTGGTATCCGCGAAACCGTCTTCTCCGACGAATACAATCTCTCGAGTAAGTCCCACGATATTTCTCCCTTCATAACGAATACCCACTTACATTCACAGCGATCGAACACGACTTTGAGAAACCCATGGACGGCAATTTCATCAAGCGTGGAGGCCCACTGCCTCCTGCAAGCCCAGAAAAAGAAGCCCAAGACCACCGAGAGGCCACCACACTCATGGTTTTCTACACATCCCCTGCCGATATGCCCGATACACCCAAGGAACCGCCAAGTCCTGACTCCGACGAAGTGGTCTCGGATGTGGTGCCATTTGGCGAGTTACCCGATTTCGTCCGGGCTCGACAAGAACGCGTCTATGCCCACCAAAATCCTAAACCGACGCCTACTCAACAGCCGCAGCAACCCAACACAGGAAACAATGGATTTGACATCTCCAACCTGCTGAAGATTATTCAGGGCGGTGCGGCGGCCCAGCAGCCAGCTCCGGTGCCGCCGCCACAGCCCGCCCAGCCAGACATCGAAAACACGATCAACATGTTCCGGCAGCAACAGACCCAGACTCAACCTCAAATGCCAGTGGCTCCTACCCCACAGGCGCCACCAGCTGCTACACCCCAGACCCAAAGCATTGATTTCAATGCAATTCTGAATGTCATGAAACAAATGCAAGGACCGACTGCATTCCCCCAGCCGCAACAATTCCCGCAAGCCATGCCTCCTAACCTCGGCGCCATGTTCTCCCAAATGGGACAGAACCAGCAACCCGCTGCTCCCTACTATCAACAACCCAACTATGATTACGATGATCCAGAGCGTAAGCGGGGTCGCGACGCCGGTCACTATGACGAATTCGACCCATCATGGAGCCGCTCCAAACGAACAAAGAGCACCGACAAGCCTGTAAGTACCCAAGCAACCTACACATTTGCATTGATAGATCAATTTGCTAACCCTGAGATAGTACAAGGTAGGACTTGTTGCCTGCAAATTTTGGGCTGAAGGCATGTGTCGCAAAGGTGACAACTGCACTTATCGTCACGATCCGCTCTGAAGCCGATGTCGCAGGGCTTCCTTTCCACTAATACCCTTACCTGCTCTTTGCACTGGTTATCATCACTCTTACATTGTTTATCTATGCATTCTTGTCTTGGTCCCCTACTTTTACCGGGCCATTGACATGCTGGATGTTACAACTAAGAAGTTTTCTCCGGTTGGCGTTTACTGCATTTCATCGTCTGGGACATATTTTGATTCTCTGAAATCCTTTGCATGAGAGCATGGGCGTTTTATTTCTTTCGACATCTCGCTTTTGCACATTGATGGATGTATTCAGCGTTGGTCATATGAGGTGCTGTCATGGCGCATGGTTTAAAGGGACCGAAATGTACAATTATGGAGGTTATCATCAGTTCTTTAGTTGAGAATGATCATTACTATTATTTTCAACGCAATGTCCAGGTCATTCTCATGTAACAGAGACCCCGGGCCAATGATAGAAGGTCCGTCCTCTCTCCCCTAGACCCTGAATCCCGATGTGGCACAGCAAACAACATCTATAGCCATGGACCCAGCTCACTCTCTTCGGGCACTTTGCGAGGAAGCAGATACATTGTTTGACCTTCGGATGAGGAGATACTATACCTGGTGTACAAGGAGTTCCCAGAGGAGCTCGAACGCCTCCGGCGCGCAGACTCTTCCCGAGGCGGTTCATGGACGCCTCCGAATACTCCGTCCCCGTCATCCATCTTGTACAAAAAGGATCATGACGAAGTCAACAACATACTAGTGGCGATTCTCGCTTTACGCTGGATCTATACTGGCCAATATGAGACTTTTGTGACTTCACAGCCCGCCGAAGCTCAATTGACAAGAGCCTCGTTTGATTGGATTCGGACATTTTACAAACAGAATATTGTCGACGGCGCCTCTCTTTTCACATTGATCACATCGGTCATCATCGGTGCCCTAGGAAAAGATCCACAGTTAGCATCCGATTGCTGTGCGCAGACTGGCGCGAATGTCTCGACTCTCAACTACAATACAGTTCTGCATGAGGCTTGCAAAGCCGGCCTGGTCCAGAAGCTAGAAAGACTCGCCGATCAAGATAGATCCGATGTTCTTCGTGGAACCGAGCTTGGTGTCGCTTTCAATTTCGGTCAGTTGGCACAGGCAGAGAATGTTCCGGCTTCTCTGGCCGGCTTACTGAGAATGCGAAGCCATGATCGCAGTTTCAAGCTCTACTTTATGAAAGAACTGCTTGACATTTCTGGTGCCTTAGGACATATGAGCTGGACATGTGCGAGGAAACTCACTCAGCCTATCTTTGATTCATACTGCAATGTTTACGACGCATGCGAAGGGATCATTTCCGGTGATCTGACTGTTCGCAGTGGGTATGACTTGGTATTGAGCCGGAAGGCAGAGTCACTTCGTGATCAAAATGTGCGGGTATACTATGTGAAAGACCGAGTCGAGGACCGCGCCTTGATACGATTGCTTTGCATGGGCAATGTCGTTACGGCCGACAAGGCTTTCCTCTACGAAGGGGCTTGGCGTGCCTTGGAGGACCCGATCAGGGAGACCCTTGTGCGTGGTCTCAATTTGGACGGTAAGAGAAGTGAGCCTGCTGTCATACCGACGCACATGTCTGCATTTCTCGACCATGTTAGAGACGAGAACGCATTGGTCTGCACATTACGGTATCTTGCTCAGATACTGAGTGCTACTGATGTGGGCGATCCTTTGGCTGTGGTTATTGAGCGAAGAGTTGACATGGTACTTAAGCAAGTTATCGAGAGCAAAGAGTTCAAGGAAGACCCGTCAATCTTGGAGATGGTTGATGTGCCGGACAGCGTGGTTGCTTTGACGACTGCTTCACTTTGATTTGTTTTCGCTACTTTTTGATGATTTCTAAGAGCTCTGATCAACTTCATTGCTGTTGTCATTTTCCAAGCACTACTAGATAAACATGAGCACAGTCCCCGGAGAAGTATACGGATCTAGGATCGACAAGAGGGACAAGACGGACGAAATTCTGCCATTCCCGAGGTCTGTGCACCGTATTTCTGACGATCTATAAACCACTTGCTTCACGGCGAGTCCTTCTTCCCTTCACCCTCTTCACACTTTCCGTTGCCTGCGCGATATTCTTCGTTCCCGGACCTACTTCGCTCTTTGATCTTCACTCCGCTTCGTTCCTCGCTCCGTGTGGCTTCACAGGGCCCCGGGGAGGTCCTTGATCAATGGCATCAGCACAAGCTTCGGGAATTGACCAGTATAGCCATTTGATCGTGGTATGCTGTCATGCCATATACAGCGGAGGGCCCAATAATGGCGCTTCGGAAGATGAATGGTTAGTTCGTTCTTCGAGGTTATGAGACCTCCGGCAAAAAAGAAGACCATTAATAAAGCGCAGGGTGATTGAATCGTTTCAGAAGGGAGAAACCCCGACTTTCATCGAGCATCTTAAGGCTGGGTTGAAGGCCCTGGAGGATGATTCTCATAGTTTGCTGGTCCTTTCAGGGTAAGAAGATAACATCAAGCCGGTTTGCACTCCCACTAATTAGCCACCAGTGGACCAACTAAGCAGTCCAAGACCAAATTGAGCGAGGGCCAGTCGTACCTGGTAAGGATCACCTTTGCTCCAACAAGGGTAGAGCTAATGCCTTTCGATAGGACCTAGCCAAAGACAATAACTACTTTCAGAATCATTCAGCACCCACATTCGACCGTTCAAGGGTTGTTGCAGAAACCAGAGCCACAGACTCGTATCAAAATGTACTGTTCTCTCTGATCCAATTTAAATTACACACAGGCGTCTTTCCGCGGCGAGTCACGGTCGTCACGCACGAGTTCAAACGTGCTCGATTCATGGAATGCCACTTCCCGGCAATGGGACTCGTGACCGTCGACACCAGACATTCAAGCTACCAGCACAAAGCCGCGGTGATTGGCATCAATCCCCCAGAAAATGTGACTGCATCAGAGAGCCTTGCACGAGGCGAAATGATGAACGGAATCGGCCTTTGGAAAGCAGACCTCTATGGCGTTAACGAGAATCTAGCAAGCAAACGGAGAAAACGAGGCTGGATCCCTGGGATGGTGGACGAGTTTTCCAACATGGATCTAGGAGCCGTGGTACTCGACCTTCTCCGATATGATGGTGGGAAAGATCGCAATGAATGGTTCTCGCAGCGAGAGGATTTGCCTTGGTCTTATGCTAAAAATGATATAACCCAACAGAATTGATTAATATAATCAAAACTGCTAGACAGTGAGCTTGAGTCTTTCCCGAAACGCCAATCCATACTCCATCCTTCGTATCTGGTCATAATAGAAACCCCGGGCTCAATCTGCCAGCCGGTAGCTGACCAGAGTTCCGACTCGGTGGTTGTTTGTGCTGAAGCTTCTCAATTGCACCTTCTCGGCATTCTTAATCTCCTTCGCGTCACTGTCGCCCCATTCCACGGGGACGTCTGAATCGGCGTCGGCATAGACAAGGACATTGAAAGTGCAGTCTCCGTCCAGGACAGGAAGGAAGGTGACCGATGCGGTAATCTGGCGGAAGATAGCCTGGATTTCTTCCTGGATTTGCTTCTCTGTCTTTTCGACAGGCTCAGCAGGTGGGGTTCCCGCGTCTCTGCAATACAAAGTCAGTGGGTCAATGGAAGAGTGCTCGGGGGATCAACCTACCCTGGTGTGCTGTTCTCGTTCTCTCCGGCTTTTTGGGAGCTCTTGCTCTTGGACTTCTTGCCAAATATTTCAACCTAGACCGGCGCAGTTTGCGTTAGCCTTGCAGTTGGGTAGAGATATGAATGAAAGCTTACATCGAACTGCCATCGCTCCACATGTTCACCAGTCTCCTTGCTTGTAATTACCACTACAAGCTTTGAGATCTTTCCACCTTGCATCCATTCCTTCAACTGTGACATGATCTTCTTGATGTAGGCTTTGACCTGGTCGTCGGCGGAAACTGTTGGGTGTTAAGATTGCAGGTGCTGTTTGGAGCATTGTCCACGAACCGAGCATGTTGAGGCCATATTTCTTGATACTGGTACCGATCAGCTTATGACATACATTGCAGCAGCATTTAGCAGAAGCACTCACGTAGTAAAATCCTCTGGGGGATAGACTCCTCGTTGGAAGCTGAAAATCGATTGTGATAAGTGCGTATCCTGGACTTGCTATGAACGGCAACTTACAGGATTGAATTGATCGAATACTCAAACTAGGAGTCGTTAGCAATTGAGGAGAGTCGGTCAACAGCAATTAACTCACGAATTCAGACACAAGCTTCGCCGATCCTGCAATTCCATGAGCTTTGTACAACCAGTATCACCATGCAGAACGCAACAAACCTTTGATGGAAAGCTTGTGCACCTTTGACTTGTCCTTGGCCTCAGGCATGATGTGCGTTGGTAGAGAGCTGAAGATGAAAGTGGGTGCGCTTTGTTTATGTCGATAGTCACTGCAGCAATCAATGAAGGCGGTGACCTGCGCGTCCGTTTTTTCTCCGCAGCTTGTGACGAGAGACCCCTACGAGTCGCATTGAGATAATACTCGTCCAAATACCTCCCGACTCGACTTGCATAGTGTCAGCTTCTATGCCACCGCAGAAGTCCCGATGCGAGGATGTCTGCAATTAGGCCGATGGCTGAGCGCAGCACCGAGATGCCAGGCCGCAAACCTCCGACCAACTGCCTTTTTGTATAGACCCAGCCGGGCTTTTTCTACGAGCACGATATTTAATGCCCGTTCCAAAATCATACCCATCAAGCCGGACGCCGACCTCGAATCCCGAATCGCCGCCATTCCGATCGAACGCTTCCGCAACTTCTGCATCGTCGCACATGTCGATCACGGCAAGAGCACACTCTCCGACCGATTGCTCGAATTGACGGGTACGATCCAGCCAGGAACCAATAAGCAAGTTTTGGATAAACTTGACGTTGAGCGCGAGCGCGGAATCACTGTGAAGGCGCAGACATGTACAATGATCTACAATCACCAAGGCGAGGATTACTTGCTACATTTGGTTGATACTCCTGGCCATGTGGATTTCCGCGCTGAAGTATCGCGCAGTTATGCCAGTTGTGGCGGAGCGATTCTCTTAGTCGATGCCAGTCAGGGTGTCCAGGCGCAAACAGTTGCCAATTTCTACCTGGCATTCGCCCAGGGTCTTGAATTGATCCCGGTTCTCAACAAGGTTGACCTACCGTCATCGGATCCAGAGCGGGCTTTGGAACAGATGCGAACCACCTTTGAGCTTGATACAGAAAATGCCGTCATGGTATCCGCAAAGACAGGTTTGAATGTTCCGGCTATTTTACCGACAGTTGTGGAGAAGATCCCTGCGTGAGTGCAACGTTTGATTATCAGAAAAGCGCCTAGCTAACTATATACTAGACCTATCGGTGATTCTGAAAAACCTCTTCGTATGCTACTCGTGGATTCCTGGTACGATGCATACAAGGGTGTGATCTTGCTGGTCCGCGTTTTCGACGGCGAAGTGCGTGCAGGTCAGCAGCTGGTTTCCTTCGTGACTGGACTCAAATACTACGTTGGTGAGGTTGGGATCATGTATCCCACCGAAACTGCCCAAAAGGTCCTTCGTGCCGGCCAGGTTGGGTACATTTACTTCAACCCAGGCATGAAACGAAGTAAAGAGGCCAAAATTGGAGACACATTTACTCGAGTTGGATCGGAAAAGCTCGTCGAACCTCTGCCTGGGTTTGAAGAGCCGAAATCGATGGTCTTCGTGGCAGTGTACCCCGTGAATGCGGACCATTTCGAGCATCTCGAGGACAGCGTCAACCAGCTGATCCTCAACGATCGAAGCATCACGGTGCAGAAAGAGTCATCAGACGCTCTGGGCGCCGGTTTCCGTATGGGATTCTTGGGAACTCTGCACTGCTCTGTATTCGAAGATCGCCTACGACAGGAACATGGTGCTAGTATTATCATCACACCACCCTCCGTTCCAGTCAAAGTCATATACCGGGATGGTAGGGAAGAAATTATCACCAACCCTGCCAAATTCCCCGATGATGAGGGTGCGCGTCTCAAGGTAGCAGAGGTCCAAGAGCCGTATGTTCTGGCTACCCTGACGTTCCCGGAAGAGTACCTGGGCAAGGTCATTGAGCTTTGTGAGGCCAACCGTGGTGAGCAACTCAGCATTGAGTATTTCACGACTACTCAGGTCATCATGAAGTACCAACTGCCACTTGCACACCTGGTGGACGATTTCTTCGGAAAGCTGAAGGGTGGCACCAAGGGATATGCCAGTCTGGACTACGAGGAGTCTGCATGGCGAGCGGGTAATATCGTCAGACTTCAACTCTTGGTCAATAAAGAGCCTGTCGATGCGGTTGCACGAATCATGCATCTGAGCCAAGTGAACCGACAAGGAAGACTGTGGGTCACCAAATTCAAGCAGCACGTTGACCGTCAGCTTTTCGAAATCATCATTCAAGCTGCCGTTGGCAAGAAGATCATTGCGCGTGAGACTATCAAGCCATACCGCAAGGACGTTCTGGCAAAATTACACGCCAGTGATGTGAGTCGGCGACGCAAGCTGCTCGAGAAGCAGAAAGAAGGTCGCAAGAAGCTGCGTGCCGTTGGAAACGTGGTCATCGAGCATAAGGCCTTCCAAGCATTCTTGGCGAAATGAACATGTAAATTAGGAAAGAAATGTACAACATCCCATGCAATTACGCCCCGTAAATGTACCATGTAGCAATCCCGAGGTCCTGGAGCGCAGCAGCTACTCCGTATAGAGCTGGTTGTGTCGGCGGTGAAAGCTCCACCGGCAGAAAAAAAAGTTGTTCCATGTATGGCGGGGGTCCGACAACTTCTTCCGCTGCTCATCTCCAAGAATATCCCCGTCGGTCTGATTGTGGAGGCTCAGTGGCCTTGGATTGAACTTCCTTCATTTCAGGTCTCATTCTTATCCTTTCCGAGCCCGGAATTGTGTCACTGGCGACTGAAGTTCGCCTTGCCGATCGCATTACCTTGAGTCACCCTGCCATGCTCCGCATTTGACTACGGCCATGCAGCCTCCAGAGGGTGCGCAGGTAGACCTGGGCAAGGCCCAGGTTATCGACAGTGTTCCTAAGGTGATCAAAGAATTGAAATTCGGTGTCTTGTACGCAGACCACTCGCATATGCTCATTACGAGAGTTTGTCGCATACTTGATCGCTAACGAAGGATTGTGTTCATAGAACCAACGATGATATTGTCGGCCAAGCAGTGGTCGAAGTTTCCGACAGAAAATTCTTCGATCTCGACCAGGCGCGCACAGTCGTCTCCAATGGACCTCTCGATCAACGTATGGGTATTTCGAACAAAACTGACGCTTGCGCAACATGCGGAAACAACCTCAAAGACTGTAATGGTCACTTCGGTCATGTGAGACTGGTTCTTCCATCTTTCCACGTCGGATATTTCAAGCGCGTTATCTCGATTCTCCAGGAGATTTGCAAGGAGTGCTCAAATATCTTGCTTCCCGAAGCGGAGCGCCGGAGTTATCTCCGTGAGATGCGCCGACCGGGTCTTGATAATCTTCGACGAAACCAAATCGTTAAGCGCATTAACGAGCGGTGTCGGAAAACCCGCGAATGCACATACTGTGGAGCGATCAACGGTGTGGTGAAGAAGACCGGAACCAGCGCTTTGAAAATTACCCACGACAAGTTCCGTGCATTCAATGCCTCGACCTCGGTGAAGAAGCAAACCCCGATCAGTAAAGATGTATTCGACAACTCTTTCCTCGAGGCCCGAGGCGCCAACCCGGAGGTGGAAAAGCACTTCAAAAAGGCCCAGGACGATATGAATCCTCTTCGCGTGCTGAAGCTGTTCAAGAAAATGGCCGACTCCGATTGTGAACTCATTGGCATGAACCCAAAGGAAGCCCGCCCGGAGATGTTTTTGTGGCAATTCATCCCGGCCCCTCCTGTCTGTATTCGACCTTCGGTTGGCCAGGATGGTGCTTCTACAGAGGACGACCTGACTGCTAAACTGGGTGATATTGTGCAGAGCAATATCAACCTCAAGAATGCTTTGCTCAAGGGCGCTCCGGTTCAAACAATCATGGAATGTTGGGACTACATGCAGCTTCAGATCGCCGTCTACATCAACAGTGATGTCCCTGGCCTCAACAAGGCAGATCTTGGAAAACCGATCCGAGGCTTTGTGCAGCGACTGAAGGGAAAGCAAGGTCGTTTCCGTGGTAACTTGTCTGGAAAGCGTGTCGATTTCTCTGGTCGAACTGTCATTTCCCCCGATCCCAACTTGCGAGTCGATGAGGTTGCAGTCCCAGAGCTGGTAGCAAAGAACATGACCTACCCGGAGCTTGTGACCAGGTATAACAAGGAGAAGCTGCAGCAGAGAATTATCAACGGTAGCAACAAATGGCCCGGAGCAAATCTTATCATCAAGAAAGGAACCGGCTTCAAGCAGATGTTGAAGTACAGTAACACTCAGTGGATGGCCGATCAGCTACAGGAAGGTGATATCGTCGAGCGTCACATTGAGGATGGTGATATCGTCCTGTTCAATCGACAGCCTTCTCTGCACAAGCTCAGTATTCTATCCCACTTTGCAAAAGTGCGCCCTCACAGAACTTTCCGACTGAACGAGTGTGTCTGCAATCCTTACAACGCCGATTTCGACGGAGACGAGATGAACTTGCACGTTCCGCAGACAGAAGAAGCACGAGCAGAGGCTATGGAACTCATGGGTGTGAAGAACAACTTGGCCACGCCTAAGAACGGAGAGCCGATCATTTCCGCTATTCAGGATTTCATCAGTGCCGCCTATGTTCTCAGCAGCAAAGACAACTTCTTTGATCGTGCTTCTTTCTCCCAGATCTGTCTGTACATGCTTGGTCCTGAGACAAGATTCGATCTTCCTCCCCCTTCCGTTTTGAAGCCTCAAATGCTGTGGACAGGAAAGCAGGTGTTCAACATTCTTATGCACCCCAACAAGTCCGACCCTGTTCTGGTGAACTTGGACGCTGCATGCCGTGAGTTCAAGCAGCCCAAAGATGGCCGCCCCAAGGACTTGGACCCCAACGATGGCTGGTTGGTCATTCGCAACTCCGAGGTCATGTGCGGTGTTATGGATAAGTCCACGATTGGTTCTGGAAAGAAAGATAACGTGTTCTACATTATGCTCAGAGATTACGGCCCACCTGCCGCAGCTGAGGGCATGAACCGTCTATCAAAACTGTCAGCTCGGTGGTTCACAAACATCGGTTTCTCTATCGGTATCGGAGATGTCTACCCTAGCGCGGGTCTTGTCCAGTCGAAGAACGACCTGGTTGAAGCAGCGTACGCGGCTTGTGACGAAGTCATTGCCAAGTACAAAGCGGGCACTCTTGAGAAGTACCCTGGATGTGACGAATTGCAGACAATGGAGAACCAACTCTCAGGTATTCTCAGTAAAGTTCGTCAACAGGCCGGTGACGAATGTATTCAGCAGCTCAGCAAATACAACTCGCCCCTGATCATGGCCACTTCCGGCTCCAAGGGTTCCAGTATCAACGTGTCCCAGATGGTTGCCCTTGTCGGACAACAAATTATCGGTGGTCAGCGTGTGCAGGACGGTTTCCAGGATCGTACCCTGCCCCATTTCCCCAAGAACGCACGGCAGCCTCCTTCCAAGGGTTTCGTACGTAACAGTTTCTTCTCTGGTCTGGAACCCCCAGAGTTTATTTTCCACGCTATGTCTGGTCGTGAAGGTCTGGTCGATACAGCCGTCAAGACTGCCGAGACTGGTTACATGTCTCGTCGTCTGATGAAGTCCCTCGAGGATCTTTCGTCGATGTACGATGACACGGTTCGTAACTCGTCTGCTGCTATCGTTCAATTCCAGTACGGTGACGATAAGTTGGATCCCGTGGATATGGAGGGTAAAGCCAAACCCGTTCATTTCGATCGGACATTCATCCACTCCGAATCAACAACCTACAATAATGACGAGCCAAGTCTTCTGCCTGCTGAAATGATGGAGGTCTGTGAGAGCATGCTTGAAAAGGAGCGTGCTAAGCTCACCCGCAAAGATTTGCTTGGCAACTCTCTTGGATACATGGATCGCAGTGACCACGGTATTGACCAGTTTGAGAGTGCTCGTGACTTCCTTGACTCGATTCAGGAATACGTGCAAAAGAGGGCAGACAGGCTTGTCTCTCGCGGTGGAGACTATGACCCATCTGACATCCGGAGCCGAAAGGCCCTGGATCACACGGGCAAGTTGACAGAAACTACACTGCGGGCTTTCATCACCGCCTGTCTGTTGAAATACAAGAAAGCTCAAGTCGAGCCCGGTCACGCCGTCGGTGCTGTCGGTGCCCAGTCTATCGGTGAGCCGGGAACGCAGATGACACTGAAGACTTTCCATTTCGCCGGTGTCGCTGGTATGAGTATCACTCAGGGTGTTCCACGTATCAAGGAAATTATCAACGCCTCGAAAGAAATCAGTACTCCGGTCGTTTCTTGCGAACTTGTTACCCAAGACAGTACCATCGCCGCACGTATTGTGAAGGGACGAATCGAAAAGACTTTCCTGTCTGATATCATTCACTCCATCACAGATGTCTGGACCAAGGATGATGCTTATATCAAGGTGGTCATCAACTGGAAGACTATTGAGGACCTCTCGCTTGAGATCACGACGCCCCAGATTGTGCAAACCATCAAGACGCACAGGCGTTTCAAGGCCAGTGATCTCAAGTTCTCTTACAAGCAATCTTCCATCAAGATTCACGTGGATCTTGACCCGGCCACCAAGGCCAGCCTTTCCAAAACAGAGATCGCAGCCACAAGCAGTGATCCCTTCCTACGTCTGAAGCACTTGAAGCGCCAGCTTCCCGGCATCCAGGTTCTGGGTCACCCGCGTGCCACCCGCGCTATTATCCGCACGGACGAGAAGTCCGAAAAGAACACACTGCTCGTTGAAGGCTATGGCCTGAGAGAGTGTATGACCACCATGGGTGTGGATGGTTACAGAACCAGGACCAACAACATCATGGAGGCCCGCGATGTCCTGGGTATCGAGGCAGCCCGAAGCACAGTCGTGACAGAAATTAGCGAGGTCATGAAGGACATGGACATCGATCCTCGTCACATGCAACTTCTGGCTGACGTGATGACCTACAAGGGAGAAGTGCTGGGTATTACTCGATTCGGTCTTGCGAAGATGCGTGACTCAGTCCTTCAACTTGCTTCCTTCGAGAAGACGGCCGATCATCTGTTTGACGCTGGTGGCCTTGGTCGCACCGATTTGATCGAGGGTGTTTCAGAATGTATCATCATGGGCAAGACGGTGTCATTGGGTACGGGTGCCATGGAGATTGTGCGAAAGCTCAACTTCTACGAGGGCCAAATCGGGCCCCGGAAGACGGTCTTCGAGGATGTTTGGACCGAGCACTGCGAGGCGCCCTTAGCTCGGCGACCCAAGAAGAAGGTCCGGTGAGGGGTGTGACACTGCATTATTGGCGTTTACGAAGTTGGCCTTGTTGGTTAGGCCTTGTACATGTACCTATGAGACTATTGTTCTTCCGAGCGTTGGTCAACTTGACGATATCAATATGAATTTCTTGATCTCATTAGGGCTGAGCGCGGTGTATGAAGTACGGAGAATGAAGTACGGGGGCGTATCACACAGCCCTGGAGTGGAAAAGTGGTGCATTGCGGTCTCATTGGGAGGGCCATGCCGCGTACTTTTTTACCCTCCCTTTCTTCCAACCAAACTCACAGGATTCATCCTTAGGGGTGTGTGCAGTCCTGAAGCTAATTTCCAACTCGACGGAATATCTAGGTACAAGCTTCTCGTCGGATTATATCCAAATATGTGAAGCATATCGATGACATCTAGAATGTCCGCATGCGTCGTTTGCCAACCGAAAGGGATAGAAATCCCAACCGTCCGTCGGGGAGGGCCCAAAAGGACACAGAACTGAGGGGTGTCCAAGAGAAAGGACATCAAACGTATTGCACAGCGCCCTCCAATCAGCATCGTGAAACCCCTGCAGTCGGGGGGATGGGTAGGGGTTTATCACCTCGAGTTCTTTGTTCACAACCTGGCCCTCCTCCGGCGCCACAACCGCGGCTTCGTAAACCGGTGTTTTCTTTGTCTGAGTTCTCTGCGCTAGGCGTGTCGCCTTACTATATCGTTGGGTCGTACTCAACTTTCCTTTTTTTCTCCAGCACGCTCCCCGATCTCCCCGAAATCGCCGACTGCAGATCAAATGGAATACGTCGACCCTAAACTCGCTAGAAGGCGTGAAATCCGAACCCGAGCCCCGACGGCTTGTCAAACCTGTCGGCTCCGCAAGACTCGATGTGACAATACCAGACCAACATGTAGCTATTGTTCCGTGCAGGGGGTCGAGTGCAATTATCCCGAGACCTCCCCCCACCAGAACCAGTAAGGAGATGCTCTAGAATGAAGCGGACGAAGATTAACCTACGCAGAGCCGGCTTCGATCCCGGCAACCCGTCCAATCAAGAGGTCATGCAGCGGCTGAACCATATCGCTGGACTCTTGGAGGAGATCAAGTCCGAAGGCGGCTCCACTAGCTCCTCGACTCGCTCACTCAAGGAGTCCTTCTTTGAGCTAGCCATGCAGACCACTAGTCCAGTGGCAGACCCGGGGAGCAACTCACATGGTATTGCGAGCTTCGAGGACCGCGCCATGGAACATGATCCCCGGCTCCTTTACATTGCCAGCTCCGGGGAGCACATGCTTCGTTGGCCTGTCTTCAACAAGGTCATCACTGAAGCTGAGAAGCATATCCGATCGTTTCTGCTGGATTCGCTCGACAACAAATCCCAGAGTTTGCAGCCACCCCGGCAGCTGGGCATCGGGCACTTTGTCGATGAGATCCCCAGGCTGTGTAATAGGTACTTTACGTTATGCCACCGGCGAAGTCCGATAGTCGATCTCGAAAACCTAGACCGCTATGCTAAGGAGGTTACCGTCCAAGGTCTCGGATGGGACGGTCCATCGTGTCAAGTGGTATGTCTCGTAATGACCCGTTGATACAGGCCCGCTGTACTCAACTTCTACTAGCTTCTCGCATGCGCCTTGGCCTCGTGCACCTCGTCTCAGTTCGTCCCACTGGGCGACCAGGTCCCGTCCAATCTGGACGCACTGCCAACGCCACCCGTGTCTGACGCAAATATGGATCTGGCTGAGACCTACTTTCACGCCGCCAAGCAGCGATTCGGCTTTTTACAAACGTCTCCCACTGACATTCAATGTTTCCTTCTTGCAGGAAGCTACCACAGACATGCCCTGCGCCCTCTCGAGGCCTGGTTTTGTTTCCAGCAGGCTTCGTGCAGATTAGAAGTACGTCTGCGGTCTCTTTGTAGAGAACAGTGGACCGCGGATGACAATTACCATAACCTAGAGTCACGTCTATATTGGTCATGCATTCAGGCGGAACAGTAAGTATCCTCTAATGTTCTGGCAGAATGATCATCTCTAACCCCCACAGTGAGATGCAGGGTGAGCTCCCTCTCTGGAGCAGTGGTCTTGAAGCCCTAGGCTACTCGGACCCGTTTCCCAAGTTTTCCCCCAAGCCAACAAGCCCCTCATATGATGGAACGTACGCTGTGAAGCCCACGTTTGAGCTAGATGGCAGCGAAGAAGAGAAAGGATGGAAGTTTTACATCGGGTCTATCTGTAATCGTCGGACCACAAACGACCTCCTGGCAGATATGTGGCGTCACGGCGAGAAAGGATGGACGCAAGACATCCCCGATCTCCTACGACGCACAAGTGCAGCCGAGCACGTTATAAGGTCCTGGTAAGAATCTCGCTCCATATAACTCCGACTCTGCTAATCGTCACCCGAGGTATCAAATCTCTTTGGCAGGAATCCATTCTCAGAAAGACAACCCAGATCTCAAGTTCTTCTTTCGCGGCCGCTATCTCATGGCCTCAGAGCGAATCTACCGGCCGAACTTTTACCTAGCGATGCACTACCAAAGCATGCCAACTTTCATACGGAACAAGCATGAAATGTGGCGGGAAGTGTTCGAGTTCACGCAAAAGACCATCGACAATTGCGTTGAGGTGATCCCTAACTACTTGTACCAATTCCGACACGAGTGGCTTTGGAATGTGATTCGTGCCAGCTTCTGCTGCGCGCTGCATATCATCGCGGCGGTCTTGTATCAGCTCGAGGCTGCGCGGAATTCCAGTCCATGGCAGTTGCACATTCCGCCGAATTGGGCTGCTTTGGTGAGAGTTTCGGTGCGGACGATGAAGCACTGGGCAGCTGAGTCGATTGACATTGAGGTCATGCAGTCGATCCTTGAGAGGATGTATACAGGAACTTGTCGATTGGCCAATGTTCGGCCCGATCTTCATCTACTTTGAAGTCCACGGGTGTCTATTGGAAGTGATGGCAGAAATATATATGGTTGTTCATAGTGGACACCCCATGTTCGAGGGCACATTCACATATACTGCACCTTTTTTTATTTACATTAATTGAACATTTTGCATATTCGATTTGAACAATTGATTGAGGAATCAACATGTCCGTTGATCGCGTATACTCCGAGCCCCACTTGACTTTTTCTCGTTTCAACCTCACCTGGGCAGTTCTTCCTACTTACATTCTACATTCCACATTCACCATGGAAGACTACAAACCCCCAGCTCTTCCCTCTCCATTCAACAACACAACTCCTCCGCCAACCCTCCTCACCCAAGGCGCCGAAGCCCACCTCTACAAAACCACCTCTCTGAACCCCTCCATACCCGCCGCCTTGAAGATCCGCCCCTCAAAACCCTACCGTCACCCCATTCTTGACCGCCGACTGACCCGCGCTCGCATCACCCAGGAAGCACGATGTCTGGCGAAACTAGTGCGCGAGGGCGTGAGCGTGCCCGCTCTCCTCGCCCTTGACTGGGAGGGGCACGGCGGACAGGAAGGCGGCTGGGGCGGAGCCTGGTTAATGATGGAGTGGATCGAGGGTGACGTTGTGCGCGTCGCACTCGAAAAATGGGAAGCGTGGATGAAGAAGGCCTCGCTGGACGACGAGCAGACCCAGGCGCAGGAGGCCCGTGTGCGCGCGCTGATGAGAAAGATGGGCGCTGCCATTGGGGCGTTGCACAAGGCTGGTGTGGTGCACGGGGATTTGACGACGAGTAATCTGATGCTACGGCCTGTGGACACGAATGATACCAATGAAGTTGGGCTGGATGGGGATGTGGTCCTGATTGATTTCGGACTCGCGTCGCAGAGTGCGCAGGACGAGGACCGCGCGGTGGATCTGTATGTCCTTGAGCGCGCGATTGCGAGCACGCACCCGCGCTCGGAGGGTTTGGCGGAGGATTTGATTGTGGGATACCGGGATAGCTACAAGGGGGCACCTTCGGCGCTGAAGAGGCTAGAGGATGTGCGTTTGAGAGGCCGCAAGAGGAGCATGCTTGGTTAAGCCATGAAAGAAAATCGGAGATGCAACTCCCAGCTATGATTTTGAAGATAAAACAGAAACAAATCAACGCCACGCTCACGTCACAAAACAAATGAGGCTTTCATTGCTTGACACATGTGCCAATATCGGCCAATGCGAAATATCCCTTGTTCTCGACCACTCCGCGATCCTTCACCACAGCCGTGTACTTGACAACCCACTGGGGTTCGACGTCGCCCTGGATGCCGTCGGTGGCATCTGGCGACGAAGCCAGAATGCCCGCGCTTTTCTCTGCGGGACCGAGCAGTTCGCGCGTCGTGCCGACAGGCAGGATATCATGGCAATCGTTATGAGTGAGGAGCTGAATCTGCTCCTGTTTCGCATAGAGAATCAAAGACTTGGGGACCACACAGCAGTCCTTCAGATTGATCTGATCCACTGATGGCTTGACCTGTGTATGGGGGAGGAACCGGGCGAGTCGGTCGCATCCGAACTCCGCAACACCCAGCTGCGCAATCATGCCCTCCTCGTGGAGCATTTCCAATACCCGCCATGTCTGCACCATGCTATCAAAGTCGTCTTCGGGGGCATTATCTTCCTCTTCGCTGTCGTCGTCGGCGTCGAAGAGGATGCCCGGGAATGAGACGATAAGTAGATCGATGGACTTCACGTGTAGTTCTTTCAATACCAAATCAATGGCCTCCCTGGTGTGTGCGCATCGTCGCGAAGCCGGAATCCCGGGTAGATAGAATAGTTTGACGGTGATATCATATTGGTCCCGCTCCTCGGCCAGTCCGGGCTGTGAGAAGTCGATCGCGGGGATGTAGAGTCCGTCCTCGCCCTGGCGGGTCCACGAAGGCGTCTTCTCGCCGTTTGTCTGTCCGACTTGAATCTGTTGCGAGGCCAGGAAATTCGAGCGCAGGGAGTTGATCAACTCGACGTTGGACTTCTGTAGCGGATGGCGAATCACGGACTGCCGCCCTTGCATGATATTCCTGCGAACAGTCAGTCTCGGAATCAGGCGCGGGGTTCATGGCACATACGAACTGGAGAGAATGAGCTTCATGATTGCGCTGTGCAGGATCTACTGGAAGACAGAGACAGGACACGAAAGAAGAAAAGTGGATTGCTAATCGATAATCGACCCCGCGGCTCTGACAAATCTACTATACTCCACGATCTTCCGGTCTTTGCCATGCAACTATGGAGATGTCTACATCCTTCAGTCCTCGTCGACTGTCGGATCCCAGTCCGTAGGCTCGTACTCTCCGGTATCCAACAACTTCATGTCCTCCTCTGCCAGCTCAAAGTCAAAGACATCGGCATTCTCCCGAATGCGCTGGGGAGTGGAGGACTTGGGCAGAGGCACGAATCCCTAGAGAATCAGTATCTGGACACTGAGAGTATAGGGCAAGGCGACTCACCATCTGCAAGCTCCACCGGATCAACACCTGCGCCGGTGTCTTTCCGTACTTCTGCCCAATGGAGCTCAGCACGGGCTCTCGAAGGCGACTGCCGTGCGCAAGAGGGGAGTAGGCCTCAACGATGATCTTTCGACTCTGTAACCACTCCACAATATCTGAGTGATCCAGCCACGGATGCAACTCATACTGACCAACGTCGATCTGGCCTCCTCCGCCAGCCTGGATGTACTTCTCCAGCTCTTCGAGATGGTGAATACCGTAGTTAGACACGCCGATGGCCTTCGCCTTACCCTCCTTCTGGGCTTCGACAAGTGCATCCCAGGACCCGAGGCGGGCTTTCTTACCGCCGTATGGAGCGTGAATCAAAATGCTAGGCTTATTAGTGCCATTTCCACCCGCTGGAGAATCACTCACAGATCGAAGTAGTCCTGTGCTGCTTCTCGCAGACTCGAGTTGATAGCCCGCTTCGCGGACTCGTAGCCCATCGATTCCGGGGGTATTTTGGTCGTAAAGAAGACCTCCGAGCGATCTAGCTGGGAGTTCTGAATGGCTTTCCCGCATGGCTTCTCATTGCGATACATGATTGCCGAATCAACCTGTCTGGTTAGCGGTGGTTGCTCTCGCTGGGGCGACTCTGCGTACATGACGGAATCCAACATTGAGAGCTTCGGCTGTGACCTTCTCGGTCTTGGATGAAGGGCTGCTGGTTGTTAGTTGAATCCCTCGAGAGGTGTCCTGACCCACATCATGTAGACCTGTCCATGTTAGTTTAGTTCGTGTCTGATTACGGGATGACTGACTCCATATCCCAGGGCTGGAATCTCATGCCCGGAAAGCAGTTTGTGCTTGGACTGAAGGGTTAATCCTGCCATTGTCCAGGTGTTGCGAAAGAGGGGAGCAATTGCCAACATTGAATGTCAGGAGGGGTCGATGTTTATATAAGATCTGATACCCGTCAACTGGACGCAACATAACTACATACAATTAGTCTGATACTCATAGAATTACCATGTCTAAGTCCACGGGTATGTTTGGATTTCTCCCCATTCCTTTACTTCACTTTCTTGGGCTCTCACCTCTGACTCCTTTCTTCCTTCTGCTTCCTTCTCTTTTCCCTTCCCCTTTCAAGCCTTCCCTTCCAAAACATGCTCATGACCGGTTTGGCCATCGCCATGAGGTACGAATGCGATACATGTGATCGGTGTTTCTGGACTCCAGAAGCCCGTAGTCAGCACATGTCTGCCTTGGATCACTACGCTCCTCGATTCGAATGTGAATCCTGTGAACGTGTCTTCGGTTCCGAGGAATCTGTCAATCAGCATATGCAAGCGAAAAGACACTGGGCAAACTATTGTCGCCCTTGCAATCGCTGGTTTGCGAACGAAACCAACTACCGTGCTGTACACGATCCAACCCTGATTCGAATCTCTTTCGGGCATGGACTGACTATATTGATAGCACATGAATTCCTTCGTTCACCGCGGTACAGAGGTTGATTGCCCATACTGTGATGCGGAATTTGTCACTGCCAGTGGTGTTCTTCACCACCTGGAATCAGATTCCTGTCAGTGTTCATGCAAGTCCCGCGTTCGTCTTTACCGTGAGATCCAAAAGCGTGATACAACTGGTCGTATTGCGAATGGTTCAAAGGAAGGTTACCACTGGGTCTGTGACTGGTGTGGCAAGAGTTTCATCAGCGCTGAAGCCGTGGGTTCACATTTGCTGTCTAGTGTTCACGATGCGGAGGTTTATCATTGCCTCAACGATCCTGAGGAATGCGATAAGAACTTTCGATCTCTGGCCGCGATGTTCAATCATCTGGAGAGCGAGTCGTGCGGCTTCACCTGTTTCGAGGATGTTCCATCCTACCTAAACACGGTAATTTACTACGTCGATGGGGGCTTTGAGATTCCGAAATGGAGCCTGGACCGGTCCTAATCATCGAGTTCAGTGTCGAGCTCGAACATCTGTATGCTATGGAGCGGACACCACCACGACTCGAGCCGGGGCGAAGTGGATATTTGTGTTCGGGAGCACAGGAGCTTGCAGAATTGCTTGTCTGTCGGAACTGATCAGGGATTGCATTGCGAGAAGCCGACTGGATTTATCAAGTTCATTTTTAGCCTTGGATGCCATCAGTACGAGCTTCAAGACATGAATTATGAGATGATGAAACGCGAAAATTTGTATCAATACTCCGATGTATGCAGTTGACAATCAGAGACATGATTTCATGCATACCAGTGGATTAGGAAGTAAGCTGCGTTCTACATCATCCCCGATACTGTGCAGAATAAGCGAAATCATGTATTAAATGTGACAGAATCCCACATCTATAAAGCCAACAACCCACCTCTATGTATACAGATATAAGAAAGTCACCTTAGATCTTTCTCTGCTGCTCCTTCTGCGCCTCGGCCTCAACCTGCTCTTGCAACTTGCGATCCGCCTCGCGCTTGAGCTGATCAGGACGGCGGACAGCGATATCCTTAGGGCGGAAGTCACTGAACAGGTGCTTGAGAACATTCTCGATGATCCAGCAACCACCGTAATCGAAGATCATGAGAACAGTGAGAGTCACCTTGAACTCGGTGGTGAAAGGAACAAGACGCAACTTCTCGTTGAGCTCGGGGATAAACTCAGTAGCGCAGGAGAATGCAACACCGGAGGCAGCGACAAGACCCCAGTACATAGCCTTGTTCTCGCGGATGGACTCACGGAAGGGACGGCCCTGGTAGTTGATCGAGAAGGTGGAGATTTGCTGGATCAACTGGAGGAGGTAGATAGCGCTGTTGAGAAGGGAGGGCTCAAATTCACCCTCGAGATCAATTTCGGAGGATCTCCTGGTGATTATGTTAGTGTCAATGTCAAGTGATGTATGGGGGGAAACATACGGCTCATGCTTATAGACATATTGAGAAAGGTAGATCAGTGTCACGATGTGAATCGCGAACTGTCCAAGAACAGATCCAATGATGTAAACGTTGAAGATGTTGGGCTGCGGGCGTTCCTTGGACAAACCCTCGACAGACTAAGACGGTGAATTAGTATACTTTCTTTCTTGTGTGTGGAACGAGGGGAAATTACCTTGGCACGAGAGATAGACAAGAAGCAAACACTCATCAGCATACCGCTGATAGTGACCTGACCATCACCAAACTTGATACCATCCAAGTAGATGACACTCAGACTGTAAGCGCTAATCAAGCAGTTCAAAGCAAGAATCTTGTACATCTGGATGGTTGCAACAAGAGTGCAGCGACCCTGGCGGAGAATGTTCGGAATAGCAATGACATTGGCCAGCTTGCTGGTGAAGGGAGCGGCGACAGAAGCATCACCCAACTTGATGGTGGGAGGCTCGCTATCATCCAGCTCCTGCTCCATCATGGAAGAGGTCAGCTTGTCTGCAAGACCAGCCGCGGCGACCTGGGCCTGCTGTTGTCTCTGTTGCTGGGAGTTCGCGTTCTGTTGCTGCAGAGCCTGAGCACCGGGAGATGTGATAGTCGGGATAGGTTCGGCACCGGCAGTGATTGTCGCACCCTTGCGCTGGAGCTCGCGTTCCATGGCTTTCTCGTAGTGAGGGTTGCTGGGGCCAGGAGGATACAGGTGGGCGATCTGAGCTGGAACAGGGGGGTTTGGCTGGTTGAAACGTTGCATCATAGAAACTTGCTTCTCGTACAGCTCCTTCATCTTGGTGGTGCGGTAGTGTTCGGCGATCTTGGTGAGGTCTTCCTGCGAGCCGTTCAGAAGTGCAACACCAACGTGGGCTTGCTTGAGAGCGCCAACATCGTTGGTGCCGTCACCGCACATCAGAGTGGTGTAACCAGCATCCTTGAGGCCGAGAAGAATTTCTTCCTTTTGCTTGGGGGAAACACGAGCGTAGACCCAAGTGTGGCGCAGGAGGTCAGGAAGCGCTTTCTGTCCCTTGAACTTGGCCAGGGCATATCCAGTGATACAAATATCCTTGTTGTTCAGAATCTCCGGGTCGAGAGGCTTAGTGGGGTCAACCTCAATATTGAGCTTGTCATCAGTGGTACGCCAGACAATCTTGGTACCAGAGTTGTCATGCTCTGGGGCATCAAGGATCAAAACCTCGCGGTCCACAATTTCAACCTTGCGAGCGACGTGCACAGCAGTCAGTGGGTTGTCACCAGTGATCATGACAACACGGTGGCTGCTTTCGTTGAGCATACGGACAGACTTGATCGCGTCATCCTTCAGAGGGCACTGAAGGACAAGGAAACCAGCAAAGATAAGCTCAGACTCGATCTCTTCGCGAACATAGTTGTTCACGCGGCTCTGAGAGAGCTCGGTTTCGGTAGAAAGATGCTTGTAGGCGAGGGCAAGAACACGAGCACCGTTACGAGTGAAGTGCTTGAAGGTCTCTTCGTAGTTGGGAGGAGCATCGACCAGCATAGTGCGGATTGTTTCGGGGGCTCCCTTGACACCGACAAATGTAGACTTGGTCTTTTTGGAGGTCTTGCGGTCATTGGAGGTGACTGTAGCAATAGTACTCTGGCGCTTCAAGGCCGAAGAGAATGGGAATCTGCGCTTAATTTGCACGTTCTCAACATTGCGACCAGAAATGACGGGCGAGTTACCCTTGGAGGAGAGAACATCGTTCTTTCCAAGAGTCCAGCCAAGCCATTCCAAAGTAGCCTTTTCCATGGGGTCTCCAACAACTTCACCCTCATCGAGCTTAACCATAGCATGAGCACTGGCAAGAACGAGAGTGGTGTTAGCTCCGGCGGCGGATGGCTGAGCCAATTCAGTGTGGGCACCATCAGCCTCAACCTTGGAGCCAGCTTCACCCAGAGTAAGTCCAGCGATACCATCAACGACCAAGTCCTCGCCGGTCAAAGTACCAGTCTTGTCAAAGCAAGCCACATCGACACGGCCAGCGAAGGGAATACGGAAAGGTTCGGTGCAGAAAATGGCGAACTTGCTCAGAGCTGCAAGACTGGTGTTGACAGCCAGACTTAGCTCCATGGGCAGTTCAGGAGGCACGACACTTGTGATAATGAGGACACAGTCCAGCAAAAGCTTGGAGCGCTTGCGGTTCTGCACCACTCCCTCCTGCCAGACGTACCAGGAAGCGGCAATTGCGAAAATCAGAAGGAACAGAATGAATAGCAAAGCCTCCACGTTGTTGGCAGAGACACGCTCGGTAGAGTAGATCATGGTTCGGACAAGGCTACCTTGACTAGTTTCGAAACCAGTCTTGACAACCACACCCAAAGCACCGTTGTCTGGTGCCAGGGTAACGGTGCTAGCCAGGTTCTTCAGGGTAGAATCGCCGTTAGAGTTGGGATGAGTGATCTGGAGAACCTTGGTACCTCCATGCACGAAAGAGAGCTTATCGAGTCCCTCGGGTTCAATCAAATCATCACCAGGGCGGAGTTGAACGGAGTCCTTCAAGAGAGGTGTGCTCTCACCAGAAAGCATAGCCTCGTTGACGATCGCACTGCCCTCAACCAAAAGAATATCGCAAGCAACACCACTATCCTCCTTGGTACGGTTCACTGACATAAGATCACCGGGAAGAAGCTTGTCACTGGTAATTTCCTGCCATTTGCGCTCCCGGTAAACCCAAACGTCGTAAGGCTTGATGCTCATTCCACGGAACTCAACCAGAGTTCTCTGGCGCTGCCAAACAACTGTACTCTCGAAAGCAACAAGCATGAAGAGCGTGAAGAGAGAGTAGTACCAGTATTCATCGAGCATCCACAGCCCAACACAGAAGATCTGGAAAACGAAGAAAGGTGCGACTGCGTGCTCTTGGAAAAGCTCGATGAATCCAGGGACGGGAATATCGAAAGTGTTGTCGCCATAGTGGTGCTGGACACGGTCAATATCGGCCTTAGTGGTGAAACCCTCGGTCAGCTGGAAAGTCTTGAGGGCCGGCTTGGGCTCGGCGTCGAGGGCGTAGGACAAGGGCGCGAAGGTGCGAGTTTCGGGGTAGAACAGGAAGCGACGCTTCTGGAAGAGGAACGACAGAGTCTTCTTAGGACCGGCGTTCTCGTTCAGAAGGGTGCAGATCTCGGCGGAGCCGGCATTGGTGATAGGAACCACTTTGATGAGCTTCGCGGTGTCAATGGACTTGGCCCGGGTGGTGGTGAATAGGGTGTTAATGTCAATGTTCCATTTGGTCATCAACCAGAAGAGCGACTGGAAGGTGATGATAGACCCCGCCCAGACGAAGGTCCATTCCTGTCCCTGGATGTATGTATCATAACGCTCGGGGGAGAGGTAGAAGGCGAAGAAAGCAGGCCAGATGATCAGGAAAGGCCAGACGTAGGTATGCAATTGCCAAGGGAGTGGGTTATGCAACGAGGCATGTTGAATCTGGTGGTCGTCGACGAGTTTTGCCCTGTATCTCATGTTAGCTGCAGCAAATAAATGGGGTAGCTTTTGAAACGCACATGATGGCAATCCGGTGACCACGGTCAGGATCAGGCAGGAACAAACTTATAGACTCATAGAAATACAACTAATGAGTCCTATCAAGGAAATGCCCAGATGCGAAGAAGAAGCCACCTTGAGATACGGGGTTTCCAGAGGGTTCGCCGCTCAACGCGCCATTATGTCAGCGCTAAAGATCTGGGGCCCAAGCTTCTGGCTTATGTAGCACTATTCTGCCGCTCCCTCTAACAGCCTCTTGCCGGGCTAGCTCAATCGGTAGAGCGTAAGACTCTTAATCTTAAGGCTGCGGGTTCGACCCCCGCGTTCGGCTCTTCCTAAAATACCAACATGGTCTTTAAGATTATCTTTTTGCTTTTCATCCAATTGCATGAAACCTTCAGCATTCCCTTTTTTTGTGGAATTGACATGTTCAATTCAACGAGTAAAGGAATCCCTAGATGAGTGATTATAGCTAAAGGGGTTTGCAATCTTAGGATCAAATCCTATTTGAACTTGGAATGACAGTTCATCTGACTTGGCAACATCAAAGATATATTTCCATGCGTGTCCGTCGGGTAAGTATGTGCCTAGGTATGCTGGAATCACTGCCATGGTGGCCAAACAATATCAGAAACTTGCTCAATACCTACATAGGTACTAGGTATTCTTTCAAGGTCATTCCTGGCCTTTCTCCTGTGCCAAGTTCTTGACCATCTCAGTAAGCACCCTGACCTGCTCCTTCAGCTCACGGATCTCGTATGTACAACTGTCAACCTTGATATCCGGAGTAGATTCGGCGACCTGCTCCTTCCAAGTATCATCGAGATCGAAGTCAACATCGTGGGCCACATGTTCCCACTCCTGGGCACAGTCATCGTCATCTTCGCCATGGCGGCGGTTCCAGCGAATTCGGTGGGCTTCGTGCGTCTCGATCCATGACGTGAAGAACAGAAGAGGAGAGTAGATGATGGCCATCACGAAGTCGTTCAACTTGGCGTATGCCTCTCGCGAAAGCCACCATTCAAACGGAGCTACCAAGCACAAAATCTCAACAAGATTGAAAGCTAATATGAATTTCGTTAGCGATATCCTCATTGACCAGGCCAATGTTATACGCACGTGGAATGAAGACATTCTCATCTGGAGCGCGAACGAACTGCATGGTCTTCTGTGCAAAAATTGCCATAAACTCATCGGTAGCATTGCCAGAAATATCCTCATATGCACTGTTATACAAGGCAATGAGAATGTTCAAGAGAACTGACCAAGATTAGTATCACCATCGCAACCTTGGAACCCGAAGGAGCACTTACCGGTCATGACAATGAAGTTGAAAACGTAATAGAGGATGATACCAAAGGGGAAAGCAAATTCCTGGAACGTGTCAAAATCAGGACTTTGCATGATGCTGTTGATCATGCCCTGGAGAATGTTTCTTTGGATGGGTACATCCGCATCCACCTGGGCCATGCCAATGAAGGCCTGGAAGAAACCAGCCATCACAACAAATAGAAGCGCAAAGAAGATCAGGCTCTCCTTCATCATAACACGAAGCACAACAAACATGGCACCGAAAAAGCGGAATGAGTCAAGATAAAGCATCATGCGTATCCAGAACATAGGACCCGCAAAAGCCAAGAAGTTGTAACTGAGCTCGTTGTACAGCCGCCTTTGCTCATCCTGTGTCGACGATGAATGCGCGAGAGCAACAAACCGCAAGACCAACGAGACGACGAGAATGGTGTACAATGTGGAATTGAAGGCGTTCCAGAACTCGAGATAGTTCCACCCAACTTTCCAGAACTTGATCACCTCATCACAGATGAAAGCAAGAGTCATGCCGTAGAGAATACCTTCGACCACATCCAAATCTCCAGTCGGATTCACGGTATTGATCACAGCAGTGTAAACTGCGAGATAGATCAATGAGAACATGATCTGGCAAGTATTCTGATAGAGCGGAGTCCTCATTCTATCGGGATGGAAATGGGACCAGTAGCTGGTATTGGATTTGCCATCGTAATCGACAAAGTTGGTCGGATTGCCCTCTTCTTGACATATCCAACCTCTCCATAGATAGTCAATGCATTTCTGGTACCCAGCGGAGCTGATGATCCTCAGAGCATGGAGATCAACCGAGCGCTCAATAACGTTGGCTGGATCAGTTTCAACACCCTCACTGTAGATAGAGTATCGCTTGAGCAAGATGTCTCGAAGCAGATAGTCCAGATCCTGCTCGGTTTCAATGCTGTAAAGCAATGTCAGTGAAAATCCGTCAAAGGGAGTATTGATTGCATCGGAGTTTCGAGGGGCCATACATGCGCTTGGCAATAACCTCGCAAGCCACAGCCCGAAGGTCATGGAGGTCAGCATCCCAGAGTTCAATACTGGACTGCAGCTTGAACCATCGCAGACAGACAAGAAGGCAATAAACAACACAGGCCTTGTAGTCTTCTCCGCCAGCTTGTCTGGCAGTTGCAATCACATCGTCCGTGATGATGCGGCTGTTAGGGTCGGTCAAAACCGCCTCTTCCACCTCGCAAGACACTACCAGCTCGATCTGATACTTCAGACGGAGAGCGACCTTGGCAATTTCCTTCGACGCTGCAGAGGCCTGAGATTGTTCACCACTATAGGCTGGGAGGACTGTATGCACTATTAGCGGGTACACGGCCGTTTGGTTTGGAATGACGTACGCCGACGACGTTCCACCTCGACACGATGCCGAGCCCTGCCACGATCGGACCGAAACAAATCTCTCCAATGACCCATGTTGTACAAATACTAGAGAGATGGCGGAGGGAAGAAAGACCAAGGGGCTCACCGATCTTGAGGGGAAGAGATCGGCAGAGGATAAGCTCTAGCTCCCCGCCATTTAGATGCATTCGGAGAACCGATCGATACGGGCATCCAAATCTTCATCTATTACCCATGATTTCCTACATGATCGAATATGAATAAGAAGATTTGGCATCTAAAAGCATCACTGGCATTGAACGTCTCGGTTGCATCACAAACATATGTACATCAGAACTTGCATCCCCGTGCGGACCATTCCGGGCACGAGGATTTCGACCGCAGTTGGCATGTAGCGCTTGGGCGTGGATGGTTCACGGACCCGAGGCGCAGGCGACTGCCCTTAAGGGCGAGTGAGTTCTGACCGCAATCCTGCCCATCAGCACACTGAGCCCATCGAGCCCATATCCCAGAATGTGCAAGCTATTTTTTCTATCCATTTTTGCCCAACTCTTCTCTGGCGGTGATTCCGGCTTTGGATGCCAGCGATGGGAACGCTGGATGCCCCGCGACTCGGAGTGTTATAAACCCGTTTATTCGTCATCGCTCTCGGAGTCCCCGTCTCCGCTGACCTGCTGGTTCTCGCGCTCGCGCTTCTCCATGAGCTCCTGCAGGATCGCATCATCTTGCTCGGTGACGGCCTTGGGTGCCATCTTCACGGTGCAGTTACCGCCGTTCTTCTGGATGCGCTCTGTGATTCTCTCGATAGCCTCCTCGAGTCCCTTGACACCAGCGGTCTTGTCCAGACATTGGCTGGCCAGAACGTAGAGAGGGGGAGCGACGAGCTTGACCTTGATCTGGTTGTCGTCGGTGTTCTTCTCCTCGGCGGTGCGGAGAGCGTCCTTGACGGCGTCGATTCCATCGTAGCCGAAGCAAGTAACCTCGATATCGGCACGGACCTTGGTGGGGTGGGGGGTGAGCTTGCTGCCGATGTACTGCTGGATCTCGCTCTTCACGGCGTCGCTGGTGAATGTGATCTCATCCCAGACGGAGGGGTTACTAGAGTAACGTTAGTTAAGCCAAGCTTCCACACCAGACAAAAAGAGGAGAGCCCTACGTGATGGAGATCTTGAAGGCATCGTGTGCGTGGCCGTATTTTTGGTTCAAGGGCCATCCGATGGTCTCGTAGAGGGTCTCGAGGGGGGTTTGGGTGGCCTCTGCGACATGGCGCATGATGGAGTGGACGGCCTTGCTCTTGTTGTAACGCTCCTCGCACTTGATAACATCTTCGGGGGAGACACGACGCTTGGAAAGATCAATGTAACCTGCAGGTTGGCGAGTTAGCCCAGGGTTCTCTCCGTGCAAATGGTGTAACCTTGCCTTTCTCCTTGTCGACACGGAGCACAATAACAACCTCGTTGCGTCCGATACGGATGAGCTTTTGGATACTGCGAATACGTCTGCGAGAGAGTTCTGAGAGGAGAATCATGCCGTCGATGTTGTCGTACTCGAGCAGCTTCACGTATGCGCCCATCTCGGCGATCTAAGCCATTCAGAAGTCAGCCCAATCCCACTCATTTTGACTTCTGGAAATCTCGAGACGAATCATACCTGCTTGACATTGACCATGACGAAGCTGTCCACCTCCGGGTACTTCTCCTCATAGAACCGACAGTTTGTTAGAGACATGTTGGCGGGGTTCTTTTTTTTTCTTGGAGAGATGGTATGGAGAAGGAAGGATATTGCACACGGTCCAGACGATGAGGACGGTGGTAGAGAGAGAACGACTGAAGGAGATAACCGAGCGACGGAAATCGGAGGCGATATGCGACTTGAATAGAGCGATCTATCTCTTTGTGGCGGAGGAGTCAAAACCCACACTTGAGGAAGCGCAGATCACATGACCTTGATATCACATGACACCAGCCACACCGCCTTCCAAAGCTCCCAGCAACAACTTGACCAAGGTCTGCCAAGCAGAGTAGACTGACTCGTAGTATATCTCTTACTCAATAGCTTTCAATCGTACGAATCAAAAGAGTTCCCTATATATTATGCTGACAATGCTTTACCATCGACCTGCCTATTGCATAAACGGGGATCTGCGTTGGCCTCTGATAACGCCCATGTTCCCCGCTTATCAGTCCTCTAGGCCCTTACGTAGCCAATTAGTTCCTGCGGCATCTGCAATCCCAATTGCGTCCAACATTTTCCTCTCTAATTTCTGATCTCTATTATTTTTCTGTGCAAGCATATATGGCAGGCCACTTGCCACTCGTGTTGTTTCTTTAGCACTTTAATTTACCAGCCCTTATCCTTGAACGATGTCTGAGACAAGCTCATTACGTCCTGGGGAGTCCGACAGGCCTCGGAGTCTACGAGATCGCGTTGTCGACGCTTTTCGCTCTCAACCCCAAGCCGGCCTTGGAATCACGACAACCTCCGGCTCTGCCAGTCACTCGGAAAATACAGCAAACGCAACCGAGCCAGACGTCACGACGAGGCTCCTCAATTCGTACGATCACGTCCACCCTGCCTGCGGCGACAGGCGCTGCAGCCATGGCACGTTCTCCCCACGGGTGGAAGATCCCGGAAGGCAGGGCTACATCGGACAGTTTGACGGGCTTGGAAACAACAGACACGGAGCGCCAGCGGGTGTGAGCGGTCTTCCGAGAGGCATAGACGATCACCCAGAGTCAAGTGCGGAATCAGAGACGTTTTCGCAACTCAAATCCTCGTCTATCCTTTCGGTGAACGATACAAGGAAGCAGTATGTCTGGTCGTATACGAATCGCCGTCAATACCTAGGTAGCGTGCAACCAGTGGTGACAGATGACTGACCAATTGATCCAGATATATATCCTATTACATTCCTCTTTTCAATTGGGTAGGCCAATATCGCTGGTCATTACTGCGTGGCGACTTCATGGCTGCATTGACAGTGGCCTCCATATACATCCCAATGGCCCTTTCACTGGCCTCAAACCTTGCTCATGCCCCTCCAATCAGCGGGCTATACTCATTCGTGATCCATCCCTTGATATATGCAATTCTGGGAAGCTGTCCACTCCTGGTGGTTGGTCCAGAGGCTGCAGGTTCCCTGCTCACAGGTGCCATTGTGAAAGCAAGTGTCATGCAAGGAAACTCCGGCGAAGACGACCTCGCAGAAACAGCTTTGGTTGTAGGAGTTGCAACCGCGATGTCGGGTAGTATGATCCTTATCGCTGGGCTGACTCGGCTGGGCTTCTTGGACAATGTTCTGAGCCGACCCTTTTTGCGAGGATTCATCACTGCCATCGGTTTTGTGATCTTTGTAGATCAATTGATCCCGGAATTGGGTCTTGCCGAGCTAGCCAAAGGTACTGGCGTCAGTCACGGAACCAGCGTTTCGAAACTGATATTCATCTTCCGAAACGCTGGTCAGTGCCATGCACTTACTGCCACAGTTTCAATTGTTAGCTTCACCGTAATCATGGTCTTCAGGTATGTACGCCTCCGAGTACTCAATTGCGTTTGCTAACCATCCACAGGACATTGAAAAAGATGCTTGTACCACGCATCCCCCAAGTGATTTATTTCCCAGATCGCTTTTTGGTCGTCGCTCTGTCAGCGGTTTTGGCTTGGCACTTTGACTGGGAATCCAAGGGACTCGAAATTCTCGGATCTACCGAGGTCGCCGCTGGGGGGCTCTTCTCATTCAACTGGCCCTTCCAATTCGCGCACATGAAGCATGTGCGAACGGCAATGAGCAAAGCCTTCATCATCGCCCTGCTTGGCTTCTTCGAGTCCTCCGTGGCAGCTAAAGGGCTGGGCGAGGGCAACTCTGACGGAATCAAGGGAATGCACATGAGTGCCAACCGTGAAATGGTTGCCCTGGGCGTTGCGAATGTCGTTGGCGGTTGCTTCTCCGCTCTCCCTGCATTTGGCGGCTACGGTCGAAGCAAACTCAGTTCCCAGACTGGAGCACGTTCGCCGATGACCAGCGTTTTCTTGAGTCTCATCACCTTCACCTGTGTCATGGTACTCTTGCCTTATCTTTATTACCTTCCGGTTCGTATCACCCCGGGGCTTTTCATTGACAGCCATACTGACCCTCTATAGAAAGCAGTTCTATGCTCTATGATCTCCGTGGTAGCCTACACTTTGGTAGAAGAATGTCCGCATGACCTACTCTTCTTCTTCCGACTTCGCGGTTGGACCGAGCTTGTTCTCATGGGACTCATTTTCACGACAACGATATTCTATTCATTGGAGCTCGGCATGGCAATGGGCATTGGGCTCTCAGTCATAATCCTCATCCGCCATGCAACACAGCCCCGTATTCAAATTCTCGGCAAAGTTTCCGGAACGGAAGCTCGCTTCGATAACGCAGAACTTCACGCCGAGAATGTCGAGCTGGTCGAGGGCGCCCTGATCGTCAAAATCCCCGAACCCCTGACCTTCGCGAACACCGGTGACCTGAAGAACCGTCTCCGTCGCCTCGAACTCTATGGCTCGAACCATGCGCACCCTTCGCTTCCGCGCATGCGTGCACCAGAGCATAACAAGAACATCATCTTTGATGTGCACGGTGTGACTAGTATCGACGGGTCTGGAACGCAGGTTCTCTCAGAGATTGTGCATGCATATGCAGAACAGAGGGTTCGGGTCTTCTTCTGCCGGTTGCCGAATCGTAACGTGTTCAGCATGTTTGAGCGAAGCGGCATTGTCGAAAAGTGTGGTGGTTTGACGCATTTCGTCCCTAGTGTCGATGAGGCGTTGCGGTTGGCGGGATCTGAGGATCAGACCCAGGAAATTTGATATCTGAAAAACGAGTGACGTTCGTGACACGAATATTTGTGAAAATATTGTATTTTGGTTCATATATATCTCATCAACGGTCTTGATATCTGTTCCTTGAAGAGATATTTGAATTCCTTTCTCGAATCAAGTAGTCCCGAGGTCGCATATAGCATAGCCAAGTACCTAGGCAAGTGCCGGCGCTGGAATTGAGCGTGGATGCCATCCGCTCACACACGAGCTAGACTCACTGCTCATCTGGAATATCATGAAACCAGTTCTTGTGTTGTTCCAGTCGTTGGAGGCTGGCCAGCGAATACAATCCATGCTTTGAGATGAACTTGATCCCTGAAACAGGACCCTGAGAGACATCTCGTGTGTTATCTCGCCCATTGGCGATTTGATCGTTCGCTCTTTCGTAGCAATGCGTATGGTATTGCCCACATTGATTGCAAATTAGAGCCAGGTCATGTTGTTGAGCGATCTCCGACCACTGCTCTGTTCACCACCAACCCCAGTAGTTTCATACCAGCCTCCAAGGCCGATTGTGTTTCGTCGTCATCTTTATCAGCCACAACTAGCTTCACACGACCCTCCCCACCAAGGACAAAAGGAGCACAAACAACTTTCGACAGTCGCACATGGTGTTTCGAATCATCTGACCCGTCCAATTCAAGCTTCATAGCAAGGTGCTCCTCCAGATATGCAGTCAGGTTGTCAATCAAAGGGCTGCGCAGCTTCTGCTCCAGACTTTGACCTCTGTTCGACGCCTTTGCACGAAGGAGATCACCCAGTGCCGTTCGTGATATATTCACATTTAGTGATCGCAAATCCGGTGCAATGGACGATGAAAATGAAAGTGTGAGATGGAGCTCCCTGATGGCATCGACGATCTTAGCACTTTGCAACGAGCCGATGTACGCCTGAAGCCCGGCACAGAGGAAATTTGAAGGCAGTCGGAGCGAGGAGATGTAAGTATCAAAGTTTGCAGACAAAAATGCGAGAAACGTTTGCCGCAGCACTGTTGGGAATCTCGTCAGGAGAAGAGGGAGCGCCGTAGAGCCCTTGCGGTCATTGGACGAGTCCGTAAGGAGTGCTGCTTTGTAGACAATATTTTCATACTCCAGTGTCACCAGAATGCCGGACAATGCGTTCTGGGATACCGATGCTTCGCGTGATGGAGAAATCGGCTGCCAGAGACAGTCTTTCAAAGCGCCTGTTTTTGAAAGCGCGTTTTCGTCTGCGCCAGTATCGGCTTGGACTCCGGAGAGAACGTCGCCTGTCAGATGGTCTCGAAGACGCGTTGCGTATGTCTTCAAAGCGACTTGGTTGTTGAGGAGAGTCTCACAATCTTTGCTGTGGTGGAGAGGTGAGAGGCGGTGGATGGTCCATGTTGTGTTGAACAACTGATATAGGTCTGTTTGCTCCATTGTGAGCCAAAGTTGGGATCTCTCAGACTTGTTTCTTTTGCCAATGGACTATAGCAGAAGCTTGTCGGGTTGATACTCGGTATACATGCGACGCGTGAGAGTTGCAAACGAAACAAACAGCCGCTCTAAGCTCTCAAGAATGGAGTGGGGCGAGACTTTTGGCCTATATATACTCCGTCTATCAACAAGTTATTTTGTCGGACTCAATCAAAGAGAATCTTCAGAAGAATATTATGTTCAATTGAAAATGCGTTGCTAAATTCCGCAAATAACTCCTGTATCGTGTATTATCAAGTCAGAACCACCACCCTGGGGCGTGGCAACACCCAACGCCAACATAACGCCTAGCTATGAATCATAATCAAGCCTGCCAACCTCTAGTACGATGGCAGTGCGGACACCCAAATACAATAGGAATACCATTCCACACCCAGACGTGCTCCACATCGTGAGGAATAGCATTTCGAGCCCTCAACTCCGCCTCGGCAGCGGCAAACCAAATATCCTCCACAGAGCTATGCAGATTTTGTGCGGGGGCACGCGCAAAAACAACCGAGTTCATATGATCCTTTTGATACATCGTCATGTCGTTATAAAAGTTGTACATGAAGTCTTTGCGTTGTGTTCGCTGACTCCCTCCATCGCCAATCTCCGCAGAGAAGAACTCCACGATGCGCACGAATGGTGCCAATGTCAGTAGCGAGCTGATCCAAGAGTCATCGGTTTCCACCTGCACCTCGGAATTCATTGTGTATCGGATGTAAGAGACGAGTAGATGCATGCAGTGGTGTGTTGCTACCAGTGCCGCGGTATTGGTGAATGGGGGTTGCTGTAAGATGCGAGTCTGAAGTTCCCGGTACATTCGTTGACGAATCTCGAGTGGGAAGGGTACGGGCAGCTTTCCAGCCTCGTATTTTTGAACTAGCATGTTGGTGTGTTCGCGCCTGGCGGACGCGTACGATTCGAGAAAATAGAGGGTGTAGTACCTAGAGAAGTCAGTGGATCGTGCCAAGGAGAGCTTGTTTCGATGAGCATACATGAGCGGCGCAAGGTGGAACCATATGCTTGCGATACCTCGTTTGACGAGGGCATTGCGCTCGTTTCGTTTCGACGGAAACGAGGCTTTCATGACAGCGGGTTCGGTATGGATGAAGCGATCGAGGATGCGATCTGCAAGGTAATAGCAGAGTCGCGAGCAGAGCATCTGTCTCCGACGAAGGCCGTGCAAGTACTTGAAGGTATAAAGATGTCCGCCGCGGGCACTCTTGGAGGGCGGGAAGAGGTCCGACAAGAGCACGACATCGTCCGCCGGGTTGCGGGTGTAGATGCGATCATCGTCGATTGGAGAAGGGAGGGTACCGTGACGGCGTAGACGGAGATATTGGCGTACGATCTCGTGTTCATTGGAAGTGAGTAGCTGGTAGAACGCCTTGCAGACGAGTCTCAGCGGATGAAAATCGACGATACCGCAGTAGGCAAAAATGCGGATTTGAATCTCAACGGGAAGGTCCCAGGGAGACGGTGTAGAGGGTAGAACTGCATGTCTAATGCGTGGTCAGGATCGGATTGTGCCGTCTCGGGGCGAAGCTTACCTTTCCCGCTTGGCTTCCTTGCCTTTCTTGCGGATCGCGGCCCGGACTTTCTGGACTTGAAGGGCGAATTTGGCAAAGCCAGTCATCCTTGAGCCCTCACATTTGCGACCAGACCTTGACACCTTGATACTCCAGTCGAATCAAGTTCTCGAAGGGGCTTTTTTTTTTTTCGAAAGCAGGATTCCCCAGGGCTGTGTCGGCTTACGTCAGTTTCAGAGCTGACATAACGGGTGGGTCCGAGCTAAAATTGGAACTATACGAGTCACCTTGCTGAGAGGGGACGGCGAGGTTGATTTGTATCTGAATATGAATGATAGGCAGCTTGGGAGCCCTTGGGTAACAACAAGCGTGAGTGCCGGTGAGTCCCAATCACGGAAAGTGGGCTCTCAATGCCATCTTATCTTGGAGAATAGGTACCCACATGGAGATCGAGACTTGCTCGTACACAGACCAAGTACGCGATGTTGGAGATCAAGTTTCGCGCAAAGAGTGTAATTGATGTCCTTGGTGATACGCAGAGTGTCTGTCTCACCAAGTCCGGATGAGACGCATTACGTCATTCTTCATGCGTGAGGTCAATGGCGTGCGAATACATACCGAGTCGAGATCTTGAGCTTCTCCCCTCCTCAAACCGTCAAAGAACAACTTACCAATATGAACAACGTACTCATCCTAGGAGCCACTCGAGGCTTAGGAGCTTCACTGCGATCGCTTTACTCCACTAAGCCCGACACTCATGTCTTCGCAACGTCGCGATCATCGAAAGATCCTAGCCCAGGAGTGACCTGGCTGAATGGAATCGATATCTCTCAACCAGACGTGGGTCAAAAGCTTGTCTCCAAGCTTCCCTCTGCCAAGATTACAACCGCAATCATCAGTGCGGGCTACTTTGGCTTTGAAACATTCGATTCCCCCGACTGGGAGAAGCAGGTTCAAATGTACACAACATCCGCGATTGGTCCCGTCTTTGTGGTACACAGTCTGGTCAAGGCAGGGCTGCTGGACCAAGGTAGCAAAGTTATCCTGGTCAGCAGTGAAGGGGGCAGTATTACCTTGCGCCACGAGAAGGAAGGCGGGGGTAACTTCGGTCACCATGCGAGCAAGGCCGCTCTGAATATGGTCGGAAAGCTTCTGAGTCTGGACCTGAAGCCCAAGGGGATTGCAGTTGGATTGGTTCACCCAGGCTTCATGCGGACTGAAATGACGAAAAGTGTTGGCTTTGATAAGTACTGGGATGCGGGCGGAGGTAAGAAATTGTCGCGGAATGCGTGCTTGCATCGGAAAGAGTGCGGTGACTAGTGTTACTGACATTATGAAAATAGCTGTGACGCCGGATCAGGCTGCAGAAACGCTGGCTTCCTTCATTGATAAGTTTGATATTGAAAAGACCGGGGAATTCTGGGCACCGGCAGGACCAGGGTGAGAATAACCCCGTTGTACGAAAATTTATACTAACACCCTCTGACAGAGATATCGGTACGGCGGAAGACGTACTGGGGAAGAACCTATCCACTCCACTGCAGCTTCCATGGTAGGGGGCCTGGTGCAAGAGCAAGGCAGTCTACGAACAGCGTCGAGGAGTCACCATCTCATGGTGAATGAGCTGATACAATGGCTTTCGGAATTTGTGCATACTTCTACCAGTTGACCTCGGGAATTATCGAGGCTTTGCTAATACTTCTCACCGGCCCTGGGGGGCCGGGTGGTGCAATGAACCATGACCGACAATTGCTTTGGCGAGTAGCTTTGATATGAAAGTTGGTGTTATTCTATCGTTGTATTTCTTTAATCTAGCTTGCTACGCAAGTACAGAGTATATGACACCACTCAGGGTCTTGCACACATAAAGACCAAATCCCGCCCCAAATCCTCTCGCACTTCGCTTCCAACAACCTTAACACCCAGTAACTTCCCATAAAACTTCTGCAACCGCTCATCATCCGTGAGCAAGATAATGCGACGGAGATATGGCATATTCGCCTTTGAAAATACCTCCGCGACACAGGTAATAAGCCACTCCCCCAGCCCATGTCCCTGATACTCAGGCAGAACGTAAGTGTCGGAGACATAAGCGAAGGTTGCCCCGTCAGTGGCTACGCGACATAGTCCAATCTGCTCGGTTCGATCTGGCGTGATTGGTCCCCCAGGCTGGACTTTGTACACGCCAAAGCTCAAAGAGCCGTGGAGCATCTGCCAAAGAACTTGTTCTGGGAACGGCTTTTTGATCCAGTAAATGAATTCACTATCAAATGCTGCATTCACTGCTTGGACATCGAGGAGAGAGGGCTCTGTAGAGATGATGAATTCGGAGTCGGCTGTCCGTGTCCATGTCCGAGCGGGGAGCCCGCTTGTTGGCGGGGCAGACATGATCTGATCGGGGGATAAGGAATGTGAACAATTGATCGTTTTACCTGCGAGGAACCCGAAAAGAAAAGAAAAATCGCAGAAGTTTTGCAATGTGGTTGGAAGTTGTTTCTGAGACTTGAAGAGCTCCGGGACTCCAGGGCTGGTTAGCTGGTTGACTCAGACGCCAAGTGGTGGGCACCAGTTGACCTGGGCACCTTTGCAGCCCCAAAGCCGTGGATTACTGCTCAGAGTGGGAGCTGTCTCCATGTTAACTTAACCCATGAATCTTGGAATATGACTTGTAAAATCTCAATGAAATCATATTAAGTGAGCGTGAGTAAAGATTCGATTAATTCTTTCAAGAGTGACTGCCTTTTGTAGCCCAATTTCCATGAAGCCATCTAAGGCTTCGTCGTATATTGCTCATAGCTGACTGAAATCTCGTCAGTTCTCTCAATGCCAGCAGCGCCACGCAGGATGTTCTCATCACTAGAGTTCCTGGGACCATGTTTCATCACAGTCGTCTGGTAAGAGATATCATCCGGCTCGACAGAAGACTCGAGGTCAGATTTGCCGAACTTGCCCCACTTCCTGTTGTTGCCATACATAGGCATCTTGTAGGATGTATTGCCGGAGGAAGAACTGCTCTTGCCATCCTTGCCGTACTTGATGCGAACGTAGAGAGGGCGCAGAACGGGGATCGACGAGCACATTATGGTGACGCAGCTCTCGGTGGCTGACCAGATAAGCATTGGCACAGTGTCATCTTCTTTGGTTAGCCAGGACATAAACAAGAGAGGGAGGCTCTGGCTCACATATGTACTCTGAAGCGTTCAAGCCCGACAGGGCTTTGGTGCGGATGATTCCACAAATTCCGGCACTGGACAGGAGTTAAATGAAAGTGAACCACCAGTAAAGCACGATAAAACCTACAATATTCCAAGACTAAGACCACAAGCAACGGTGATCTTTTCCTTTTGCTTCATGTTGAGATCCCAAACCACAAACCAGGGCAGGATAGCAAAGGCGAAGTCGGCGGCGACGAACCATGCTGGTAAAATGTTAACATCCAAGACATCAAAAGAGGCTCTGTTATTACTTACATCCAACCGTGTAGCCAACTTTGGAAAAGTCAATCCAGCAATGACCTGGTGTACTGGGGTTCCAGGATTTCTCGACCGGAATGCACTGCACCACGACAGTGATGCTGGCGAAGAGCGTGATGATGGTAGTGATCGCGAGGCAACCCCAGATAATCCAGATCTGGATCTTGTTCCGTACAATCCGAAGCAAGAACACCCCAACAGCACTCTTTCCCACCCCAATGACCATGATCCCAGCAACTTGACTGAAAATCTCATATTTGAGTGCTGTGAAATATATGACCGGATCGCCGACATCAGCAAACAGTCGTCCCAGACCGTAGACGGTCCCTGCTGTAACGAAGGCAGTGTATGCTATGTGAAAAACCTTGAACTTGTCAGCCACATACACAATAGTCAAGAGAATAAGAGCATACTAGCGCGACCACAACCAGATAGTCGTCAAGCCCAATGGCACTTAATATGAACTTTCGTGTATAAAGCCTTAGCCCCACAAAGACGGCGAAGATAACAACCTCTACCCAGAGGACCGCGTTGGTCATGGGGCCAAGACCACCATAGTAGCCCATTTCAACGACTTTCACCAAGGCTTTAATATAATCAAATGCTTGTATCGGAGGAAAAGAGAGGGCTGCTCATCTCAATTGGAAATGTGCTTGTTGTGTATCTCTTGAATCATTATATGCTCACGACATTCAGATGCATCAACCCCGGACATCTTCTTGCCACTAGAATCAAAGGTACGACGGACTTGCAACCATTCAGGTCTATCAACCCTACCAATGATCCGAGAGAACGATAGGTCCTGCTCTTACGATGATCTTTGCCGGAAGACCCAGAGAGTTAAATTAAGGACTCATGCCAGACCGGTAGGAGGATCCCACGAGCTCCACCAAGGGCAGCATGTAATTTTCGTAGTTGAGACGTCTGATGGATGGTCGGTTGCACGCCACAGCCCACCTAATAATTTACACTAAGACGGGACAGTCATTGGCGTCCGAGAAGTGAAAAAAACCGAGGAAGTGAGATATTAGAGACATGAGACCTGTCATATAGAGTGGGTCGGGGACCGAACCATAATTTATGGCCACCGAGGAGCGTGTGGTCCATACACGAAGTACTTCATGCTTCGTACTTCTATTCTCGGGATTTGACAGATAACGGTTAGTGGAGCGCACAGGCGAAAAGTGACAGGTGGCTCCCGCTTCCCCGTCCTAGCCTCGTGGTGGCTGCAGCCGAAACACGGAGATCTTACCTCAATGTGGTTAAGTGAGTGGACATACCACTGGGATTCGATGTATCACAAATGGATTAGAGTTGACACAAGTCTAGAGCAGGGTCATGGTCGGACTTTACGTAGAGTCTAGCCTCCAAACAGGAAGGTTTAGTTTGACCCAACGTGGTAATTGAAAAGACTTGACTCTGGCTAAGGGGCAATGTAGGGGTCAGGGCTAAGGGTTGGATAAGTAATCCGTATACTAGTAACTTAAAAACGAGGCTGGCATTTATACGGCCGTTCGCTGCCGGTAGGTCTAATTAAGTCTCACAACAATCAAAATATCTTACGAGTCAACTTCTTACCCCTGCCTTGCGGAGCAATCGTGAAAGCCCAATATGATGTCTCTTGCAAGAACCATTACTTCATTCTATACAACTAGATTGAAAGGCGCAGACAGCCAACCAGAGCAGGCTGACAATCCTGTTCAATCTCAAACAAGACAGACCATTGCTTCACTCGATGCCGTTCAACCGGAAGATTTCGGTGGAGATGAAGTAGAGCGCCTCAAAGTACGAGCTGCAGCTCGTCGACTGCTCGCAAGAGTGGAGACGCCCTACGAACGAGCCTGGGGTTTCTGCTTTGAGCAGCCGGTGGTCTTTGCCGCTCTGCAGACATGCATTGACGTGGGACTCTGGAGATCGTGGACTAGTGTCGGAGGTGAGAAGTCTATTGATGACCTGGTCAAGTTGACAAGTCCAACCGTCGACGCAAATCTCTTGCGTAAGTCTGCTCTTTGTGATCACGACCCGGTGCTAACGAGACCATAGGCCGCTTGTTCCGGCTGCTAGCGGCATTCAATGTGGTTGAGGAAACATCCGAAGACAGATTCAAGCCCACTCCATTCTCGCTTGCCATCGGTGATGAGAGCACCAAGGTCCGAGCTTCACTCCAAGCAGCGTAAGAAGACCCTTTCAGGCATCTGAAACTCAAACTAACCTTTCTCTCTTTAGCACAAACCAGTACATCGCAACAAGCAAAAGCCTGCCCACGTATCTTGCAAGCCTATCGTACCACGAACCGACAGATCCCATTACAAACAACCACTCAGCAGCAGATCCCGATGGCTTGAATTTCTTCGCCCGATTGCAGAAGAGTCCCGCCTACTTTGAAGCATTCACAGGTCACATGGAGGCATGGACAGCATGGAAGACACCCTGGACTAAGGTTGTCGACACTACTCAGCTGCTTGCAGGAGCCAAGCTTGATGACGGTTTGCCCTTTGTAGTCGATATCGGCGGTAACACCGGTACTGATATTTCCCACGTCCTCGCCAAGCACCCACACATTCCTAGTGGATCATTGGTGCTGCAGGATCTCCCTGAAATTATTTCTGTCGCGCAAGTTGACAAGAAGATCACTGCGATGGCTCATGATTTCTTTTTGCCACAACCGGTTAAAGGTGAGTTGTCTCAAGTCTTACCAGCTGCATAGTATTGACAGTTTACAGGGAGTCGTGCTTATTTCATGCATGCTGTTCTTCACGATTGGCCCGATGACAAGGCGAATCAATTGTTGGTGAACACTCGAAATGCTATGACAAAAGGTTACTCGAAGCTGTTTGTCTATGATATTGTTCTGCCCTCTACAGGTGCCAGTATCAGTCAAACAACCATGGATGTGCAGATGATGTCTTTGCTATCGGCATCTGAGCGGACCCAAGCACACTGGAGTAAGCTGCTGAGCAACGCTGGATTAAAGATTGTCAAGTTTTGGCCTGATCCTCAGCAGTATGAAATGATCATCGAGGCTGAAATCGCGTAATTTTTGGTTTGCAGGGTGGCTTTATCGTTTTTTGTATCCTAAGCAGGTTTGATTATTCCAGTATTTTCTTATGTTCTCTTTCATATAGTATGATCTCACTTGCAGGTGCTTATTTCCCTTTTTTACTATAACGATCTCGTATAGACCACAGACCCAGAAGGACTTTGTCCACACTGGCCCCGGTGGAAAATTGCTGGCTTGAGGATTTCATCCCCTCGGGCTTCCTGTGAGTATTATGAGACTTTACCTCTGAATACCTAGAATAAATGGTAAGGTTTCTAGGACATAAATGGGAACGAGAAGAAAAATAGAGCCCTGGAGAGCCGATCATCTTACGCAATGATGTCTATCGTGGCACCGGGGCCGTGAGCTCTGTTCTTTGTGGCATAGAAATAAATCCATAGAAAATCGATGAATTCTGCCCTCTTTTCACTCATAAAATCTTTCCAAACTGCTTTTCGTTGGATCTGCGAGATGTCCCCCGTTTCTTCGTTGTCGATGTTGTGTTGTTGTGCCCTCGGCTTTGGCAACAGTGCTAACTTCTGATTCCTTCTATTGGCACAGGAGATTTCACGCATCACATGAGTCGCCCAGATCATTCGGGCCGTGTGTGTCGTCGCAATTTCTTTGCCCGAAAGATAGAATCCGTTCGTTTTATTTGCACTTGCTTTGGCATGTCAGAATAGGCTTTAAAATGATGACTTTGACAACGGGAGAGGTACCAGCATTCTAGTTACGAGATTGGGACCTGCGTTTCGTGAAACTGGTAGAAATCTGATAAGTTGAGAAATCTGATAAGTTGAAGGTCTCAAATATGCGGAATTTGCAGGGTTCAGCGAGCATGCATGCTCAGCATGATACCCGAAGCGCTCGTGGAATCTGCAATAGATGCGACAACGAGGATCAGGAGAAGCAGTGGTATGGATGTTGCGAGTGAGATCGGCAGCGAGACGGCGATTAGAGCTGGGGAGCAAGTGTGTTCGCATTTCGAGGCGATGATTTTCGGTGACGATAAAGTGATTGTATGTCGCTTCGAGCAGGGCATCAGAGAGATCATCGATCCCGCAACGCAGGCTAGAAAGCCATGTATGTGTGTCCGTATCCGTCCCCATAGCCAGTAGAAATTGGTAAAGAACGAGGGCTCCAGGTATTTCAGAATTTGATACCAGTTGGAGCCTGCGAAATTTGTTCGGAACTCATCGAAGAAGGTCTCGGGGCCGCTAATTGCGAGTATCTGATTGAGTCCCATATGGTGTATTGGGCATAGCAAAAATTGAGATGCACAAGCCCGACCATCTTCAATTCTTGAAGAGTAGTGGTCAGTCACTATCATGAATAATATCGCGGTCAGCCGGATATACCGTTGGCGGGAGTCACTGATTGGAACGAGGGCAGGTTGATGGAGGTGCTTGCACTGATTCAGAGGGAGTTGACGGAGTGAAGTGGAAGCTGGTGAGTAGTGGTTAGTCTTTGGTCTATAGTCTGTAGTCTTTTGGATTTCTTTCTCTTCCTCTCTCTCTTTAGGCCTATGTCCCACCTCGCTTCTCTTTCACTTCTCTCTCTCTCTCTCTCTCTCTCTCCTTGAAGTATGTTACCCCTTATTTGATCGTCTCTTTCCGCATAACTCTGAGCCTTAAATTAAGTCAATTATTCACTTATATAAAGCCAAATAGCGAGAAGGTTGGATAACTCAAGATGGGAACCAAGAGCCACCTGGGGTCATATAATCATAAAAGTGAGATAGAGAAGGGGGTATATCACAGAAATAATAATCACGATAATTAGGCAGTAGGTAGCTTGCTCTAACTATTACAATTCAACTGGCCTCGAGACATCTGAGAGACGTACATCGATGAACTTTGATTGATGCCAAGAGAAATGTACGTCCAGATGTATGAATGGAAAGTTAGTACCATCTTGTGTTATCTCTTCGATGCGAAATCCCTCCATTCTTCCAAATGAGTGCGTATTGTGGCATCTTGAGCCTAATATATTCACAGCAGGAATGATCATAAGTAACCGAGAGCCGAATTGGACATCGAAAAACACACCATGATGTTAAAGAATAGGCGAAATTGGTCGTTCTCATTGGCTTAACGCATGTTGAAGTGCCTGTCTGGAAAAATAGCCGAGGAATGCTTCTCAGCGCGTATTCTTCCTTAAGTCACAAAAAGAGGATCTGTATAGCTATATCTGTAGATATGGGTATTATTATCAGTTCATAGATAGTTACTCAGGTAAGTTTTCCGATTGGCAAGCTGCCTGGGGTACGAGGAGCACCCTACACCAGGGTGGTGAGCCTCGGCAGTTGCGCCTAGGCTCCATTAAACCCCAAAATGGAGATGTACCGGCCGAGACAGCGAGCGAATGGGAAAGGATTATTATCAAGAACCTACCCCGATGGCGTGGGGAGTGGAGTGGATGTTGACAACCCGCACGTCATCACGGACCGCGATGATGTGAGTCGCATCAAATCAACGACAGACCAACCGCAAGATCTCACATTAAAGATACGATCGATTTTGATAATCACATTGAATAGTGAGGGGCAGGATCAAAATTGGAAATTGACGTTTGAATTGTTCAGCATGGCGTGCAAACCTTCATATCTATATGAAATCCCCTGGTGCACAAACCTGAGGTATTCCATCCAGGAACTCGAAATTCCATAACAAATTGACCAAATATGGCTCTCGTCGATTCCCAGTTGCCGTCGCATATCAAACATGTCGAAGTTAAAGGCCCCTCAGACTCGAAGCCAACCACGATCTTAGAGAGTGAGATCAATGGATCTGCCTCAGACAAGGCAGACATCCAATTTGAGTTGGAAGAACATCCAGTCGATCAGGTGCGACCCATCAAAGTGGGTGTCATCGGCGCGGGGCTCACAGGTATCACTGCGGGTGTAATGTTGCCCGCCAAACTGCCGGGACTTGATCTTCGAATCTATGAAAAGAACGCCGACGTGGGAGGAACTTGGTGCGTAGGACTCAACCCAGTTTCAAGAAACATACTCTAATTGACATGCAGGTTTGAGAATACCTACCCCGGCGTTCGTTGCGATATCCCCGCGCATGTATATCAGTCAGGAATCTCGCCAAATACACAGTGGACCGAAGAGTTTGCTCAAGGTGCAGAGATCAGAGACTACTGGCAGGGTGTCGCAAAGAAGCATAACGTCTACCAGTACCTCCGCGCGGGACAAAAGGTACAAAAGGCCGAGTGGCACCCCGAGAAGGGCAAGTGGAAGGTTACGATCGAGCATGTGGACGGATCAAAGGTGAGTGATAGTGATTTTGTAGTGTGCATCAAACTAACAGCGTGAATTAGATCTACGAGGAGGAGCTGGACGTGATAATCAACGCCATTGGCCATTTCAATGAATGGAAACTGCCCGACTACGAAGGCATCAAGGACTACAAGGGAACATTGTTCCATTCCTCCAACTGGGATCATAATCTTGATCTGAAAGGGAAAAGAGTGGCTCTCATCGGAAACGGCGCATCTGGCCTCCAAGTCCTTCCATCAATTCAACCGTTGGCAAGTCACGTCGACCATTACGCCCGGAATCCAACCTGGATCGCGGATTCCTTCAGCAGCGGAAATGTGGGCGTCCGTCGCCTGGAGCCAAATGTGATACCCGAGGAGCAGCGCGAATCATTCAAAGACCCGGAGGTCTACCTGAAATACCGAAGAGAGATCGAAAGAGGCTACTTCGAGCGATTCGGAGCAATTTTCAAAGATACACCGGAGAACCAGGCTCTTCGCGAGAAGTGGACCAATCTGATGCTGAATCGAATCAAAGACAAGCCCGAGCTGGGCGAGAAGATCCTCCCAGATTTCCCACCCAACTGCCGTCGCCCAACGCCAGGTCCCGGATACCTCGAAGCCCTGTCCCAGGACAACGTCGACTACATCCAAACGCGAATCAAGCGCTTTACCGAGACTGGAATAGTGACGGAAGACGGCATCGAGCGCCAAGCCGATATCACAATCTGCTCCACCGGAGCAAACGTAGACCACGCACCCCCCTTCTCAATCATCGCCAACGGAATCGATCTCAAGACCGCCTGGAAGCGAGACGGCCATTTTGGCTTCCCATACTCTTACCTCGGCTTTGCAACTCCCGGCTTCCCCAATCTCCTCTGGCTAGGCGGGCCCTATGCATCCGGTCACAGCGGCACGGTTCCAAACAGCGTCGAGAATGTCGTCACATACATAGCCAAAGTGCTTCGAAAGATCCGCAGCCAAGGAATCAAATCCATTGAGCCGGCCAAGCAGGCCGCTGATGATTTCGTTGCGTACTGCGACCAGTTCTATCCTCGCACCGTGTGGTCGGCCAATTGCAGCTCCTGGTATAATGGTGGTCAGCCTGGTGCAAGGATCCATGGTCTTTTCCCTGGAAGTGCTGCTCATGCGAACTACATCCGCCGGGATCCTCGCTGGGAAGATTGGGAATATACTTATGTGAATCCCAGTGGGAATCGATTCGCCTACTTTGGTAACGGATGGACCACTAGAGAATTAACACCCGGGGCGGAGCTGACTCCGCATTTGAGATTACCAGAAGATGTGGACTTGAAGTCTTACATGGAGGGGTGGTGGGATGTTTGATAGATTAATGACTCGACATGAGCCCTCTTTAGAGAGCGATCGGTTAGAAAGATCGCAATTTCATGAACACTTAGAATGCTGGGTATAAGAGACGAATTTTTGTTATTTTATTAAATGAGTACAGACGGACCACATAGCTAGGTAGCATATTTCATATGTTCGTTCTCAAGAGTTAACTGCAGACAGACAAAGGAGGACCCTGGTCCAAATGGACAGGAGATCAAGCTCATTGCTTGGTGGTATCCTCGACCATAACTGTCTCCACTTCTTTTTCATTAACCGCAATCGGCGTCGCGTCTCCAAACAGAACATCCATCTGCTCGAGTGTCTTGCCCCGAGTCTCAGGGAAGAAGAAAATGTAAGACAACATAGCAACGATGTTGAACGCGAAGAAAACATAGAAGTAGCGGAACCCAATAGAGGACAGCGCATTAGGCGAGAACTGGGCGAAAACAAGATTGAAAGTCCAGTTGGTGAAGGTGGTGATCGAGTTACCCTGGTTTCGAATATCCACCGGGAAAATCTCAGCAGGATACACCCACGAGATGATTCCGACAAAAGTGTAGAAGAAACTGAAAACAAAGTTCATGGCCACCATAGCCCGAAGCTGGTCGGCATTCCCCTTGTCCCAATGCTGGGACATGGCAGCGTTGCAGACGAGTGCGCCTGCCATACCAGCTGCTGAGATGATGAGAGGCTTGACTCGGCCGACACGCTCGAGCGCCCACAGACCAAGTGTGCACCAGACGATGGAGAAAGCACCGGAAATTCCGATGATCATCAAGGTGGTTTGTGTATCGAAGCCGAGCTGGCCGTAGATGCGAGTGCCGTAGTAGTTGATCACGTTGATTCCGGACAGAGGTCCGAAGGCTTGGACTGCACAGCCGAGAATAAGACGACGGCGCCAAGAGGGTTTGCGAAGGATAGAAGTGAAGGAGATCTTTGTCTGAGCTCGCTCTGCTTGAATGGCTTCACGAATCTCTTGGAACTCAAGCTCAATGTACTGCTCCTTCTCGGGTGTACCATTACCGTGGAGGTTCTTCAAGACAGTAAGGGCTTCTTCGTGGCGGTCTTTCTCCATCAGCCAGCGAGGAGATTCGTTGAGGAAGAGGATACCGCTCATAAGAGCTATGCCAGGAACGCACTGGAAGGCAAGAGGGAATCGCCCTTTGAAAGTCAGCAGATGTCTATGAAAACAGGAGGCGAGTTTGGACCGGGTACTCACACTGGAAGGCAGTATTGTCGAAGGAACATCCGTATCCAAGCCACTGAGCCACGAAGTATCCCCAACTTAACATCCACTGCAACAAGCCGGACATCATACCCCGAGAGGAGGACTCGGCAATTTCACCTGCATACATTGGAATAACGGAAGTCAACATTCCCACTGCAACACCAGCAATGAATCGCCCGATGATGAGCATGACCATGTTGATGGCACCCGCCTGCAACGCACACCCAAAGCATGACACAGCAGCTCCCGTAAAGACAGAATACTTTCGCCCAAGTCTGTCACCCGTGAAGATATTGATAATTGTGCCCAAAATGGCGCCGCCCTGGAACGCAGACACGACGCCGCCTGTCACGGTGTCGCTGGGGTTGGAGAAATATTCGATGAACCCGGGTTGACCGATGGTTGATGTGACAATACCACTGTCATAGCCAAAGAGGAACCCTAAGCCTGTTAGTCTGCGTCGTCAAAGGAGTAATAGACCATTTACCTCCTGTGGCCAAGAACGTGGCAGTCAACAGAGTCTTGAGGCTGGGCATTTTCGTATGAATGGTTCAGGCAAAACCTGGGGAGTCTACCCCACGGGGAGAGAGCATTAAATAGCCATCAAGAGGAGCCAGAGACATGTTGCAACTAGACCGAAAATCATCTAGTGGCCCATAACTGGGGTAGCGCCACAGCCATACGGCTTTTCCGGCAGAAGCAATTTGCGAATGCCGGCCGAACTCAACGCGCATTCGGTCTGTTCTCCCCCGAGAGTTGGCATGGGGCAATTCAGGTCGGTTATTACTGCCGAGTCAGTTGGGCGATTTGGAGGGTCTGGGTGGTGTAGAGTGCCTCGCTTAGGGATTTGTGGGATGTTGGCTCATGCCGTTGAGAAAATTCTACATGCACTTGCAGACTGGACTCTAGAAGAAAAGTTCTTCTATTTGCGGTTCTATTGAAATTTTGAGGGCTTTCTCAACTCATCTATTTTAACTCATATATCCTCTATAGTTGAATAGATACAGTATACAATCCATGCCCAAGCACTAACTCGGTCCCGGTCACTGGTATCTCTACTTTGCCACTGCAGGTCGCGCCCTTCATATCGCTAGGAAGACTGACAGTCGCCTCTGTACCAAAAGGAACCTTGAGCTTCAAGCTGACGGAGCCACCCTCACGCTTGAATTCAACCTCAATCAGACCATACGGACAGTCCACAGAGCCCTTGACGAAGTCAAATTCAGACGCATATGGGGGCTCAATCGAGAAAGTCCGATAAGCCTCTTGTACAGGCTTCAATCCAAGCACAGCAGCATAGAACCACTCGTAGATTGTGCCCAGCATGTCATGACATTTGCTTCGACAAGCGTCTTGCCAGAACTCCAAAAGTGTTGTCTCACCACGACGCAAGAATCGCATGTAAGAAGGATGCTCCTCTTGTCTTGCCATCTTCAAGACAAGATCTGGACGCTTCGCATCAGCAAGGGTATTGAACAGGAAGCGGAGACCGATTTCTCCAGCGCGGATCTTCCCGTCTGCGACATCGTCCAGGAACGCAGCCATAACGTCCTTCTTGTGACTCTCAGGTACAAGGCCAAATTGCAGTGCCATAGCTTGAGCAATTGCGTCGCGGTCTCGGGCTGGATAGTTGTCGAGGGAGGTGTAGTAGGCGTAAGGACGGGATGCGTCATCTGTCACCAAGAGGTGGTGGTTGTAGGCGTTGTAGATACGAGAAGACCATGTCTTGAACCTTTGGACATCTTCGAGCTTTCCGAGTTCCCGCGCCATCATCTCCACGCATTGAAGGCAACGGTGGTAAATAGCTGTTTCGATGTTCGCTTGGTTGTTGCCAAAGGCGATACCTCGGCCCCAATCGCCAAGGCCGTGCTCGATGAGGCCGCCCTTTCGCTCTTTGGTCTGCATGTACTCCATGTAACGCACAGCGGCTGGGTAAGCCTTCTGTATGACGTGTGTGGATCCATAGTACTGGCGCAAGATATCGGGGAGAAGACACAAGGCACAGCCCCAAGTGATGGTATCGTGCAGAGGACCACACATGTAGCGGATCTCAGGTGCCATTGTTGGCACAAGACCACTTGGCTCTTGGCTATCGAGAATATCATCTAGAATCTTTGTATATAAAGATTCCATGTCGCGAATGTATTGAGTAGCAGGGGCGAGGAGATGAGTGACCTCCAACCAACCGAACTTCTCGATTTGCGGGCAGTCGGTGTGGTAACTGAACAGATTGCTGCTGAAGGTCCAATATAGTGCATTCAATAGTTGATTGACGTCTTCTTTATCAGTTATCATTGTTCCGAGCTTTCTCGCCGCTGAGGAAATATGACGACCGACAACGGAGTGAATGACAGGCAATCCGTCGTCAGAGTTCAATGAGACACCTTCAATCTGGATGTATCGTGCACTTGTGAAGCTGAAGTCGGGCTCCCACTTCTCTGCATTGCCGGTACCAGCCAGGGTGATCTTAGAGTAAACACCCGTTTCAAACTCCTTGAACAAGGGGTCCGGCATCAAGACCGTGCCGTCGTCGTTAACGGTCTCGGAGTATCGAACAAGAACCTCCGAGCCAGCCGATCCCTCGATCGCAAGCTCGACCGAGATGGACGAGTTTTGTCCCAAATCATAACAAACGAATCCTTTCTTGGGGCTGTGTACCTTGACCGGCTCAAAGGTCTCGTGCAACACCACAGGGGGCTGGCTCTGGTAGAAAATATGCCCTCTAGGGCCCGTCAAAGGCTTAATCGGCGCCCAGTCAGAGTCATCATAGCTAGCGCAGTCCCAACCAACGGGATAAAGTCGCCTGTCATGATCCTCTGAGGCATAGATGTTCGCCAAGGTGGTAGCGCTCTTCTTGGTCTTCCACGAAGCATCAGAGATCAGAACCTCGCTCTCCCCGTCTCCGTAAAAGAGATGCAACTCGCCGAAGAAGCATAGCTCATTTCCGTATCGAACGTATGTATTGTCTTCGTACATGGGCCAGAAAAAGCGGCCATCACCACCCTCATCGCCCGCATAGAACCCATTGCCTAGATGGACGCCCAGCGCGTTGCCGCCCGCGCCTAAATGTTCCGTGACGTCGTAGGAGGTGAACTGAACGCGACGGTGGTAGTTTGTCCAGCCGGGATCGAGGCGATGGTTTGACGCAGGCTGGCCATTCACGGACATGTTGAAATGACCAAGTCCAGAGGCGAAAAGAATTGCGCGCTCGGGCTTGCGGGCAAGCTGGAAGGACTTTCGCAAGTAGATGGGCTTGTCACCTCCATCGCCAATCCAGACTGCCTTCCAACGATTGGGAGCATCTTCAAACCATGATTTGAAAATGAGACTTGTGTGCGGCATGTAGGTTTGGTTCATGCTGTATGGAGGCAGGAGGCGAGACCGGGGGTAGGCCGTGAAGAAATGGTTCACGGCGCTGTGGTGAGTTTGGTCATTCTGGTCCCATACTGTAACTCGCCAATAATGACTAGTGATAGACTGGAAGCCATCTTCGGGCTTGCAAAGGATGTTTCGTTGCGCATTGCTGTCCACGCGCTCGGAGTCCCAAATCACATTCACGAGCTCGACATCGGTCGACACCACGACGCGATAGGCAAGTTGCGTCGCATCTTGATCCTCGGTCTCAATTGTCCAATGCAATCGAATTTCATCCGTGTCAATTCCAAGAACTTCATGGAATCCATGAATGCCACAGCGGGAAATCTGCATGCTGGATATGGTTGAATGAAAGAAGTTGAAACCAGAGTCCCAAATGACCAGCTCAACCGCAGTGCGCTATGAGGCCGTCGGAATATCCGAGGACATTCGATCTTCGCTGTCACTTACCCCGAGCCATGCGAGACATCCCCGCAAAAACGAGATGGTCATCTGCCTCTGCAACCTTGGAAAGTTTCAGGCTAACGGGCGGCGACGCACCAATTGGAGAGCGAGAACACCGCTTTTGTGGGGTAAAAATGCGGGTGCACAGTGCGGCCGACTGCAGCCGACGCTAAGCATCGGCCCCCGTTGCATTTTCGGCAATAGGAGACGGGATGTACTCTCCAGGCTTCGGGATGGTACGGGGTACTTTGAAAATAATGACTTTATATGACATTGCTTTATTTTACATGCTAATTCGACTCCAAAGTGTACGGGGGCACTTCTTGACCCTCGCGCCAGAAGTACTTGGCACCAGGATGCGCCTCAGGAAGTCTGTTCTGACCCTTCTGTCCATAAATGTTCTCGCGCATGGTACCGCCCTTCACTGCATAATCAGACCAGAACAATCCACGTCGCTGCAGTTCTGGCAGCAATAGACGAATCACATCTTCAAAAGTATCCGGCAGGCTAGCATAGCTGAGGTTAAACCCGTCGACATCACCAACACTAACCCAGCGTTCTAACTCATCAGCAACGGTCTTCACACTACCGATGATCTTGACACCATTTCCTCCAAGGGTCAAGTACTCGGCGATGGTCTTCTTATCCCACTTCTGGCCCTCGGTGCCAGGAACCGTACTAGCCCAGTGGTTCACCATGCTACGCACGGCGGGCTGTTCCACGAAGCGGAAGTCCTGATCATCGGAGTATGTTGAGAGATCATACCCAGTCCAGCCACCGAATAAAGCGAGTGCTCCTTCTCGATCGCCGTACGTCTTCAATTCGTCAAATTTGGCGTGGGCCTCCTCGTCCGTCTCGGCAACGATGACCAACGCACCCGCGATAATCTTGATATCTTGCGGGTTGCGACCTATCTCTGACGCCTGCTGGCGAATGCTATCAACAGAGGGTCGAACAAGCTCGGGCTGCTGCGCATGCAAGAAGACAGCCTCGGCGTGTTTCGCCGCAAAGGCTTTGCCGGCGGTTGAAGTACCAGCCTGCAGAATGAAGGGAGTGCGCTGAGGGCTCGGCTCGCAGAGATGCGGACCAGGCACTTGGAAGTACTTGCCCTTGTGGTTGATCTGGCGAACAGCCTTCGGGTCTGCGTATCCCTGGGTCTTGCTCTGGCCGGGCTTCCACGTCACCGCGTCGTCTCTCCAGGAAGCCTCCCATAGCTTATAGGTGACATCCAGGTACTCATCTGCGATGCGGTAGCGCTCATCATGCTCGACCTGAGTGTCAAGGCCGAAGTTTCGGGCCGCGGAGTCGAGGTACGAAGTGACGATGTTCCAACCGACCCGGCCATTGCTGAGATGGTCGACGGTGGAGAAGCGCCGTGCCAGGGCGTAGGGAGAGTCATAAGTGGTTGATGCTGTGACTCCGAATCCAATGCTCTCTGTTGCGGCTGCCATGGCGGGGATGCTGTAGAGCGGATCGTTGATGGGGAATTGAGCGCCGGCTGGAATGGTTGGGTCCAGATTGGCCGGGCCTTTGTAGACATCGTAGCCCCCCAAGACGTCGGCAAAGAAGATCGCATGGAATTTGGCATCTTCGAGCTTCTTTGCTAGCTCAATCCAGTGCTTGATACTCTTGTAATTCGCGCCTTGGTCGGCTGGATGGCGGAACAGTCCCGGGTTAAGGTGGCTAGGCGAATGCATCGCGAACGCATTGATGATAAGTTGCTTTTTATCGGACATGATGGGAGAGACTTGATCGAACTAGGTGAGAGGAAAGCATGAAAACATGAAAACAAAGAGCGAACAAGCAGAGTGTACAGAAGTAGCATGGGCATTTGACGTGCAGTTGGAGAAGTATGGCGTCAGCAGAGGGGTGACATTCTGTTTACTCCGAACACCACAGTCTACAGTCTACGTTCTCTCGGACGATATATTGTCATAGAACTTGCAAAGTTGAACATTCGCTAATCGCTACATGAGGCTGGGCCTCCAAACTCTCACAGTATCCGAAACAAGACATCGAGTCAAACTCCACACCGAATCATACATAGTCCTCACTTCCTTTTTTTTTTGCTTTTCTTTCTTTTTTCTTTTTCCTTTTTCCATATTTCTCTCTCCATCTTATCACCAACCGAGACACCTTCGCAGGTGTCCCGGGGGACAAGGGAAACAGAATATGGGCGATCACTTCACTCATGTCCCATCCCAGACCCAACAGGAAAAGGGGTCCCGGGGGACATGAGTGAAGTGATCTTTTTTTGTTTTTAAATTTTTTTTTTCTTTTTTTTTTTTCCTTCCCCCCTCAAACTCTCCACAATTCTTCAAATTTGAAGGCCGAGGCCTTCACTCGCTCCCCGGCGCGCCTCTTGGCGACGGCCGCCTTGAAGCGGGCATTGACAGCGCCCTGCTTCTCCGGCCGGAGTTTCCCCAGGTGTCTTCTGCCGGAAGAGACGACGTTGTCGTCAATGAAGGACCGGAGGCGGTTGCCCCAGGTGTCAAACTCTGGCCAGGCGATATTGTTGAAATCGCCACGGGGGCATGCCCCGGCCAGAGTTGACCTTCTCATCAGGCGACGGCGGCGAATGGCAGGGTCCTCCGTCGGGGGGACGTTCTCGTGCTGTCCAACCAGCGAGTTACCAAGGCTGGTGTTGCTGCTAGAGAATCGATGGGCGGCGCGCAGGCGACTTGGTGTCTTCGGCTTGTACTGTTCAGCCTGCTTCCGAGCCCTCTTGATGAGTTCCGTGTCCGGAGGGCTGGTCTTCGAGAACTCTTGCCCTTTGCGAGGGGTTGACTGCGCTTGATGACGCTGTTGGTCAACATCGTCGACGGAGACATCCGAACCTCCATCGCGGGGGAATCTTGATAGGGAAGAGGAGCTTTGATTGCTCTGGGGCGACGATCGTTGGTTGGTCGGGGGCGAAGATCGCTGGTTGCTCTGGGGCGAGCCCGAGGTATCAGAACTGGAGTACGGGACCTCGAAGTGGCCCGCGTGGTTGAAGTTGGGTGGGCGTTCGACACGCGATCTTCTGGAGACGCGCTTTTCCGGGCTAGCAGGCTTTTCGGGGCTAGAAGATGAACCAGCCGTCGGGAGCGGGGTGCTGCGGGTCGAACTCGAGGCTTCCGAACTGGAGTACGGAACCTCAAAGTGGCCCGCGTCGTTAAAGTTGGGCGGGCGTTCGACACGCGCCCTTTTGGAGGCACGCTTCTCTGGGCGGGAGGAGGAATCAGGGGTCTTAGACTGTCCCTGTTTGTTGGAGTTCGGTGAGCGTTGGGCGCTAACCTTATTGGAGCTGCTTGGCTCCATGCCAGGGGCGATATTTGCGCCGCTGGCTTCCTGTGCATCCCATTCGTCGTCGGAGTAGATGAAATAGTCGTCGTTGAGCCCATAGCTACAGCCCGGCGGGTTTGGGATCACCTCTGGGGTTGGCTGCCTTTTGCGCTTCGATGAGACTGGTTCTTCATGGGCTGGGGTATGCGGCTGCACTGGAGCTGGAGCCGCATTTGTGGCAGCAGTAATCGGCGCAGTAGACACAGACGATGTTGGGGCAGGTGCTGTATTGATGTGCCAGCGGGCTCGTTGCTCCGCGGTAAATCCAGCGCCGAAAAGATCATAACCTCCATATCTGTTGCGCGACCCGGCAGTGGCTCCCTGAGAGGGGTCCTGCTTCGAGCCCTTAACTGCAAGAGTTGTGGAAGTAGCCGAGTCACGGATTGATGGCTGGGCAGAAGCTGAAGATGAAGTACCATTGATATTCACGTTCCGGTTATGGTGATCAGGTCCAGCTTCATGTTGAACTTGTCGCTGTTCATGGTTGTGATCTAGTGAATTATTAGTAATGGAAACAAAGGAGACAAATTAAACGCATACTATGCAGAGTATTTCCTCTCTGTGGGGAACTTTGCCTGCTCACAAGGCTCGTCAATCTCCGCGAGACCCCATCAACCATCCATCGTCCCCATCCAGGGCTGCTGGGCGCTCCAGGGGTAGCAGCAGGGGTGTGGTCCTCAAGGGGAAGAGCACTTGTAGGGGCAGCCGTAGTCTGGTCCTGGCTTTCAGTGTCATTAGGTGGAGGGGCAGACCTTGCATCTGCACTTTTTTGGGCCAAATATTCAGGGACACGGAACATGGTGGAATGGATTCGTCCACCCACTTCGGCTTGTCGTCTCCGGGTGCGATCTGCATAAGTTGTACGGGGACGAGGATGAATTAGCGAGCCACGGGGAGTTATGGCCTGTGCAAGTTTGTAGCGCTTCACCGGGGTTTCCTCCTCGTCGCTTCTAGTCCGTTTTCTGGATTCATCTTGGCGATTTGTCAGCTGGTTGCCATAGGAAATGTCGAAACGACGGGCTGGGATATATCCTTTGGGACAATAGAAGAAGGGTTTCAACTTTCGTCGGCCTTGGGCTGGCTGGGAGAACATACGTCTGCTGTTTGGCTGGGCGGATAAGCCGGTGGGTGGCTTAGGGATTTCGGATTGGGCTTCTCCATGTGGTTCAAACGGATGCTCGGCACTGGTCATAGCTTGATCAGTAACGGGACTTCCAACTGTGGGCTGCGAGGTAAAAGCAGAAGGGAAAATCCATGGGCGGGGATCCATAAGGGAGGGCCATAGGGAGGGAAGACGGGTGTTGGGCTGAATGGGAGTCCCAACGTGAGACTCAGGCGGCGAATCCAGTACATCCTCCAGTAAAGTTGGAATAGAGAATACCACTCCTTCCATTGCATCCTCTTCAACGAGAGTATGTACATCCTCTGCCGCTGGGGAGAACAGGGTAGGTGTGTAAAATGCATCCGACACTGGGGAGCTCTCGGCAGGGCTTGAATATGCTTCCAACACCGGGTAGTGTACAGTGGGGGATGAGACCTCGGCCACCGTAGAGAACACATTGTGGGTCAGGTCCGGCTCAAGCACTGGGCTATACACAGCGGGGGTGTAAAAGACATCAGCCATTGGAGAGAACTCGGCGTGGTCCAAGACTGGGCTTTGCGCAGTAGTGGCATTGAAGACATCTGGCTTGGGGGATGGCGCAGATGGTGTCACAACCGCTTCCAGTTCTGGGGAGACGATAGCGGGGTTGAGAACCGTTGCCGGCACTGAGTGCTGCACAGCGGGTGTGTAGAAGATATCACCGCTTTGAGAAGCTGCGTTGAAGCCTGTAGCAGCATCTGTCACTGGGAATAACACCCGTGAACAAGCTGGGCTCTCATATTGAGTCGTCCGGGTAGGGGACTCCACGGTGGGTAATCCAAGGGCATGGGCGGGTTGGGGTGGTAGGGGGGCTGGGGAGGATGAAGGTTCTTCTGCCACTGGGGAGAGGGCAAGCATCATGGTCGGCGACCTTTTGAATTGGCGGCGTGCATAGCGTGCCTCACGTGGGGTTTTGCCTTCATCATCGGTGGAGGCAAGGGAACGAACGCTGGGGGAAACGCTACGGGAAACGCTGGGAGAAACATTCGGGGAGGAAACTAACTCATCCTTTTGGGAGGCCTGAGAAAAGCATGGTTAGTCACAGAGCCTGGGTGTGTCGATTTCGGACTTACCTTCTTTGCCTTGCTCTTTTTGGCAGGGCGGCCTTTCCGGGTGGGTTTAGCTGAAGTCGAGGTTGGTTCCGGGTCAGTGGCTTTTGGCGCTGCCTCTGGCTCTGGCTGTGCCGATGAGCCTCGGGTGCCACGGCGGCGACGCGGCGGCTGCCGTTCGGCGACCGGTTCCAGGACGTGGTTAGATCGCAAACGCATCTTGGTTGACGCGCAGGATACAGTGAGGTGGTGGAAAGCTGACGAGGTAAGGTAAACAAAAGGGGTTGATCGATCACAGACGCGCTTGAAGACGCGATTGCAAAGCAGTCCAAGTATCAGATAGAGAGTGCCTTGTCGGCGCAGTCGTAACTGTCCAAAGGTTTGAGATCTCCAAGATTTTCCAAGGGCTGGGAACAAGAGTGGGGTGAACGATGGGGAAGGGAAGAAGAAGAAGAGAGAGAAAGTAAACAAGAGCGCGATGTTATGTTGTGAGGGACAGAGGATCGCAAACAGAAGGAGCGGTTGCCGGGGCCGACTTCCCCTCAAAAGTTGTAACTTTTTCAAATGCGGAAGTCGCGATGGGGCAGAATAGTGTGGCCAGAGGGCGGTGAGTGCTACGGCCAAATCTCAAGCACGGAGTATATCCCCATACATATGGCTATTGAGTACAATGCACAACATACAATTGAATCTTAGAGTATAATTTCAAGTCCCAACCCTGAAGGTGACAAAATCATTGTTTGGTCCAGACAATTCGCTACTAATTCAAACTGCACATCCCATCCAATCCATGTATACAAGACAAGTGATCCTTGGGATGGATAAGCTCACACTAGAGACATCTTGGAATAGGTAAATTCCCTACGCTCTGTCTATGGAGGGAGGTGAAAAAGAAAAATGCTATTTGTACAGATGCTCTGCGAGCGAAAACATGAAATCGAGCCACGGGCCAACAAAAAGCCCTCGCTAGCTCCTAGATAGATGATACAAGGTAACACGCTGATGCTTTCTCCAAAGCCAGCCGAAAACAAAGAACGTAATTATAGGGCGACATAAAGACACATCATAGGAATGATGTTCCTCATAGGGAAATCTCGCCCTTCCATGCAGCATCAGACAATCCCAAAGTTCCCATTAAGTTCTGCCACCGAGGACCTCCACGCTCCTTCCGGCGAACATATTGCAAAAGCTTTTGGCGCTTGTGGACGAGAAGCTGCATGTTACGTCGGTTGTGCTTGTCCCTGGTAGCGGACTCCAGGTGGCGGGAGAGGTTCATGATCTTCACAGTCAAAATGGCAGCCTGAACCTCTGCGGAGCCAGTATCGGGGCCGACGCGCGGCGCGCGAGCAGGGTGAACTGGGGCAGATCCATGGATCACACCCGATGGCTTCGGTGAGAGATTAAGGTCTGTGTAGTGTCGTCCGAAGGTCTCGACGCACTTCATGATGTTGAGGCGCACCCGGTCCTTGGTGTTTCCATTGTTGAGGTTGACAATTCTGTTGATCGCCTCTTGAGCATTCCTGTGCTCTTGTTCATGCAGTTCGAGTTGTTCTTGCTCGGCCTGGGGGTCGGCAACATTGCGGTCGGGATTTGGGAGCGGCTCGGTCAAGTTTTTAGAGAATCCCAGGGCAGCATCCAACTCTTTCGCTTCCAAATAGTAGTTGAGATCGGTCAAAGAGGGGGGAACCTGCGCGTCGGTTTGAATTGCGGTCATTTCGAGGATGAAGGGTGTCGGGCTGCTCTTCACGGGATCGCCGAGCGAGGAATCCCGCTCCACCGCGAGCTCTTTTTGCCGGGACACATTGGCTGCTTTGCGCTGGCGGGCCTGAGCGGCCATGAATGGATCATGCTTTCTGCGAACTTGAGCCTTGCCAGAGGCGGCTCTGATCGAGGTGTAGAATGCATTGAGCGGAGCGGAAGCTGGGCCTAAGCAATCACGATTTAGCACAATCTGGCGGCGGAGCGATGCCGAAGAAGAATATGTACCGTTCAATGCCTTCAGGGAGGACTGGAGTGAGATGCGCAGAGGCATGGTGGGCGTAGCTGGCAGGTTGATACTCCGACAGCAATAACCATTCACTGATTTCCACCGACCTAACCTTTCGCCGGGAAATCTTCTGTCCGGGAGTCGTCTGCGCTATTCCTATATAGGTAACTCATGCCTCAGGTGTCTATATATTCTCTCAGCATGAATCCATGGATATTCGTTCGTCTTTTACAACAATCTTTATGTTCGAACAGTCGAGATCATTGAGAGGAGCCAGTTAAAAGCGCTTCTTCATTCGCCCAACCATGCTGTTTGAATTTCTCGCATTTCCGTACAAAAATTACATTTGAGACTGCCTCCTTCATTCAATCTCTGGTCACTACATACATATATCGACAAGTGACACTTTTTCTACAGTAATTTTCGCGCAACACTAAAAATTGGCAGCAGCAAGACGGTCTCAAATCAAGAACCCTAATTGAATATATCGCCATGGCATAGGCTATAGAGTCTGGTGCTATTAAGGTCAAATACGCAGCTTGACTTGATCTCCTGAGCAGAAAAGCCTTCCAAGGTTGGAAGTGAGCGCCGGCTTCAGTTACTGTCGCCTCTCTGAAAACCACCCGCACTCAAGTCCATCCCCCAATGACTTCAGCCCATTCCAGCAGAAATCGCAAAGCCAATTTCTTGAACGGGCTCCCATACGGGGCTCAGCCCATCACTGGCTGTCTAAAGCCTGTGCATGTGTTAAAGCGCGACAGAGTGAATATTCTGTCCCCTGTGTTGGTAGGCTTCTGATGCTGCAATAGCTGTCCATATCCATATAGTACAACGACCCTGCGCATTTAAGACGTTGTTCCTTCCGGTCCCCACCTGGGCAATACACCCTCTCCAGTTAACAGTGGTGGCTTTGAGAGTGGCCCCATCAAAGACGAATTCAAGGAATGCCAGCTCTCCGCTTGTTCCGTTCACGGGTGCAGCCCAGCAGTAATATCGGGGCGGCATTCGAAGACGGAGTGCTACGAGGTGTGTAGGGAATTCCTGTTCGTCCTTTTTGCATTGATTCAAACCACGAAACGGTCATCACGGACCCTCGACTGTGACACTGGGTGAATGCTTTCGCCTTCCGAGTCTTCGATTTCCTTCCAAGGGTTTTGCTCGGTTGGCTTTTCACTCAGTACCTAGTACCTAGGTATCCGTCCTGCTTGCTACATAACACTTCTGCCTTGCGGTTGCTGTGTTTTTGAACACTGGGCGCATCTTTCACGTCAAGTTCTGGTCTGAATCTTGCTTCATCGTGACCGCGGGTTACTTATTTCCGCCATCCATGTGCTTGCTTTGCTTTCTCTGGAGTTTTTCTGGCAATGAGCATGCAATGGCATGCAAATTCGTCACAATTTGGCAACTGTCGATGAGATTGCAAAGGACCAAAAGGGCATGAATCACGCACACCTGGCACCTCATGTTCTGGCTTGTTCGGTTCTCTATTTCGCTGGTTGATAGCCTCTGGATGAGAAGAGAAGCGGTCATCCGAAGTTTGATAAATTCGAAGGGTGGCCCCAAGCGATATCGAATCAACCAGGGATATGTTACCGACAAAAATGACGATCCTCGGCGGCTTTCTTAGATGGGCGCATATCCACCCTGCTCCTCTCACTTGTTCCGAAGTTGCACGGACATACTAGTTGTGACCTGTGACCTCCGAGCTCCTGTAAATGCAGTGACAGAAGTGGTTCTAATGAGAGTTGTGTGATTACCCATCATAAATATATTCTTCGAGTAGTCCGTGCTTCAACATTAGCAATATGCCGAGTACCTGTAGGGGGTATGGACCCCAACCTTGGAACCTTGGAAGGTTAGTCGGGCCAGCCTGGGAGACCCGTGGACCGCGGGCGGGATCCAAGGCCCTTATCAACTGATAAGGAAGTGGATCCACTGGTTCTGCACATGTGGTGCAAGCGCTCTCCCGTAATGCGGTTGCCCTAGCCCTAGCGCGCACTCAAGCGAAAAATTCGCGATGGGCGAGGGTGCGCGCAAGGCTTTGATCTTTTCCTCCATCACCACGACAAGAGCCAGACGATTGATCCTCCAATCCATCAATCCATCAATCGCCCAAAATGGCCCCTTCCCAGCTCCCCCCGGTTTTCAACCCTACCGCGCAGGACATTGAGATGCTCCTTGCCGCTCAGTGCCACCTTGGTTCCAAGAACCTTCAGGTGCACATGGAGCCTTACCTCTGGAAGCTCCGCGCCGACGGTGTCAACGTCCTGAACATTGGCAAGACCTGGTATGCGACACCTGAATAATGATCTGAGAATTGGCAATGGAATTCGGAATCTAACGGGGTCTTTTTTTTTTGCGCTACAGGGAGAAGATCGTTCTGGCTGCCCGTATCATCGCCGCCATCGACAACCCCGCCGATGTCTGTGTCATCTCCGCTCGTCCCTACGGTCAGCGTGCCGTCCTGAAGTTCGCCGCCCACACCGGTGCCACCGCCATCGCCGGTCGTTTCACCCCCGGTAACTTCACCAACTACATCACCCGCTCTTTCAAGGAGCCCCGTCTCATCATCGTGACCGACCCCCGCACCGATGCCCAGGCCATCAAGGAGGCCTCCTACGTCAACATCCCCGTCATTGCCCTTTGCGACACTGACTCCCCCACCGACTTCGTTGATGTTGCCATCCCCACCAACAACAAGGGTCGCCACGCCATCGGTCTCGTCTGGTGGATGCTCGCCCGTGAGGTCCTCCGTCTCCGCGGTACCCTCGCTACCCGCGAGACCGAGTGGGACACCGTTGTTGACCTCTACTTCTACCGCGACCCCGAGGCCGAGGAGAACAAGGAGATCGCCGATGAGTCCAAGGTTCCCGGTGCCGAGGAGATCGGTGCCGGTGCCGTCGAGTCTGGCTTCGCTGGTGAGAACTGGGATGCCTCCGCTCCTGGCGCTGGTAACCCCGGCACTGCCTTCGCTGCTGCCTCCGCTGCCACCACCGCTGCCGGTGCCACCTCCTGGGAGGCTGACGGTGCCGACTGGGCCGCCAGCTCCGCTCCCGCTACCGGTGAGTGGGCTGAGGCTCAGCCCGCCGCTGGTGAGGCCAAGTGGTAAATTGCTTCGCGGATGACTGAGGATATTCGTTGAGAGGGGGGAACTTGGCCACAATAAGCCAGAAGTCTGGTGATCCGGGATGATTGTGACGACTGACTGAGTCCTTCGACAATAATCGAGGCACGACTCTTGTTTTCTTTTCTACACCATCTACTCCATTCATGATGGAAACCAATCTCCCGCAAATTCCCTTGACATGTCTATCCTAGTTTCTGTGTGCAATGTGCTAAAAAAAACAAAAGAAACTGCAAAACATCAAAAGAAAATGAGCTTTCACCCGGAACCTTTCAATTCTTTTGCCTCCGTGGGATCTTCCTTACCAGCACTTTTTTTTATTTCCATGTTTGCTTCGGGGAGGAATTGTCATGCCAATCATTGACCTGGCGCTTATGAGGGAAAGATATCCAGTTGCTTTTGTTTACGAAGCTTCTGGGGGAAAGCCCTGTGCTGTCAATTCACAAGGTGGACTTAATCGTTACCTTGGTTTCTCCCTGTTGTGTTCTAGTAATCTGAAATGGTTGTGCTTGGTATCATATCCAGTAGTCCTGTAATTGTAGAGACAACATTCTTCAGGCTTGGACTCATTTTGACGGCCCTTCGAAATCGCTAATCGCTACCTTGCTATCTTCGAGGAACCGTGGGGCCTCCAAGCAATATCAATGCCCGTTATACGATGGTATCAATTGGGGAGTTGTCATTGAATAATTCGCGAGGTCTAATTGGGCCGTATAGAACCGAATCTGCCTGGGGTTGTTCACCCTGATACTTGTTAGAGAATCACACAAGAAGTGCCAGCACTCTGCCCACCCTCTTCGGTGGTTGTCATGGCCGCCAGTCTGGCCAAATCTTCAAATGTCTCTGCAAGCAATTCACCGGTGACGGCCGAACATTCCGCATACCTATCACACCGAAGCTCCTGTGCAATACGGTAGCCCTACAAGTTCAGTCAGTCAAAGCCTGTCAGTTTTGAATGTGGTCACCTACCTCTTGGGGATATATGATGCCTTCGCCCTCCCTCCTCAGGTCTCTCTTCAAGCCCAGCATCATGACAGGTAGACGCTCGCCATGGCCGTACTGAAAGTACCGAGTGATATCGTTTCGCCACTAATTAATTAGAAGTTGGGTCCGCTTCAAGTACGCTGATAGAGATGGATCATACCGCTTTGAGTCCATCGAGTGTACTTCGATTTGAGATATCATATGCCAAAACAACAACATCAGGCCGTAGACTTGACCAATGCCGGTTTGGATTTGCCGTGTCGTACAGCTCTAATGTGAACTTCTTTTTCGAGAAGCGAATGTCATAAATGAAAGGCTGGTCTTCGTCTCGTAATGATACGATAGTGTCAGGGCTACTGCCCGGTTGAGTTGATATCGATGAACCTCCGTTCTTGAGGCGACTGCGTCTGATTAGTAGCTGATTTCTGAGATCATAACCATGGATGTTCCAAGGTTTTCGGCTTGCAGCATTTGACTTTCGAGGCAAGAGTTCTTTTACTGGAGAGCAATTTGCACTCACGCTAGGAATGTTGATTTGCCACATGCTGAGTCCCCCAGCAGCAACAGTGAAACAGATTTATCGCTGTCCGGCAGAGCACTACCTTCCGCCATGGTGAGGTCGTCGAGTCGTTTTGAATGAGGCTCTTTTCGCGGTTGGTCTTATATGCCCCTAAGCGTATTAATTGGTGATCCAAGGTGAATGGTTATACAGAATCCTTTCCGCGAGGTGACACGAAGCGCGACCTCAGGATAGTCTGTTCACGGTGATGGAGGTGGAAGAGATAAGGTTTATTGGGGTCGCAGATCTACAGAATATACATCTGCCACCTCATATATGTTGTGCGCGTGAGCCCCTTTAAATTCAAGAAACAGAGCTAAGGACCCTTTGAGTTATTTTATCAAATCGATTGCTGCAGAAAAACCAACAATTACCTTGCTAAAACGTGAGAATACGAGACGGCGATGCAAATCGCGGTATAGAGCAGTCGTATTTCCGACCCAATGCACAGGACAGATACAAAAAATACAAGTCCGCGGAGTTTTTTTCAAACTCGACTTTCTGGAATCGAACATCCACACCGATTTCGAGCCCCACCATTTGCTTGTCGTGGTATGTGGAAACCGACACGGTTATTCACACTGAGTTGCAACCTGCGAGTGCTCAAACATACCCGACACCTGTGCCAATCCCGCACATTGACACAAAGCATGGAGGGCACCAAGGATCAGCCCGATTATTCGGCCTGGACCAACGAAAGCCTGATTGCTCGCATCACAGACCTCGAGCGCCAGCTTCACTCCCGCACAACGGAGTTCACAGCGCCGACCGAAAACCCTGCTCAACAGGCAGACTCCCATGCGCCGATTCCCTCGGATGGCTACGAGCCCGCGATTCCCCTCCATGAATCTGCGCAAAATACCAAGAAGCGTCCCCACTCGCCCCCCGAAGGAGACATTACCAAAGTCCCAGCGCCTTCGCGGACATTGAAGACGAACACCCCGCCAAATGTCGAACGCGCGTTTGACCCCTCCAAATACGAGACTCGCTACATTGCGCTGAAGTTTGCATACTTGGGCCAGCCATACAATGGACTCGAACACACCAATGGTAACATGACTCCTCTACCTACGGTCGAAGAGATCATTTGGAAGGCCTTGCGCCGTACGCGCCTCATCTTCCCCCAAACCACCTCCGACCTGGAGCCGACCGAGCGCGAGCGCGTTCCCATGCGTCCTTACCATCTCTACTGGGACGGAGTGGAATATTCCAAGGCAGGCCGTACAGATAAGGGAGTGAGTGCCTTCGGGCAGGTCATTGGGTTGAGAGTACGCAGCCAGAGGCCCAAACCCAAGCCTCCCGTTGAAGGCGAAGAGGATGCCATGCAGGTTGACTCGACTACTGAAAAGGAATGGGACGATGTAGCCGACGAGATCAGCTACCCAGCTGTCTTGAACAGAGTGCTTCCGGAGGATATTCGAGTTCTAGCTTGGTGTCCCAACCCCCCGCCTGGATTCGACGCCCGCTTCTCCTGCCGTGAGCGCCGATACAGGTACTTCTTCACCAACCCTGCTTTTTCACCAACCCCTGGGTCTATTGGGTTCGAGAACCGTGCACAGAATGGAAATGGACCACGCTCCAAATTCCGGGAAGGCTGGTTGGACATCGAGGCCATGCGTGAGGCAGCTAAGCATTTCGAGGGTGTTCATGATTTCCGAAACTTCTGCAAGCTGGACGTCAAGAAACAAATTGAAAACTTCGAGCGCATCATCCACCATTCTGACATCGAGGCTGTCAACCCCAAGACCAGCCCGTTGGGATATGTTGGAAAACCTGGCTTCCAGGCTAAGGAGGATGCTATCCCTGAACAGGACCAGGTAACTCCGGACACTGTGTCTCAGAATGTTCCTCAGGTGTACTCTTTCAACCTTCATGGATCCGCATTTTTGTGGCATCAGGTGCGCCACATGGTTTCGATTCTGTTCTTGGTCGGACAAGGACTCGAGTCTCCATCAATTGTCGCCGAACTATTGGATCCCGCAAAGAACCCACGCAAGCCAACTTACTTCATGGCCGATGATGCTCCCCTTGTTCTCGAGGACTGTATCTTCCCTGACATCGCTTCCGGTAGCCGCAAGGATGCCTTGAATTGGGTCTATGCGGGCGACGATGTTGGCAACCCGAAGGCCAGTGCCAAAGGCGATGCCAAATTCGGCCTGCAAGGCACGGTTGAAACATTGTGGAAAGTCTGGAGACAGCGTAAGATGGATGAGATCCTCGCTGGTGCTTTGGTGGACTTGGTAATCAGCCAGGGAAACCAGAACGTCGAAAGGAAGGAGGCTAAAACAAAGGGCTCTTCAACCAAGAGGGCGAACAGAGGAGCAAAGACTTGGTATGGCGGCAACGACTGCGTTGTTGGTGGCAAGTATCTCCCTGTGGATAAAAAGGCCAAGATGGAGACCGTTGAAGTTCAAAACGCCAAAGGTCTCAAGGCGAAGCAGCGCAAGCTGGAAAGAGATGAGGCCGCGAAAGCAACACAAGCATAAGCATTTTTAATAGTCGCTAAAAAATTATCCTGAAGATCATCCGACCTTGCTTGCAAGGCTATATAGTGCATCGTTATCACGATTTCGCGTCGTATAGGCACCTCCTTGAGCCCCTCCACACCTGCTCCAGGATTTCTCGTCTGGGTAATGTATGCTTATCAACAAATTAGCCTAGATGTGGCATGGGGGATATATCACATACCGGGAATACGACCACGGCATTGGGCTCGCCTTCGACAATGACCGCCAAGTAAAAGCGAACTTCGAAGCCTTTGAAGGCTTCATGAATGACGATGTCTTGGATTTGAGTAGTGGGAATGAACCTTGTTGCGGCGGTCGATAGGTAGGTAGCTGATGATGTCGAGGTCTGGATACCAAATCCTCGAATAACCAACAGCGATTCCTCTGCGGAACCTCATCAGCCACGTAGGGCTAGATCGATGGGGTGGTTGTTAGCTCACCTGTGTAGCCTTTTCTGAATACACCGTACAACACCAATGCGCCGACCACTGCTATTGCTAGCGGATTGTATGAATCCACAAAACAACATAGCTTCGACCCAAGCGCACTGGACCAGATAAGGGGCCAGCTGACAATCCCGTCATCTCCTTTGAAGACGAGATGTCGAAGTACCGTGACACCGACAACTACTACACAGAGAAACAACAATGCACGTAGCAGGATCTGTAGGCCGAACAAGATCTTGGCCGGGGAACTCGACCGTTGGGGCGCATTTGATACCGTGAAAGAGACAGTCGTCGGAGAGGGACGCTGAATCTTGAGCCGACCTGGCATTTTTATGAATGCAGAGAGTTGAGCACAGTTTAAACGGATATCATTGATTGACAAGGCGCATCGCGGCGTCTATAGAAGTACCGAAGGGTTGGCCACAGGAGAAGCTCACGGCCAAATCCGCACTAGTCCATTTTGGGTATAACGCCCCACTACGATTGGGAGCTGCGGCTCACGTGCTGCAGCTTCTCCGTTGGAAATACATCTGGTCGGACATCCACCAAACTTCTTCTTGTTCCCATTCACAACCATGGCAGACCGATCACGAAGCAGATCCCCCCGACCGAGGGATAACGGCGACCGAGACCGCCCCAAAAAGACCGGAGGCTTTCGGTGGAAAGACAAAAGTCGCACCGACGATTCCCGCGGCGATGACCGCAGGCTAGAGCGAGGCTACCGAGACCGACCACGATCCCCCCGGCGCGACCGAGATGGTGACCGCTATGGTGACCGAAACGGAGAAAAACCTAGAGACGACCGCGATAGGCGACGTGACGATCGCGATACGCCGCGCGACGACCGGGAAAAGAAAGTGAAGAAGGAAAAGAAGGAGAAAAAGGTCATTCCGCAATCATCAGAGCCCATGATCGTTGTTCATGTCAACGATCGCTTGGGCACCAAGGCTGCGATCCCCTGCCTGGCCTCAGATCCAATCAGTGAGTCTCTTTCCGCTGCTGGCCCTGGCCCGGACTAATCTAATTGCTGCAGAACTATTCAAAGCACAAGTGGCAGCTCGGATCGGTCGCGAACCCCACGAGATTCTCCTCAAACGCCAAGGTGAAAGGCCATTTAAGGATCAACTCACCCTGGAGGACTACGGCGTGAGCAATGGAGTTCAACTTGATCTGTGAGCTCCCACCCCCTCTTTCCAGAATGACACCGGAACCCTGCTAACTGTATTATAGGGAGGTCGGAACGGGCGAATAAGGGACTCCCGGAGCAGACTGCTGTCGGCGAGACGGTTATGCCAAACAGATTTATGTCTTTTTCTTTTCTTAGTATCATTGGAACCGGAGCACCGGAGTGCATGAATATGACCTTTTTCTTTTCCAAGTCAACCTTGGGGATATTCGAAAATGTGTATATATGGCAGTGAATACAAGTACAAACAGTTGCTGACAATCTACTGTTTGTTCCTGCGATTCAAGGGCCGTTTTTCTGCGGGGCCTGCGTCGTCACGACATACGCTTTACCCGATGCGGGCCATCTTGCCACCTGAGGCATCCAAAGCAGGTCCGATCCACTCCCAAGAGGCTTTTTTTCCATCGCGGGACTCGCAGCTACGGCAATCTCTTTTTTTTTATGACTGTTCGAAGTCTTGATCCTCGCTCCGCCGTGAGGTAGCTGATATTTACTCCAATCTGAAGATCTTCTTTACATTACTTTCCCTTACTTGAATCCGATCCCTCGACGGCTCACCGGTCAAGATCGCCCCAGATTTTCCTCCCCCTCCACCGAGTCCCTCCAATCCTGATTTTCCGATCCAGCGCTGTCGCTCTCAATACCTTCTACCTCAATTCTGGCAACAGATACACACACAAAATCCTCCAATATGGTTCGCAATCTTGTCGTCATCGGAGGTAACTCCCACCCTCAGTTGACTCAGAGCATTTGCGGTGTCCTCGGCATTCCTCCTGCGGAGGTCCTGCTCTCCAAATTCGCCGTGGGTGAGACCCGCGTTGAAGTACAAGAGTCTGTTCGTGAGAAGGATGTTTACATCATTCAATCTGGTGGCGGAAAAGTCAATGACCACCTGCTCGAGCTTCTCATCACTATTTCCGCCTGCAAGACCGCCTCTGCACGCCGAGTCACCGCTGTCCTCCCTCTCTTCCCCTACTCCCGTCAAAGTGACATCCCTTACGACAAGGCGGGTGCTCCTCTCGTCAAGGCGGCCGTTGGAGGCAAGTCCACCAATGGATACACATTCGAGAGCACCCCTCCCACCCCGGGCCCCGGAAAGCCCGAAGGCCTCGGCTTGATGAATGGCATGGACAACCTCCAGAAGGGCCTTGCCAAGGCACAGATTGAGGACAGCACCGGCAGCCCCGTCAAGAAGCGGGGCAATGGTCTGCCCCGCAACGACACCACGGACTCTCTCAAGTCCTTGGCCAACGGAGCCGATGACGCCGCCAGCAATGCCTCTTCCAAAATCTCTGCCTTCCAGCCTCGACCCGGCTACAAGCAGTGGGTTGCGCAGGCCGGCACCCTGGTGGCCGACCTCCTTACCTGTGCTGGAGCTGATCACATCATTACCATGGATTTGCACGATCCTCAGTACCAGGGATACTTCGATATCCCAGTTGACAACCTTTACGGTCGTCCTCTTCTTAAGAGCTACATCCAGCGAAACATCCCGAACTACAAGCAGGCCGTCATTGTCAGTCCCGATGCCGGAGGCGCGAAGCGCGCTACGGCAATTGCTGACCAAATGGGAATGGAGTTTGCTTTGATCCACAAGGTTAGTTGAGAGTGTTTATGAAGCACCTGTGTTAGTCTAATGCTTTTTGTAGGAGCGCCGCCCCACTAAGATCACAGACCGCCAAAACGCTACCATGATGTTGGTTGGTGATGTTCGCGATCGGATAGCCATTCTGATTGACGACCTCGCGGATACTTCGAACACGATCACCCGTGCCGCCAAGTTGTTGAAAAAGGAGGGCGCATCCCAGGTTTACGCATTGGTCACGCACGGCATTCTGAGCGGTGACGCTATTGAGCGCATCAACGCGAGCGCCCTTGACAGGGTTGTTGTGACCAACAGTGTGGACCAGGTTGATCACCTGCGCCGTTGCCCCAAGCTCGAGGTCTTGGAGGTCGGCCACGTTTTCGGCGAGGTGAGTCTTATACGTCCGGTACTTCGAAGCCCCAAAGCTGACATACATCCAGGCCATTCGCCGCGTGCACCATGGTGAAAGCATCAGCGTTCTCTTCCAGTATGACTGATTGCGGATTGCTGACACAGATTTCCTTTTTCTTCCGATATCCTAAAATTCCATCCTATATCTCACCATCTCAAGTACCCGTCATAGATTCGGGTTGCAGTAGACTTGTTGGTCTAAAATTACCATCGGTGTTCTATTGTTTCTGATATCGCTTGCTCTCACTGGCTTTGGATGGCGCTCTGTGTGTTGTTTTCTGTTATATTATCCGCCACACCCTTTGCCATTTGCACATATGAGCTCCAAGCGTTGAAATGAAATTGAAAACCTTTTTTTCAGCCCATGAGATGTCATCCTGGCTGGGTGACCCTGACTTTCCAGATTGCTGGTGAAAAAATTAATAACGCACCGAGGCCGAGGTAGCCCCATGTCTCCCCCCGCTACGGTATGCTGGGACCATTCAAATATCCACGGGTTCTGCGTACGATTACTATAAGTCATGGCCCGCGACTTCATGGCTTGGGACATGTTTACATGGCACCACAGAAATTGGACTACTCCTATTCCGCACTGGGTACAAAGTGAGTGTACTTCTATATCAGGACATTACCACACATATACTGAACGCCTGATGCGAGAGAATAACTCAGAGATTTGGGATGAAAGATGACCAACTTGCCTCAATCAGGAAGCAAGAGGTGGATGCGCTCACGTTAAAGAACAAACTGGGTACTCGATACAACGAAAATCGGCTGCCAATCAAAGCAAAACACTGGCCAGGAAATGATAAGTACAAAGAGGTAGGGCAATAGGAAAATCATTAAACCCCCAGGAACTTAGAATACGGAAATGAAGTTCCCAATTCTCTCCTTCTGGTTCTGGGCAATGCACTCAGAAATCCAAGTGACGTTCCGGATTTCCTGAAATAGATTAGATTCCGTAAGTTGATCGAGTGCAAAGTTCCGAGGTTGCTTACCTGCTCCTTGAGCTTCATCCAACCGTAGACCACTGCCGGCGTGAATTGACGAGTGAAGATCAACTTTGAAAGTTCCATTTCCTTCTGGTAGAAGAGATCCTCAAGACTCTTTCCGTCCGCGGGACCACCTCCCATGCCTCCGAGACCGCCGCCTTGACTTAGACCCACGGCATCAAAGAATGCCTTGTAATCGGCCACCGCACTGACAGCGAGGGCCACGCCCTCGACATCGTCTGCCTTACCCAGCATGTAGTTACCTTCTGGGTAAAGCTTGCCAATTTGTGGGTAAAGATTCGCTCGCTCGCTCTTTGAGAGATCAGTACCGAAGGAGTTGAGAGTGATGTTGATTGAGCGGCGGTCAGCCTCAAACTGCAGGATCTCTGCCATGACATCTTGGGTTGGTGACCCCCGGAAGTCGGGGTGGGTGGTGATAAAGTGGTGGAAATCCTCCAAGTAGTTTTTGTACAACGTGTTTCTGACGATTTCAATGTTTAATTCGTCCAGGTCCTGGTGGCTCAAGCTGTCCTTGAAGTAGGCGGCCAACGGGGTTTCGATCAACACGATGTTGTAAAGCTCCTCGATGTTCGTCGCAGAAATCAGCGCAGGAAGTGTTTCAAACCATCCTAGAGGGTGGCAACGCTCCAGGAGTGGCTTCAACTCTCGCCCGTGCAGAGTACCGGTGATCAGCAGGGCGACATTGTCAATCATGTATCCGTATTTCATATACTCGAGGAACTCGGCAGATGAGCCTGTTGCTTGCGCAGTCAAGTACTTGAATTCTGAGACGAGCTTATCCATCATGCGGCCAGCGAGGTCTGAGGTGGAGGGGTTGGGAGGAAGAGAGGCAAGGAAGTCGCCATATGAGGGCGCAAGCTGAAGCTTAACATCTATGTCATAAACCGTTAGACCCGCAGGCAAGATAGATGACTGGAACAAAGTCAATGAGATCCGTCGAGCGTACCATCAATCGTCTCGCATTGGGTGAGGTTGGAGTAGTTCTGGCCGCTCAACAGGCTGTTGCGATAGCCACGGACGATACCCTCGACGTATCTAGGCGAGTCAGTAATGGGATAAGCAGAATGAATAGAGGGCCACACACCCGCCGTTAACATTAAAGAATAGACCCTCCATGGTGAACGTGGATAAGATGGTTAAAGAAGCCTAGCTGTAGCTCTCCGAGCCCCGACACGCACCGCCTTAGTCAGCCACAGCCACATGCACCGCCACACCACCATGCTTTCGAACTTTTTTTTCTTCCGTCCGCCGTGCAAAATTTCCATCTAGTTCAACGACAACGGCGGCCGCCAACACACGCCTAATTTTTTTCGTCCCTTATTCCGTCGGCTCGGTTTCTCGTTCACCTTACATCGGTCTTTATTCTAGTTATTTTTTGAACCTGAACGCCGTGGCCGCGCACCATGACGCTTTTCATTCTCACTGAAACCAGCGCGGGTTACGCCCTGCTGAAGGCCAAGGACAAGAAGCTCCTCAAGCGTGATGATATCGCTCAGGAGGCCTCCACCGCGGAGGGTGTCTCTAACCTGTACGTCAATTGCCCTTCGTGATCTCGCAGACAAAATTTTCGAGTGGGATGCACGAACCCCGTTCAGCGGGCGCAAAAATTTTGTTATCAGCGACAACTTTACTAACCAAGCCAATAGCCTCAAGCTGAAGAGCTTCCAGAAGTTCGACAGTGCTGCCTCAGCTCTGGAGGAGGCTGCCTCCATCATGGAGGGCAAGGTCACCCCCCGCCTGGCTTCGATGCTCGACGGTATCAAGGAGGAGAAGAAGGTCTCTCTGGCTGTTGCCGATGCCAAGCTTGGTAATTCCATCCATTGTAAACTTCTCTCGGATAATGGGCTGACTTTGGACGTGAATAGGCAATGCCATCAGCAAGCTCCCCGGCCTTGACATCCAGTGTGTCGCCGACTCGACCACCCACGACATCTTCCGTGCTGTCCGTGAGCACCTTACCACTCTCATTCCCGGTCTGGCTCCCAGTGACATGTCGACCATGTCCCTTGGTCTGTCCCACTCTCTCGCCCGTCACAAGCTCAAGTTCTCCCCCGATAAGATTGACACCATGATTGTCCAGGCCATTGGCCTTCTGGATGACCTCGACAAGGAGCTCAACACCTACGCCATGCGTGTTAAGGAATGGTACGGATGGCACTTCCCCGAGCTGGCTAAGATCCTCAATGACAACATTGCCTACGCCAAGCTCGTCCTGAAGATGGGTATGCGCTCCAACTGGGAGACTGCCGATCTCGCTGAGATCCTCCCCGAGGAGATTGAGGGTGCCGTCAAGACCGCTGCCGACCGCTCCATGGGTACCGAGATCAGCGCCGAGGATCTCGAGAACATCCAGGCTCTCGCTGAGCAGGTTGTTGGCTTTGCCGACTACCGCTCCCAGCTCGCTAGCTACCTTACTTCTCGCATGAACGCCATCGCTCCCAACCTGACTGCCCTTGTCGGTGACCTTGTCGGTGCTCGTCTCATTGCCCACGCTGGCAGCCTCACCAACCTTTCCAAGAGCCCCGCCTCCACCATTCAGATCCTGGGTGCCGAGAAGGCCCTCTTCCGTGCTCTCAAGACTAAGCACGATACCCCCAAGTACGGTCTGATCTACCACGCTTCTCTCATCGGCCAAGCTACCGGCCGCAACAAGGGTAAGATGGCCCGTATTCTCGCTGCCAAGGCCTCTCTTGGTATCCGTGTCGACTCCCTCGCTGAGTGGGACGACGATGCCACCGAGGAGGACAAGGCTGCTCTCGGTACTGAGGCTCGCTTCAACCTTGAGCGCAAGCTCGCCGGTATGGAGGGCAAGCCCATGAAGCCCCGCGGTGTTGCCATCGCCCCCAACGGTGCCGCCCAGCCCGAGAAGTTCGACCTCAAGGAGGCTCGCAAGTACAACCCCGATGCCGATGCTCTGGCCTCCGAGGAGCCTGCCTCCGCCAAGAAGTCCAAGAAGAACAAGAAGCTTGTTGAGGAGGTCGAGGATGAGGAGATGGCCGATGCCGACTCCGACGCCGAGGACTCCGATGAGTCCGAGGATGAGTCACCCAAGAAGAAGTCCAAGAAGAGCAAGGGCTCAGACATCGAGGCTATGGCCGCCAAGGCCGGTCTCAGCGTCAAGCGTTACGAGCGCAAGCTTGAGCGTGGCGAGATCACCTTCGACGCAGCAGGCAACCCCACTTCAGTCAGCAAGAAGGACCTGAAGAAGTCTAAGAAGGATTCCAAGAAGGCCGACAAGGAGGATGGCAAGAAGCGCAAGCGCTCCGAAGATGATGATGAGAAGAAGAAGAAGAAGAAGTCCAAGGGAGAGTAAGCGCTTGTTTTCAAAAGTTTCTGCAATGTGACCGGAAGGCTTTCCTGGGATCTGTATGATATCACACTTTTTCATTTTCTGTTTCAATTTTTTTGCTATCTTCCCGTCGCTCGCATGTTTGGGGCATTTCAAGGTTGATAACCGGTCTTTCACTGGCGCAGAGGGTGCTCGTTAGGAACAAGGCAGTACAGTTTTAGCTGGAATAATCTGTTCATACTTCAGTACTACACTGTAGACCGTAGACTTGATATTCAAGCACCGAAGATCTCGCTCTTCTACTCTCTATCCCACCCTTTCCTATCCAATTGGGACTTGGAAGCCATCGAGACTTGTGCATTCACCGCATGCAACTAAGATAAAGACACCGCTGTATTCTGCCGGCAGTTCAAACAATTTTCCTTTCTCCAATCAACTCACCACTTCCTCTAACCCAGACTTCCTGATACAGCAGACAAAATGAGGGTGAGAACTGGTTGTCATTTGCAGCATGGCAATTTGCTAATTTTATTCAAAGATAATCGACCCTCAAACAGCCGTTTTGACCAATGTCGAGGTCCTGGCCTACTTGACCTCCAACCCACCCCGCCGACCACCGAACCCGCCGCCAGGTGCCCGAAATTGGGTTCCAAGCCCTGATCTTAGAGACCATAATACAGTGGTCAAGGAGGTAAGGAACTAGATCCGATGTTTATCACTCCTGCGCCTCATGTATGCAGAATGGCGCAAGTGCAACGCAAACAAGTGGGGCGTCAAAGATCTAAGCTTCCAAGCTCTTCAAATGACCATTCAAATATCTGGACATTGGCCAACTGATACTATCTAGATTCACAACTATGCTAGCCGTCTGTCTCCTCACCTTCTTCGATACCCTCGCTACACAGCGCGTCCCTCGTCATCTCATTCCCAATTACAATCACAAGCCGCCATGACCAGTACACTACAAGCCTCAAACCCAGCCACAGACTCAGAAGCAGCGACTTTGCCGCCACCAGTCTCTTCTGAAGAATCAACACCAATGGATAATGCTCTTTATGACTTAATCGTCCGCCTGCAGCCCTATGGACTCACCAAGGCTGAGGTCATCATGATCCTCAATCTTGGTCTGGGCTTGAGCAGCAGCACTGGCGCTGAGACAGCAGAAGGCGAAGAGACTACCAATGGAGATGGAGCTATGGAAGTTGATGAACAGAATGGAGAAGGAGAGGGTGGTGAAGAGGCCGAGGATTCGGAGCAAGCACAGGCTGATTACACTGCAGAGGTACTGCTGGATGCTGTTGTTGAAGAGCGGGAGTTGCGCTTCTCGGACGATGATATGAAAGCTATCTTTGCCATCATCCGTGAAACGTTGACCGCTGACTACGAGAACGTGAAAGGCTGAAGCGCACAAGGATAATCTCAGTTCTTTTATCTCCCCCACACGCTCCGCCTCGAGGTTCACGAGAATACCGGGTTTCTTTGGATCTCAACGTGATATCAAAAACCTTCCAACGGAGGTCGATACAATACAAAGCGGATTGGGCGATGTCCACACCAAATACTCAATACCGCCCTTAACTTGGCCAAATGGCCCTGACATCCTTTCTGTGGCTGTCTCACCTTTTGTTCAATATTACATATATGGCCATAGCCAGTCAAATTCAACCAGCTTTGGAAATTTCTGCATCGAATGCATCAATGCCCTTCCATTCTTACACGTTGGCTCTGGCCACAAGCCAAGCGAGTGCTTCGTGTACTCCGTACATGAAAATGCATTTCTTAGGTCCACATACTAAATTGGAATCACCAAGAAGCTCTTCACTGGAACTCTGTTCCCCAGACGTGATCCAAGATGCTGTTGTTCAGATTCTACTCAAACCGACTCAAGGTGCTCAGCTTTGTCAAGTGTCTTGTCTGGTCTCTCTGGTTCAGCATCCCTGTCAGCATATGCCACTTGGTATACAGTATACCATGGTCGCTGAAACAGGCCATCCAACGCCTCCAATGATCTTCCAGTCGTGTCCTAAAAACTGGTTAGTAACACAGTCGCCGTGTATCTCGAAGTAACTTACTGGCATGGCAAAGAACACATAAACCAGGGAAATCAGACAGATGCACCCGAAGAACACGAAGGCACCCCACTTGTGCGTTGCGGCCAGCAGACTCGGCATAGCCCGGGAGCATCCGAAATAAAAGGCCCAATGGAAGCCCATGGAGATGGACATGTTGAACGAGCGGATCTTGGTTGGGAAGATCTCAGATCCAACGAGATATGGAATACTGAACCACCCAATGCTCCATGCCACCGCATGGAAGTAAATCGCTACGATGGCTGCTGTTGAGGCCCGAGATACACCAGGAGTATCTCTAATGTGCTCTGCACTCATAGAGCTGGTACCTCCCAGATACCCTCCGACATAAACCAGGGTGACTAGTTGCAGTGCAATTCCTGTCATGAGGGAACGCCTCCGTCCGATGAAGTCAACCACGAATAAAGCAAATGCTAGAGTGCTGACAAACTTCACCACAGCATATATGCCTGTGGCTAGGAACTTAGCCTCATCTCCATCGATTCCCAGATAACCAAATATCGTCGGGGAATATTGTGTGATGGCGTTGGCTCCGGACCACTGCGAGAAAAGGGTCGCCATGAAGATCAAGAAGAATCGACGCCGATTCTCCACCGGAATAAAGGTCTCCTTTGCAAGCTCCCATACGCCCGTATTGCCAGCCGCTTCGCTTTCATGGAGAATCCTTGCATCCATGCCTGAGATCTCCGCTTGGAGAGAAGGGTCTTCCAGAGGTGCATGGCGAAGTTTTGACAGTGTTGCCAATGCCTTCTCCCGCTGGCCAACATATAAAAGCCAGCGTGGTGATTCGGGACACAGGAAAGTCCCCAATCCCCATAGAGCTGCCGGAAGAAGCTGAAGAAGTGTTGGAAGCATCCATTGGGTCTCGGTTCCAGCGTAGGATTTTGTGACGCCATAGTTGATGAAGAAACCGAACACAACGCCCAGTTGCTGGCACGCCGCATATTGCAAAGTCAGAAGTCCTCGGATGGCTTTGGGAGAAATCTGATTATGATTCAGCAGGTTAGCAGATGCCTATCGCAAGGGCCAGCACGCGTACTTCTGAAATGTATACGGATGGGATCACAGTGGTTGCACCAATGCCGATACCAGAGATGAATCTGGAGGCATAGAGGCCAGAGATATTTCCACCACAGAGACCTTGTCCGAGGACTCCAGCGATGTACACCAAGGTCGCTACTCGCAGAGTGAATCGGCGGCCAAATCTATCATTTAGAGGCAAACACTATCTCAACCATCAGCAAAGAAGTGTCATTGAGACCAGGAGCCACGTACCCCGAAACATCCAAAAACAGCCCCTGCTGTCGCTATCGAGACAATCCATCCTTTGGTATTCGCATATTCATGTTCCGTCTGAACGTCAAGTCCAAAGTCTGCCATGAACCTTGCTTGGACCACCAAGGACGCGATATTACCTGTGGATTGTTAGTCTGAAAGCAGGATGAGAAGCATAAGGCTAGAATCCAGTCTTACCCTCATCGAAGCCTTTCGCGACTCCTGGAAACGCAAATATCAAAGTACACATAAAGACATACCAATTGAAGGTGCCGCGAGGAGCATCTTGAATGGCTTTTTTCGTGTCTGCGATGATACCCATGTTGGCAAAGACCCGTGAAAGTCTACGAGGAGTATCCCCACGAAGATTCAGGAGTGCCCTTTCATACCCCCGACCTAAGGTGCCAAGACCCGATATCCGGGGTACAAGTGCCGTGTTTACTTGAATGCTAGTTCGGGGGTAAGAGGCCCAAGATCTACAGTGTCGGAAATTCCCCGTGGTCTAGTCCGGAGTACGGATCTTTCATTTAAGAGGCCCTCGTGCTTTGTTCACCTTATGGAAACAACAAAAACATCGAAATTACGAGTCATTGAGTCTTGGTCGAGTTGGCCTGACCCCCAAGATGAACTTCTACCCAATTCCACCAGTCATCCAGGCCGAGATTTTGGTCCAAATCCCACCCACACTGCGATGCACCGGACAGCATACAGATTGGCGAGGCGGGTCTGCCCTTCCAACTTCAGATATCTTTCTAGAAGGTCCTGTCGTCAGTAGCAATGGTGATCTATACGTGACGGACATTCCATATGGACGCATTTTGAAGATTGATTCCCAAAACCAAATCACAGAGTGTGTGAGATATGACGGCGAGCCAAACGGTCTTGTCATCAGAGACGATGGCTGTTTAGTAGTAGCCGACTACAAACAGGTAAGTAAATGATCCCAAACCTATAGAACATTGAATCTAACATTGGTAGGGTATTCTTGTTTTTGACCCATCAACGGGAGAGATGTCGCCTCTGCTAGCTCGTCGGAACTTGGAACGCTTCAAAGGGCCGAATGATTTAGTGGTATCGTCGAAAAACGAGATCTATTTTACGGATCAAGGCCAAACGGGCATGTCCGATCCGTCCGGACGTGTCTACCGGCTTTGTCCAGACGGCAAGCTAGACTGCCTAGTGGACAACGGGGTTTCACCGAATGGCATTGTACTGTCCCCCGACGAACGATTTCTATATGTCGCCATGACTCGGTCAAACTCCGTGTGGCGTCTTCCTCTCAATGCAGATGGAAGTACAACGAAAGCGGGGTTGTTCTTCCAATCCTTCGGTGCATCTGGACCTGATGGTCTTACCGTCGACGAGGAAGGCAATTTGTTTATCTGTCATCCTAGCCTTGCATCGGTTTTCGTCGTTGATGCAGACGGCATTCCCAAAGCTAGGATTGTGACCTCACCCCAAGGAGGAAAGAATTTGACAAACTGCACCTTTGGGGGCGAAGATGGTCGCACTTTGCTTATAACGGATAGCATGAAGGGGAATATTCAATTTGTGAAATGGCATTGCGGAGGCTCTGTGAAGCCCAAGGCAGTCAAAGCCAGATGAAATAGAATATCATGGGATATCATCCATTCTGGCCCCGAGTCTGTAAAAAGCTAGACTGACAGGTAAAATAACCAGAAAGACACGATCTAATGGTAGAATTTGTGCCATCGGATTGGAGAAGGGCCCCAGAGAGAAGACATCGGGATACTTGAGGTACGAAATCCAGCTTGGGATGTATATTGTCTTGGCGAGAAAAGGTAACAGCTTTGGAAGTTTTGTTTAACATGGAAAATGAGTATTTTAGGTAAGAGTCTGCAAGTGATTGTACAGGTTATTGACAGCAGCCATTGCACTCGCCGTTTGCGCGCGAGTCGTAGCAGCTCCAATGTGTGGCGTACTGATCACATTCAAATGCTCCCAGAGAGCACCATACCTCTCCCGAGTTGGAGGTTCCTGCTCATGACAATCAAGCCCAGCACCCCAGAGGTGTCCTTCAGATAGTGCTCTACCCAGATCAGCTTCGTTCACAATTCCACCACGAGCTGCATTGATCAAAATAGCATCTGGCTTCATTGTGCGAAGCTGATCATAGGATATCATGTTGGCCGTCTCCTTAGTGAGAGGCACATGGATTGAAATCACATCTGCCGTTTCGAGAACCTCTTGTGCGGTATTGACCCTTGTGTGAGGAATGTGAGGCCATGCATCAGCAGGCATAAACACATCACAAGCTACGACTTCGGCATCGAAGGCACCCCGGAAGATCTCCGCCACCGTTCGTCCAATGTTGCCCATTCCAATAATGCCGATGGTTTTGCCATAAAGAGTAAGTCCGTTGCATGTTTCCTTCGGCACAGGCTTTGACATCTGTCGGACAGTGATGGAGCGAATGTCCCTTGCGACAGCCATTGTCAAAGCAAGCACAAGCTCCGCAACATCTCTTGCGTTGGCGCCGGGGGTGTTCAGAATTTTGATTCCACGCTTGGAACAAGCTTCTTGGTCGATCTTGTCAATTCCAACACCATGCTTGCCGATTGCAATGAGATTTGGACAGCTTTCAATGTCGTCTGCAGTGACAAATGAGCCTCGAACCAGGATTGCTGTTGCTTTCTTCCTCCAATCGGCGAAGCCTGGATCTTCTGGAAGAATCACGTTGAACAGCGTCTTGGCGTGGGAAATAGCCTGGGGGTTGAATGCATCGAGTACATAGACCGTTGGCTTTGTGCTGACCGAGTTTGATCTTGAAGGTTGATCCCCACTATGAATGCTTGATGGAGACATGTTTGCTTGTTGTGGTAATGCTGTGCGATGGAATCAAGACTTGATTGAATGAGATGAATCGCAGCTGTAATTCTTGTGTCTTCTCCATCTGCCAGAGCCGCCCAGCCTGATTTAAATCATTTCTACTTCGAAATAATGAATTAAAGTGACCGAAGACCCCGAATGTTCCGCTCGACGGACCTCCGATGGCACCGGAAATTTCCCGTCAAGGGCAATTTAATCACCAAATGCCGAACGGACAGATCGGCAGTCACAAGAAACATCCGTAAACAGATGACAAGTGTCGTCCATCAAGGGGTTTGATTCAACAAAGGCTTGACCCACATGGGAAGCCGAATGTGAATGCGCTTGAGCGTAATTTCCTGGTTCTGCATAATGGAAGCTGTTCTGATTGAAACAGTGTATCGAATTGCCCTATGATAAGAAGTCCTTAATCAATTTTTGGATCCCTTCAGGGATCACCTCCGGCATTTCGTAAAGGATTTGATCATGGGCTCCGTTCTGCAGAGCCGCAGAAGACAATGCCCATAGTACACGACGAAAAACCCGAAGTGCAGGAAACCTTTCAACTTGAATGGAGAGGGTAATGGTGCACTTGTGAACAAGATCTGGCACAGAAATAGAACATGAGGTCGTTCTAGTTAAGCATATCGCAACAACGCCAACAGCAAAGATATCGTAAGCATCAACGAACGTTCCCATGAGCTCTCCGTGTTCGGATCTTTGATATTCATCTTCAATGTATTCTTGACAGTTTCGAATAAAATCACTTTCAATGGTACGAGGGCTCACGATCATTGACTGTCCTATGAGTGTGGAGCCCTTCGATTTCAGAATTTGACTCATAGCTCGGCACGAGAGCTGCTGGACGCACTTGGGTGACATTCTGGTCTTCACGTCACTGGCAGAGACAAGCTCTTTCCAGTAACAAAGATTATTGTAGTGGAACATTATTTCTTGTGATGAGGAATTCCGAATTGTTGATATGAGCCTGGCATGATCGACAATTTGGCAGGTGACGCGATCAGTTCTTGTAGATTCGTTTGTTCCATATTGATCTGGGGACTGGATTTCAATGTTAGCTTTGATACGATAGGTAGTCTTGCATAGATCTTCAGGTTTCATACCAAGACATGGATATCATCGTCCTCTATATTGAAAGGTCGGTCCATAATTGTGCTGATAGTTCTGTTGCGATTTTAGCCGAGTAATTCACTTCAAAATTGAAGACCTACCGATCAATTGTATAGAGACTCCAGAAGATATCTCTTCTCTCTCGGATCTGTTCTGCGGGCAAATGAAGAGATGGATTTGGATCCTTACAGAATCCGAACGTGATTGCCTTCTGCATTGCAAGTCCAAGCAAATGCCAAGTTGAACCGCCCAGGGAAGTTTGCATGGAGTAAATGATCAAAGAGATCATGCAATGCAGTATGTCGAATCTGCTCCCCGAGTCAAGAATACCAGCAAAAGTTTTCATCGCGACTGCATGAAGACTGCTTGCAAAGCCCTGCAGGCTTGCTGAGTCCGGAGAAAGAAGCATCCCTATAACCGTGTTCATATACACGTCAAACAATATTGTCCGACCTTTCTCCGGAGACCTTGAATCGTTGTTTGGTTTCTGGAAATGTGCTTCAAAGTCTTCCCATATGCGCGATGCTCTGAGATGTAAGAATTGTGGCTCAATACTTTCAATGAAGCGCGTCACATAAGGCAATGCAATCGCCCTCGTGAGAGTCTCTCCTTGATCGCAAATCGAAATTATTGCGCTGTGGGCGTTTTTCGTTGATTTTGTCGGGTCCTTTCCGGAGATAGCTATGGTAGCGCGCACCATGCGGCCCATGGCAAGCTCTTGAGAAAAACCACTCATCTCATCGCGCGGCTCTGCCATAGCGCTGCGTGACAGCAGCCCGACCTCTCCCATGGCAGCTTGAACAGTGGTGTCCGCAACGTCTTGCGGGCCATTGCTGTTATCACTTCCAGGGCGTTGAGCTGGGTTTGTTGAAATGCGGGATGTCTGGGGCTCTTCATGTTGAAGGCGAGCACGCTGACGTTGAACTTGAACTTCCAAGTCATCGCGTTTTCTTTTGAGGGTCTCCACATAACTATCTTGGAATCAGCTGCAGTCACTGTGGATAATTCGATCATGAATACCTGGGAACTGTGGCGTGTGAGAGATGGCCACTGTTGGCAATTGGCCCTGATGAGAAATTTCGTGGAATGCATTCCGAGTCTATTGCTATGCAGTTTGCGCATGCAGGAATTGCCTTGTCGCACTAATTTCCGGGGAATTAAAAGATGCACGTCCCTATGTCGCCGGAGTGATGCCGAACCTTCTTTTTTTGTTTCCAGCATCTTTCGCATGCTTGGCCGCGCTGTCGAAGAGTTGACACAGGCTTGCTGCTCGTGTCACTACCAGCCATGTTTGTGTCCTTTGAGCCCCAGGTGTCAAATCAAGTGTCGAATCAATAGGAGTGCTCAGCGGAGGAGCGGCCGAGGTCCGGGGAAGGTTGGGGAAAGGTTGGGGAATCCAGGTGGCTCCTTGGGCTGTGATTGGCCGGATTGTACATGCTCAGCCTGAGGCTGTCATCCACCTGGGGTTTACTTTTGCCTGTCTCTAATGCTCTCGGTCTTGGAATATTTACCATTCAAACGACTTGCTCGAAGACTACGACTGTCTACAGACATGACTACGGCTGAGATGTGGGATACGCACATCCATTGTTTCGATCCGGAGCGATACCCTTTCAAACCAACCCGCAAATACACACCAGGACCAGCCAAGCTTGACGATCTTCTGAGAAGTTGTCAGAGCAAGAAAGTGGTTTTGGTGCAAGCTTCAATCGAGGACGGATATCATGGCCTAGTCGCTCACCTCCAACGCATCCATGCCGAATATCCACATCTTGTTGCTCGCGGTACGATCTGCATGGACGAAGATTGGGAGACCTTGTCCGACCAGGAGTTTGACTTCTTGCACAGCGTCGGTGTCCGATCATGCCGAGTGCATGGCATCCTTGGAGCACACCGATTGAGCGTAGAAGATCAGATTCGCCAGTTCGCACGATCGTATCCGGCCCGAAAGTTCGGCTGGAGTCTCTCTGCACAATTACCATTGACAGTATGGGCGTCTCTCGAAGATGTAGCTCTACATGACCCAGAAATCTCTTCTCTGGCTATCATTGCGGATCATAATGGCTGTGCTACCCCTGCCGATATCGGCAGCGCGGAGCTCAAGGCATTCGTCAATATGTTACAATCAGAGAGGTTCTACGTCAAAATATCTGCCCTTTATCGCCGCTGCCCCGAGTCTATTGAGTATATGCAGCCTATTATTCACCAATTTGCGACACTCGCACCGCAATCTCTTCTCTGGGGCAGCGACTGGCCCCACGTGGATACCAGCAACAGATCTCTCCAACCCCTAGACACCGACAAAACAAAAGCTGAAAGAGTGGATGACGTGCCAGGGGAGCGCTTGGCGTTGAAATCTTGGCTCACGGATAAGCAATCGAGCGCAATGCTTATAGATAATCCTAATCGTTTATTCGAATCATGACCCAAATTTGGAGGCGCAGTGCCTACATAATTTATTAGAATTACTGGCAAAGACGTACTGATTACTTCACAATTCGATCATTCTTGCTACCTAGCAGACAAAAATTCAAGAAAATAAATCAGTATTCATGTCAACCCAATCTCCCGGGGTACTTGATTACACTTGAGGTCGAGGTAATATAGTTGGTTCCCACTTTCCATTGTCGGGGTTTATGATTTTATGATCCAGTACGTTTGATATTGCCTAAATGCACATCAAAAATACCCGGTCTATCCCCTATGCTCTCCCAGATATTCATTTGTCAATCAAATTGGTGGATGGAAAATCTCCGACCTCCGGACCTGTTTCCGTGATGGGCGCCAAGACAGTGTGGGGGAATTTTTTTTCTGGGGAACATAGTCCGGGGGCTGTCAGAGCAAGGCTTGTCAACTTTCACATAAATAAAAAGGTAGTCCCGACGATGCGACTTGAGTCGAGCTGCCCAGAACCTCTCGGGCTATTGTGTACACCTACTCGACATGCCTTCCTCAGAGTCCCACGCTATGAAATCACAAGATGACAACCAACTCAAACCCGACAAGAACGATGTCTGGGTTGAGAACTCCCAAGAAGAGAGTCCTTCTGATATCATGAGCATATATCACTCCTATGATATCGAATATCGACAGAAGGTTGAGGCGAAATTGCGACGAAAGATCGATACACGAATTCTTCCCCTCATTGTCCTCATTTATCTTTTGAACTATTTGGACCGGAACTCCATCACCCAAGCCCGTCTTTATGGCCTCCAAGAAGATACGGGTGTGAAGGGAGCCCAATATCAAACAGCCATCTCGATCTTCTCGGCTGGTTACATTCTCATGCAACTGCCATCGACAGTGTTGATGACGAAGTTTCGCCCTTCCATCTTTCTAGTATGCTCATCATCAACTATTATACGGAAGGAAAATGTTGCTAACATCTTTGCAGCCAAGCTGTATCATTATCTGGGCTATTGTTAGCGGATGTACATCTGCTGTCAACAACACAGCAGGCCTCCTGATTTTAAGGTTCTGTCTTGGTTTCGTCGAGGCACCTTTCTTCCCCGGCGCTATCTACTACCTGAGCTGTTGGTATACCAAACGTGAGATTGGTGTTCGGATGGCTCTTCTCATCTGTGGGATCTTACTGTCAAATGCGTTTGCTGGTTTGATCTCCGCCGGAATCCTGTCTGGGATGGGTGGAGTGGCTAATCTCGCTGCATGGAGGTGGCTTTTCATTCTGGAGGGCCTAGCAACTGTGGCCGTAGGCTGCATAGCTTTCTTCGTTCTTCCAGACTTTCCTGGTACAACCAAGTGGCTCAGTGAACCCGAAAAGGTCGTTGGCCAGGGTCGCCTTGCCGCTGACGCTGGAAGCAATACAGTTCTTGATGCCGAGAAAGTCCCAATAACCCGTGGTATTATCTGGGCCGCCAAGGACATTCGAACATGGCTCTTTGCTTGCTTGCAGATGTCTACCACTGCGTCGATATCTTACTCGCACTTCTTCCCCACGCTGATTAAGGAACTTGGGTTCAAGAACAACACAACGGTCTTGCTTCTGACCTCCCCTCCTTACATTGTCGCCTTCTTTTGGGCCATGAGCTGGGCATTTTTGGCGGACAGAAAACAAATTCGCTCTGTCCCTGCCGGTATATCACAGTGCTTGGCTATAGTGGGAACGGTCCTTTTGATTGCCATAACAAGCTCTCTGTGGGCGCGTTACGCTTTAACAATCCTGGTTTGCTGCGGTACTTTTGGTGTCTATTCCACTACCTATGCCTGGCTATCGTCTACAATTACACAGCCACCGATCAAACGCGCTGTGGCCATTGGACTCGCCAATAGCTGTGCCAACATTGCATCCCTCTTTGCAAACTATTTCTGGCTGGATCAATACGAACCTATGTACAGACAGTCTTGGGGCTGTCTTTTGGGCTTCCAATGTCTGGGAATGTCTTGTATTCTGACAATCCGGTTCTTGTTGAACCGAGCCAACAAGAAGTTGGAAGCTCTGGCCACCGAAGCTGAGAGAAATGATACTCTTTTCATGTCTCGCTTGGATGGAGACGCTAGGGACGCGGTTCGGAACAATTTCCGATATGTTGTCTGAATAATTTTGAGTTTCAATATGGGATACGATGCGTCCATGGCTTTTCTGGGATTATTAAATAAACATCACCGGCTATATCACGACTTATGGCCCAAATTACGATAGTTAAACTTCACACGCAGTGTTTAAAATCTAAACGCGATGCAAATCGGTGCAAATCAACAATAGATATTTTTCATTGCTTCCCCGTACCTGCTGTATGGCCATATTAGCAATCAGGCTTGCTCCTATGAATGTTTCAAAAATCACAAAGAATCACAAAAAAAAAAAAAAAGAAAAAAAAAAAAGAGTTCACTTCTGGCAGGTCGTGGCGAGCATTGGCTTTGCCCCGGAGTCCCAGGGCTTGCGGGGGTGGATCCATCACCTGACCCCCGGAGCTAGAGCCAATCTCAACGTTGGGTTTCTTTCCTCCATCCTCCATCCCCCGATACCCAATTACCCTGGCTCCAATGGCCTTGTCATTCTTGAAAACTGCTCTTTGTTCCACTCCGATTGAGAGCTGCTAGACAAAGTCATTCGGCCCTTGCCGCACCAAACTAAACGCGGCATGGCGCATTCTGCCACCGACCAATTAACATCTTCTGGAAATCCCGGGGCTCAATTCCCTCACCTCCCGGCTTGTCAGTTCTGCCATCACCGAAAGATCAAATGTGATGATAACCGACCAAAGTGCGGGCCGTGTACCAAGCATGGTGAAGACTGCGTGACACTACGTGTAGATGAATTCAATGCTATCTCCAGGGAGTACGAGCATTGAACTTGATTTGATGATGGCTTTACTAACACTTGGTTTCAGATACATTGGGGATCTTGAGCAGAAGATAAAGGAGTTTCAGAGCCAGTTGGCGGAGCCTCGAAATGTGGAATCCAGGCAAAGAGAATCAACAAACCCTGCTCCCCTTGCCACTGGGACTGCAGATACGGCCAATAACAGTGAAGTGAATGATTCAAGTCGAGCCAAAGATCTAAGGAGACAACATCATGCTCACTCTCCAAGTTTTATTGAAGGTGGTGGAATCAGGTGAGCTTGGCTGGTGTGCCCCAAAGTACATTTACTGAGCTCTAACGAATATGCGCAGCTTTATGCGGCATCTTTTTACGGACTCCTCGTGGCGAGATCATGACTCAAGCCTTTTGCAAAATCTTTCCAAGACTTCAGGCCCAGCCGAAGCAGGGATCAAACCCAACGCTCTTCCACCTGCCGCTGAAGCAAGGGTTCTCTTTGACAAATAGTAAGTTGCATCAATACTGGATCTGCCAAAGTCTAGATTGTGTCTACCAGGTACTGACTTCAAAAGTCTAAGCGGATCTAATATCCAAAACCCGTTTCTTCTCAGACGTGATGTTCAGCAGCTATATCACCTCGTCTTCTCACCCATCGAAAGACAAAGGCAACATCATGCTGCATCCGAAAATGAGTCTCATAATTTGTTCCGTACCTTCATGATACTGGCAATCGCTTCGGTTCTGCCTTACCGTCAAGGTATCCACTCTCATCACCCCTATGGTTACTTTCTGTCTGCCATGCAACACCTTGACGACAGCCTCCTTTCAAGGGGCCTCCATTCTATACAGGATCTATTACTTGTTGGGAGATTCGGGATCTACCATCACATCGGTAAGTCTTTTCTTGAAACCCTTTCGATCACCGGCCCCAGAAGCACGCCACGTGCGTTGGGGCCAGAAGCCTTTTGCCTGTCATTGTGCTTATATCAAGAACCAACACAGGCATATCCATTTGGGAAATCACCAGACTATGTATGCGCATGTGTATCGAACAAAATCTACACAAACCACCTTCTCCTTCTCGAAAGGTGACTCTTCTAGAGGAGCAACTTGAAAGGCGCGTGTTTTGGGAAAGCTACATGATCGATCGCTACAGCTCCATAACATTAGATCGACCATTTGCCATGACCGACAGTGCAATAAAGATTGCTCTCCCCGCAGATGCTAACGATGAAGAGCTAGACGCCGCTGATGCGACTAGCTCATTTCCCGATCTCAACTCTTTCTGCGCCGCATCTATGCTGACAGACGTGGCTACACCAATGACACGAACAACCGAAATCTCCGTATTCTCTGCCTGTGTACGACTTCGCCAAATAACCTCAAAGATCCATTTGACATTTCAAGGAAGTGCGATTAGTGGGTCTAATCGAGATTCCATCACAGCAAGGGGGGCAGTTTACGCCAGTCTAGATCAAATACTTCATGATCTTCAAATATGGCGGCGGTCAGCGCCAGTTTTCGAAAGCCCTTCCTGTCTGTACGAAATGCAGGAATGGTACGACCTTTTGTGTTTTCGAGAACAGCTTTTGCTGAGCCGCAAAGCTCTGGACCTTGTGCCCAAACCAAAGAACGTACCTCCAAGAGACCTGGTGGCTTTATGTTTACAATTTGCTGTCGGGGCAATTACTGGCTTCTGTCGACTGTTTGAGAGAAAGCAAATTACATTTACTCGAAGCTACTTTCAAATGCTCTTTACCGGTGGCCTCTCAATCATGTTTTGTCTCTCTGTCGTTAGAGACTTTACATCAGTCACTATCCGTGAAGCAATCAACGCCATCACGCAAGGCCAGGTTGCGCTACAGCAGATGGGTGAAGAGCTACCTGATGCCAAACGCTACGTCGCAGTTTATGAAGCTTTGGGTGCGAATGTCCGGCGCAAATGCAGTCGTCATCTCCACGGAGAATCAGATTTTACACAACTGGACGATCCTCATATGAATGAGGCGAGTCAAAAGTCACATCATCCCAACCTGCCGGCGGCAGCGGCATCACATCCGGATCATTACCAACCTCTGCACTATTCTGCTCAATTACCCACGTCTGAATCATTTCTGGGTAGAGATGATAGCGCCGCTCTATATCCCAATGTCGTGACTCAGGATACACCAGTCTCCGACAACTCTCTTCTCCCGTGGGACCTCCTCAACAATGACTCGTTGTGGGACATGGAAGCTGGCCTGAATGAGTACGCCTACGGTGATCCACCTGCTACATTATACTTGAATGATCCTTTTGATCTCTCTGTGTTTCAATAGCAGCAATAATTGATATTCAAGTGTGTAAAAATCTATTTCATAATATGTACAATCTATTCCAGAATCTTCTGTACTCTCCGGTTGATCTCATCGTAGTTCTTTGTGATCTGCTTCATGCCATTCTGCAGGATTGCTCCATCAGCGCCACTCAATGACCAAGTAGCGCCGAGGGAGAACCATCTCTCCAGGATATCAAGTCGGCCACCGATTCCACCGATTCCCACAGGCTTCCCAACCTTGTTGGCGGCCTCAATAATCTTGACAACCGAGTCCAAGTACTTGGGATCATCGTACTTCCCGTGAATGCCAAGATCAGCGCAAAGATCATTTGATCCGACCAACACACCGTCCACTCCTTCCACGCCCAAGATCTCCTCGGCCAATTCCACAGCCACAGGTGTCTCGATCATAGGAATCAACATGGTTTCCCGGTTGAGCGTCTCATTCTGCTTTGTTGTCGGGATGTGTTGGAAATCGAAAATCGGGAGGTTGTTCGTGCAACCACGTGCACCAAGCGGCGCGTATTTAGCATGGTGGACTAGATCGCGTACTTCTTGGACACTCTCGATATGCGGAATGACGACAGCTGCGGCGCCGGCATCGAGAAGTCGGCTTATGTGCCAGTGAGACTTAGAAGGTGACCGTACCACTGGAGAGACCCCGACGTAGTTGCAGGCTAGGATGAGCTGTGAAACAGCATGCAGATCCAATGATGAATGTTCCATGTCGATAAAGAGACCGTGGAGGCCGGACATCTTGGCCATCATGGCAACTTCATTGCCGGTCATGTACTTCACGGACAATAGTGGTGTGATCTCGCCATTCAAGATGCGGGTCCTGAATGGGTTCGAGATAGAGAGGGTTGGTTCTGAGATTGAGCCCATGGTGATTGAAAAATGGGAAGGAGGAATTCCAAATTCACTCTGCTGTTTTTTTGGTTTGATTATCCAATTTTCACACTCACTTTCGGCACCCTATTTATCTGCTTTTCCCTGAGGCATGTCGCGGCGGATATCCGATGCCTAGCGGCAATTGTCCGGGCGGGTACATTGAGAGCCCCAGTCGACGAGCGGGGTATGCCTGGGGTACCCGTTGACTCCGTTGTGACTGCCGACGCGAGCTCCCTACGCCGAAACGAGCCACTATCCCCAACATTTACCCGCCATTCCACTGGTCTCACGTAATCTTTAGCGAATTGCATGACACTGAGGTCAATTTTGCCGAGAAAGAGCAAATGGCAGCTGAGTGCTCGGACTGAGATATCGGTGCGCACGGCCTATTGACCGAGGACGCTGGCGGTAGAATGTTCTTCCCGCTGATTTCCTGTGGTCTGAGGAGGCAATTGATACCGAGGCTTTCAATCAAAAGTACTGCTTCCTTGATGATACTGAAGACTTCGTACATGGGCAGATCAATCCAAGCACCTGGGCATGATTAGTGACACATCGTCAATGGGGTATCTATTGTTGTTTCTTTTGAGATATGTACATATATTCTATGCCCATCCTGCCAACGTCCAGCTCGACCGATCACCACCGGACCTCAAGCCAGATCGACGATCAGGAACAGGATGGTCAATGTCTCGAGTAGCCCCGGCCAATCCGTGCTGAAGGAATTTCTCTCGTTCAATTTCAACCATGCCACGGATCTTCAGAGTAGTCGTTAAGCTTGCGCCAGCCCAAGGGCCGAGTGACTCAATTTCCCGCAGCACGCCTTGGACCGGAACTGGGGTGTCTCTGTTTTGTCGGCGGAGCTTCTGTTCCACAAAGTCGATTTCCGGAGGATCGGGAAGCGGTGTATCAGGAGAAGCGGCTTCTCCATTGCCTTTGGGGACCTCTGGTTGGGAAGAAGCTCTTTGAGATGATAGTTTCAATTGCTCGAGCCGCTCCCGTTGTCGTTCAAGTGCCTTTCCTCGAATTGGGCTCCATCCATGGCGATCGATCATGCTTGAGACTTCATCAAGGACCCGCTGTCGTAGACCAGGAATCCTTGAGCCACCGCCCACGAATACAATGCGTGCCATGCAAGTTCCTCGTGCATCGGGGGGAAGTGACAGCAGCGTATTATAGACAAGTAGAGGCAATGATCTTTCCTCGTCATCCATCTCATGTTCTGGAATGCCCGATGCGAAGAGCACCTTTTCAGTAGGCTCAGCGAACCGCAAAAAGGGCACATCCATGTATTCCTGTTCTGGGTTTGCGGGCGAAGGAATCGCCAAAGTCTGGTTGAACTTGTTCGATGATTCTTCGTAATTTTTAGATTTGCACCACGAGAATCGGCTGGCTATCTCCTCACAATACGCAAGCCCAACTGAAATTTCATCAGCGGTGCCTGCGTTGTCCTCGGTGTTGGAAGCCAATCCAGTGAGGAGTCGCCCCGTTTCCTGCATCAAGTGTTTCATTGCCCGGGTTGTCTTCTTCGTGGAGATTTCCCGGTATTCGTAGATTGCCGTCGCCGTTGTTTCGGCCCAGCCCAAGTCGACCACCAAGGCCGACCGCAATCCAGCGGCCGTGGCTGACATAGTCGCGCTCGATAGAAGGGTCACACTTGAGAATCGCCAGCGACTGAACAAGGTTGATAAAAGAGACGATAGCAACGGATGTGGCATGAGAGATGGCAGGACAAGCACCAGGCGCGTCGTGCCTGCATCAGTCAATAGAAACTGATTGTATGTTTCCCGAACCGCGCGCTCGATCTTGTCCTCGACCAGACCCAGGTCAACTTCTCTTGAGTCAAGGCGCCACAGCTCATGCGATTGCGCCCATTCTTCCGCGGCAATAGGCTGTGGTAGTCGGGCAGCCCCGGCGCTGCCTTGTATCCATCCTCGATAGTCTCCCGCTCTCCTGGAATCTTCGGGCCCAAATCCAACCACACACGCAGGAGTACTATTCCCTTCAAATCCTGCGCGCAGCCATCTTGCGCCTATCTCAAATATGATTGCATCGTCCTCGCTTCGGAATGAGGAGCTGGGGGACGTGTTGCTGGCGAATGAGGTACTTCCCGATCGTATTTGTTGCTGCGGGGTGTGAGGTGAGGCTGGCCGTGTTGTTTGACTGTGCCGTAGGCTGGAGGTTGCTGAGGTGCGTTTACTGGCGTTTATTGGGGATGTGTCGCCCGCCATGGTGTTGGGGTAGTCCGGCTGCCTCTCCTTTCCCGAATCAGGGCGAGGAGAATTGTGTGGGAATGAGAGATGCGGTGAGCCGACGCGCAAATTGAAGACCCACGGCCATTCAATTGCCCAAAAGAAGATCAAGAGCAAGCTCGTGTTGTCGAGCAAGTTGTATACTCCGTAAGCTCCGTGGCGTGGGGAGCTCACGGGAGAGCAAACGGATCTACATCGGGCCGCCCAATTTGCTCGTCAACAACACTTCAAAACAAACGCAACCAGCCCACCAACGAAGCTCCATGGGTGGGAATCTCATTATTCTTACGGGCGGATCGATCTTGGGGTCGATATAATGGGCATTCCAGGGTGAGTCTGGGCTTTGGGGGATTCCCCTGCAGCAATACAACCCTTCTAGACTTGAGTGCAGTGGTGCTCCACCCTGCGCGGGCTGCAGTCCTTCCTTGAACGCATTTTCTGACCCAATGCTCAGGCTTATCAATACGATTGGACCAGGAGAGCGCATCTCGCTGGCTAAGTTGGCAATCACACACTTGGAGCGGACGGCGAGACCTATCCGCATCGCAGTCGATATCTCCATTTGGCTCTTCCAGGTTCAAGCTGGTCGCGGTGGAAGAAACCCAGAGCTTCGCACGCTCTTCTTCCGCCTCTTGAAGCTCCTCGCATTGCCTGTCCACCCCCTTTTCGTTTATGATGGGCCACATAAGCCAGCTTTCAAGAGAGGGAAGGCGGTATCCGCTCGCAGCTACGGAAGTGCGCCGATCATTAGACGATCCAAAGATCTTCTTGAGCGGTTCAGATTCCCCTGGCACGAAGCGCCGGGTGAGGCTGAGGCTGAATGCGCGCGTCTCCAGCAGGCAGGCATCGTGGATGCTGTGATGAGCAACGATGTTGATGCTTTGATGTTTGGCTCGTCCATGACGATTATGAATTTCTCGAAAGAGAGTGGGAGTGGCACATCATCCGCCACTCATGTCACTTGTTATGCGATGGGACAAGAGGGTCATCCGTCGAACATACCTCTTGATCGACCCGGCATGATTTTATTTGCCATGCTGAGTGGCGGAGACTACCTGCCATCTGGCGTCGAAAAATGCGGCAGTAAAGTTTCTGCGGAGATAGCCCAAGCTGGATTCGGCGAGGATCTTCTCAATGCGATTGCTGTGGGCCCGAACAGTGACAAAGAGTTGAAGGAGTGGAGAGAACGACTTCAATATGAATTGGACACGAACTATAGCCGCTATTTTACATGCAAACATCCAGCTATCAAGATTCCCGAAGACTTCCCCGATCGAACAATCCTCGAGTACTATGCTCGGCCAAAGGTTTCCGGTGATGGAGACATGGCATTTCTGAGAAACCGGCTCCAACAGGCGTGGGATCAGGATATCGATCCTCTGGCCATTCGTGCTTTTGCAGCGAATCACTTCGACTGGAACTATCGGACTGGGGCAACGAAAGTGACCAAGTTGTTGGCTGAACCCCTTCTGTCATATCGACTACGCCTCCAGAGGCCAGTTATGGGTGTTTCCTCCGGGTTTTCCTTTGTTCCTGATGCCCCCCAAACTTGCCACAAGGTGTATAAAAGCCGATCGAGCTTCGCCACAGACGCAATGCCAGAGCTTCAGCTCGATATGCTACCGGTGGATGTCGTGGGCTTGGATCTTCTTGGTGAAGAGCTTCCCCCGCCTGTAAACATGGGCAGCGCGTCATCTCAGAGTATTCTGAATGAAGAAGGAGATGACGAGGACCCTGATTTGGCTGATTCAACGGCTCCCACAACACCCTCGAAGTCGCGAGTAACGAAGAGATATGACCCCTTTTCAGTGGGAAAGATCTGGGTATTCGAGACTGTTGCCAAAGTGGGTATCCCTGATGTTGTCGCCAAATGGGAGAAAGAGAAAGCCGATAAAGAAGCCGAGAAGGCTGAGAAGGCCAGGGCAGCTGCTGCAAGAAAGACAGGCAGTCGGCGAGCTGGTCCCAAGAAAAAGGGGCCTCTTGATGCTGGGATGAAGCATGGGAGTATCCTGAAATACGGAACTCTTACAAAAGAAAAGCCTGAGTTATCAACTGCCGAAAAGGCGCGCTTGCTAGACGCCGCCACGTCAAAAAAAACATCCACAAATCCCCTATCCAGGCTCGTGGGGAAATCTGATTCTTCGCCAATAGTACTGGACCAGGAGGATGACCCCTTTGCTCCAAGTATGTATTCTCGACAAGTCGCGTCGCCGACCATGAGATACGTCTCACAGCAGGTGGACGATCTACTCGAGAGCTTCAACTCGATGTGCAACTTATCTCCTACGTCGAACACTAAGCAACGACCACCCGCAGATCAGGCCCTAGCTCGATCGAGGACTCGCATCGGGGTTACTGGTGGAGCCGAAATCGAAGAAGCAGAAACAACCCTGGACATACACGATGTTCAAGCACCATCAACAAAGCTCAAAGGGCTAAGAATCAGTTACTCAAGCCCAGAGGCATCATTTGACGAGCAGTCAGACTTGAATCTGCCGGCCCTGTTCTCTCGCACAAAAAAGCCACGCCCTAAGTCAAAGCAGGTTGCTGGATCGAAATTCGAGGAAGAAAGTGTTCAAGTCCAAGATATTGAAAAGGCGATTGAGTCTCTTTCTCTATCAACATTGACGAAAGCTGAAACTGTTCAAGAAAATATCAATCCTGTACAAGAACCGCGTCAGCCCAAGCCGAAAAAGAAAGTGCAAAAAAGCGATCCCTGCAGTCCATCCCCCAATTCTCAAATTGCGAAGGTATCCAGCCCTTCCAAGACTGCGAAAGATGGCCCTCATGCCGCGCCAGAGCCAGAAATACCTTCCCACCCCGGGAGCCGTGAAATTGGCGAGCATGCAGTAATGCCGAGTGATCAGACTTGTACCAAACGGAACAAACCGAAATTGGCCAGCTCTTCAAGAGCCTCCCGGGTCAAGGCCCCACCAACGAGCCAAAAGTACGAGACCAAAGGTCATCTGGAAAACATCATAATACAAGATGGTTCCTGGTCGATCGACACATCACCCTCCGATGAGGTGACCCCTGCCAGCAGTCAAAACACGACACACAGGCAACCCCAAGGAAGCAAGAAGAAGCGCATTGCGCGCGTGAGCATTATTGATCTTGTTTGAGCCTTCTCATATACCCTCATCTTCGGCTAGCGAATCATAGCGGCGTTTGATACAATCTCAATATTAGCAGGTGTTTGGGTTTTCATAGTGCATGTACGCAAAACGGCGTCAACCAACGGCCGTGATCGTTTAGTTTGCCACCATAGGCTCAAGTTCGGGGTCTCTTCCTATTTGGCGCATAGGATAACAACCTAGCAGCACTTCCACCAGGAAAGAATACCATCGACTATGTTCAACGCGAGTCTCCCCGAAAGCGGACGAGGTTTTGTAGTAACCCTGTTACTATTTATGGCCGTTTCCACTTCGGAATATGAAGGACAAGCTCCAGTGGTGCGCCGAGTCAGAGACGCCGACTGCCTCCCGTGGCTGACGAACTGATATTTCAAAGGATCGTCAGGGTTTGGATTGAACGGGTGTTTGAAATAAGACCTGGGAGACCTATGTAGCTGGACGTTGATATCCATCCCGACAGACTATTGGAGATTTGAATGATCAGCCAGGTCTATTTCAAGCAGACAAAGAGTACTCACGTTTCCAACATTGTCACGGATCACATAAACAGGCTGCAGCGCTTCGCTGGGGTACTTGTTCTTCTTCGCAAGATAGCGGCGCATCGGTGCAGTGGCAGGAACCTGTGCAATGCACTTTGCGCCCTCTGCCTTTTGCTTCTTACAGTTCCCACAAGGACTGGAGCTCAGAGAGCCACTAAAGTTGTAAATACTAGCCACGAAGCCCTCGGACTCTCGTCCACGGAATTTCTCATCATGCGCTCCCCCGGCATCATCCAAGAACAAATTGATCTTGTACGCAGCGCCATTCAAAGCGAATCTATGCACATCAGTCTTATATGACAGGACTTTTCTGAAACCACTCACTTGTCATAGATTACGGTGATGACATAGTCGTCGCTTTCCTCCGAAGGACCTGTTGGAAGATTGTCGAATAGATCCTGCGTCGGTCTACCATATAAACGGTGAATCTCAGCCAGGATCGGCTCCCGATCATCAAGGCCGTGGCCTCTGTCTTTGAGAATCTCATACTCATACCCAAGTTTCTGCCACTCTCTCACTTCATCTGACTTCCAGAAAGTTTCCTTTGTGTCATGGAAGGGTGTCAGCTCGTTGTTCCTAGTCGGCTGGCTGGATTCATCGTCAAACCACTTATCCCAATTCAGGCTCTGCCAGATAGCAGTCAGACGGTCAATGTTACTGTAGCTGTCAGTGCGTACAGTCAGGTAAGTTGAGCTGAACATACTTGTGATATATCCAGAAGATGGGATCAAAGGCAGCCATTTGGACACTACTCATATGACCAACACCCCAGAGACTCATATGTTCTTCGTCAGGACGGAGGAATTGCGTTCCTCCCACGAAATCCTATCAAGTGTCAGACCCGGTGGATAGTCGCAAGCGATGCAGAGAAACTCACATGGAGGTTATTGTGGATAAACTCAAGACTCATCGCGTTCTTGACATCATTACCCAAATGATGACTTGCTTTTCTCTCTCCAGATTCTTCCTGGCTGTGTGATTTCGAAGTTGATTCCGTATAACGTGTGGATGAAAAGGCCCCCCATGAGTCAAGGCCGTATTGGAACAGCCTGTTGACTAGATCTTGCAGTGTCGGGGTCTTTCCCTCGTCGCCTATCTCAGCGTCGTAGGCATGCTGGTTGAGGGCGTAGTTTGCTTGAAGCCAGTGTTGGCCTCCGTCAGCACAAATGCTGGGGTCTGATTCGTCTCGAATGCCATATTTAGTTGTCGCGCTGCACTGATCCCACTTGATAGATGTTCAGTCTCTTTGGCCTCAGCCATCAAGGTGGTAAAACTCACAGGAAATGTGAAAGCCGGAGACTCTTCCTTCGCTGCTTTAAATTCTCCAGTGATCGTGAATGGACTTGGGAGGTTGCCCATCGGCTGAGAGGCTACGTATTTATAGAGAGAATTGGGTCTGCATTCGACAACAGAATCCTTCGCTGTAGAATCTTTCCCTTTGGGGAACACCCTAGTTTGAATTTCCGGCATCGTACAAAGAATGGGCAGTCTCAGTTTGTCACCAAGAGCGTCGGCGGAGATGCCATCCTTTGGGTCGGGCAGATCAGCAGTTCGAGAGCGAAGTCGAGCAAAGTCCCAGAATGGAAGACGCCACTTGTCTGCTTCATTCTTCCATGTATCCTGGGCGTCTACTGGAACATTGAGATCAATCCATTCGTACATTGCGTCATACAAAGTCCGCTGCATTTATTTGTCAGTGAATTCATCTCTTCGGCCTCTCTCCCAACTGTGCAGATGTGCAGTCATTCGGGCTTACCTCATAGAGCATCATGTAGACCCGATGCCACGTCGGGAATGTGTAGTCGTTATGGACACAATATCCTGGAATCTTTTTTGATTCTTCTGGAGGCTGCGGTACATCGTCCCACTTGCACCACGGAGCGGAATGTATGGCAGCCAGGCGGAAGTACGATAGCAGATTCGTCAATCCACGACCCTGGATGAGAGCCAATGCCTCCACGAAAAGACTGAGCTGAATTCTTTCACCTTTAACTTGCTCAATGTACCATTCGTCGATGTCTTTCCGGACGTAGGGGGCACCTTTCTCATCAACTGTTTCAATACCCTTCACAATGACAGCCATCCTGGATAGTGAAAGATTGATTCAAAACCAAAATCAAAAACTGATCAGCTTGTAGTCTGGCTGATTGGCAAGCATCGGGAGCAATAACATGGTATTTATACCTAGAGTAGTGGTAAAACAGCACCAGTAATAGCCTGAGGTACCAACCGGAATTGTGGGAGTATTTCAGGCCTCAGATCTATGATCGGAGGCAAATAACTTACACACTCCTTCATGAATCAGCTCTATTTCCTATTATGGCACTGTAGACCAGAGACGTCGCCAACCACTGTCCTCGGGGCCATAGTCATCTCATCGTCCTGTCTGCTTCGTCAGACCGCCATTCCTATATATGGATTTCACTAGGTGTAGCAAGCATCGATCCTAGTGCTGAACCCTTCTTAGGCTACCTATCATACCTTTAGGTGCAGCTGAAATAAGACCACCATTGAGTGTCCCGCGAAGACGCACGCTCATACCACATACGTATTACACCTCTCTCCACTTCTGTAGCCAAAAAGAGATCGCCGCGAGTGAAGATCTATCCTGTTATCTTCTGTGGACTGTACACTTGTCCACGGGTGCGATGTCCCGTTCCAACTGAGGGTTTCATTGGATGGGCTATCATCCCAAGTCAAGTTCCAAGTTTAGGTCTGAAAATTCTAGCATTGGGCTCCCGGAATCATGCTCAATGATGTCACATACCAATTTGGCTCTTATCAGAAAGTCCCAGTGTCGGATCTGCTAGATCCAAGCTGAAATTACCCAGGATCGAGCATCCGACTTTTGACAACAGAGATATTTACCTCTTAATGTATACCTGCAGTGAGTATTGACACGCTTAGATGATGGTCTCAAGAATGAGAAGATCTTTGTAAATCAAATTCCAGCAGCTCTGAGGGCGGCTGCAGCTTAGAAATACACAAATCTTCGCTGGTTGAGCAAATAGTGCTTGCTGTGGTTATCGGAATATCATGCACGATCTGCATCCCGGAAGAGGCAGTGTTTTCCTAGCCGACAAGTGACTGGATTTCTCCCCAGAAGTAATGATACGCAGCACTTGTTGGGGAAGAGGGGTTGTATACACAGGGCGCTTTATGCACACATCTGCGAAATGAATCAAGTGATGCGGGCGAGACTCATCACATGAAGATCTCAGCGTATAATGATGCTTCCAGAGCCCAGGCAAGAACAATCTGGACTTCTCAATTTCCTTGAGAAGGAGAGTGTCTCTAAAATAATCTCACTCTTCAGCGCTATCTCCAGATGTAACCGGGTAGATCCACTTGGGCACGTTTTTGGGCACGTTTTTGAACACATTTCCAAGGGTTTTAATGCTCGCAATAGAATGCCCTGCATTTTTAGGATTATTTTTTTCAAGAGCTCGATCAGCGCCTGAGTTAGCTGCATCAATCCCCGCTTCTAACACCTGTTCTTACATCCTCGTCGGAGTAGTCTGTGCACATTTACAGCTTTGGTACATAGCGAGGAACTGAGAAAGAGCTGAGAGAGCTATCCTAAAAACACCGGATTCATGGCACATGACATGATTCCCGTCAAAATTTGCTTTAGACAAATAAAATCTTCCCTTGTTTCCAAGGTTGCTCGATACCTACCTAGGTAGGTAGTGACAGAATAAGAGTCCGGGTATCGATTGATATCATTTTGACCTAGCCCTGTCTACCTTGTTCTTTCCTAATTTCGTTCCTTCCAAGGTTCCAGAATTCCCATCTTAAGGGACCTTCCTACGGCATGTAGCTAGAATGCTTTCATCCTATTTTCAATCAACATTGATTCTCCCCCACAACCTTCGAAAGGTTTCAAAAGGACGTTCGACACTCCCGAGGTCATCTGATCCTCCTCTGCATCCATGGCCATCAGTCTAGTGGCCTTCACTTACATGGCCGTTACAATAGTCCAAAAGGCCGGATTGCCGACCTTCGTCCATTACCAGCGCCCATTTCCGACAGTAGCCCACTCGAAAATGGGCGATTTTCTTCTTGAAGACCAGTCTGCCAGCCATTTCGGGGGCTCTCTCGGTGGTAAGTAGGGCCTTTATCTCGATCCACTCCGGGACATGGATCGTGATCATAGCACTATTCAGGATATTCTATGGACAGCGCATTATACTAATTTTCTATAGATTTTCTACACCACATTCATCATGCCGAACGATCCTGGGGCCTGCCCGACACCATCATGCCCGGAGCAGCCAGGCTGTCTTGAAGGTATGCTACAAATATCCAACCCAAATCAAATCTTGGAACGAGATACATATATGTGAATATAATACTAACGGTTTTTTTTTTTTTTTTCATTGTCAGAGAAGATATTGATTCCTATCCCCGAAAGAAGGAGCGAGCTATCTAGGGAACAGCCATGATCACCTCGCTGCCAGGTGGATGTTCACACATACCCTCCGGCAACTGGAGCAACTATTGGGGGAAAGTTTCCAAGAGTTTGTTAAGCTCGATCCATTCAAACACGACCTTAGCAACCAGAAACTCGGAGGTCCTGCCGCCGTTTTGGATGTGCTGAGGGCGAGTGAAGCCCGGTTCTTTCTCAAAGAACAAATCGGAGAATTTTGTTCTTCACTGTGCTCATTTGGCTAATTTGCACAATTTTGTTTGCCGTTGGATTCTGGCTGTTAACAGCAATGGCGAGAAATTCACCTTTACCCTACCCCAACTAAAGCCCTTCCAAAATGGCCCGAAGATGGCCAAGGGTTTGCCAGCGGTCCCAACCGCTACTCTGGTGGTAGGTGAGAGCTACCTAGGTATGCTCCGATCCATTGGTATCACTAGTTGTCCGCTACTCTGGTGGTAGGTGAGAGCTTCCTAGGTATGCTCCGATCCATTGGTATCACTGGTTGGCTAACGTTTATTCAATATAGATTCTCTACTATGAAAAGATAAGCCCGTGTACGAAGTGCACCGAGCCTCTATGCCCTCAGCCTCAATGCCCTGAAAGTAAGTTGCAAGAATCCAACACAAACCAAATCCTAGGATAACATACATGTATACTAATAAGTAAAAGAAAGCGGGCCGGAGAAGGCAGAACAGACGCCCAAAACCTCTTGGAGTACTTGGGTGGGTGTGGTCAGTGCCCTGATTTGGGGCCTCAACAGTGCAGTAATGGCACAGGTAAATTATTAGTTCCCAAACATTTTGGTATCATCCCTCCTTTCTTTAATCTCTTGCGCACCTAGTATCATCTCCATGTAATCTGTGTAGCTAGATATACCCGGAGCCTTAGCTTCCAAGGTTCAATACACCTGGGCATGAAACATGCTTGACTGTTTAATGCATTTCATATTCCCATTAATGCACTAATCGTCAAATCCATACGCGAGGCCAGAAAAGACTCCACTGAAGAATATCGTATAATCAACGCTCTGTGGAGGAGGCGGAGCGAGGTTTCGGATGAACCGTAATTCTGGCCGTCTAGAGGTTGGCGTATTCACTCGCAGCCAAAACTCCTTACTTTTGCCCTCGTGGATCACGCTGCAGGCGTTTCTTTCTCGCTTTTTACGATACGAGTGTTGAATTCCACCCGTATCAAGAGAAGCACAAGGTACGCTCTCTTGACAGCCCGAACATGTGAAGTGATCAGTGTCTGAAAACATAGTAGCAGACAGGCCTGTGCATTCCACATGCGACCAAGCATAACAGACTGAGCAGTAAGCTCCATGGGGATTCGATGTATCTCGCCTACCGCAACACGGTATCGACATGAAGAAGTCTCGCGGTATAAGACCAGGGATCTGGGGAATTGAAGAGTAATACCATTCTTCAACTGAATCAGATGCCTGAGCCATGGAGACCAAATCACTTGGCTGAGATGCTTTGAGGATCATTTCAAAAACTTCAGTGGGCAACGCAGTACCCCAATGCTCTCCAGATTTAGCTGAGAGGCCCTTCAAGCGACTCGAAGTGAGTATATATGCCAGTATTCTGAAACCCGGGGAGCAATGTAGCGCCGAGATATTGGTGACCAGAGGGATAGAGGTAGAGCGGAGAATTTTGCCGTTACGAATCTCAAAAAGGGCGATATTTCGTATAGAAATGGCTATTCCGTGAACAGGCCCCTTGTGATTGATACACTGGGAAACAAGATGCTTCTCTATGATAGCCACAGCATTGCTAATCTGGTCTGTATTGCAGCATAGAATCAGATATCGATGAAACCAGAATACCCGATCTCGAGGCGCCTTCCACCGTGGAAGGGACGAAAATAGAATCGGTAGATCCTCTGTGTCCGTATTTCTGACTTCAAAGTCCCATGCAGCGATGCGCAAGAGTCCGATAGCAAGGGCAGAAAAAACAGAAGACGTATGATCCCAGGTGAAAGTATCGTCGAGGTAGAAGCGCCATGTGAAAACAAAGTCCGTAAAGAATTGAAATTGTAGTTCATTTAGCCGGGCGGGCATGTCGGGCTTGATCTCAAATAATCTCAATGCATGTTGTACACTGACTTCGTTGTCTTCACCATCCAGTGAGGGATACTTCTTTGGCACTTCCACCACGTCACTTAGAAGTGTGTCTATTGCAGGAAGGGATGTTTCTCGGATACTGGCCAACGTCATCCGTCGGTTGATCCTCGTGGGAACTTCATCTATACCTCTCCACTCAGTGACTGTGAAGTGACCAGCATCTTCATCGATGGTATAGACATAATCGAGTTGAAAATGAAGTGGTGTTGGGAATGGGACGCTTTCCCATTTCAATTTGCTGGAGTCTGAAGTAAGTATGCGAAAGGTAGTCAGAGTTGCTCGTGAATCTGGCGATGAAGAAACTCCGCGAGGAGGGTGGAACCAACGGTACCACTTCCCTGAGGCTATGTTAGAAGCTATTTTATTAGGGATAGAATTTCCATACCATCCACGTGTAAGTTCCAGAGTCCTCTAGTCACCATCGTCAAGCCGTCAAACTGGGGAACCGGGGAGGAAGGGGGTCCACTGACTGGTGTGGGGGATTCGCGAACGCATCGATGCCTGATGCCCGGTGCCTGATGCCCGGTGCCCAAGGCACTGGACCAAATTGCAGATTAGACATGCATGGGCCTTTACGACAAACAGAGATTAGCAAACGGCTGCAGGGGTCCACGGGCGAATGCAAGGACCAGAGAATCCCTCAATTCTTGTACGCATTGATGGCGCCTTGCCGCGTGGCCAAATCCACCAGATCTGCCCTAGCCCTAGGTCCAGTAGAGTCCCAGCAGTCTCGCTCAAAGAGAGCGGCTGGTGCCTCCCCTTGCCAAGATCTTCTAACCATGCTGTGTGACCAGTGTGGTGTTGGAATCCAGTCTGAGATTATAAAGACCAAGGAGGCATCAATCACTAGTCGAGCGTAAACACCACCGAGATCGTTCCTATCAATTCGCTCACGAAGCTTGGTATTGCAACGAATCACGACGGGTGCAGGAACTTCTTCTCCGGTGACTAGTGTGACACCATTGCTGAGAAGCACAGTACAAGAACCGTAAGGGGACTTGTCAAGCTCAAACTGAATCAATTCGGATCGTTTGTATCATCCGAGTCTGATGCTGACACTGAAGTTTAGAAATTTCCATTTTGCACACCCTGGGGCATAGGCGTCGGTTTTCTATAATCCCCCTAGTAATCGCACCTCTGAGTCCTCGAAGCTGTATTTGGGAGTTGCCGTCGGTAGGCGGGTCCGATGATATACAGGGTCATACTAAACAGACGGGATTAGCCCCACCGTTCGGTAGAACTGTGGGGCTTTGGGTGCTGATTATACTCTTCCTGGTTTAAGTGGTCAACAGGTTAATTCCACAGCTGTCAAAACTAGCTGCTGGCTCGATTGTCGGCTAGGCATTAGTAAATTGATCTTGTTTCTAAACATTGGATTGGGAAAAGTCTAGGTGAGCTTCTCACGCAGTTCCGAGTATCACAGGAAACAAAGATATCAGTCCGGACATGGAAGTAAGATCCCGTGGTATAAGAATCCATGGATGAAAGGATTTGGACGTTAAATTGACAAGAGGGGGAGACATGTCCACAGAAATATTAAGTGTTGAACACCCGAAAGTAATGTAAAATATCAAAAGTGTGGATGTGGATGTACCACAGAATCAACGATGTATTATTTGTCCATCTAACCAAAGACTTTCAAGAAGCCCCAAAGTCCAATTCCACTGAGCACGGGGATGGTGAGGTTGTCGTCCCAGCTGAACAGATCGATGAATTCACTGCCGGCGGCAACAACGCCAGAAACAACGCTCATAACTCCAAGGGCCAGAGGACCAGTGATGACTGCCGAGTCACTCGCTTCCCATCCCAAGAGACCACGGATGCAGTTCGGCAGCAGGTTCAAGCGACCCGTGAACATGAAGGCGTCTTCCGGGTCATTGGGGAAGGCTCCGATGTAGGGCACGAACCAGCCCCAGAATGCAGCAGCTGTGGCCACACCCACAAACCAAGCGGCCAGAGTGCCAGCCAGACTCTTTCCTGGTCGAAGGCGAGGGGTATAACGGCCGTAAAGACGGCCGAATGTGGAGGCAGCAGTGTCACACCAACTAAGCAGGAGCACACTCATGACGCCAACATCCTTAGGGAAGAATCGAAGGGCCACATACGCTCCAAGGAGGTACCAAATCACACCGTTGTAGCCGCTGACCTCGGTCTCGCGCATGAGAGCACCCATGCAGCGGATATAGATCTTGTTGAGCTTCTCGGAGCGGTGACGCATCAGGTCGGTTGCCGCGATGGGCACCAACGCAGTGAATAACACAGGCGTGATCTGCAGTGTCTGAATGCCTTGGGTATATAAGGACAGAGTAAGGAATCCTATTGACACGTGCAAGAGCTTGCGGGGGATTTCATGGCGGTGAATGAAACTCCGGTAGCGCGAGTGGAGGGGGATCAGTCCGAGGGGCGATGGCGATCTTGACAAGTCGCGCAGCGCTTCCGGAATGCTCAATGGTGACAAGTAGTCCTTCGAGGCGGTTCCATTTGGTGAATGCGGCGGTGAAGCGGGTATCTTAGGGTTTGATCGGCGGGTGCGCGCGGATGGTGTTGTAGAGGACCTCGGCGCACGTGCTGAGCTGGAACTCGACCCTGGTGTTTCAGTGCGCTGCCGCCGAGCTGCTGAACGTGTCACTGGTGCGAAGTATCCATCAGGGCCTTCTGACGGATCGGAGACAGATGGTGTCGGGGAGATCACGCGAGGGGTTGCCGGGACGGCAGTGGGAGAGGCCATGTCGGGCGCTCTCAAAGTGAATGGTGGGAGTGATGCGACTCGAATGACACCGAACAGTGGTCGTATGGGCCTGTTCTTATCGTCGGGATGAAGTACACCGCAGCGAATTAGTGGGCTTGCGAGTGAAGCAATTGTGGGCGACTGTATTGGGCACGGCACGGTGCCTTGTGGACAATTATGGGCAGAAAAGCTGAGAAAAAGACAAAAAGTCTCGGTGCATGATGTTATCACCACGCGCCTTGTGTATTAGATAGAAATAGGCAGCGAAGCTGAGTTGACAGGCGAAAGGAAGATCGCGATCTCCGTTTCCGCTCAAAGCCGCAGTCACGTGTTCCATATCTAATCGATAACGGTTTTTTTTTTCTTCTGGCGATGACGATTTCTGCAATCCAACAAGCTTGCGCTCTACGAGAAAATGCCTCCCAAGTCATCTTCGCGGGCCTGGGATGCCCTGGAGCCACCATTGTCGCAATGGACCCTCGATGCGGTCAGCTCAATGGGATTTACTCGCATGACTCCAGTTCAAGCCTCGGCCATCCCTCTGTTTATGCAACACAAAGATGTGGTCGTGGAGGCTGTCACAGGAAGTGGAAAGACTCTATCGTTCCTTATCCCGATTGTTGAAAAGCTCCTTCGCCTTGATGAGCCTCTCAAGAAGCACCACGTCGGGGCAATTGTCATTTCCCCCACAAGGTAAGCCGCGATCCTGCACAGGCCCAAGGAATTTGTCGCTAATAATGACCTTCAGAGAACTCGCTTCCCAGATTCACCAAGTCCTCCTGTCTCTTTTGGAATTCCATGCCGACTCGGCGGCAGCCATCAAACCCGCCGAGGAGGGTGCTCCTCGTCAAAAATCTTCGACAATGAAGGTCGTCCCACAGCTTCTTCTGGGAGGCGGTACATCCCCGGCAGAGGATCTGAAACACTTCCTCAAAACCTCGCCCAACGTGCTCGTCGGTACTCCTGGACGACTGTTGGAACTTCTTTCGTCGCCCCATGTTCACTGCCCCCAGTCAACATTCGAGATGCTTGTGTTGGATGAGGCCGACAGACTTCTGGATCTTGGATTCAAGGAAGACCTACAAAAGATTCTGCGTCGCTTGCCTAAGCAGCGTAGAACAGGCTTGTTCAGTGCTAGTATCAGTGAAGCGGTGGATCAAATCGTGCGCCTTGGTCTGCGCAACCCCGTCAAGATTGCTGTTAAGGTCAAAGGAGCCGGTGCGGAAGAAAAGCGCACTCCAGCAAGTCTACAGATGACCTACTTGACCACGCCCCCACTTCACAAGTTCGCCATCCTCAAGCACATTCTATCCTCGGTTCAGCCTACACCCCAAAAAACCATCTTCTTCGTATCAACATGTTCCAGTGTTGATTATCTCGCCACCATCCTGCCGATTATGCTCGGCAGTGAATTCACACTAGTCCCGCTGCATGGAAAGCACCAGGCCAATGTCCGCCAAAAGAACTTCACTAAATTCACCACCTCCACCACTCCTTCCATTCTCCTTACCACCGATGTCGCCGCTCGCGGCCTTGATATCCCCTCAGTCGATCTTGTGGTCCAGATTGACCCCCCATCAGACCCCAAGACCTTCATTCACCGATGTGGACGAGCCGGCCGCGCAGGTCGCAGAGGTCTCAGTATCGTGCTCGTCCACCCCGGCCGGGAAGAAGATTACGTTTCGTTCTTGGAGATCCGCAAAACGCCCGTGGCGCCATTCGATCTTACCGAACTCTCTGACGAGGAGGCCATGGCCTCCATAGACAAAGTCCGCCGGGCGGCCATGAAAGACCGCGCCATGTACGACAAGGGCCAAAAGGCATTCGTCAGCTGGTTGCGCAGCTATAGCAAACACCAAGCCAGTAGTATTTTCCGGACCACGGATCTGGACTGGGAAAATCTCGGCAAGGCGTGGGGTCTCCTCCGACTGCCGAAGATGCCGGAGTCGCGCTCCTTCGAGGGTGACCGGTCCCTGGGCATTAAGATGGACTGGGACAAGTACGCCTACAAGGACAAGCAGCAGGAGAAGCGTCGCCAGGAGGCGATTGCGGAGGCTGCCAACTCCACGAATGCCGAGCAAGGCACTAAGCGTCGTGCTACGGAGAGTGTGGCCTGGAGTCAAAAGACTGAGGATCGGGAAAAGAGACTCCAGAAGAAGGAGGCCAAGAAGGCTCGCAAGGAGAAGGACCGATGGGATAACTTGCCGGAGGACCAGAAGCAGAAGGCTCTTGAGACGGAGCGCATGCTTGAGGAGATTCGCGCCAAGAATGAGCAGCAGCGGTTGCTTAAGGCTGCTGGCAAGACTGAAGAAGCCAAGGATGAGGGAGAGTTCAACGGTTTTGATTGAGAATTGTAGATTATATATATGCATATTGATACCATGTTACGGACGTGAATATATTCTTCGCACGATGTTTGTCCCTGTTGATTTTACCTACCTAGGTAGTACTAGGTAGTTCTTTGCCAATTAGTATTATTCAAGACCTTGGAAGGTACCTAGGTCCTTCAGTATTGTAACAGCTTTCAAGGCTCTAGAGTTTCGGGTGAGGTTGCCGATATAACCTTGGAAGTTACGGAAGCTGGGCCTTGGACATTCTGTGAGGAACCAAAGTTGGCACAAATCAGGATCTCACTCCAGGGCTGTCTGAAAGTGATTCATTGATCCCAAGTCTACCTAGTATTGCCAAAAGAAAGCAAACAAATAACCCAAATACCTGAAGATATTTACATGTGTAGCGTTTGGACCCAAAAAAATAAAATAAAAAAGATGTGCATCATCCGTGAATCGAACACGGGCCTCGTCGATGGCAACGACGAATTCTACCACTAGACCAATGATGCCAGTTGATGTAGGGGGCCGGCAGAAATGGACAAATAACTAAAACCACCGAAGCTTCCAACAGCTTTAGCTCTCGTGTTTCGTGCTCTGTGCGACACGTGCTACAAAGACGGACTATGGTCAATTTTCCCCACACTCTCCCCACCAAACACAGCCCAAGTCTGTTGCCCGATTGCACAGCCCGACACATCAGGCTTTGACACTGCCCCGGGACAAATCCGCCTGGCCAAGAGAGCCAAGGGGGCCAAGTACAAAGTTGGGGGCCGAAGGACCGTGTCGACGTCACACATTGCATGATTGGCTGTGGCATGAAATTGCCCGCTGTATTCCGTCCTCGAGCTTCGGACGTACTCGTTCTCGCATTCACCTCATGTGACGGTTCGTATGTGGGACCAGGGTCCTGCGCCCTGGGGATATGGAAGGCGTCTAGAAAGTACTGCTAGGTCGGAGTGTAGCTTCGGCGCCACATGTAAATCGTATGTTGTGGGAAGAGGGTACTGGATTTGGACATAGATCTGTACTGTACTGTACAGTAAAGAGCTACAAATGCCATATGGTAAAGGTGAAGTTAAGTGAAAGAGTCATGACGATCACGGCTACTCGGCTCATGTTGCGCCCGAAAACGGACTCAGCCCTGGAGGCTTAAAGGTTAGATTTCTGGATCCCAAGGTCCACTGCGGAGTGCAGCTCCATCTTATTTACTTATTTAAATCCCGACCCCTCCCAAGGTTCTCCTTCCCTACCAACTCCACGAATTCATCATGTCTGTACACGGTACAAGCAACGGCAAAGCTCCTGCTGAGGAGCCTCAGCTTTCTCAACCACACCTGATCAATGTCCAACCTGCTCGCCCTGATGAACTGCAGCCCAAATATGCTCAGAAAATCCAACACGACGACGACAACCCTGATGCGCACGGCTGGTATGCCGGCCTGAGTGAGTCGCGCCGATCCACGCGCCCAGTTCCATTTGTCTAACATCTGCTCTAGTTCACAGCCTTGGTGAATGCATCGGGTTCCTCGGAGCTATCCCCTGCTGCATCTGCTGCCCCAACCCCTTCAAGCCCGTCGACCAAGGCGCAGTTGGTCTGATCCAGCGATTCGGACGGTTCGTCTCTCCCCCGCGTTTACTCGCGCACCGCTAACTTTCTCCACTCTAGCTTCGAGAGATCTGTTGATCCCGGTCTGGTCAAGGTCAATCCACTCAGTGAACACATCATCACCATCGATGTCAAGATTCAGATCGTCGAAGTGCCCCGTCAAGTGTGCATGACCAAAGACAATGTCACACTCAACTTGACCTCCGTCATCTACTACGAAGTGGTGTCTCCGCACCGCGCCGCCTTCGGAATCTCCAACGTGCGACAGGCTCTCATCGAGCGCACCCAGACCACCCTGCGCCATGTGATCGGAGCCCGCGTGCTGCAGGACGTGATCGAGCGCCGCGAGGAAATCGCCCAGTCCACCTCTGAAATCATCGAGGAAGTCGCGGCCGGATGGGGTGTCAAGGTTGAGTCGATGCTCATCAAGGATATCATCTTCAGCAACGATCTGCAAGACTCACTCTCCATGGCTGCGCAGTCTAAGCGTATCGGCGAGAGCAAGGTTATTGCCGCGCGCGCCGAAGTCGAGTCCGCCAAGTTGATGCGCCAGGCTGCCGATATCCTGTCTTCGGCTCCGGCCATGCAGATCCGGTACCTGGAGGCCATGCAAGCCATGGCCAAGACGGCCAACAGCAAGGTCATCTTCCTGCCTGCGCCAAACCAGACCGTGCAGTCTCCCCTTAACATTGCGGAAGGTGCTGGCGAAGGTCCCAGCAACTACGGTGCCACATCTCAGGTTGATGATGGCTTCCAGCGCGCGATGAACGCACGTGTTGTTGAGGACATCTAGATGTTTTGTTTTGTTTTTTGCTCGCTCTATTTAATTGGTCCATGCCTGATGAAGTATGACCTTTGTGATTTCCCTTTCGCCGTGCAGTTATTATGTGACCGGAGATGCGATTGGACGACGATACCCACCTTCGTTTGCTGCGATTACTGCAGCTATTTAATACATATACCTCTGCTATTGATGCCAATGAAATTCGAGTTCTGATATTTCCCGAAACGCGCAGCCAAAGAAGACGCGGGACAGAGTAACGCACGTCCACTTAATTTGCCGTCGCCAACTCAGAGTGAAACACTGTGTACTCCGTACTGCTGGGAAATCGTGATCTGTCAAAGCTACTCAGATCTCTTAATTTAAATCTGAATTGATGCTACTAGTACTAGTACGGTTTAAATAATTGATAACATGCCTAGACATATCTGGTTGATGTTAGGTTAACCCCATGTACTCAGTCCTTAAATTAAGTGCAGATCGAGGAGAATTCACTGCACCAACGTCCACAGGTATCATTGGACAGATCGAAACCCTGGTTGGATCCCAGAGATACGGATGCTAAATTTGGGCTCGGGGCAGTGTCTGGAGGGAAATTTCCTCCAAAACATAAGCACTAGGAATATAGTGGGGGCTGGAAATTACTGTACTTAAGGCGAACACTCCCCTGAGTGCGTTGGGGGCCAAAACGCCGATCATGCAATAGTATTCGAATTCTGCTTCTTTAGGACCACCGTACTTTGGCTTCCTGCAATACTCTAACATGACGTCCACCAAGCCGACCTTGGTCGCCAGAGCGACAGACGATGCCGACACCATCACCACTCTGGCGATGTCCAGTCGCTTCACGGCTCCCGCATCTTGCTCGAATTCCTGGACGTTTGAACCGTCAGGCGCAAACGGCATCTCGAACGGTCTGTTGTTGCAGAATGCTCACGCCAGCGACAATGCCGACCCGGCATGCTTTCCTTCGGGGTATAGCCAGTATGAGCGAAACCAGCCCTCGATCGTGTACAGTCCTGGGTACTGTCCCGGTGGTTACACCTCTGCCGATCTCGTCATCCATGACCCGATCACCACGGCGATTTGCTGTCCTTCGTATGTGATATTCCGAACCAGGGGATGAGACGCGCGACTGACGAGATAATAGCGACTTTGAATATCTAACCATCCTCACGAGAGGAGGAACCTTTGCCGGATGTACCAGCATGTTCCCAAAGACCAGCTCGACCATCGTCACCGTGCGCCAAGTCAGCGCCGAGAGCACCCAAGTCACTGGTCCAATTACCATGTGGGCGCAACCAATCGAGGTCCATCTGCAAGAGTCAGACTCAAGTCTATTCGTCTCAGCGACCACAACCTCCGACTCATCAACCGCAACTCCCACAAAAACAAGCACAACAAGCGGAAGTGCAACCCCAACCGGTGGAGACTCCGGTGCTGGTGACGGAGCCAGTACAAGCGGATTGTCAACAGGAGCAAGCATCGGCATTGGTGTTGGTGTGGGCGTAGGAGCCCTCATCGTCATTGCCGGATTAGCATTCTGGTTCTTCCGCCGCCGCCAGGCCAAGAAGAGCGCCGTCTCAAACCCTCCCTACGTCTCAGTGAACCCGGAACCGAGCGAGCTCGGCGGAAGCTCACAGGCCGCGCCGTCGAGCACGCCAGGCCACACGACCATGTCGGAATTGGACGCTACCCACGGCCCCAAGCCTTTACACGAACTTGCATAGTCTCTTTTCTATGAGGCGAATATATACCCCCCCCTTTCTCTTTTCTCCCCGCTGCAATGTCATTGAACGGTACTACACGAAGCCCTGCCTTTCACGCAATTTGAACATATGCTATGATGAATGAGAGGTGCTGCCTAGGATCTGGGTGAGTCTTCCATATGGACCGAGATAAGCTCGGATTTGATTGTGTATCTTTCTGCGATTGGATTGGCACACTTGTTGGAAGACTGAGGCTCTCCGTCGGATGTAAATATAGCACAGTGCAGATATAAACCATTATAATATGTTATTCAAGATTGCTTCTTTTCCAGTACACACTCCTGACAAAGCGAGGCCCGCATGGCTTTTCAACTCTAGACATCAACCTCAAATCTCGATCGGCGGTATAATCACGATGTGGTACACAAGGATCGAGCAAAGAAGTCAGTTGCAGCAGTGCAAATAAGATCTTCTAACCAATTCTACCATGTGAGCCGTGCCAGAAGCCGTTCAAATATCACAAGTATGCGTATGAAGCATTATGTCGGGATCTAACGTACTGGCAAGACAATCCATGGTGGAATAGACAGACGATGATTTTTCAACATTTGTACCGCGACCCCTCGACCCTCAAGACATTCCAGAGTCCGAGCTTGTGCGCAAAGAGCCAAATGATGGAGTCGGAGACGTCTCGATCTGAATCCAAGGAGAAAATTAGTGTGATGTCTGCGATGGAGCGACCCACCGGACGTGGTGTGGGGATGGAACAGACTGTTGCAACATGACATCCGCAATATTCCCAGCTCAAAGTCTGATGGAGCGGTCGAAGATCATGATTTCAAGCTCAGAGTTTTCATGCAATAGGAATTCGACGTCCACCTCCGACCGTTCTAGCACAATCTCCAATATCACTTCAGGGATACCATCTCGCATCACAACGACGTTGTACATGGCCCCTCTGTTTTGGGCACCATGTCGACGATTTCTTGCACGAAGTGCTCTAGCCGGATAATTCATAGATATTGCAATTGAAGATATCAGTGTTGTTGGTGTGTCTTCTGAATTCCTGCCCAAAAAGAATGGTGCAGTTGAACTGGTGGGTTCTCAGTTGACGCTGCTGCGAGAGATCGAAAATCGCAGTCGGAGTATTGCGTATGCAACGCCGTCTGGTATATATAATATCAGACAGGAGCTCTCAGAATGTTCTCTTTGACCAGTTTCCAGACAAGACATCTTAAAGAGCGAGACATACCTGGGAGGTAGCCGAGAACAGAATTGAAAGAGGTCGACGAGTGATTGAAAGGAGTTGAGGAAAAAGAGGGAGGTAGATTGCACCCACTGACTCTTCAGCAGTGCGCGTGTCTCATTTTCAAGATCACTGAGTCCTCAAGTGACTGATTGCTCCAATGTTTACTCCTTCCAGCTGTATAGATCTTGGATCTAAAGCGGCGACATGCTAATCCCAAATAAGCAAGGCCTAAGCCTAAAAGGGAAATACAAGGCGGTCGGCGTGGAGATACGGATTGTCCCCGCGGAGGCCAGCACTTTCTTTAGATCAATCCTGCGAGGAAGCTCACATTTAATGGCCTCCCAATCTAATTCAACAAGCCGAGGTGGCTCGAAGACCTCCAGCCAGCCTAATTTCGCCGACCCCAACTTTGACCCCGCCGACTTCCTCAATGCCTCCCTATCACCGTTAACCGTGGCATCATCACAGCCAAACGCCTCCCGCACACAAGGATCAGTCCCTCTGACCGAGCTCTCTTCGCAAGTCCAATCGCTGCTCTCCCAAATCAGCGCCCAAAATATTCGCCTCTCAAGCACATTATCGCAACTGACAGACGAGATCCTACGAAGCGGCGGACGACTAGCTTATGAAGTTGAAGTGCTGCGAGGCGAAACAATCGGTCTTTCTGAAACATTGACCGAAGTGCTACACGATGACATCGCCAAATTTGTCCCGGAAACCAGCGAGCGCAAGCCAGAACAGGCCGAGGACGCATCGAAGGACGCACCAGAGGACGAGACCGAAACCACAGAACAAAACCCGCCTACTGTTTCAACAGACCCAGAATATGTCGCGAACCTCCGCACTCTGAACCAAGTGCGATCGCGACTGGAAGAGGTCGTTCAGACCTTCGGCGACGCAATGGAATGGCCTCTACCCCCATCCGAGCTCTCATTCTCCTCATCATTCATCTCAGTATCCGGGCCTGATCTCGGAGAAGACGGACACGATCGTGAAGAAAAGGGCCAAGAAATGATGAAGAAGTTACGGGCCGAAGTGACAGATTTACTGGAAAGTGAAGGCGGCGGACGCAATGGGCTGGAGGCCGCTAATCGTCGCGTTGAAGCTATCCGGACGTTAGCGAAGGTGTGGAACAGCTCGGCAGAGGAGAAAGCTCGTAATCGATTTGTGGACAGCCTTGCGAAGATTGTGGATGACCGGCGCCGCAGTTTGGACCAGGTCGCGGAACAGAGTCGTTCCTCTTCTAAAACCAGACCCGAGGGCCGTCGGGATAGTGATAGTGGTGCGCCGGCTGGTGGACTCTTCCGGAATCTGCAGCGGCTTCGCGAGGAGATCTATTTGGAGTGAAAGTGTACATTTGCATATGCGGGCTTGGTGTGTTTGTTGAGCTGGTACTCTGTCGACAGAGCCCACTTGTATAATATTATATTCAGGCTTGAACAAGTCTCATTTCGATATCTCGTTACCAGCGCAAGTAAATTATCACGGCATAGCCATGTATGTATGTAGATGGTAACATGTCATCTAATTGAGGCGAAGACGTAACGTCCGGAAACGTCGCGCCGATCGCAGCCCGTGGCCTCTCCACTTGCACCACACTGCACCATTGCGTATTTCCCGCGTGGCCTCTCGATTCCTCCATGGCTCTTTTCGCCATGTTCCATCCTGCCTTACCTTATACCTGATCCGATATCTTTGCATGATGGCGTCGGCCGGCGCGTCACTGCCGCTTCATGATGCCAAGTCGACTGCGACGACCGTGCTGTCGGCCTTTCGCCCCGCGCGAACACAGAGAACGAAGACAATCGCGCTAGCGATCTTCGGATTTTTATGTCTTCTTCTTATGCTACGTTCCTCTTCCAAGGTAAGCGCTGATCGCTTCCTCCGGGAGACATACCATGATCGCCGCAAGAGCTAATCACCTACCCAGCGAGTCGGACCTGATTTCTGGACACAATTCCCTTCTCGTCCTCCTTTCCCCCAGCGCCCAGAAGATGCCCGGGTCGTTCTTCCTCCAAGAACCGATATTGACCTGAACCATACCCTCCCCCATGACCTCGACAAGCCAAACCCCCGCCTCCATGTCCTGGTCCCAGCCCTACAGGGCTCTCGCGGCGTTTGCCGAACCTTCACCTCAGCCATGATCCTTGGATACCCACCTCCGACAATGATTGGATACGGCACCGAGTCGCCCGGAGCGACTGATGCTGAGCGCATGGTGGATAGGATCACGCGCGCACGCAATTACCTTCGCGACAGCGTTACCGTGCACGATAATGATTTCGTGCTGATGGTAGATGGGCTGGACACGATATTCCAGCTGCCACCGCAAGTATTGATACAGCGGTTCCAGAGTATCATACGGAAGAACAACCAGAAGCTAGAGAGCAAATTTGGGTTCGTGGATGTGCCGGGAGAGAAGCCCGGTACTCCGTTCGAAAGGATACCCAAATACCATCAACGGGTTCTCTTTGCTGCAAGCAAGACCTGCTTCCCTGGGTTGCGGGATGACCCTGGGTGCGCGAGCGTGCCTGAATCATCACTGCCACCAGATGTCTATGGCTGGAAGACAGATGACGATGAAGATACTTCCTACAATCGGCCGAGATGGCTGAACCCTGGAGCAGTCATCGGACAAGCTGCCGATCTGCGTTTGATCTACGATGAGGTCTTGCGGGAAATTGGTCAACACCCAAACAAGACTGGAGACTACCAGGCCCTGACACGGCTTTACGGCCGACAGGAGGTGATACGAGAGTTGGAGCGCAGGCGAACAGTCAATGGGTTCAAAGATTGGCTGTACCAAATGGTTGGCATTTCCGATGCCTCAAATATCACCGGAATTACTCTCCGGCTGCAGGCGGGCCATCGTTACGAGTACGGCATTGGCGTTGACTTCGAGTCTCAGCTTTTCTTCAACCAGATGATGTCCCGCAAGGATGTGGAATGGGTGAAGTTCAACAACATCACCAAGATGTCAATGCTGCAAATGCAGCATGGTGTTCCGCGTGAGCACAGACTGCTCCTCCCGCAGGATATTGCCGCTCTCCCCAACCCGTTCAACCAGTCTCGATTCGCAAAAGAGTCGACAATGAGGCCAGTGTGGAATGCAACACTGGACAAGCTCCCCAATCCGAACAATCATTCCTGGCACAATGTCCCATTGATGACGAACCCTCACTCAGCTTCTGTGCCTGTGCTGGCCCATTTGAATGGTGATCCCAAGCTGCGTAATGCGTGGTGGGAGAATATGTGGTTCTTCCCATGGGGCCGTGCTCTCCTTCGAAGATATGTTCGCAATGCGCACGGCTTTGATGCAGCGCAGTCTTCTCTCCTTGGTGGCCAGGACTGGCTGGAGGTGCGCGGGGGTCGGGGTGGTTTATGGACTGATAAGGAGACCTGGATCACTCTCGCCGAGGTTTGCAATGGCCAAGAACGAGATCTATTTGATGATGGTCTTGGCCTGTGGTCAAAGGAAATCGACGACCCAGATGCTCCGGTCTACAATCAATACGGCAATCTGATTGGCGGCAAGGAAGATCCCAATAAAGATCCCAATCAAGATGTCCCCGGGTTTTCTCCCGACTTTTCATTCTAAGATGCGTCCGCGGGTTGATTTGGGCGACATGCTTGATAGGTGATGGAGTTTTCACCGCCCCATACTCTCAGTGAAATACTCATTTTGAATCACATTGCCGCATGCGTGGCATCTAACTCTGGACTACGACCCTAGGGTTTCAATTCTCATGCCCGGTCGAAAGATCGGCAGATTGATCGGAAATACTCGATGAATATGCGGTTGCCCATTACCTCGAACTGCCCGGCTTTCACTCTTCGCTATATCCATCAGGTATGGAATGGCTGTACATTATCCAGGCCGACTCGCATCTTGCATCGGTGCACCTTTAAGGTTGGCGTTTTCCGGTGGATTTCTGTATGTTCTATAGCACAGACTTGATCCAATCTCAAAAGAGGCCGGCCTTTGATGAGACGAGTGTCGATAGAAAAACCACGAACTAGCTTCACCATTTGATTATCTGCTGTACATAGTCGACAATGATCTCAGACTCGAAATTCGTATCAATGACCACTGTGAGCAGCAAGGTCAGAATTGGTAGATGCCTGGAAAATAGTCTACTGAGGAATCTTCAGTTCCTTGAACTCCTCCGTAATGCCTGTAATCGCCGTCTCGACAGGAAGTCTCTCCATAGAGCTTGCCCCATAGAACCCATGCAGCCCCCGTACTCTCTCGAACATGAACTTCGCATCCCCCGGCGCAGCAATCGGACCACCGTGACAAAGGACAATGATATCCGGATTGATCTTGACAGCCGCATCTCTGATCGCCTGAACCTCCCCAACACAGTCCTCGAGCGACTTTCCAGTCTTAGCACCAATAGCCCCAGAAGTCGTCAATCCCATATGCGCCACAAGCACATCAGCCCCGGCCTTCGTCATCGCAACCGCATCCTCAGCATTAAAAACATACGGCGTCGTAAGAAGCCCCAACTCCGCCGCACACCGAATCATCTCAACCTCCTTACCAAAGCCCATTCCCGTCTCCTCCAAATTCGCCCTAAAAGTCCCATCAATGAGTCCGACCGTCGGGAAATTCTGCACACCCGCGAAGCCCAGGCCCTGCAACTGGCTGAGGAATTGCGGCATCAGTCTGAATGGGTCTGTGCCGCACACGCCCGCGATGACGGGCGTGTTCTTCACGATGGGGATTACTTCGGCGGCCATTTCAACCACGACGTCATTGGCGTTGCTGTAGGGCATCAGTCCGGCTAGACTGCCACAGCCGGCCATGCGGAATCGGCCACTGTTGTAGATCACGATGAGATCGCCGCCTCCGCTTTCGACGGACTTGGCGGAGAGCCCGATGCCTGGGCGGGTTAGCGGGGCTGCTGTTTAGCTCCTAGCTGGATGCGTTGCTTACCTGCTCCTGCGCCAACGATTGGCTTTCGTTCTTGAATTTGGCTGCGTAGGCGGGCGATGATCTCTTTCCGGTCGGTTGGTGGAGCCATCTTGTATGTTTTGTGTCTATTGAGGTCGGAAGATTTGTGTACGGAGTCTGCAGCGAGAAATCGCGCTGGAGTAAAGAGAAACCGGATCGTCAAAGTGGAGTCGGAGCCGAACGCGGACCATGGCGGGGTGACTTGCAAGTATACACAGACAGGATGCGATATCATGTACCATTGGCTTCACAGGGCATCAAGATGGCGAAATAAGCTATGATCAGCCCGTAAAAGCAGCGAGGTTGATTTGGGGACTTAACCAATCGGCATGGTTTATAGCACCTAAATGCGGTCCAAGAGTGGTTTTTATACTTCCAGTAGAGCCTAGGCAAGAATGCCAGGGTGAGGTTGGAAATGCATAGTACACGCTGGCGCTCAAGAGGTAAGCCCAAATATCCTACTTCCCACTACTGTGCTACTGTATACAGTCACCTGGCAAGACGCTCAAGGTCCGGCTGTGGCGGAGACGATCTCATATGCCCCGCCACTTCTCCACTTCAAACATGTTGCTTTGATATTCTGAACACTCCTTGATCTCACCACTGATATCATGCACATTCTTCTGCTGGGAACACTAGATACTAAACATGCCGAAATCCTATACCTGCACCACCAGTTGAAGCAGATCGCGTCTGGCTTGTTGCAACCACTCCAAATCACCCTGATTGACTGCGGCTGCTCAAACACCATCGACGAAGCAATCACTGTCACCCATTCCGATTTGATCAAAAAATATGCACCTTCCAGCGCAGAGATCCGAAAGCTCCCCCGAGGAGAGGCGGTCGAGTTGTTGATCGGCTATGTCACCCGCTGTGTGCAGGATTTGTTAGAAATCGGACCTATCCACGGCATCTTAGGTGCAGGCGGAAGCGGAGGCACGAGTATAATCTCCGCAGTGATGAGGTCGACGCCCATTGGTCTTCCCAAGCTCATCGCCAGCACGGTTGCCTCAGGCAATACCAGCCCCATCGTCGGAGAGTGCGATATCACCCTGATGTACTCTGTGGTCGACATTGCCGGGACGAATGGGCTCTTACGCGATGTTCTCGATAATGCCGCTGGTGCTATGTTTGGAATGGCGTCAGCCTACCAGTGCCGTGTATCAGCATCCGCCGAACGTCAAGAATCGCAAATTCAAAAGACACGGGTTGGCATCACCATGTTTGGTGTCACCACTCCATGCGTGGACCGGATAAGATCCCACCTGGAAGAAAACTATCCAGTCGAGGTTTACATATTCCACGCTACGGGTCACGGTGGCAAAGCGATGGAGCGTCTAGTTGAAGAAGGTCGCCTGGATGCTATCCTCGACGTGACAACCACCGAAATATGTGATTTGGTCGCTGGCGGAACTATGAGTTGCGAGCCCGATCGTCTTGAAACGATGCTGAAGAAAGGTATCCCGACTATCATCTCTGTTGGAGCCACGGACATGGTGAACTTTGGGCCAAAAGAAACGGTGCCACCTCAATATCAAGACCGAAAGCTGGTGGTTCATAATCCTACAGTCACTCTGATGCGGACTTCACTAGATGAATGTCGAAAGGTTGGGGAGTTTATCGTCGACAAAGTAAAGCGGTTTGCACAAGATCAAAAGAGAGTCGAAGTTTGGTTTCCTCGTGGTGGCGTTAGCGTTCTGGCGACCCCAGGCTCCCCGTTTGAGGAATCAGAGGTCGATTCGGCCCTCGCTAATGCTGTGAAGTCTGGGCTGAAAGACACCGAGACTCATGTGGTATGCGATGACCGGGATATTAATAACAGCGGGTTTGCTGTTGACATCGCCAATCGCCTCATGGACATGGTGAAGGCGAGCAACATTTTGTAGATAAATGACCAGCTCCGTGGCCGTCAAAATAAGAATCCTATTTGACACACTGTTGACTGGATCCACTGAACAGACCTCGGGAAAAGCCGAGTGACATTAGAGTCATTTTAGCCATTCAATCAGTTTCCAACTGCACTATGTACAAATCTGCCACTCGACAACCCCCAGGGCTGAAATGGACAAGCGAAACTTCCGAAAAATCATCATGTGAACCTGCCCAGGTGCCCAGGTGCTGCGTTAGCCTCGCCTAATACTGCCCGTGCGGCAGCAAACGGCGACCCCGGCGCCCCAAAGCGCCCCACATGGACTTAGATATCAAACATTGCCTTGAAGCCGACGTGATTGTTTGCTCCTTTTTTTCGTGATATATAACTTTTCCTTTATCACACTCTCTGACTCAAACCACAACCCTCCAACCACAAAGTTGATCAGAATCAATCTCTCTTCCTCCCAGTCCAGAGAGTACCAGCAACCAACAGCCTACCGCAGAATGGCAGAGATTCCAGAATTCAGGAACCTGTCTCTTGAAAGACATGGCAATATCTTCGTCCTGACTATGCAGAAGCCCCCCGAGAACAAACTCAGTCAATCATTCTGCCAGGAAATGATTCAGGCCTTCCGCGCGGTGGAAAGCATCTTGGGATCGAACTCGGAGGGAGCATTAATCACACGAAGCGGCGACGATAAATTTTGGTGCACAGTAGGTCCACAACGGGCTAGCAGAGATAAACACTAACAGGAATCTTCAGGGGCTCGAGATGGATGAACTGGCCACAAATCAATTTGCCAATACAGATGGTCTTTTCCCCGTTAGTTTCCAAAAACCACGACAAATAGCCTCAAATCTTTCTGACTTAATGACTAGCTGATTCACACGATTCTTGACTTCTCATTCCCGACGATCGCCCTGCTCAACGGGCACACATTTGGCGCTGCCTGCCTACTTGCTCTAGCTCATGATTTCCGAGTAATGAATGCACGCCGGGGCTTCATGTGTTTACCTGTCGTGAACATGGGTCTACACTTTGATGGAATCGGAACATTACCTCGTCTCAAACTGCGTGCACCGATTGCTCGTAAATTGGTCCTTGAGGCCCATCGGTGGACGGGCCCAGAGGCAATGGAAGATGGGATCGTGGACACTTTGGCACAGCCCGAGGAGATGCTCCAAGTCGCTCTCGAGATGGGAGCCAAGTGGGCTCCCAAGGCAAAGATGGGGTGAGTTGAAATCAGCCTGGTGTTTCTCAGGTGCTAATTTAGTTGCAGGGTTTATGCGCTCTATCGACAAGAGCTTTGGGGCGAGGCTACCAAGGCATTCCAGGCAATCAGTTATGTTCATGGGCGGCCAATTTCAACACTTGTCAGAGCCAAGGTTTAATAGGATTTCAATGCGCTCACTGATTCATAAATCTAAACACCCATCCATGATGTATTAACCACGTGGAATTATGTGCAAAACCCATGGAAACGCATAGTTATGGGAGGTTCAAACCTTGGATCGTTCCCGGGTCCCATTTCTATTCACTCATTTCAAGGTTGGGATGTCGGGGAAGTACCAGGGCACCGAGGCCGACACCTCGCTCTAAGAATTAAATCACTCTACTAGGTAGTCAAGAATGTCTCCTCGCTATTCACAGCTGTTTAACACCGCATCCGCATCGACAAAATGTTTTCGGTCTTCGATTCGATTTTACCTGGATATTGGACAAACGGGCTTAAATCCCCCGAAAGTCCAAAACCTGGGAGCTCCGATCAAAATACGTTGGCTGGCCTTCCGGTCGAGATACTACTATCAATAACCGACTTCCTCTTGATCGACGATTGGATTTGTATCTCGCTTTGCAGCAGACGACTGTTTGCCATTTTCGCCCCTCGGACGAGATCCATATTACCATCAGGAAAGGAGAAATTACCGCTTCTGCGTCGACTGGAACGAGATCAGCCGAAATCCTTCATTTGCTATGTCTCCTATGTTCTCTGTCAATATGATGGCTCGGAATGCTTTGGTCCATCCACCACAAGGCCTGACTGCTTCACTCCCCATGGTACCTTACTCGCCCAGAAAGACTGCCCTGTTTTATGCGTTCCAAACTGGGGAAACGACCACGATTTGATATCAAGAAAGAAAGAATCGATTTGGTCCCATGTCTACTACAGAATATTATTTCAACACCTTCAACAAGCTGTGATGAATTCCCAGATGGACAGACGGACCATACCTGATTCCCAACCGTCGCTTTACTTTCACGTCCGAAATCACCCCTCAACTCCTGAAATCACCTCACTTATTTCTATCAACGCACTATGCCATCCAAAGGGGGTTTGCTTGAGGATACAACAAGTCAACTTTGTCCACAGGAGCAAATGGCAATTATTGTTCCCTCGATACGACACAGACGAGCAGAGCCATCCATCACAGCCAGTCTTCATTTGCCCACACATGTCGGATTTAAAGCATGATATATTACTGGATTCCGTCGTGGACTCTTACTTCCATGGAGAGGCTGCTCCTGATTCCACTTTTACTTGTGAAATCTGTAACACAGATGCTGAAATTGAATTACGCAAACAGGGCTCTTCTTTAGCGCTGATTGTTACGACATGGATCAATCTTGACCCTGATTCGATCCCAGGCGACCCACGACAGAGGGTCCCTTGCAATGCTTGGGGCCCTAGAAAGGTATCAGGTGAAGCCAACTCGGATGAACAGACATACAGCCCTCGGGTCTTTTTTGAACAAGTATCGCCATGGTCTTGTGAAAACTTGAAGGATTGCAACTTTGAATTGCTTGACAGGGGAGACTACAAGAAGATACTGGAAGAAGTTTTCCCACATGAATTATGGTTCATGCCCAAAGAAAAGCCTCTGGGAATTTATTGGGTCTATGGAGACCTTGATGTCTGTTGGACGGAGGTGCTGGATCTATTTCTCCACTGTATAATATAGTGATTCCTTTGTTCTCTTTCTCTCTTAATGACCCCGAAACAAGCAAATGGAATTGAAAGCCTCCCACCATCAGCCTTGATATTGCTGAATTGCCGGCGAGCATGTTTCATTTACGATTCGGTCGAGTATCAGTGCCTTGAGTATCAGTCATCGATGCATTCCCAAATCCTTACACTTGTCGGTGGACCCCATTCCTTCCCGGTATCCCAAGTTTGACGATATTGACCAAGAGACTCTGGAACTTGCACATAGATGGCATGGAAATTCAATTTCTAATTAAATGTCTTCTGATGCCTTCCCAGGAAAGTGGTATTGGCGGATCAATATCCAATGCTAGTGCGAACTTCTTCGGCTTCCCAAAGGAATTTGATATACAACAAGGTCTTTATTGCGACCGTGATCGGATAGAAAAGGCTCAGGCTCTCGTCCTTTTCAATCTTGTTGTGGCTTCCTAACTAATTGTCTCAATAATAATAATCGAAACAGCGCATAAAAAATGCTATGACAGCTAGCCATAAGGGCGACCCGACACCTATCAACTGGGATACGAAACCCCTTCATAAAATAAAAATAAAACTTTTTGTAAGTGTCATGTGCGCAGCGGCGGCGGCTTTGAAGCAACGAGAAAAAAGAAAAGAAAAAAAAAATCCAGTCGTGCCTTGTCCTCAAGGTTTCTCCAGTACTCCCTAACACCCTGAGGTCACACTCGGCTTTCGACTTTCTGGCGGAGGAGCCTGACCTCCTTCTGGAGGTCTTGAAAATCTTTGGCCTTCACTTCGCGGGGCTTGTTGGGAAACCAGTAATTGACCTGCGCCATCACGGCGCTATGGAGGCCCCAAATGGCCGCGGTAATAACCCCCACCCAAGTACTCCAACTGGTTGTGGGTGTCTGTTCTTTATCCGGGGCACCATCTTTTATCATATTAGTATACATGTATGTTATACTAGGATTTGGTTTGTGTTGGATTCTTGCAACTTACTTCCAGGGCATTGGGGCTGTGGGCATAGAGGTTCATCGCACTTCGTGCACGGGCTTATGTTTTCATACCACAAAATCTATATTCAATAACCGTGAGTGCTGGCATCCTAGGGTAGATCGAGATACAGCCTCTACTTACTACCAGGGTAACAGCCACAGCCACAGGCAAAACGGTCCAAAAAAAGAATCTTGGCCATCGTCGGGCCAGTATAGATTTCAGTCGGTCCCAAGTAGAAGGGGGTTTCTCGAAAATTGGGAGGCAAACGTCGCTTGCGAAAATTCCCAAGCCCCAGGTACAAGCAGTAATTACCATTGCAAGGACGAACCAGGCGAGCTGGGTAAAAAAATCCATTTTGATTGTTTTCGAAAGAAAAAAATTGATTTCACGAGACAAGGATGACTGGTGTTTTAGCTAGCTACATGCTATTGGGGATATCCCTTCAAGAAAAAGAGGGTTTCGAGGAAAAATAAAGGAGGAAAGAGCTATGGGATACTCTATGAAAAGCCAAGGTGCTCAGTCGGTGCCGAACTGGTAGGTAGCCCAGTTCACAGCAGGGCCATCCTCAGGACCAAAGATCTGGTAGGGGGTACGTCCCCACTGAGGTTGGTTGATACCATCAATCCAGTCCTCGGTCTCAATGACGAAGCAGCCATACTTGTTGACGTGAGTGGCACCCGCATCACCGCCATCCGCCTTGTTGCGCTTAGCCTGCGACTGCTTGGTGCCAATGGACCCGTTTTGGCCACTGCAGGTGTAGATCTGGAGGGCAGCCTGGTTGGTGGCAACCTCAAGAGTGATACCAGTGGTACTCGATGAAGCACGCAGGGCGGTGCTCATGGAGTCGGCTGAGTTGGTGGAGGGGCGGTCGACAAGGAAGCAGGTATCGTAGCCTGTGCAGCCGGTACCGCAGAGACCGGTGGTCTTGTCGATGTCTTCGCCAATGAGCTTGGAGCTTGTGAAGTCGAGGGCGCCTTGGAAGGAGGTTTCGACGTCGTGGATTGTGCCATTGGGGATGAGAATGCTATCTCCACCGACGAAGCGGCGCGAAAGAGGCAGCTGCAAGCTGGTGTCGTTCAGCACGGTGGATTCCCTGAACGCGTTCAAGTTCCAGTAGATGTGGTTGGAGAGCATGATGGGTGTCTTCTCCGTGAGTGACAGGGCGACAATCTTCGAAGTCAACTGAGGAAGGCCCTTGGGGTTGGCGGGGCTTTTCTCGGTCGAGACGCTGAAAGTGGCATGGGTGATGACATCGCCTGGGAACTTCTCAAAGCCTTGGTCGAGCAGGGAGAAGGTGATAGCGGAGTCAGTATGCGCAGTGACTGTCCAGTTGCGCATATCGTAGCCAACATTTCCGCCGTGAAGAGTGTCTTTACCGTCGTTCTCATTCTCAGGAACGTGGTATGTGTTCTCGTCGATGGTGAAGGTGCCGTTCTTGATACGGTTGGCATAGCGACCAACGACCGCACCGAAGAAAGTGCGGTTGGTCTCGCTATCGTGAAGATACTCCTTGGGGTCATCGTAGCCCACAACGACATCTTGTACCTTGCCATTGCGGTCAGGGACCAGCAAAGAGGTCAGACGCGCTCCATACGGAATCAGCTCGGCGGTGATGTTTTCCGCTTTAATGGTGTAAGTCTTGAAGTGATCAGTCTCTGGTCCCGCAGAAGGCGAGGACGCGGAAGCAGAGGAAGAAGGGGACGGCGCGGCAGATGTCAGAGCAGGCAGCCCATAGAGGGCGGCCGTCACATAAGACTTGACACGCATGTTGAGTCCCAGAGTGAGAATTGAGAGAAAGAGAAAGAGGTAGACGAGTACAAGTCGAGGGGTGATTCGCGTAGGACAAATAAAAGAACGGACGCAGCCGAGGGGTCCAGGCATTTTATGGTCTCCTATAAACATTCCCCGGGAAACGCTAAACTACACATGGCCCCACGCTAGGGGGGCGCACGGAAACCGGGGTAAAGCTTTGTCCAAATTTATCCGCGGGCGTGATCGAGATGCAGATCGGCTATTGGTTGCATTGAGACCGGGGCCGGGAAGAAGTTGAGGCTGGGACGAGGGAATAGTGAGGGGAAGGATCCGAGCCCCTGTCGCGGAGGGTTTGCGGAGGTTGGACGTCGGGGCCCAGTTAGGTCCAGTCAAGCTCAAAATGGCGCCACTGACGCGGGAACAAGCAATTGGAGGGCAAAACTCCGGTGGAGTAAAGCTCCTTTGTTCACGGGTGTCGGCTCGCAGCCTGGTGTACGGCACACCACAGCGCCCATCTGGGAAGGTTTGTCTAATGCCTGGATTACAAGGCTGAAACTATCTTGCCTGATCTCTAAGGCTATGGATTATGTCGCTAACCCGTTGGGGCGATCAGATGATTGTTTGAGATGTTTGCACACATGGGCAGTTGACCAACAATTTGCATTCCTTCCAAGGTTACTTATGGGGATCATCATGCTGGAATCATACGTTGAAATCATGAGTTGCAATTTGGAAAAACAGAGTACATCGTGACTTAGCCCCTTCAAGCCTTGCCCTTCTGGGTATTATGGTGCCGCCAAATCTCAACCTCACCGCCGCCTCGGATCACCCCAACTCGCATCGAGGAGAGCAGGTTGTGAGCGGCATTGGTGTGCATGTAAACACCCCCGTTGAACATGGCGGTGGCATCTTTCCCAATAGCCGATGAGATCAACGTCTTTCCACCCGGGTGCTCCTTGATGAACCCACTCACGTCGTGGACAACACCAGCGATGGCAACGAGGGCCTTGCCGTTTTGAGCCTCGGCGACGAAATCGTCCCAGTCTACAACAGGTAACTGACCCAACGAAGTTCCCCAATCAAGCTTGGCGCGTTTCTGGTCAACCTTCTTCTGGAGTTGCTGGACGCGGCCTTTTTCGATTTCGTTGGCACGGAATTGTTTGAGGTTGGATGCGACTCCGAGTTGTTTCCATGTCCAGATAGACCACTTGGTGGGGTCGTATTGCCACCATTCGATAGCATTGCGGTAATCGGAGGGGAACTAAACATAGTTGAGTAAGTCTTGAGCCTGCAGGTGATCTTGGACGTCAAGGGCGTGCTTACCTCGTGATGGAAATTGTGATAACCCTCACCACAAGTCACCAGTGCAGTGATAACGTGATCGCGAGGTGAGTTTCGGTCATCGAAGGGCTTGAAATGGTCAGTCTTCTGGGAGCCGATTCGGTGGAAACGGCATCACTTACCTGCTCACCCAACCAATGGGCAAGAGAGTTGACGCAGAAAGTGGCCTGCTGAACAAACAAGAATCTGAGAATGCCAGCATATACCAGACCACCCTTCCAGTCTCCCCAACCCAAGCCAGCGATGATCATTGGGAACAGCATGCCGAAAAAGAGGATCACCGATCCGTAGTTTCGGTGCTGCCAGACGACGACGGGGTCCTCGTTCAAATCAGAGATCTCCGTTCTTCCCTTGTTCTTTGGGTTCTGCTTCAAGACCATCCACATGAAGTGCGCATACCAAGCCCCTTTCATCACGCTATAGGGGTCTTTGGCGGTGTCGGTCCATCGGTGGTGGGCTCTGTGCTTGCTGCTCCACCATCTGATCGATCCTTGCACAGCACCACCGCCGGCACATGCCAGGAAGATTCTCAAAGGCAGTCTCCTACAGTTCCTGATAGTCAGCATACATTCTGTCATGAAGGTCTATTGAGGATCGAAAGAAAAACTCACGCCTCATATGATCGATGTGCCCATAGACGATGGTATCCTGCAGTGATTCCCAGCGCAGTCCAGAAGTAGTAGACAACAGCCCAGGCCGCGGTGGCTGCTTGGAGCTTGGTATAGAAGGCAGCCACACACCCACCGAGGGGGACTATCAGGATGAGGGATGTGTTGACCCAATTGACATGTTGATGCCAGTTACTCAAAGTAATAGGCTGCTCAGTGATGTGCAATTTTGGATTCTTTCGCTCTTTGGTAGCCATCTTGACAAGATGTTGAAAGTGAGAAGGGAAAAAAAGTGGGCCTTTTTGATATCACAGCCGACCCAACTTCTTGGAAAAGGCTCAAATATAGCTCTGGAACGATGAAGGAATGACAATGGGCCTTCTTAAATCAGGAGATCGATACACATGATAGATTGTTTGCCTATGTACTCCCAGCAAAAGAAATGTTGAACCGTTGGGGTCAGGCTGACCACGGGAACCTTCCGATCCTCCCCAAATTCCATCAGGGCTGTCTGGCTGGCATTTGCCAAGTATTTTTTCCTTTTCTCTCTTTTACTCAGTGCTTGTTTGACCAAATTCAGAATCCAATTGAAACTTCTAGAATCTTGACTTTGTAACAAACCCGCTTTCACCTCGGTTCCCTAGAGCCCAACACCTAGTATTGGATTCAACAAGATCCAAAATGAGACCATAGATCATGGAGGGATGTACATCTTTCCCACGGTTGCCACTCGTGGTAAATCCCATGTACGGAGTGCATGCCCGGTAGATAGGCTATTGGCCGGAACAGGTAGATTACCTCAAACATCCCGCACCTACATGCGATGTAAACTGTAAGGCTTCGTACAGGCAAATGAGCCCTTACTTTGTGGGTTACACGCAAGAAGAATTGGAGCTGGACGAAGCCTCTGGACACCATCTACAAACAATTTCATGAATCAAGTGATCTGTTTGCACGGCGAGGATAATAGGCTATTATGGACCGGACGCCACACAGGTGGGCTGTAAAATGACGAAAGTCGCATTTCTCATATGCCGATAGTTCAATGGCGAAGCGATAGGACTAAGGAGGCTAATTTTTCCCAGATCGTGGAAATGTGTGCGAAGATATCTTGAGATCATTATAGTCGGGCATGAGTGTGTGTTCCAAGACCAAGACCTCGGGATCCAACGTGCAGCCCTAGAGGAAGCTATCATTTCGGCACGGAAGGCAAAGCAACTGGCGGAATATTGACCAAGGCTAATTTTCAGTACTGGTATGAAGAGGTCCCTGAATATCTAAACCCTAAAAATTCCGCTCATGACATTGTCTCCAAGGCTCCCCCTGTTAAGATACCGAGCGGAGCCGGAATAGGTTTGTTGGGTTACTGACCTCGAGGGCACTACATGCAATCCTGGAAGTAAGTGGATAGAACTGGCGGCTTGCTTCTCGATCTATTGTATTATTGTACAAGTTCATTGAATCATATCATGTACAACCTTGAAAGCCGATCGTGATTATGCGTACTCTGTTCTGATTGGGCGAAGTAGCCCTGCAAGCTACCCCTAGCTTCACTGGCTACGGAGTACAGTACATCCTTATGTTCCAAGGTTGTACGGGCATCACACAACCTTGCTATACTAGGTGCCTAGATATGAATGCATATGAATGCTCTACTTGACAGAATAAGCGAGAATGACCGGTTGCAGTGGAAATGGAAATCAACAAGAACCACGGCTTGCAACCAAGCAATGTGTCTATAATTCAACACTGAACGACATGGATGTAACATTCGTTGAGGCTTATATGTGGATTCCCAGAATCTTGCTGTTTAAACACACATTGATGCAGCGACAATCTATCCAGTCCATCTGGATCGCGAATTTCACGCGGCAGGCTCAGAGTGGTATTTTGGTCGAGTCCACCGAGGCACGGACGTGACTTGTTTTCTCTACAGAATTACTTCAATATCTCGCAGCCCATAACCGGCGCATACAGCATTGGTGGGCTTCAACTGTGAGTTACAAGGGACTTCTCATGCACAGGAACCCGGAGCTTTCACCTAGTAGTTCATGGAGTCCATACCTAGATATTTCTGTGATATATCCTTCCTTAGTTGCACTAATGGATCCCGCAAAATAGGTAGCAATCAAGCCCGAGACGCAACTACCTAGGTATGCTGTTCATGTCATATACAGACCTCCCGAGTCGGGACATGATTCATGCCCAGGTGGTCCTCTCTTGAAGAAGCTACTGAACACTTCCGCTCAAGTGCTATGTCTTTGTATCAGGCGTAGAATCCACGTGCGATTGAGTTTGAATCAAAACCGCCGTGATTTACATTCCAAGGTTCCTGTGACCCGCATACTTTAAAAAGCGATTTGGCGCTTGACGCAGAGATACTGAAAAGGAGATGTACTATTACCCCGAAGATATTGGAGATTTCCTGTTTTATCACCATCTCGATTGTTTAGACCCCTACCCCAAACGAGACCTATCGCTATCAATAAATTTGATGGAAAGCCGAGTATCTCTCGCCCAGAAGCGCGCGGAAAAGATGAAAGTCACGGGCATTGGGTAGATTTCCCCTTACTATGTGATTGAATAAGAACAGAAAAAATATCAACACGGCATTTCCCCCCATTTACAGTTATGAATCGAGAAACTCACAAGTACTATCCATAGTATACTATGTATGTCCGGACCGAGATCATCGGCATCATGCCGTGTCGATCATTGTGGGCCCGACGATGCAACCCCATCCTTTGATCGCCCTTGCTTTGGTCTGGAACCCTGGGGAGCTTGAGGTGTTCCAATGGAACACGTTCGCTCATTTTCGAGCCTTGCATACCTGAGGGAGAAATTATCCTCTCGACTTCATCGCCCGACTCTGACACCCATCTCCTACGATGGACGGGGGAAAGAATCTGGAGTCGGCCATTTCGAGGGGCACCACGCAAAACGATCACGCCTCTATTGAAAACCGGCTGTCACAATATTCAGATGCTCAAAAAGCCAAGGCATTTCGCAAATTAGATTGGAATCTCATATTATTGTTAGTCCTGCTTTCGATTGCTCAGCGAGCACCAGGCTAATTATTACCTGCAGACTTGGTGTCTTATACCTGTTATCCTACATTGACCGTGGCAATGTTGGAAATGCCTACACTGCTGGCATGGGAAAAGAATGGGGCATCACGTCCAATCAATACTCTTGGGTCATCACCGCATATTACATCGCTTACATCGCTTTCCAATGGTTTATCTTGCTTTGGAAAGTGGTCTCACTCCCAGTATGCCGTCTTCACCGTATATCGCCATCGAATTAATACTAATCACAACAGGCCTGGGTGGCTTTCATGGCACTCGGCTGGGGTGCTGCAAGTATGTTGCAAGCCGCTACCAGCAACCTTGCGGGCTTGATCGCACTGCGCTGTCTGATGGGAGCATTTGAGGCCGGATTCGCTCCCGGTGTGGCCTTTTATCTCTCCTTCTTCTATCGCCGGTCGGAAATGGGGTTCAGATATGGTCTTTTCATCTCGTTTTCGGCCATCGCTAACTGCTTCGCTTCCGCGCTGGCGTATGGAATTGTCCATGCGAACACATCCATTGCCAACTGGAAGTTGCTGTTCATTATCGGTATGTGCTGACTCTTTCGCTTCCTCGGTGATATATTCTGATTTATCCAGAGGGTATACCCACGATAGTGGTAGCGCCTCTCGCGTGGATATTCTTACCTAAAGGCCCTGGAGAATGCCGCTTCCTCACGCCCATCGAAAATGACATCGTTCGTCTTCGTGCACTCTCGGGTCGTGGATATGAAGAAAAAGGAAAACTAAACTTCAAGCAATCGTTCGCTGCGTTGGCGGACTACAAAAACTATTTCCAGGCTGTGATCATATTTTGTTTGAACGTATGTGATTGCCTTGACAGATCGTTCTCGAACTAATGGGATATAGGCTGCGTTCGGGGCGCTACCTGCCTTCCTGCCCACGATCATTGAAGAAATTGGCTATTCATCCGTTCAGGCGCAAGGCCTGTCTGCGCCTCCTTATTTGGTCGCGTACTGTATCTGCTTATCAGCTTCATTTCTCTCGGATCGATTCCAAAACCGGTCATTCTTCCTGAGTGGGTTGAGCGTTCTTGGGGCGGTAGGCTACCTCATTCAATCCCTTGTCAAGACAGATGGGGTGCGTTACTTTGCATGCTATCTCATCTGCGGTGGCGTTTTCCCCGCTGTCGCACTGACGTTTACATGGGTCACCGACAATGGCGGCTCAGCATCTAAGCGTGGTGCCGGGCTGGTGATCTTTGGGATGCTCGGCCAGACTGGCTCTATTGCTGGCTCACGCTTCTTCCCTAAGGAAGAAGGTCCCTTCTATGTGAAGGGTATGGGTATCAGTGCAGGCTTGTTATTCTTCGCGGCGATTCTCGCTCAAGCCTTGGGCCTTTTGCTGAGATGGGAAAATAAACGAAGGGATGCCATCACTAGTGCTTCGGGTTTCGACACGGATGACGCTGTGAGCAACTCCAGAGATGATCATCCTTCATTCCGATTTATTGTCTGAACTGGTAAAGAATTCAAGCGTTCGCACGAGCTGAAAAGCTGCCGTAAACCAAAGCCACGACGGGTAGTCTGAACCAGGGACAGCCCACGGGAGCTGAGATCCGCCTACCGCCACTACGCCGTCTCAGCAGTGCGTCATCGTAGAGGTTTCCCATATGGAAGGCGATAATCAGTCTTCAACTTATGTCTTTCGCAAGCCGGTGCTGCGAAGACCATGAGCCAATCTGACACAGACCTCGCAACCATCGAGCCGAGGTGGCTCCAGCTCTTCTCCACGGTCGAGGACAAGTTTCGAACCTCCGGAATCGACGGCGATAAGTGGTATTTGACAGTGTTGAGTGCACTAACGACTACACCCGAATCACAAGTCTGTGCCCAGCTATACCTGTACCTGATCAGTCAACATGCATATGCAACAAGGGACGCCCGTCAGAAGTTGATCCGGCGCATGCGCGAGGCACTGTTCAAAGACATTGGCCTGATAGGACTGCCACGGCCTACAGAATCACTGATTGAGATCACGAAGGTTCTGTCAGAGGAAGATGCGGAATACAGCTACAGTCGCGAAGGGTGGCACTGTGATGGGTTGAATCATGACCGTGGGATGGGATGGCTGGAAAGAATATATGCCCACAATACCACGGCGCTGTTTGAATTGTTCAAGAAGCACCCCGACTTTGGCTTTTGGGTTGCAGATATCACGTATGGGCTCCTCTTGTCCGACCGTCAGGTCTTGGATGACGTGGATACAGAATTGGTCGTACTACCGGCGGTGATGGGTCAAGACCTGCCGCGGATGACCTATTGGCATATTCGGGGGACTAGGCGTTTGGGGGTGTGCAAGGAGGACTTGCAGATGGTCATGGATTGTGTGCATTTGGTGGTGGAATCTTGTGGTGTGACCTTGAAGCGAATACCCAGTGTGGACTCAGTCGACAAAGATTTGTGAAAATAGCTCTACTCTCAAGAATAAAAAAGAAATCGTCACTAAGAGGCCCCGGAAACCAGTTGGCAATACCCGTTGTTCCAAGGTTTGTTTTGAGAGATTACCTAAGATCGTTGGCGCAGGTCGATTGTCTTTGCCCCGCGGACTCTGCTTTACCTACACCTGAGCTCTTTGATTCCCTGACTAATTTGGACTTTTGATCGCATTCCTCAGGGCCGTTTTACCCCTGTGGCGGCATGCGAGACTTCAAGTCATGTCGACCTCGTCGCGCAGTCTCAGCTCCTCCCCCGATGTCCTGGGTCCGCCAGGCGACGCTCAGTACCTCATTTCCTCGCCAATCAAGCCATTCAACGGCCGCCAAAGCTTCATGTCTCCAATGGTCGGAAAATTAGGTGCCAGGTCGCGAACTCCGGCCAAGCGATCGCGGTCGCGCGTCAGTCTGAGTCCCGCAAAGAGCGCGCATTCGATCCAGTTCAACGATGTCATACTCCCCGGTTCGCCGACAAGGAAGTTCAACGGAGGTCGCCAGCGCTCTATTTCCCCCGAAAAGCTTCTGCAGCAGGACGGAAATGTGAGTCCGTGGCGCATCCGACTCACACTCGAGGCAACACAGGACGAGGACGAGAACCACGGTAGCCCGTCGCGCAAGCGAATCAAACCATCGACCGTCACAACAATGATACCTTTGAAGGATGAAAGGAGCCCGTTGACCGAGAAGACCCCCTTACGACGACGAGGTCGTCCACGCAAATCGGATATGGCTATCTCCCCTTTCCCAGACCTCCGATACACACCACGCGCCGGGTATACCCCTAGACCTGGAGACACGCCTGGCCCAGGACACACGCCGGGTCCAGGACACACACCGGGTCCAGGACACACACCAGGTCCTGGGCATACACCGGGTCCTGGGCATACACCAGGCCCGCGCGCTCAAGACTCACAACCACGAAAACGAGGTCGGCCAAGGAAGCAGGAATTCCAGATGGCCGAGGACCAACCGACCCCGACCGTGGAGCATGTCGAGCCCTTCAGTCCGATGGATATTGTTCCGAATAGTGATGCTGGTGTGGATCAGCAATTCAGTCCGATGGACACCATGGCCAGTGACACTGGCCTGGAGCAAGAACCCAGTCCCATGAATGAGGATTTACACGAAGCTCCTTTGGGTCAGCATGATTACAGTCCCATGAATACTGCCCGCAGCGACACAATACAGCGCGAATCTTTCAGTCCCACTGACTCTTTCGCCGGGAGTAATGCTCATGCTAGTCCAATCGACCTGGTTGGGGGTGCTGATTCTGAGGACGATTCCTGGGGCAACTCTGAAATGTCTATTGCGGACCTGCATGACCCTACCGAGGCCATTACCGAAACCATTGAACATAATCGCCCTGAGTACGGTCGAACAAGCCTGGAAACTCCTGTCATTGGAGCTACCGAGCATCACTTCCTAGATGATGAAAACATCCACTCTACTCCTTCCAAGATGCCTTCGCCTACACGCGAAAGAGCTATTCAATCGTCCAGATCCTCTCAGAAAACTACTAGCCCGCAATCAGGCACCTATCCAACCCCAACGCCTACCTCCTCGCTGGTAGATGAGGAGAACGCAGCCCAGCAACATGATACTGATCAGCATTCGAGCACAAATGCTCAGCAAGCTGAGCCGGATTCGTTTGAGGATCCTGATGATGATCACGAAGAATACGAAGAATACGACACCATTATGGAAAGTGAAGGTTTCACTATGATTTCCCTCGACACACTTCCCTCGGCTAAGCATGGCTTTGGCTCCAGTGCCCTGGCAAATACTCTCCCAACGCAGAAAGAAGTTGGAGATCGCCTGAAGCGCAAACTTCCCGGGACCATTGAAGATCTGCAAATCAACTCTCGTGCCCGGAAGTCTGCCAGTCCCATGACAACGAGCCTGGCCCCAGAAAGACACACCGCAGTCGAGACTTATCGTACTGGCCATCTCCCCGCTCATGAAACTCGCCAAAATACTGTCAATTATGTAAATGACATCACCTATCCCGAGCTTCCCACCATATTCTCTCCCGTCAAGTCAACGATTGTTCCAAAAAAGAGGACATTCACCAGTCTAGCGAAACTTGTTCGGGTTGCTCTTGCTCTAAAAGGACCATTCAGGCCCCAGGCAAACGAATGGTCTGGCCACAATAATGCTCGACACAAACGACGACGCCTGGAGGGCATGTTCAGCACGTTTGGATCGGAAACACAACGAGAATTGCGAGTAGCCATGAGTCTTGGACAGGAAATTGCCACTCGGCGAATGTTAGCAGAGGAAGAAGAGGCCGCGGCGATGGCGGCAGAACGTGCCGCATCTCGTGCCGAAGAGCAAGCCGTTTATGCTGAGCTTTCTGACGCTTCGGGTCAATTCGAGCAAGAGCAATCGCTGGAAGAGGAGTCCGAAGAGCACATATATGAAAGTCCCGCCAGGCTTCAGCAACGGTCATTCCAGTCGCCGGGCTCTACATTCGGAAGCATTCTGCATCAGAGTCCAATGTCCCAGCAACGACGACGGAGGGAGACTGAGTGGCAGCTCGAGCGAGAGGCAGTCAGCCGCCAGGCCGAGATGGAGTCGAATTCAAATCCCGTGGTCTACATCGAGAGTGATAGCAGTGTTGCAGAAGAGGAAATCGATCAGCCGGAAGCTGGACTTGCGTATGACGATCAACCTCTGGCTGAACCGGAAGAGCCTGTGGACTTTGAACCTGAGATCGCGTCAGAACCAGCATCCCCCGTCGGCCCAGCGCCTGGCATCGAACAACAGGATGAGCAAGACGATGACGGTGACGATGACGATGGCTATGATGATATTTGGCAGCTCGAGGCCAATGACCACAGCTATGCTCATCACTCCGAGGATGAAGAAATGCAGACTGAGCCTCCAGCGCCACCAACACCTCTGGGAGGTCGGAAGATTAATACCAGCCGGGAGCAGTTGACTTCATCCCCTGATGTACCGCTAGATCATGATCAAGATCACGATCACGTCGTACGCTATGGTCCGTCGAAGGTACGCGAGCTCCGCGAGCAGCCTGTCGACCTATCTGCCTTGCTGGCCGAGGAAGACACGCCAAATCGCGCGCGATACTACAACGGAACCAGCACTCCTCGAAGCGTGCTCAGCCGTCCATTGGGGCCACAGGCTTCGCCGCTCAAGAGTTCCATGAAGCAACCGGCATCGCGTACTCCTGCACAGGTCAGATTGCAGCCTCTTTCCCAATCGAGCCCTGAAATCCAAAGCCCCCAGATGTCCTTTCAAGAATGGGAAAATTCTCCAGGTGACGCGCATCAGGATGAACCTGATAGACAGCCTGTTGGAAACGGTTCTACCGGGGATATCAGCTCGCCTCATAGTCAACCGGAACTGTTTCAGCCGGACGCTTCATCTACTCCAGCCCCTCGCCAGACAAAGGAAGAGGCCCCTGGCTCTTCTTGGTACTCACGGATTACCAGTCTCACTCCACAATGGCTGAAAGCCCCCACTCGTGCTCGAAGCTCGAGCATCACGACTATCCCAGAAGAACAATCCGACTCCGAACACGAAGAGGAGTTGGCTAGTGTTGAATCTGCCAAAGAGCTCAGTGACCATCTCCGTGACGAGCCCCTCTCTCGGGAAGCGAGCCAGTCGCCAGCGAATCACTGGAAACAAACAACTCAGTCGCCCAAGATCCCTCAATCTCCCGAACCAAGGCAGTATCTCCAGCCCACAACGGAAACCGAGGAACCGCCTGTATACGAAAGAGATGTGTCCGAAAGCATTTTGGGCGAGTCCGAGAAACCGGCGTCTGAGCGGAGTGCTTCGCTGGATGTCCCCGAAGAAGCTACAGAACCAGTCGCCCCTCAGGTCCAGGCGCCTTCCGGCCCACGACCACTTGCCACGTTTGGGTACTTCTCTGATGATCACTATATCGCCCTTCGCCGGGTTTACCGCATTGCCAAGCGATACCCCGAGCAGTTCGAATACTACGATACCCCAGGGCGGGCAGCCATCATCGGTGATTGGATCTGGACCTCAGATGGTCATCACGGGGTACCCATTACTGAGATTCAATTTGCTATCATTGACCGGTTTGCCCAAGAGTTGTCCCGGGCTGACACCCAATATGGCGGCAGTGGACAGGTTGATTGGACCGAAGCGGATCTGCATCGTCGATTGATCAGCATCATCATTGGCGAGCAGATCCGAGGAGAGCGAAAGGCCAAGGCTAACCGGGGAACTTCGGCGGATACATGGCGATGAGCGGCTATCTGATTTTTCTTTTTTTCTTTTCTCTTGTCGGTTCTCTGTTATTACTGCATGAGGCTTGGTATCCTCATCCCTGCGAGAAGAAACCTTTTGTCGTTGCATCCGTCTTTTTTTTGGTTAATTATGATATCCTCCCGGTTGTTGGGCAAGTCTACTTATCGAGCTGGGCTGTTCTGAGGCGTTGTTAAGTCAGTCTTTTCATTTGGGCTTCTGGCCTCATCTTTTGGACATTCATGTACATCACATCTTAGTCGATACCATGCAATGTTTTTCCAGCACCAAAGCATCGACTCCCGGAAGGGAATCCCTGGGATTCCCCTGCGAACACCCTGAACCGGCTGGATATTGCAGATCAAGCATAGACTCCCGACCAACCACGGGCTCTTCCTGCGCCCAGACTCTTCATTTCCCCGAGTATCCGACGAAGTGGCGATGTCTTTGGTCTCAGATCTCTATCCCTCAAATGCAAATCGAACACGCTATTGAAGCCCTGGAGGAAAGGCCCAGGGACACATACGTGTCTGAGCATACGCACCTTGTGCTACTATCACCTCCCACCAGCAGAAGCACAATTTACGTAGACATTGAAGTTCCGACCAAAACCTGCAGCCCGCCATCTAGACCAACCAGAGGTGCATCATGTCCTTTCGCGTGGCCAAGCAGAAGTTGGAGAGCCTCGCATCCCCCACTTCCGTGCGAGGTGCCCCTGCACGCGTTTTCGTTTGGGTGTCGGTCTAGCTGGGTCTCGATGTACAACCTAAATCAGTTCCGGGACATTTATATGAGGAAGTTTGCTTCTGTTGACTTCCAAGACATCAAACATCTTCATCTTTCTTCAACGCTTTCTTCTCTTTTCTTCCCCTTTTCTCCCCTTCATACGGAGAACAGTGGTTGATATCCCCAACCATGTCTGTCTTCACTATCGTCCATCGGGCCCTCCCTCCACTATCTCTCTGGAAGCGCCGAAACAGTACAACCAAAGGCAAATCCCCCAGTACTGAGTTCCAGATCAGCGAAAAGAACAACCTTCCAGAACCCACCGACCAAGCCTTCATGCACCATGACGTCCATACCGTGCAGGTAGCGGTGAGGGGCAACGCAAAGATACACAGACAGCCAACCCAGCCCTCTGTCCCGGAAAGCCACCCGGAACCCGAGTGCCGTGCCTCATCCAGCGAGACACTTCCCACGCGGGCACAACTCGCCCGAGCTGTCAGTTGGGCCAGCATAGTCCGCAGTCAGGATCGGTGGACAGCGGAACAAGAGAAAGAACTCGTCCATGCACAGAGACAATTGGAGAAATGCCAAAAGGCCTGGAGCTCTGAACAAGAAGTCTGGCTGGTTTATGTACGTATGAGATCCTTTTACTTGATCTACAATGCTCATCGACTACAGGTTCAAGCCTTGAGTGAGGAGAAAGAAGCACATACGGGCTTCATCTCGGCTCGCCACCGACAACAAGGCGACGAGCAGCATCAGTTCCGTAAGGCGTGGAAAAGACGTCGATCATCGGGCGATGAAGAACACCAGTCTGACACTGAGACGGCGAATCGATTGGGGAAATTGCGTCGCTTGCAGCGCTATTCATATTCAGGGCAGCAGTTGGGCGCTACGACGCCGTTATCGGTTAAATGATGTGGCTAAAAGCAATGTAGTATCTACGGAGTACAGTAATTCATCTCAGATTTCCTGCACTTCATATGCATTAGATTCAATGTCATTTGGTTTCAATGCCGAGACTCATGCCAAGTATCGTCACTTCACGTTCAAGTGGATGCGGCCAATCAAGTATTTACTTGGCTCTTCTTGGCTCGTATCGCGAGACATACTTATTAGATCTGTATACTAGTAAACTGGAAAGACAAACACACGATGTAACATGCTACCTGTATCCCGTGGACCCCTCTTATGCAACTTGACTTCATATTCGTGTCTTACGTCCATGTGTATCTCTTCCAATGCAACCTGATATCATATACCATATGATGATATCTGAACTTATTTCCTACATAGAGATTCAACAGCATGTCCAATCCACACTACACAACATGAACGAACCACCCTACCCCTTCTTACCAGGCCACCTCCGAAACAAATCCGCCACCGAATCAATCGGCGCCGTAATGAGCCCAACAACACTCTCAAAAGGCGGTTTCACAGGAGCATGCGGATGAGACCTCGAAGGAACAAAAACCTTAGTTCTCTCCAACGACTTCGTCATCTCAACACTCTCCTCCTTAGAAAGCATCTCCTCCAAACGAGGCAACTCCACATCCTCCTCATGTCTAGCATGAATACCAAAATCATCCATCAGTCCACGGAGAGTGGGCACGAAGCGCGGATCCGTAGATGCCAGATCTTGGAAGATCTTCAACTTCTCCTTAATGCCCTGGTGTTCGAGTCTGTTTCTGTCGGCTGTTTCTTGGCCGTCCGGGAGAGAGGCGATGATGGCTGGGTAGATTACTAGTTCTTCGCCTATGAGGTGACGGGCTAGTTCCCAGGTGAATTGGTTTTGGTACCGGGTTTGTTCGTCGGGGTTGGTGGAGGTGAAGATCTTTTGGCTGTGGGAGACTAGCTCGAGGTGGTCGTGTTTGATGGTTGGGAGGATGCGGCTGTGGAAGTCTGGTGTCGAGGTTATAGATGTGAAGGTTCGTTCTTGGGGCTCGATGTTGCCGCAGAACAGGGGTTGTTCTTTCTTCATGGCCATTGGGTGTATGTTTGGAGATTTGGACAGGCGAATGCTCAAGATGCGGAGCATACTTGTGCGGTGATTCTTGGTCTATGGCTTGTAGAAATCGTTTTCTGGTGCGTGTCCTGGTGCGAGGAGTAGTCGGTGGTGAATTCCGCTGCTATCATGATGATGGCATTGGCTCTAGCCCTAATTTGATATCGGAGGCGATTCGGACAAGAGGCTGAGCTTGTGTGCAAGAATCCCACAAATCATGATTCAAGGCTTTCCAGTCACTTCATTGAACACAATTACTAAAGCTGTTCGATGGGGTTCAAGGTTGGCCTCTACCATTGTGCAATGTGCTTGACCCACCGCGAGGTAGCAATGAATGAAGTGAGAAAATGTAGATTATGCTCGCCATGGGCCTAAGCACCACAGCTCAAGTACTATGTATTCCTGTACCAAGGGCCAGCATCAGCCCGAAGATAGTAGACAGAACAAACCGAACGCCTCCACCCGTATAGCTAATATGATCAAATGACAACTCCCCGATAATCCCCGCGGTATGAACACCGACCTATTCCCGTCTTAACGTACATCCAAATGTCTGTGCATTCGATTAATGGTTGCGGGTACGCTTGCGACTGCGTTCGCGCTCCATGGCCGAAGGTGGAAACATCTCCAGACCAGGGTGATGAGCCCCCGGCGTCCAATCGATGCCCATTGAGGGAGAGAAATCAGGATGCAGTTGGCTGTAGATGGCTGGATCGGGCGGGTGGCCGTCGACCGGCTCCGTTGATGCGGGAAGAGGTGCGGCAACGAGCTCGACGAGGGATGAGTCGATCCAGGAATTTGGCTTGGCTGTGAGTCGGCTGATGCGCGCGCAGTCGTCGTCGACTTCCTCGTTCATCAGGGCTGTCAAAGGGGGTGCGTTGCCGTTTGGTCGAGCGTGATGGTTGGAGAGGACGTGGTATGGGAGGTTCGGACGCGTGGCTGGTTTATCGGCTAAGTCGGCGAGAGCGCTGAGAGCACTGTGTGCGGCGGTGGTGCGCGTCGACCGGGTGGCGTGGAAGTTGTGGCTGGCAGTGCGCATCATGTCGGCCGCGCTTGGGGTGCCATTGTCTTCGTGGCCAGTGCCTTCGGGGGTGTCTTCGGCGTCGGTGTTGTTGCCATTGGTGACGGCTCCGGATCCGTTATCCGGGCGCTTGGAGGTGGAGAAGAAGTGAACTGCCGCGACGTGCGCCTGATTTGCGTGCGCGCTGAGTTCCTTATCGGTGAAGAGCGAGTTGATGGAGTATGTGGGAGCCGCCTGCTCCTTGGCAACTTCGACCTTGTGACGCTTGGCGGGAGTAGCATCGCCCACGTCCCGCGGGGGCGTCCCTGCTTCCTCCTCGGGAGCCTTGCGTTTGCGCTTGTTCAGCTCCGAGATCACACCATTGCCGAGCTCGTCCAGATCCACACGGTGGCGAGTGTGTCGGGTCTTGCGGTTGCTGTGGATGCCGCCGGGACTTGCGGGGTTTGTGATGCTGAACTGGTTGGGGTGGAGAAGAAGGGCATTGGTGTCCGCGATATCGAGCTGCTCCTTTTCGCGCATGAGACGGGCGCGCTTGCCGGAAATTGTCTGCATCAATCGTTCGCGGAGGGTCGAAGAAAGCTGATTGAATTCTTCCTTTGCGAAGTAAACGCGGAAATCGTGTTCGCGGGCTTGTCGTTCCAGGATATCGTTGTATCCGTTCTGTCAAGGTGAAAAAGGTATGTTAGTTGCTGCTCTCAAGGATATAACCAAACTAACTCACCATAGTTTGAACCAACTCTGCATCCCTCTTCTCCTTGATCTCATTGATCTGCTGAACAAACCTAGAATACCAGGTCCCAGCAAGGCCTGCCATCTCCTTGGCGAACTTGCTACCACCACCGACAGTATCCTCAATGAGCGAGGCAATGCTGTCTGCGGTATCCGAGAGAGGCCCGGTAGTATAAGGGTCGGCATTATTGATAAGGGTCATGTCGCACTGAAGGGCATGCAACTGCTGGCGGAACTGAATATCGCGGTTATTGCTGAACTGCCCAGTGAGTTCCTGAAGTCTCTCTTGTAGCGCTGTTCGGCGCTTGTCACGCTTTGAGGGCGCACCTCCCGCCCCGCCACCAGGGCTGAGAGGGTGATTTGAGTAAGACATTGGGGATGCTCGTACAAGGGCAAGATACTGTAGATTCGGAATAGACATCGGCGGAAGATGAGAGGGGTGGGTCGGCGGCGGATTGTTTCTCCGTACCACGGTACAGGTGACGAGATGCAGCGTCGATCAACGTTTTTTCCTGTGGCAATTCTTGTTGGATATGGCGTATGTAAAGAGCTGGGACTGGTGAGATGAAGGGGGGGAGATTAGCGAGGTTGAATAAAGGGCGTTCGCATTGTTCAATTACGGAGTTCGCAGAATATATACAATGCATGGAGTACAACTTCATCAATTCAACAGACTTTGTTAGTTCCGAGGTTTACCATACACTCTTTGTGGAATATTTTCGAGACCCGTATAAATTTTCTAATTCAACAGTGTACTCTATACGAAGTATGGAAGCCTTCATCAAGAACAGAACCATGGAACAATCCATAGATCTTGGAACTTCAACTTCGCCAAATCGGGAACAGTGACTATTGAACAATGCAACTTCACCGCCAAAAGGTCAATTATGTCGATCTCGCATTCTCAATAGTTCGAGTCACAAATTTGGTCTCATCAGAAAGATTTAAGGCACAACCTTGGAATCCAACGCCTAAAAGCAGCTGACCGGTCTGCAGGCCTACGAGCCACACTCTGTACTTCAAAGTTACACTTGGAATTAACCCCAGATGCTCATTGTACCAGTAGATCATGGATGTAGGTACCACAACCTGGAAGCAAACAAGCAGAGCTAGCGCCGAACCTTGGAAGCTAGCGCAATGCTCAAATTGACGACATGACCAGGATTATACCTAGGTATCGGGGTCTAGGGAAATACCGGTGAAGCCTAATGTCAGCCTGATAGGCTTTCCAGATCGAACCCCTTAACCCCTATTGATGGGACATTGTTTATAGCAGATATATTCCCACTAAGATGTGTGTATATATATATCTATTAACCAGATAGAAGATCATAAACCCCGCGCCAACAGCCAGGGTATTCATAGTTCATTCAAAGATCCCGCGGGGGAACCCATCCCCCGGAACGAGTCATGCAAGGTACGCAGTTTTTCGCGACAGAAAAGAAAAAACCGAACCAAAAATCCAAAGAAAAAAGAAGATCCAAGATCCAAGATCGAACACCAGGGACGCCTCCCGAGGGTCCCGTTGGGAGCCGGTTTAAAAATATGCTAAGGGGTAGAAGGGAGGGTGAAAGAAGAGAAGTGAGGTAGGTGTTTGGCGATCTAGGAGGATCGACGGATGACGAAAACACCAAGCTCGATGCCATCTCGTGGCTCGTTGTCCTCGCCGTATCGGCGTTTGCGGATGCCGTCGCAGATCTCGCTCAGAAGGCCGGAGGAGGTCACCTCCTTGCTGCCCATCATGCCGGGACCCATGGGCTTGTGGGGTCGTCGGCCGTTCTGCCAGTATATGCTGAGGACCTCCTTCATGCGAGCCTTTTCTTGGTGGATGAACCACTCGGCCCAGAGGTTGCGGTCGAGGTGGGTGCTTCCGCGGCCGGCGTCGGCGACTTCGAACTTGGAGGAGGGGGAGCTGAGAGATTCGCACAGGGCCACGATGTTGGCTTTCATGGTGGCGAAGTCGTCCATTTGGGAGACGGACGAGAGCTTGCCGAGGTAGCGGCCCACGTCGGCGGAAAGCTCGTTGACCACGACAAGTTGACGGAGGAGAGGGTCGAGAATGGGACCCAGGTATTGTGATTTGAAGGTCGATGCTCCCTTTTTGGTAGGGTACACGAAAAGGAGGGAGCCGCCGTTGGGCGACAGTTCGCTCATGCGGTCGACGAGGAATGACGGGCGGGTGGGGCAGAACACATCACGGTATTCTTGTGCCGAGGGTGGAGGTAGGTACCGCTCGAGAACGGAGATGTGGACGCTGTGAGGAGGCACGATGGGCATGGGGGCATGGGTCATTTGCCGTTGGAGGGGACCGCGGTAATCGTGGTATGCACCGACGACGGCGGCACTGGAGAAGACGGTGGCATTGAAGTAATCCTCCGCGGCCGTCGTGGACCGAGGGGTGCTGGGTGGGGAGTGGGGGAGGTTGGAGAGACTGAAGTGCTCCGGTACGGCGTGGGTGACGTTGATATAGGGGGATTGGCCAGGCTGCAGGTGGTTGTGGACGGCCTGGACCATGGAGCAGAAGACGCTGTCGGTTTTCGGTAATGACACCGACTGGTCGGATGTTTGAGGGTATGGGAGTGTTTGGGAGACGATTTTGACGGCTTCGCCTCGAGGGTTGGCGAGGGCGAGTGCGGATGCTAGACAAATGAGGTCAGCGATTGATCGACGGAAAAAAAAACACCATTCACGACAACACTTACCAGTCATGTTGATGCCATGATCCAGCCATGACCCCATATCCATCTGGCAGTCCATTTCGTCTCGAGGTCCGGGACTGCCGCCGGAGCTGGAGGATCTGTGAGACAGGCCATCTGATGGACTGCTGAGTGTATCTGAGGCCCCATTTGTGGAGGAGTTGTCCACGCTCGGCGTGTCATCCATCATGGGCATCGAGCTCGGACGGTGTGTATCAAACAGTAACATCTCGGACTTGGTGTCCCAAGCCACGGGGATATCCTCCTCTGGCGGCGTGGGGGGCAGTGTGGCGGGGTATTCGCCCTGGTATGCGGGAGGGGAGTTCCAGGAAGGAGACGCCGTCAACGGTCTCGGCCCGCGAGACACCGTGGTTGAGAGTCGCAGGCGAGAATCGGCCGATCTGGTGCGTGATTCAGCCCGGGGCGACCCATGCGAGGAGCGATGTTCCCAAGACGGGAAGTTCACGTTCACACTGCTCTTGGACAGGAAACGTGAGACCGGTGATGGTCGTGTTCGCAGCGAACCCTGTGAGGCTCGCCGGCGAATCTTGGCGGGGTTGGAAGTATCTTGTGTGTCGGAGGTATAATGGGCAATCTCGTTTTTCACTGGTGCATGCATGGTCCGATCGTCAGTAGGAGAGATGGGCCAGTTTCCATTGCGATTCCAGTGCGGAAGAGTGACGGCGGTCGGCATGGGAGCAGAAGGGAAAAAAGATGGAGAAAAAGGGTTTCAAGGTAAGGACAGGCGTTCAGAGAGTAATAAGGAAACGCAGAGGGAACTCGGGATGGGAGCTGGGCAGGTATCGGGTACACGCCCGCAGTATGGGATGTCAGGCGACCAGGGAAGTACCAGCTACACAAGGGCTAGACTCGGGACGGTGGGCAACGGTCTAGACCTTCAAGTCATGGAGTCATCGGGTTCCGCTGTGGACGTAAGGGATGTCCTCGTTTTATTTATTAAGAGATGATCTATATCCTGAGTCTACGAAATTACTCTCCAGATTAACGGCAGTCCAATGTCTACTCTGAACATTCACACTGACCAGAGTGTTCGGTTGCGCAGTCTAGAGCGACCGGTGGCTTATACTTGGCTCCACGGGGGGGCGATCATTCTCGGATGTGCATCGGGTTGATGAGTGTCCATTGCCTGAACCAGACTCTAGCAGATTAAATTTTGATCCGAAATGTCCAGGGACTTTCTACTGTACACTATGTACAGTACAATATGTAGATATTTTCCCGACTGCCCAGATGACGAAGAGTCACCTGTACCCCCATCCTGGTGGACCGAGGGTCTAGACGAGGTACTCAATACTTCCACTTTCTCACACGCAGCCTCCCGTTTTCGGTCTCGCCACTGAGGGGTTGGGCACTACTTGCAAAAATTCTAAACGTTAGGATTTCCCTGCCAGCGCATCCTGTATATTCCTTTTCTTGTGCGGTCTAGCCCTAAGTGTGCGACGACTAGTTCGCAGGAAGTTCGCATTCCCAAGACCCTGAACACCCGATAAAGTGGCATCTGACAGGCCCCATACCCAGATCTATCATCGCCGTTTTAATTTCCCTGCCTACGGAGTAGATCTGGTTCACTCCCCTGCTCTATCTCCGGATTACTCCACCGTCTCACCTAAAGTGACTTGCCACTTCGGTTCCGGCCAGTGACGGGTAAGATCGAAGCTTTGCACAATATACAATCTCACCTGGCACGGGATGGATCAGTGGATGGAGCACAGAGTACGTGGCGGGGGTGCGTGGCTCGAGCCTGAGCACATGGTCCCGGATAGTAAATTGGCTCTACAGGACCTTGGAAATATACGGGAAAGTTGCAAGTCTGAAGTTTGAAAGTCTGGCAAGTCTGGTAGTATTAAGATTAAGATTATATACTCCGCTAGAACCAAATATTTCTCGAATCCCGAAGACCGTGGTCTTCTCGAAGCGAGAGGAAGCTTTGCCCATTCCATGGCTCCGAGGCTCATTGCATCATGCAATCGGAGTCGTGGCGACCCTTGCATATCGAGTTGGATCTCGGTCGCGTGCTTGGCCATGCTAGGCCATGCTAGGCCATGTGCCAATGGGCCGGGAAAGGGTTCCGTGGTGTCCCTTGGCTCCATTCGGTCTAGGTTCTTCTAGACGATGGGAGGGCCGTTCAGTAGAACTGGCCCGGTCGGTGTCGAAAGGTGTAAATCCGCACATGACGATCATGCCATGGCTCCCAAATTGCCACTTCATGAAGTCAGCGACCGGCGCCGGGACTTGGGGGCAGTGTTACAGCCGGCCAGCGGCTGTCTCATTTCCGAGCACGTCCACAGGGACGAACGGTATCGTTGCTCTTCCCGAGTAAGGCGGACCTGCTTGCGGGCGAAGCTCGACGGCTTCAGAGGAATCGTGCAGGTCGCAGAGCGATTGGCGTAAACGGATCCGGTCGTCTTGGCCAGGGGGACGGAGCTCTCCTGGTTGGCGGTGAGCTCGTAGCATTGTCGCACGAGCTGACGCACTCCGTCAGTCAGACGGGAGGCGCGCTCTTCGATATCTGGCCAGAATGCATCGCCCCAGAAGGGATCTTCGCAGACGGCGGTCTCGAGCGCGGTCAACCAGAACTGGAATCCGGAGCGGGCGCCCGCGAGCTGCGAGGCGACGGTCACGAAGCGGATGGTGGGTTCGGAGTGGAGAACGTGCTGGACGATGCAGGCTGGGCAGCGGGCTGTGAGGTACCAGTCGTGTTCTTCGGTGAGGATGCAGTTGAGCCAGGCGAACGCGGAGCGGGCTTCGCCTCGGAATGCGCGCTCGGGTTCGGCGCCCTTGGGGCTGGGGAGGGTTCGGGCGGCGGTGCGCTCGGCTTGGTGGTTGATCAAGAAGAGGGGGACGAGGAGAGTGTGGATGATGTCGCGGTGGAAGCGGTAGGTATCCTGTTCGTCGGGCGTGCAAGAGAGTCGGTGGCCGGCACAGAAACTCGGTCGCTCCATACCGGATTCTTGGCGACGCAGCTGTTCCCGCATGGTGCTGAAGGCCTCATTATGCTCCAGCTCCAGCTGGTCATAGTGGGAGATGTGGAATGGAGAGGCCATGGTGGAGTATAGTTTATTTCATGGGGGAATTATCGCATCGTAGAAAGACATATGTATAAAATCCAGGGACCGGAAGCGGGCATGTTATAGTCTTTCCCCTGGGAACGTCATGGGTTAGGACCCCCCGTTTTGGGCCGTTCGAAAAGGGCACAGGAGATGATCCTAATGGTGGGCTCCACTAGCTGACGAACACTCTGCGTCCAGCGACGATCATTGGCGGACTCCTCGGAATGGAGTGGAGGGGTGGAGATTGGAGACAAGTCTGGACTGTTGCACTTTACTCTCTGCAACAGTCTATCTATTACACGGTGATATAACAGTACCTACTACGGAGTACTATACAGTAGTATACTACTAGTATATACAGTCCTCTCCCAGATGTCCAAATACAAATCACATCCAAATCACAAATGCCCTCCCAAATAAACCTCCTATCTCAACGGTCTAGCCCTCCGTGGCGACCGCCAAAAGCCGCCCAGTGGAGTAGCGTGGCTGTCTCGTGGCCCTTAAAAAAGAGTCGATCGCATGGCGTTATCCCTAACTACAATTATTGACCGGTTTAGTGCGCCATAGCCTGATTGTAACCCTGATTTGGTGCCCAACAGATCTAGACAAAGAATCTGTGCTACTGTAGTACTGGGTACAGTTAGCCCACAGATCGTTGAGACATCGTAAAATTTTATCGCCGATCGATCAAAAGCCGGGAAGAGTACGAGTCCAGTAGATTATCTTTTCCACCTCCAGAGAAAGTGGGGATCAGGGGTCTCCGTCTAAGTCGAGAAGAGCAGTGATTGACAGGGTTTGAGATGGGGTAATTCTACATACCAGTGTCCCAGTACATACTATACAGAAATCCTATTAATATGCTCTACAGTCCATATATCGTGAGATGTGATAAATCGACAATACTCTACAGTGGCAACTGACCCAACATGTCTCAAGCCTCTTTATTTTTATCGTCGTATTTATAGTCGGTGTGGCGGGACTCGGTAGATTCCGGGCAACATTTGAAGGGATGCCAGATGTCAATATTGCGGACTATATACGGAGTACTGTACGCTGCATGCTGTAGGTCAAGCTCAATATTGCATTTGCCTTCAAGGCGACATGCATACAGAAGATACCAGGTTTAATGCGTGTGATATCTGCAACCTCAACTGGGACTAGACCGTTAGGGTTGGGCCCCAACGGTTGCGCCAAGATTGTCTCCATACAGACCTACACTCCGTAGAGTCAACAGATTACTCCATACGGAGGACGATACTCCGTAGTACAGAGTGTTGTGTACTCCGTACACCGACACACATAGTCAACATTCTGACTCGGAATGAAATTCGAACATTGAGGTTATCCCTGGCATGTTGTGGCCGGGGCGAGGAATGAAGCACGCTAGTTGGGAATAATAATCCTGCAGGAAATTTGGTTGCTACAGTCGCAAATCAAGGAACGGTCTTGTTAGCTTCAAATTCTCTGGACCGCGTCTTTTTTTTTTTTTTCTCTTTCACTTGCGTTTGTCAATTGTACCTGCCTGCATTCCTTGAGGCAAGGACGAATTGGATCTTGTGTACGCTGTAGAAGATCTGATCCTACTTCTCTACCTCACATTAATTTCCAGATTGTATTCGATTATTCCTCTTAATCATGTTCTCCTTGGCACTGGCTGTGCCGTTCCTGCTCGCGGGCTTGCAGGCCACCGCCGTGAGCGCCATCCCGAGCATCTCGGCCGTTGGGTCCAAGTTCTTCTACGAGAACGGCACCCAATTCTTCATCAAGGGTATCTTCCCCTCCCATATGCCAAGTACTTGGCTGACCCCAGACAGGAATTGCTTATCAGCTTACCCCAAGTGACCCACTTGTTGACACGGCCCAATGTAAGCGGGATATCGCTCGCATGGCCGAGCTGGGCACCAACGCGATCCGTGTGTACCATGTGGACCCGAACGCGGACCACAAGGGCTGTATGACGGCTTTGGCAGATGCAGGTATGGTCGATCGTATTCGGATCTCGGGGCAAGACTGATCATCTGACGTAGGAATCCACCTCTTTGTTGATCTGGATACCTTCACCACTCAGATCGAACAGGTATGTGACCCACCGGAGGCGGGCGGGACTGGTGCTGACTCGGACAGACCGAACCACACTGGAATGAGACTCAGTTTGATCGCTTCAAGGAGGTGCTCGATGAGTTCCAGAAGTACAAGAACACCGCCGGTGTCTTTGTTGGAAACGAAGTGCTGACCACCGCCGACGGCTCTGCGGCGGCTCCGTACGTGCTGGCTGCGGCTCGCGATGTCAAGGCCTACCGGGACCAGAAGGGTTATCGCGAGATTCCTGTCGGTTACTCCGCAGCTGATATTGCTGACCTGAGACCCATGCTGCAGAACTACATGGCGTGTTCCTCCAATGCTTCTGAGCGCTTGGACTTCTACTCGCTGAACGCATACGAGTGGTGTGGAGAGTCCACCTACACAGGGTCCGGTTACAGCGAGCTGCAGAAGAATGCGACCGACTATCCCATTCCTATCTTTTTCTCCGAGACCGGTTGTATGACGCCCAAGCCTCGTCTGTTCGAGGACCAGTCTGCCATCTTTGGTGAGCACATGGTTGACACCTGGTCCGGATCCATGATCTACGAGTGGATCGAGGAGACCAACGACTACGGTTTGATCAGCTACGGAGCCTCCGTTGATCCCGCCACGGCTACCGGCACGAACATCGAGGACGGTTTCACTCGCCAGGGTACCCCAACCCCGGTCTCGCCGGACTTTAACAACCTCAAGTCTCAGTGGGCTACGCTACACCCCACCGGTGTTGCTCTGTCCGCCTACAAGAAGAGCCTCTCCAGCGCCTCGCTCAAGTGCCCTGAGTCGACCTCTGGCGGCTGGGCGATCGACGCCAGCTCGCCGCTTCCCACGCTGGGCCAAACCCACGGGAAGGGAAGCTCCGGTGCCACCGCGACCAGCAAGAACAGCGAGGCTTCCTCGACCGAGTCTTCTGCCACCGCTTCTTCGACCAAGGGCTCAGCCAACGCCATTGCGGCCAGCTCACCTGTCACTGAGCGTCTGCTCGCTGGCTCCCTGGTGCTTTCCGGCCTGGTTGGCGTTGTTGCTTTCTGGCTGTAGAATTTTGTTTCCCATCGCCGACTCATAAAAGTGAGACTATTGTATTGATATGCATCAGAATTTGGGATAGATGGGCTCTATCGCATTGCATTTGTTGGATCCGCGCATACAGGTTATGCCATGGTCTGTCTTTCACGAAACACGAAGTGTACACAAATGAATTATTATTGAACGATATCTGGTCCATAGACCTTCGCAAAACGTACACCTCACCGATTAAAATCATTAAACGTCAATCCCTCGATCCCTGTGATGTTCACATCCAGCTCCGGCAGATATATCTGGGGAGAGTCCTGCTGGACTCGTATGTCAGGCTCAGAGTCATACTCGGACTCATACTGTTCATCTTCACTCTCCGTTTGTATCTCATCTTGAGCCCCCTTGTCTTCAAGCACTTCATACTCTCGAACATAATCAATGTTCGATTCTCCATCCTCATCCTCATCCTCATCAACAAAACTCTCACCCTCGCTAGCATCCCCAAATCCAAAATCAAACTCCGAAGCCGACTCAGACGGAACAACAACACCCTCACCATCATTCTCTCCCACCTTCCCACCCTTCTCCTTCCCACCCCTCTCCTTCCCAACACAATGAAGCCCCAAAACACCCCTCCCCCCACCCCTCTCAACAGCCGCCGCAAAACACCTCCTAACTCTCCTCGCAACAGGCCTCTTCCCAGCCTCACAATCCAACATAGCCCTAACAGCAATCAACATCCTCGGCACAGCCCAAAACGCCGCATCAGAGCCCCTATCTCTCCGACAGCGCTTCAGCGCGTCGCCTTCCAAAAGCGCGATCCAGCTCTGAACTTGGACTGCGTTGCGGGGGAGATGGAAGCTTGCGTCTGCTATTCCGCCGCCGCGGCCGGCGCTGCGGTTGCGGGCGCTGCGGTGCGTGCTGAAGGATTGGAGGGTGCGTTTGTGCAGGGTTGTGAGGATGTCGAGGGTTGTGGCTGCTAGGGAGAAGAGGTCTGCTGGGGAGGAGGGGGGTTGAGGTTGAGGGGGGTCAGGATTGGGATTTGAGGGGGGGTTCGAGGGGGGGTTTGAGGTGGTGGTGTGTTTGGTTCGGAGGGATGAGAAGCTTGTGAAGGATTGGGTGGAGAGGGAGTGGCGGAGGGGGATTGGGGTGAGGCTTGATGGGTTTGTGGGACTGTTTGGGTTGAGGGAGGATGGGGATGGGATTGAGGGGGTTGTGGATGATGTACAGGATGAGGAATTTGAGGTGATGGATGGTGGATTGCGTCGTGACCAGAGTGATGAGAGGCGGTGTTTTCTTTCACTGGTAGGTTCTTTGCAGCTGGATGAGGCTGTTGAGGCTGTCGACGACGATGATGATGAAAATGCTATTGAGAATCGTGATGGAGACCCCGGGAGACCTATGCGGATGACGGTGCCTTTTGAGGCGGCCGAGTCTGGTCGTGTAGGGTCTGGTGATGAGCGTGGGTTTTCGCTCAGTGGTGCGAGAGCCAGGCGGGTTGGCTTTTGTCTGCGTTTTGTACGGCCTCCGGATGCTTGGATGGTTTGCACTGGCTGGGGCTTTTGTGGTATGGCTGGGGCTGGGGCGCGGGTCCATCGCTCCGGCGCTGAATAGTTGTACGCCTCCAGATCGTTGACATGGGGTGGAGCGAGCAGTGAGTCGAGGGCTTGGAACTGACCCAGGCAGATGTGGAAGTCCGCATCGATGAAGATGTTGGATGGGCGAATTGCGCCGTGGGAGTGACCACGAGAATGCAGCCAGGATACTGCTGATGCCAGACAGTGTGGCCAGGCGATCAAGGTCTGACGGCGTTGCTCCTTGGGCAGACGTTTAAAGGTGGACGGTTCATCAGTGAGGAAACTGTACAGGTTTCGCTCCGCCGTCGCCCCGGTGAAGAGAATGCAGACATTATCCTCCTTGAGGTATGAGCCATACACCGAGACGAGATGCTCATGGGATAACTTCCGCAGCTTGCGAATCTCGGCGAGGACCTCAGTCGCCGAGAAGAAATGGGGCGCACCGCCGACCTGGACTTGCGTCCGCATATAAACCCGACAGTGGGAGCCGGCGAGAACCACCCGGTCCACTGTGTCGTCGCGGCCATGCACGCCACTTGCGGTGCTGGTACGCACCGCCTCGACGGGGACGCCCTCGTTCTCCGTATATACGACATGTTCTCCCTCGGCAATTCCACGCACCAGATACCGCCATTGCGCATGGAAAAAACGGGTATCGAGGGCGAGATCTTCTCCGTACGGCGACAGACGTAATAGGTCGATACTGTGCTCGGCGACGGGGAGGTCGTCATCGTCACACGACTCGTTGACTAGGGCGAAGATGCGATCGGGAATTCCGATCGCGTCGAGGATCAGAAATACCCGACCAGCCTTGAGGAGGATCCATTCCATGTACGTCTCGCTGGTCAAGCCTTCACCCCAGTCCGGCAATTCGAAGAGGCGCGGGATGTTCTCCGGCTGCAGGCGGCTGACGATGTACTTGGCATTGAGGGTGGCCTTGATTCGCTCCTCAGGCCACCACAGTGAGGTGTGCTCTTGTGTATGAGACATGGCGCTTGCGGTCCACAGGTCCAGACAGCGAGCTGAAGTGAATTATATACCGAGATAGGTTGATGATTGACAAAGCGTTTATGGCTGTCAGCCCCTGGTCCACTTGAATCCCATAGTCCAGGATGTTTCCCAGTGGCTTATCATAAAACAGCCAAATATCTGATGTATGGCGCATTGTCGTCGGGGGATTATCACACGCGGATTGCAGAGTTGATGAATCGTATTGTTCACTGGCCAATCTAGGGCTGCGGACTTATCTCTGCCATTGTCAACAAGAAGATAAGCCCTCCGATGACATTCAACCACTCCATATAACCACAGTGGAGGGAACACTATTGATTATAAGATTTTGCAAGGAGATTTCAATTATTGTATGCACCTGCTTCCATTCCTGGGTTATAACTCGGGCTCACTTCGGGGCTACTTGCCTGGGGGCATCTCAAGGTTGGAAGGTTGGAAGCCACCTGTACGGAGTACGCGGCAGTACTTAGGCGCCCAGTACTTTGTACGGAGCACTCCGGACTCCGCCTCCACACGGTACTTCTGTTGACTGCAGGGATTGCATACCCGGGGTCCGGGGGGTCAAACGCCCGTTGGAAGATGACGTCCAAGCTCAGTTTTGTGAGGGATGCTCTGCATTCCCTCCAGACTTATCAGCAGAAAGATTTCTCATGAGTCAATCATGGAAGTAGCACTGTTCAGATGCTCTTCAGATGTTGAAACTGATGCCCACGGGTGTTTGGGAGGCACGTGCAAATGAACGAGAAAGGAAAGAACGACTTTGCTGTTGCGGGTCTCTTGACATCAACACGATCATGTCAACCACCACAATACAGTCAACAGCGACATGATTGTTGTCACTGGAGGCGCTGGCCTGATCGGCTCCAACCTCATCCGGGAGTTGAACCGCCGAGGTCTGACCAACATTCTCGTCGTCGATGACATGGCCGATGACACCAAATTCCGCAACCTAGCCGACTGTCAAATCGCGGATTTCATGAACCCAATCCAGTTCCGAGAGCTGGTCAAGAGCAAGTCGATCTCTCTGCGCCCTCGCATACTATTCCACTACGGCACCTTCCAGTCCGTCACTTCCAGCGGCGAAAGGGACTTCCTCGATGTCAACTTCACCTACCCGAAGGAGCTCTTCAACTGGTGCAAGGCGCACCAAATTCGATTCATCTACGCCTCCTCAGCGGCCGTGTACGGAAACAACCCATCCCGCAAAGAAGATGACGGGGAAGAGGCACCTCTGGATACATCAGCATACTTCAAAATGCTGTTTGATCAGTACGTGCGGCGAAACATAGAGGTTCGGTCTCCACAAATCGTGGGTCTACGTCTATTTGATGTCTACGGGCCCAACGAGGTTCACAAAGGCGATAAGGCCAGCTTGCCATACCGGTTCTACCAGACCCGCAAAGAATTTAAGGTCATCCAGCTCTTCGGCGACCACGACGGATACAAAGGTGGACAACAGAAACACGACTTCGTCCACGTCGAAGACATCGCACGTCTCAACTGCTGGTTCCTCGACCACCCCGAGAACAGCGGCATATACAACGTCGGCACGGGAGTTGCGACTACCTTCCACGACCTGGCCACTCTGGTCGCAAGTCACTTCGGTCCACCAGAGGCGTATGTGGGTATTGGTGAATTTCCCGCCCATCTCAAAGGTCATTACCAGAGCCACACCTGCGCTGATACTGCGAAACTGCGTCGTGCCGGCTCGACTCTTCGCTTTAGGGGCGTTGAGCAGGGTGTTCGGGAGTACTTGGAGAAGCTCGAAGACAAGCAGATCAGTGCTGCCTCCCCATCAATTCCTTCCGCAAAAATTGAAAGGCAATGACTGGGTCCTTTGTCATTGCTCCAAATCCACTGGGCATCACGAAATATGACTACAGTTTTTATTTTATTCTCTAGTACCTCAGTTCATGGGTGTCGGGTTCAAGCCACCTATGCAGGATGGATGGTCGCCCTTGTGGTTAGCTGTGATGGCATATTTTATACGATGTTTCGAGTATTAATATTGAGATAATTAGTCAGGAAGCCACAATAAGATTGAAAATGACAATAAAAGACTGTAAAACAGGTGATCTACACCATCAAATCATAATGAAACTGGGATTAGCATCGAGAGACTCTGTGATCGCAATGAATGCTCGATATTTAAGACACCGACCTTGCAAGCTTCGATTGCACTTGATCCCGAGGTCTGAAGATGGGAACTTCGTATGATTGTAGCGAGAGCCGGCGTTCGCGTGCCTCAATTTCGGCCCGTTGTTGTGGCCTTTCATTGAGTGTCTTGGCTGTGCCCCAGCCTGTGGCCCAGTCCACATTCCACCGCGAATTGACTTCTTTGAACCAGTTGCGGTTCCTCTCCCTGACGGCTTCGCCTCCCAGCCCGGCATTGAGTTGTTCGATCTCAAAGTCGCGAAAGAAATCCACGTTCTTCCCCCAGTCGAAGTTCAACTTCTTTGGGGGGTCCTGGGCTCTCCTTGAGTCGAGGAGACCGGGGGGTTGCCTGCGAAATTCATATCCAAGATGGTCCACCTCGTAATCCTAAGAGGAATCCAGCTGCCAACCTTGGAAGTGCAGTCATGAGATAGCGATGATACATCTCCTGATGGAAGACCAGAGAGAAGTGATGGAAATCTCAGATAGATGGTGAAGAAGGTGAAAGCAAAGAGAGGGAGAGAGCAAGCTATAGACCTGCCCAGGTGGGAAAACATGGTCACCTGACCAGGTGTTCACAACACTACCTAGGTACCTAGGTAGTTATCTATTGTATTCGTTTGGTTCCATGCATATGATGAATTTCAGCTCAATATCCGAAGCAAAAATCGAAATACAACTGCGCACCTGGAAACTCGGACGGTCACCCTGTTTGTGGAAAAACTGAGGGATAAAGGCAAAGAAGAAAACTAAACAAGCACCAACAATCTTTCCTGTTCAAACTCAAACAAGCTGTGCGGACCCCGATCCGAAACAGATTCTTCGTCTTTGTCTTTGTCTTCGTCTTGCCACGGAAGCTTGAAAGTCCCGACGCGAATGAACTCGCCATGATCCCCCCAGGTACCGGTATGTTGTTGTTGGTATTGCACGATCAACCCTTCTGAGCTCGGTTCAAAATAAGCGGGATAAAATTGGATGATCTCGAGAAGATAGTAGTCGTCATCTGGATTCAATATGATGTTACGACCACGCTGGCCTTCTCCTGCACTGTAGCAAGTGTCAAGGTTAGCCTCGAACTTGACCGGAATCTTTCCAGAGAGGCCAGATGAAAGTTTGATATCCCCGAGCCGAATTTTGTATTCAAAGTTCTCAATGGCCTCGTCATCGGAATCGTCAAAGTTGCTTCCTTTGCTCTCCTCCTTGAGCTTTAAGGCGACGGCAATGGTCTTGCCTCTAATCAGAAGCTTGGCAGAACGAACATCCCCAAGCCGGTTGCGAGGATCCTGTAGCTCCACGTCCGTTTCGAGGACCCGAGCCGTTTCTCTCCCATCACGATCGGAAGCATGAGTGCGCTCCAGAGCAAGTTCCCTGCTGAAAAAGTTCCCACTAGCATTGCATATGGATCCACCACGCTGTGAAGCCCAGGACCAAGAAGGGAACGGCGCTAGCCGATCTCTAAACTCAGCAGTACTCCAGAGCAGATCGCTGGGCAACTGACTCCTCCAATGTCCCGCTATGTAGTCTTCTTCGCGCCCCAGAAGTGGTATGAACTGCCGCGAGATCGCCGAAAAAGCAACCAGGCTGTCCTCTGCGTTCGTTAAATCACGACATATATAGTCTCCACGCAACTGGTTCCATTCCGTAGTCACGCTCGACTCATCTGGGCGGTGTTTCAGGACAGGCATTTTGGCGAGCGTCGATGGGCCAGCATGTTCACCCCGTGGGTCGGCTGGGGGACCTTGTCTGCATTTCATGTGGGATTCGACGGATAAGACCTCAGACAGGTTTGTGAATCGACTCCACTTCGTCGACCCGTACGACATGTCACCAAGACATTGCCACCTGACTCCTGTTGTTCCGAAAGACAAGATTCTGTTTGAGATAATGTGCTCTTGCATGGTCCAGGCACGTGTATGTATAGGCTCCAAAACCCCCATGGCTCGGGAAACCCGCTCATGGAACATCTCTAACATCACGCATCCTTGTACTCCGTCGCGGAGATATTTGAACGGGAGCGAGTAACTCAGCTCGTATCTCGAAATCCCTTCGGTATTAACCGGTTTCAAAAAGCCTTCAGATGCAGCACTAGCTTGACTGGCAGATATGAGTAGCTTGGCGTGTTGGTATATCTGGTGCATTTTGGCAATCTCGGAGTTTTTGTCGACCGTATCATCCTGGACTATACAGAGACTGTCGATCCAAAGGAACCGAAATCCGAGCTGTTGTGCTGCGTAGACGGCATTTCGTATTGTAGGTGGCTGATCCTCCAGCATGAAACCAGTGACATGTCGCTCGCTGAAATTGTTCACGACTGTAGTGACTCCCGGCTTGCAGGGTCCCCAGCAATAGCTCAGCGCAAGATAGCCGTCTGCGATTAGTTCTGGAGATAGTCCACCGGTAGGTACTAGCCTCATCAGACCATTCTCCACGCACCCCACATCCACCAGCCGGGAGGGCCAAGAGTGGCGGTCACTGGCCTGGGAGTCTCGATATCGACATCTCTCATGTTTCAGTTCGCATTCTGCAAGCCAGGCGCGAGCTCTCTCCCAGCTATCTTCACTCGCTGGACGTGGTAGAACTCCACCCACTTCCGGCCTAAAGTCCTCTATGCTAGGGTCATCTAGATGCATTGTGTCAGTGAGGATCATGGGAAATGCAATGTCGTTCGACGATCGAATGACGAGGCTCATGGCTCTTCATACCGAAGGAACATGCCCGAACCCGGAAAGTGGACTCTATCCCACATATGCGCACATGAAGTCTGTTGTTGGAAGTCCAGGTGCCGAGATCCTCGTCACGACCGAGGCACATGACCATAGCTTGGCTATACTCGCAGATGTCAATACTTTCGTCGTCATCTTCTGTGTTCCATGGCTGGGCAGAAAAGCCGGTTGGTGAGTCGTGTTCCTCATATCTGTCCTCATACTCATCATTTTCCTCCTCTTCTCCACTGTGTTCATACTTTTCATCTCTACTGCTGTCATCCTGCTCTCCCTCATAGCCATCGTAATAACCATCTTGGATGTAGTTTTCTTTCATGTATGCTTCGTCTTCCCCTAGCTCTTCGCCAGGGAAAGTTGCTGAATCCCTCGGGGGCCATGGAATATCCCTTTGCTCATAAAAGTGCACGTCCTCCGAGTTTTCAATCGTTCTGACCCAGAATTTCGGCTCGCGATACGCCTTGTACATCGCCCGTACCCATTCGCGACATGTTTGACACTGGCAGAGAATATCGCCGTTTTGATCAGCCGAGCTTTTCAAGTCGAGAGTAAACAGATCCGGTATGTTGGAAAGAAGATCGGGATCATTCCACGGCAGTGGCAGATCAAAATCCGACATGATGCTCTCGTCTGACGAATCCGCGAGGTCTTGCGCACGTTCAGGGTGTGTTGCAATAAACCTCTTTTTGGTTTCCCTCATGAACTTCACCCGATTCCTGTCCGATACAGTTCCGTTCCTAATGTTCGTGAATCAGCATGCTATCTCGCCTGGGCACCTAGACACCTATCCAGGTGGCACCTGGGGCAATGAACACAAGCTCAGCACTAACCGCATTTGCTCGAATACCACATCGTAAGGATCCTCTCCATCGGCACGTGAATAAACGAAAAGGTCCAAGCTAGGAGGTATCACCAATCCGCCAAACTCGTCCGCGGCGTCGTTTTGAGCCGAATCCGTATTTGAAATATCATCGCCAAGGCCAGTGAAAAAGGGTTGCATGATTGAGGGTTGGGACTGCCCTTGGTGGTTGAGATGGAAATTGAGTATACTGTCATTCACAACCCTGAGCGCGCTAACGGGCCATTTAAAGCCTTGCGCAGGTGGGGGTAGTGCTAGCTCAGCTTGTCCAGTCTTGTATGGAGAGGTGCGGAAACATCTTGGCGTAATCACACGACTCAGCCCCGTGGGCGCATACCTCTATGAGAGACATTCAATTGACTCTATTCCACGGTTCTTGATCTGAGACTGCGACGCTTCTGACTGCCCAGGCGTGCGTGGCTGGAGACCGTTTGCTTGGCTGGATTGACAGCGGGACTACTCGTCCATCGGCTATTTATGCCCACAACATCCAGAAATGGCCCCGAAGGATCCAACAGCTAAAACTGCTGAGGCTCTTAGAGGAACCCCCAAAGAAGATAATTAAGAAGGGGAACTGATACTTACTCTGTGAATACTCTGGTATAGCCAACTTGGCGGATGCAGTGTTGGCAGATGCTCTGACAGAGTAGCCACCGTCATATCCCATTAAATTCAATCGTAGCTCTCATGAAACTTTTTTCCAAACATGTACAGGCCTAGCGAATCCCTCCTCGTCCCTCTCAAATTTTAATATTCTCTCAAATCCCTGTGCTTTCAGCTCATCCTCAAACGGAGGCCTGATCTGGATCGTCTTATACGCTTCTCTCAATTCTTTATTCTTCCTGGAAGCTCTGGCATAGTTGCTCATGGGCTGCGGTTCCACGACGAGATAACCCCCGTCATTCAAAATGCTTTGTATGTGCGCAAATAGCGTCAAAATCCCAGAGTCCCCACTGTTGAGATGTATCCACTTGGTCACGGAGAGTAGTAAGACAACGTCGAACTTACCCAGCGCGGTACCCGTGTATGCAGACGCATCCACGAAGTCAAAATGCTCGAATGTACACGGCCCGTCCGGGTACGCTGCTTTCGCCTGTTCGACGAGCCATGGGTCGATATCGACACCGACGGAGGCGGCTGCGCCGCAGTGCGCTATCGCTTCATGGGTCAATTTGCCCGCGTTGCAGCCTAGGTCTATGACTCGAGCGTTGTGTAGGATCTCTGAGGGAAGAATGAAGAGGCGCTCGTCTGGAACGGTGGGCGCACGGAATTTGGTGTAATACTGGTGGTAGTTGCCATGGCGCGCGGCAAGATGCGTGGCTTTGAAGCGCTCTGCTTTAGATAATTCCGTCGCCGGGGGCGACTGGCATGCTTCTGTCATGCTTGGGGACTCTGTGAGCAGATAATTTCAAAAGTCAAAGTTTTGTCGCGCATGTGGATCGCGGCGAGTGCCAAGACATCGGTGACACGTGACTTGTATATAGATCCATGGATGCCCTGATCTAGGTGTCTTTTGTGTTGATTAAATTCGGAATAGCGGCTCTATTGATGGGAGGAGGGAAAGGAGGAGACCCGGTAATGGAAACGGTGCTGACATGTTTGAAAAAGCTACTTGTGTCGTGTGAGATACCAAGTCTCACATATTCACTCCGTACTGTCCTCTTATCTCACTCGCTGGTTGCACCTGAGCACTTTCACTGTCCTAATTGGTAGATCAAAGAGGCCGAATGACTTGACTTATCTGAGGGTCGAGCCAGCTCCCCAAAGGATGATTATAGAGCTTCAAATCGTATCTGATGTAGAAAGCCAGATCGACCCAAATCGCCGGTCGTTCGCTCTGTGGGGAACATCGATTTTCGTGATCCGAAGATGTGGCTATTGAATATACTGGTTGCAAAAGTCTAGGATAGGCTGAATATAGGTGTTCCATCCAGGCACATCGGGGCTCTAAATGATTGGTTAGCGCATGTACCAATAAGATGCCAACATTAGGTGTTGCTCACGGTATACTTGTGATCGAAAACATGATCTTCACCCGGCTCATAGCATTCAACAACCGGTACGTTCATTGACCTGAGACGTTGGCTCATTTCCTGGCTTTGTGCTAGCGGAGCAGCCTTATCATCCATACCATGCAGGAAAGCCGTGGGCGGATACGATGATTTCGTCTCCAACAGTGGAGATGGGGACATTGATAGTATGAAGGCAGCTAGGGCTGCTTCATCGGCAAATCTTTCCACATGCAGTGAGCCTAGGCGTACAGACCGAATAGTAGAACCGATTCGCGCATCAGTGTCAGATCGCCACTGGTGAAGCTCCGCCTGTAATCGGATCCGACGAGTGAAGCGGACGTCAGTTTTCCAGCATCTACTCAGAACCTGCTCAGACGTAGTCTGAATCTCGTCGGCCCAGAGTGCATCTTTCAGCATGTTGGATTCATCTCTGTCCTTCAGGAACTCTTCCAGCTCCGCATCGGAGAATTCGCCAACCCATGGCCGCGCATCTGCATGGTCTTCGGGGATCGGCGCTAGTATTGGCCAGGCCGCGGCTGGATCGAGTATTCCATAAACGAGAATGACTGCCTTTGGTGGCGGTGATAGATAGTGCCCCATGAGACCAGTGAGAAGGGCACCGGCAGACTCGCCGCAAAGGATCAGCTGGCTCACGTCTACCTTGTCTGGGCCGAGTAAGGATGGAAGATTGGTCTGACACCAACCCACTGCATCCAAGCAATCTTGTAACTGCATTTCATAGCTCGCTTGTGGACCGAGTCGATAATTATGCGATACCATGTGGTAGCCTCGCTGACGGAAGCCAGGCTGCATCCAAGGGAGCGGCGCATAGTGGTTTCCTGCAAACCAGCCGCCACCGTGGGTGTAAAACACAACTGGGGCCGGCTCATGTGCTGCATGATCGGCGGGCCAGATTCTTATGTCGAGCTCCACCCCGCTTTTGGTCTTGAACGAGTGATCGGAGAAGTCTGGGGGGCAGATGCGAATTCCACTTTCCGTGACACCGAGCTCCGGTTGATTATCGCACATTTTTGGAACTTGATTGTGTTTGAAGTGAAATAACTATCAAGAAATCAGGATCAAGCAAGTGGAAAGCCCGTGAGAGAGGGGGAATTGGAAGGAAAACCGTTGGAGAGGGAAGATGAGAACTAAAGTATTCCCGCGGAGATGCTCCAGAATAGATCAGCTGATCCACAACCCCAGCCTCAAGATACCCCAAGGCTCTTTGGTATACGATACCTGTACCTAGGTAGGCGAGATGCAGCCGATTTTGCCGGCCAGCTAACATGGTCCTTGGCAACGCCCCAACGATGCACCTCCGCACTCATCACTTGTTGACGGTATACATCTTCACAAGTAAAGCAGAGCCTGCAAATCTGATGGATACTTGGGAACAAAGCGTTCTTTTTTAAACAATCAATCAATACATTAAAGTCTTCTCGAGGCCTACGGAATTGACTCAATCAAGTAAAGTGCCATTGTATGGAGCCTAATGCATCTCTAGGGAATACAGAATGTAGCATAGAAATCTCAAACATACTGTCATTGGAGAGACAGGAAGAGTTGTAGCTATGGCGATAGCCCTCATGATGAGGGAACAACGAGCCAAGGATTGTCTGCCACATGACTTGGACTGTATCCTCTTGGCTATTTGGCTTTATCAGCGAGCGTGCACTCCAGGGCTGAGAAAGCCGAGGTTTTCAATAAGGGTTGGAAGACTTGGGGAAGAGGCATCCACTTCCTGAACTAAAGACAAGAATTTGGAAAGAAAATATGTCGCGTCGTGCGACTTTATCAAGAATGAGAGCTCGGAACACGACAGAAACATGAAATGAAGATGAAGATGAGTGAAATTAAAGCATGTGAGTTTATCGAGCCGCCGCCCTGGGGCGGACTAATTGATGACGAGGCTCGCCACAGCCTGTCATTCAAATATCAAGCGCTGGGTCGAGGCAGGCATTAGTAGCACTTCTGTAACACTATGACCTGCAAGGTGGCCGACTGTAAATACTATCCTCTCCTCAACTCCCGGGCTATGTTCTGCTCAATGTCGATATTTAATAACTAGATTCACTTTTTGCAGTCTCGGGGGGCTGCAGTTGCTGTCTCGTTGGGTATCTTTGGTGATCAAAGAGGGGGCCGCGGGCACAGCGATACGGACCTCGGGGCGGAATGGCGGGGCAATAGGTACCCCGGGAGCGGTTTGTTTGGTACCCTGGAGGGCTCGTGGCTATCTCTTAACCAAGTTGGTTGGGAAAAAACAGAGAAAACGGAGATCTGACCACTGGGTGGAGTCAAGAGGTTGCAAACAGATGATTCTGTGTGGGCTTGATCCCATGTCGAGAATCAGACAAGATGAAAAGCTTTTGTGAAATGTAGGCTTCTACCTGGACTTCCACGCCAAGATAAGTTCCCAGACACCCGCTGTGTTGCCTGGACTAGTCCCGTTTGGGCGTGGGAAGGAAAACTCCTTAAAAGAACTACAACCATCTAGTTTACCAGCCAATATCTCAAAATGTCTTTTGCAAATCTACCTCTTGAGGTTCATTGCCATATCATCTCATACCTCCTTTGCAATCGGGATGTGGCTGCTCTGTCAATCCAATGTCGTGCCCTTCACTCTACATGTGACATGGCAGCACGCAAAAAATATCACCAAATTGACATCTCGGGGAGCGAGGATGGTATTGACCAAGCGTTCAATTTCTTAATGGAAATCTTGAAGCAGCCTCAGCTGGCCCTTCATGTGCGCCATCTGAAGTATCGCACACCAACATCCTGGTCCTCTGGATATAAAGATGCAGCGCCGATGCGAGAGCTCAGCAGCGACGAGATGGGTCTCATCAAGAAAGCGGTGAAGATTGGGGGCTTTGAAGGCCCCCAAGAAGATCAAATAGTCAATATGCTCATGCAAAGAATGGACAACGCGCTTCGCTCATATGGGGGATACGAGTGAGCACATTTGACAGATCTTGACCCCTGAAGCATTCCTCTGACACGAAGAATAGAGAACGAGAGAGGACTCAAATGTTTATCACTCAAGCCCTGGCTGCCATCGTCATTGCGGTATCGCCGAACATCGTATCAATGGTCACGACAAACCCCCGTTCATACTACTCTGGCATTGAACTTCCACTTGATCAAATTCTCCTTCGGGCTAACAAAAGCCCTGGAAGTACGCCATATCTCTGCAACCTCCGGAGTGTGTACATGATCAGCGAGACCAGTAGTACGTGGGAGGATGGCCGTTTCTACATCACTATGGATCTACAGGGCTTCATCAGATTGTTTGACAGACTGCCATCCATCGAATCAGTCAGCACGGATGTAATGGAAGAGAGCGACTTGCCGGCTGATACCCTTGAAAAAAGCTCCTCCGACATAAGCAAACTCTCCATCTGCCATTCGTCAGTTTCGTCGGCTTATCTAGCGCGCGTGATATGGTCGTGCAAGACCCTCAAAGAACTCCGTTACTCCATTGGAGGGAGATCAACCAATGATGGAGGACACCCTATTGTCAACGCTAAAGCTCTGATCAAAGCCATGTGTTATCACAAAAGAACCCTCGAGACCATTGAAATTGATGCCGAAAATGATATCCACGATCTCGATAGAGATGACCCCGAAGAGGTAGAACGTGCGTTCGATGATTATGGGAGCCCGTACGAAAACGGAATCGGTGAGCATAATCGGGCCTTTATGGAAGAAATTTGGGAAAACAGCGGATCCCTCAAGGACTTCGAGTCCTTGAAACGATTGAGTCTGGGTGTGAAATTCCTCGCATACTTTGCAAAAGGCGTCAGCGCGCCCTCTGGAGAAATGAGAAAAAGGGCAATTGTGGCGGACTGTTTACCCAATACTCTCGAGTACTTGTGTGTTCGGGGATATGAGAAGGGCGCAAGCGAAGAAGACGACGAGCAGATGGATGCGTTGATGACTTTTTATAAGTCAGGTCAGTCCTCATTGAAAGAACTGCTGGGAATCGAAGAGACCGTTCCCCATGCCAGCTATGTTGATGATCCAGATGGAAACGGCCATCTGCTGTGGCCCTTTGATGAAGATTCCGGTACTGAAGATGAAGAAACCAGCGATGAAGAATGAGGGGAAGAGAGAGAGGAGAGGAGAGGGAGAAGAAGAAAGCAACAACACAATCAGCATTAACCATTGTAAATAATTATAATATCTCTGTTCCACGAATTTGAATGTACGTACTTAGAAGTCTTTGAATGTTATTCATCCACATACGCTACAATCGTGGAACAAATTGTGAGCGCGATTATCAACCAGGCACCACCCTCCAGGGCTGTTCCCGACAATGGAGAAAGACAAAACAAAAAAAAAAAAACATACAACAGTGAGGATTCGCTGGTGGTCACCCACCCAACTACTAACTCACCGGCGTGTGGCTTAAGTACGGCTGAGCGGACGGGAAGCCCTGTTTTCCACACCCTGTGGTCGTATGTACTCGGCTGGAACACATATTGAATTATGTCTGCCCAGATGGCAGGGGCGGTCTCTACATTTCTCAAGTTCGCCTGAGCACATGTAAACTTCGCGTAGATTTCTGCGTTCAGCCGGAACTTTCCGTCTCCAAATGAGTGGTGTAGAAAGAGACCCTGATCCTGGGATGCAGTTGATGGGACACCAACAATGTGAACCATCGGGGCTTTCTCTGCATATGCTCCGCCAATCGCATTGCGAGCGGACAATTCTCCAACCCCGAATGCAGTCATCAATGCTGACATTCCTTTGATCCTTGCATAGCCATCGGCTGCATATCCAGCATTGAGTTCGTTGGCATTACCAACCCAGTGTAGCCCTGAAGGTTCAACATAATCCAGGGCAACTAAGTTGTAATCTCCAGGAACGCCATGAGCACTTCGTACTCCGAGCTGATGCAGTCTGAGAAAGAGATATTGCACAAGGGTAACTTCGTCCGCCATTTTGGTTGTGGCGAGTGAATGTGAGGGCTCGTTGATCAACACCTTCTAGAGGGCAGCCAGAATTGATAAAAACCAGAAGGAAAAAGAAGAGAAATAGGATAAAGTACAAGGAGAGGTTGATATTCTGTCGTTTTTTAGAGCACTTCCTGCATATCCTCAAGTCAATCTTGGTTTTCGTATTTTATAGTCGAGTGGGCACCGCGGAAAATACGGAATTTTCACGTAGAGTCATTCCGCAATCTCAAAACAGGGGATATCTCGGTTGTACTGGGCTCCTATATCGGATCCAAAGTTCAGATGCATCCGTATGTCATTCATTTGCAAGCAGCCATCAGAAAGCTGGGGCTCCGAAAGAAAGTACATAGCATCCGACGACGGAGACATGATTCCTCTGACATAGGACCGAGGATTAGCCGAATGTCCTATCAGCAAGACGAAGGATTACCGAGTCATCATTGAATACAGGTAAACCTGAAGTCGTAAGGTCTCTTTGGGAAAGTGTGTGTGTTGAAGGTCTCGTGACTTCCTTCTGTACATAGCTCAGATCTTGCTTCTCTTTTTCCTCTTCCTTTCTTTGCACGACCAATATGATGGCTTCTTATCCTTCTCTTCCTTGGTTTTAGCCTATGAGGTTATGAGTCCTTTGCCTGATTTGTAATTCTAATCGAAGACCAAATCAGCCTCGCTCTACTAGGAAGATCCCCCTCACGGAGGCCCTAGACCCTCAACGTACTGATCGTGGAGGCCAAGAAGTCGGACATAGAGACTGGCGCTGCCCAGGCACTGGGGTACATGGGTGAGTTCTAGTATCTTTGATACCATATATTACAGAGCTAATCTACCTCAAAGGATGTATACATCGAGAGCGAAAGCGCTGGCCGAAGCGCGACGCCACGGTATACGGCATGGCAACGACCGGAACCATGTTCTGGTTTTTGAAAATTTCGAATGACTCCAAGGTGAGCCTTCCCATTTGAACATTTTCATCCGATGTTCTAACCCATTTTAGTGGTCGCACAGAATTGTGCAAAGTTTTGAAGACCCCTTTAGCCAACCGCTGGGGCTCCTTGTGCATTTGTTTCGTCGAGCGGCGATGAGCTCTCCTACTCACTCCAAGGAGAGTTTATCTGAAAGCTATGATAAGGAAGAGCCAACCTTCCAAATTGCTCGCAAATGTCATGGAAACAGTCAACGAGGACACTGAAATGTTCCAACAGGTAGCTAATTCCAACTTTGGAAGTTCTTGATCTCCAATACTACTTGAATTTGTTCATTTGTACACACACAAATCGATTATGACCATAGTTCCACTATTCATCACGGTGAGGGACCCAAGGAAGCTACAGATGAGACCTGTAAAACCGATATAATCGACCGTAGTTCGGCATCCAAGACCTTGTCCACAGCCTGCGAAGGAAGCAACAAACAGATCTTAGGCAGCAGAAAATAGGAAGTGGTGAGAGGGGATAGAAGATTGGTATCAGCTGGACTGAAGTTCACCTTCCAACATTCACACCTTCCTAACATTGCAACAACAATGGCACCAAAACAGAAGCATCTCCCAATTTTCATTTCTTTTCTTCTTCCTTTCCAGGTCCCTGATATATAGCAAACATTCTTCTATCCGATCACACCAATTCCTATTTTCCGATGCCTAAGATCTGTTTGTTGCTTCCTCCGGAGGCTGTGAAGGAGCTGATGGATGCCGGGCGACGGTCGACCATATCGTTTCTTGAAAAAGAGGTCAAAGGTCGGAATCTGTTTGGTGGTTGCCGCTGATATCACCATCGGATTCGTGATCGGAAATATTCACCACTTTTACAAGAAGTGGTATGAGAGGCCCGAGCCACCCAATCCTGCAGGCACTCGTACTTGGTACGGGGTGTAGGTGACAAGTCGGCTCCATCCTCCTGATCGGTTCTTCGGGGAAGCCAGGGACCTTCAAGCCTGTATCTCTAGCGCGTGTAGAGATCCTTCAGGCACCCCATCACTACTGCACGGTATATCCGTGGTTGTGGAGGGGTACTGGACGGGAATCTCATTGAACTGTTCGGAGATTAGATCGGTTTGAACATAATTGTAGAAGAGAATGTTTCTTACCTGTATGTCCTTGGCTAGTAGGCGCTTTTTAGATAGCTGTATGATCCAAGAAATGGCGTCGTATTTTCAGGCCAGTGTCTATGAGATCGGGTGGATCGTGCTCTTTTTGTACAAGTGGTGAATATTGCCGATCAAGAATCCGATGGTGATATCGACAGCACGCACCCACTAGAGTCAACCGATGGGCTTTCGAAAGACTCAGGGGTGGTGACAAGAAGTAACTCACAAAAAAAAAACCCCTGGAGTACACCCAGGCTCACCGAAACCTTACCAGTTTCCGTGTCATAGACCTGGGTTCCCGACGCTCGATTGAGAATGGGAACAGCTATGTTTGGTTGGACGAGATGCACTGCTCATAGTTCCCGATGTCAAAGGTAGAACTCTCGCCAGGAAGATTTTGATTTTTCTACTTCATTCCCGATTAATATTCACGGATTACTCGCGTGTAAGGATTCGTGAGTTGAATTCCTCAGGCACCCAACACTTGGTCAACCCAGATCTACTCCGTACCGGAGTACGGAGTAGTCTTTCTACCCTTCTTCTCCTTTTGTTCTCAAACTTAGTGTCTTGAAGAATAAGACCGCCTAGAATGAGAAACGGGAGCTTTGCTAACCTCCCAGCATGCCGATTAGCTGTGGGTCCCGCCATAGAGTAAAGTCCTCTACGAGTAGTCAATATACTGAAATCGAATTCAATATACGAAAGCCGTTCGGATAATGACCTCCTTTATGATTTTGATGAAAACACGGGATAGGGAGTGAGGACTGGTCCCACATGTGGAGCTCCTGACCAGATCGCGGCCGGGGTGTAAATTAGGCTTCTTCCCCCGATTGATAACTATATGTACAGTCCCGACTCCCGACCCCGAGAGGGTCCCCGGGTCGCTATTTTTCCTACATTGGCACTACCCGCCTTTTCTCGGTTGTGACCTACATTTTATTCTGATGACATTTCCAAGTGTGCCTGCAAGCTCTTGATGATACACTAACAGATCCAAATAGCAGTCTTACGCGAATCACCTCTCTGGTTGACTTCAGTGGTATGGATCTTGTCCCGCCTGGTGGGAATTTCAATTTCGATTTAGAATCCTGGAATGCTTCGTTATTCTCAATCTAAGCCATTTCAAGATGCAAAAGGCAATAGTGAGTGCGTAAAAATGATACCTTGGCCATCGGGGGCCTTAATTGCTATTGTCAACGGTCTTTGTAATAGGCACTCTTGACACGATTCCAGACTCCGTGCTGGTTAGGGGACTCCTGTCTCTTGGGAACTTCAATGGGCTGGCCGTCGAGTCCGGTGTTAGTAACTGCGTTCTGTTGTTTTCCAAGATAATAATCTGCCGAGGAATGTCAGTGTTTGGTCTAGAGTCAGATTCTTCAACTCCTACCTGGCATCATCAACGAAAAGATGACCGGAATCACAGCAAGAAGGGTTGCGGTGATGAAAATAGCCCCATTAGTCCTGGTATATGCTCGAATGGCACCCTGGCGAATCGGGTCATTCCAATCGTACTTCGTGCGAAGTACTTTGATAGATCCATAGATCTTTTTCAGTGTAGTTTCGGGGGTGCCGGCAGGACACTCCTCTCTCATATAATCCAGCATTTTCTCGGTCCAAATTGACGAGGCGATAGTATATCCAACTGAACTTCCCAGAGTACTCCACAAAGACAAGTTTGAAATGACAGTGGCCATATCCTCGTGTGGCACAGATGCTTGTGAGCCAACTCGGGCGCCAATCACAGTCAGGGCTCCAGTTCCAAGAAGAATCTGGGAAGCAACAAGAGCGCCGGTTTTCTCGGTACTGCGATTGGAGCCTGTCATAAGAATCGCGTAGCCGATCAACTTCAGCACGGCACCTGTGACCATGAGGGACTTGAATCGATGTGTTTTCGCGTGTAGCAGACCGCCAAGAGGACTGAATAGGCAGAGACACAAAGTCGTAGTGCCAAGGAACACAGTCCACACATAGTTGGACCAGGGTTTGATGATGTAAATATACGACGAGAAGTAGTTGTTCCTTGTTGCACTGGCCATTTGGTTGAATATGTCAACCATAACAGCGGCAAGGAACGCTTTGTTTTTGAGGATGCGTCGAGTCATGATTGGCTTTGGCGCAAACCAAACTTCAAAGATTCCGAACAAGACTAGAATGACTAGTCCACAAACCAGCATAGCAATCATGCTAGCATTGCTCCAGCCACCCTTAGCAGACTGGGCTAGGGTGAAGGGGAGAAGGATGAGAGAGAAAGCCAGCCCCAGAAGAACCAGTCCGGCAAGATCGATCTCAATAATTCCATGCCATGCCAAGCCAGCATATGCTGAAACCCCATGGACTTTCTCTCCATTTTTACGGGCATTTCCGCTGTCACCCATGCTGATCATTCCGGCTTTCTTGGCTTTGTGTTGCATCCCGTAGAGATTCCAGATCGCGGGAATGAGCAGAACAGGGACCATGATCGCAAACATTCCCAAACCCCATCTCCACTTCTCGGGAATGAAGCTTTCTGCGATAAAGCCATTCACAAATGTGGTGACCAGGAAGGGTGTACTCAGCATACCACCCCAGAAGGCGCGCCACTGGAGGGTTGTCAAGTCACCAACGATGATATCGCTCAGGAGATCCAGGCCTGACTTGCCAAATGCTGTGAAGCAAATCCCAACCGTGTATGCGGCGAGATTTGTGCAGCTAGCCGCCACGGCAAAACCTACCGCGTAGAAAACAAGCACAACCAAGTATGTTGTCGGTCTCGAGGTGATATCTGCAAGCTTTCCGATGAATGGCTTTGAGATGGCTCGAATGATTTGGCTGGCAGTGTTGACTGCTCCGAGTTCTGCATGCATGGAAAAGGAAGACGTTGCCATGGTGTTGAATTGGGACGTGATTCCCTGATCCAAGGCATATGCAAACATCGTGAGACCGATCGAGAACACAAGGGTTATGAGCAGCACCTTTCCTCGCTTCCCCGAGTGGTAGAGAACACGGTTGAAGGCTTCGACGCTGCTAACTCCAGGTTGACCGTTATTTGCTCCATTGCCGCCCGCCGCATTTTGAGGAGAATCGTGTCCGTCGGTTTTGGGTCGAACGGTGTCCCGCTCTATGTCCTCCAGTGGTACATCTAGGGTCAAAGGACTGATCAGGTTAGCGAAAGGTGAAGAGCACAAACGCCCATCTGTCGAGACTCACTTCTTCTGTGCCATCTTGGTAGGCTTCCAGCATCCGAGTCGATGAGTGCTGTTAAGTTGACCTGGGAATGGTCCAAGTAATATAGCGATATGTGGCGTGCTTCACTGCACCAGACGGAGATGAAGCTGGATCCTGATCAAGCCCCGAGATACCGTGGTATGCATTCTTGAAAAAATTGATCAGATAAGATCGGACTCTTCCCGTCGCCCCCAACTTTTGACTTCGGCCAACTTCCCTATGTGGCAGGCTTAAACCCTCTCTGGTAGTCCGGGGGCCTTGGCGAGCCTTGGCAGGTCTTGTGAGCTCTTGGCAATAAGACCCTTGCCGCGTCTGTGTACGGAGTGCTCCGTGCTCGGTGTTGATGTTTGAAGGGTTTTCTTGCCCAATGACAGCCCTGGGGGAAGGGATCTCACATATCTCTCATTTCTTTTTCATTCATGCAAGCCTTCTATCTATTTTGGTAGGTTCCGATGTCGCCAGTAGGTACTCCGTACAATACAACTGCATTAGTACCACCTGGGTAAATTTACTTGTGGAGGTGCACTGGAGCCCTATCTATACTTCAAATCTAAGGTTGAACTGATCCAAAGCAAACCCTTATCATTAGATGATCAGTGGATAGGAATACATTGTAAATAATGCAGTGAATGTCCCTTTATTTTAACAACTACAGACAAAGCTACCTACTCAGAGCTTTAGGATCTTGCAGCTCCAAGGTTTAGGAAATTTAATTGATGTCCAGGTGATCGTGACGTGCATGCTATATATATCTGACCTGGAAGATAACCTTGCAACGTTGGTAGATCCAGGACATGTGAATATGTGGTAAATCACTCCAGCGGCCTGTGTAATAAATCTTAGAAGGTCGCAATTAAGATTTGGACATGAATAAGTGTAAAATGTTAGAAAAAAAAAAGATCAAAATAATCAGTTGTGTGAACTGAGTAGTAAAAAAAAAACAAAAAAATGAAGAGCGACATGGGGATCGAACCCATAATCTCTTGAGAACTGAACCGAAATCAAGCGCCTTACCATTAGGCCAGCCGCCCTCTGTGATGGAAAATACACTTTAACTGACGATTTCGACGAACCACAGAAATAATGTCCATCCCACTGGGCAGGTCTGCAGGATGGGTCGACTGTCAACCACCTGCACAGGCACCCCGATGGGCATCTGGATGACTGAAAAATAATGAGATCTATTCCCCCAAAATATATGATTGAATAATTGAAAGCAGCACATAGAAAGATTGAGACATCAAAGGGCCCAAGCGTAGACCAAACCATTAGTGTCATCATCTTCCTATTCAGCCTCGGTGTAAGGAGGCGGGGGATCCAAGAAATAGTCTGCCTCTGATTGTGGAGGCAACGGGGGTGGCCGGTTTGGCACAGCAGGCCGCTGAGCCAGTGTCAAAATCTCAGTGGCCGGTAGCTCTACCGGTCTTTGATCGTCCGGGAGCTCATGTATGCCTGTCTCATTTGGAGGCTGGGATCCTCGGCGCCAGACGGACTCTTCCACCGAGAGTAGCTCAATGAGCGATTGCCCCGACCGAGATTGGCCCGATTGAGGCCTCTGTACCAGTGGAGACGGCAATTCCACAAGCTGCCTTTCGAGATCCTCGAATTCCGAGGTGGAGATGTTCAGACCAAGGTGGCTCTTGAGAAGCTCATGTGTAACAATGCGTTCTGGGACAAGCCCTTGAGCCTCAACGAATGATACTCGGGGATTCGAATGAGCCATGCGTTGTAGTCTCCCTGCTCGTCGGTGATGACGAGGACAATCATCGACTCCAATGAGGAATATGGTAACATGGGCCCAGGGGGCACCGAGAAGAGTCAGTTCGAACTCATCCATGTCGCCGATCTCACTACCAAGCATCAAAATAAGTCGTAACCTGGGCGTTTGAGGACCAGCTTGCCATCCGTACATCGGATGGTAAGTTGCAGTCTCGGAGTACTTCTGGAAATGGAGCTCCTTGATCTTCTGCCATCCAATCATGACCCGACTGAGCCCTCCAAATTGAATCCTGCTCCAAACGTCATTGATATTCCGATGGTTGATCATATCGAAGTAGTCGGCTTGGCTGTTGAAGGTCACGAATTGGTAACCGTGTGTGTTATTGTCCTGCTTGCTCAGTGATTCAAAGAATCGTCGTAATACCGCTTTAGTCAATTCTGTATTTGCATGGTAAGCCCCTCGCCTCCATACAAATAGAAGTGCTCAACTCACCTTGATGTTTCGGTTGATTGGATTTGAAGAGTGCTGTGATAAGATATTGGTTATATCTGGGCTTCAAGGGGGTTGAATCCATTGAGCCACAGGCATCTAGCAATATGATTGTGTTGTCTGTTGAGAGTTTGGGATCGGGGTTCGCTTGAAATGGAGGCTTCATCTGCTTCGAATATGTTTCAGAGGGGTACTGAGTATGGCAAATATCATCAGGTGAGTGATATCGGGGATGGGGCTGCGCCACCGAAGCCATTCGTTCCTGTGCCATTTCAAACTCAGAAATCAAATCTTTCTTCGTTATGTCATCTCCTCCAGGTCGGTGTTTCAGATTCCAGTAGAGCCTCTCCTCGGCTGTGGTTTTGTAACCTCTCCATGAAGGTGTTAGTCCTCTCCATCCCGCGGAAGAATCAATCGTGAATCGTAAAGGGTTTGACGCTGGACCCTCCCAGGCAGCTGGTATGGGTTCGAAGTATCCGGCCCGTAAAAGATGAAGATATTGGATCGGATTGTGCGTTCGTAGCTTCTTCACACTTCGAGATATTCCGATTTGCTGCTGGTAGAATGAGACAAGCATCCTGTCACTTTCATCTTGCCATCGATGCTGCTCTTCTTCAATAATCTCGCTGCGCAGTTTAAATGACCCGGACAGTCTCTTTCTGATCTTCAGCGCTGTCCGCTCATCCGAACTCCTAACAGAGAAGGCTTTTCTGAAACTCGAGCGTTTAGTTGATTTCTCAACATTCAGCTCGCCCGACGCAGATTGGCGACGAGTATGCGACATGTCTGATACCAGCGACTCCAGCTGCTCAAGCTCCCATATGTTGACCGACGGCTCCAAATTTTGGACGTCTGCGTGTGCCTTCTCGTTGAGGGTCGAATCCAGGGCCCTCGTCTCTTGCAAAAATCTCGTGTGAAATTGTGGATCGGGTTTCGCGGTACCTCGTAATGATGAAGTCGCGAGTGTATAGGACGACATAATGCTAGTGTATGGATTGTTGTTTGAAAGTCGCAGGTGTGAAAAGTCATGATATGCCTTTTCACCGGGGTAGAGCACAGCTTTAGACCACATTTCCAGAACACCCAGACGTTCAAACTTCCTTTTCCAGTATTGGTGAACGGGGCAGTCGCATAGGGTATGAGTTTCGTGCTCTGGCTCGATCTCTGGGTTGTAGATCCGGCATGACATCTGGACACTGTGAAGCATCTTCTGGACTTCCATTTCGTCTTGGGCCCGTAAGTGTGTGGCTTTTATCAACTGTGTCTCGTGGGAGTGATAGGACGATTCACTGCTTGTTGTTGCGATTGATTGTCTGGAGCTGATTTGACTTCCTGCCGATGTCGGGGGGCTTCTCGCAGTCAAAGCGAATGAAGGAGGCTCGATGGGGTGGAGGGGTATATCTAGAGCATGGCTTGGGCTATGGTGGGTGGTAGAGCTGCTCATGGGGCCGATAGTGCGGCTCATGGTGGACGGTTGCTGACTTGGATGTCGGTCAAGGTCTTCGTAGTATTGATCGACAGCTTCGTTGATATTATTTGCACCCTCCACGTTGTTAGTGCAGAAACACTTTCAGTTGGGAGTGATTGTATACTTCAACAAAGGAAATTGCTATCTCCTCACTCGCATTTGGCGCGAGGGACATGAAATCCAATATGTTAGATCTGGTGGGACGCATTGAGGTAGGACGAACCTAAGCGCGTACCCTAGGGTACTACTGATGTTATTCATACTGTGCCAGTGAATGCGGGCAGCATGACATGTCTGACACCTCTCACACAGCCCCCCGTAAAACAGACAAAAATACACCGGGTTGAAGCACGTGGTTGAAGGAAGTAAATAAGTGGATCGGGCGCTCGGACAATTCAAGTAGACTGCGGCTCCGTACTCCGTAGAAAGTTTTATTTCCCGAGCTCATCACTGACACCTCATTGGATTATTTTAGATATGACGCTGCGTACCTGAGATCCTAGGAGTGCCTAGGTGGAGTATGCTCCGTTTAGGTCCCGCTACTTCGGCTCATGACCCTCTCTTCCTCATTTCGTGATCAAACATGGTATCTTGTGCATGATTAGTACCTGCGGGGGCCGGTTATTTTATGAATGAAAAAGAAATGAAAGATTTGTGAAATTCCTACCTGTTATTGGGCAGGAAAACCCTTCAAACATCAACAGCGAGCACGGAGCACTCCGTACACAGACCCGGCAAGGGTCTTACAGGTGTGTGCTTGGTTCAAAAATAATCTAGATTCACCCTCTCTACCTACTAGCAGGTCAAAGCATCTCGCAGATCCGAACTTGGAGCTTAGCCTGAGTGAATGCTGGGTCGAAAGTGGGCAGCTAGCTTACTACCTATGTACTGTCCTAACTTCCTTGGTAAGATGTTCTTTGGATGGAGGAAAGGTCTCTTCAACAAAGTTGTATTGGTTTGTTGAAGAAGAGAACTAGACACAAAAGAGAAAGACTTGAGACTACCTAGGTAGCTAACTACAGAATCAGGTGACTGCGAGGGCAGATCTCGGGACCTGGGCAAAGTGTCTGAAGAGATGTCTTCGGGGGCCATCCATCCCGAGGTCCCGAGAAGGCTATGGCACGTGATCAGATGTCAGGTCTCACGGGTCACATGACCCGGTACGGGATCCCCTCCAGCTTCGATCTTCTGCCAATGCGCTTCAACCACGAAGACGCCGAGCTCCGCTGCTCCTGCGGCCGCAACAAGAGCCCTGAGCATATAGCGCTCTGGTCCCGAACCCAACAGCTCTTTGAGAGCTGGCCCAACCGCCCGCCCACAAAACCCTCGAATAAGGGCTCCGCCATGCGATACCTCACCGGGATGTGGCCAGCGGACTTCGCCAGCCTAGTGCAGCTCACGGGCTTCTACACCAAGATCTGCACCAGGTGAAGCGATAATTTCCCTCCTTTCCCAATTTCCTTACCGTCTTCCGCACCCAATCACCCTCTCTTACATCTCCTTTATCTCAGAAAACCCCAAAAACCACACTTCGCCCTGCGGGCTCTGAAAGCTTAGGTGCCTGCGCACCGCAACACAGGGGCCCCGCCCCCATCGAAAACTACAATGCCTGCAGATACTCTACACGTCGGGAGGGAGTAGTAGTAGTAGTAGTATTATTTTATGCCTTTGCGGGCGGTAGGCTCCGCCTACCGTCCATAACCTCCCGTGGGGTATGTTAGGTAGGCGTGCCATGCTATGGAATTATATACAAAGGTAAGCCCGTAGATGACAACTCTAGCTAATGCGGGCTATCGCCCTTTCGACTGCTATCCCTCCCGACGTGTGCCTACCGCCCGCAAAGGCGTTAAATAATACTACTATTACTACTCCCTCCCGACGTGTAGAGTATCTGCAGGCATTGTAGTTTTCAATGAAGGTGGGGCCCCTGTGTTGCGGTGCGCAGGCACCTAAGCTTTCAGAGCCCGTAGGGCAAGCGTCAGGAGGGATAGCAGTCGAAAGGACGATAGGCTCCGCCTACCGCCCGCAAAGGCGTAAAATAATACCACCACCACCATCTTCTGCCAATGACGACCCGCTTTGTGGAGGTCATAGGGGGGATTCTGGACCAATGATCTTTCTCGGTTGGTACCGGGGAGTGTCGGGGGTATTCAAAACTTAGGCATTGGGTCTGGAATTGTTTGACTAGATGACCTGCCCCGAAGACAATTCGTACGGAAGATTCGATACCGATGTAATTACTACTCTCTCGAGATTCGGGAGCGCGTGATGATCGTTCATTGGCTTTACTTTACCGGTCCAACGGGCTCGGAAAGAAGCCCAAATCTGGGGTATATATACCCAGTAACCCAGGATGCCTTCCAAGGTTGCTCTTACTCTTTCATTGTGCAGTTCTCCAGATCACACATGCCACAATGGCCTTGGTCAAATCTTCAGCATCTACTGACATTCAGCACCGAATGTCTTTCCGAAATCCAGTTATTTGGGAAGATTTGCCTGACCCCGAAGTCATTCGCATCGGAAAGGTATATTATATGAGCGCATCCTCATTTTCGTTTTCGCCAGGAGCACCAGTTCTCACATCGGAGAACCTGGTCGATTGGGAGTACGTTGGACACTCAGTTCCAGAGCTCGCATTCGGAGAACGGTTCCATCTCAATGGAACTCATGCGGGTGCGTACGTTAAAGGCGTATGGGCATCGAGCATGAGATACCGAAAAAGTACCAGCACATTCTACTGGTATGGAGCTATCCAGGGGACCGAAAAGACTTACATTTTCACTGCTCAAGACCCGAAAGAGCCGTGGACGATGTTGGCATCCATCGACAAATTTTACTACGACCTGGGCCTATTGATTGATCATGATGACAATTTTTACCTCGCCTATGGTACAAAGGATATCTATGTCGCCAAGCTGAGCTCAGATGGCACTAAGGAACTGAGAAGTGAAGTGAGTGACTCTAACGTTATTGTAGTCTGAAGCTAATACATCGATCATAGATGGTGTACACATCCGGAGAGTATTTCGAGGGTGCGAGGATGTACAATATTCATGGGGCTTATTACATATGGCTCACGAGGCCAAGCGTAGGACAGTATGTCCTCAAGTCCCCGAAGGGCCCTTTTGGACCTTATGAGTGCCGAGAAGTTGTCGGTGCTGTGAGTTCGCCAATGCCTGGCTCAGGATATCCACATCAAGGAGCATTGGTTGATACACCAGCAGGAGATTGGTACTACATGGCGTTTGTGGATGGTTATCCCGCAGGACGGATTCCTGTGCTCGCACCAGTCCATTTCAATCGTGAAAATTGGCCAGTGGTTGAAATCAAACCCGATGACAACGGAGGCCAATGGGGATTTGAATACCCCTATCCCGCGGGAAGCGGGTATACAGGTTGCTCTAATCAATGCTTCAGGTCCCATTCATTTGACCGAGAAGGGCTGGATCATTGCTGGGAGTGGAATCATAATCCCGAAAACTCCAAGTGGTCTACCAGAGACGGACACTTGCTTCTTACAACCTGTACCGTGACAGAAAATCTGTATCTTGCAGCGAATACTCTCACACATCGCGTCATAGGCCCCAAAAGTATGGCTACATTCTGTCTTGATTTGACGGGCCTCAAAGCTGGAGACAGAGCTGGGACCTGCATGTTCCGCGATAGAAGCGCGTACATTGGATGTCACAAGAATCACGATTCTGTTCAACTTGTCTATGTCGACGACCTTGTGATCGAGCCGTTCAACATTCCGGTCGGTTGGTCTAACGGCCATCCAGTTGCCTTAGACTGGGCCCCGAAATTGAATGGAGCGGTCAAGGAGGAGGTCGAATTGACTGAGAGTCGAATTTGGTTGCGAATTATCGCAGATGTGGCGCCCGCGTTCTCTCATGGCTATGAGGCGGAAGCAAGATATACCAAATTTGAGTATAGCTTTGATGGACTTTCGTTTAGACAACTTGGCCCCAACTTTTCAGTGAGTAACACCGCTGATGGATTTGTGGGGTATCGATTTGGATTGTTCAATTTTGCAACGATCTCTCTCGGGGGGCAGCTAGCCGTGAAAAGCTGTGAGATAGAGTCGTGGGGTGTGTGTAAAGAGCATTGACTGAAGTTATTTGAACATTTACATGCTGCACTCTAACTATACTGAGTCTTCTTCGCCGCGTAATTTGTCTTTGTTATAACCTTGAACACAGTGCTTTTTTTGAGGACTTTTTCATCTATGAATATACCACTAGGTGTCATTTATGCCCTACTACTAGGTACCAGTAACCAGACCCTTTCAGTGATAAATTCTCTTATATTTTGACTTAATAAAAAGCAGCACGAGTCTTTGCTTAGTGAGTTAACTTCGTTTAATTTCGTACCTAGTATCCGTATCCTGTCATATACGCGAAACTAAGTATATTGACACTAGGTATATCTAGGTATACGCATCTCTCTTTAAATGTCAGTGAGATTCCTAAGTTTCATTGATTGATTCTGTTCGAAAGTTCTCCAAGTCACGAACAGGCTGGCCGAGTTCCACCGTGGACCGAAAGGCCCAGGTCTTAATTTTTCACACAAGGCTCCACACAAAAAACCCGAATTTAATGGACATTAAACATTGGAAGTTACTTTGAACTCTCAACCACAGGAAACTGCATTGATTTCAATATATTTCAGTTTGAAAGATTGGAACCTTGGAATCAATCATCTCATCCTGAAAATCTCCCTTGATGAAATTGGAGGTCAATTCCCAGAAGGCCTTTTAGGCTCGACAGTTTCATGATGTGTGAAAGACTCCACTCTCTTCATCTCCATATCATGACCGACCGCAGCTGCGTTATTGTAGAAGTCCTCTTCTCCATCAAAGAGGGTCGCGATTTCTTCAAGAGTGAAGCCTTTGGTCTCCACAAAGGTGAAGTAAACGACGAGAATCATGATGGCATTCCAAACGCATGTAGGAATATAATAATGCCATCCAATGTTCGCCAGACCAACAGGAGTCAGGTAACTCGTAACAAAAGCCGTCACATTGATTGTGAGCATAGTAACGGCAAAGTATATACTTCGCTGTTTTGTAGTCACAGTTTCGATGGGATACGCCACGACCAACGGGACCCAGCAGGTGCAGGTGAAGAAGTTCGTGACAATTATCATGACAAGAACGCCGATTCCGTACGACAGTTGTGAATCTGCGGTGTATCGTGCAGTCAAAGCAGTCCAAATGATAAATGAAATGTTGATACCGACAGCAGAGAACATGAAAATCGTACGACGTCCCACTTTCGGTATCACAAATGCAGATGAGATCGCACATGTCCAGTAGAAGATGTTGAGAACTGCATTGATCAGGGTCTTTTCTTTTTGTGATCCCATTCCAATTTGTTCGAGGATCAAAGGAAGGTAGTTTGCCGTAAATCCACCGCCAATGGTCTGTGAGCCCACGGCCGTTATCACACATAGCCAGAGGCGATGGCGATTGCCTTTCGTAGCAAGTGTGGATCTAATACTTTCCCAGTTGACACTTAAGACAGATTTGTCAGCTTCAATGCCCGCGATAATCTCCTGTAGTTCGAGTCGAACAAGTTCGGTTTCAACACCATTTCCATGCCACTTTATGAGAACTGCCCGGGCTTCCTCCACCTTGCCTTTCGAAATGAGCCATCTTGGACTCTCGGGGCACAACCATACCATGATCATCTGGTAGGAAGGTATCGCGATCTGTAGGATACATGGAATCTTCCAGCTCCATGCACTGTCAATTTTGTAGGTGACAAAAGTGACCCAGCTTCCAATCACAAGACCGATGAAGATACTGGTGTTGTATAACGAAGTTATGGCGACTCGTTGCTTTGGATGGGCGAGCTCCGCGACGAGAACAGGGGCGGCTACTTGTTGAAAGTAGGCTCCGAGACCGAGTATAACCTTTCCACCAGTGAACATCCCGAAACTTGTGGCAAACGTCTCCATAATGGCCATGGCGACAATGATGATGGCTCCAACCGAGCACATAGCTCGCCGTCCAAACCTCTCAACGAGGGGACCACCGATGAAACAAGCCACTATACCACCGACTGAGGTTGCGGCTCCAAAAAATCCAAGCCTCGAACCGCTGGGATTGTCAAAAGTGTCCATAAACCGATCGACAGATTGTAAGCCATTGGTGAGGGAAAGGTCGAATCCCCACGCAGTAGGAGTGAGAAGCGGCGCGAAAAGTAAAAGATAGAGCTTGACCAGGTTGGCCGATTTCCACCACGAAGGTTCTTCTCGAATGAGGGTTTGCAGCCGGTCTTCGGAAATCGAGGAAGTCATGAGTAGAAAATGGGCACCAAAAGGAAAAGAAAAAAAAAAGGACTAGAGTATTCAAAGAGGAAAGATTTTGAAACCAGGTCAGCCTGATGATAGATATGCGTTGGCGCAGCGAAACAACCCTGGTGAGTTTGTGAAATACACGAGATAGAGCCCGCCCTTTATATAAGGACACACGACGCGAGACACATACAAATCGCGTCGGCTAGACATTAAGGAAATTCCAGCATCGCTTTTCTCTCGGTACAATTCAAGGCCGAAGTTGGCTAAAATTCTTACTTCGTGCTCGCAAGTACCTGTCTTCGAACAATTTTCCAGTGGCGTTCGACGAGAACTAAGTCAATGCCTCTCACATCGGGCTCCGCACAATCGGATTTCATCCCCGCAAAACGAGGAATACTCTCGGGGGGGGGGGGGGGGGGGGGGGGGCCCCCCAAGGCCCCCGGGGGGGGGGGGGGGGGGGGGGGGGGGAGGAGGCATCCTTAGGGAACAGACAATGGAGAATCAGAAATGGTACGGCAATCAACACAGAAATATACAGAA